GTCGCTGACGGTGCCCATTTAGCCAGCGTGCCGAGCGAGGGCCGTCGTGCTCACGGCGCGACCGCAGCATCCGCGGCTCAGACGACCTGGACCGGGAGATCAGACTCGTCCTCGCCATCGCAAGGGCCCCTGCGACGGTGCGGTGCGACATACCAGCATCAAGCCGCTGGCGATGAACCACGAAGCTCGAGAGTGGCGTCACGGAACTCATGCACGGAACCACTCCCGGGGCAGCAGCATCGATTGGCAGCGGACAACGTCTCCCATCACGGTGGCGTCGCCGGAAGACCCTACGCTGGCTTGTTGGCTCCGTCGCCGATACGTTGTTCCTACCAGAAGGGGACGAAGGCCGCTAGCGTCCCCGCTTCCGAAGGCGCGACCGCGGGCGCCCCCGAATATTCACGCTGCAAGACCGTTCTCTGTTCACATTCTGGTGGGCCAAGCGTTCAAAGGGCTGCTTTCCGACGGCGAGAAGGGCTCACCGGACCGATAAGGCTTAAGTCGAAGGTCCCTCTTCGAGTCTAAGTCAGCTGCCTCTGGCAGCGCTAGCCTTCTCGTTGTACGCGCAAGTCCTCGGAGCGACCGTGCCCTCGCCCGTCGGGCATTTCTTCCGGCCGATTGTTCCGCGCTAGACGGCGACACGGCGGAACACGTACGGTCGGTGTCGCCCTAGGCCGATGTCGGCGCCGCGACTGAGAAGGTGAGCACCTTGGCAAGTGGTTTTTCGACATGCGCCAACGACGTGATGCACACAGTCTAGAACAGTTTGGCAACAAAGTCTGGGGGCGCACGTCCACCTTGGGAGAGAGGTGTAGAACACATCTCGACCACGCGGCTTTCATCAGGGTGCTCCGTCCGTCTGGTTCCAGGGTCTACAGTTCGTCCACCTCCGGCACAGGTCGTTCATTTCATCGCGGCTAAGAGCGAATTACGAGGTTATCCGACGGCGCATGCTGATGGCGGGGTGCAGTCGTCTCTGCTGATGTACGTTCGTGTTTCACGCCCCAGCTCGGCATCGTGCTCACAGAACGCCACCCAGTGCTCGACGTGCGCCGGGCGTCATTAATGATATTATCGCCACTGTGCGGCACCCCGCAGCGCGGGAGGTCTCGGTCGCGTTTGTAAACGTCTGTGCGGCGTCGTCCGGCAGATGGCCTACAGGCTGACACGGTCGACAGTGGTTCAACGATCATCCGTGTGGGTTCCGAACTATGTCGGGCAAGCGCGCCTCTCAGACAAAGATTTTGAGGCGTCGCCGAGCCAAACATCCTCGCGCCGACTCGCCTTGCAAGGCACGAGGAACCTTAACAGTTCTTCCAAGACTCCCTCTTGTCGCCGCAGTCGCCATATGGAGCAGACCTACTCGTTCGAGGCAAGCCTTTGAATGTTTCCAAAAGGCAGGCTGCACATGCACGGTTTTACGCTTGCAAAAACTCTCGCTGACATTTTGCGCGATCCACAGAAGCTGACGCCTGCGCACTCTTCCGGGCTCGACGGCTTCAGGCCCCGAGCCTAACCGTTCGCTGGGCCTTCCATGCCGCATTGGACGTGCTTCCGTTCTCCGCGACTGAGGCATGTTGTTTGTGGCCTGGAGCCTCAGACTTTGGCCACGGCACCCTCCATACACTCCGGCAGCGCGCGTGGTTATGCAATACCAGCGTCAATCGCGCGCTCGCGCTCTGCAAAACGGCATGCAACTGTTCGTTTTCATCCGCTTTTGCGCGCCGGGCGACGACATTGACTCGCCACAGGCGCAATTTCATTCCCACCTGACGTCCGACCGCACATTTTGTCCATCGGGCGGCCCTCTACTCGACACATCTTGTTGGGCTGTGCCTGCGGCAGCACAATTTCAGCCTCGCAATGCGCATGTGACCTCCGCCAACCCCGGCCTGAAGGGACATCTTTGGACATCCTTGGACGCTGAATGTCGGGCGTCGCACTGAAGCGCCGAACGTCCCAAAACCAATGCTCCGACAGACGCCTCGTTATCGCACATCGTCTGCAACCCCCTCCGAGTCCCTGCCGTCGGGGGTACGTCGTGCACTTTTTCCCCATCTTTTTCTTTCCTTCCCCTTCGCGCCGCACTCTGGCCCCGCTCGAGCCGGGACCATGTGCGGCCGCGCAGTTTGTCAGATGGCGCACCCGCGCGCGACGAACGGCACGGATGGATGGCACGGATGGAACCTTGCCCCGTGGCGCGCGCGCGCGCGGGACCCGCCCGCCCGCCCGAGCCCGTCAGCGGCGCCTCGCGCCCCGCGAGCTTCGCACGCTCATAACCACGCCCAGCCGTCGCCGCACTGGGTGCGCTCGGCGCGCACGAAGGCGGGGGGCGGGGGGCGTGAAGTGCGCACTGCGCCCGCGCGCGCCCTGGATCGGGCTTTGCCTCGTCCTTCTCCCCCTGCGGCCTGAGGGTCCAGCTCCTGAGCACGCTGGGTTCTTTCCGCCTGGAAGACGGAGGGGGGGGACTGGTTCTTGCTTCCCTGACAAGACGCTCAGGGTGCGCGGAGGCTGCGACCCCGAGCGCGGTTAGACCTCGGCCCCCTCTCCCGCCCCTCGCTTCGCGGCTGTCAGGATTCGGGCCTCGATGAACTCCGCGAATATTGGGCGCGTGCGCGCACACACACGCACGTCTGTCCCGCACCCTCTCGGGGCCTGTAGCGTTTACTGCGGCACGACTGGGGCTGAGTGATGGGCGCCTCGCCGTCCAGGTCCGCGCCTGCTTTTCTTGCCGCCACTCGTTCGTTCGCTCTCACGGCGTGGTGTGCGCGACAGGGCTGACTGCTTCGCGCGAGCGGCTTCCGCCACGGCCTACGGAGGTGCGCCCTCACTCCCTCAACGCCGCGCACGCGTCGGCGGGGCCCGCATGCAGAACGTACGAGCACGCCGGGGCGCACCACGGGACGTTCGCATTTCCGCACGGACGCGATGAGGGGAAGCGCGACTCCGCCAGGTACCGCCTCCGACTCCGCAATCAACATACCGCGTTAGGCATGTGTCGCCCCGGGCGCGCACGCACACAAAAGTCGCGCGTCGTGCCTCCTCCGCACGTCTGCTCTTCCGTCGCCGTGCGCGAACGTTAATTCGCGCGCACGTTCCGGGGCACCTGTGCCTGGCTGCTACGATACGCCGCCGCTGTCGCTATGGCCCGCACACCGATCCGTCCACCCCCTCCGCTCCGTCCTCCGCCGCAGGTCCGGGGTGGGTGCCGTGCCACGATCGACTCTGACCAGGCGAAGAGGCCCCCGGCACCTCTGCCTCCCTCGTCTGCTTTTGGACGCCGCTCGGAGGCATCCTGCGGCACCGACGGCGACGCCACCCAGGGCAGCGGAGTCTGGGGAGGGCGCGGGTCAAGTCGCGGCATCTGGCACTCGAAGCCACTGTGTCACCCCATTCGACAGACCGTGGCCAAGTTGACGTCGGCACCTCGAAAGGTTCTGTCTTCCCCAGTCGACCCCGACGCGCCGCCCTGAACGTGAACCTTCGCACTCGCCTTCCCCTTCACCGCCTCCTTGTCGTCTCGCGCCTTCGATCCAGCCCTGCCACCAGAGGCGGCACCTCGGCGCCGGACGTGTGGCGAGCTCATGTGCCTAGAGCCGACTCAACACCACCGGCGTCGTGGGCATTGATGCACCACCTCCCGCAATCCCCACGCCTGCGCCGCCGCAGACGTCCTGCGTTCCGGTGGCAAGACGCCGGGGGCTAGAGCACGGCCAAATCGACGGGGCCCATTGTCATCCATCGCAGCCTGCGGTGGCCGTTTTCGTGTCGGCGTCCGACTGCTCAACTTTCAGCCTCCCAGACGACCCGGGCCCGCACAAGACCACTATCGCACCCGTACGTGGCGCCGTGCCGACATTGGCTTTCGCAACTCTCTTTCGAACCCCGGCGCCCCCACCGGCCCCGGTCCGAGCGCGAAGAGTCGGACGCCGCGACCCCGAGAGTTAACGTTAACGCGCCGCACCCCGCCAACCGCAACTTCCACAACCGCATCCGCGTCTGCGTTCGCCCCGCTGGCGCGACCCTCGCGCTCGAAACGGTCGACCTCGCCGCCCCACGTTTGCCATCGACCGACGTCTCGCCGCCGCGAGGGAGAGACGTGCCGCTGCGCCGAGAATGGGCGCCGCGAGCTTCCAGGATCCGCGCGCGGGTTCGGGACCGCGAGGCCGTCCGCGTCCGGCCTAGGCCCGCTGAACGGGGCTTCGTCCATCGGCGCACGGCGCACGTCCGTCCGTCCGTTCGTCCGTGCGCCGCATCGAAATCTGGAGGACCGGTCGCGCCGCCGTTGGTCATGGGGACGTCCCCCTGATCTTCAGGTCGGGGGCGCACGTACAGGACAGCGTACTGCACGCCGACGGGGCGGTTCTCGTCTGCGGGTGCCTCCGCGCCCGTCGCGACTCCCTCTGTCCGAGTCAGCCGGGGCCAGGACTCGCCAGAGGTGCGTGCGGCGTGCCTGCCCAGCGTGCCGTTCTCGTGCTCTCTCAATCTGATGTGCAGGGCCCCATTGAACCCGCTCCCAGACGCCCCAGTGCAACGCTCGCGGCCCTTCCGCCCCGGGACGAGAACAAAAAGGGCTGCCCATCCTGCGGCCGCGGCGGGCAACTGCTCCCGACTCGGGGCGCGCGATCCAGCCAGCGCGCGGGAGGCGGTGGCCGATTGCACGGATGCGGTCTGTCGGATTTTTCGTGGATTTTAATCCGGGAGCACAGGTGCGCCGAGGCGAGAGGAGAATATTGTTGGCAGCGGTGAGTCCGGTGGCAGCGGGGTGGACACTGGTCATGTCGCCTGCTACCGGATAAGTACCGGTGCTTCTGCTCTTCCCGATGCTTCAGATTGCCTACTGAGTTCCGTGTCTGTCAAGGTGGCATGATGCAGGGGAGGGTGAGATGAGCGCACGACTTCCCGCGCGTGCCGGGCGTCCGAACGATCTTTGCGAACTCTGACTTTGGGTGAAAGACAAACATCTAGTATATATAACATATTATAAGTCGCTTCAACAAGGCCTGGTGGTCTAGTAGTATGATTCCTTCTTAGGGTCCCTGTAACAAGGTCAACATTTGGAGGAGGTCCCGGGTTCAATTCCCGGCCAGGCCCTTTTGCTCACAAACGCGATGTTTTTTTTGCAACGACAAGACCTTGAGTTTGCGCTGCCCTAAGCCTCTCTGCAGACGCGACGTGCACTTCAGGTTGTTCATACAATGCAAAACATTCTTCCTAGTTCTTCATAGTATATGTTACATCCTCCAACTCCTTTCCATGCAACACGAATTCACGGTCCGCCACCACGCCGCATACCCCGACCCGCGAAGCCAATGCGGAAGTGCAAACCACGCCTCCCTAATCCTTGCCCAAGACGAGGAATGCTTCCTGGGTCCTGCACAGGTAGGATCCTCACCAGGGATTCGTCAAAGGGTTCGGTGCCTCCCGGCATCGTCTGTGCCTCCTCTTCCTGCTCTTGGTCGGGCTGTGCAAGAAATCAGCACGCATCCACCGCGTCCGTAAACACAACGAAACGCTCACATCGAGGTCGATCGCCAGCGCGCCCGAGTGCCATCCTGCGGCGGCCGCGGCGAAGACGAAGACGGACCGGCTGCGCTTCGCGCCGTGGTCGAAGCGGACCTCGGTCGGCACGGACACGTCCGGCGGGGGCTGCATGACGCCCCAGCGGCCGTTCACGGACTGGTCGCGCTGCTGCTGGGTCACGTACCCGCCCGGGGAGCCGAGGGGGAGGTCGACGGGGTCTCCCAAGCCGAGCGCGCCGCGCGAGAACTGGCCCCAGGAGAGGAGGCGGCCGCTGGAGGTGAGCGCGCCGTAGTGGTAGTCGCCGACGACGACGGCGATGACGGACTGGTTCTGGAGCGTGGGGATGACCGTGGGCGCGGCGTTGTTGAGGAAGTTCGGGTGAGGGGCGGGGGTGGGGGCGGGGGCGTCGTTTCCTTTGCCTTGGAGTACAACGGAGCTCTCTCCGACGGAATAGGCGAAGAAAGTCTCGAAGGAGGCTGAAATCTGCAAGGAAGTCAGAAGCGTTCGTATCTGGGGAGGGATTGCATACATGAGTGATGTGCATGGTCTCTGGAGCAGCCAGAGGAGCGTCGTTTGCGTTGTAGACAGGAAGCTCCTTGAGTTTATCCACGTCGCTAAACAGGGGAAGCTGGTCGTAAAGATCAGCGAAACCCAAGACACCGGTAAACCATAGCCTCTCACGTATTCCCATCGTCCTTGCTGGTAGTCAGTTTCGGATATAAGATTGGTATATCTCAGAACGTGTCCTTTGTTGGTGAGTCCGATGAGATTGCGGTCATAGCCAGCGACTTTCACCAACTTCGTCTCTTTCTCCAACTCCTCTCGAGACAGTCCGGTGAAGCGCAGCTGTGGAAGGTGTTCAACTGGGATAGGAGGCAATCGTACGGGATCCACGCCTTCCATGATCCACCAATGACAAGGGACGACGTCGGGGGTCCCCTTGATGACTTTTGCCTTGGCGGCTTCTTTCAGCTCTTCATCTTCGGTAGACTCAAGTTCTAGCTTCTTTTCCCTGAGCACACGTTGTATCTCCCCTTCGAACGGCCAATACACCAGGATGTCGCCAGACTCAGTGAGAATCGCGGAGTACGTCCAGCCACTCTCCACTTGAACGGGAGTGGTCTCTGGAGTGGTCTTGTCGACGAGGGACGATCCGAGGCGGAAAGGCTGTCCCCATGAAGTGAAAGTCCACACGTTCGCCGACGCGTCCATCGCGGTGTTGTGCAAGCGGCCGCATCTAACGCCGTATGTCAGCATCATCTTGCCTTGAAGTCGTCGCAAACATACGAGATCGAACGGAACTTCACTGGGAGCTCGAGTCGGGTCGGCTCGTCAGCTTTCTGCGACGAGTCCGCAAAACCATCGCTTCGTAATGCCATGGATGTGCCATTAAGGATACCTTCGAGCGAAGACGATATTTAATATATGCATCCTGGGTGAAGCGAATAACACAACGCACCCCAGACATAGAGATCACCCTTGGAGTCAATTGCATTGAAGGACCTGAACAAGAGTCAGCCTGTATGGGACGGACGTATCAGGGAACACACTCACATGCCACCCGCCGCGAGGGATACGATCCGAGCACCTGGGATGGCCAGTCGAGTGGGGAATGGGACGCCATCTCTGACGTTGGATGGGGGATACTGGAGAAGCCCTAGCCTGGACTTCGACTTCTCGCTGTTGGCAGATACTAAGTGCTAAGTGCTCCCCTCCGCGTCTCCGACGTACCCCCATACGTATGCTTTCGGATCACTGAGTCGCTTGTACAAGAACTTCCATCCAGTCTCGCGTGCGGTGTCGAAGTTCGGAAAGTTGAAGTCTTCCTGAATCCTTCTGTGCCAGTAAGCGTCATCATTGGATAGACCGTTGAGGAATTTGTTAGTGGCTCCCAGCCGGGCCAGGTCGGCGACGGAGAGGTGGGGGAAGATGCCGTCGAGGAATAGTTCAACGGGCAGATCGGCGATGCCTGACATGTTGAGGTGGGAATGGGGTCAGCAGGTGGAAAGTGAGGGAGAAGAAAGAGAGTGAGGCTCCAGAGTGCGCAGGAGCTGGCAGTCTAATAAGGTGCATCTCAGGAATCCAGCTGCGGGGGTGCCGTGCATCGTGACCGATGACGCAGATGAGGGGCGCAGCCAGATAAGACATGAACTTTGAACGTTATCTACTTACTTTTGAAGTCTATCTCATCGGTCGACCACGTGCGCTAACGCGTCCTTGGTACCAGACAGTAGCTCGCGGGAGTACTACCGCTGGTGTACTCGCCTTTCCCTCTCCCTCCTCCCCACTCCTCCCCCCTCTCAGTGTCACTCTACGCCTGCGAGGAAGACGCAGGCTGTAGCACCACCATGGCGTCTGTCACAACCGTTGTCAGCGCCGATGTCATCGACCAACTCTTCCAGGGTCTAAAGAACAAAAACGCCGAAATCCGCTCCCAAGCTGCATACGACTTGCAGCGCTATGTGCGCAGTGTCTCCTTCATGCCACGCCTGCAATGATCTCAATGCTTATAGATTTCTAATTTGGTTCCTGAGCTGTCTTCGGACGGAACTGCTAAACTATGGGAGGAGCTCATCACCAAGATTTTCGAGCTGGTGCACAGCCAGTCGCCGGTGGAGAAGCTGGGTGGCATCCTGGCTATAGGTGCGTCGCATCCTTCTTACAAGCTTCAAATTCTCTGAGGCTCTGCAGACCATCTTCTGAAGGTCGAGAATGAGATGGATCCCAAGACCACCAGCCTCTTCCGACTCTTCAATTATGTCAAGACTCTCCTACCAGATCCCGATATCAACGTCATGCTGGCTGCTTCGAAGACTCTGGGACGTATCGCCGAGATCGGTGGAGCTGCGTTCGGTGACCTGGTCATGGAGTATGAGGTTCAAGGCGCGGTTAGACTGCTTCAAGGCGAGAAGTCCGAGCAGAAGTCGGAACAAGGGCGTCACGCGGGAGTACTCATTCTCAAGGAGCTCGCGCGAAACAGCGCGAGCAACTTTCACGCCCACATCGGTCTTGTGTTCGACAACATCCTCGTCCCCCTACGCGACCCACGGAACATCGTCCGAGAGAGCGCGGCGGAACTGCTTGCCGCGTGTTTGGAGATCATCACGCAGCGGGAGCGGTATACAAGGAGTCCATTCCTGCTCAAGATTCTGCAGGAGGCACAGATGGGCCTCAAGATGTCACAGGTCGAGGCAATACATGGGTCTTTGCTCACATACCGGGAGTTGCTTTTGCATGGGGGCATGGTGCGTACTCTGCTCCAACCGACGATCCGTGTCTAAATGCGCAAAAACGCGTGCAGTTCATGAAAGAGACCTTCCTGGACGCGTCGGAGCAAATTCTCTCGTTCAAGACCCACCGGGAGCCTGTCGTGCGCAAGATGGTCATCACTCTCATACCAACGCTCGCCGTGTACGACACGCAAACCTTCTCGGAGCATTTCCTCCACAAAGCGATGCCGCACCTACTTGTGCAGCTGGAGAAAAGCAATGAGCGCTCTGTCGCTTTCATCGCTATCGGCCACGTCTCGAATGCCGTAGGCAGCGACATGAAGCCCTTCCTCGAATCGATCATGGTTCATGTCAAAGCTGGTCTTCAGCAGAAAGGGTAAGAACCGTGCTCCCTTTTCCTGATTATGTGGTAACCCGCAGCTACAGGAAGAAGAATGCGCCTTCCGAGGAGCCCATTTTCCAATGTGTTGGCATGCTCGCACAAGCCGTCGGGCCCAACTTGACGAAACTGTTGCACGATCAGCTCGACCTCATGTTCGCCTGCGGGCTGAGTGAGCCCTTACGTCAGGCGTTGGTGGCTATTGCAACGCATATCCCACCCTTGCTGAAGACTATTCAAGGTGAGCAGATGCCCATTGTGTTAGAAGTTGCCGCAGCTAATACGCGGCCTCAAGATCGTTTGCTCGATCTCTTGTCAATGATTCTGAGCGGGCATAGCTATAAGCCACTTGGCGCACCTTCTTCGCTGCTTCGCAGCGAGTCGGCGACAGCGAACAAGGAGGCCATGCCGATGGAGGTCGCAAACTCTATCCGGGGCCCCGAGGTCTTGACTCTGGCTCTGACCACACTGCATACGTTTGACTTTAGTGGTGAGCGGGTTGTCGTCATCAGTGCGCCAGCTGAAGGCTGATGAGCCCCCAGGTCACGTTTTGAACGAGTTTGTTCACGAATGTGCTCTTCCTTACTTGGACCAGGAACACCCAGAAGTCCGGCGGGCTGCTGCATTGACATGCTGTCGGCTCTTCGTCCGCGATCCAATCTGCTACCAGGCCAGCAACCACTCCATCGAGATCATCAGCGACGTCATCGACAAGCTTCTCACCGCAGCCATTGCCGACCCTGGTCAGTCTTAGCATCACCGAGTGACTCTGCTTATTAACCCGTAGCATAGACCCGAGCATACGACAGACAGTACTCTCGTCCTTGCACGAGCGCTTCGACAAGCACCTTGCTCAAGCCGAGAATGTCCGCTCACTGTTTATCGCCGTCAACGACGAGGTGTTCGAGAACAGGGTCACCGCAGTCGGCCTGATTGGACGCCTTGCGTTGCACAACCCCGCATATGTCATGCCATCGCTTCGCAAGGCTCTCATCCAACTCCTGACTGAGCTGGAGTACTCAACCGTCACGTACGTACTTAGACTGGCACTTTTATCTGTACCCGTGCTGACGTGTGCGTAGGCGCAACCGGGAGGAGTGCACGCGGCTGCTTACCTTGCTCGTGAACGCTACTCAACGCCTCATCAAGCCCTACGCAATCCCAATGCTCCGTGTCCTGCTCCCGAAGGCCAATGATACAAATCCCACGGTTTCCGCGAATATCCTGATGTGTCTGGGCGAGCTCGCGTGTGTTGGTGGAGAGGAGGTCATGCCGCACGTTCCAGACCTCATGCAAGTGATCATCGTTAAGCTCGCGGACCCGTCGCTGCAGAAGCGAGATGCTGCCCTCCACACCCTGGGCCAAATCTGCTCAAGCACGGGCTACGTTATTGCGCCGCTCGTCGAATATCCCCAGCTTCTCCAGATCTTGAGCAGGATCCTCCGGACAGAGCTTAGCCAAACGGTCAGACGGGAAGTCATCAAGGTCCTCGGTATCCTCGGCGCGCTCGACCCGTACAGGCGCAAGATCAAGCATGAGGAGGAGGCTGCGAGCGAAGCATCCTCGAACCCTGTCAACGCCTCATCTAGGAATCTCACTGGTGTCTCGACGGCTTCGGACGACTACTATCAGACTGTGGCGATCAACTCACTCTTGAATGTCCTCAAGGACCAGTCACTCAATGCCCACCATCACAAGGTCATCGAGGCCATCATGTCCATATTCAAGATTCAAGGTTTGAAGTGCGTCTCGTTCTTACCGCAGGTAACTCTACTGTCACTATCACTTCATTCTTTGTTTCTAACTGCTCGCGACAGATCATCCCTGCTTTTGCCTCCGTCGCGCGTACCTCTGGCTCGCGTTACCAAGACTTTCATTTGGAGCAGCTTGCGATCCTAGTCAGCATCATCAAGCAGCATGTCCGGAATCACACCACGGACATCTTCCACTTGGTTCAAGACCTGTGGGACAACGCGGTTCTTCAGCTCCCTCTCATGGGTCTCGTAGAGGCCCTCGGGAAAGCACTTGACGCCGAGTTCAAGCCATTCATTCCCATGATCCTGCATCCCATCTTGAGAGTCTTCGAGGGAGAGTTGAACGAGAAGACGAGCTTGACCCAGGCGAAGATCTTCGACGCCTTCCTCACCTTTGGCGCCAACATCGAAGAGTATCTCCAGCTCGTCATCCCCTTGATCGTGAAGACATACGAGCGCCCAGACGGATCCATCGCGCTGCGGAAGAAAGCGATCCAGACGATCGAGGGCCTCACGCTTCGCGTCAACTTCTCCGACCACGCCTCGCGCATCATCCACCCGCTGGTCCGCGTCCTGAACCAATCGCACAACGAGCTGAGGATGGCCGTCATGGACACATTGTGTGCACTTATGATCCAGTTGGGCTCTGACTTTGCGATCTTCCACCCTACCATCCGCAAGGTGCGTTTGCTTCTGTTCCGCGGTGGTAGGAATTTTTGGACTAATGGATGACAGACGCTACTTCGAAACCGGTATTCCCATGCGCGATACGAGTCTCAAATCGAGAAGCTCCTCAGAGGAGAGAAGCTTGCTCAAGAATCGTCTGCGCTGGACCTGTTTGTGCCTCTATTTTGAATTTTCCCTCAGCCAGGCTAACATGTTGACGTCAGTGAGGGCTCCAGGACCGGAGAGTTCCAGGCGCCCGCAGAGGCGACCAAGATGGCCGTGAACCAGCAGCATCTGAAACAAGCGTGGGACGTATCCCAGGTGGCCAACAAGGAAGAGTGGCATGATTGGATACAACGGCTGTCGGTCGAGTTCTTGCGAGAGTCACCCTCCCATGCTCTCCGCGCGTGTATGACCCTTGTCGACGTTCATCCGCCGCTAGCTCGGGAGCTCTTCAACGCCGCGTTCGTCTCGTGCTGGGGCGAGCTGTATGACCAATACCAGGCGCGTAGATCACCTTCGTCTCCTTGTGAAGGGATCCTCATCATACTTCGTTCTTCAGGAAGATCTTGTTCGTTCGATCGAATTCGCCATAACATCAAGTGTTGCCCCTTCGGAGCTGGTCCACCGTCTACTAAACTTGGCGGAGTTCATGGAGCACGAGGAAAAGCCACTACCTATCGAGAACCGCACGCTGGGCGAGTACGCCATGAAGTTCCACGCATATGCCAAGGCTCTCCATTACAAAGAGCTCGAATTCTTCACCGAGACATCGCCCACCATCATCGAGGCTCTCATCAGTATCAACTCGAAGCTGCAGCAGCACGACGCGGCGTGGGGGACGCTCATGGTCGCCCGCGAGCAGTACGACGTCAGCAAGCACGAGGAGTGGTACGAGCGTCTCGGTCGCTGGCAAGAGGCTCTCCAGACCTACGAGAAGCGCGCGAACGAGGACCCCAACGCGCCCGAGATCGTCATTGGGCGGATGAAGTGCTTGCACGCGCTGGGCGAATGGGACCAACTGGCGAAGCACGTCGAGGAGAACTGGTCTAGCGCGACGATCGAGGACAGGCGCGAGGTCGCGCCCATGGCAGCGGCCGCTGCGTGGGCACTGAACGAGTGGGAGTCGATGGACGAGTACATTCAGACCATGAAGCCGGATTCGGCCGACCGGCCGTTCTACCGTGCGATCCTGGCGGTGCACCAGAACCAGTTCCCGAAGGCGATGGCGCAGATCGCGAAGGCGCGGGACTTGCTTGACCCAGAGCTTACTTCACTCGTTGGCGGAAGCTACGGGCGGTCCTACAAGTGAGCCGTTTCTTTCAGCTAAACCGAGTCTTTGCGACTAACGCCGTGGCAGCACGATGGTCCGTGCACAGATGCTTTCGGAGCTGGAGGAGATTGTCTTCTACAAGCAACATGCCGATCAACCTGAACGCCAGGCGGCAATGAGGAAGACTTGGATGAAGAGGTGCGTGTCAACTGTTTTGTCAAGTCCTGTTTTCTGAATTGGGCACATGCAGGCTGCGAGGATGTCAGCCAGACGTCGAAGTATGGCAACGCATTCTTCAAGTCCGCGCTCTTGTCCTCTCCCCCGACGACGACCCCGTCATGTGGATCAAGTTTGCGAACCTGTGCCGTGAAAACGACCGCATGTTCCTCGCTGAAAAGACAATCAACTCGCTGCTCTTCCCTGACAGACGGCAGCCACCCGGTTACCGCGAGCAGCAGTTCCAGAAGGCACCTCCGATGGTCATCTACGCGCACCTCAAGTGCAACTGGGCGAAGGGAGACAGGGAGGAGACACTGAACTACCTGCGGGACTTCTCCGCTAAGTTGGCCAAAGACTTGCAAGCTAATTCTGCGGCCCGTGGCGATGCGACGAAGTTGGAGGAGCTATCCAACTTGCTAGCACGGTGCTACTTCAAGCTCGGCCAGTGGCAGGCTGCTCTTAAAGAAGAGTGGGAGGGCGTAAGTATCTGTAATCGCATCCAGGCAATCGTCACTGACCCTCCCTCAGCGGAACATGAAGGACATTTTGCAGTCATACTACCTCGCGACGCACTACGATTCGTCATGGTACAAGGCGTGGCATACTTGGGCTCTGGCGAACTTCGAAGTCGTCAGTCACATGGAGAAGCAGCAGTACCACAAGGCGAACGAGATGCCGGGTCAAGAGCTGGCTCTGCACATTGTGTCTGCGGTCAACGGTGCGTTCCTCTAGGCAGTTGATGCAAGAGATACTCTGACACTTCACATTCATAGGGTTCTTCCGCTCCATTGCGCTGAGAAACGAGAATGCGCTGCAAGACATCCTCAGATTGCTCACGCTCTGGTTCAAGTTCGGCGCCCACGACGACGTCAGTCACGCCATGAGCAGTGGGTTCACCGACGTGGAGGTCAACACATGGCTCGAGGTCATCCCCCAGATCATCGCGCGTATCCAGACCCCGAGCAACAATGTCCGCCGGAACATCAACAACCTGCTCACCGAAGTCGGCAAGCATCATCCTCAGGCCCTTGTCTATCCCTTGACCGTCGCCTCCAAGTCCTCAAGTGCGGTGCGGAAGAAGGCTGCGCTGAACATCATGGACAGGATGAGGGAGCACAGCCCGATCATCGTTGAGCAAGCCTTGCTCGTCAGCCACGAGCTCATCCGGGTAGCCATCCTGTGGCACGAGTTATGGCACGAGAGTCTCGAAGAGGCGTCCAGATTGTATTACACGGATGGTAACCCCGTGGGAATGATCGCGTATCTGGAACCGCTGCACGACATGCTCGAAGCCGTGAGTCGTTTGATATCTCGCCAAGTTCTTTGTGGCTAAGGAATCTACCAACCAGGGACCGAAAACGTCGCGCGAGACATCCTTCATCCAGATGTACGGCCGAGACCTCCGTGAAGCACGCGAGTCCTGCAGACGTTACACCATATATGGCGAGAAGCGGGACCTGGACAAGGCTTGGGACATCTACTATCAGGTAGGTCTGCGCCTTTGGTCTCGCGTTGATTATGCCGCCAAACAGTTGTGTGTCTAGGTATTCAAGAGAATCGACAAAGCTATGCCGGCGACCACCACCCTCGATCTTCAGTATGTTTCCCCCGAGCTCCTCAAGGCTCGCGATCTGGAGCTGGCTGTGCCTGGAACCTACCAGAGCGGCAAGCCGGTCGTCAAGATCGAGAGCTTTGCACCAAAACTCAGCGTCATTTCGTCGAAGCAGCGACCACGTCGTCTGTCAATCAAGGGCAGCGACGGCAACGACTACCAGTTTGTGCTCAAGGGACACGAGGATCTGCGGCAGGACGAGCGTGTTATGCAGCTGTTCAGCCTCGTCAATGGCCTCCTGTCGCTGGACACGGATTGTTTCAAGAGGCGTCTCCACATCCAGAGGTTCCCAGTCATCCCGCTCGCGCCGAATGCCGGTCTTCTTGGATGGGTCAAGGACAGCGACACGCTGCATGTGCTCGTCCGGGACTACCGAGAGTCGAGGAAGGTTCTGCTCAACATCGAGTACCGGCTCATGCTCCAGGTGGGTGATGTCGTGCACATTTCTGATCAACAGCTAATCAAGGTATAGATGGCCCCGGATTACGAGAACCTCATTTTGCTGCAGAAGATGGAAGTGTTCGAATACGCGCTCGAGAACACCACGGGTCAAGATCTGTACCGGGTCCTCTGGCTCAAGTCGCTCAACTCGGAGCACTGGTTGGAGAGACGCGCGACCTACACACGTTCTCTCGCTGTCAACAGCATGGTCGGCCACATTCTCGGTCTTGGCGATCGGCACCCGTCGAACTTGATGCTGGAGCGCAATACAGGCAAGGTCGTGCACATCGACTTCGGCGACTGCTTCGAGGTGGCAATGCACCGCGACAAGTTCCCGGAGAAGATTCCCTTCAGGCTGACGCGCATGCTCACCTACGCAATGGAAGTGAGCGGGATCGAAGGATCGTTCCGGACCACGTGCGAAATCAGCATGAAGGTCCTCCGTGAGAACAAGGAGTCGCTCATGGCCGTGCTCGAGGCGTTCGTCTACGATCCGCTCATCAACTGGCGTCTCATGGACACGCGGAGAGATGGTGCGTTCCCGCCGATTGGCTGGTCTTCTGGCGGGAGCTTATGCAGGGCTTTACGTGTATTTTAGGCGAGGGTGGGCGTGCGGATCTGGTACGCCAGACTACGTACCCCGCCGCGCCGATCCGGAAGCTGAAAGCGGACGAGAACGACATCCTGAACGGTGCGTGCCGAGATTTGCTGATACAGTTCAGATGAGATTGAGTAGACTGACCGACTTCGTTTACCTTTTGCGTGGGCCGCACTCACGCATGCAGAGGCGCAGGAAGTCCGGAACGAGCGTGCGCTGTTCGTGTATCGCCGCGTCCAAGATAAGCTCACCGGTACGTCATCTCATCGCGTCCTCCGCACGCCGCTCGGTCCACTGAATTGCGATTTGCGCTGCTTCGTGGTCCGCAGGCAAGGACTTCACCGAGGTGCCGCTGTCGGTGTCCGAGCAGGTCGACAAGCTCATCCTGCAGGCCACGTCTCTGGAAAACCTGTGTCAGTGCTTCTCTGGATGGTGAGTGTTGTCGCTTCCGTTCGAGCTGCTTCTGGCTGACAATCTGCGCGTAGGTGTGCGTTCTGGTGATGGACTCGGCTGCGGGCGTTTCTCGCTGTGTGTTCGCTATCGCTGTTTTATTGTATACATGGCTTGGTGGGACGGACTGTGCTATCTACTTCATCTAATACACTGTACATTAGCGGCTCCGAACTGCGCGTGCAGACAAAGTCCAGGCGGGCAGCGAGCGGGCGTGGGGCGCGCGGGATGTGACCGGGTTCACAGGCGCGCGGGCGGGGAGCGGCGGGGTCGCGCGGGTCTCACGCGCACGCCGGGGCGTCGCTCTCGTTCGACGAACGCTCTTTGAGGCAGTGCAACGATGTCCTCCGCCAAACTCACCACGCCTGACCAGCAGTGGGGACGAGGTACGCCCGCATGTCTCTGTTTCAGACCGTTCCTGAGATCACCGCTCCCCGCCCAAAGTCCTCCTCTGCGGCGGCACCGACTGGTGAGTGCCCGTCGGTACCCGCCGGCCGTCGGTGGCTGCCCACGGCGCGATGAGCCCTGCGCAGGCCAGCCACCGCGTCCGTGTTGCGCATACCGCTCACCACCCCCACAGGCCGCGACTTGGCAAGAAAGACAAGGGAGGGAAGAAAGCTCAGGATGACCCCACCTCGTACGTTCCTCTTCGCGTCGCGCTCGATGTTCGTCTTTGTGACCCCCGTCCCGCCCTCGCCGCCCCCTCCACCACCCGTGCGCGCGCCCCTGCACCGACCTGTGCCGCCGCACGCCCGCCCGCCCGCAAACGCGCCCGCCGCCCGCCCGCCAGCACGGACCTGCTCGAACCGCACATCCTCCGCTCGCTGAGCAATGTCCGCGCGGTCTCGATCCACGCCTCGTGCTGCGGCTGCCACTGTGTCGTGCTCGACACCGACGGCGTCGCGTGGCTCTTCGGCCGGAACGACAAGGCGTGCCTCGGCCTCACCGGCACCGACGCCATTTCGGAGAACGCGCCGCGCAGGCTCGCCCCGGTCGAGCTCGGCGCGCCCAAGAGCACGCGCTTGTCCACGCCGCCTGCGGCCGCAACCACACGCTGCTCGTCGGCAGCGAGGGCCAGCTCTGGTCCGCGGGTGCGAACCATGCGGGGCAGGTGAGTGCCGGTCGTCCTCCGCGCGCGACGGCGGTTCGTTGCTCACGACGCGTTCGTGCTTGCGGCTCGGGTCGCTCCTGTAGTGCGGCCACCCAGCGTGCCCGGAGGTCCAGTCGTTCAAGCTGGTCAACGGACCGAAGCTCGGTGGGACGAAGGAGAAAGTTATCAAGGCGGGCGCTGGGATCACCTTCTCGGTGGTATTGACTGAGAGCGGAAAGGGTAAGTTCTGTTCTCTTGCACGGTGCTCCAGATGTTTACGCGTAGACCAGTGTTCGCGTTCGGAAGCGAAGAGAAAGGGCAATTGGGGAACGGGCAAGCAGGGGAACGAATTGTCTCTGCAGGCAAGTCGGCGTTTGACTATGAGACGGAGCCGGGTAAGCAGCAGGTCTTCTCCGCGTGTTTTTGTGTACTGAGGACGCGCTGCACAGTCCTCGTGAAGGGTCTTGGCGAGTACACCATGGCCGACATCTCGTGCGGTCCCCAACATACAATTGCCATGGACAAGGACGGGTACGTTCTCGTTTTATGTGTCCTGCGCTGGCCTTGCTGACCAGCACTTCACAGACGCGTCTTCGTCTGGGGGTACAACGGTTACTGCCGTCTGGGCACCGGAAATCAGGCCGACCAACTCGCTCCCAAACCCGTCCCTCAATTCCTTGGACCGAACGAGATAACCATGGCATCTCATGTCATTGCTGGGCCATCGTGTTCCGTCGTGATTGACAAGCAGGGTATGTTCTACATGGCGGGCAAGTGGAAGAACACCGGGGATGGTACGTCCACCTGCGCTCTCCGGTCTTCTTTACTTTAACCTGCGGCTTCTCTTCTCAGGGTCGGGCGGACAGCCGTTCTCAACATTCAAATTCATCCAAGACATCATGTTAGTTGCTCTGCAATCAGATTTCCACTTCCGAATCGCGCATGACTGACTGAATGCGTCGCAGGGGATGCAAAATTATACATGTGGCATGTGGAGGTGTCACTCACTGGGCTCTTGCACAAGAGGATGACGGTGTCATGACGATCGCCTTTGGCCAGGGTGCTCTGAATGGTACATTCTCTCGCACTGTCGCACTGCCACCTTGCTGAAAGAGCCTGGACTGTGCAGGTGAACTGGGACACGGACCTGACCAACCGAAGAGCGCAACAAAACCCATTCAGAACAAATGTCTCCAAGACATCAACGTCATCCAGTTCGCCCTCTCCCGCCAGCCCCCCTTCGGTCTCATCGTCTGACCTCCCTTCCTCTCACTTCCGCAGAGTCGCCGGCGGCCAAAACACGTCCTTCATCCTCGCCGTCCCGAGCGAAAAGCTCTCCGACCTCCCGCGGCATCCCTACGAGGTGAACCCGCCCGAGATCTGCGTCGTCTGCGACGAGGACACCGGCGAAGACGACTCCCCGCTCGAGTGCGACAAGGTCCGTTCCTCTCCTCTCTCCATCGTCCGCGCACGCGACTGACACGCGACCCGTCCCTTCTCCCCGCCGCGCAGTGCGACTACCCGTACCACCTCCAGTGCCTCGACCCCCCGCTCGACGCCGTCCCGGACGGCGAGTGGTTCTGCCCCCACTGCGCCACGACCCCGGGCGGGCCCGTCTCGCTCGACGGCACGCGGCCGAAGCCCACGCGGGGCGTCAAGCGCTCCGCAGTCGACGAGTCGCCCAAGCCGGGCCAGAAGCGCAAGGCGGACGCGCAGTCCGCCGCGCCGAAGCGCAAGAAGTAGCCGCGCGGCACTGACGACGACGAAGAGCGCAGTGCTTTCCGCACCCTCGCAGGCCGCGTGACCTGCCACGACATGTATGCCAGATTTCTCTACCGGACGGCCGACTGTCAAGAGTATGTAGCTTGGACACGAGCGCGCGCGGAGGGCGCGCGTCGTAATAGATCGTAGCCGCAATTGTATATACTCCCCCACTCTGTCTCTGAAGTACCCTGTCACCATTGGATCTGTATATAGCATGTGGTCATGGACCATAATCACCTGCGGGCGACGCTTGTATGGCTGCTCTGAACGGCTCAAATGCCCGTCGTTCAGGTTGGGCACGCACGTTATAGGGTGTATGTAACAGCACTGTATTATATAGCGTACGTGGGTATCGTATCTCGCACACCGACCTCGCAAGCTCCTCGCGCCCTATCCTCCGCGCCGCCCGAATGCCAGCCTCCGTCCCAGCTCGACGCTCAGTTCCCGTCGAAGAAGTGTATCATGAGCCACGCGGCGCCGATGCTGAGGCCGAGGATGAGGATGAACGCGGTGCCGACGTACATGAGCATCTCGCCCGTGCTCGCGCCGTCGGCGCCCTGTGCGTCCTGTGGGTCGCGATAGGCATGCCCGCGCGGATCTGGGCGACGCGCTTCTCGCGCGCGAGCTCGGCGTCGCGCGCGGCGGCGGCCTCGGCGACCTTGGAGCGCGTATCGAGCGGGTCCAGTTGGGCGCCGCCGGAGACGGAGCCAAGGCGGAGGAAGGAGGGGTAGTTGCGTTCGCACCAGACTTCGATCTGCGAGGGAGTGGTGGGCGTCAGCAAGAGGCAGAGGAAAGAGGAAAGGGGAGGCGCAGAGGATAGAAGGTACGTACCCTGCCACAGGCGACGGAGAGCTGGAGGAAGCCGGGGTCAGAGGGGGAGGCGCGGGCATGGATTCGGCGCGAGTAATCGCGGTAGATGTAGGCGACATCCCGGGGGTTCGTTGACCGCATGATGAGCTGTTTATTGAAGGCGCGCCTATTAGCGCTGCAGCCGCAGTGAAGCGATGCAAGAACGCACCGAAGCTGCCTCCGCCTTGCGAATCTTGATGTGTTTGTGGAATAGGTCGGGGTTCATGAAGCAGAGCGAGAGCGTCGCCATGGCCATCGTTTGTGGGATTGCGCAGAACGAAAAGACGGACTGCTTGGTGAGGAGGCGGAGGTAGTCGAGCGAGTCGCACGCGTGGGTGAGTGCGTCGACAACCATCCCAGTCTGCACGTACGCCGCCTGCTTCTCCGCGCCGGGAGCATAGAGCTCTTGCATCTCGCGGAACGGCGCGCGGCCGCCGGCCGCCGCGCCGTACTCCGCGCGCCCCCAGATCTCGCGCGGCCAAAAGAAGCGGCGTTCCTCGGCATCCTCGCGGAAGTCACGGATAATGTTCGTCTTCTGAAGGAAGAGCCCCATCGAATTTGAGAGCTCGAGCTGGCCCCCGAGCCAATCTGACTCTCCAGCTGCGGACCAAAAGCGGGTAAGGCCTTCGCCGACGAGTCCAGCGACGTAGTGGCAGTAGAGGTTGTACTCGTCGACAGTCTCAACATAGAGGGAGTCCGTGACGGCTGCTTTGTGCGCGTAGTCGGCCATGCCCGTTTGCATTTTTTCTGTGACATCAATAATGATGTCGCAATACCTGAGGGAGATAAGCGCAAGGTAAGCGAACCGCGGATGAGAGACACGAGGCTGGGCACACACCGTGAGTCCAGACGGTTGAGCTCCTCGCACACGACTGTCCACTCGACCAGCAGTTGGCGGTCCTTTTCATTTGGCCCGCATTCGTCAAATGTCCATCCTGGTGTTACACAGAGCTTGTGGAATTGCCGGAGGATGGGTTGTTTTTTCTCGTCAGGAAGCGTCATGTCGTCTTCGATCGTGTCGAGACCTCTTAGTACGAGGTAGAAGAGGCAGACCTGAGATAGAGGACAGATGAGCATTAGAAGCACACGATGCCGCTAAGCAGGTCGGTAGGGGAAATGCCCTCGTGCAGGTGAGCATACACAAACGCCCACAAACATCCATCCTGGAGCCCAACCTGGACATGCCAGAATGAATCGTAGGACCATGCAAGAGCGCGACCATGCCTCTCAGTACGGTGTCCGGACTGCTGGATCCAGAGACCGAAGCTGCCCCTAACGGGACGCTGAGGAGAACAGAAAGAGGCTAGACCGATGCAGGGGGAGAAGACGCGGACAGAGACTCGCGCAACTCACCACTCGCGCCAAATCGCCTTCCAGCTCTTTGATGACGCCCGAGAAACTTCTGCTCGTAAGGTCGAGGAACTCCCAGCACTTGCGCATCGACGGCCGGTCCCATCCCGAGGTTGCGTGTTCGGAGGGTTGTGAAATGTCGCGTTTCGGTTCGTGCCAGAGCTTGTACTGGAGGAGGATGCGGAACTCGAACGGGTGCGTGAGGAGGAGCGTGAGCATAGACGCGACGGTCATGATGGGCGGTCTGGGCGGGGAAGGAGGGAAGGAGGAGCCGGGGAGGAGAGGAGAGGACGCTGCTCGCAGCCCGACACGTCCGCGGGCTGTCTTCGCGTCAAGTCGTACCACTCCTTCCCACACGTGAACGCTCCTCCGGCCCGCCTGCCGCTCCCTCTTTTCACGCTCTCTTGGCCCTCTCCCGCTCCGCTCGGGCCCTCTCCTCCAATGGACGCCGTGCTCTCTCCTCCTCTGCGCATCCAGCCCCAGCGCGTGCAGCAGATCCCTACGCAAGTTGCCAAGAAACGCTTGGACAGCTTCCTCCACCGCCTCCGTGCTCGCAATCTCTCGAACAACACCGGAGAGTCGACGACGACCGCCCAGCTGCAGAAGCTCGCAGACGCGCTCAGAGAGGAAAACGAGGCGTGAAAGTATTCCATGGTGCGTTCTTTGCTATGACCTTGAACGGCAAAATGTCTAATCTCCGAGGCCCAGAATGAGCAACTGTAGCAAATGCATCCTTGACTTGGACTGTACTTTTCGTTCCCTTGAATTGCATCCTCGCATTTGCGAGATCGCGGCCATATTCTTCCACAAACCCCTTTCTTCTCATCGACCGGCAGCGCCTTCCTCCATGCGTCAAGGTTCTAGTCGGGAACAAGCCACGGTACCACATAGTCTTGAGATATCCTCCCAAGCCTAAGGTCGATGCCCGTTTACCATCCACACCACGTCCGCGGCATCATCCTTTCCAGCCAACTTTCCGACTTGGTCAAGCGAATTTCGGGCGGCCGTGAGATTCATTCGTCGCGCAACCCGTCAGAAGTGCGTCTCCGCTGCGTATCGGAGTCAACAGGTCTCCGTCGATTTCGTCCAGCACCGTTTTTGCCCCAACAGCCATGGTCGTTGCTCACCACACACCACTCCATGATCAGCCTTGCGAGGACAATACGCGCCAGCGGATACCCAGTGATCGCACGCCTCCGGGCGAGCGCGAACACGAACACTCCTGGTCTTGGATCTCCCGCAACCTCCGGTGCTCCACGCTCTGTTGATAGACCCGCAATGTTTTCAGCTTGGGGCACGGGACACCGTCTCTGTTGACGTCTGGGAAGGCGTTGAACAGCGATTCCGCCCCATGCCCAATCCAGAGCTCTTGCACGCTGTGCAAGTGCACCTCTACCCATCGCTTCAGCTTCCGCCTGAAGCCGTGGCGCAAGCTCCATGTCCGCCAGTGAAAGGACGGTATCCACCTTTGCTGTTAAATCGAAGAGATTGGTTTCAGAGATGGTGGATGTTAGAGACCAAGTATCGGGGTGCATGCCAATAATTACCAACGGACCGATGCCTTTGGACTGATTCAGAGCAGACACAAAAACCAACTGATTGAGATTGGATATCGGGAGTGTATTTCTTCAATGATACATAGGATGCCGATGGTATATATCCCTTCGACAGCAGTCTCGACTATGCGTACAGTACGATACCCATTCAACCGCGCGGTGCTTATCACCGCGCCCCCATCCACGAAGAACACTCAAAGCAAAAGAAAAAGTCCACACCGAGCACCACCCTCACGCCGTCTTCTCCGCGCACATCCGCACGACCGCGTCCTCCGCCGCGCGGTACGGCTCCACGAGGCCCGCATACACCCGCTCGCGCGCCGCGTCCGGCTCGGCGACGCACTTCATCCGCGCGCCCTCGCCGTCCATCGCGCGCATCTCCTCGAACGAGCCCATGCCCCCGTTCTCCTCGCGCCACCACGCGAACCGCGCGAGCTGCGCGCCGCCCTCCGCCGCGCCCTCCTTTCCCGCGACGAACACGCGCATCCCGAACACGTCCGCCGCGGCCTGCCGGATCGTCTGGTTCGCGGACGAGCCGCCGGAGAGGACGAGGCGCTGGAGCGGCGCCGCGTCTGGTGGCAGGATGGCGGTAATGCGCGAGCGGATGGAGAGGAACTGGGACTCGAGGATCGCGCGGGCGTGTGCGGCGGCGGGCATCGAGCCTTCGGGGATGGGTTGGACGGAGGGGGAGGTAGTGAAGCAGAAGGTGCCCTGGACGTTTGGAGGGATAATCTCAGGGAGAGGGAAGTAGAGGCCCATGTAGCCATCATTGCCCACGGGACGCTGCTCGACAAGCTCGTTGAAGCGCGTCCAGTCGTGGTCGGCGTAGGCGTCGCGGACCTGCTCGCGAGCAAGGGCACCGTTCTTGTAACACAGCATCGCAATGTATGCATCGGGAGTGGTCGGATGGGAGAGTAAGTGTGACGTCGTGAAGCATTTTGGCGCGGTCTCCGCGGGTGGGATGGAGAGGAGAAGGGTAGTAGACGTGCCGAGAGAGAGAATGGCATCGCCTGGCACGGAGAGCGCGATGACGGTAGCCTGATTGTCACCAGTGAATGGGGCGATACCACAATCTGGAACAGAAGGTCAGCCGACTATTGCGCAGTGAGAACGTTCCAAAACCTTACCAGGGCTGAAGCCCCAGCGCTGCACCCAGTACGGGTGGATTTTGCCGAGGAACTCGCCACCAGGAGCGGGTTCGGGGCCAATCTTGGAACGCAATTCTGGGCCACCGCAGGCTTCAAGAAGACGATCGTCCCACTTGCAAGTAAGGACATTCATCAAGTTCATTCCACTGGCGTCAGAGACATCGACCGGTGCGATCTCCCCGAGGAATAGCGAAGGCATGAACGAGGAAACCAAAGACACGCGGGCCGTTGCCCAGTACGCGTCCGGATAAGCCTTTCGTATCTGAACGCAAAGGTGTCAGCCTCAATTTAGGTATTAGCCACGGCCGCGTTCAGAAGACGAGTAGGCTTGTGACCATATACTACTAGAAAAGCTAGTTTCACTGTAGGGTCATTGCTGAGACAGAACGAAACCTCGTGGCCTCGTCCAAGAAAAGTTTGGCCGGGCGCTCCACTCTACGTGCAGTATGGATACGGTGGAGCGGACTGTGCGAGCATATTGACATAAGCACTTCACAAAAGAACACGTACCCTAGAGATTTGGTTGCCCGTAAAGCGTTCGTATGCACGGCTGCCAGTGAGATCGGCAAGAACCTGGGGCCCGCCGATGGCCTCTTCGAGTTCGCGGCATTCGTGGGTGGTGGAGGAGTCCTGCCAGATCGGCGCGCGGGGGAGCGAGAAGGCGTCAGGCGCGAGCTGCTCGGCGAGTGCGCGGGACGCGTCGAGGGAGGAGAGGAGACGTTCAGCGTCCTTGGACCAATAGACGGAGCCATGTTGCTGGTGATCGCAAGTTAGTCGCAATGTGCGAAGCGTTCTGCCGGGCACATACCTGTCCGTCACCGGATATGCCTAGGATGCGACTAAAGTCGACGCCAGCATCACGCATGCGTTCCATGATGAGATCGTACGCGTCGAGCCACATGCGAACGGGCGATGTGACTTCACCAGGGGCAGGTCCCTTCGTGGCGCCATTGGTGGTTCCATACGTGGGCAGGTCGCGATCGAAGTTGACTGAAGATTCGTGGGTCAGTACGCCGTCAGCGTCGACGAGGACGGCTTTGAGGCCCTGGGTAGAAAGGTCTAGGCCGAGGAAGAGCGGGTCGGACATGTTGGGGGGAGTGAGAGAAGGATAGAGATCCGGAGCAAAGGGTGAGGGACATGGCGGAGAATTTATAGGCACAAGCGAGGCGAGGTGTGTGGGGTGGGTGCAGGGCGGGGATGGGCATCGGGCGTGGGCTGAGAGCTCGGAGCATGCAGTCTGGACGGATGGGAGGAGGCGGGAAAACCGGCCCGGATGTCCGGGGGACACGGTCCGGGATATCCGGGGCTCCCGGATTGGCCTGCGGGCGGTCGGCGGGCCTGGCCGTTCCCCGGAGTGCCCCGCGATTACCCCACGGCACGAACGTCCGAGTCGTCCACCCGGAGAATCTGCGGCCGCCGCTCCTCTCTTCCGTGTTCCGTCCGGCGCGTCGCCCACCGAAGTGACCGATCTCGTCCACGTCCTGGATACATCCGCCCGCAGTGTTCTAACCTCTGTGGGATGACATGGAAGCCAACCTGGAGCCCTGCCCACAAAGGCATTGGTACTTGGCGCAGCACGTGGGTCCTCTCAGATACAAGTATTAAGCAAACTGAAACCTCGCCCGTGCACTCTCGGCTTGCCTTGTCTCACGGGCTTTCCACCGACGCACCATGTCCCCTCTGAACCCGACGACAGCCCGCATCGCGCCGCACCCGTTCAATAAGGCCAGTGCGGACCTCACCATCCGATGTGCCGATGGAGTCGACTTCCTTGTTCGCCATTCGATCCTTCTCGAGGCATCTCCCATCTTCGAAGACATGCTCGCCATTCCTCAACCCCCGCTCGACGCCCAGGATGTTGCGGAACCCCGTCCCGTTGTCGTCGTCACCGAGAGCTCCCGGCCGATGGACGTCATCCTCAGGCTCTGTTATCCCATTCGGAAGCCCGATCTCGCGGCCAGGCCGGTGGATGAACTCGAAGACGCGCTCAAGGTTGCTCTCAAGTACGAAATGGACTATCCTCGCGCTGCGCTCACCACCGAGCTGGTGGCGCAAGCCGAAACGTATCCCATGCAAATATGGGCTGTTGCTTGTCGGACCGGCCTGGAAGACCTCGCTCGTGCCGCTGGAGACATGTTGATCCAGAGCTATCGGGACAAGGAGAAATTTTCCCTCTATCCCCTTCGTCATGTCCACGGGATCAGCGCGGGCGATTACTATCGCCTCCGTAGATTTTATAGACGAGCCATCCCAATCAAAGCCTCTCAATTCAAGTTCTTATCGTCTAACCATCAGACTTCAACCTCAGCAAGTACAATTTCTGCGGACACCCCACATCCTTTCTCCGTCGATCCCTCCTTTGCGGACCTCGTTTGTCGTTCATCAGATGGTCGCGAGTTTTTGGTTCATCGCGGAGCTTTAGCTGCGGCTTCACCCATCCTTCGTGACGAAATTCTCGCTCTCCTCGCGTCTAATAACTCCGACGGTTCCGCGACTACAAGCACGAACATGCCAGTGCTTCAACTTCCAGAATCTGGGCGCATCCTACATTATATCCTGTGTTCATGCTACCCGGCGACCGCCAGCTTCACTCTCGATCCATACGACATGCCTGACGTCATTGCTGCTGCAACTCGGTATCAAATGCCTTGGCTCAGCCAATACATCAAAACGGCATGGAAAACAGCGTTGTGGAAGAACCCGGTGGAGGCCTACTTCCGCGCCGTCCGTACGGGCTGGTACGAGGGCGCAAAAATCGCTGCTCGTCTCTCCCTGTCTCAGGATCTCGACGACGTCTATACCGAACAGATGGAGCACGTGTCTGCATGGCGGTACCATCGACTACTCAATTATCATCTCGCCACGAGACTTGCCTTTGCTCAGATCGAGAGGAGAATAGGTTTTCAGTTCGCAGACATGAGGTATCTTGCCGCGGCGCTGGAAGATCCGTCTTCGAGCGGGGAGCCATGCCTGTACAACGACCGACTGATATCGGAGACCGTGCTTCGGCGAATACCCTCCTACCCGACGCGGCCGAGTTCGTTGGTGCCGTCCTGGACGAAGCTGATGTGCGAGTGGCGGGATATGGTGCTGAATGTAAGCGATCGGCTCCGACATATTAGACCAGCATACTCATACTACCGAGCCCGTTAGATTCCGTTATGACCGTCGACGGGCCTCTACTACCCAGACTCCTTCGCACGTGGACCCGCCACCCTAGTACAAGCCACCCAATCACGCTCAATTGAGCAGTCGAAACACACCCTACGCATCGATATCGTCCGCCTCACCCCCACTGTACCCCATCCCCGTCGCAGTCTCCACTACCTCCTGCACTCATCTGGCATCCCACACGCCTCTGGTCGCACACCTTTGACAATCAATTCCCTTTTGGGTCCTGCTCCCACCCACAGTCATCCCTATTCCTACGCTCATTTCTCCAGGTGCGCGTTCAGCAACGAAGCCTGCAAGTGCGACAACGTCAATGTTAGCATCGGACTAGGACTATGCGCCCACATGGGCCTGAAAAGCACGGGTGACGACGAGGGAACGCGGTGGCCAGCTCCAAGGACGTGTAATGTAACATGTTGTTCAAAGTGAACATGCACAGAGGTTACACAGAGGAGTTATGTTTTTGGCAGGATGGGAATGGGACGTGACGTACTACGTTGTACTCGAAGGCAATATTATGTATGCGCTTGTGCGAGACTCGGATGCCGTACTACTAGTAATTAGATCCAACTTGTCCAGTTTTCTGACCTCGCGATCACGTGTGCATTCAACGCGCCCGTGGCGCGCGGTCCTGCCACTTGAAGCCGTTTCTGTTTGTTCCCTTCTCAGCTGCCCTGCACCCCTCTTTTCCTTGCATCCTTGCGTTCGACCTTCGATGGCCCCCTCAGTCATGGATGTAGATAGCTCTGGTCGGCTCGAGGCCGCTCGTGCTCTCCAAGCTAAACTCGAAGCCGCGAAGTTGAACATCGTCGAAGACCAGTCTCGCTTCGACGTGTTGCAGAGTGCGCTCGCGAAGGATCCCGGACTGGTGTCTGAAGGCGTGGCGGGTACGACCGACCCCGCCATAGTCGCGGCCGAGGTCGCCTCTCAGATCGTGCGTTCGCTTCCTCTCTTTCTCCCTCTCCGTCCTCACTCGAGACTGGTGGGGGTACAGGCCTTCCTCCGTAACCTCAAGTTCCAGTACTTGGAGCAGAAGGCGAAGGACCAGTATGTGAAGACGATCGTCAGCGACGAGGCCCCCAACACCAGTGCGGACGACAACGAGCTGCTGAGGATAGACAACGAGAAGAAGAAGGAAGCCCTCGCCGCGGCGAAGGCGGCCCTCGGGGAGAAGTATAGCGATATCCGCACCCTCGCGCCACTCGTCGAGCAAGGTGTGTCCCTCCCCCTTCCCCGCTCTTCGCCGCTCACCCTGTCCACCCTCTCGCTCGACCCGCGCACGCAGACTTGAACAAGGCGCGCGCGCTCGCGCAGGAGGCCACCGCGCTGACGAGCAAGATCCTCGACGCGCGGCTCGCACTCACCCGCCTGCGGCAGGCGCATCCGCACCCGCGGCTGACGATCCCGGCCGCGAACGCGCAGCTCGACGCGCAGGTGGAGGAGATGCAGGCGCTCGACGACGAGCTCCAGCGGGTGAACGGCGAGGTCGACGCCGTGAAGGAGCGCGTCAAGCACGGCGCACGCGATGTCGAGCGGCTCCGCGTCGAGCGTGCCGAGCTCGAGAAGACGGTCAGCGCGGGCCAGAGGGAGGTCCAGGACGGGCGGGTGGTCGGGTTGTATGATTGGTGCGTGTGTGTTTCCGAGTGTTGGCGTCGTCCTCCAGTTGGAGTTGGGTCGCACGAAGGGAGAAGTGCTGACGCCACGGTTGCGGACAGGTATACGGCTGCTTTGAGGCTCCATCGGTCGTTGATGTCGCTCGAGGAGACGCATGCGGAGTCGGAAAACGAGCTGCACCTCACGTACGGCGTCGTCCCTCAAGAGGGAGGAGAGCGGCGGCGGATTGCCGTTAAGCTGCTCTTCGTGCCCAACACTCGCCAACTGGCGGACGCGCAGGTCGAAGGATTGTCGGAAGACGCGGGAGACGTAGTTGGCGCACACATACAGGCCAACGATGTCCCTGGGCTCATCGCGGCTTTGCTTGCAAGGGCTCGTGCAGGTGCTTGAGACCACGGTCCCGCCTCCCTTCCAATGGTACCCTCCCATTCCTTGCGCACCTGTGTTTTCCTTCGTCTCTACATTCACCTCTGTCATCGCCTCCACTTTCGCCACTTCCTCTGCCCTCCCTTAGCGTCTTACATAAGGTTCACCACGATGCGACACCATCTCTCTTTCCCATTGTCGCAAGCATGAAGCAATCTGGCAAGTAAACTCGTCAACCATCCTCCTCACATACAGCTGATGCCGTTTTTCAGTGACTCCATCCTCGAAACCGAGATTCTCAAATGCCTTGCACAAGTGTACTCAAGAATCACTGCCACCCAATCTGATCGCCCTCGACGGGGTTTCTAACACGGCCTCACTCTTGGCCAATTCGAGCGACGCTCCACAAGGAGTAATGAAGGATATCGGAGACTCCAACTCTCTTGCACGTACAAGGACACTTGCGCAACGGCACGTTCCGATTCCACCTGCCGTACGCCGCGACTTCACCGCCTCCACTCTTGGCCTACCTGTGCGGAGGAAGTAGGGCGTGGCTCGAAAAGCGAGGGCCACAGAACGATGGCGGCGCGAATGAGGACGGACGGGTGGCCTCTTTTAGAACCGGGGCACTCAAGGTCCTTCGACACTGCTCTCTGCTACTAGCCAACAATCTCGTCACAAGTAAGATTGTTTCAGCCCTAGTATGTACATCTGTTCAGTGGCCTCCCAATGTTGTTAACTTTCCATCTCTCAGTGGTTCATGAACTTTCCCTCAGCCCGGAGTCCCCTTCATGTCTTACCAGGATAGAGAATCCCCGGAAATCTACACTCACTCGTCTCTTCCCCCCTCTCCCCTCCCCTCCCCTCGCACTCTGACGTCGAGGAGGCCGTCGATTGCAGATCTCGTCTCACCAACCTCTGCCCTGATGCATTTGACGATTTCTGCGGCTTTCCCAGCAACCCTCCCTGCGTATTCAAACCGGTCCCTTATTGGAGCACGAGCTCGGGCTTCAGTTCGCACATCGCGTGCGAGTTTACGACCATCCCACGGCCGACCAATGGGAAGTTCTCGGTGCAATCATCAGCGAGCTTCGCAACTCTCGGAGCATGAATTGGGCCCCTGTCGACCTTGTGGCCTTCGCAAACTGAGACGAGGTTACACTGCCTCGCCCATTCCTCATATGGATTGGATTATTTCCCGTGTCCCTCCCCTACTCCACTGCCGTGGCTGCCACCGAGGTCATCAAGGTGCTTTTCGACGAAGCCGGGTTTCCGGAGATCAAGGTCGCGTTTTGCGAACCCGTCGCCACCTGCACTGCCTCAGCAACCGCAAGTCGCCCCCAAACGACCCCCCTTGGTGCCAGACCGAATTTTCCAAGCCGTTCACCTCTGTACCCGGTCTCAAGATCTCACTATCGCGGTCCGGACGAGGTCGCACGTCGGAGAAACAGTCGCAAGCAGGCTTTACTTCCGAGACAAGCTGCGCAGGCCCCAACGCACGTCGGGTGAGGTCGGCATACTCATCATGTACAGCCTGGGCTGGTCATGACGTTGCTTCTGTCGCCATTGATACCGCTGTAACCTGTATTGATAGCTGTCATGAATGTTTATCGGATGGGATGGACATGGGGGACAATCGAGATGCATTGGTGAAAGTTGTGCTACTACAAGTACAGTACAAGGACATGAGCCAATGCAGAGCGAGAGCGGGAAACAGTATCGAATGACGGAGGAGAAATGTAGGGCAAAAAAACATGACAAGCTTCATACGAGCTAAAGCTAGCATTTCTCAACGTTGCCCATCCAGCTGCTGATTAGACAGTGGATGCCGTGGATTTTGGCGCTTCACCAGAACCGGTGCAGGGTGGATGCGTAGAACACTGCCCGGGCAGAAAGAGGCCATGCGGAGGGGGAAAGAGTGCAAGGAGAACGCGTGAATAAAAGCGAAACGCACGACCTGGCCATAACCATCGACGACAACTCGTCAGTCCTCCTGGCTGACCATACAACGTCAATATGCAATGAGTGGCATTGTATCAGATCAGATCAGTCGAGACGTAGAGAGCATATGGGAAAGTAATGAGGACTGGATTCGGGAAAGAGTGGGAAGTGAGAGAGAGGCAGAGGCGGCACACCGTTTTGAATTTTCTCTGAGCCAAGGAGCAAATAGCCGCAAACATCATAGAAGCGCCGGTTCGCATCACACCGATGAAGCGCTCAGGTTATACGAGTCCTTCGCTGACTCGACTCCCGGCTGGATCTATCAACGAACAACGCACCTCCCAAAGAAGCCTCGGGGAAGGCTGATAATACACCGAAACTTGCCCGCAACTGTCTTCCTCTCAACCAACTGGCTCAAAAACTGAATGAACAGGTGTGTAGTATCTTGAAAAGACATATACAGCCATCCTCTTTTGAACCCAAAGCTCATATGTGTGCTGTAGATACAATTCGTGGTGCTATTGCCATGCGGCTGCCGATGGTAAAGGGCCTTATTGCCTCCAAGCTACTCCTCTCGTAGTGTCGGCCTCACCGGAGCGCGTGCGGTACCTCCAAGGTGAGCTGACTTCGTTATCGACGTGCGCCCCTCGCGCTGACCACCTGCTAAGTAGGATCGATGGCGGTTCCGAGCAGGTCGGCTCCTAACACGTCGCTCTCCGCTCCCAGCACCGAGGCTCCGGCGTCGCTCGCGCTTCGCTATCTTCACCACCAGATGGGCAGGCGAGAGACACCGTGCAGCGGCTTCGCGCCGCACCGCACGGGGTGCCCGAGACGTCGGTCCGCAGTTGTGAGCGCATGCCCCCACGACCACACTACAATTGTGGGGCCCGTCACTACACCGGGCAGGAGTAGCTTCGGATGGGTCGCCCGACACACCCGCGTCTCACGGGAACGGGACGATGATGGCTCGTGCGGTCTGAGACTCAGAGTACGTGCAGATGATCCTTCGATGGCGTCGGCGGCGGCGGCGGGGCCGTAATCCGTACGATGTACGCAGCTCGTTCCGTCTTGAGGCCGAGGAGGAGGAGCGTATGCATTGTACGTACCCCGGACCACCCCCTGAAGTCGTTGTCAGCGGCTCTCTGCAGCTGCGCGAACGCACTTTCAGCCCGCGCTGCGGCGCGGGCGACGAACCCCCGTCAGCAAGGAGTGTTTTGATGCGTTGTTGTTTCGCTCTTTTTGCCAATGTCGACGCTGATTCTCAAACAGTAGTAGACCCCGGAAGACAAACCCCTTCGCATTGTAATTCGCTCTACCCCTCCTTGAATGCAGTGGGCTTACATAGAATGCGCAGGCGGTATGCGACCGATAATTCAAAGGGCAAACATATGTATAAGCTCGCGCCAGGCGGTGTGCACGTTCTCGAAAGTTGCCGCTCCGCCAAGTCACATCGGAAAGGTTTGGAACCGGGCAAGTCGTGCGCGCCGCCTCCAGGTTTGGAGCCGTCTTTCTTTCCTCTCGATCGTTGCTATCGCTCTCTCTCTCCTCCCCATATCTACGCACACAGGAACGGCGATCGTCAGGCGGCGCGCACGACCCGATGAATGCCGCTCTGTGAAACCTGCGGAATGTTTTCGAGCTCCGGGACACTTATAGTAAGCGCCGTCCCGGTTCCGCCCGTCCTTGCTTTCTCCTCCTACCCATCATCGCTCGTCGTTCACGCCTGGTGCGGCGGGGAAGCATGCGCCATCTCCGTACACATGTAGCTATTTCGATTAATAGCGTTCTGAGGTCAAAGTACAGATGCTTGCTGTGGTCCACTCATGGTCCACTTCCAAGTGTGAAAACTCGGTCTATTTTTAGTGTCACACCCTAGCTCGCCCGTCGTCTCAAGTTGGCGTTTCACTTCCCGAGCTGGAGTATCAGATGTAAGCCTCGATTAAGCTATCAAATTACTTACCGACTACTGTGTGGCCCACGGGTTGTGCTTGTTTGAAACTCCGTCGGCGCCCACCCGCTGAAGTTTCTTGCACAACGGCTTGTGGTCCTTCCAATCCTGATAGGTCCTCCAGTGAGTATATAGTGATGTTAATCTCCAGTATGACCACTGACCTGCTGCTGATGGGCAGCGGAGCAGTACTTGACCAGCTTGCAGCTGCTGCACCGACTTTGTGCGGGTTTCGCGCACACGGCGCACGCATCCGGATCAGGTTCGGGCATGCTGCCGCTGAGAGGGTCTGCATTCATATCCATCGGAGACCAGATAGGCGACATCCCAGGCAATCGAGCTCCAGAGAACGACTTCCCGTCCGCGCGACGGACCACGTCCGAAGCGACCGCCATCGGGGGATCGTCAGTTCCCCCAGAGGCTTGGTCTTTGCTGTTCGGATGCTCGTTTCCGGGGAAGGTGACATTCAACCTGACGTTCCCGGGGCCGGAGTGTACGGAGGGGATGAACGCGTGAGGGATGCCAAGCATGGCGAGCACGGCCTTGGTCGTGTCGTTCTCGAAGTTGATGTCGCCCGTGAAGCCGAAGAAGCCTTTTCCGACCGGTGCCCACGCGACCGGACACTCGTCCCGCGGCACGGGGCAGAAGTCGGGAGGGAAGACCTTGGACTCGACGACGGACTTGGGCCCGGGCGCGTAGAGGGCATGCGCGGGAGCCACGCCCTGCAGCTTGTGAGCCTTGGCGCTGTACGCGGGCGCAAGACCGTCGCGCTTGAACGCGCCGGTGAACGTATCCTGGCGGACGTATGTGGTGCGGAAGTACGAGCCGAGCCGCCATGGGAGGCCCCAGAAGGAGATGAGCGCCGCAAACTCCTCATGCAGGATGTGATTGTTGAGGTCCCAGCCGAGGATGACGGTGCCTCCTTCGCGGGTGTAGTGGGCGAGGGTCTGGGCGAGAGGGAAGTCGCGCGCTATTTCTCCGTCTTGGACGAGCACGGCGCGAGGGGACCTAGAAATGAGGCTGAGTAGGCGAGCCGAGTCCCCGCAAACGATCGTTGGCTGCTGAGCACGGGTGAATGCGTCGATAAGGTGTTGCGGATGCTCCTGCATGTAATAGAGACCCTTCTTGTCAAGGGTCAGCAAGATGATGGGCTGAACGAAAGTTATCATAGTCATCAGCACAAGCTATATGCACAACTTCGCATACATAACAGGACACGCACGGGAGAGAGTGACATCAGTAAATTTTCTTGTGTACCTTGTGTACTCAGGACTGACAGCGGACGAAGATGGTGGGAGGTCCAAGCATAGGAGCCTTTTAGCAGTTCCGGCTCGCCACGTGATCCGATCGATGTACGGCTCAACAGGAGACCTAGACCGCATGTTCTACTGCCGTATACTCGACATTTTCCTCATTAAACGAGATCCAGCATGTCCTTCTAGCACCACATCTCCCAATCCGCACGCTCTGTTACGTCCTATAGAACCCGTTAGGACCGGCCTTCTTGAGCCAAGGGCACAATATTTTGTGGACCTTCCAGTCCTGTCGTGCATGCGATGAGCACTCATGAGTTCCCTCATGGAGGGACCGCGTTGGTAGAAACAGACCTGTTTTTGGTGCGCAGCAGTGCAGTAGCGAGCGATTTTGCAGCTGGGGCACCGATTCGCCGCGGGCTTTGCGCACACTTGACAGGCATTCCTGTCCGCCTCCGGCATGCCTCTCTCCTTGACCTCCCTCGTCGGCGCCCAGACTGGAGGCCGCCCCGGCGCCTTCGTCCCCGAGTAGTTCTCCCCCTCCGCAGGTCGCACCGCATCCGGGTAGATCGCCAACGCCGGGTTCTCGTCCCCATTCGAGACCTGATGAGGCGCTTCGCTTCCGCCTCGGAAGGACACCGCGATCTGACCTGGCTGGCTGAGCTTGGACGGGATGAACTCATGTGGGATGCCGAGCACGGCCAGGACAGCCTTTGTCGTGTCGTTCTCGTCGTTGACGTCGCCCGCGAACCCAAAAAAGCCTTGTCCAACGGGCGCGAGCGCGAACGCAACGTCGTCTGTCCGCACGGGGCAGAAATCGGGTGGGAAGACCTTGGATTCTACGACAGAGCCTGGCCCGGGCGTATAGAGGGCATGCGCGGGGTCGACGCCGAGCAGTTTCTGGGCCTTGGCGCTGTATGTCGACGCGAGGCTGTTGGTGTCGATTCCGCCGGTGAACGAGGTTTGGAGGTGGTAGGTGGTGCGGAAGTATGAGCCAAGGCGCCAGGAGAGCCCCCACAGCTCGGAGAGCTCTAGCATCGGGTCGTCGAGAATCCGATTGTTGAAGTCCCAGCCGACGATGACTGTGCCTCCCTCTCGAGTATATTTCGCGAGGGCGTTGGCCACAGGTAGATATTCGGGGATGAGCGCGATCCCGGCGTCCTGTACGAGCACTGCACGTGGTGACTTGGAAAGTAGGTGGAGGAGACGATCCGGACTTCCGCAGGCAATTACAGGCTGTTGTACACGGCTGAAAGCGTCGATGAGGTGCTTTGGCCTCTCTTCCATGTACCACTTCCCCTCTCTCATGAGGGTGAGAAGAATGATTGTCTGGGTGCAGAAGCGTAATGATCAGCATATTGTAAATGTGCGGAGACGCCCACGGTACAAACGGGCTTGAGGGCCATTTTGACGTCAATCACAAGCGGCTGGAGTGCGATGTGGTGGATGTAGTGAGCAAGGTAGTGCGAGATCAAGATCTAGTAACGACGGCGGGTTGAACCCAATTCAGATGGAAACGCGAGCACGTGACATTCGCGTCATAGCGCGACAGGCCGGCGCCTATGGGCATGGTTCGGATTCGAGGCCTGGAAGTTGGAGTTTCTCTCCTTTGCGACCCCTTCCTCCTCCCCCTCCTCCCCTGCGACCCCGTCACGCCAAGCCCTCCTCTTCTTCGTCAACACATCAAGACCATGGGCTTCATCAAGCGTTTTTTCTCCCTCGGCAGCTCCAAGTCCCGCAAGAACAAGAAGAAGCAGGCCGATGCGCGGGCCCCGGTCGATGCCGAGGGCCGCATTCTCTCTCAGACGCAGCCGCGGCGAGGGGGCAAGGACAACCTACCCGCAGATACACTGAGCGGGAACAAACTCCTCCGCTCGACGTCGACCAAGTTCTCGGTCATGTCTGAGATCGACTACACCTCGCTACCGCCGCTCCGTGAGTGATCCTCTGCTTCATGCATGAGCGGAGAAGAACGAAACTTTCTAAGAACCGCACCACCAGCCCGTTCCATGCAAGATCTTCTTGCTGCTGCGCCCTCCACTCCCTCGCTTTCCCCGTCGCCGTCGATGATTACCGTCGCGACGACGCCAGGCGGGCTCAAGCGCAGCGGGACATACGTCGTGAAGGTGCATGAGCGCACGACCCACTCGCGCACTGACTTCCCGCAGACAAGCCAGCCTGAGTCACCCACCAAATCCCGTTCGCGCCGCAAGCAGCCCAAGACGCCCGAGCGCCGTCGTCGCGACACCCTGGTCCTCACCGACGACGAGGACGCGGCGGCAGAAACGCCTGCTCCACGGATGAAGGAGGTCAACTTCACGCCCAAGGACAGCTCACGCCTATACAACCTCCGTCGGGACCCTTCCGTCGTCAGCCTGCTGAACCTTTTCGACGATCACGGCCGCTTGGACTCAAAGGTGTTCGAAAACTCATCGCCTGCGATCTCGGCCAGCGCTGCTCCGGAGGGGAAGATGCCGCGGCAGCGCACGGGCTCGACATTTAGGGAGCTCCTTGGTGCACCCGCGCCGGCCTTCTTTGAGAACAGTAACGAGGGAGACATTTCATGGGCTGAACGACTGCTTGAGTGCGTGCCGCCCCTCCTTTTCGAGACACGTTACTGAATGAGATTGCTCTAGCGAACGGCTCCATGACGACTCGCCCCCCTATTCCCCTTCTACTCCCGAACTCGAAACTCCTAAAGACGATTTCTTTCTCGACACTCTTTCTACACCACACATCGTCGCCGCTGCCGACACTACCCTCTCCTCCTTCGACCCGGACTCGAGCGCAAACTACCCTACCATATCATCTATGGTGGTCGAAGTAAGCAGCTCCGACGAAACCCACTCGCCCATCGTTCGTGACGAGCCTGTGGTCATCGCGAAGCCTCATCTGCCCGATCCTAAGACACCTCAGCGCGCCTCCGAGGTCTTCGGCTTCCTCAGCCGCCGCAACACCCTCACCATGAATGCCACAACCACCACAACCAACCACACCGACAAAGAGCGAAACCTCCCTTCCCTTCCGCTAAACGCTATGCCGAAGACCCGTAACGTAGGCCCCGATGCCATCAACGATGACTTGACCGAAGAACTCGAAACCCACGCCGTGCACGAAACTCTCAACGCGCACGCTCGCACGTCTCCCGGTGAGACCTCCGACGCGACACACTCGGCGAACACTAGCCACTCCTCGACCCAGCTCGCCTCCTCCAGCGACACCCACGCCCAGATCCAGACTGCGACGATGACGAAGCTCAACAGTGCCTTCGCCGCGTCGACCACCTCCCTCAACCTCCTCGCCGCCGCCCCCACAAGCCGTAGCACGAGCCCGTACCCGGCGGCAGCTCCGTCGTCTGAAAGCGATGACGACGTCGTCCGCCACCACAAGACTGGCTCATCTGTCTCTTCGAGCGAGAGCACGAAGCTCCCGCCCAGCAAGATCCCGCGCGGCCCGCGCCCGCGGCCCCATCCCACCTCCTCCACCGTCCCCCCGAGCGGCGGCATCAACTCCGAAAACGACCGCAACGACGCAGGCCCCAGCCGCCAGCGCGTCCCCGTACCCCAGCCGGAACCCGAGCCGTCCACGAAAGCCTCCAAACGGCAGCACCGCCGGACCGGGTCGCGCGCGTCCACGCACACCGCGGACCTCCTAAGGTCGAGCCCTACCGCCAACGTGCCGCGCACGCATTCCCAGCTCCAGCCCCAGTCCCAGTCCCAACCCCAGTCTCAGTCCCAATACAAGCCCCAGTCCAAGCCGCAAACCCACGCACGCTCCAGTTCCCGCGTAGCCCGCAAACCCGTCCCGTCTCTCGCTCCCGCAGAAGGCAAGGAGAACAGCCCGAGCCCGCCGCGCGCCACCCATGCCCCACGTGCGGCAAAAGGGCAGGACGGACTACCGCTGATGTTCGCCCGGTACGCGGTCGGGCTGACGACGCCGGTGAAGCAGTTGCGCGACGCCGCCGCCGAGGTAGTGCCCTCACCGGCGTCGAGCTCGGAGCTGTCGCCCGTTGCGCGCGACATGATGTACGACCTGCGGCAGCAGCGGATGCGCGCGCGCCAGGCGCAGGGCGAGCAGCGGCGCGGGATGTGGACGCGCGAGTAGTGTGTTGATGCTCTTCAGACTGAGACCTGGCTGTCGCTCTGATTTACGCTCACTGCGGTGGAGACGGACACCTTATTTTCAGTATGGCTCTCGTATGTTATCCCACGTTATGCAGCGCTTCGATTGTTTATGCAGCTTTGGGTGTGTAGGTATGCCTGCGCATACCTACACAGATTGCTTTCGTCATCAACTGTGCGCAAGCTTGTGGCAAGTTCACGGCCTGGCTTCGATATTCTGATGCTAGTAGGAAAACAGGAAACCACATAACAATCATAACATCATTCGAGAGTCGTCGTTAGGAGGTCGTGTACTTTTGAGCAGAGATTATTGAAACAGGGAAGTCTAGATATGAGGCTAAGTACTATAGGCTACGGGTGGGTAACACGGCGGAGGGGTATGCCACATTAAACTACCTGGTCGCCCCTCTCCGCCTTCGGCTCCGGTGCGTGAACGGAGGAGCCCTTGAGGTCGATGGCCTCGACAGCGTTCTGGACGTCGCCGAGGTACCAGCTCGGCATGCCGAACGAGAGCAGGAACGACACGCCCGCGGTGACGGTGCCGGCGATGAGCATCAGCTTCATCACGTCGCCGTATGCTATATACTTGACGTGAGCACGGCGTGTCGTGCAAGGGAGAGGAGAGGGACGCACCGGCGATGGCGCCGTCGCGCACGGGGGAGCCGAAGTCATACGTGGCGACGAGGGTGATAGAACTGAATAGTTTTGCAATCTCGTCTGGCGGGAGGCTCGGAATGTGCTCTGCCAGCTTCACTGGCATCGTGTTCGTCCAGATCGCGCCGGCTGGATGGGAGACCGGTCAGCGTTGCTGGTCGGTGGATACGAGAGAAGAAGAGGATAGGCTCACCGACTGCGCTACCGACTGCACCACCGATCTCGGTCCAGAGGAGGACCATGGCGGTTGTGATCGCCATGTCCGCGTGGGGCACCGAGGCTTGGGAAGAAACAGTGATACAGACCGACGCAAAGCCGCCGCCGAGACTCTGGATGATCTGTGTGAAGATGATCTCGACGTCAGAAGCATTTGCTCCACGAGAGTGGATCATGAGGCCGACACCGCTGTGTACGAGAGGTGTGGGTTAGCGACCTGGGGGACCAACGTAGGTTTGTGGAGAATCCGGGCTTACAAGAGGCGAATGGCGAGGCCGGCGATGAGAAGCAACTTGTAACGGTGGGTGAAGCGCATGATAACCCCTGCCATGATGGCAAAGACAGTGAGGCCAACAGACTGCGTCTGGTTGAAGTAGTTGATGTCCGTCAGCGACCTATGATAGGATGGAGTCAGTACCGCAAGCGAAATAAACATCGGGTCACATACCATGGCTTCGTGATGTAGATGAACGAGTAGAGGTATGTCGCCGCGAGGTAGTAGGAGAACTGCCGACAGAAGGATGTGAGCTCGACACACAGGCGCAAGCACGATCAGGAGTGACGCACGAAGTCAAAAAATCCAATCCACGCCGCCAGAACCACCGTACGGTTCTTGAGCAAACGGTGGGTGATCACAGGATGTTTGGCGAACTTCAACTCCCAAACAGCGATCAGAGGAATGAGGATCACGCCGACGACAAGCATCGCAATCATCGAAGCTAGTTGGGGAACCCCCTCCTTTAGCATTGCAAGGACAAACTCCCAAATTGCGCACTCACGGTTCTTCCATCCGCCCTTCGCCCCTTCGGCAAGGGTGAGGGGAAGCAGAATCAAAGCCACACTCGTGCCGATGAGGAGCAGACCAAAGAGGTCAAGCTGCTCAACGAAGTTATGTGCTTTGTGGGCGACAACGACGGCGAGGCTTGAACCAGCATAGGAGTCCTTCGCAAGGGCAGGGACAAGTCCAAGCTTCTTCGCCTTCCTTTCGGCCCATGCCAAGGTAACGATGAGCGGCGCAAGAGCAGCTGGGACGAGCACGGCGAACATGCCGTCTGCGGAACAGCGAAAGTCAGTACCCCGCACACCCGGGGCGAGAAGACTGTAGACCCACATCCCCAACGCCATCCTGAGCGGAGGTAAACCTGCGAAGCGACATTGCTGCCAATGAAGGCGTTGATGATGAACGGTGCCGAGGTCAAACCGTTCACGAGACCACGCCATTTAAGCGTGGTGATATCAGCAACGATGACAGAGGTCAGGAGTTGCAAGCCGCTGTAACAGCACGTCAACAACGTGAGGGGTCCTCAGAGAGCCTGCACGCACGTATAACCACTGCATATGCGGAGTCAGAACGCTCAGAACCAGTCGGCATGAGTGCAGAGACGTACAGAGCATAGAGGATAATGCCGGCTGCCAGCGCGCCGAAGGTCTTAGCCGACGCAATGATGATGTAACCTGATGAGTAGAGGAGTGAGATGCGTAGAGTATGAAAAGGATAACACACGTACCGAGGACATAGGACGTCACTGCGTCGTGTACCAGATTAGATATGCGACGCAAGAGGTGAAAGTTCAATTTAAAAAAACTCACAGACAACCATGTACGCCTGTGAACGAGACCGGACATCGGCGAACTTGGCAATGACAGGCTTCCCAACAGCAACTGAGGACGGGTCAGATCGCGCGAGAGAAGCCAACAGAGTGTATGCGCACTAATGGTTGACTGCGCTACCTGGATGGTTGAAATGAGGGAGTGCTTGTCCAAATCTGACGCGGCAAACGCAAGATAGTTGTATGTTGTTTGGCCGTCAAGCGAGTAAATGTACGACGCGAGTCCAAGTCTTGGCGCGGCAACAACGCGTCTGGTGAGCGGTGAAAGGAAGCGCTTGCAGGGGGAAGAACACACCCGATGAAGAGGAACCACTTAGAGTACTTGCCGTACACTTGCTCCGCCGCCTCGACCCGCTTTACACCAATGTGTGCGTCCAATCCCTCTTGGAGCTCTCCCGCGGTCCTAGGATCGAGCTTGGGGGCCGCGTCCTCCGAGACGTTGTCGCCATTGGAGTGGGCGCGTTTCTCGTCGAAGCTGGGCATCGGGACCGTGCCAGGGGCGAAAGAGAGCCGCGGCCTGATGAGAGGGAGGAGCAACGGGGGCGACGGGGACGCATGCCATGGTGGCCGAGTTGATATACCCCTTCTCCGTCGCAGAGTCGCAGAGAGAGCGGGTCTAGTGTCAAGGAGAAGACATCTTATCTGATAGGCGAACAGTGTTATCTGATAATCATGACCTGGCCTGGCCCCTGTTCCTTGGCGCTCTCAGGCATCTGCGCACCCCGTGTCCCAGCAGGTCCCAGCGCGAGAACCGCCTGCGACTCAAAGGGTACCCAGGTACCTGCCTGCGCAGAAATTTGCAATTTGCATCTGACCGTGCTTGGCAGTCAACCAGTCAATCCTTACCCGGCTGTCGGTAACTGGTCGGCCTCTTCCTTTTGGCGGCACATGAACTGGACCACACATGTCATCCATAGTTGAAACTCATCGTTGTATTGCTTACTCCCCGAAATTCCCATCGATCGACAGAAACAGCACGGGTGACTTTAGTCCACGCGTGAAGCTCTTCCGACCTCTAAACTTCTAGTATGCAACAGCCTTCTCTTCCTGCAACGGACACCCGACAAACGAAGGATCTGCTCGAGTATCTCAGCTGGGTTCATGGAGGTCGTTCTGCCGATGTCTTCGTATCGAAAGTCTCCAGAAAGAGGAGGCCCCCGCAATCAGTAGTTATGGTTTGGTGCTGAAAGCAGACACGTTACATACAGGATACTCGTACAGACAACCCATTCCAAAGAGCATCTCGAAGTGAGCGAGACGTTGTCACCAGAACCCCCAATCGTCCTCGTATCCGTCCAGGTCATCCAGGTCGTTCTCTGGCAGTTCGTCATCCAACATGTGCGGAATCCATGGGAAGATGTCCATCATCTCACCATCGTCGAATGAGGAATCGTCGTCGTCGTCGAGGTCGATGACGTCCAAGACCTCGTCCGAGTAGCATGCCGCCTGTTCGTGTTCATCCCACACCACGTCCGGTACGATCTCCTCAACCATCCCGACCACCTCCTCCGTGACGTTGACGCAATTTGTGAGCCGGAGCCGCTGCAGCGGGATCCCATTCTCGCAGCGGAGCATGAGCCAGTCGAGCATCGACTCGAGGAAGTCCACCGTGCCCTCACTGTATTCGTGGTCGTGCAACCGGCACGGGAAGCGCATCTGCACCATCGAGATCTCCGCGAGGTGCGGCACCGCCGGCGTCCAGTCCCCCTCCTCAAGCTCCTCCCCACCGCCCACCCCCTCTTCACCCCCTCTGGCGAGTGTGAGCGCGTCGAAGAACTGCTTGCCCGGGTGCCCGGTGAGCGCGAGCGAGCGCAGCGCGGGCGCGCGCTCGAACAGCGTCCGCCACTCCCAGCTGCCGTACGTCCACAGCGCCTCGACGTGCTCCACCGCGCGCAGGAACGGCGCGTGCCCAGTGAGCGCCCCGAGCGCGCGCGAGTGCCCGTACGCGTCCACGCAGAGCTCCGCGTCCCATTGTTCCGTGTCGGCGTCGGCTCCAATCGAGCGTCCGAACGCCCACTCGCCGAATAGTGGGTCCGCGTGGTACTTGAGGTCCTCGAGGCGTACGCAGGGATGCCCCGCCGGCGCGGCAGCACGCGAGCCTTTGACGAGGAGCTGCCGGGAATAGATCGGGGCGAAGACGACGCGGCGGAGCGGAGCGCCACGTGCGACTTGGTTGCCGAAGATGCGCGCGAGGTCCTCGGTGCCGCGCTCGCCGCGGGCGGTGACGGAAAGGCGGGCGTCGGAGGGGAAAGTAAGATGTTGGAGGAGGTTGGCGCAGTCGAGAGCATCGGCATTCAGTGTAAGGGACTGGAGACAGGGAAGATCGACTGGGGACCGCCACGTATCAGGGACGGAGAGCTCTTCGTCAGGAAGACGAGGAATGGATTTGTTGAGTTCAAGGGATCGGAGACATGTGAGGGTTTCGAGGGTCTGGAGGAGTTGGGAGAAAGAGCCGAGACAGAAGGAGCTGTCGGATCGGCTGATGACCGTGAGATTGGTGAGGGTAGGGCAGAAGAGTGGGTTGGTCCACGCGATAGACAGCCACTTGATCTTGAGCCTCCGAAGATGTGGCGTCTCGCTGGAAAAGAGAGTTGGGAGGACTCCTCCGTCCGAGAGTGGAAAGTGACCGAATTCCGCGGAGCAAGAATCTGATAGTGACAATGACTCCAGGAGATCTGCGGGCTCAGACCATTTCGTCGCCATGATTTGCAGAGAGCGTGCCGGCCCTAGGAGTTGGATCTCCTTCAATCGACTTGACTCAACCATGATCTTCTCCAAAAATCCAAGGCGACTGTCGCGCGGGGCAATAGCGGCCGAGACCCACAGCGGGGCTTTCTTTGAGCGCGAGAACATTGTTTCTATGATCTCGGTCTTGCGAGTGAAGACGATTCGGCTCCAAAGGCGTGGTGTGTTCAGTGCGACATTACGCCAGACTCGACACACGTGTCCGAGAGTGATCCACTTGTACACCGGGCTGGTCGAGTTTGTCTTTCTTTCGTTGTAGCAGTCGGCGGCGATATGCGTGAATATTTCCGACAAAAGCTCGGGAGGGAGCTTGACTGCTGGAGATAGAGCGTTGTAGCGCGTTTGGAGCGTGGATATGGCGCTTGCATGGATGTGGATTTCTGCTTCGATCGTTTTGCGTGCCACAGCGGCCGCGTCCAGCTCGTAGTCGGGTTTGGCCATGAAGTATTAGCCACCTATATAGTAACGATGCATCAGCACGACGTCCAGAAGTCCCGGAAGGACTAAGCCACAGCTGCACATGAGTCAACGATGGCAGGCACTGCACGGACTACCGCAGCAAGACGTTTCACTGGCCGTCCATACATTGCCAGCACCTATGTGCAGCAGCATCTTATCGTGTTATGGACTTACTTCACTGCTGTAGACTGCCGCTCTGTGATATGAGAAAGTACAGCACTGGACAATAGGAGCTGTTGACGATTGGCGGGATAAGTCTCTTGCGCCAGCGCCACGCTATCACGAGGAAGCAGCACCTAGATACTGTCAGCAACCAGGTCACTGCGGCGTGCGGCGAAACGCTTGCGCGTACCTGTGAGGTTTGAAATTTGGAGCCTGTAGGGACCACTAGCTGGTGGAGGTGAAGAAGAACGTTTGGGCGTTTAGCAAGCCGCAACAGTGGCACGGTTGCCGTCGCGGCAGGACACAGACGCCGATCGGCCCGACGTTGCACGGAATCAGAAGTCATCGAACATCGATGGTAGAATCCCTCCAGAGCGACTTCGAGAAGTTCCTCCCACAAGTTCACTCAAAATATTGCGGGGCACGCGTTACGCCACATGGGTGGGCTCCATTTTGTGGCAATGCTGGCGGCTTTACCTGCTGAATCCTAAACACAATATCACTGCGCAAGAACGCGGCGGCCCGCGGACCCCTATTTGTACAGTCAGGAGAAGCGGAATTGTCACTACAGCGGTGCCACCAACATTGTGATGAAGAAACAGAATCGAAGTGAGGCAGTACATAGTGAAAGTACGGATGCTGTTAGAACTTGTCGTCAAATTGGGCGGGAATATAGAACGTAAGTACGCCTCCAGCATCGGCAATACTCCCAATGTAGACATAGAGTATCATGCAATGTCCGGAGCATATACCTGGTTCAGAAAAGTAGGTTAGCTGAAAGGGCTTATGATGTTAGAGCGGGGAGAAACATGTCGATACTGACAGGCAATAGTAGTCGTCGAGACTACATGACTGTTCAGGAACCTTGAAAGTGCCTTGTGAGATACGAGGACACCATGCAGTTGCTTCGGGTCCTTCTCTTCTTCACTCTGAGCCTGTGAAGCCTGCGATCCCTGTCCTTGCCCCGCAGGATCTCGTGCTATGACAAATCATATGAGACACAGTTCGAACATGCATTGCATGGCCTTACTCATGGGAGGGTTAGACAAGCCGGTCCATGCAATCTCGACGCGAGCATTATCTGTGCTGACGGAGAGTTGAAGGTCGCCGGAATGATTGGCACGAAATGAGATGCCGTCGTTAGCGAGAGGCTTTAGACGGTCAATGACTGCGCGTAGCTTTGCTAGAGGTGGCAGAAGTATGTGTACCTATAAGCTTCGTCAGACCAACAGAGCTACGGGTGGTAAAGATATCCTGACATCGGGCTCAGGGCACATCGGCTCCCGAAGACGTTCTATTTCGGCGTGTTTCGCCACGTCGATAACGAGCTGTTGCACGATAGTCATGGTTTTGCCCAGAGCGTTCGTGCTTGTGATATCGAGCGCAAGCACAGACTCCCTGTCACGGTTCTTGGCCAATCTGGCGCAGAGTGTTGTCAGTAAAACACCGCGACGAGTTGACACACGCACTTCATCACCACCTTGGTGTCCCTACCCGAGAACAGGTTCTTCGACTCTTGCCCTGGTCCTGCAGCTGAGCGAAGAGCCGCTAGCAGAGCCTCTGAAGACAGGGTGATCACAATCTCATTGCTGGAATTGGACTGGACGCGGTAATCCGTGAACAGTGACGAGGCTTTGATCTGTCTGATGACAGTGAGCGCACACGCATATACACAGTAATGAACATACTGACGACCAGACCTGGATGCCTCCTTCGTTGGCATCACCATTACAGATGACCCGAATTTCCTGTTCACAGAGTTTGATGGTGCATCGTTTCTGCAACTTCTCTACAGACTGGATGATTTCTAGCATGTACGTCAGAAAGGTTCCGAAATCGGGTTGGCGAGACACCTACTGATGAAGGTTTCGATGTTCGTGATATTTGTACGGAATCGCATACCTCGAGATGACGGTACGCGTCCAAGCCGCAGTAGCGCCGGGACGCATCCATGTCTCTGACGGGAGATCTACGACGCGTCGAGTTATGCTCACGTGTTTGATGTCACACCGGCGGCGGACTCGGGAGAACGGCGGCGGAGGCAGAGCAGGGCAGGGTTATTTTTCACTTAATTCTGTTGCATCTGCAGCAAACCCGCAGCTTACACTTGCAGACAAGCTCGCGCTCGAATCTTCGACTGAGGCTATCCTTGTTTGATTTATACCATATCAATTGACAGGAAGCAAATATATATGCGCTCGGCATTATATCTACGACACGGATGTGGGCACCAACGATGCCGACAATGACACGGAGATTCGTCGTCGGAGAACCACGATTTTGCTCGTGGTTGTCGGTTCCTCATGATCACTAGTCTCCATGGAGAACGCTCGGGCCACGGGTATGGAACGTACGTGCCGGGGAACGAGTTCGATGCCGTGTCTGTGGCTTCACCCAAAACCTCTCGAGGTGCCAAGCCTTGCATGTGGTTGGGGTAAACATGGAAAGACGCCCAGAGGTGTAATATCTATGACTGGAACTTGCGCATCGTTTGAATCTCGTCCAGTAGAGGCTGAAGCTTGTCATCGTCGATCTTGACAAGACTAGGAAAACCGGAGAGCAAGGGTGCAAGTATGGTGAGAGGGGTGGTTGGAAGCAAAGGCAGTGGCACGCACCTAGGAACAATACTCTTCGCCTCTTCAGCAGTAACCGGGCACAGGTTTGCGATTTGAGCAATCTCAAACTGAGTCAACGCAGACTCTCTTCGAAGAGTCCTGTCGAAAGGGGAGATGGTCGCATGAAGTGGGGGCGCGATGGGAGAAATGAGACTCACTCTCGAATAGCCGCTGCAGCCTCCGGTTTGTCGAACTTGGCGAACGTCTTCACATAGTCCAGAGTCTTGTTGTACACCCTGAACACAACGAATTAAGTGGTTACTCTACATAAAGTCCATGAGGACGTACGAAGTATCTGGAGCCGCCTTGTCTCCCGGTCTATGTTCAAGCAGGTACCGCACCTCAGAAATGAGCAAACAACCCGCATTGTTGAACTCTACGAAGCGGAAATGATTAGTTTTTCATATAGGAACGCAACAAAGTCGCCAACGCACCTGAACCAAGCCTCAGAGTCGAGGCATCCTCTTCTTCGTACGCGACACGATGTCCTCGGACGGTCATGGTGGCGGAGACGAGACGGTGTTTGCACGTGTTGTACAAGACCTTCTGATTCTAACTGAAAGAGTAGGCGCTCACGACAACTGGCTGCGATTGTGGTCCTGGAACACCGTTGGGTCTGAGCACGTCGGTGAGCGTCGCCGTGGCCCATCGCTATCTGTTCTCGTCGTCGTCGTCGACATTCTGTTCTCTCTTGATCCCACCCTCGGATACAAGAGATCTACTTCCGCTCTCGGACCGCACCACCTCCTTCCGGCCAGGCTGCTACATACTCCTAGCTGACAAATCTGGCTCCAACGGAACGCCCCCGCCGCCATCCCACCCCCGATCCGGCCCCGTTTCCACCCTCCAGCGCCAGTCCGCTCTCTGCTGGCCGCACCGTCCAGTCGACCGCACTCAGCTTCACTGCCGCCGGCCTCCGTTCGAACGCCCTCTCCTCCGTTGCTGCTCTGGACTTTGACGACGACGAAGACTACGAGATGGTGCAGCAGTATGGCGCCGTCCAGGGCCATGCGGACCGTGACGCCGCACACGACACGACCGACGATTCGAGGACGTCTGGAGAGGCGGATGCGCTGCTAGGGGCGAACGCAACAGCGAGACGGCCGAAGAGGGAGGGTCGTGCGACGTTGACCAGCTCAACGAGCAATCTGGCGAACACAATCATTGGAAGTGGTGAGTGTCACATCCCATGCATGTTGGCCCATTGTGCTGAACGCTCCGGGTTTGTAACAGGCATGCTCACGTTCCCTTTGGTAAGTCGTGCTTCGCTGCTTCCCTTCCATCCCATTTCTTCCGTCCAAGCTGTCTCAGCACTGCATTTTCCGTTTCCAAGTCGTATTCAGCCGGATGTCTAACCAAGCTTTCAGGCTATGGCTTCTGCTGGTATCATACCAGGGATCATCACCTGCGTGTTCTCCGGCGGTATGGCGGCCTTTGGCCTTTACCTGCTGTCATTATGTGCTGTCAAAGCTCCACATAGACGAGCCTCGTTCTTTGCCGTCGCCGAATTAACGTTCCCGAAGGCTGCTGTCTTCTTTGATGCTGCGATTGCTATCAAGTGCTTTGGTGTATCCATTAGGTGCGTTGTGCTTTTTTTGCGCATTAACCTTTACCAATGTTGTAAAAGCTATCTTATAATCATCAAGTCTCTGCTGCCTAATGTTGTTCAAGCACTATACCACGATCTTAGCCCTCAAACGACTCCACCTGCATGGATGCTGTCGGGGCAGAACTGGATAACCCTCATCATGATACCGCTAGTCCCTTTGACTTTCCTTCGCAAGCTCGATAGTCTTAGACATACAAGCTACATCGCGCTGTTCTCTGTGGGTAAGTGCATTGGGAATATTCAGAGGACTGCGCCAGGTTCTCATAGTATTTGCAGCGTATCTCGTGGTTATTGTTGTCGTATGCTACTTTTTCCCCGTCGAAGGGATGGAACAACCAGGCGAAATCAACCTCATCAAGTTCACACCTAGCTTCGTTTCCAATTTCCCGGTGCAAGTCTTCGCATACACCTGCGCCCAGAACGTAAGTAATTGGAGTTGTCTCTTCCGCACCATCTGACCAATTCCTCTAGCTCTTCCCGATCTTTAACGAGATCAAGGCAAACACGCAGCCGCGCATGAATATTGTCATCGGAACATCTATTGGCTCAGCGGCGTTGATATACGAGGTCATTGCTGTGTTCGGCTACCTGACATTCGGTTCCAAGGTACGTTTACAACTTGTGTCAGACTTTGTCGTGACTGATTTAGATACGTTGTCAAGGTTGGACCAAATATCATCGCCATGTACCCCTCTACTTCGCTGTTCATTGCGATTGGGCAGTTAGCTATTGCTATCATGGTGATGTTCTCGTATCCACTTCAAGTGCATCCGTGTCGCAACTGCCTGGACAAAGTCTTCAACGCTGGTCAGACGAGCAAGCCAACTGCGGATGACGAAGAATCGGAAGACGAGCATCATACCAGCCATGACATGTCACCTTTAAAGCACGCGCTGCTGACGCTTGCCATCGTGGCAAGCGGTTTCACCATCGCTTACTTCGTAGACGATCTGAAGCTTGGTCGGTGTTACTCACTCTTCTAACGATTGATGGCTAACGTATTGCCTACGTGGCGTTACGTATTGCACAGTGCTCTCCTTCGTGGGTTCCACCGGATCTACCACAATATCATTCATCCTCCCCGGCCTGTTCTACTGGAAGGTACGCGAGGTGGAATAAGCGTCGGGATTCTCAGCGCTGATGGCTCCCTTCACAGCTTTCGCGCGATGATACCAGCGTGAGCAAGACGCTGTCACGAGCGTCCTTGGGATTGGCCATCTACGGAATGTGCATCTTTGTGTTCTGGTGTGTATCACTGCCTCCCCGACCTCGGACAGCGCATTAACTGCCGTGCAACTACAGCCTAAGCTATAATATCTATGGGGTCCTTCACCCTGGTGCGGAGATCTCACATTAGCTAATGTGCCGGTGCTTGTATATTATGGCCTTGTGGGCCGGGCCTTGTAGAACATGTTCATTCCCCGTATCATTGTGCGATCATTGTGAGAGAGAGGGGCGCGGACATGCGGCCGAGGTGGGCGGAGTTTTGGCGGGAAGACATGCGGGCGCCTATGGACTTGGAGGAGCATTGGGCGCTCGTCGCTGAGGACACACTTACCTTCCGACCTGATGCACCCCGGCTCAACCTCCATCCAGAATCTTCCTCCTGCCCTCGCTCCACCCACTACGACCCGTGTCTGAGTACACACCATGGCTGCAGGTACGTTGCGCCTCTCTTCTTGCGCCAGGTCGCGGTGGCTACTCCAGTCGCGGACCTTGCCTCCATCCACCCTGCACGACGCTGAGCCTGTCGCCCCTACCCTTACGCGTGTTCAGAACACGTACCAGAACGCATAGAAATCCTCACGCACGCCCATTCTCATACACGGTTGGGTCCGTCGTCTGGATCGCCTGTCTCAGGACTCGGAACAACATCGAGCGACGCAGCCACAGCGACCACCAGCGCGAGCGCACCGGAGATCCTCCTTCAGCGATCGCTCTCCTCGAGCCCCACCATGTCTTCGCCGCCGCACCCGTCATCTTCCTCGTCCTCGCTGAACGCCAAGCTCGATTCGTCCGCGTCGTCAAGCGCCCCGATGGATTCAATTGTCGACGTCGAGCCGGATGCGCAGATTCTGGAGGCACTCAAGAACAAGGATAGGTTATACGTACTGAAACTCGGGGAGCAGATGGAGGCGTTGATCAAAGAGCGGAGGTACGTATCGGCCTTGTTTGCACTATGCATGCACGCCAGCGTCACACGACGACGTATATGCCGTTCTCGCGATGGCATGGCCACGTCTGAAGACCACACAAGCGTGTGCTTCTTGGGTGTACTACGTGTCATGAGAATGTATTCTTACTATTCTACCGCAGGGTTCGCATCGACCTCTCCCCGACCACCACATACCAGCGGATGCTCGTTCGGCGATGTTCAGCATACTACAAGCTCTCGCTGGAGCCGGACGGCAACTCTAAGACCATGGTTGTCTATTGTCGGGCAGAAAGTCGCATGTAAGTCACCAGCTGTACTTCGTCTCCGTCACCACCACCCCCTCATGTACCATTCCCCCGCAGTCCCGCACGACGTATCTGTGAACTCGTTCCTGCGGTAGAGACGTCGACACTGCCTGCCTACCAGATCATTCGACGCGCAGACCGGCCACTCCGAGGACGACAACATTCTCAGCCTGGATCGACTGCCGGCGAAGACGCGGATACATCGGATGTGGAGGCATCTGAAGCCGGAAGTGTGGGCGCAGTCAGCAGCGCCGCTAGCTCTGGCGCGCGGCGATACAAGACCATTGAGGAGCGAGAAGCCGAGTACAATGAAGCTCGCTCGAGGATCTTCATGGGATTCGAGGAAAAGAAGGACAAGGACAAGGACATGAGCGCCAATTCGTCGACGTTCAGCCTCGTGTCCGGTTCCTCCACCAGCGGTGGGCGGGGAAGCAGCAGCATTGGCGATATGGACGACTCAGCGAGTTCTGCGCCCACCGAGAGCGAGTGGTCAGGACCTGTTACGCGGGACAAGAGGGACAGTCGTCGAGGACCGGGTTCTACTACCTCCTCTGTGAGATCGTTGCGATCCTCGGCAAACTCCTACGGTGCGAATGGATCCGGCAGCTCCCGCAACTCCCGAGCGACCTCACCCTCGTTCACCTACCCCACCATTTATGACCCTGGACCCGGTCAATCATACGAACAAAATCAATATGGTGGTCAGGCCCAACTACCACCTGGCTATATCGCTCACTACGTCTACCCTCCTTACAATGCCGCTCCTCCTCCTGGTCAGCCCTACATCGGCGGCTACTACTATCCTCAATATCCGTATCAGACGCATCCACATCAACACGGCGATCCCAATGCTGCTGGAGTTCCAGATCCCATGTACCCACCGCCACCGAATGGTCACCAGCAGCATCAGTATGCGCCTCAGCATTGGCCGACTGCGCCGATAACTGGTCAACCAGCACATGGCATCCCTCAGCCGCCTAACCATCTTCCGCAACAGCATCACGCTCAGCCTAACATGCATCCTCCTCATCCTGAGCAGCAAGCACCGCACCAAATGCCTCCCATGCAACAGGGTGCACCCTCTTACCCCCCGTTTCCACCTTATCCTGCGAACCCTGCGGCATATGCGTACAGCGTTCCGGGGTACTATCAATCGCCATACCCCCCAGGCGCACCCATGGGACCGCCACCACCCCCAGTCCCCGGTCAAATGTATCACGCCGGTCCCGTTCCAGACGCCATGTCTCCCAACGCTGGAATGGGTATGGATGGACACGCCATCAGTCGGACATCATCCCGGAACAGCAACGGGCATGGTAGTGTCAGCGGCAAGCGTGGCGGTACTCGGACACGAGGTGGATGGTACGGGACTGTTAACAACCCCGGTGCTTTCACGTATAGCCCATCCAACGGCATGGGCGGAGGCAATGACGCATACGGTCCTCGGCTCAGTGTGAGACGCACATCAGGAGCATCAAGTGGAAGCGGGTCCGCTGGTGCAAGGACCCCAGCGGATGAGACGTCTTCAACAGCGGTCAGTTCCATGCTCTGTGTTATGCTGTGCACACGCTAATACATACCTCTCCCTTCTCACAGTCATCTTCCACGACATCGTCCTCTTCACGGCGTACATTCACTTCAACATCAACGTCGTCGAAGCACCCTCTGCCAGCACGCCCTGACTGGGCAGTTGGGTTGAAACCCCAACACTCGAGGCATCACGACCACCACAATGCATCACGCACCATGTCCCCCGCGCGGATGGGCGGCGGGCCCGCGCACCTTCCTCCGCAACCTCAGCCCGTGCTGCAGCCCAACGACTTCCCTCCCCTATCCTCCGCACCCGTCCCCGCTGTGCGACAACCCGCCCCGAGCGGTGCGTGGACGAACGCTAGCATGTCGCGCGTCATGAACCCGGTGCCAAACGCGGCGCAGGGCAGCGCGCTCGTCCACTACCCTAACTCGCAGCAGACGAGCCCACAGGTTCCTGCGGCGCCCGTGCCCGCCGCGCTCGGCCGCCTCGACGAGCAAGACGCATTCGAACGGCCCCCGCCGAAGAACGCGGAACTCTTCAACCCGAAAGCCGCCGCTGCCGCCGCCCGGGCGAACGGGAACGGTACTGGAACCGGGGCCAAGCTCGTTGACAAGATGGGCGCGCTCGCCCTCGAGGGCGATGGCCTTGCGGGGGAAGCCCGTGTCGCGTCGCCGCAGTCTGCGATTCCAATTGGGGGCGACGTGATGGGTGAGGCCGTCGCCGCGACGTCATAGTCGAACACCCTCTCTCGTGGTCCGCTGTCGCGCGGGAGGAAGGGGGTGCGGGCGTCCCCTTGGGCCTCTCGTCTTGCTGTGCCCTCTTCTTCTTTCTCCCCCCAGGTGCTTTCGGTTGTCTGTCGGTGGCCTGTTGCGTTGGGCTGTGCTGTGTAGTGATATGTGGTATGTGCGTCGTGTAGGGTGTCCCTCGTTGTGTCGTAATCGTCGTCGTCGGGCGGCGGGCGGACATGGGTTGCGCGCGGTGGTGGTTCGGTGTATAGACTACGCGGTCCTGCAAACGCTACGCTACGCCTACGTCAGTCCCAGTTGCCTTGCTGTGCATCCTCTCCTTTCCTCCCCTCTTCCACTGTGACTGTTGACTGTCTTGCACTCTCCGTGTACGGTGTTGTATTGTCGTATATTTTGAAATCTAAAGTAATAGACTCCATCGGGCTAATGGATTTTCTACGCAAAACACGTTGGTGAGTGCGGCTGGAGTCGCAAGACGGACTGGTGGTCAAGTAGGGGGCTCATTGCCCAGGTGTTTATTACGTGTTAGCGATGTCTGGAAGCTTGCACTACTACCAAAGCGCATATGCGCGCGCGCGCGGGTTATGTGCTACTACTACTACGTGTTGTCTAATTTCTGCTAGCGACCAAGTGACGATTGAATAAGTTACGACACGAAAAGCTGGGGTGATCGGAAGAGTCCGTCGACGAGCGAACGAAGAGAGATGCAAATAGTGTAGGAAACGCGAGAGCGGCCGGCGCGCTCGAGTGCGCATCTACGGCAAAACGTCCATCACTTGGACCGCTTGAACAGCCTCTTCAGCGACCTGAGGCGCTGGCGGCCAGACGTTTGCGGCAGGTCGGTCGAGCTCTCGTCCGAGCCCGAGCCGGTGCTCGAGACGGACGAGCGCGCCCACGCTGCGGAGAGCATGCTGCTGCCCGTGCTCGCGCCCGAGCCTGTGCCGCCCTGGCGGCCGTCCGCCCCAACGGGCTCACTGTGCCGCGGCCAGGCGAGGGGCGCTGCGGGCGCAGGCGGGTCCGCGGAGTGCCGGGCGGGGACGGGGGGCGCAGACCGCGGTGAGGGCGGGAGCACGGCGCGCGTCGGGGCCGTCTGCGGGCGGCGGCGGGGTGTGGGTGCACCGAACATGAGGGCGGTGGCCAGCCGGGCGTCCATCTCGCGCACGGCCGCGGCCGCGGCGTCTGAGGCTGCGGCGTCGTGGTCGTAGTCGACCTCAATCTGGGCCGAATTTGCGAGTGTGAGCGGAGCCGGGCGACGCTTTCGCCGGCGGGGAGACGTGGACGGGGAGGTGCGGGGTGCGGGGACGGCGTTGCGCGGGAGGGAGGAGTAGCCAGTGGCGGGGTAGGCTTCACAAGAGGTCGAACAGCCGACGAGGAACTCGGAGGTGCACGCGGAGTCGTACGCCAGGTCGTCCTCGAAGACCATGCGTGTCTGTGGTTGCGTCGGCGTGGGCTGCGTCCAAACACGATCAGTATATAGTAGAGTGATCGTGATTAGCGAAAGACTTACCACATTGTCCTCGTCCTCGTCGTCAGTGTTCAGATCTACTGCGATCTCCTTCCACTTGCCTTTTTCAAAGGTGCCCCACGCGCCGTAGGAATCCCCCAAGTCTAACGACCCGTGAGACTCGGCTGTGGCCTCGTCATATTTGTCCTCCTCCACGTTGTGCAACGTCATCGCGTCGCCGTTGCAAAGGTCCAACTCCAGACCGACGTCCAGATCCAGGTCCGCAGTCGGGATCTTGACCATTATGTGAGGGACCAGACCCGCGACGCTCGCCGCGCAGTCGGAAGCGGGCTCAGCAGCTGCGCTCGGCGGTGCTTCATCTCCCCATGCATTCGCACCACTGATCGAGCCGCGACGCTCGGCCACGTTTGCAATACTGTGCTCGTCCTCCTCTTCTGTCGCGGCCGTCGACGACTGGAAATCATGGATAGGCGTTGCAAGGGGCTGGAGATACTTGAGCGTCGGCCTGGTTGGAATCTGCTCTGGCAGGACCAGCGACTTGGGCGATTCAGTGAGCCAGTTTGGCGACGTTGGTGGAGGAAAGATCGAGGGAAGCGAGCCTTTGCGATGGGAGCTCGAATTTGCAGCGGAGGGGAGGATATACTGGACAGTGGAAGGACCCGAAACAGCATGCGTGGAGACCTCACCCACTCGAGGGCTCTGCACACGCACATAGCGAGCGTTGGAAGTTGTTGTGCTGGTGCTGAAGTCATCAAAACAGGAGGTGGCGGTAGAAGAAGAGTTGAAGGAAGTCGTCGACGGGCGAAGTGTTAGCGATGACGTCGCCACGTACTTGCGGGGCGCGAAGACTGGAGTACGGTACAGGAAAAAAGGCGTCGAGTTCTCGCTGCGGTGGAGGGTAATCGGCGGTGAGCGCATATGAGGGTCTTGGGTGCGCCATTGGAGTGTGGAGGGTGCGTGGGGAGCAATCGTGGTCATATCGGTAGCAGGGGATGCGGGGAAGACAGGTGGGTCCTCCAGCGAGGTGGGGCAGAGGAAGAGAGAAGGTGGGGGGAGAGCAGTGCGGGCGTGAAAGGGCGTCCGTACATGCAGCAGTGCTGGGTTAAGAGTATGTTGGATGGACAGGAACGAACCCGAGACCGTGCGGACTCCGGGGGTCCATATCTTGTTCATCACGGCGAGGTGCGCAGCTTCAGGCCGGCAGACGGACGGCTGGGCCGTCTACATTCCTCCGAGCTGGATTGCCTTTCGAGCCGGCCGGGGTTCCTGTGGTACTGTGGCAGGTATTCTTCCGAGACTGTGAGGACGTCGAAGCCAACGGCGTGGTGCAACGAGCGGTTCGTCTTGTTGCGCCGCCGGTGTCGTTGCGGAGTCGGCTGTGTAACAAACTTTGAAGGGAATGGACTGCGTTCTCGGGCGCATGCGGTGGGAAAGATCAGGAGAGAAGAGGCTGAACATCAACGGATGCGGTCCACAACAGCGAAGTAGATGGTCCGTGTCAACGCCACTCCACAATCGTCACTGCATGTACTGTGTGGGAGTTTGAAAGGGGGAGGACCGAGCGATGAGGGAGCGGCAGGTGATTCAAATTGCACGTGGATGCCGTTCAAGTGTCGGTGGAGATGACCATGAGACAGGTTGCGAAAACGACGATGCCGACCCCACTGAGTAAGGCGAGATGGGTCCTGTGGAGGTGGAAGATGGAGGAGATGAATGCAGTGTGGGGCGATGAATAATGGGGTAGGGAAGACTCACTGGCTTGCTGTGAGGAATCCCCGCTCTGCCTTCATGTCCGCATATCCGCTCCAGTACTCCCAGACACCTGCACCGATGGCAACGGCTGCTGCTACCACCTCGATGATCGCGACAGCAAACCCTAGAGTAGACGAGGCGGTGATGCCGGATCCAGGCATTGAGGGGGTCGGCAGACGAGCTTGGAGAAGGAGTGAGGCGGATAGGAGGATCAGAACACCGGCCAGGCGCAAGTGGGACAGGAGATTCCTCTCGAGCATCGCGAAGTCGCGAGCTTCGCTGGCTATGTTGGGGAGCTTGACCATGGTGGGATACGAGGCGGGTGTCCGACAATGGACTCGACGACTTGAAGGGAGGATGAGAGACGCCGTTCGAAATGAGGCCACTGCCTGCATGCCTCCCATTCGGATTCCAAATGCACGTCCACTGTGACGTCTCCTCTGCTCGTTCTTGACTCGCGCTCTCGTCAAACACCGCTGTCCAGCACCGGCTGGTGGTTCTCAGACAGCTCTCCCCTCGATGTACATATTCACAACGCCGCCTGTGGCCCTACACTGTATAAACCTCCCTGTTTTTCGAGTGGGACTTACCTCGGACCTCTTCGTGCGGAGGCCTAAGATTGCTGCTGCGGTAAAGCGGCACTTCCGCCTCGTGCTACATAAAGTCGTCGCGTTCCCCTAATGTCACTGCAGCTTCTTATCATAGCACACCACCATGAACACAGAGCATCTCCCTCCACCCCCCTCTCCTTCGCTCCAGTCTATCAACTCAGACGATCTTGGGACAACGAATGACCTGGACGAACTTGTGCAGTATGAAGCCATCGACCAGTATCAACTTGTGCAGCCTGCTCACGCTGCCATGCGGCCGAAGGCTCCTCCTCCCTTCGATAGCCTCGACGCAGGGATAGTGCTCGGGTCCCTCGACGCCATCGACTTCCGCGTTCGGAAGGAGATCCTGCTCGAGGCCTCTCCCGTCTTCGCGCGACTCCTGCTGTCGAATGGCAGTCCCACCGTCCTGGAGATCAACGCCGCCAGCGACGCCATCGAGCTCGTCCTGCGCATATGCTACCCGATCATCAACCCGAAACTCAGCTACCTCCCTTTGGACCTCCTCCAGCGGACTCTCCGCCTGGCAAAGGACTACGCCCTCACCCTCCCTATATCGGTCATCGAAGAGGAGTTGGCTGCACGCGCAGCTAGAAGCACTGGTCTTCAGGAGTTGCCCACCACACACCAGAACAACCACGAGAAAACTGAGCATCGACTTCAAAATCAACGCTCGGAATATTATCAACTTCAGGGAGCCATAGCCACACCGCTCCGGCCTCGGAAAAACGACACAACACCACCTTCGTCCACTGCCCAAAGTCTGCCTGCGCGGGTCAAGAAGAAACGGGGGTCCTCCAAGGCCGATTCCCCTGACGCGGATCTCTCGTTCCATTCATGCGATGGGGTCGTGTTCTGCGTGAACAAAACCAAGATTGGGAACGCTTTACCGACTCTCCATGCACTCAAGGACGCCATCCCGGGAGTCGTTTTTGGGTCGGCGCCTCCAAGTAAGGGTCCTGATGTGAAGGTCGGCCCCAAGAAGAAGAGTATGAACAGGGATTCCGGGAAGGCCCAGTTAAGAGAGCAGCCGACTGAGAGAAGGGGCGAGAAGCAGGTGCTCTCAACGTGAGCGTTGCACCAGGTGAAACCCTCCGCGAACTGATGTCATCCATGAAACTCCAGAATCTGTGCAGTCTCAGGAATCCCGGTCAAATCCGCGGGCGCGACTCTGTCGTTTGTCCTGAACACCTGCTACTCGGAATCCCCCGTCGCCGTCGCCAACCTTGCGTCCGGGTCCCGGGTCCGTGAACTCCTGGCCGCAGTCGCGAAGTACAGCATAGCCTTCGACGCTAGGGACCTACAGAGCAAGCTACGCGATCTCGCCACAAAAGACCCGGTGCACGCATGCGTTCTGGCGACCCTCGCCGGGTTGGAGCCTCTCGCGAAGCGCTGCGCGAAGCTCACGCTGAAGATTCCCCTGCCCGACATGGACACGGAGCACGGGGAGCACTTCCCCGCTGCTCCCTACCACCGCCTCATGAAGTATCGGGAGGCCTGCTCCGCAGCCGGGAAACGCATACTCCTCGAGATCGCGTCGCGTCCCCCACTGCACCCTTCGGATACCGCGGATCTGACCTCCAGCCATGCAGCAGTCGACGCCGAGACTGCTCCGACGAATGACAAGCCGGAAACAGCTTCGGTCACATCCGAGGTGGAAGCATGGTTGCGGGACCAAAATGTTCAGCACATGGCTTCCGTCGTCGACGACTACGACCCGGGGTACACGTTTTCCCCGGAGTTCCCAGTGGCCATGTGGAATCAACCCCTCACCGCTGGCGAGCTTTGGTGCGGCAGCTGCGGAGGGTTTTCACAGCAGCTATGCCTATCATGTGAGGTCTTGCACGACATGCCGTTCGTTGTGGACGAGGTGAGAGTACATTGCTGGAGTCGGGGGTCCTGATAGATGTTCACACCATTTATAGATCGAGTTCTAACGCAGCGACTTGCTTATGACAAGCTGCAAGTAGTCGGACAGGACCTTGCCTCGGTTACATGACTCACACTGTACAAATACCTCTACGCCATCGTTGAGTCAACCGCATGTCGTTGTAGCACCGTTCAAGAATCAAAATCCCGATCGTGTTGTACCTTCTCGTGGCCAATTTCCCTGGCCATCGACATTCATCCGTGCTCTCGCCAATACTACCCGCGCCAAATTTCGCATTACCATCAAGGGTATCATACACCAGGACGCGGGGACATGGAACGGCGCGCGCCTCCGCCCCACCCGTACCGTGAGTCCAACTGCGAGCGAGAGGGAGGGAGAAGATATACAGGACGGAGGGAATGTATTGAGAAAATCTACAGCAGCTCCGCCGCGTATACTAAGGGTCTACCATAGCGGGCGATGGGCGCGGCCAGAGGGGGAGGGTCGGGACTAAGTGGAACAACAGGGCGCGCGGCTCGTGCACGCAACAGAGCGGGGACCGGGAGACGACAGGAAACGGGCGGAAGGGCAGACGACGCGATTATGGCTTAATCCAGACATGCGGGACACGAGATGCGTACACATCGGGCGGTAAAGTGTGTGGGGTTATGATGAGGACAGTGATATAGATAGATGCATGCATGACATAAACGCACGACGGCGGCGACGACAACAGCCATAACGCCAAGAGGAGGAGACGAGAGGACGAAGAGTAGAAGAAGCGAGGGCTACCGAGCCCGAGTGCTTTACTTGTTCTTGGCGATCTCGCGCGCCGCTTTGATGAGCGGCGTCAGTGTGCGCAGCGGCTCCGAGAGCTTGAAGAATTGGTGCTGGAAGCAAAAGACTCGTGGTCAGCGATTGTATCTCGGAAACCATGCAGGTAACTTGGAACGTACCTGCAGGATTTCGTGCGCATTCGGCCGCTTTTCCGCATCCACCTCCAGCGTCTTGGCAAGATAATCCCGGAAAATGGGGGAAAGCGATTCCGGGTTGGCGATCTGGGGAGTGCCGTTGGTTGCAATGAGGTACAACGCCTTGAGCGGGTTCTGGTTGAGATATGGAGGCTCTCCCTCGATCATCTCTGGGAAAGAGGCCTGCGATCAGAGCCGAGCGGGTGGAGAGTTTGTACCCAACGCACCGATAGCCATGATACCCAGACTCCAAATGTCAACCTTGGGGCCATACTCTTTCCGCGTCACGACCTCCGGAGCCATCCAGTACGGCGTACCGACCATGGTCGTCCGCTTCGCGTTCGTCTCCGAAATTTGAGCGCAGAACCCGAAATCGGCTACAGTACCCCACACAATGAGCACCGCCATCAGGAGAGGTATTATAGGACATCAAGGCACGCACTCAGTTTGATATCGCCGTTCATGCTCAGCAGGACGTTGTCGGACTTGATATCACGATGGATGACACCGTGCTTGTGGAGATGCTCAAGGCCCTGGGCGGTCTCGCGCGAGACGGCGGCGATCTGGCCTTCGGTCATGAGGTTGGCGGTAACGACATCCGTCAGCGAACCACCCTCCATGTACTCCATGACGACCCAGAGCTCGTTCTTGTGAAGGAAGGAGTCGATGTAGTTGACGATGTTCGGGTGACGGGATGCCCGCATGACGAGAATCTCGTTGATGATGAGGTCCTTCTTCGGCTGCTTGTCGAGATCCATCTGCTTGATAGCGACGGACAGGTTCGTGCCGACCTGGTACGCTGTGTATACACCTCCAGAAGCACTGGCAATCGCCATGAGACGCGCTGCCGCACCACGAGCGAGGAAAACACTCACCCAGCACCAATCTTGATCAAATTCCGGTAGAGCTTCGTCGGGTCCGCGTCCGTGCAGATCTGCTGCAGCCGCTTGACGATGTCTGCCTCCTTCGCCGGGTCCTTCTCCTTCTTTTCCCTCCGCCGGGGGGTTGCCCCGCCCGCAGCCGCGGCCTGCTTGAGGCTCGCGGCGGCGGCGCTGGGCTGAGGCTGTGATGCTGGCCCACGGCCCTCACGCTCCCGGTCACGCACCGACGGAGATGCTTTGAGTGGGAGCTCCGTCTGGGATGAGCCGGGAGACGCCTTCGGTGGCTTGGGCGGTGCTGCGGGAGACCCCGAATATTTGTCCGGACCGGGCGAGGGCCTGTCGCGCGTGGTGTTGGCACGCGAGAGCTGGTCAGAGGGCTTGTACGGCTTCTGTTGGGGCAGCCGCTGCGACGTGGAGCGGTCAAGGGAGGGCGAAACGGGCGCTGGGGGAGGGGGAGCCATCCGGTGGGAGACTGGCGTTGCAGGGTTTGATGTGGGCTTCTTGGGCGGAGGAGGAGCCGAGCGCTGTGTATCATAGAGGTGTTACTCTATGAAGTCTATAGCATATAGCGACGAAGGCAGGGCATCGGAGGGCGTAGGCTAGTGGGAAGAGAGACTCACAGGATTAGAAAATCCATCGTCCATGAACGGCCTTTGCTGCGAGGTCGCGACCGGCGTCGGCGGCGTCGGAGCAGCGACGGCTCCCATCTTGTCCCAGACGGAGGTGTCGCCGCGGTTGTTCTCCTGGTAGAACTTGACGATCTCCATGACCGCCTGGGGGTTCTTTTCCTGCTCGGTCTTGGAGATACCGCTCTCCTGGAGGAGCTGCTGCCACTCCTTCGGCAGCCCGGTGAACTCGCCGGTGGACGTGTTGAAGCCGACATGGGTGAGATGGACGGGATCGTAAGGGGTGCTGATCTCGGGCCGCTTCGAGTTGTTGAGGAAATCGGACATGAAGGTGAACATACCCTTCTTCGACTTGCCGGTGGTGCTGCTGCGAGCACGGCTGGTGCCTGCGCTGATCGTCGAGGGCGTGCTCGGGGCGTACGGGGCCGGGGGAGGGAGGGTGCGTCGTAGGTGGGGTATTGGTTGTGTCCAGCGTGCTGGGTGGCCATCTGCGGCGCAGGTGGGAGAGGCTGGTCGATGTCGGGGTAGTAGGGGACGTCCGCTGGCGTAAGGACCGGGTCGGAGAGGCGGTGGCGGGTCTGACCAGGCTGGGTGGAATAGATGTCGTTCAAGGTGGCCGTGTTCGCCCTCGAAGGACGGGGCGGGGGGGAGGTGGTCGTCATGGCGGGGGCGTCGTTGCGGAAGGGATCGCGATCGAGAGTGGGCTTGCGGGGTGGGGGTTTCTGGAGGGAATTGCGGACCCGGCCAGGGGAGGACTTTGAGTGGGAGGGCGGCGGGGGCGGAGCGGAGCGGGAGGGGACGTAGGTGTCGGGAGAGTAGGAGTTGGCGGCTGCGGCGTGGAGGTGGGCCTCTGCGAGCAGGTCGTTGTACTCTTGAATGGATTCCCGCGACGGGCGGTGGTACTCGACTGTGATTTTGGACGAGTGGCGGCTGTTGGAAGGGGCGTGGTACCGCTCCTTGACCGCGCTCTGGGACGAGGACATTGGCGGTCTGGACTGGCACTGTGGTGGGGGCGGGATCGCGCGCGAGCTCGTCGTGGCCGACAACGAAGGGGTGTCCCGGGCCTTGTGCGCGCCCACTGTACTAGTAAAACAAAGAGATGATCAAGATTGCAGTATCGAGCCGCCCTCCTCAGTCCTCTGCGTCCTCCAGCCGCCCCGCGTGCCCTGCTCGCCCGCCCAACGCAGCCAACTTCGAGCTCCCGCCCGCGCAGCGACCGCCGCGTCGCCTGCGGGACCGCCTCGTTTCGTTTCGCCAGGCCTTAGGCCGCCTGCCGCGCTTATCGATCACGTCGCCTGCCGCTTTCGATGCCGCCTGCGATCGGGATCTATATCTAGCGCCCCCGCAGACCAGGACTCGCTCAAAGGCCCACCGCGATACTTACTCCCGAAAACTATGCGCACGTCTTCGCCGCCTGGCCAGGCATGCACGCATAGCTGACCGCGGGCGTGGTGCCCCCACGAAAAAAATCGTTCATGATCGAGCGCGGACCTCGGGCCTGCCGGGCCGTGCGCTACGCACACTGCACAGTGCAACCACCAAGTAGCTACATACATAGTGACCGTCCCCTGAAATTCGCTACTCTGATCTCTTCACCAGGCGAATTCCGTGCGGCAATCCAGCCTTTTCTTGTAATACACCGTCGCCCCGGCTCCCGGTCCCACCCACTCGATGGGAGCCCGAAGGTCTCTCGGCCTTTGAGGGTTCAGTCCCGGATCAACGTAGACTCCGCCCGTGGGAACGAGTACTTCACCGATTGACTTGCAATCTCCCTCACAGGGCGCTCCGCGAACACTGGGCTCGCATACCGACTGATCGCCGCCGGTGAATGTCACTCTGGCCTGGTCTCGTCCCCAGCCGCTCTGTACTAGGCCTATACCGGATGTGCAAAATGTTTGCGCCGAGTGTCGTATCTCTCCCGCTCTTGCGTCAATCCCTCTCGGATTTGGTGATAGGTCTTGAACTAGAGCCATGTACCTCATATATATTTTTCACAGCGAACGGAGGAGAACTGAGCGAGAGCGAGAAGAGACCCAGAAGTGCAAAGCTCGGAGATATGGTGGTCACGGAAAAGTCACGGCGTCAGCGACGGCATATTTGAACTCCGCTCGGCGAATGCCTCGCGAGAGACAAGAAGCAACGTGGCACGCACGCGCCTCAGCCTGCTGGGAATTATTGCAGCACTGTCCATCGACGTCCATCAGTCGAGACACTTTGCCGAGTTTTAAACTCCGAACGAAGGCTGACGGGAGATAGTCACGCTCAGAGCGTCGACATCCTGTCTACGCTGCATTCCTTGGGCGATGCCTTCGGAAAATTAGATACGAGCTTTAAACATGATTGTGTTGCACATATCAAAAATTCACGGACACCGCTGAAGATGCGGAACGAAGCGCGCTCCCGGACCGGTTTTCAGCGTTCCAGAAATGCATACTTTGTGCATTCCTCACCCTCCCTCTCGTCCGATCCCTCTGAAACTTTGCACACAGTTTTCAATACCTCACTAATGCCCATTCTGATTTTATCAAGATTTTACATTGGGGTGGGAAGGCCAGGAGGCCGATTTTGCATTACTCTCACGTTTTGCACTTCCGGTATAGGCCTAGTACCGCACCCCACCAGCTCGTGTAGGCGGTGGTGCGGTGCGGTACAGAGCGGCTGGGGACGAGACCACTCTGGCACACTAAGAACATTCACATCAGCGCGAACGGATTCAATGAAAACGATAGCACATACAGAGGAGGTCACATGTTTGGGGCTGGTGCGTTCATGACGGCGCCCGGGAGCGGCCAGCTGAACTACAGCCTGAAAGGCTTCGTGACAGATTGTATCGAGGGACGGTAGTCCCAGCAACTCGTAGGAAAGAAGCGCACCATCTACATATGGCAGCCTTGTGGAGACGATCTCGCCCTTTGGCGTATGCATGGCGGGCCGTGTATGACGTCCACCCCGGCAACAACCAAAACTGTGAGGCATGCAGGCCTCGTATCAGTTAACGTCAGTGGGCTCAAGAGGAATACAGTACCGTGGATTTGCGGTGCTCGTCAATAGGGGCAAGGCTTGATGTGTTGCTCGCTAGCATAAGACAGTGCGAATGCGGAGGCTAAGTACTACTGTAGATAGGAGATGTGGAGCTCCAATAAGGACCATGTGGAGCTCCAATAAGGACGCTGTCATGGGCGCGGCGAGAATGAGTAATGCGGAATGTAAAGTAATAGAATGGAGTGTAGCCAAGCCCATGACAAAAGAGGTCGGGCACTATCAACTTCGAACTTAAGTCGTGTTAGAGAGTTGTCGACCCCAGAAGAACATGCTGATACTGGCAATTCCCTATGGGCTTAAAGCACTGGAGCAAGGAACCACGTCGACCGTAGCATCCTAGCATTCACCCGACGATTGCATCCGATCCACCAACGGTTTCAAGTTCTCAAGAGCAACGCTATTACTCACTCCAGCCGATCCAAAAAGGCGAGTCGCGACCGACGATTGCAGAGGCTCATGTGGACACGAATAAAATGCGCTTCATGCTCGATGCCTACCATTTAGCCTGAATATTGTGAACGAATTTGTGACTGTATGAGGATGTACATGCGGGTCTAGGGAGGGTTGAAAAGCGCCCGGAGTCGCAAGTGTCACAAAACACGATCACGTGAAGCGCGTTACATGCGCGCGCGTCAACAGACCGCGACGAGTCTTCTCTCCATCCGCTCATCCTCATTCAAAGGTCCTCATACTTCGTCGACACTCACGCTTTATACCAGCAATGTCCGGGTCAAAATCCACCACCAAACCACCCATGTCGGGCCTACGCGTCGTGAAACGCGACTTCTCGTCCAATTCCATCGCAACCAGCCAGGACACCTTCTCCTCCTCCAGGACCCGAACAGCATACCCTGGTCATCATCTCAGCCATCCTCGCAGCAGACCCAGCCACCATCGCAGAAGAAGCTGACCGGGCTCGAGAAGCGCCTCAAAGACATTGAGGACGCGCTCAAGGCCCAAGTCGCTTCCTCAGAGAACGTGCTCTCTTCCTCGCAGGGAGCCTCCTCGTCTTCCTCGTCGGGCTTGAAGCGCCCCTCGTTGCCCGGATTGGAGCCGCCTGCAAAGCGACGGCTCCCGCCATCGTGGAACGACCCACCGCCGGCGTCGAAGTCGCGCCCAGCGTACCCCAGCGCCGCCGCCGCCGCCGCCGCCTCCCGGGCATCCGGTGCTGGGCGGACGACAAATGCGAGTACGAGCGGGAAGAAGAGGAGCGAGACACTGGTGGTACCCGCTTCCAAGAGTGGCGGGTCGAAGGCGGCTCCGATGTTTTTGAGCGACGAGCAGACGCATATATTGAAGTTAGTGGAGAGAGGGATGAGCGTGTTCTACACTGGAAGTGCAGGTGAGTGTTTGTGGCACCTTTCTTGGCCAGTGGTATCGTATCTTGCGTCTCTTCTGGGATGCATGCTCATTTGTACGCCAGGTGCCGGGAAGTCAGTGCTGCTTCGTGAAATTATCAAAACCCTCAGAGCCAAGCATAAACCGGCCAATGACGCCGTTGCGATCACTGCCTCCACCGGTGAGTGTGCTTTCAGCCGTTGACGTCCAGCACTCACAACAAGCGCGGGCAGGTATTGCTGCATGCAATGTGGGAGGAGTCACCATCCATTCGTTCGCCGGAATTGGCATTGGTGTGGAGCCTAGAGAACAACTCGTGACCAAGGTCAAGAAGAACAGGAAAGCTACGACCCGGTGGATCAGGACAAAGGTTCTCATCATAGATGAAGGTACGTAGACCTCCGTACCGTCGGTTCTCCTCTGCAGCAAACAGTTCGTTATAGTTTCCATGGTCGATGGCGAGCTATTCGACAAGCTGGCTTTCATCGGTTCTCAGATCAGGAAAAGCGCCCTTCCCTTCGGTGGTATCCAAGTGAGCGTGTTCTCGCAGTCTGAGATGCAAGGCTCTGACGTGGACGATCTGTCAGGTTATTGTCACCGGCGACTTCTTCCAGCTACCGCCAGTTGTGAAAGGCGGCGGAACCGTTAAGTTTGCGTTCGAGGCCGAAATGTGGCGAGAGTCGATCAAGCAGACTTTCAATCTAACGAAAGTGTTCCGTCAACGGGATCCCGAGTTCGTCGACATGCTCAACGAGATGCGCTTCGGGAAGCTGTCCCAGAGCTCCATCGCCAAGTTCAAGAGACTACAACGGGAGATCGTGTACGAAGATGGCCTTGGCGCCACCGAATTGTGAGTCACATCATCTGCCCGCAACCCAGCTATCTCTCAAAGTGATTGTTTCAACGTGGCACAGATTCCCCAGACGAGAAGACGTCGAACGGTCAAATCAAGTACGGATGTCGGGCATCGACGGCGCGGAACACATCTTCACAGCGTACGACGGCGGACTCATTTCAGATGTCCAACAACGCGAGAAGATGCTCGCCAACTTCATGGCCCCACAACGTCTCGTGCTGAAGGAGGGCGCGCAGGTCATGCTCATCAAGAACCTCGACGAGACCCTCGTTAACGGCACGTTAGGCAAGGTTATCCGTTTCTACGACCCCACCGCCCCTATGGAAGCCGAGGAAGCCAAGGCGGCCGGAAAGCCTGCACCATCCAAAGCGGTATCGAACACGGGCACCCGCCAGCTTTTTCCCGTCGTGGAATTTCTGCAGCCTGGGGTCAGCGCAGGATCATGCCCGTCACGGCGGATACCTGGAAAGTCGAGCTTCCGAGCGGTGAGGTTCAGGTCAGCCGGACGCAGGTATGTCTCTTCTTATGAGCTTGCGACCTTGATGGCGGCTAACTGATAACGACCGACAGCTCCCTCTGATTTTGTCGTGGGCCATGTCGATCCACAAGTCGCAAGGGCAGACGCTTGAGCGCGTGAAAGTCGACCTTGCGAGGGTGTTCGAGAAAGGGCAGGCATATGTCGCACTCTCTCGCGCAACGTCCTTGGAAGGACTGCAAGTGTTGAACTTCGACGACAGAAAGGTACGACGGCCTCATTTCTCACGGGAATCTTCTCTGATGATCTGCACAGGTTCAAGCGCATCCGAAAGTAGTAGAATGGAGCAAGACACTACAGACCATCAACATGTGAGAGCTATTGCGGATACACGGCCGTGGTTTATATTACTGTTTATTATTCAGTGATGCTTCGCTGTACAAGTAGACTGCTTTCGTTCAAGTAGGTTCCATACGCGTATAATAGACAAGTGATGACGTATAGACGAGTGATGATATGCATTACGATATGAGTACAGATTGTGCTATGGATACAGGATATAGCCCGAAAGCATTGGGAAAGCATAAGCAGGCCAGAGAGAGAGAGAGAGAGCCGAAAGGTCGTATCGACCATTAGTAGTGGGGTGACCAACCTGAACAAGTCGAAGTCAGCCTTGTTAATGCGGTGACGAGGAGGGTACTTACCCGTGTACATCAGCCCAAGATTCCCTGGATCACTTGCCTCGGTGATGAGCTCGTTCACCGTATACTCAACACTGAGTGTCTTGTCCAGCTTCCGCGAGACACTGCTGAGAGCACGGTCCGCGGCCTCGTGCGCACTGTCCCCTCAATGTCCAGGCCGATGGCGAACCGGAAAGCTTCTCCCGCATACTGTGCCGTCTCATCGATGACATGTTGTTGCGCACGCTTAATCTTGAACTCGCTCGCGCCCTGCGACGGTGTGAGCGTCGCGTACTTCGACACTTGAATGACCAGCGTACCAGGAATGTAGAGGGTCGTACTTGAACACCTCCAAGACAGTGAGAATGGTCTCGGATCCGTCACGCAGCACGCGTAACGTCTCCTCTGCGCATCGCTGGAAGACGCCTTGGGTTCCAGATATGCCCAGCCCATCGATCATGTCAGCAGTCAGTCGGAAAGGAACGCGTTCGGGCTGCGGCAGCAGCTTGCCCTGTCGAAGTAGTCAACGATCCGCCTCTCAAAAAACGTCTCGGTGTGGCGCACCTGCTCGAAAGCGATACCCAGGTCGATGTGGACGACCTCTCCTGTCTTGTTGTCCATCAAGATGTTGGATGTGTGTCGGTCGCCCAGTCCGAGTATGTGGCCAACGATCGACGTCGTCGCAACGCTCCGTGAGTAGTGGAGACGCATCGCGAACCACGACATGGCGTCTTGTGCTTTCGGTGAAGTATCGTCGCATAACGGGGGGAAGACATCGCGGAGCTTGTTGAACGCTTTGACGACTTTATCGGGGTTTGATGACCAACACTTGCCAGAGACATCAACGAAGGCTGTGTTTGCTGCATTGAACCTGGCGTTGTCGCCCTCAGAGCGGTACCTAGGCAACTGCGTGAGTGCACAGGTTTGAAAAACATCCAGTGTATGTACCTGGTATGGGCGGGTCTGAGCCAGCCTCCCAACGGCGTGGTGTTGTCGACAAATTCAAGTACCCCCGCTTGAGCGCGAGGGGATGACCTTGTATCCGCGGATACTGAGCTTGCGTTTTTGAGTCTCGCGATCATGGCGCAAAACGATGTTGACTAGGTCGAAGACTTGCTCCATGACCGCATCTTGTCGCATGTCATCATCCCCTTCCCCTTTGAACTAAAAGGATGAGAATAATGATTACGAGTAGATCGACGAGGACCATACCAACTGCTTGTAGACTCTTCCATCGCTACCGTGACAGTGAATGATCTTCGGTAGATTTACACCACCTGCTGTCGTGCATGAGTGTCGTAATGAGAGATCCAGACACAATGTTGATACTGGGTCGTAGGGTCGATGGCTGTGGTGCGGTGATGACGGGAACGCGACGTTCTAAGTCCCCGATCTTCAACCTGTCTTCAAGTCGACGGGGCGAGAGTTCCCCTGCGACTTCACGATGGCTTTGATGGGCCACTTCGCAAACTCCAACGACGCACTGCAAACGTTCTCGACGTCTACGACACGAGCGCCGGTCCGCTCGTTCGTTCGAAGCATATTGAAGATCTCAGCGACGGCTGCCGTCGTTCCACTTGTGAGCTTGGCGACACGTGCCTTCCTGACTGTCTTCGAGAGCTTTGAGATGCTGACGGCTGGTCCCCCTTGAGACAAAAGAGTGGGAAGAGGCTGTGGAAAGTATGCTCGCAACCCATCCGCATGATGATACGCTGCAGTTGCACCTGACTTCGTGGGGGTTTACCACTCCCGATTTGGAAAGGCGGGCGGTGAGTTGATGGGCTAGGAAGACAAACTTGCGAGAGGGAACCGGGTTGATGGAATTGCATATCGAACGTTCAAGGTCTTCGTTCTTGGTGTCAAAGTTGGCCAGCCACAGGGAGCAGAGGCGAATGTGAGAGTCATCGTCGAAGCGGTCCGACGCAGAGAGACACTTTGCGTACATGTCCACGGCACAGGTCAAGAAGGCCCTCTGTTGGTCAATATGCTCGCCGTAGCGCTCTTTGTCCTGTTGCAAGATCTTCTCTGCTTTTGCGTGCTCTTGTCTCCTCCGGTGAGCCTCGGAACTGTTGGAAGGAGTCTGTGAGAGCAGGAGGTTTCGCTGCTTGGTCTCCTCTGTCTTGCGATCGACGTAGAACTTGAGACGCAAGGCGTCTGGAGACTTTGACAGTATGTGGTACTGGCGTTCTGCGAAGATCGCGTATTGGTGGAAGACGGTAGCTTGGTCGTCGGGGGATGAAGAGGATGTTGCTTTGTCGCTGCTTGAGAGCAAGGTTGTAGCAGGATTGAAGTATTCCTCCAATATGCCGCTTGGCTTCTTCATGGAAGCTTCGCCGGACCAAGTGCCCTAAACTAGCGTTAGTGATGCGGTTGAACATACATCTAGTGCTTACCAAACGAGACAGCAGCAGTGCATGTTGCGTCTTGGCAACGACATCTTGAGATTGAGAGAGGAGTGATATATCTACAGCGGATAGCAGCGTGTTCAGGGACTTGATGGCCAACTTGGGTTCCTTCATAAGCCAGAGAACGTCAGAAAACTCTTGGGATGTCTGGGATGTAGGACCTTGCTCCAGCGTTTGCGCTTTCAAAATAGAGTTGAGGGCGAATTGAGCTTGACCCATGCTGCGAGAACGTTCCGAGAGACACAGAAGACTGCTCTTCTCTAGGTCGATCAAGGATGCACAAAACGGCGAGACGAGGTCTCCAATCTGGTTGCGCTGCTCCTTCTGTCGGGCCGAACGGATAAGAGAAATGCGAGTCGCCATGATGGCCTCCATGTTGCCGAACCTAGACGATGATTAAATCGTATCCCAAGGACAACCAGGATGGTCTACGTACTCGAAATCCGGCCCGATCGTGACGAGATCCTTCCACTCCGTGGCACCGAGCTGCTTGGCTTGGAGATCCTGTTGGAGAGCGTTGCCTCGCCACAGCCTGATTTGTCGCAAACACAGCAGAACCTGGATGACTTCACGGATCTCTACGAAGTTCTCAATACCGAGATTCCGTAGGCGAGTCATCTCCTGAGTGAAGGCCCGGCGCAAGATTGAATCGACGGCTTGGGGATTCCGTTCGCGATACACTGCACGGAGAGCGAGATACAGCGTACTCCCAGACTGATTGTCTCCGAGGTTATCGGGGAGGTCCCACGTCTCGGCGCGCCAACCCAAGTTGTACGCTACCGCGTTCGACTCCGACGTCGCTTGCGAATCCGCCGAGAACGTTTGCATCGTGGTGAGGGCGAGATGATTGAACCCAAAGTTGGATAGCGATTGCACGATCCCATCGGTGGCCGAGGAAGCACAAGAACCGGATTCGATCATTGCTCCATGGAATCGGAACGCTTTGTCCCACTGGTTTTCGTGGTGCAGGCGTTGCACGAAGAAGTTGCGGAGATTATCCGTTTGAATGCCGTAGAAACCATCGGGCTCGTCGATGTGGCTGTAGATGTCGAACATGATCTGTTCCTTTGCGGAGCCGTCTGATACATCGGAACCAGAAGAATCGGAGGCAAGCTCCAGAAAAAGGAGGGCAGTGGTGTAAGCGTTGCATCGTATGGCACAACGACTGAGAAGAGTGAAGTCGATTGAAAACCATTTGTCGGCAGCGAGAGGGTCGTGAGGGTGGTGAAAGGGTAGAAATTTCGGAGATGTAGAACCACGGCAATGATTGCACGATAGCAAGGAACAGCTGCTTCTTCATAAGAGAGGATCGAGGTGAAGTATGTGGATAAGACGACGCGCATGGAGTCAGACTTATCGTAAGGTGATGAATCGCACTCCAGCTGGAGCAGTGCGTGAACTAGGACGGGAAGGAGGTCTTCGGCAAAGGAGTGGTCCGCAGCAAGCATAGGGGCAAGCGGTGAGAAGAAGGTGTCGCGCGCGCCGAGGAAATTAGAGAGTAGTGTTGTGAGTTGGGCGATCCATGCATCGAAATCCTTCGCGAGATGAACCATCGCATCGCTGAGCAGGTTGTCCTGTACATTCGGTGGGACACCGGGAGCGAAAGGCTTGGAGAAAGAATGCAGGTAGAGCAGCTCTGAGCGAGTGTCGTCAGAACTGGTGTTACTTATGAAGGTTTCAGACGATGGTACTGAGAGGAGCGTGCGCAATGTCGATAGGCCACGTGGACTTGAGAGGTTGAGGAAGTGTCGAGCACGTCACGAAGAGCCACGAGAATCGCGGCTCGGGATGCATGGACGGCAACGTGACGAGGGTAGTCCCTCATGAGTTTGTTCGTTGGAACAGGGGCTGTCTCGGCTGCTCGTCGTGGATGGCACGGACGCTTCCGGGTTCGAAACGATCCTCCCAATGCTGTCGACGCGACCGGAGTTGAGCATGAGAAGGGAAGTGAAGGCGTCGATGTCGCTGTCAACAAGGCTGTTCTCCGGCGGGATGCATGCCTTGAGCTTCCAGAAGTCCGATGTAGAAAACTGCTCGTCTGCATCTTGTCCACTTGCTAGGTCGCAAATCCGGCGTACCAATCGGAATTTGCTCGAGGAAACACCATGGTCAGTGAGAACTGATGTCAAGTCGGAGAGTGTAGCCTCTTGGAAGCAGATTGGAAGGTGGCAGGGAGCTCCCGTGGCCATGCGGCGAACGCTTGAACAGCAAACTTCCGTAAACGGGATGACCTAGAGAATGTTGGGCGTGCTTCTCAAGCAACGACATGAGGTCGGAGCCTAAAAGCGCAAGATGGTGGTCGTCGGTAGTCTGCAAGAAGTCGAAGGCAATGTTGCTGGATCGGACTAAAACGTCGGCCAATCGGTAGTCGGCTTTGATCTGATACTTGTGGTACAAGTAGAAGCACCAGTCAAGCAGGACTGAGCTCCTCGAGCCAAGTCGAAGTGCTCCAGCATCGTGGTGGCGCGACGGGTCAGTGTGCGAAGGAGAATTTCGTTCTTGAACTGATCGTGATGGAAGGCGATCCAAAGAGAGACTGCGTTGAGAAGCCGATATTGCTCGTTGACGAGAGGACAGTGGTCGATCTCGGAGAAAAGCTGCTGTAGGACGTGGTAGTGACGGCAGGGGCGTTCACTTCTTCCACACGGCGGCCAAGCCATTGCAGGGCACGAAGGACAAACGGTCGAATAGAAAGGCATGCTTGGCTGATGGACTGCGTACGTGTCGAGGGACCGATAACGAGTATTTTCTCAAAAGTGCCGAGTACTTTCTCATCTTCCCCTCGCATAGACATCGCGATGTCACCAGTGGCAGAGATGTCCTGGTCTCCGAGGGACTTCAGAATGCTAACCACGATATCGTCTGCGTGCCGCCGAAGCCGTTCCTGATACAACTCCGGGGCCTGAGTGAGGCCGGTCCTCTTGAGGAGCTTCGCATCGAGTTTGGATTCCGCATTTTCGTCTGCATTATGGGTGAAGAACCTAGGGGTTTCGTACGCCACAATGTTGGGGAAACACTCTTCCAATCCTGCCTGCTCCGTCTTTTGTACCGCTTGGCAATGCCGGACGAAGAGTTGCTTGCCAAACTCCATCGTGTCAGCATCGCTGGACGCCAGCAGGTTTGTCGGTGAGAAAGAACGGAACGTGGCTTCGGCGCATTCCCTACGATCTCTGTAGCCGAAGAGCTCCGGGGGGAACTTCAACAAGTCCATTTGAGCCTGGCGGATCGAATACGCGAATTGTGCGGCATAGCATCTGCACAGATCAGAGAGCGACTTGAGACCGAGACGCTCAACGACACCGGCGAGTATGGCTCGAAGATGGGGGAGGTAAGCCTGGGAGACATAGGCCACCTCGAGGAGATGCCAGTATGCGCCACGTCTAACAGATGCCTCGGAGATGACGATGTTCCCCAGGCAAAGGAGGCGGGTTAGGATGTTCTCGTAACTAAGGGTGCTCATCAGCACATCGATCGAACACTTAACAGAGGTCACTCACTCGTGCGGATTAGTGGACAGATTGTTGTGAATATCGGGGTACACATCCCTCATCAGGTCTCGTCCAGCCAACCGACCGACTGTGAACAGATGGGGGCAGACAGTTGCAATACGGAAACGAAGCCTGATGTCTGGGTCGCTCCCGAATTCAGGTAGTACCGTCGCTGGGAGGTCGGCTGCATCGGGTTGAGTGCCATCGAGAGGAAGCTGCCAGAACACCTGCTTGGGATCTTCAACGAGGTACTTGTCGAGGAAGCGAATGATGGCGTCTTGAACACGCCACGATCTCTGAGCTTGCTGTCGAAGACGGCCTACGGTTTGGATGCAGTAGTGGTGAGCGATGTCTCCGAGGCTTGTAGAGGTCACAGATGGATGGAGCCAAACATTCGAGGTGGAGTCCAAAAGTCCAACGACGATCAGGAGGGTGTCTTCGCTGTGCTGGTAGGTATACGGAAGGCATATGTCGTCCAGCTTTACGAAAAGCTTCTCTAGCGTTTCCTTGCCGACGCTGAGCGTCTTCTGCCCTAGCTGTTTGCAGATCGGAGGGGCGAGGAGGAGGAACGCGTCCGCCTTGCATTCCAGCAGGATGTCAGTGAGATCCTTGCTTCTAGTGGGCTCTCCGGATGGGGACTGTAGTACAGGGATCACAGAGAGCGCGGTGACGCAAATTTCCAGGATGTAACGATTGTGAACTATGCTTGCGGCATCTGCAGAGGAAGAAGTGACACTTGGCGCGGCTCGCGTGGTTTCGAAGTCATCCACCGAGGGTTCCTCCTCGCCAGCGACAATCCGAAGCACCTGATGAAGTCCCTTGAGAAGCTGCGTGAAAGCATCCTGGACCTGAGTAGCACGTCGTCAGTACAACGATCATCGGTGAGAGATGGGAACACATACATCGGAAGTGCGGAACACAAATCTCTGTAATTCTCGCCGAAGACCTATTTCGGGAGAAATAGACTGAGACTGAGCTTGGAGTCGTCTCAAAGTCTGCGTTCTGATTCCCGTGTGTTGTCCCGGTTGAACGAGGGCATCCCAGCCGACTTGGCTCCCGAGGTCATCGTTAGCGCATATTAAAGGATCGAGGGCTTGTAGGATGAGTCTTCGCTCTTCCGCTTTCCAACGGTGGTCGAGCAGGAATGAGAAGGCCTTAGTGAGCAGCTTGCAGGCAGCTTGAAGCACACGGCGATTGAATTGTGTACCGTTCATGCCTAGGGATGCTTCGAAACAGACAGCGATGACCGCTAGATCCATCGACGACCGGATCCATTCTGCCGTTGGGAAGCTGCGTGTATCCCGGGCGTCGAACGCTGCTAGTGCTCGTTCCAGAGATTTGATCAAAAAGGATTCCAGTCTTCGTTCGCGACCTCTAGGAGGAACAAGATCTTTACTGTCGCCGAAGGAATGCGCGGGTCGTGTATGGGTGCCGTCAGCGTTCGCATGGGTTGTGCTCGCGCGATATGAGGGAGCCTGGACGGACGGTTGATGGGGAGGAAGACGTGCATGTAACTGGAAATCCTGTATGACGCGGGTGCGAGAGTCTTCGACGATGGATTCGACAATGGCGCCATGGGGCAGAATTAGGCCGCATTGCAGCCGCACCCTCTTGGATGATCCAGTGATGCTGTCCAAAAGGGCGTGGATGTGAGCGGCGGTGTGCAGAGGCATCGAAGTTCGTCGATCATTGCTGGTTCGCCAGGACTCCATGAGCCAAGACAGGACTTTCTCCTCCATTTGCATGCGGTAAAGGCGTACGTCTTGATTCGCCATTCGCAGGCAAAGGACCATGAGATCGCAGACCGAGTCGTAAGGAAACGCGGGGCCTTGGATATCGAGGTCCTTCGCAAAGGACTCCAGCTCCACCAAGACGCGCTGAGGCGATAGAAGACGTTTGGAGTGCTGGAGGAGGATGTGCGCTGTGTGACACGCGGCGCGCGAGACGGCTGGCACGTTGGCGCGCCTCATAGAGTGCGTCCATATTTGGTCCCAGATGGTCTTGTCTGCAGACTGATCCGGTGAAGCGACGGACTCGGCATGGGCAATGGCAGCGAAGCACATGAACGTCCAGGACTGGACGACGGGTACTTCAAACGAAATCAAGGAGATAAGGGCCTCGACGACATCTCGGCGGACGTCACTGCGTAGTACCCCCCAGTGGCGATCGATGAAGAACAGGAGAACTTGAAGATGGTACGTCCGTACATGCTGGGCCGTGGACAAATTGATGGACGTCAAGAGGGAAGAGACAGGATTCTCGAGTTTCACTCGTTTTGATCCGCTTGTGGCATTGAGTACGTCGAGTCGGCATGTATGTAAAGCTAGAGAGGAAGAGTTCTGAGTCGCCGATGCACGTTTTTGTAGCAAAGCGAGCACCTACCCTTTCGGCACAATCTGCTTGCATCTCCAAAATTGCCCAGGAGAGAGCTTGCTCGCTGTCGAAATGCCATCCATGTTGAAAGGTCCGAGCCGTGAAAGCAGGAAGATGCCGCTCTGGATCGAGGTGGACGGGGAGCCGAAGTTGTAACGAGTCGAGGGAAACACCAGAAACGCCTCCTCGCCCGTGCACTGTCTTTTCGAGAGCAGCCCAGAGCGAAGCTACCGCCGGAATGGGATCCCCTCTGGGTTCATTGCCAAGTGGATCCGCAATGAGCAAAGGATAGAGTCTTCGAAGGATGATTACCAGGTGCTCCTTCAGCGCCTGGTTTTTCGTTGACCACATACTGACCAATGGCTGCCAGCTCGCTTGTACGAATGTAGTGACCACTTGACGGCAGTTGACCACAAGATGCGAAAGAGCAGCGGAAAGGGCGATGAGATAGTCGTGATGTAGGGATGTGTCTCCGGGGTACATAGATAGAAAATGGGAGAAATAGCTCAACAAGACGCGAGGATAGCGATGAGGATCCTGCTCCTCTGGGTTATTCTCATCGGGGTGGAAGAGGATCGGCGCGTTGGGAGAGCAAAGCAAGGTAGAGAGAAGAGACATGGACTCGATTTGTTCGAGAGTGACAGGTTGAGAGGTTCTGGATACCGTAGAAGATCCACGGCGATTGGGCGTGCTGGGGGAGGGTATGGCTCGGAGGGGACGTTTGAGCTTTGACGGCGACGCGGCCGCTTCTGAGGCTGTATCACCGTCCGGACCACCACGTACATCGTCGATCTCCATTTCTGAGTCCTGCTCTTCCTCGGCGGTTGCCTCCAAATCCTCCGCTAGCTTCCGTCTGGGCAACCGGCCAAGGGCGATGTTGAACGTAACGGCGACCAGGTCATGCCACATCGGGTCCTTGAGAGCGTAGAGATGGGGCCGGTAGTGGAGGATCAAGCTGGTTGTCTTCAAGAAATCCAACGCTACCGGCAAGAGGAGTGTTCCGCGATACACCAGTCCGCGCGAGAGGTGGACCAGAAGAGACTTGAGGACGCGAGAGTTGAGGCGTTCAACATTGCGCTCCGTGATCCAGCGCAAGAGTGATGCCATGTCGCGAAGCTTCTTGAGCGCAGTGCCCCCTCGACCGTACTCTTGCGTCTGGAGAACGCCTGTTTTGGAGACACATGCCTGAAGCTCCTTGTTGTGACATTCGAAGAGGACCTGGTACAATGTCAACCAGTATTTGCCGTCGCCTTTCTCATCGAAGTTGGCGATCGTCGAGGCGCGTTCGAAGAACGCCTTCAAGGCTTCCCTCGCCTGATGCCTCTGAGTTGCTTTGTCACTCTTGAGGCCTTGGAGGATCTCATTCATCTGGATATCTGGTTTGGGAGCCATCTATCGAGACGAGTCTGACGTAGTAAACGTCTAGACGAACGTCTTCAAGGGCAGAAAGGGGGCGAACAACGATAGTGGGGGTGTGGTCAAATGGTAGAAACGAGGGGGAAGCCGCAGCTGCTGTCGCTGTTAGGCTGACAGTGAGAGGTCCAGCGGGAGTCCACGACCGTCCGCGCCTGGAATATGGCACGGTCATGTGACTCCAGAGGGTCCGCGCTGAGCCGCGTCCCCGAGCTCGAGCTTGGCTACTACACTATCATACCTACCCTTTGTGCATCAATAACTGCAACTCTATCTGCATCTCCAACGCGTTCGCCGCCTGTCTCCGACTATGCAAGCTACATTCGACGCTACAGGACTCAAACGTATAGCAGTCTTCTTTCACTCTGTCCCACCTTCCGCTCATGCTCACCAGACTTCACAAAGGCCCTCACATGTCTCTCCAAGATCGGCGACGAAGTCACCTTGAAGGCCACAGAAGATATATTCTCACTCTCCGCCTCTAACAACGCCCTGACGGCTTATGGATGCTTCAAATATGCACGTTCCTTCTTCAGCAGATATGTGGTCGAAATTCCGGCTGGGGACTGCGTATCTGGGCAGATCTCATCCAAGGTGCGCCTTCTTCCATTTTCGGACATTGTTTCCATGCCAAATAGCAAGCATATAGCCACTCCTTGCGCTCCTGAAACACAAGACGAACGATAAGGGCGGGGAAAAGTGCGAATTTGCGATTACGGACGGACCAACTTCAAGCATTCACCTTGACGACGACGACGACGAGCAGGATTCTTTGGAGAGTCGGCTAACGGTACGTTTACACTGCAGACACGGTGATTCACGCTGTTTCTTTTGGCATTCCGCTGGTTCGCTGATCATTCTGAGTGCGTAGGCGTGGTGAAGACTCACCGGCTACCACTCAATGCTGCCAATAACATGGAGCCTCCTGGTCCCGCCAACTCGGACCTCGAATCATACTTTACAGTGGGACCGAGGATGCTTAGGAGCCTTCTAGATAACTTCCCTTTCGCTCGGGGTGGCAAATCAGATCCTGAGCTGATCTGGAAGTTCACGGATGAGGAGGTTCAGCTATATAGCTCACAGTCGTCAGCGGATAAGACAGGTACATCATTTCATTTGGCGTGATGACTGGGCGGCTGATTCGTGCAAGGTCGTCCGCAACTTTCAACGGAGTTGACGATCGATGTCGAGGAATTTGAGCAGTATGAGCTTACGACCCCTTCAATGCAGCTTGGCTTTCATCTCCGTGAGTTCAACGTAAGATCCAACCCATTCCTCCCTCTATGACTGTACCGCTTATTTGCATTACCTCCAGGCCGTCATCGGGTTCGCGGAAGCGGCACAAGTATCACTTACAATCCGCTTCGTGGACGAAAACTCCCCTCTGTACATCACCATCGACAGCGACCTCTCCGATTGCTTATTTGCCATTGCTTTGGTCCGAAATATCTCCGCACGACACGGCTCACAGGCGAACCAGCAAGAGAATGCCAGCGACGGCGGGGCACGACGACGGAAACGCCCTCGGGAAGATGATAGCAATCCGCTCCGTCTGCAAAGGGGTATAGTTAACGATGTAGCGAGGCGAAATAAGCCAATGACCGTCGTAGTTCCCCGCGCTCCCGCACGAGATATGCGCCCTCCCCCTCCGCCCCCACAGAACCTCGAGCCTCAGCCATCCTGGGCCATCCTGACCGCCGCGCAACAGCGTCAAGCTGAGGACGAAGACATCCGCATGAACTTTGACAACGTCCTACCTGACGACCCCGCCGCTCCAGGCGCGTCGTCGGCTCCCCTTCGAACACCCCCTGTGGGCAAAAAAGCGACAGAGCCTTTGTTCCTCCCTGGCTCGCAGCTCTCACAACTTCCACTTGACCGACAGCAGGAGATCATCGACTCGGGGCTCGGCATAGAAAACATGACTGCGGAGGAATTCGAGGCGATGTTCGACCCAGACGCCGACGCCGATGTCGAAGCCGAGCCCAAGCCGCAGGCGCCAGGAGCGTTGCGTTTCGGCGACGACGACAACGACGACGACGTGCGGTGGCCCGATGATTCCCCACCGGCCCCCGACAGCCTTGAGCTGGTCGACGTTGACGACGTTGACGTGGAGATGGCCCCGACGCAGTCTGAGGGCGGATCGAGGGTGCGTGTCTTCGGCTGGCTTGTGCTCGCCCGGCTGACATCACGCGTCCCGGCTCGCAGGTGTTCCGTCCGCTATTTGCGGACTGATAGGACCGTGCACGTCCTCGGACGTCAACGAGCCGTAACTAGTATTAGTATCCGGAGATGCATGTTCGGGATGGGCTGGACGTGGCTGGCACATCTGGGGGCAGGCAGGATGTGACATGCCCGCGTGCCTGCGTCGTGGGGTCCTCGTTTTGTTTGCATGTACCACCTCTCACGTCGCAGATCGGTGGGATTCGCGTGCTGGTCAAATTCATGCCTTTTCCGGCAGTTGTCGAGCATGTGCTTGGCATGTACTGTACTTGCGACGTCGTGCATTAGGGTGACAGGTACCCTCGTTCGTATATGCACGCCGCGCGGTCGGAGTGCGAGGAGGCTTGGTGGTGCATGCAAAGGCGTATTGGCGCACACGAGCACCCTGGTTGCTCGACGTTTTCGAGGGCGGTCGGGGAATGGATGCCCTGGAAGGAAATTATGACAAAGTCTACTGTCCCTCACCTACTGCTCAACAGGTTTTGACCTCGAATGTCTGACTTCGACAACCGACATAGTACCCCAGAAAACGGACAATGTGTGAGGGGGTACCCTTGACTCCCCGTTGACCTGAGTCGGCTCGACGACTCGGCCACTCAGATGCAGTCTGTATGACAACCCGCTTATTACTACACGAAATTTTTTTCAAGGCGCCGCGTTCAAGGGCAATGTAGACGTGATCTGGCAGATTGAAACAATGATGTTTTGGGCACACAACGAGGGTACCTTGAGCGTGTCTCACAGAGGCGGACATTTTTGTGTGATCGGTTTGACGAGGGACAAGACTGACGATCGGCGCTGCGCACACGATGTAGTCTGGCTGTCGTGCAAGCGCACGCAGGGAGAGAGTGGTATTCTACGGGAATATCTACAACAAAGATGTGTATAGGGCCAGACCGGGCGGTTCCCCATAAGAAGTGCATAGCTAAAGTACAAGTCGCTTTGTGTGCTACAAAAAACATACACCCCAGGCGACGAGACCTGGAAGTGCCCACAAAGTGTCCGAATGTCACACTGTAAAGGATACATGTCGTTGGTCATCTACAACATTGAGACGCAGTCGTGATAGGTCGTTATTTCGTGAACATAGCCTGTAATGGAGTCAGCAACAGCCATGGAAGACACAGACACGGCGACATACCTGTGCGGCTCATTTATGAACTTGAAGTCGACTCGGCGGGCACGTACTCTGTGGAGAGGAAGACGTCACGGAGATCGACCGAGCTCTTCTTCCTGCGTACAGTGCGCAGTGTGTTTGAGCCGGTGCTCGCGTCATCGCTGAGGACGTCCGGATCTTGATGCTTCTCGTCCGTTGCGTCCTCCACACCATCGGACTTGGCCGACGGGAACGGGGTGCCCGAGGGGGCGTCCGTGGGGAGCGAGCTGAGGACGAACTCCACAGCGGCGCGGAACTGCTTCCCGCGCTTGCGCGAGAGGGTAGGGGTGGTCCCAGCGTTCGAGGACGCTGAGAAGGCGTTGATGTCCCAGGAGCGGCTCATGGTGGTGGTTGCAGTCGTGTGAGCGGGTCGTGAGAAGAGGGTGAGGTGTCTGGAGACGAGTAGGGACGAGGGTATGTGGGTGAGGAGGTGAGTGTATGAGACGGTAACGGACAAAGTGAACACGCACCTCGATTATATATGCGCGGAGTGGATGGCCGGAGTGGGGTGGGACGTCACAAACGACCACAGAGCGATCAGTGGAGCCGCAGGCGGCGAGGGCCGAGGCCCCCGATCCGCCGCGCTCGTGCACTGTCCCGCCCCGATACGGTTGCGGCCAAAGCAGGGAGCTCCCCGCCCCGGGCAGGTTCGCGCTGTCTGTACCCGTGAAACGTCCTCCCGCTCGTGTTTCTTTTGCGCCCCGGAGCATGCGAGCGCTGCCCACAACCTGTGACTGCGCCCGGAGCCTGAAAGATGTTGCCCAAGGTTCCGTCCGGAGGAGGTGCAAGCACTGGTCCGTCGCATGCTGTGCTGTCCGTTACTAGATTTGGGTCGCCTGCCAATTTGAATTTGGCGATACCTCTGGCCGGGCCGGACGCGGATGGGTATTAAGGTCATTGCAACTTGGTCGGCTTCACCGACGGCGCCTCCTGTCGCCTTGCTGACAGTGACACGCCCTCGTCACGTCGTGACCAGACTTCCAGAACATGTACATGTCTCATCGACATCTCAGTGGGCTTGTTGAAGTTGCGCTGAGCCTTTCCGCCGGAAGCCAGATGGCACCCTCACGACAAGTGCCTGCAGTTAGTCCCAAACTTCAAAGCTTCATCGTTGCCTCATTTTCTCGTTGGCATCCAGAGTAACGACTCACCGCAGACTGGAGACTCGAAGTGAATGTCTCCGCTACTAGATGATGCCATGTTATGTGAACCCCGCTGATGAGCTCGCATTGCCTCCGGCAGTGCTATACTCTAGCGCAACCTACTTCCTGATACTCTCCACTCAGGAAATGCACAACGGTCCGGCTCATCGTGTTTGCTGTCGGAGGAGGAGTTCTGCAGGCACTCGTCCCTTGCGTTGCGACTTCTTGTAAAGATGACTGTCTGCAAGGAGTTTGTCGCCCTCAATGCTCATCAAGAGTGTCGTGAAGGGCGACCTCGCTCTGCGCGTCGAGAAGGAACAGGACATCGTCCCTACTGCAGGTATTCTGTGGCGGAAGAAGGAGTGGCAATGAATGACACTGTTTTCTGTCCTGGGGCAGAAATGGACTCAAGCACTAGTACTCAACCCTACCGTGCCGCATCCCAAAGACATCAAGCTTCAAGATCATCGTTCTCCAACCATTTCCCAAATTGTACTTATGGCATGACCGGCCCGAGACGCCGGCCACAGGCTCCGACGACTCGACCGGCCTGCGAAGATCTTGGTCCGGCCTTGACAGACCCGCGACGTGTTTTGACCACTTGGTCCGGGGATCCTGAGATGAACGGACTACCTTGTGATATCTTCGTACCACACACGAACGTCAGCCGGCCCCCACAGCCAAAACAAAAGCGTACAACACGATGAGATTCCTCCGACCGCCGCATACAACTGACTAAGCCGACGCCGCGGCAAGAGGGGGGACCGTGAACTTTGAAGCCAGCTCGTCGAACAAGGATGCCTTTTGGTGATAATCCGTCACGAGCGGGTGGCCTGGGTGCTCCGCAGCCAGTTTGCTGTCACGGCCGCCCACTGGATCAGCTAACCCTTTCTCATACACGCGAGCATATAGGAAGACGAACGCACCTGAACAGCTCGTCCGCTTCTGCCGCTTTGGGCGCCGCAAGGCCGGCGGCGATAACCTGGGCTGCAAGGGTCTCCGCGTCGGGCGCGCCGCCCATCTGCGACTGTGCCTCTTCGAGGTCGCTCGTCGCGGCAGGAACTTCGCCACGGAGGAGCCGCGCGACGCCGCGCGCGGTGAGGAGGTGCGGGGAGGAGAGGGAGGGGTTCGCGAGCTGCTCGGTGTAGAAGGCGTGCGCGTCGGAGTAGGCGTCCTTGCCGCTCCCGAGGCCGATCGAGGCCTCGATGAGCTGCAGGAGGAGGTCGTCCTCGGCCCAGCGCTTGGCGCGATCGAACTCCTTGCGTGCGAGGTCGGGGCGGTGGATGGAGAGGTAGACCTGGACGGTGTATGCGACACTAGAGGTGGGGAAGGTGGTCAACGAAGAACGCTGGCGTGAGGATGGAAGCATGAACGGTGGAAGTGCGAGACGGATGATTTTGGTGTTGTGTATCGCGCTCTGGGGTAGAGAATGGAAGCAAAGACTCACGCTTCGAGGTTCTGTGTGTCGTTGCCCGCTCCGAGAGTCTCCAATGCCTCCTCGATCTCTCCCACCCGCACGAAGGCCGTCCCCGCGAGCACCCGCACGACGCCCTTCTCCCATGCGCTCGCATCGCATTCTCCCTCGATCTCCACGCTCAGGTCTCGGAACTCCTCCAGGATCGGCTCCCTCGCATCTTCGTCTGCGGTCACGAAGCGCGCCAGCGCCGCGACGCTCTTCAGGGCGACATTCTCGGTGTCTGCTGGGATCAATGCCTCCGCTGCCGCGGTATTTCCAAGAGCTATGTGTGCGCGAGCCTGGTAGACCAGTGTTGGATTGTACTCGGGTGAAAGAGCGTCGGGGAGGGTGAGGTCTACGAGAGACTTGTAGGCGCCTGGAAGCACGCAAGTGAGCTGTCAGAACGCCAGAAGAGAGAGGGAGTTTGTCGTACCGAGAGTGAATTGTTGCTTGACATGGTATAGTTCTGAAGAGTCCATGATGTAGATGGAGGGGAAAAACACGAAGTAGTGTTCAGGAACGAGAGTATGAGAGGCGCCCGTTCGATGAGCTCGCGGCGAGGACCTGCGAGGACTGGCAGCAGCAGGCGCCTATCTGCCGCCTTGGAAGTTGACCGCGAACAGTGACAAGGTGTGAGATCTGGTGCTTTCAAGGCGGGCATATGTCTAAGCTGATCCAAATACTGGCAGTCCTTTGTTACCGCTCATGGATAGAACGATGCCCGAGGTCCGTGATCCCAAGCTGTCAAATTGAAGAGCCTCTCGTTAAGTATGCTCTGCACGGGCGCGTGCAGTCGCTGAATCACGCCGGAGACGTGATGAGCGGTAAGAAGTCTCGGAAGTTGTGAGATGACATCCGAAACTTCCCAGAATCTGACGCATCGGCTGCAAGACTTGCACCACCTCTGAGTTATGTACGCACAAACACAACGCATGCCGTCACCACGTCGAACACCTGGTCATCTAAATGGAGGACATGGCCCGTGCACAAGCACAGGGAGCGCTCAAGAGCGTTGTGCACTTTTGACAGTTGCAGGGAAGTCGACAAGTTCTCGCGTCGTTTCCAGAAGCAGAGCTGCGCGTCCTCCGACAGGCCATCCTCGGAGGCTCGACTGTTTGTCGGCAGCGTGACCGCTAATTGCAGGCACTCGTCCGCCTAACTTCCAAATGAACGCCCCCTTTCCTCCCGCTGGCATGGAACCATCGCAATCTTCGAGCGAAAGCCACACTCTCCCGCCCACGTCCCACGACCTGCTGATCTGGCGTCACCTTCTTCGCTCCTTGAATGCCAATCACCCTGCCCACCCCGTTCCCCGTTCCCGACCAACGCCCCGGGTCCCCATATAAGCTCGACGGCATCTTCATCCAACTCAGTCGCTCTCTCTCCGCGATGTCCACCCTCACCTCCAAGCTCGCCAGGCGGTTCTCCACCCTGTCTGTCGACACCAATGACTCTGTCCCTCCTTCCCCTTCGACACAGCCCTTGAAGGGCTTCCAAGCTTTCAAGGACAAGGTGTGTGCATCTATTGCTTCTTGAGGGTCCATACCTGATGTCATCGCGTTGCCATAGATCAAGGAGCACATGCCCTTTGCATCGGACGTCTCCAACATCGTAGGTCAAGCAGTGGTCGACCTGTATGTGCCATTCACACTCGCCTTCGTTCCCAGGAGGGTATCGTGGATCTGCTCTCTCACCCGGATGGAATCGATGATCGGAAGATGCTGGTAAGGCCTTGAGACTTGGTGTATGTGGCTGTGTTCAGATTGTGATACTAACCTCAGTGATTGCAGCTTGAACATACCCTTGTGTTCCTCTCGAACAATGCGGGCCACCCTCTTGCGGATAAGCTCCAGAATGCAGTGATACAATTGCGTACGCACCTCCTGCGTATCAATAGATCATTTTACTTACATGGCTTCATGCCCACCAGTTTACAACGATCTACCCCACCCTCCGGACACTTTCGTCGGCAATCAATATGCCTTCCGTACCGCCGACGGATCTAACAATGACCCGTCGAACCCGGACCTAGGAAAAGCTGGGACGCCATACTCTCGCAGTGTAACTCAGACACACCCACTGCCCGTCAACGAACTACCTGACCCAGGCTTGGTCTTCGACACTCTGCTGAGACGCGAGAAGGTATATTTTAACGACTAATACGGCCTCAATTACTCATTGTATGTGCATCTAGTTCATCCCGCACCCGGCTGGGCTATCGAGCACCATGTTTGCGTTTGCGGCGCTGGTCATTCATACGTGAGTTCATTCCAGGAGGATCTGTGTGTGTCTTTATTGATAATTGCGTGTGCATAGGGTATTCCGCACCTCGCACAACGATGTCTCTATCAACGGCACATCCTCATACGTTGACCTCGCACCGCTGTACGGGAATAGCGAGGAGACGCTCAAGAAGATCCGTGTCTTTGACGGCCGTGGGCTCTTGGTCGCTGACACCTTCGCTGAGGATCGCTTGTTGCTCCTTCCCCCTCCGGTTTGCGTTCTCTTGGTGTTGTTCAACCGCAATCACAACGTGAGTCGCTTCTTCCACCGAGACGGGCTTCGCTGACCCCGCATCATCCAGTACATCGCCAACAAGCTCCTTGAACTGAACGAGCGCAGGACCTACAACTCCAACCTCGGCGAGCTCTCGCAGAAGGAGCTCTTCGATCAAGAGGAAAGCATCTTTCAGACTGCACGCCTGATAAATTGTGGTTGGTTCGGCGCGGCCGTCTTCTCCGACTACGTTGCTGCCATCTTGGGTCTTGTACGCCAAGGTAGCAGCTGGAGCTTAAACCCTTTCGAGGAGATGCGCAATCTTGATCACAGTCTTTTCGAACGTGGGCGTGGAAACTCTTGCAGCGTGGAGGTAACGTCGTTTCCCATCCTTGCTGGCGATACAGCTGTTCAATCTTTACAGTTCAACTGCTTGTATCGCTGGCATGCGACTACTTCGGAGCATGACGCGCTCTGGGTGGAAGAAATGGGCAAACACTTGTTCGGGGACAAGGCTGTGGAAGAGGCAAGTCTTTCAACAGATTTCAGTTGACATTTAACTCACGGTCGGACTTGAAAAGCTCACTATCCAAGATTTCAAAGACATGGCTCAACAAGTGGTTGCGCGGGAGCCTGACATCTCTCATTGGACATTCGGCGAGTACGTTGATTGTGCCATTATCACATTTGCCCCAGAACTGAGATGATACGTAGGCTCAAGCGAGATGAAGCGACCAACAAGTTCGACGATGCGCAACTAGCGAACCTTCTCAAGGACGCGTGAGTTCAAGCTTATTTCAGTCTTACAGACTCTCATCAATCTGCGATAATGTCATAGTACCTCTCGACCTGCTGGTGCATTCGGTGCCCGCCACACTCCACACGTCATGCGCTTGCACGAAATCATGGGCATCGAGTCTAACCGTCGATGGGGAGTGTGCTCTCTTAACGATTTCCGCAAGGTATGCGCTGTAGTTTATCCCCGTACCTAGTCCCGACTCACTGATGCTCGTCTTTTCAGTTCCTGGGCTTGAAAAGTAAGCTTCATTCTCGGAAATCCTAACGATATCGCTCACAATCCTGCAGCATACTCGAGTTTCCTCGAATGGAACACCAACCCTGACGTCGCACGGGCCGCCGAGAAGCTGTATGGTCACATCGACCGTCTAGAGCTGTACGTCGGTCTACAAGCAGAAGAGGCGAAACCAGTTATTCCAGGCGCAGGTCTTGTCCTTGTAAGCCTTTACAATGTTTGTCCATGAGGTCTCATGCGCGAACTGATGTGGTGAATTCGCAGCGTACACTGTCAGCCGTGCAATTCTGGCCGATGCTATCGCCCTCACGCGCGGCGATCGCTTCTTCACATCCGAATTCACACCCTACAACCTCACTGCATGGGGATTCGCGGATTGTCAACGCGACCCCGAAGGACCCGGAAACGGGAGCATGCTTGGCCGTCTGATCCTGCGCACGCTGCCAGCGGAGTACACCGACAACAGTACATATGCATGGTTCCCCCTCATGACCCCAGACAAGATGAAAGAGGTCTTGGGAAATCTCAACTGGACGCAGTACGACCTGAAGCGTCCCGTCACGACGCACGAGGTTCCAACTTTGTCGATGTATGCGGACGCCAAGACCATACTTGCGGACGAGGTGAACTTCGGTACCGGCTTCCCCGAACGTGTCAAGGACCTGGTGTCTGGCTCTGGGTAAGCTTGATAACTTCTCGTTGTTATATGGCCTGCCTGATTGGTTCTATCAGCTTCTTCATCGCCTCTAACGATCCCGTTCGAGCTGCTCGCGAGAGGCGAGGCTTGATTGACGTCCTGATCGGATCGCCTATGTTCGAGTCCACTGTCAAGCACTTCTTCTTGAACAAGACGCGGGAACTCATGCAACTCGAATCATGCCGTTCAATTGGCACTTCAACCCACACGGTTGACATCGTCAGAGATGTGCTGCGTGTCGTGCCCATCTACTGGGTTGCTGATATGGTAAGCTTCCAGGCATCTTATATGTTCGGAGCTTTGGCTTACCGTCAATACGTCGTCAGGCTGGAATCAAGCTCAAATCGAGTGCAGAAGCTAGCGGAGATTTTACTCCTTCCGAGTTGTTCGAAATCTTGTCTGATGCCTACTCGTGAGTCTTTTGTTCGGGTTGGTCGAAATGCAACTCAACGATCTGTATGTAGCTTCCTCTTCCTGGACATCGAAGCTGGCCAACTCCCCAAGCTTCGTCAACACGTCACAAAGAACATCAACAACCTCTTGGTGCTCATCCGTCGCCAGTTCGGTGGCTCACGCGTACGTCCATCGAAGGTGGGAGGCGCTCATAACTAACATCTCTTGACAGCTGTCTGTCGCCGGGATATTTGACACCGTATCACAGCTGTTCGTGAAGCAAGACAAAACCGAGAAGCACGCCTTCGCCGAAAGACTCCGCGGACTTGGTTACGACGTCGATGCACAATGCAACTTGGTACTTGCCCTTATGATTGGCGCGACGGCAGAGCTTTCTCAGGGTTAGTGAACGTGGGCGAACGTAGGACAGATGCTAATTGGGCTCCAAAATCCAGCTATGGTCAACGTGGTGAACTTCTATCTCGACGAGAGCAAGCCGACGGATGTGCAATCTCTGTGCACCAAATGGAAGCCCGGACAACTGCCGCTCGACTCGAGGGACGAGGCCTTCTTGCAAGGATACGTTCTGGAGGCCTGTCGTCTGGATCCCACCTTCCGCGGGGTTTACCGTGAGTATCGGCATCATGTATGATGTGCACCAGTTGACGCTTCGCTGTGGATTGTCAGGCAAAGCTGTGAACGACGTCAACTTGAGCCAAGGCCCCATCAAGAAGGGCGACCGCATCTTTGTCGACGTCTCGAAGGCCAACCTCAGTGTTCGTGTGATGCTTTGACATTCAATGTTTCTGTACCAAACATGCTGTATAGGGCCAAGCTTTCGTTGACCCAACGAATGTGATCCCCACCCGCAAGTTCGAAGAGTACATTGTGCTCGATGGAGCTGGACAGTGAGTGCATTCTTTATATCGTCCGTGTTACAGTGAAGTGACATGTTCTGGTCACAGGTGCACCGGTCTCGACTTTTCCTCGAAGGTCTGTTCATGTCGATGTTCCAATACTCTTGAAGGCTGATCTGCTTTCGTGATTGCACAGGTCGTCGCTCATGTCTTCAAGCCGTGTACAGCTTCAAGAATCTTCGACGGGCGCCGAGCATGTCCGGCACGCTCAAGCGGTACGTGTTTTCAGTTGGCGCTTGCATCATCCACTTATCTGGCGATCCGTAGGTACAAGGACGACTCTAGGACCAGCCGGTATGCATACCTCAACAAGGATCAGCACCTTACTCCCTGGGCCACGTCTATGCTTGTGCAGGTGAGGAAATATTGCATTAGAATGCAGCATGGCGCTCACTATTGTCTGTGTTCCAGTTCGATGCCTGAAAATTCGAGACCCATCTCCGAACGATGTGACATTGGCTGCCGCACTGCTTCCATCGCGTATGATTGTCCAACGTACCTCATGTTCAATGCTATATGTTGTCATCGCCTCCGCCCTTCACGGAATCGGCATCGTTCGTTGATCATTGAATTTGTCGAGGTCCAAGGCGATGTATAAGTGACATCAAGCGGGTATCGGGATTTACATATAGCTGCGGTCTGGAGATGGTGCCGGGCGAGTACGTGCGTGAAAGGGTGGGATCGCGTGCGCTTGTGCTGCCGGTGTCCAAGGGCCGCGTCAGTCGCCGGTATACCGATCGGACGTGAGAGTGGGTGCCTCCGCGTCGGGCGGCATTCCGATGCTCTCACCTGCCGCCAGTCCTCTAAGCCTCACCGGTCACCCTTCCTCGTTTCTCTCATATCTCCTTCCACATCGGCCACCCTCCTTGCCCTGCTTTCTCTCCTTCTCCTGCCTTGCAGACCTGCCTTCTAGACCCGACTTCGCGCGCGACCACCTATCACACAACCTCTCATCGCTGCCCATCCCGATGTCCGCGGAAGCCTCTTCCTCCTCATATCTCAACCCTGACGCTGCGCCCGACGCAACAGCCGCGTCCGCGTCCGCCTCGATGCCGTCCTTCGCCCAGCCCGCGGCCTCGCGCCCGTCCGCGCCGTCGACACCCCCACCCGAGGCAACGGAGACGGTGCACCTGCTCGTGCTCGTGCACGGCATGTGGGGCAACCCGAGCCACCTCGCGGAGACGCGGCGGGTGATGCTCGCGACGCGCGGCGCGGCCGCGGACGCGAGCAGGAGCGTGGGCCCCGGCGGGGAAAGGCTACATGTGCTGGTGGCGGAGACGAACCAGGAGGCGGCGACGTACGACGGGATCGACTGGGGCGGGGAGCGCGTCGCGGAGGAGGTGAGGGTCTTCTGTTGTGCACTAGTCGGTCGGGGTTGGGGCGCGGAGCACTCGTTCGACTCTGAGGGCGAGGGCGAATGCGTGACGGAGAGGCTGCTGGACGCGACGTCCGTGGGGAGCGTGGGGTTGCCTCCCTGAGGGAACGCGCGGTCGGGGCGTGTGCAGCGGCAGATGAAATGGACGCACGGCATGAGCTGACGCGTTGGTATCGGTTGTTTGCAGATCTACGCTGAGGTCAAATCGCTGCAGAAGGAGGGCAGGAAGGTGACCCGGTTCTCGGTGACCGGATACTCCCTTGGCGGGCTCGTCTCGCGCTATGTCATCGGGTACGTGCTCTGCTTCTCTCATTTTGAGCATCGGCGATAGCGCGAGTATGTGGGGCTCTCGCTGATAGGCTTGTGCTCCTGTAGGATCTTGCACCAGCGCGGGTTCTTTGACACCGTTACTCCGGTGAATTTCAACACATTGGCAACACCGCATATAGGCCTACCCAAGTACCCGACTTTCCTCTCGTCGCTCACGAACTACTTCGGGCCCAAACTGCTTTCGCGGACGGGAGAACAGTTCTACACCGTCGACAAGTGGTCGAAGAATGGTCGACCATTGCTGGAGGTTATGGCTGACCCATGTGAGTTCATATCCACGCTTCGTCGCGCGCCTTCATGCTAATTTCCGCGTCTCGAAGCCCGCATCTTCTACCAGGCACTCGCCTCGTTCCAGCATGTCCGGATATACGCCAACGCCGTCAATGACCTCACGGTTCCTTATGTCACCGCCGCCATTAAAGCCACAGATCCGTTCCTCAACCATGAATTTAATGGAGTCACAATGTGCGTCTTAAAACCCGAGATGTACGATGCTGAGGCCTAATGCTCTTGTCCACAGAGAATTAGATGAAACGTATCCCGCTATAATCAAGTCATACAACATACCCGAACAATTTCTGGCCAAGCCCCAGGTTACACCTCTGTCATCGGAGTGGTTCAAAAGCATGAAGCCCAGGCGTCCTATGCTGCCGCCTCCGCTCCAATTTGGCTTCCCTTTCAATCTGGTAAGGATCATTCACAGATGTCATTCTAACCTGTACTGAAGTCCTGCCGTAGGTGATCTATGCTATGACGCCTTTGCTGATTCCCCTGTTCATGTCCCTCGTCCTCACTCGTCTGAGTCTCGACTCGCACAAATCAAAGGCGCGCATCCAGCTGCTGAGAAGGAAGGCTCCGAATCGGGCACGGAGCGCCTCGCGCACATCGTAGGCAAGCTCGAACACGACATGGAGGGGGCAATGCTCGAGATCTTCGAGGGTGACTTCGCCGAGAACGGCACCGCATCGTCCGTGACTCCCGCCACTTCCGCCGCCTCAGCGTCCGCCGCGATGTCCCCGACCTTGGCAGCCTCGCCTCCTCGTCCACCACTGGGTCCGATGGCGCATCCAGGCAGGTGAAGGCGTCAACAGCAGGAGAAAGGCAAGGCAAGGCGAACGAGCCGGGCGCGCCTACACTCCGCGAGGCGCAGATGCGAATCATCAAGTGGCTCGACAGCCTGCCCGGCTCAAGAAGGAGCTCGCTTGGTTCCCGAACGTGATGAACGCGCACGCCGTCATCATCTCGCGCGACGTGAAGCGCTTTCCGGTCCACAAAGAGGGCGAGTCCGTGCTACAGCATTGGGCGGACCACTGGATCATCTAGCCGTCGCCCGGCGCGGCGGAGGCTTTGTGTGGGTGGATGGGACAGTTTAATGATTGCCCGTCGCGACGGCGATTCCCGTTTGTTCTGCTATATTCTGCTTTCTATTATAATGCTTGTTAGACTTACGGCTCAGTCTCATTGGACGTTTGCTCACCTGTTTGTAGGGACGGTTGTACCGTAATCACGCTGTAGTGTTGACTCAATCATTGACATGCGACGCCCTTATCGTTATTCCACGTATCCCATTGCGAAGAAGCTGACGCCTTTGTGGACGGCGTGCTTTGTGAGTCCTGTCGAGAAGGATCGGCCACTTTTATAGGTGCGTCGGCCATGCGGCCCCTCATCCTCCCTCTCTTTTTGCATACAACCCGTCAAGATGGTCCGATGCGCAACAACCCGCGACCGTATGTTGTCTACTTGTTGTCACACTCGTGTTGTTTTTGAATATTTAGGCAGGAATCTTCAACCAAGTGCGCGTGCGACCTGAGGGGTCCTTCACCGAGGCGGAGATGTGCCAATCCGGTGCGTGCTCCGCCTTCTGCATGGTGCCTCTAGCTTACTCGGGCGTGCTCAGTGACCCTCCGGCGGCTACACAGTCTGGGCCCGGCAAAGACAACAAGAGGACCGGGGCGTACGTCCACAGCACTTTGCACAACATGGTGAGCCTGTGATAATGATTGAAACCACGAGCGTTGCTAACCTGAAGATGCGCGTCAGATCCAGGCAAAGCTGCTGGACAAAAGGCGCGTCTCTGGCGGCAATTACAGGTACAAGCCGACGGTGGTCCTTCAGCAAGCGTACGTGATCACTCGTTACCGTGCTTTGGGTTTCGGCTGTGCTGACGGGTTGCGCCAGTGCGAGGCGGGCACAGATGGAGTGCGGGGACGATGCGTCCTCGTTGACCGTTGGGAGGTCTATCCAGCGTCAGGTCGGGCCGGTCCCCAACATCACGAAGCGCCAGGTGGGTGGCGATTCTTTGCGTTAGCGTGTCATCGCTGAACACTCCTCTGGGCAGCTTGTGGTCGTCATTGAAGAGAAAGACGAGCAGATCAGCGGCCTGAGGCTGCAGCTGCAGAACCCTCCCCATGTAGACGGCGACGCTGGTATGATGGACGTGGACCCTGTCGACGACCGATCGGACGTCCAAGGCTCTGTTCAAGGCGAGCTCGCTGCGCAACAATCGGTCAACGACATGTCCGACACCATCTCGCACCCGCGCCGCTCTCTGGTGCCGCTGAGCAGTGCTCCTACGTTCGTACACTCTCCTTTGCGTTGCTTGTAAGTGCCCCGCGCTGACTGTACTTTCGCTTCAATATAGTGAACTTGTCCTGGACCCCAAGACTCCGGCACGCAGGGGCACCGACCTGGGCTTGCTGACCCCACCAGACACCGTGGAAGTCCGACGCCGCAACTCCCGTTCCTTCTTGGACGAGCACAGCGTCTCCCGAACCATGACGCCCGTGCTGGTTGCGCGCGAGGACAATGTGCAATCCATTGATTTCCGACAGTTGCCCCGGCAGGTCAGTGGCCCATTCATGTGCGACCTGTTGGTGGGTCTTGGATATCAATGGACCCTACGCAGAGCACCGTTCGCAGCGCCACGCCCAAGGAGGACGCATTTTTTCAGCCTGTCAACGAGAATATCCTCGACGTACAGCTGGAGACGGCTGAGCGCTCCGATACCGATGTGAGTAGCGGCCTTGTGTTATGCTGAACTCGCGTCGTTCTCTGACACGCGTGCCTCCTGCCCAGCGCGTCGCTGCTCAGCTCCAGCAAGCGCGGGAACTCCAAACACAGGTGAGTCTCGCTCATGTGCGGTGCACCTCATTCGCCCGCCGCACTCACAGATTCGTTTGCGCCGCAGCTGGAAGCGTGTAAGGCGGAGCTGGAGCGCTGCAACACGGCTCAGGGCGAGCAGACCGAGAAGTACCGGGAGCTGCGGGCGCGCCACAGCGACCTCGAGCGCACGCTCCACCGGATTGTCGAGGAGAACGGGCAGGTCCTGACGATCGCGAACGAGCGCGTGTACGCGCTGGAGAAACTGGTGGCGTCGTTGCGCGAGCACTTGGATGGGCTCGGGAATGCGCTGAAGCAGGGCGTCGGGATCCTGCTTCCGTGGCTCGGTCAGTGAGAGGGCACGGAAGCCGGCAGGACCTGGAGCTTCGCGTGCGAGAGTGCGAAGTATACTTAGGCTTGGGGAATGTTTAGTACGGAAGTCGACGGAGCAGCGCCGGATGCTCTCGGCTTGCGCGCAGATATTATGTATCATTTACCGCTGCTAATCTGTATGCTCACCGTTATGTATGTACGCATACTTGCGACGTGAGCACGATGCGGAGGAGTCCAAGATCGGTCACGACTCCGGGTTGGCTCTGGTGCTTGGTCTCAGTCGAGCGCTGGCGGCGACCCGCGCGGAGAGTTACATAGAAGGTGGGTCGCCGCCGCTGCCCGAGTTGTCATGTATGGAAGACTGATGATAGACAATAAACTGCTGAGAGCTTTGGGCGTTCAGCACCAGCAACTGTCGCCATCCAGTGATGTCGATGAATGGCGGTACGATCCACGTGCGCATGTGAGTGTTGCGGCGTCTTGTAACAAGACTCTTGCATCCAGACCACCACCATCCCCCGTGTCGCACAAAAGCACCTGGGTGGGTGGACGAGAACGACACGCGTCTTGTTCCGGTGCTGAGCATATCACGCCGCAGCCGCCCAGCGCCGACGCCCAATGCCCCTCCTCGACCTCCCCGTAGAGCTCCTCCACGACATCTTCACCCTCGCCTGCACCGACGGCGGCCCCACCGGCTGCGCCCTCTCCCTCGTCTCGCGGCCCGTCCACGCCCTCGCGCGCGCCGCCCGCTTCCACTCCGTCGTCCTCGTCCCCGCGACGCCCTTCCGGGTGAACCGCCTGCGCGCCCAACTCGCGCGCGACTGCGCGGCGGACGCGTACGTCCCCAGGCTCCGGCACCTCTGCATGAGCGTCGTCGAGGGCTCGGGGCGCTTCTGGCCTGCGGATGCAGACACAGAGCCTTCCGCGGCGGCGACGGCGGTGGAGCCCAACCGGGACGGGCGCAAGAGCAGGCCGGCGCACAAGGAGGACAAGGATAATTTGAAGGACTGCGCGCGCGCCGGGACGGCGTTCCGGGACGCGCGGACGTACACGCAGAGCGTGTCCGCGCTGCTCCAGCTCGCGGCGCCCGACCTCGAGACGCTCACATTCGTGCACTGCCACGGCTGGGTCGACGTCGCGAGCATGTACGGCGTCGAGTGCGCGCGGTTTCCGGCGCTGCGCGAGCTCTCGCTCGTCGGGAGCTACCCGTTCGTCGAGGTGCCGCGAACGCGCGGGGACTACAGCGCGAGAGCACGACCGGACGACGCGCGGGACGCAGAACAGGAAGAAGACGGTGATGGCGTCGAGGAACAGGGGACGGCGATGCCCCGCCTCGAGAGGCTGCACCTCGCGTTCCCGTGGGCGCACATCGCCGGGATGGAGCTCCTCCCGTGGCTCGCGCGCGCGCCGCGCCTCAGCCACCTCCGCTCTCGAACGTGTACCGCATCCCGGACGGGCTTCGCCAGGTCCTGGTGCGTGCGCTCCACATTCTCCCTGCCCCGCGACGTCGCGCGTGCTCATTACCGTCCACATCGATCCCCGAACCTCGTCCCGCCCGTCGACCTCCGCAGGCGCACGCGACGCCTCGCCGCCGCTCGGGTTCCCGAAGCTGGACAGCGTGCGGCTGCAGCCGCGCGCCGCGCGCCAGGCGCTCAACGGCCGCTTCCCGCGCGCGACCCGGCAGCACCAGCGCGTCACGCAGGCGCTGGACGCGCTCTGCGCCGCCGCCGCGCGCCCGGTCGTGCGCGTCCGCCCGACACGCGGTTGTGGGACGCGAACTGGGAGGAGGTCGCGCGAAGGGAGTGGCTCGATAGGCTCGATGGGGGCCCGGGTGCTGGTGAGGCACAGGCCCGCGCCTACATGGGATGAACGCGGTTTGAATCGCCGAGCTAAACTTGGCTCATTTGGATGGGGGCTTTGTAGCATTGTATCCTCGGTGGGAGGAAGTCGGACCGCTGGAGAACCGTCCTTGTTTCGTAGAATGACGGGTGTCTTCGTTTGGCTGAGGGTTCGTTCACTGCCAATTCTGTATGAGAACAACGAGTCGTCAGATGGCAGCACAATAGCTAGATCGCGTGCTTTGAGCTCCCAAGCGCCGTCAAGTATCCTTCGAGAATGGGACGCACCTTCTTGTTTTCGTGAAGAATGGGCCACGTCGCCGGGCGATTCAGTGCGCACCCGATTTGATGCAGACACAGTCCAATGAGTTCGAGGCGCGGAACTAGATTGTTAACGATACAAAAGGCCCAGAAGAGCTACAGCGATAATGTCCCTGTTAAATAATACAGTGTGCCCGACATGGTCGAGGAGATAAGTAGACGTTAACTTATGCGCTACAGGTGTGGGGGTGGTATCTCTCTATGCCGAGGTATACGGAGAAGATCCAAGTCCGAGAGGGATTAGCCGGCGAGCGGCGGTATGTGATGTGGTAGGGTATCGTGGAGGGTAAAGCGCATAAGGTGACGTGTGTCCGTGTCCAGCCTGTGGAACTGAAGCGTTAAGGGGGCATAGATAGACTTGGAGCGCATAATATGGTCGAGAATTGTTCGATGGGAGGAGCATAGGCGACGGTGGCGAAGGGCCCTCGGCGTGGACGGGGTGCGTGAATACGTGGAGGCTTGTAGCTCAGACGTAGCGGACGCTGCGACGGCGGCCGGTGAGGATGACGAAGTCCTCGGGGACGACGGAGGTGCGGCGGTGGCGACGGCTTCGGCGGTTGAGGGCCTTCCAGGCGCAGATAATGCGACGCTCAATGTACTTTGAAGCGGACATGCTAGAAAGACAGGCAGATCAGAATGCAGCTCCGGGAATAGATGGATGAGACTCACCGGCGCTGCTGCTGGGGGAAGGGGGTGAAGGAGACGACAGCGAACTGAGAGGACATGCTGAATCGGATGAGGGGTGGTTCGGTGGTGGTAGTGGTTGAACGTTGAGATGTGGGGGCTGGGTCGGGGCGTGTGCGGAGAGGGGATTAAGAGAGTGTCAAGAGTAAAGAGAGGATAATCGTCGCAGACGATGTGATAGTGTGAGAGCACGCCGAGTGGAGGTGGGAGAGGAGATGATCCTGGCCAGTCTGCCGGCCACAGAGGGTGATTATATGCGCCCAGTGGCGAGGGGCATAAGCAGAGGACAATGACAGACGCGGAGAGGTGTTCTGCCATTATGCACGCCCCAACAACGAGACTGGGCAGACAATGGGAGAGACGGACAGAGCCTGCAGCCGGCGTTCAGACAGCCGCATCTGGCGAACAAAAGCCTTCCCGGCGCCTACCTGCGACATTGTCTCGTCGCGGTCACGTGCTCTGGCGTTCATCTCCCACGCGCGCTTACGCGTTGTTGACCAAACAGGCACAGGCGCTAACGCTCCATTATCTGCTCGTGGCGACAACTTCCAGCTACTCTTCCATGAACAATTGCCTACCTTCTTTCTCCTTGACAACACATCTTGTTTGTAGTATTTGTCTCTGCTGGAGATTCCCGATGAATTGATCACAACGCGGTTGCACAAGTAAGCTCCTTCATGTTGACAGGAGGTTCAGATGCAGTCTAGCAGCGCGTTTCATGCAAGGCTTCGTGTTTCTTTCGGTCAGGACGGATTCTGCTGAAAATGATTGCCTGCTGACCCGTGTCGGTACTTGTGCAGGCTTCTGTGAAGATCATGCTGCGGTCCTATGCCCCAAGTGTGGATGGAAAGCATAATATTTATAGAGCGGGGAGCATGGCGCAGGCTCGGGCTGGCAAAACCCAGGGAAGAGGTGGAGCTAACACGAATTCGAAGACGGAGAAAGGCTACCCGCGTTTTTCTTGGCTGCCACTCCCCGAACTTGAACCGAAGTCGCCAGATGCGCCAGCCGTCGTCGTTCAGCCTTAGGTACCGTTGCTACCCACATCCCGTGCGGGAGATAGCCGCGTAGGTGAGTTTCCCGCCGCTTCCCACCTCATGACCGTCATGACCCGCTCTCGCCTGCGTCGTGCCCACCAAATGACCACCCCCGACGTCTTTCCGCCTGTCTTTGTCGGGTGATACCCGGATATTTTGCTCGCTCGCTGTGGTGTCCGTGGCGGCGCAGTGTGTCTTCATGCCGTATATAACTGCAGCGAGCGGGGCTCTTGGAACTCAGGTTGCTGGCCCCACTACCTGATACAAAAATGTCCAAGTTCTCGACACTCCTCGCCCTCCTCTCTGTCCTTCCCGCTCTGTCCCATGCCCAGTCTGCGGTGTACGCCCAGTGCGGTGGGATCGGTTGGAGTAGGTTTCACATTGTACTACATACAGGGTCTTCGGCTGACTGTTTTGATCTATAGCCGGTGACACCACCTGCGTCTCTGGTTCGGTCTGCACTGTGCTCAACGATTACTACTCGCAATGCCTGTGAGTATTTACTTGCATGTCCTCGGACACCGAAACATCTGGCTCACTTGTCTTCGCAGTCCGAGCTCTGCCACGACTGGCTCTACCAGCACTGTCGCTTCGACCAGCACTGTCACCCCGACCAGCACTACCTCCGTCAGCACCACCACCGGTTCCAGCACCGGAACGGCGACAAGCACTTCCGCCACGTCCACGTCCACTGCTGCTGCCGGCAACCCCTTCGCCGGCTACGAGGTCAGTAGCACTCCCAGACGATCTAGACCCATGAGCTGACCGTCTTTGCTCCCAGATGTACCCGAGCCCGCTGTACTCCTCTGAGGTCGCCGCCGCCGCCGCCGCCATGACGGACGCGGACCTCGCCGCCAAGGCCGCGAGCGTCGCGCAAATCCCCACCTTCACCTGGCTCGACACGGTGGCCAAGGTGCCCTCGCTCGGGGACCTCCTCGCGAACGCGACGGCGCTGCAGGCGAGCTCGGGCCAGAAGCAGATCGTGCCGATCGTCGTGTACGACCTGCCGGACCGCGACTGCGCCGCGAAGGCGTCCAACGGCGAGTTCTCGATCGCCGACGGGGGCGAGCAGGACTACTACGGCTACATCGACCAGATCGTGGCGCAGATCGAGAAGCACCCGGACGTGCGCGTCGTCGCCGTGATCGAGCCGGACTCGCTCGCGAACTTGGTGACGAACCTGAGCGTGGAGAAGTGCGCGAACGCGGAGACGACGTACAAGGCGTGCGTCACCTACGCGCTCAACCAGCTCGCGACCGTCGGCGTGTACATGTACATGGACGCCGGGCACGCGGGCTGGCTCGGCTGGCCCGCGAACATCCAGCCCGCGGCGACGCTCTTCGCGGAGATGTACCAGAGCGCGAACTCGTCCCCGTTCGTCCGCGGTCTCGCCACGAGTACGTCCGCGTCTCTTCCGTCCTAGGCTCACGCGCGACGCTAACCCACTGTCCCCCCCCTCTTTCCTATCGTCAAACAGACGTCGCGAACTACAACGCCCTCCAGGCCTCCAGCCCCGACCCGATCACGCAGGGCGACCCGAACTACGACGAGCTCCTGTACATCGAGGCGCTCGGGCCGATGCTCTCCTCCGCCGGGTTCCCCGCGCAGTTCATCGTCGACCAGGGCCGCGCCGGCCAGCAGAACCTCCGCCAGGCCTGGGGCGATTGGTGCAACATCAAGGGCGCCGGGTTCGGGATGCGGCCGACGACGGACACGCCGTCGAGCCTCATCGACGCGATCGTGTGGGTGAAGCCCGGGGGGGAGTCCGACGGGACGAGCAACTCGTCCTCGCCCCGGTTCGACTCGACGTGCTCGCTCTCGGACGCGACGCAGCCGGCGCCCGAGGCGGGGACGTGGTTTCAGGCGTACTTCGAGACGCTCGTCTCGCAGGCGAACCCGTCGCTGTGAAAGGGGGCGCGAGCGTCGCCACTGCGTGTGTTGTACTGCTATGTGTATGTGTATTGTATTGCTGTCGCCCACAAAATATTAGTTTCTCTTTCCTGATCTTGCGCTCCCTGCTACGCGCTCCCAGGCGCTCCACCCGTCAGCCCGAAGGTGCCTATGTGAACAGCGCCGTGCCAAGCAGGGTGATGTTCACAATCCTGAACCGCCTGTTGAGCGCCTCGTAAGCTGGCGAGTCCGTCTTGAGGCGAACAGTCGCTCGACGTCTGTCTTTTTTCATCTCATCTAAAACGGGCGGCTGGGCGCATACGCTACTCATCGCGCCGACAGAAAAATGATGAGACTACGCGAGACCGAAGCATTGACGGAGGACATGTCGGCAAGCGCAACGTTTGCATCGACGGCTTCGGGCTGTAGATGGGCAAGAGACAAGCAGGAGACACACCACTCTCTTGAACCCCACATCAACCCAAGAAGCCAGGGGCGCACGCCGTTCCCCACACTGAGAACCAGTAAGGTAGGTAGCGGCATTCTCGAATTAGCAGATATGCCAGCCCGATATCTGACAATACGGCGTCTGCGAATTATACAGTAAGGTAGACCGGCCGGGTATTGAAATGCGATAAATAGAACCAAACCACGAGAGCGGAGGGTTATAAATCACGAGGAGGAGCGCGAGCAATTGAACGTGTACGCCTCGGGTAATCTAGGGGTGCGCGGACATTTTGGTCATGTATGATCGTGATGTGTGGTGACTACAGGCGAGCTGAGGTATGTGCGCTCGGCGAGAAAGTAGGGAGTGTGGATGCGGGGCCGGGGGACCGGAAGAAGAATGGATATGTGCGCGTTAGTACGCGACGTACGCAACGCATAAGAGAGGGAAGCCTGCGTAGAGCCCAATCCAGAACACTATATTGCCCATGAGCTTGTTTCTCCGAATGGCTGGGATCCTTCCGATGGCGATCAGAGGGATTTGTGCAATCTGTCTACGGCTCAGTCCATGGATCGCGTTCGAGAGCGAATGAATACTGACCTGTAGGATGAAGAGGTAGAAGCGTATCTTCTTCGTCACGACGGCCATCACAAGCTCATGTGCAAGAGCACTGAAGCAGAACGTGAAGAACATGGCGCCTTGTCGCGAAAGCTTGTAGCTGCTGATGGATGACGCGTAGACGTGACGGAGAAGGAAGGTGTGCACCGGCTTGTTCCACTTGCGTGAGAACTCGTCCCATGACGTCGAGTTCCACCAGTCGTCGTAGAATTGACGGTCCGCGAAGCTGCATGACATTAGCCATGACGGTCGCTAAGCAGGAATGAACGCTTACTAGCTGAGCTCAGCGAAGGCGTTGCAGATGCATTCTGGAGGTCCGTGATTGAGCGACAAAGTAGCTTGCATAAATACAGTAGGACATACCGAAGATGATGTAGAAGAGTAGCAAGTACGAGATCATGAACGGCATCGCGAGGTCGAGCAAGCTGCGCGCAAAGCTCTGCTCCGGAGTCGGCGTAAGAGGTAGGATGAATGTTTCCACCATTGTGTACAGGAGAGCGAACGTCCCAAAGAATGCGACCGACTTCTCGAAGACGTAGAGTGGGCGGATGCTCTGTGTGCGGGGATATTCGAGCTCATAAACCAGTGTCGGCGTCAGCTGATACCATGCAAAGTCGTAAAAGCTGATATTTTGAGGCCACCGAACCTTGCCCTCGATGGATCCGGTCAGTTCATATTCGAGCTCGGTGTGTGCCTTGGCGAGAGACGCAATCTTCTCCGAGGGATGGTTGGAGAGGATCTCTGAGGGAGTGGGAGGCCCGATATCTACAACATCGACTGCCATTGCTTGCGTCCCGGAGGTCCTGACACCAACGGTCCTTTGGAGACATCACCTTTGCCAGAGTGCGCGAGGAGGCGCTGGCGTAAGGTGGCAACAGTGCGCACGTCGACGTAGGACGTGGTACTTCCAGCGGGTATGTCAAGTGGAACATCCGGGGTACCAATCTCCACAGGTGATTCCTGCTGGATCATTGCCGATTCAGCCGCCTGGAGCGCGGCATCCCATCCACCCTCGTCTTCGGCGGCCCGTTTGAGCTGGCCGAGCAGCGCGCGGGCGCGCTTGTCAACGGATGCGAGCTCGCCATTGACGCTGAGGTATGAGTGTACCTTCATCATCATGACCTTGGAGATAGAATTCGTGTCAGTGAGATCAGCGTGATGGCAACATGCGCGACCGCGCCTCCTGGACGCAATAGCATCGCATCTCGGCATCGCCCCCGCGCACTCGACCGCGCGATGTGCTTCCGACACCGCAAGCGGCGCGCACGGCGAAACTTCTCCAGGACCGCGACGACGAATAGACGCCCATGGGCGAGCGAGAAGCAAGGGTGATTGTTCTCCGCGCGGCCGGGGAATTTGATGCGTCGCGACGGAAGACAGGATGTAGGACGTAGAGACAGGGACCGGGAGGTTTCGCGCAGTGATAGCGGAAGCGTCATTGCAAAAAGCAGTACTCACAAACGAGTGGAGGGTAAGGAACCCAGATTGGACCCAAGGCCATTGCCTACGTGAGGCACTGTGAGAACGAGCGAGCGAGCGAATTATGAGTGAGCGCACCTGTTGAACGTCCACGTAACGGCGACAGCGAGCATCGTGGCCTGCCAGAGATGCTGGAGGAGGATGCCTTGCCAGTAGTACTTGATCCAACCCGTGGAGATGGCCTTGGCGAAAAGAACACAGATGCCTGTGCTGAGGACGAGAACGGCGTCGGAGAGCGCGAGGGTCATGGCGTCGCGCGACATCATGGTCGCGAACTCGAGGTTGAGGGGAGAGCCTGCCTGTTCAACGCTGCGAATGTATGTGCTGACGATGAAGAGGAAGAGGGAGATCCAAAAGAGAGTGAAGAAGCCGCGGAACTGATTTGTGTAGCTGGCCTCATTTCCGATGTCAAAATGGGACTTGCGGGGTGCGAAGGTGACCATGGCGCGTAGCTTGTTGGATGAGGAACGGTAGGGCTTGGAGAGATATACGGTGCCTGGCGCAGGCGCAGGCGTGGTGGTGGAGCCGTTGACGGCTGCGGGGTGAGAAGAGTCGGACGCAGCGGCCGGGGCAGCCATGGTGGGTGGAGAGACGGGGCAAGGGCACAGTCAGGCGGAAGCTTATGAAGGCGACCTGCGGAGGGCGCGGGCGAGCTCGGCGCGAGCGTGCTCGAGCGCCCCTACGTCATCGGACGCGTCCTCTTCCGTCCGATCTCGCCAAATCATCCTGTCCCCGCCGTGCTCGTTGCTCTCTCAGTCACACTTGCGGCCATGTCGCTTTGTAACGCACCCTTTCATCAGTCCGACATCGTCTCGATCCAATCTACACCATGTAAAACCCGTCCTCCGCCGAGCCCATCCCGAGCCCGACCAACACCGTTCACCTCACCAACAAATACCCCACGAATGCCATGATAACCCCCAACAGCACCCACCACGTCGGATTACGAGCACCGTCCCGGTAGCATTCGTTCGCCTTCGCCAGCTTCCCCCAAATGATCGCCGCCGGGTCCTCCAAAAGCACCTCCGAGTCCAGTCGGAGGTAGTCGGACCGCACGTTCAGCATGATGAGTGCCTTGCAAAACTCGTCGTCTTGCCTCCACAGTTCCTCGTACTCGCACCTCAGGACTCCGCTCCTCCAGCATTCCTTGTCCTCTGTGGGCGGACAACTGGTCACGCACAGATGCGCGAGTGGGATGGACTTCACGCGGAGTACCGTCTCGATTGCAAGCTTGAATTCGTTCCAGTTTGTTGGGCTCAGACGAAAATGGACAGGCAGGAAGAGCTCGCCCATCTTTGCGTCAGCCATTTGGGGGCGGTAGAGTGAAGTCGGCGTGCATGGTGCGGCCATCTTGGTACTATCAGTCTTGATGTCAGGATGTTGCATAAAGAACCACAAGACACGCTTACCTGTAACTGTGTGCGAAGGGCAGACGGAGCCCTCGCATTTTGGTCCCGTTACGCGATATATACACCTCGGCAGTTCTTTGTGTTGTTTGTGGCGAATGACCACAGTGCGATCGCCAAAGTGACCCAAAGAAACTTACAATGAAGTGCCACTACTCCTTGTTTGAGCGGGAACAGCAGGAGCTGCTTACAATCACTCGTCACTCGAAACATTGAAGCGATAGTTATATTTTTGGGACGAACACATCCGGTTACATACGATAGAGAAATGTGCCATCCTCCAAAATATCCACACCTTTGTCTCTGATTTAGAGGAAGGTGGACTGAGATGAAGGATGAACGAAGACTTCTTGACGAAGCCCGAGACGATTTCGCCGCCCAGTTTAACGCCAGAGCGGTGGAAAAGCATTCCGCATGAGGTGTAGATAATGACGGCAATACAAGAAGCAAGGCAGCAAGAAGTGAAGAGCAGTCAACGTTCAACATGGCGATGGATTGGACTTGGAGGGAGGAAGAAAACCCAGGAGCAGAAGGGAGCAGACCGGCGGCTTTTGTAGTTCTGCTTACATGATACACTCCCCTCTGATTAGGCGCCAAACAAGCAATGTCCCGGCTCGACGCGCCCGACGCGCACACGCTGTCTTGAGCCCTCCCTTTCCCCCCTTGTTCGCATTGTTTCCCCTCTTTGTGGAGGATTTATGTCCAGAAGACACCCGGGAAACTACGGCCTTCCAGACAACCCGACATGGATCGAATTTCCCCGCTCAGATGGAGACCCGTCCCTCCTCCCGAAGAACACGGCCAAGGTTGTTGACCGCGACGGGAGCGTCAACTTCATGCGTCCTGTTCCGCTCGACGAAAGTCTGGCGCTTATGTGGAGGATAAACGTCGGCAGGGAGGTTGCAAACCGGATGGGACTTGCCGGTATGTTAGTAAAAGCCACGCGCAAAGTCCTTCCACTCATCGGCACGTTTATGCGGGCAGAGGGACCAAAATACGTCCTGAAAGACTTCCCTCATGGATACCATATGTATGACCACAACAAAGGCCCCGAGAAAGCACCGAGACACGACCCGTATTTGTGCGGTACGTCTATTTATCATGGCACCACGCTTTGGCAGCATACACGCGTTCAGATGTGCCCATCGGTCGTGTTGCCCCGGGGGAATGCGGATACAGCTTACGCGTGTTGGGATGATGGTCCGGAGCTCGTACCCGTGTAGGGAAAGGTGCCAAGAACAGAGAGGAATTCACGCCTACGCGTCAAGGGCGTGTTGTCTGAGCCGGGGGAAGCGCATAGACTCTGTTCCATGGGAACTTCGCGATTTCGCGAAGCATCTACCTTATGATTACTGTGTTCAAATGCCGTCTCGCGTGAGCGTGGTTAGACAAGCAGGTGGAATGTGCTACTCTCGCTTATCTTCTCACTCTGTTCGAGGCTCGCATGACATGGTGAACATTTTGCTAGGGGCACCGTGTTTTGTCTGTGCAGCAACTGATACACCACAGGATCCACCAGCGTCAACAGGTTTCGTTCCACGAACGAGTTCATCCCGCATGCACTATGGCTCATGACCGACGCGACCATGAACCGGGGCAACTGCAAGTGCAAGTACTGTACGAAGCAGCCGCAGCGCATCATATCCGACACCATGGGCCTCGCGACGACCCGACGTTCTAGCTCCATCATCCCTACACCTTCAGCCTCGCGCCTACCCCGCCCGCGCCGCGAACCTCAGCAACGGCAGCAACGCCCGGCACCAACACGACCGTATGCTTCAGTCCGGGACCAGCCGCGCCCGCCCGCGACCTTATTGACCGGCCCCGAGCAGTTCGTTGTACCCGAACGCGACCAAGACATACGGACTGCAATCCACTTCAATGATCTCCAGCGACCCCGGCAGTTCAGGAAGGGCGAGCTCGTGTGGTGCAGTTTGCCGGCTCCAATCCGCGGGCAACATTCGACCGAGGACATCTGCTTCTGGCCGGGCTTGGTCGAGGAAATTCATTTCAAGGTCGAGAGCCCAAAGGGCTCACCAGATGGAGATGCGAGCACGGAGCACCTGAACACGGAGGCTGCAGAGGGAAACCCAGCTCTAGGCGCGGCCAATTCGCCTCCCACGGCTCCCGAACAAATGGAGGGAAAAGCCCCCGGAGTCGGATCGAAATGCTGGTATGTTTACAGGCTCAAACTTATCTCAGTCCCGCATTTTCACCACGTCGCGGACGACGGGGTGCTGCCATACCTCGCGAATGCTCCTGCGACACCCACCCTGGACCGCATACGGGAAGAGCTCGAGGCGTTCTTGCACAAGGTCTCAATACCCGAGATGGACGCGGAGCTCGAGAACATGGTCATCCAGTACAACCCTATGGGCCCGGAAGACCCCGACGATTACTATGAGAAGTTCCGGCGTGCGGCGCTGCCTTACACCCTCGCGATCCAGATGGCATCGACTCTCGCCCAGTTCTGGCTCCCCACGGACCAATGGGAGTGCACTTTCAACCTTCTACCTCCGACTCTCCCCCTCCCTCGGAGGAACCCCAGTGCGTCCGCGACTCCGACGCACCCACTCTCCACGCCTCTCCCGGCAGGCACGCAAACCCTCCACTCGGTCATTCAGCAGTCCATGACTCAGAACGCCTCCTCGCCCTCCAAGATCTCGGGTCCGGACGGTCCTGTTTCTGAGGCACAGAGCATCGGCGTCCTCGGCACAGTCTCGCGCGCCGCCGCGGCGCCACAGACGGTCGTGCAGTTGCGCTTCCAGGGCGTGTGGTGGGGCACAGAGCGGATCTGGACTGACGAGCTCGTGCGGCTCAAGATCGCACGCTGCCAGTTCGCGCCCCAGGGAACGGACCTCATCTACCCTCCCGCATATCCGTCCCCGTCCTCGTTGGAGGCGATGGAGGCGATGGGCGGCATCGCTGACCCATTCGCTGCAGCGGGCGAGAGGGGGCTGTTCATGCGCCTGGAGGGCCTGTTCGTGGTGGACATCCCTGGGCCGGAGGGGCAGGCGTCGACGAGGGAGTGCCGGGCGAGCGGGACGGTATTTGAGCTTGTGGACGAGGACTGGGAGGAGCCGGTTCCGGCGACGGCCAACGGGACGGACAAAGGGAAGGGGAAGGAGCGCGAGGGTCCCGGTACGCGTCCCACGATCTTCTTTGCGCCGGTTGCTGATGATCTTGTCGCTCATCACAGCTGCCGACTCCAATGGAACGGGCTCTCTCCCCACCTCCGCCGCGGCCGCGGGAGGCGCTGCACCGAAGACGGACACAGGCCCGCATCTGAGCGACCAGCTCTCCCATCCCGTGCTCTCCACACCGTACCCCCTCCCAAACCCACCGCGAGGCCTCAAGTTCCGGCCGATTCTCCGACCAGGACAAGAAGCCGTCGTGTCGCTGTCGCTCATCAGCGGGCGGTACTACCCCGAGCTCTTCCACCACCCGCTCATGGCTCCACAGCTGACGAAGGCGATGGATCCGAGCGAAAGCCAGAAACAGTGGGCGCGGCAGCTGTTCGCGATACACGGGCTGACGGCGGGCGCGGCGACGTCGATGGAGCCGCGGTTCTGGCGGCAGTCGCGACAGATCATGCTGCAGGAAGCTGGCCTGGAGGCGCGGAACCGCCTCAAGCAGCACTGGGAGGAGGTCAAGATGGAGCGGCTGCACCCGCGGTCTGCGAGCACGGCGGGAGAAGGAGCGAGTCCGATGGAGGTCGACTAAGCAGTAGTCGTTGGATGTCGCTTGTATGCTCGCTTTTGCTTCCTTTTTGCCGTTTTTGCCGTATTGCTGTACTCAGTGCCTGGACTGTATCGAAAAGAGACGATCTTCGCGTTGCCTTGGCCATAGATGTTGAGTAAGCTCCGCCCCCGACGCTTGACGATGGTTGTTTTGTCCTTTCATATTGGTATATTCTGCTTCTTAATGCCACAGTAGTCTCAGCCGACGCATTGCAATGAGATAATCTGAACAACCACTGAGGTTGAGCGTCTAATGTGGACGTTATGTCAAGAATGCCTATCGTGCCTATGACGCAAGGACGGCGCTTACTACTAGGAAATTGGGTGCGTCATTCTAAGTGCAAGATCCTGAGACATGGACATAATTAATTGCATCATTGGGGATGCGCGAGTATATGGCGTCCATTCACTCTACTCCTTGCCGCACGGCCATTGGCTGAGATGACCACCGGTGCGGTTCAGAGTGAGCGTATAGACGGGACACAGCAGAGCCAGAGTGCATGCACGCGATCGCTGAGCGGTGCAACCGAAGACTTGATTAAGGCTGCTGGGCGATAAGTAGGACGAGGGCGCGGGGCAAGCGCGCGAACCGACGGCGGCAGGACCTCCCATCTCACCCACCAACGACTACTCCCGAAACGCCTTTTGTCCCCGGAGCGCTGCCGGCCACGACGAGCAGAGGATCCGTCGCGTCTCCCCGCCCGCTTGTTGCGTATACCCCCCCACCCTGTGCGACAAAAGCTTGACTCGGCGGATCCTCTGAGCCACGCTCGTCACCTCGGACTCTCCTTCCTCGACCGATCCCCCTGTCCCCGCTCTCCCTCGGCCCGTCTCTCTTTCCTCTCGCGCTTCCTGCTCCTCGCTCTCGCTCTCGCATTGTCCCCTGTTATGGTTTCCTCACCCTCTCGCCCTCTCGCCCTTCAAGTATCTCTCTCCGCCAACAGAAGCAGCTTCATCGCCCATGTACCACCATCGCCCTCTCCTTCCATCCCACCATCGCCCTCGCCCTCCAATTCCGGCGCGTCCTCATCAAGCTCGTCCAGCGGCCGCCTCAGCCGGGCGGATGACGGTATGCCTTCCTCATATGTGCTACCCGCACGTGTCCGGTTGACGCGAACCCCGTGCTTGTGGGATCAGAGGATGCAACCGTCAAGATAAATCGCGCCTCGTTTATATCTACCAAAGGAAAGCATCGAAGCCACGAGTATGTCATCCTTCTCTGCTCCTCCTTCCCCGCAACCCGCTCTCAACGCGCTCCCTCGCTCTCACTCCCCCCGTACCCGCGCTTGCTGTCTGACTTTGTGGCGCAGAGACCTCCGGCTCGCCATGATCCAGGGGAGATGACGGAGCTCACTTACTCGATATCGGACATCCAGACGCGAATATTCGGTGAGTCGCCCGCAAGCGCGGTTGCGGTGGCACCGATACAGTTTTTTCTGGTGCTGATTTCGCCGTGCTCGCCGGCGCGCAGAGATTCAGGAGCTGCGGCACAAATCGCAGGGCTCGAAGGACGCGGGAGCAGCGACGGGCGTGATCGACCAGTCGCTCGTGAGCCTCGACGAGAAGTTCGAGGCGGTCTCGAAGAGCATCAAGGCGATCAACGATGTGCTCGAGCCGTTGCTCGCGCAGTCGGAGAAGACGCCGACGGTCGCACACTCGCTGACCGAGGAGGAGAGCGCGATCCTCCGGGGCCACGCGTCGCTCATGGCGGACTGGGATGCATTGCAGAAAGAGATTCAGGTGTTGAGGGAGGAGCTCAAGAGGACAAGTGGTTGACCGTCTTCCGGACGGTGACGGATCAGGCGGACGGGATGATGTCCAGCTTGGAGAAGGCTGTCAACCGATGTCAGGTGCGTTGCCTTCGCTCGACGGGAGAAGCTTTTGAGTTTTGAGTGCGAGAAATGCAGGACTTCATGTGGCAACTGCAGAAACGAGGGTCGACGATGCGGTGGCTACGTCGAATGCTTCGTCATCGGTGCGCTCCGATAAGCCTCTCACATACGAGACGTTTATGACGCTCCTGGAGTCCTTCGAGGCGAAGAAGAAGTACGTCGCCGTCACTCTGTGCACTAATATCCTGTTAACCGTCCTGCAGACATTACATGCCCGCCACCACCAAGGTCCTGTCTATCATCGACAAAGGAGTCCAGGACCGTGTTACAAAGAACGGCGAGTGTTTGCGACGACACGCAGAGTGTACCCAGCGTTGGCGAAACTTGAAGGAGCGAATAGCCAGGACGGACAATGACATGGACAACCTACGAAGACTTTTCCTTCAGGGCAGCGATAGGCGCTCAGCTCGGGAGAATCAAGCCTGTCCGCTACGACATCGGTCTCCAAGAACGGCTACCTTGCGACTCCCCCAAGCGGTGAGAAGAAAGGTCGCTCCCCAAGTACCGCCAACACGATATCCCGCTCCATATCCCCCTTCCGCAAGATTGCACGGAAGCTCAAGGCCGGCACCTCAGGCACTAAGTCTCCTGCCCCAGGCAAGATGACCCCAGTCCCGGCCAGAGTCCCGCACCTCGCGGACACCCGAACCTTCGCGTACCCTGCGCCACAGGGCCTCTATGTTCCATTTCTTCAATGGCGGATCACCTCCCACGCCGACCACACCCGACCGCCCCTCCCATAAACACACCCTGAGCCTCACACCTGACTCGTCGCCGTCACGGAGAGCCGATACAGCCAAGTCCAATCGTCCAGCATGGAACAGCTCGACGAAGGTGGAGGCCGAGGCTGGCGGGACGATCAAGCCATCTTCTCGCCAACCATCCATCTCCGGCCGCTCACGAGCATCAGGAGAGGAAATACCCCCCGTCCCTGCGCTGTACCAAAGGAGTCTCTCCCGCAGTTCTATGTCCTCTTCTCGACCCTGGTCCCCTGTAACATCTTCTGCCTCTACTGCACCATCCTCTAACGCTTTCTCCTCTCTGTACCGTTCCCCTTCCCGTGCGCACACTCCTGGCCTCCCCACCACACCTGGAGGCTCACACGTGTCCCCGCCGCGCACACGTCCCAAGACTCCAAGCTACATTCCCGGCCCCTCGCAGCACTTGCGCTCGATGTCTGGGGAGACCAGTCCCACCTCACTTGCGCAGCGTGCCATGTCCCCTACCGGCCAGACCTTCCCCGCACGCCCACCGAGCCGGTCGATGATCCCCATCCCCTCTGTGCACGTCTCCTCCGCCTCCCGCCCGGGCACCTCCATGTCCTACCGCCCCGACAGCGCAATGTCCTTCCGCGCGTCCGCGAACCGCGCGGCGACGCCCGAGGGTATGCTTCGGATGACGCCTCGCCCACGCCTTCCCCCGTCGTCGTTCAGGGACGGGACACCCGGCTCGGCGTCGCGCCCCGGGTCGCGGGCGGGGGCGGAGACGCCGCTGGACGATGAGTTCCTCGGAGAGCCCCTACACTGGTATACGCCCGGCAACGGCCGGGACCCGCTCGACACCGGGGTCGCGGCGGTGGTGAACGCGGTGCCGCACGGGCTGAAGATCGAGCGGGTGGACCCGCCGCTGCGGCAGGTGCCGAAGGAGGGCGAGGAGGTGCGGGCGCAGTACGCGTTCACGAACGCGGTCGCCCGGAAGGTGGTCACCTGCAAGCTGACGACGATGCACCGCTCCGGCGGGCGCGGGACGACGAAGAAAGTGATGTGCCGCGTTGGGGGTGGTGAGTGCTTTTGGTTCTCTGCGAAGAGGGGGTTGCTGATGTGCACTGGTTCGCAGGATGGCAAGACCTCCGGACATATGTTCTCAGCCGCGGCTAGGCGGCACAGCTATGCGAAGCACGGATGTCTTGGATTGTGTGTACGTAGTGACGAGGGGCGATACCGTAAGCTATCATAGGCGACGTGGATCTTCTCAAGGATTTGTAACGACGGCACCGACACTAGCGTAGCATAGTACTCCGTATCCCAATATCCCAGCGTAGCTTCTAATCTCTCGGTGTATGTCAACCACTACGTTCTTTCTCCGCTTCTTGTGCTCTCATGTGGGAGACTACTGAGGACGAGCGTGGTCGTGCGCTTCACGTGATCGTGCTCCCGGGATGATTATCGTTGTCCAGAAAGTGTATGCGCCGGGGTGCGTCATCTGCATGAAGAGATTGCACTGGCACTATCAACCGCCCGGAGTCGAAACCCTGCCCTCCACCCTCCCTAAATTTATCCACGAGTTCATTGCTGCTACAATTTCCGTAGCGGTGGACACTGTTGCGGTTCTATGGCGATGTCTCCAGGAGATGCTGTTCCCAAGCCATGGCAAAGACGACAGTGGGATGGATGAACAACACTCTATTGCTGCTCTTCACGCACACAACCGACATGCTCTTGGCGTCGAAGTTCCGGCGGAGTCTCCCGGGCCGGGATGTCCGCCGGACAAATCTCTCGTTGTCACCGGACCGGGTGTACTTGGACAGATGCCCCCACTGAGTACTGAACGTTGAGCTTAACGACTCTGTTAAAAGTCCTGGGGAGGGACTAGGGCGATACGGTCCCTCCTCCAGCCCCAACTATGCTGAACGTCTACATCCCACTGACCCTCACCGCTGGTTTAGCCCTCTGGGCTCTCGTTTTCCGTCGGCGTAGCGTCTTTGCCAACATTCAGGGACCCCCTCCGTCCCGCAGGTTCCTCACAGGTGTGTGACCTCGCCTCTAAAGCTATCCGTCCTAAAGCAGCCTCGCAGGTCATCTGCGCAAGTTTTTGGGTCGCCGTGGATGGGAGTATCAGCTTGAACTGGCATCTGGCAAGTATGGACAGGTCGTCAAGATCGATGGCGCGTTTGGAGTGGGCTTACGGTCTTCCATTTTTGAACGGTACGACAAACTAACGTCGTTCCTATACCAGAATAAGTGGCTATATGTCGTCGACCCCGTAGCGCTCAATCATATCATCCTGAAAGGTCAGAATGTCTACGAGGAATCTCCGCTATTTCTCGCGTGTGTATGAGCGGTTTGTGCGCCGGAATCTGTATACTGAGGATTCCTCCTTAGCATCAACAGGCTTCTCTTTGGGCCCAGCGTCTTGTCCACCGTCGGCGATCATCACAAACAACAGCGCAAGCTCCTAAATCCTGTGTTTTCCACCAACCACATGCGACACATGCTCCCAATCTTTTACCGAATCACGGAGCGGGTGTGTGTTCGTCGCCGCGACGATGATCCATGCATTCTGATATCCAATAGCTACGCGACACGCTCGCAGAGATGACCGTCGATGGGCCGCGAACGATCGACATGCTTGGGTGGACTACTCGCGCCGCGCTCGAGATGGTCGGACAAGGCGGTTTGGGTCACTCATTTGACTCCTTGGAGGCCGATTCTACGAACGCTTACGCAGAGAACATGAAGAGCTTCGCGTCAGTACCACCTTCTGTTTGACACTGTCCGTTCTTGGTTAACGACGTCAAATCGATCCACAGCCCGACGTTCTTCCCCATGATACTTGTCCGCCAACTTCTGCCGCAGCTCATCAATATCGGCACGCCACGCATTCGACGCTGGATCGTAGAGTACACCCCGCATTGGCGCGTGCAGAAGCTCAAGCGAATCATTGACTCGATGCACACGGTTGCATGTTCGATCTTCGAAGGCAAGAAGGCCGCGTTTGCCCAAGGAGACGACGCCGTAGTGCAGCAGATCGGAGAGGGAAAAGACATCGTCAGCAAACTGCGTACGCATCCTGTGTGGCTCGGACTTCGGTGTTGCTGATTTCCTGCCTCTAGTACAAGCGAACTTCGCGACATCGGAGAAAGACCGTCTGCCAGACGAAGAAGTCCTCGCACAGCTATCGTACGTTGCTGAACCGGCGTCTAGGGACGCCAACTGAATTAATTCTCCGTCAATTAGAGCTTTAGTTCTGGCTGCGATGGACACCACCTCCAGCGCTCTCGGGCGTACCCTCCGGATTTTGGCCGAGCACCCCGAAGCGCAATCTCGCCTCCGTAAGGAAGTCACAGATGCCCTCGAAAATGCAGATGGGGGACGACTTTCCTATGATGAGTTGATGGGGCTGCCGTACCTCGACGCCATCTGTCGCGAGACTCTCCGGGTGTGAGTACTGTATCAACACACTCGAGTCTACGCACTACTGCTGAATGCACTACGATTGATCAGGTACCCGCCGCTCGTAGGACTAGGGCGCGTGTAAGCATCGCTACGGCGGCTCGCACCACTTTTCTCAACAAGAGCTGATCGGCTCGATGCAGGACCCTCAAAGACACCATTCTCCCCGTGGGGACGCCCCTCAAGGGGACGGACGGGTCTCTCATAAGTGAGATACACGTCCCCAAAGGCACCATGATCTACTTCGGCATCCTGGGCTCGAACCGCAACCCTGCTCTCTGGGGCCCGGACGCGCACGAATGGAAGCTTTATTATTATTATTATTATCATTCTATCCCTATGTGTCACATATGCGCGTGTGCCTACACAGCTAAGAACGTATCCCGCATTCGTTTGAGTACATATGTGCGATGTAACGGGCCTGCGCCCGTAGGTAGAAGTTGCAGAAAGCGCACGAATGGAAGCCGGACCGGTGGCTCAGCCCGCTGCCCGACGCGGTCATGAGCGCGCCGATTCCAGGCGTATACTCTCACCTGTGAGTGCTGCCGCTGGCCCTGAAGCCGTGCCCGGCGCTGATCCAACAATCGTCCCGGTGGCCTGCGCAGGATGACGTCCAACGGCGGCGGCCGGTCCTGCATGTGAGCGTGCGAGCGCGGCCCAGTGAGTGACGTGCGCTGACGGAAGCGTCGCAGTGGCTTCAAGTTCTCGCAGATGGAGATGAGTGCGTGTTGGGGCCGTTTCCACTTTCAGGCGCGATGCTAACATCCTGGGTGCCCCCGCAGAGGTCGTCTTGTCCACGTTGGTTCGGCACTTCGCGTTGGAGGTCCCGCGAGACCTTCCGGTTCCTATTGTGTGGAGCTCGGCGGGTATCCAGTCCCCTAGCTTGGGCTACGAGAGCGATAAGCCAGAGCTCCCGCTGAAGATTGGCTTGGTGAAAGCGTAGTACGGCAGAGGGGTCTCGCTGATGATGATGATGAATTCATGCCGGACCTCTTAAGTACCTTCGTAGTGAGAGGGATTTCGCGGGGTGGTCTTGTGGTTTGCCGGCTCACAGCCTGTAAGGGAGCGTATCCGAGGCTTCGTTGTGGGTGCGTACGGCTCGAGACGCCATACCAATGCTTTTCTGGTCGTTGGGGAGTCCCATCGTCTACTTCCTGCAAACCCTTTCTACCGCCGTAATTTCTGAACGATCGTCGGCGGCTCTGTCCGGAGGGCGACTGCCGCTACTTCTGCCCTTGTCCGCCCTAGAAGCTCCCAGATTCTCCTACACCCAACGAACCATGGTGGCTTTACCGCGTGGGTTGTGCTGCCCACTCCCCAGACCGTTCCACACCCACCGACGCCCTCCAGAACCGTCTGCATCCACAGAGGTCCATCCAGGACTGCCCCATGGCATTTCCTTACTCTTCTCTGCCCGGGCGCACTTCACTAACCGCCGTCTGCTCGGACTCTGCGGGTCTCCGGGTCGTCACCCATGGGACGAACCGAAAGGGAAACCGTGGGCCGGCGGTGGTCTTAATTGAGGCGCGTCCGGACCCCGCGGACGACACGCGGGACCCTCAGGTCGAGGACCTGGTGGTTCATTGAATGAAGTCCGAGATAAAAGTTCTTTGTTCCCCCCATGACGAAGGACGGTGCAGCGCGTGGTAACGGCACTCAAGGATATCAGCATCGTCTTTCGCGCGAGGATCCGTGGCATTTCGACGGGACGTTGTTGAATCCGAGAATGCGGAACGGAAAATGTACATGATGCGAGACGAGCGCGCCCTCGAGAACGGTGTGTTTGCACATAACATAATTTCACGGAACGCGTACGCTGCGAACGCCTAGTTCGTCGGCATCTTGAGGCACGTGGTGCGCAGCCCGTCGCCCGCCCACTTCGAGACCTCGACGAGGAGCTGGCGCTTCTTGTCCGCGCCCGCGGAGGACCGCAGCTCGTACAGCGTCGCTGTCCACCGCCCCCGTCAGCCTCCCTCTTCCCAATCCCAAAGGCCACCGGAAACAGAAAGGGGGACACTCACAGAGGTTGAACAGCACCGGCTCCGCGGCGGCGACCGCGGCGGGCGACGCGCGCAGCGCGTCCTCGAGCACGTCGATGGCCTCCCCGAGGCGGCCCTGGTTGAGGAGCACGACCGCGAGGTTGTTCGTCGCCTTCAGCGCGTCCTTCGCGCCGTCCCCGTCGCCGCTCAGCGCGTCCGCGACGGCGAGCAGCGCGCGGAGCTCCGCCTCGGCGCGCGGCCAGTCGCCCGCGGCCGCGGCGGCGAGCGCGGCGTTGGACGCGCGCTGCGCGGGGTCGAGCGTCGGGTCCGCGGCGAGCGCGGCGAGGTGCGGCGCGGCGGCGGCGGCGTTGCCGGACTGGAGGTGCACGCGGGCGAGGGCGGAGCGGAGGGCGGGGGAGGCGAGCGGCGCGCCGGACGCGTCGCGCTGCTCGCAGAGCGGCTCCAGCGTGCGCGCGGCCGCGGCGAAGTCCTGTGCGTGCGTGCGTGCGCCGGGTGAGCACAGGGTGGAAGGGGAGGGGGAGGGCGGCGGCACCTTCATCTCGACGAGCTGGCTCGCGACGATGAGCGCGACGCGCGCGCCGCGCTCGGTCCACATCGCCTGCGCGGCGCCGTCGCGCTTGCGGGCGGCCTCGCGGGCCTTGCGCTTGCAGCGGGCGAGGAGCGCGGCGAGCGCATCGAGGTAGCCCATGTGGTCCGCGGCCCAGTAGCGGAGCTTGGCGTGGAGGACGTCGAGCTCGAACGGGAGGACGCGCTCGAGGAGGAAGGCGCGGACGGGCGGGGGCTCGACGGCGTGGAGGACGGCGAAGAGGTTCGTGCACTCGGCCGCGGTCTGGTTGAAGAGGCGCATGCGGGCGAGGGCGGACAGGCGGAGGTACCACAGCTGCGGGGGCCGTGCTTCAGTGGACGGGAAGGGAGGGCATCGGTCTGCGACTTACGGAGAGGATGGTCGAGACTTCTTCTGGGTCGGCAGCGACGATGCGGTCGCGGGCGAGCCTTGCCATCGCTCTCCAGCTGTTCGTCATCTGCGTATATCTGACATCAACCCTTTCGTTCGCAGTACATTGCCGCCTCCCACTCACAACAAGCGGGTGGATCTCTCCTCCCGAACGAGCGTAGTCACCCGTGAGAGAGCGAGGTGGACGCAGCTCAGGCGATATGTATTTGTTCAAGAGCGTACTCAACGGGTCTGTCTAGTAGTACAACGCCAGCGCATCAAAGGCGACGGATAATTCAACATCAGGCCCCGCGACAGCCACCAGGTGAGCGGGGAAAAGAGCGGATAGCGCACATTCGGGATGGGCAAAAACATCGTCGGCAGCGTCAGGCCGGGCAGGTACAATTCGGGTGTGTCTTCTTCGTCTTCGTCGTCGCTCGGCGCCGCCGCGGGCGTCGGCGGCACCGCCTTGTTCACGTTCACGGACGACGCGGGCGGCTCGGGGGAGGAGGGCTCGGACGGCGCGAGCGCAATCTCCTCCGCGGGCGGGGAGAGGGCCGCTTGTGCGGCCCTGCGGTCGTGCTCGTCTGATTCTCCGTCCTCCGACCGTGCGACGGACGGGGGGTCAATGTCCTCGTCCTCGAGGAACGGGTCCAGGACCTGAGGCACGCCGACGGAGGTGGACGGCGATACGAACGGCGCCTCGCGCGCGACTTGCATCGACGCGGAGAGCTCCGAGTCGAGCGTGGACGTTAGAAGCTCGTCGGGGTGCGGCGGGCTTTCCGCGACTACCCTCGCAGCTGGAGGCTCGTTTAAGGCTGGCGAGACTCCGAGAGGGTCCATTGGTGAGGGAGATAATGTGGGAGAAGGAGGGGAAGAGGGGACAAAATCGGCGTCGTGGTCAGGAGGAAGTGGGATCTCCCAGGGCTCGAGATGGAGCGGCGGAGAGGGGAAAACGGGGTTCTCGAGGGGCGCGGCAAGAGGCTCTTCAACAGACTGCAACGTGTAGCTGCTGGCCCACGCGGCGTCTACACGTGGGGGCTCGTCGAGAACGAGGGACTCGAGGGGCGCGGTAAGGGATTCAGGAGGCGGGAAACGCGCCGAGAGCCCGGTGCGGGTACTCCGCCAGTCTTCGTCCTCGGAGAAAGATTGTGTGGGGTGTGAGGACAAACCTGAGCACGACGCGGAGTGGGCCGGCTTCTTGGATTGGGCGTCGTGGTAGGAGGTGGAGGTGGAGGTGGAGGCGGAGTCTTCGTCAGAGTCGCTGTCCTCGACGCAGTCGTCGGGACGCTTTGCGAGGCAGCCGTCGGAGACGGAGCGAGTGAGGGTGTCAAGGGAGGGGTCTGCGCGCGTGGACGCGGGGAAGGTAACGGGAGTGGGGGCGGGGATGGAGGCAAGGAGGGCGGCGGGCAGGAGGGCGGCGGAGAGGGAAGGGACGGCGTCGTCGTCGGATTCGGCCGAGGAGCCTCGCCGGTGCCTCCGAAGGGATATGTGGCTGATCCGGCGCTTGAGGCCACTCACGATGCGCTTCACGCCCTTGAGCTGCATCTCCTCTCCGTCCGCCTGGGTCTCCACCTCTGGGCTCCGCGGCCGAGGGTGGTTTCTGAAAGTGATTGTCGAAATTGTCCGCCGGCGCACGGGACTTGATGCTGGCGAGGGGGCCGGGGACGGGGAAGAGGGGGACTTGGAGTGGGCGAAGGAGGGCATGGTGAAATATTGCGTAGCGGACCGCGTTTTTACATCCGCTGGAAGTAAGGAGGAGACGGGCAGAGGGCTCGAAGCCTGTTTTATAGACGACGGGCTGCAGCCACAAGGGAGGCCCGAGCGATCTGGAGTGCGACCCTGCGGCACGCATCGGCCAGGGGCGTCTCGTCGTCTGCCCACGCCTGCCCGCAACCACGCCCCCCGGCTGTCAACGCATGTCCTGGTGCACCCCGGATTCCGGAAACCTTGTCCCCGACGTCGCTCTCCGCTCGGTGGCAGACGTGGGCCATCGTCCGAGCGACGTCTTCCCTGGTTCCGAAGACGACGGGTAGACTCGGGCAGTACGGGAGCTGCACCGCTCTTGTTTGTCTAGCACCATTCCAGACGTCTGGCCCGCGAGCGAGAGCGGCCGATGGCACGAATGATCTCATTTCCCCTGCCCCATCTCCTCCATTTCAATCCGCTTGTCGCAGATTCGACCCACCCGCGGAACACAATCAGCCCCGTTCCGCCGTCCCGCGGCCCCGACGGCAATGGCGGCTTTGATGACGCTCTCTCGCTGCTACCTTATTTAATCCGTGCAGCCAACCGTTGGTACTGAAATGTGCCATCAGACAACATGTTAACGTACGGAAGCTCGCAGGAACACAAACGTGCCGTCATCCATGCTCAGCGAGCCTCGCCTCCCGTGAAGTCGGATCTCACCCCTCGTCGTGAAGTATTTCTCAAACGTGGACTGCCTTCGGTCACCGTTGTCGTGGACAGCTGCTCTATCACCAATACAACCCCGGCGCAGGTGTCGATCGGGGGAAGCGGGGCAATCCTGACCAAAAGTTGGGTAAATGCATATTTCTAGACAACGCGGGACCGCATGTACGTACTAACGTTGACGCGGAAGGTCGGCAACACTCACGCGGTGCGGCTGAGAACACAGAATGGGAACTGAAAATCAATTCGGTTACTACAACACGAATACACGTATAGATGCCGAGCTTCAGAGCAAACAGAGACCTGTGAGCACGACATGACACCGAGAGGACTCGCCAGATGATTTATCTAGTTGCATAGATACACATTTCGCGTACGCAGATCGGAGACTTTGCAACCCGGCGAAGCTTCATGAACCTCCCTTCTTGTCCGTATACGCCTTCAATCTGTGCGTGAGTCGCAGTCAGTTGGTGTATCGTGTATCAGTCCGTAGATCGCGCAGCACGCACTTTTGATAATCCCTGTCGACCTTCGCCTTGGTCTCCTTCTCGCTCGGTGCCCCTCCGCCTCCGCCTCCGCCTCCACCCCCGCCACCCTTCTTCTTATCCTTCCTAGCTTTCCGCTTCTCCACCTTCTCCACCTCGTCGTTCATCGCCAGCAGGTCCTTGATAGACGGCATCGCGGACGACGCCAGCGGTTGCAACCGCATCGGCCGCTCCGGCTCCTCGACTTCTCCCTCCTCGTCCGACATCGGCGGCCGCGCGTGCGGGTGGAACTCTTCCCGCCGCGGAGACCCGGACCTCCCGGCAGCCGGAGAATGGGACCGTTGCGGTGGAGGCGGCTGCGGCGACCGTTCGCGCTCGTCGTCCGAGGTCACTAGCCACTTTCCGGGGCGTGCGGGGAGCTCTCCGTCTTCCGTTGGAGCAGCCCGCTCCGCCGCCATACCGTCCGCGTCGCTGTCATCACCGTCGTCGTTGTCGTCGTCACCGAGGTTGACCCCAGTGTACTCGCCCGCGTCCGCGAAGATGTCAAAGTCCTCGTCGATCGGCGCCGGGGGCGGCTCCGGTACCTGCTGCGTCTGCGGGGGAGGCGGGGGTCCCGGGGGCGCAGACGGCCCCGCGTCCGCGCTCGCAGGAGCTGGCGCAGCGTCCGTCGACGCCGCGACTTTCCGCTTCTTCTTCTTCTGCGGCTGCTCGCCGTCCCCGTCCTTGGCCTTCTTCCGCTTCGCCCGCCCCTCCGCCGCGCCGCCCACGGGCTTGAACCCGATCGGCTTGAACTTGCCCGCCCGCTTCGCCTCCTCGAGGGCCGCGTCTTCCACGGGCGCCGCGCCGCGCTTGCTCTTGAGCTCGTTCAGGATATCCGCGCGGGAGCGCTTCTTCGCCGCGCCGCTCCCGGTGGCGACCGTGGCGGCAGGGGCGGGGGCGGGGGAGGAGTCGACGCCGAGGAAGGCCTGCTCGAGCGTAACGTCGTCGGTCGCGCCGGACTCCGCGGCGACGCGTGCGCGGCTCTGCTCGAGGAGGGCGAAGTCGAGGCCCTTGACGAGCACGGTGTGCGCGCTGTCGCCGCCGAGGTACTGGCGCTGCGCCTCGACCTGTGCGGCGGCAGGTCAACCTCGAACGGACGGGGTGCATGTGGGGGGGGGGGGGATGGAGAGCGACACGGCACTTACAGCCTCGCGGTCCTCGTTCTCTGCGTTCCGTCGCTCGAATTCCTCGGCCACAGCTTCAACCTGTCGTGCACGTTACAGGGCGCGTCCCGCCAAGTGGTCAGTTTCACGCCGCGAACAAGCCCGCACCAGCCGACGCGCACCTCCGCAAAGTCGCCCTTCACGCCCTTTCTCCGCTCCAGCGCGCGGTCGCGGTACGCGTCGCCCGCCGCGTTCTTCTTCACCGTGCGCGGCTTGAACGCGGGGCCCTCCGCGGCGGGCTTCTTCTTCTTCTTTTCCGCGCCATCCTTGGCCGCGGTGAGGAGCGAGCCGCGGATGTGCGCGGAGCTCTTGGAGGAGGATGCCTTCGAGGACGAGGAGGGGTCGAGGAGTTGGCGGAAGGACGCTTGGTCCATGGTGGAGGGAGGAGGAGAGTGATGATCGTGCACGGCGTGTGCGACTCGCTGCAGCGCGTCTGCGTCATGGGCGCCTCGACATCTAGAGTGGTCCCGGTCAGTCCTCATGAGTACTAAATCTCGAGGACGCTAATACATATGGCTTGCTGTACACCGCAGCACAATGCTTTAATTCCACGTCAACAACCTCAGACAAGAAAAGTTGGGTTTGTCCTTCCTTCAAATATACATTCTTCTCTTCTACTGACTACTTCCTTCTCCTTCGTTGTATGTACTGGAATACGGAATATGTCACGGACGAGTGATGAGCGCACTAGACGTAATACGGAGATGGGCGTGGACCGAGGAACGGGGGAGGAAGAGGGGCTGGGCGAGATGGGGTAGGAGGGAGTGAGGGCGGGCGAGGAGGGGGGCCAAATGATACAGACAACGTGAGCTGGACGACAGTGTCATGAAAAAACCGGATGGAGTGAGAGACGGGTGACGTGAGATGAGACGAGACGAGAGACAGAGCCGTGCGCGCCGCGCCGCGACCATGCATGCCGATGTACGATGTACAGTAGTACGTTAGAGATGGAGACGAGGTCCGGTGCTGAACGAGTGCGGGTGTGGAGAGTGAATTAGTGCAAGCGTGAAGTACGGATGTAGGGCGCCCGGCATGCCGAGCGGCGACTACGAACAGCGCTGCAGTGCGCAGGTACAGTATACGGTGATGCGGCGTGGAGGATGAGGTAGGTGGGGAGAAGCAGCCGGGGCACGACGGAGCGCGGGGGGCAATGTCCGTATGGAAGTCTCGGTATCTCGGAGTCATCGGTCTCAGCTCCGCCAGTACTGACATGTGTCGTGAAGGAACATGAAGGCGGAATGAGGGGCTGTGGGAAGGGGGTGGACGGCCGTGAGAAGGTATTGCGGGTGGCACATGAAGGGGTGTAATTCATGCTGCGCTGTACAAGAACAGGTTGTTTGTGGCAGCAATCTAGTGCAGGACCTAATGAGCACGTCATAAGTTCGGAGAGCATCCACAGCACTTACGGCAATGGTGTTTTCCCGCGGATGCCAGCTCGCGTGCAGAATCTTCTTGTTGAAGTCGAGTGTCTCCAGAGCCATGTTCTCCCGCATGCCGCCTGGACGCATGCCGTTCTTCATCCCTCCCTTGTTGCCTGGAAGGGGGCCGCCGATCTTCTTCGCCTTGAAAGCAGATTTATCCGCCTGCAGGACCACATCATTGAGCGTCTCCACATCGAATATCCGGAAGTAGTTGTGGTAGGAGCCGGTAAGGACGTGCCTATGGAAATAGCAGTCAGGGTCACGCGAGACATATCCCCTCGAAGGGGCAACTGCAATACACATAAAATCACGGATACTCACTTGTCATCACCACTCCAAACACACTCAAACTTGTCGAAGATGCAATCGTTCTCATACAGATCGCACAGCTTCCCCCGCAGATGGTCGTGGATGGGGATGATCTTGACGGGCCGGTTCTCCATGTTGATGTCCCAAACTTTAAGATTCAGGTAGTCGCGAGATAGGATGTAGCGGCCGTCACGACTGAACTTCACATCCGAGATGGAGGAGATGATCTCAGAGAAGAACGACCGATTTGTAGGATCTTCCTCCTCCTCGAACACTGAGCAGTGAGGCATTTGGAATGAATAATCAAGATCACGCAAAGAGCATGAGGAAGCAATGACGTACTCTTTGCATGCTTGTCGCACAACGCTGAGTCCCGCATGTCAGCAAGCTTGATGTTGCTCTTCGAGCTGCTGTACATGAACAGGTTGCAGTGGAGGGGATGGAATTCAGCGGCAGTGATGACCTCAGTAAGCTCCTCCATGTTCACGGGCTTGATATCAACGATATCTTGACTGGCCTGAGTACGCAATTCCAGATGGGAATGATGGTGGGGACTCACTGAAGCAACGGTCGCTGAGATCGAGGTTCCATAGGTTAATCCGGAGGTCGTCAGCGGAGACGTATGTCTCCTGGTCGGAGTTGACCGAGATGGAGTGGATGTGGTATGCATGGGCGTTCGAGTACACTTTCCTGGGTACGGCAGCAATAATGTTGTCTTGTTGGGCCATCCGAGGCAATCTGAGGTGTTGCGCAGACATGGGTGCGGGTGATGATCTCTGGCCGTCGAGCAGATTGCTCTCCGAGACCACTCGTAGCTGCTTTTCGAACACTTTCCACAGCTTGATCGTCTTGTCTGCAGGGCAAGGATAACAGAGTCGGGAGGGGGACGGGATGCTTATGAATACGGCGCCACTGACCATTAGTAGATAGCAAGAAGTGCGCAGAGTTCTGGCGTTTGCACCACTTGATCTTATTGATCTTCTCCTCGATCTCCAGAGACTTGAGATAATCGAACTCTGGCTCGTGCGACTGGAACTCGGTGTAGAACTTGTACTCGCAGGTCTTTTTCTGGGAGATGGAAAGACGAGGCGATGAGCAAGACGCAATCGGGACGGCAATCACGGACGGGCCGCGCGACATACCTGCTCGTTCCGCTCGAACAGGACGACACGGCCGCCCTTGTCTCCCGTCGCGAGGTAGTTGCCTGTCGAGTCAAACTCAACGGTGGAGATGATGTCGGCTGTGGTGCGGGGGTCGGATAAGACGCTCGACGTGCGGGGTGGCTCTTGCGTAGGAGACTCGGGGAACGCACCCTCTGTGATGTCCTCCACCTCTCCCTTGTCACCAAAACACTGCGCAAACCGCCATCCACCAGAACCGGACGCGTCCTGATCCATGATCGAGTTATATGTGGGTAGCGGGATGGGACTGGTGCGGGGGAGTTCTGCGGGTGGAAGCTGTGGCTGGCGGGGTAGGTGTGCGAGCGGGCGGGCGGGCGGACGGTCTAGGCAGGATAAGGGCTGGGTGAGAACAGGGCACAAGAGCGACTGGGCCGGGACCGCGCACCGTGACGGAGTCGATCAAGTGAGTGAGCAAGAGACTCGACCAGACGCTGTCCGCCAGGCGCACCCGCCTCGGTGTGTGCGCGTGTTTGGCCCGTGGCCACTGGCCACCACCCGTCCGACCTCGGCGCCTCGCGGCACCCGTCAGCTTCATCCCGACTTTGCCCTCGTCGTCCTCGCCGCCGCCCAGAGCACCCTCCACTCCTCCCACCATGATCGCACCCATCACTGGAAAGCTCCGGAAGCGCTTCTGGCTCGATCTCACCACTGGCCTTGGCCTCGGTATCAGCGCAGGCTACGCGTTCTGGTCAGTACCATTTCCATCCGAGCGCGTCACATCTTCCTCATCTTCTCACTACAGGTACGGTGTCCACCTCCCACGCGGTAAGCATTACTTTCTAGTGGATTAAACATTGGAGTCATGCAGCCCGCGGATCCCTCGCCATCTGCCGCTTCTCTAATGGGACGCTGATCCAACCCTTGTGCCCTACAGTTCAGCGCCAGGAGGAGTTCTACCTCAAGTACGAGCGCGCCAAGCAGAACGAGCAGTAAACCCGGGGGCGTCGCGTAGCACACTCGAAATTCCATTGCTTTCGTCCCTCCCTCCTTGCTGGCCGAATGCCGAATCCCAACATCAGTGTCACGCTGATGCTCTACACTCCTCCGGACGAGTCGCGACCCCGAGCCTGGGCCGGACCCGGCACGCCACCAAGACGCGCACCTAGTACGTGATGTCGTGTAACCTGTGGGTGTGGATCAAAGCAGCATAGAAATGGCATAAATACATGGCTAGATGGTGTATCATCGTGGGTGTCCAATTATGACAGTCATACACAACAACAGCTGCGACAGGAAGACCAAGCGACAACTAGCGCAACAATCCCATCTGCCGCAACTTATCACAGCTCTCTATGGGTTCCGCTTTAATCTGCTCCACCTTCTTCCAGTCAGTTCCGATACCGAAAATACCCACTTCTTGGTCTTCGCGACGTTGCTTGCGGTCCAGGCCGCGTTGACATTGTGCGTAGAGATCTTGAGTGTACGCTCGTTCGACGTTCGATTCAAACCTGCGAAGATGAGGTTGGCTATTGTCGTTGCGTGCTAGCTCCGCTGCAATCGGGTGTCCGGAGAACTCGACCGAGTTGACGTGGTATTTTACGTTGAGTCCATTCGTGGTCCTCTCGAGGTTATAGCGTGACGAAGGGGAGAAGGAGAATCGTAGATCAGGGGCCGGCGATGAGGTGAACAGTGACGGTAGCAAAGAGAACGCGAAGAGGATGAACAGGGGAAGAAGCTGTATCCACATGGACCGTGGTTCAGCTGCTTGCTGCTGTTGTTCGGGTCGCATGTTCGTCCGCATGCGCGTTGTGCGGAAGCCCCCGGGCCCGAAGCTGGCTGAGAAGACTGATGGTTGGTGTCAGTAACGGTTGAGGTGTTTGGTGCACGAGATACTCACCGCCTGGGCCACCAAACCCTCCACCATTCATACCACCGCCGAAGAACATGTTAAACAGCTCTTCGGGGTTTATCTCGCCCTCGAATCCTTCGCCTCGCGCGAATCCTGGTGGTGCTCGGCCCGACGATGACGACATACCGCTGAATCGCGACTCAGGATCAGAGCCATGAGAATCGTATGCGGCTCGTTTCTGCGGGTCTGGCACATAATCAGCGAGTGGAAGTATGTCGCCAAATGAGGAACCCACCTGACAAGACCGTGAAAGCCTTCGAGACCACTGCATAGAATGAACGTCATGAACATAGGCGCAGTCACGATAAATATCGCATGACACGCACTCTTGAACGCCTCATCGGCGCCCGGCGCACCGTTCTTGTCTGGATGCAGAGCAAGGGCCAGCTGCAAATAAACGTGAGCTTTCATGTGGCCTACTCCCATGTGCGTCAACTCACCTTGCGGTACGCCTTTTTCACCTCTACCTCCTCGCAGTCCTTCTTGAGTGACAAGATCTCGTAGTACTCCGTGACCTTGCACTTGCGCACGCGCTCCACAACCGCCATGTTCTCCTTCGTGTAGCTCTTCTTCGGGGTCGCGCTCTCCGCCTCCTTCTCCTTCTCCTTCCCCGCCGTCCTGTGCCGTGCCCCGGCGGCGGACGGGTGCGTCTCTGCCCCGCTGGACGTCGTACCAGCGCTTGTCCCTGCTGACGACCCCGCAGCGCTCCCCGCGTCCGCATCGGAGGCGGCGGCCTCGGAGTCGATTACATCGAGGAGCTTGAGGGCCTCGGCGGTGGAGAAGAGGTTGATGGACTTTTGGCAGAACCGCTTCGCGGAGGGGAAGTTGCCTGCGTCGCGGTGCTTCTGCGCGATCGCGAGGCACTTGAGGGCCTCGTCTTTGTTGCTCTCCATGGTTGCGCTTGGGGGCCTGACTGCCGAGGAATGGAGGTGGGCGTCGGGGAAGGGGCGGGAGGAGTGGGAGTGACGAGCGGGAGGAGGTGGTCGTGGAGGAAGGGATGGCCGGCCGAAACGGGATAGGCACACGTACCTTCCAAGAGCTTACTTCAAGTACCTGATGATCTATTGGTCCTATCAAAACCTTGAAGATGGGGTTACAAGTGAACTGACGCTTATTACAATCCCACTTCACATGCTTTGTAAGCGCTGGGATAAGTCATTCACTCAGTGAGCGCTTAGAATCCTTCAATCCTCGAACCCATCCACCACTCACTCACTTCCTTCTTCATCCTGGGCCAGCCCTTAGATCCTTCCGGAATGCAAGGTAACACAACGACCAGCGTTCTCGAAGAATCTGAGGAGCTTGTTCGCTTCAGACAGCAGTGGCTTGAAGAAGTCCGTAGCAAGAAGCATCATCCTCCCACCCATGAGCAGTCGTCGTCCACAGAAACCCCAGGCTCCTCGGCGCCCGCCTCAGCGGACGCAGGGAGCTCGTCTTCCGCGCAAGAGCCTCCCGCTTCCCCCACTGCACCGCACCACCGCCCCCACGTCCACCGCCCTCCGCGCCAGGGCGCCGATGTGGTGACTCGGGGCCCGAAGGGGGCCGTCAAGGCCCAGTTCAGCCCGTCCCTCAAGCTTGCGGTGGACATGTACCGGCACGCGGTGCAGCAAGAGCAGAAGGGCGACCTCGACGATGCGCTACGGCTCTACCGGAACGCGTTCCGCATGGATGCCAACGTCGACCGCGCGTACCACCTTGTGGAGAACGAGGCGCTGCAGAACGCCGTGGCTGTCACCGCTGCCGTCTCGGAGGACGCGGCCGCGGCCGTGAAGACGCACAAGAAGACAGGCTCTACAGGGAGCGCGGGCGAGGTTGACGGGCTGGTGCGCGAGATGGAGGGATTAGGGCTGAGCGGAGCGAAGGTGCCTGTCGCGCATGCGCGGGGAGAGGGCTTCGTCACCGGGACACTCGCCCAGCTGGTCTCCGGTTGGCCGACCGTGCTGGCATTCGAAGCCGACGAGGAACAGGAAGGCGTACCCCTCCAGAAACTTCCAGACGAGCTGCTCATCATCGTCGTTCGGATGCTCGACCACACCACCATCGAGCGGTTCGCGAATGTGAATCGCAAGGCGCGGGTCATTACTTTGGATGTATCAATTTGGAGGTGCGCACTACTTTCCTATGTCTTGTGTCTACTGGTGCTGACGCCGCTGTACAGGCCGATGGTAAAGACAATATACCGGCCGCCCATGATCGCCGATGACGAAGAGATCGAAACGTTGGTTACGAAATACATGACGGACTGGCGGCGGGTCTACGTTGAGCATCCTCGTGTGCGCTACGACGGGGTCTACATCGCTGTCTGTCATTACGTGTACGTACTTCGTTGTCGATGCAATACACTTTCGTTGAGGCCACTGGCGTCTTGCGCACAGTCGTAATGGCGTTGGAGAGAATGTCTGGGTTAACGTGCGTTATCCGATCAACGCCTGTGACCTGGAACCAGGAGATTGACACTTCCTGTGTGAATAGTACAGTCACCTCATCACGTACTACCGATTCCTGTGAGTCCGGGGCGACTTGCACCTGCTCGTTCGCTCATGCCGTCATAATAGACGATTCTATCCGGATGGACAAGTCTTGTCGCTTCTCACCAATGAGGAGCAAGCCCCCTCTCAAGTGATTCCGCTTTTGAAACCGTCTCACCGCGCAAAGGTGCGACAGTCTCCGTTGCGTTCAGCACGTCGAGGTTTTAACCAAACGAGCACACACAGGGTTTCCTGATTGGCAAGTGGTACATCGACGGCACCGAGCTTCACGTTGGGGACCTCACGGAGCCCGACAAACCGGAAAGCCGCTACACGTTCCAAATGCTCCTCGACTTGCGTTCCCGTCCGGTGGGCCGATGGAACCGTCTTGATTTACGCACGTACGACTCGGTCTCTGTCGGTAGCGGGGACGCGTCGCCGCTCGCACTGAAGAACGAGAGGCCGTACTGGTTCTCCAAGGTGCGGTCATACGCCTGGAACGGAAGGCAAGAAGGGCCGTCGGCGCACCCGAAGTAATTTTCGACAGTGCTCAGCTCGATGACTAGTTTTCTGGAACGTGAATGCATGCTTGGAGATGGACTATGATATGTATATGACCCTTTAACGTCATTGCTCGACGAAGCTCCATGCGCACGGAGACATGCGCAAAGCACCGCATGCGCGGAGCACGACACGCATTGGCAAGTGGGCAGCAATTCCCTGTAGAATTAATCTTCGCATCTCGATACTGGGTCGATACCATCGTGAACCCATATATTGAACGCGGTCACAGGGGGTCGTACGGCTTGCCCAAATGGCGTTGGAGTGAGGTGGAGTATGGTCGCAAGGCTGAAACTTAAAGGGTTCCGCTCACGCTACGTTGATCGCTGGAACGGTTGTAGAGAGCAAGGTGATAGATACAGAGAGCAGAGAAGACATTCGGAAGAATGACGACCGTCATGACTTGACAGGAACTTTTGGTACAATGCCCGCCCGCTCGGCGAACGTGGCGAACGACATGCGCGGGTCCGGCTGCTCCTCCGCTGCCCTGCATCGGAGAGAGGGGGTGCAATTGGGCGAATGCACTCGCGCAGAGAGAGTACTATCACGCACCTTCGTTTCATCTCGCTCCGCCATGTCACTTCCCGCAACGCTGGACTGCGAACAGTCGCGCCCACGATGGCCAGCACGAGCGCGGTAACTGCCTCGAACACAATCTGAAGGACAAGCACAGGTCGGGGATGCGGTCAGCTTCGTGGCGCCATACGTGCGGCGTGCATGAGCAGTGGATGCTTACGTCGCTCGGCAGGGCTCCTTCTGGTCGCCCGAGGGCTTTCAAATGGGAGAGGTCTGGAATTGACCTGAAGATCAGAGGTGTGGTATATGTCTGACGAGACGGAGTATTCACGCTCATATGTTGAGTAGGTCGCTGTGATACCAGAGCATGTGAGCGCCACGAGACATATGCCAAGGGGGAAGGGGACCGACCGTGGAGGAGGGCGAGGGTCGCGATGAAGAGCATAAGGCCGCCGAGCATCATGGAGACGAAGAGAGGAGGCAGACCGAAATACGCCGGCAGTCAGTTTGTGCGGTTGAAAGACAGACGACCGGGCGCAGCAGGGCGTAGCGGTGTGGGCGAGACCGCGTAGCGCACGTGCAAAAGGGTATATGATGGGCTCGGCGACGGCCAATGGTGGCCGCCCGCCTCAGCACTGTCAGCGTCCCCCGCAACCGCCGCAAGCGATAAATCCCCCTGCACCCGATGTACTTCTGGTTGTCCGTGTTCGCTCTCTCAACATTACTGGTGATGTGTGAGTGTGGCTTCCCGCCCTTCTCCTCCACCTCTTCGACCCCACTTTCATCGCTCACTCGCTCTCCCCGCCTAGTGACGTTCCGGTACCGAGCTGCGCTTATCAACCCCATGCGCTCGCTTTTCCCTCGTCTTGGGCACTACCAGCCCTTGACGACGTTCGCGGAGCAGGCCGACGCCGGCCTCTCTTCCTCGACTTTCGACATCGAAGCGAACATCCGGGATGGCGACTCAAGGGCTGGTCTTGACGAGCGTGGCACTCAGGAGGTGCTGGACATCATGCGCCGGGAGCGGGTAAAGTGAGTGCCCTCTTCTTTGCTTTTCCACATCCTCGGCTGGGAGCAAGAGGGAAGGAGAGAAGGGCTTTGTGATCGAGCGAAAGGAGAGCGAAGCACTAACTGCTTTGTGGCGCGCCCAGCTTCGACCAGGCTCGGTTGATTCGTCAGAACCAGATTCTGGCCGCTAACGGCATCGACCCCTCTGGTGAGTTGCAGTTGCTTTCTACTCCCGGACAAGTTTAACCCCGTGGGGACCCAGGAATGCCCATGGATGCGAAGGCTATCACTCGCCTATGATGATCGACGACCTGGTCTCTTTGCTTTCTTATCGTATGTGCCCCCTAGTCCACTACCCCCTCGCCTCGCTCTCAAGAACTCCGACGGAGTGGGTTGTCTCTCCTTGCACCTGTTGTCACCTATCTACATGGCGATGTATGCTCCTCCATCGGTCCATCACACCATCCTTGTCTTTTTTGTTTTCTCACTTCGCCTCCTGAGTGTCGTCTAGTAGCCATTACGGAACTGTACCATCATCAATACACGTGGGCCCGGTCCACTGGTCATACACATCCCAGCCGCGTGTTCCCCTTCCGTCCAACACAAAACAAGTCCAGACTTCGGCCTCCAGGGTCCCATGCTTTAGTCTAAGGTGGGCTATCTGTCATTCCACGTTGCTAGTCCAAAACAAAGACGATGCTGCATCTTCCGTTCACGTCCTCTGCCCAGTGTACACGCCCAGTCCTTCATCTTCGAGGAGCGTTGGCTGCATAGACAAAGAAACCACCTTGCGCGTTGGCACTTAAAGCACGCAGCTCTTGCGCTCATGCTCTGCAGTTCCCGTCGCTTCCTCTCATCGTCACCATGTCCTATCCAACTCTCCATCCCCTTGACAATCCTCGCGCAATCTCCCCTCGCCGGCGCTACCAATCTCCAGCAGGCCCACAACCGTACCAGTGAGCTCGAACGCCTTTGTACTCCCCCGCAAACCGACGAGCTCTCCCGCGTCCCCGCAGACACCCGTCCGCACTCGCTCCGCCAGTGCCCGCGTCGACCCCCCGACCAGGCAGCTCGCGCGTCCCGCCCTCCAATCGCTCCCCATCCCCACCTCCTCGAGTCTCCACCCCCTCGAGCCCGTCCTCGAGCTCGGGCTCGGGCTCGGACTCGACCGCGACCCTCGTCGCCCCGCGCGCCTGGCACGGCACGATCCCGCTCGCCGACGTCCTCCTCCCCGCGCACCTCCAGCTCACGCCCGACGGGCGCAACTGGCCCGCGTTCCGGCGCGCCGTGCGTGCGCACTGCGCGCTCCGCCGCGTCGCGCACCACCTCGCCCGCCCGCGCCCGCCCCCCTATCGTCCAATCGACGGTCCCGGTCCCGGTCCCGGTCAGAATCAAAGTCAAAGTCAAAACCAAAATCAAAGTCGAGGCGAAGGACGAGAGGGGGGCAGGGTCGGGGGGTCCTGCCTGCCGCGGCCGAGCGAGAAGGCGGCGTGGCTGGAGGCGGACGGGATCGCGCGCGCGATCGTGCTGTACAACGTGAGGAGGTGGCCGTGCAGCGCGCAGTGCGCGTGCGAGTTCGCGTGGGAGGTGTGGGCGTGTCTGGAGCGGGCGTACGCGGTGCGAGGGTGCGAGGTCCAGACGGGCGCGGAGGCGGGGCTGGCGCCGCTGTCGCGCGCCGACCGCGACTACGGGCGGACGCGTACGAACGGCGCGAAAGGCAGCGGCTGGTGGCTGTTCTGGGCGGTGGTGTATGCAGTGACGATGTTTTGTGTGTTTCGGCAGAGTGCGCCGGCAAGTAGACACCAGTGCCCGGAGTATGCGCCGTTTACGTGAGGCGTTGTTTCTTTGTGGTTTGTGTGCCATGTGTGCGGCGAGGTTGCGTGAGGTCATCTCCGACGTCAACTGGATGCACCCACGCAGATCTCCCATTCCATGACGCCTACCTCCGGTGAGTCGCGGGCTCCAAGATGACAGGACCACTATTAATGTCTGAACCGGGTCACTGTTCTCGGCCTACTCAAGCCCGACCTGCCTGCGTCTGAGGCTTGAGCCTAGCCAGGTCTGAGGCTTGAGCCTAGCCAGTGGGTTTAGGATCAGCGCGCACAGTAAAACGATGCCGTCGAGGACCTGTGGAAGAAGCGACAAAGGGAAACGGTCAGCACGCCCGTCTCCAACAAGCATTCGCGCCCCGGATTGACGTACGACAACAAGGGAATACGCGACCCCGGCGACCACGTTGAAGCGCTCCTTGAACGCGAGCGAGCTCGAGGTTGCTGAAGACGTCGATATGCCGACGACCTCGTAGTGCTTGTAGATCTCGTAGTACTGCGGACTGCAGGCGGCCGCTGGTGTGAGTGCGGGAGGTCGTGGCTAGAAACTGGAGCACGCGCAACGGAGAGCAGGACGGCGGTGTTCATGATGCCGAAGAACCTAGGTACGAGCTGGATTGCCCAGCAGATCGTCCCTGCCATGCGCACCGCAATGAGCTGGGAAACCTCGCTGAAGGGGAGAGGAGCAGTTTCAAAAGCACTCACTCCGCCACTGGGTTCGCTACCATGTTTCCACGGGGCGACTCGTGGCTCTGTTGTCTTGAGTGTAGTTAATTAGATGCGAGTCGAACCATCCAGTTCACCATCTTCTGCATATATAATGAGAAAGTCATCATGGCTGTGCAGATTAGAAGAGTGACTCGACTTTCGAGAGTGATTTTAGCTAGAGCGGGCTCCCGAGCACGTTTGCTGGTACAACGTTATTAGATTCACGTATACTTTTCTTCTTTACGATCAATTGACACCAAATGGAAGGCGACTTTCGTGTATGTTGGGTGACGGTGTATAAAGCATCTACTCGTACAGCTGAACAGCCCAGACCCGCTCCATCATGCATACAACAATTCCGAAGTCCGTTCCCTCACCCACCCCCATTCCATTCCATGCCGCCGCCTCTCCCGCTCACGATCCGCCCTCCGACTTCGTGCGCGGCTTCGGTGCGCGCCACAGGTGCGCCCACTCATTCCGCTCCACTGACGGAACCTGCGCTCGCGGTCGTCACGGCATATTCGTGCTTGCTCGAGTCCCAGCCACGCGCCCACTCGGGACGTACCATCGTCGGCAAACGCGCCCCCGAGCCCCCGTCGACGCTGCCTGTCCGCTGCCCGCCCATGCGGATCGAGTGCGGGTTCAGGTACGCCGGCCGTGGAGGGTACGAGACGCTGTACGACCGTTTTCTGCGGGGAGGCGCAGTGCAGGGTAGGGTCAGCAGTGCATAGACGCACGACGGGCAGGAAGAGGACGCACGTAGGGTGCAGCGTCGGCGAGAGCGCGAGCTGGGCGAAGTTGCTGGGGAAGAGCGGGTGGCCGGGGCCGCGCTCGTGGAGGACGTCGTACGGCACGTCCTTGTCGTTCGCGCCGGCTGGGGGCGCGAACCGGGGCTGCACGCGCGGGCTCCCGAGCGGGGGCATGGGTGAGCCTGAGTGGAGGCCGACGGGCTCGTACGCGGGGGTGCTGGGAGAGGTGATGATGCGGATGCCGTGGATCTCCTGCTCTGTCTCTTCCTTCTTGTCCTGTGCCGCCTCCGACTCGTCCTCCTCGCGCAGGTCGCCGAGCGAGGAGTGCATCCCGACGGGGTCGACCGCGGAGGACGGCGGCGGCTGGTTCGCGAAGACGGGCTCGATGAGGACCTCGCCTTCGTCGGACAATGTCCGGATGGATGCGACGGGAGAGTCCGGCTCGAACACGTTCGAGTCCATGGGGTCCTCGTTGAGAACTACGGTCGACGGGCCGGAGTCCCCACCGTCATATTCGACGTCAAGCTCGGGAGGGACGCCAAGGGCACCCTTGAGCCGCTCCCAGATTAGCTCGCTGTGCGCCATGACGCAGCGACGGGCCTTGTATGTCCAGACGACGTCGTCTGCCTCCTCGCGGTCGACCCTTTTGAGCCAGTATTCGAGATCGGCGAACGTCCACTCCCGCGCGTCCGAGGGTGCCTTCGCAGTGTGCGGGCCCATGGGGGCACGTGCGTCGTGTGGGAAGGTCTGCTGGAGAAGCGCGAAGAGCCTCGCGTTCGGCTGCGCTTGGAGCAGGGAGGTGACCTCCGTAGGCCGGTGAATGAATGGGACGTAGATAGAGTCCGGGAGCGGGGTGAAATTGACGGGCGTGAAGTGGTGCTGCACGCCGCTGCCCCCGGCGACGTTGGGGGAGATCATAGGGGAGCGGGGATTGACCGAGGTGCGCGCGAGGTCGACGACCTGTTCGGGGGACAGTTTGCTGTGAGAGAGCGGACCAGAGAAGCGCGTCGCGCTCGGGGAGGAAGGGCGGAGATGGGGCGATTTCGAGGGACTCGCGGGGCGACCAGGGGATGCGGGCCCCGAGGGAGCGAAGGAGGTGAACGCGAAACTCATCCTGTTCGGTGCACCCTCCTTGCCCGAGGAGGTGGAGTTGATGGATGCGTTGCTGCCGTGTCGTCGGTGACGGCGCGGAGGCTCTTCCATCTCCACCTGGGGGACGCGAACGATGGTGAGACGGCTAGTGAGCGCGCGCGCGGGATTCATGTTGGAGTCGTTGAAGGTGCCATAGGGGTCGACGGCAGCGGCGGAGCCTCTACGGGAGGAGAGCCTGCGCGGACGAGTGCTAGGACCGAGGGTAGGACTGAGGTCCGGGGTGGAGAGGGCGCTCATGCTAGGACGCGGGGAAGCGTGGGGAGATGATGAGGATCTGGAGATCGATAGCAAGGTGGAGAGACATACCTGGCGGGAGAGGGCACGCTGGCGGGGGTGCGGGACGGGGGGGCAGATGGCAGTGGGGGAGAAGGGGCGTGCGCGAGAGGACTGTAAATAATGGCGAGCCCAATTCAGTGTCTGCGAAGGGCCGAGTACGTCAAGTCTCCCTTGCCTTGGTCTGCGTGCCAGATCACATGACGGCATCCGCCATCCGTGCGGATGTTCCCGCGCCTTCCCCGCCGTCCATCGCCCGCCCGAGTGCATTCGATGGCGATCGTCGGCGGCGGAAGCTGCGGAAGCACTGCGTGGCAGCGGCGGGGTCGCCGGCGGAGTGGGCGGGAGTTCCGTCGCTGTGCGGGTGGGCGGGCTGGCCATGGATGCTTTCCAGCTTAGGACACGAGGATCGTCGACGCGCTTCTTATGGGAGTCGGGACCGGGCTGGTCCGCCACCGCGCGCAGACAGCGTTCCTCGAGACCATCAGCGAGAAGTACGTCCACGCCTCGCCTTGTACGTTATCCTTGTCCGCCTTTACACCATACGCCCTGATCCCTGATCGCCTGCCACCGCCCGGGAGCCAACAATCGACGAAACAGCTGGTTGCAAGTCGGCGACGGCCGGGTTGGACTTTGTTGTGCAAACGAGCAATCAAACGTGCCACCCGGTCACTGGACGAGAACCTTCGTGACGTGTAGAGCTTTGGTACTCGGGCCGATCTACCAAAGTCATGCCTCACGCCTCACGGTCGAGGGCCACAAATCAACGTGTAACGGAGAGCGCCCTATGGACACAGAAGTTTACGAGCGCTCCGTGGGCGCTCAATCTCAAGGACAGCTGCTGTCCGCGCACTGCACGTTTGCACTACAGCATATACGTATTCAGATTCAGATATCGGGGTACCACCGTTTGCCTTCCTTGGACGCGCTGAACCCTGACTCGTCCAGGCTGGCGTGCATGAGTGGATGGTATAGCATAATGGCAAAGCAGTGAGCGAATGACACAACACAGAGGCGATAGACTTGCTACAGAAAGATTTGCATCGTACACTGACACTACATAGAAGGGCACAGACTCGGTTCGATCAGGTGGAAACATATTCACTAGAATCAATCGAACGATGGCGCGAAGACGCATGGGGATATGAGAGGATTAGGGGGCCGGACGCGAGAAACCTTCGTGTAGGGGTAGTCCAACGGCAAGCAGCGGGACGATGAGACGTGGGCATGGAGACGTATGTGTTGAAGCATAGAGGTAGGGCCAGGAGGCAATCCCGTACAACGGCGAACCCGTAAATCGCGAGTCAGACACGCATCGGCGGCGGCTACTCGATGAGCTTGTCGACGACGTTGAGCAGCTGATCGACAGTGATGAACTGCACCCAAGTGTCGAGGTCCTTCGATTCCATGTGCCAGACGAACCGAGTCTCGCGCTGGCGGCGGAAGAACGCGACCGCGCACTGGTACTTCTGCTGCACGTGGTTGTTCGAGTCAGGGATCGGGAAGCCGCACTCGGACTGCCAGAGGCGGAATTCCCAGCCGACGAGCGGCCGCCCGTCGCCCGTCGCGGTCTTCTCCGGTATGTTGAACTCCAGCCGGGACCAGTCGAAACCGAGCGGCTGGCCGATCGCTTTGATGTACGCCTGCTTGAGAGCGAGGAGCAGGCAGAGCCGGCGCATGAGCACCTCCTCGCCTTCTTCGGGCGTGACGAAAGTTTGTTCAAGTGGGGTGAGCTGTGGGGGTACAAGGTAAGGACCAGGGCATCAGGTTGGAACAAGGAGGCGCCAAAGGTCCTTGGGTGAACAATGACATGAAAGTGAAGACAATGGCTGTCTCCAGGACGCACAGGCGCATGTGGAGCACAAAGAAGAGACTCACCTTGTGGTGTAGAGACTTCGCAAAATCAATCGCTGTAATCCCAGGAGGCGTAATGATCTCCTTGATGCCAATGCCAACGTTCACAACGTCCTCCCTTCGACCCTGGGTCATCGCCATACCGACCATGTTATGCTCGTATGAGGTATGGTACCCGATGATTGACCGTGCCCGGTTCGCATACGCCACGGGGTCGTCGTTTTGTACATGGTGGATCTGGAACGAAGGCAGCAGCAAGGGCGGCCTCAGCACCGGGCCCGCGTGTGAGGCAAATATGGATGCACACCTGTTCTATCCAGTGTTTTCCGACCGCAGTCATGTTGTCCTTCCACCTGCTCCGCGGGACCCGGCGATGGCGCATCATGAGCAAGGGGAGGAGGAAGGCGACAATTTGCCCTGTCACACCATACGTCTGTCAACGCTCTGCCCCACTGCGGCCACCGCACATCTATATCGCCACGCATGACAGAGGGAAAATCGTACTCACGCGTCGTCTCTGGGTCGTCTGGGTCGTGCCGGATGGGTGCATGGGTGACGCACTCCCGGAGGACCTTGAAACAGCGTTCATACTCCTGGAAGACCGACCACGCTCGTCAGCAAGCCTGAGAAGAATGTGGAAGGAACACGCACATCGGCGGTGAGTTCGCGATTCGTGAAGAGCATCCATACGAGTATAGGACAGTCCATCGGCGCATGAAGCGACTGGGCGATGCACGCGATGGGCGAGGACCGCAGAAAAGCGACACGTCGGGGCTCGGATCGTCAGGCCCGGACTCTCAGTCGGAGCTTGGTGAGCAGGCGAGGGGAGGCGGTACGCGCAGGCGCGGGGCGGAGGGGAGACCAGGAGCTCTGCGGGAGGCGTGCGGGTGGGCGCGTGCGAGTGGTAGTGGCTCGTTCGGGGAGCCCAGCGCGGGCGTGGGTGGGTGTGGTGGAGGGGGCAGTCTGGGTGTCGAGTGGCGGCGGTGGAGGACGAGAGGCGGATTTATACAAGGGACGAAGGGGTGGCGAGCATTAAACATCGCAGAATCGGACACGTTGTGGCGATTGCCGCGTGGGCGACATTTCCGGGCGTCGTGGTTTGGGCGCCTCCGTCTCGTCGTCTCCAGTAGCAAGTAGCCCCCAATTGTATATCATTCACTGCGTGCAAGCGGGCCTTAGCCCGCTGGCGGGCTAGATTGCTCAGGCCTCAAGGCCTCATACACATGGCCAGATACAGCCGAAGTTCCGGTTAGGCTCGGATAGCCCGACATAACCATAAGTTTCCATAACTGGTAAGAGGGCGAGGTGATTGTCGCCCTGTGGCTGGATCACATGATCCGACATGGCCAGACCATCTCGATTCGGAATGTGTTCCGACCCACTACATCACTAAACATGCAGCGATTTGTTCGTCGGCCGAACGAGCCAGAACGAACAGGATAGGCGTGAATGGATCCCACCTCGTATGGCAACGCACCTAGCTAGTGAAGCGGTGAGGATGTCGTTCTTGCAACTTCTCGCGCGGTGGCCTGCCGGCCCATCAGACCATAGAAAGACCATACCTTGCGTGTCGTATGAGCACATCTGGCTAGCTGTATGGGCATGGCCTAGTCCACTGAGACGAGGAATGTTCGATTCCAACGCGGACAATGGGACCTTCCGCGCCGTGGAAGACGCGCTCACCTGTTCAATCCTTTGTTCATCATACACAGGTCACAGTCATCATGAGATGTAGTCCTCGCGAAAAGAGAGCTAATCTCACCACGCGGCATGCACACGCATCGATAGCCCACAGCGATGCGGCTTCCCGCTATCCGAGCCCCGCCACTCATCTGGGGACTACGTGACATTACGTTATGTGTGTATACGGGGTAAGTAGTAGCTAAGTAGATGTGCAGCCTCGAATTGGCAGGTCCTACAACGGGACCTGCCATACGCGGCGCGGATGACTTCGTGCCAGAACGGCACCCACAGCTGTCAGACAGCTCAGGCCACAGGGCGCAGAAGGACCGTCGACAACGATGAAAGCAATCTCCGTGCCCAGCTGCGTGCCTGTCGCGCGGGTCCCCGCGCCAGCTGCATGGGTGGGTCAGTCTCGGCTCCTGCTGTCCCGCCTGCTGTGCGACGACGAGGGGCCGGACGCGCTCATCAGCGGTAGCCGGTCTTCCGGTTTTGCGTCTTTGCTGCCGCCGCCGAGGCCCGCGCTGTTGAGCAGGTCTTCGTCGAACAGCACCTCCACCCCGCTCTCGCCCTTGGTCCCCACGCTGATGCTGAGGTTCGACTTCCCCGGCTTTCCCCGGCGGGCGCGGCCGGGGGCGCCCACGAAGTCGGTGAAGCTTGAGATGGAGGATGTGGGCGTGTGGCCCGTGCGTCCGTTGGGCGTGTTCGGCGCCGCCGCGGAGGTGGGTGTCCGGATGGGAAGGCGGTAGAATTCTTCGGCGTCGTCATCATCTTCGTCGGAAGGGCAGAAGTGGAGTAGGCCGCGCCGTTCGCGGCCCCGTTCGATGCTGTTGAGCGGGAGAAAGGGAGAGAGCGGTACGAGCCCTTGCGGAGGTGGATCGCGTACGAGTACAGCAGGGCCGCGAAGTAGACCTATTTGCGCATGCATATGTTTGGTATGCATGGTGGAGCGCGACGAGAGCGCGATATACGCACCTTGACTATCCATCCCATGACAAGCATGGCGGTAGCGAGCCCTTTCTCTTGATTCCATATGGTCATGGCTGCGGCGACGCGTTCCTCCTCCGACAGGTTATGCCCAGGGCCACTGTTCATCACCTCCTTCTGGGCTGCGGAATTCGCTTCTACTTTTCCGTCGTGGGGCGTGTACACCCACCAGACAACCGCAAAGAAGACGAGCCATGCGGTCGAGATCATATGGTCTGCGAAGAACAGGTGCGCGAAGTAAAGTGTTTGTTTTGGATCTTCCTGGAGTGAATGGGGTGAATGTCATGACACAGTTATGGCAAAGCAGCGCGAAACGCACGCGCATGATGGCCTTGAGACCCCATATGAGTGCAACGAGTCCTAGAACAGAGTATACGTAGAGGCTGAGCTGCGCTAGAGAGCCTCCTGCGCCAGTCAGGACGGCGATGAGGCCATACACGCCGGCGACCTTGTTGAGGACCTGTGAGACGTCTCGAGCGTGAGCTGTTGGGTGAGCATCTCACGCTCGAGACGACTCACCGCGAATAGGAGGGCGACTGTGACACCCGTCTTGATGTCGAGAAAGCCGATGAAGGACGAAAGCGGCCGTAGCCTCCACTCCGGACGGAGGGTAAGTTTCATGACGGGAGGTTGTAGGGATTATGGGCGGGCGAGGCGTCGTTTTAGGCGACCATGTACCCGAGTGAAACCAGGAGAGGTAGGGGGAGGAACGTGAGGTGCGTCGGGGTCAGGGGGAGGAACGTGAGCGGAGGAGAGGGCGTTGCGCGGGCCGAGCTGGTTGCTCAATCTTGCAAGCTGTGGCGCGGCGCAAGATTTGCCTCACACTCATCACCCACGACGCCCATCTCACGCCTCCAAGCTCTCTTCCTCCCGCCCTGCTGCCCCTCCACGCCCAAAACACAGCTGCCCACTCGCCGACTGTGCTTTTTATTGCCTATTTCCCGCGCCCGTCCCCTGTCCCTCGCGTCCAGAGTCTAAATTCGCCGCCGTATCGAGTGCCGCAGTCACCCGCCTGCCCCAGTCGCTTTTCCCTGCCGCAGCCGGTCCCGAGCACTTTCCAGTCTGCTCCCCAGCCCCCGCCCCAGCCCCCACCGTCTCGCACCCCACACACACCGTCCGCCCACCGCCCACCGACTCGCCGCCGGACCCCTCCTCCCGCACCGACATATGCCCATGGCCGGCTTCTTCTCGAACCACTCCCAGTCCCGCTTCCTCGCCAACTCGAACGCGTCCTCGCAGACAGCGACGGCGACGACGGCCGGCGCGCCGGGTGCCGGGGGCGCGGGCGCGGGCGCAGGAGGAGGAGGAGGGGCGCCCGCCCGCCCGCGCCTGCCGTCCTCGAAGCACTTCTCCACCTTCGTCTCCACCACCGCCGCGGGGGATGAGAAGGCGCAGGGGAAGGACAAGGCCGCCGGTGCCGGCGCCGCGAACGGGAGCGCAACCGTTCACCCACTCCGAAATACGTATGTTCGTATGCTGCTGTGGTCGCGCACCGCTGGTTCCTGACGCTCTTCCTCCTCCCTTCGTCGTCTGCGTGCATGTGTATGCGCGTGTGACACAGCTGGGTGTTCTGGTTCCGCCAACAGCGCGCCCCGGGGAACAAAATCACCAACTATGAGGAGGGGATCAAAAAGATATCGGCGTTCAGCTCGGTGCGTGCCAGTCCTCTGCCGCGATTGCGCAAACACGGCGGACGCTGACGGCGTGTGCTTCGGGTGCTCGTTCTGCAGGTGGAGTCGTACTGGTCGCTCTGGACACACGTGCACCCGCCGTCGTCGCTGCTGCCCACGACTGACTACCTCCTCTTCCACTCGGGCGTGCGCCGGCCGGTGTGGGAGGACCCACTCAACCTGTCTGGAGGAAAGTGGATCATTCGGCTGCGCAAGGGCGTCGCGGACCGCCTCTGGGAGGACCTTGTGCTCGCCGTGATCGGCGACCAGTTCGAGGGCGTCGCGGACCCGGGCGAGGGCGGTGGTGAGGAGGGTGTGCCCCCCGGGGAGTGGCCTGAAGTGTGCGGGTGCACGATCAGCGTGCGGCAGAACGAGGACATCATCTCACTTTGGAACCGCCACGACTCGAACGCGAAGTCGAAGGAAAAGATCAAGTGCGTGCTGTTGATGCGAGTCGTAGCTCCGCGAGACTGACGCTACGGTGATACAGGGAAACGATCCGGAGGGTACTTAACCTGCCGCCCTCGACGATTATGGAGTACAAGTCGAACAACGGTGCGTGTGTTTTGTGTCATGTCCCCCGTACTGGCCTACTGACAGTCGAGACGCGTAGATTCCATGCAGGATAAGTCCAGCTTCAGGGTCAACCCTACGGATCGCACCCCGCTCTCATGACAATGTGCTACCTGCGGTTTTGGGTATGCTCCAATAATTCTGCTCCAGCTGTTACCCCTCGATGTGATATCTGTAGCTCTATCGACGATCTCCCTAAAGAGGGCAATACATACCTGTCGGGTCTGGTGTATTGTACCATCTATCTTCTGCCTTATGTACAACGTGTCGCCGAATCGTGGTGAGTGTTCAGAAGTCAGCGGCATTGTACTGAGGACAAGGTTTCTGCGTTCGTATTGTCCAAATGGCCGGATGGGTTTGTAGGAGCCATCGACACCGAGCGGGTGTTTACCCCCACAGATTTCCACTTTATCTCTACTCCATTCTCCTTCCCTACCCCGCGGACATCTTCCTATGGTCGCCGTCCAGGGTACTACCGTCATCCGTTACCGTTCAAGCCCACTAGCCGGCCTGGTGGGTTGGGCCGGTACCAAGTGTCTGTGAGTCTCCGCGCCTCTTTCTCCTGCCCTCTCAGTATTTCTAACAACTTAATCCCTCACCAGCCACGGGATATCGTGGTAGTGCCGTCACCCGAGTGGGAGACATGGGACTCGCGAAGGTTCCGACCGGTCGATGCCCAACTTGTATGGCCTGCCGAGCGATCTCAATTTCCGCATATCAAGGGCGAAGCCGGGGAATCGTCCATGCTCTCACATCTCACATCATCATTTTCTAGGATTCAGCGGTCGTGATGCCTTGTGCCACCAGCGTCGGGTACGAAGTCGGCGCTCCTCTCGCCGACACCATATGAACCCGCACAACGGCCGTCAAGTTGGAATTGGGAAGTATCGCACGTTTTGCCTCTCCTCCCGAAGCCCATCTCCCCGTCTCCTTCAACTCCCCTCGCCAACCTCATCGTGTCCCCCCTACATTCAGACAGTCTCGACAGTCCGTCTGGGGCAAGGCACTACCAAGGGCTCGCAACAGAGCCGACCCCTTGGAGCACGGTTTTGCCCATTGATATGAAGCAATGGAGATGTGGCCATGCCTTTGGTACGGACAATGAGCGTCCACTGCACGCAATGGCCCTCGGCACAAAGGATTTTGGCGCCGGTCCTTCACGCACCACTTAAGCCTCTCCCGGTTCGTCAACCACATCTAAAGTTCCTCTGACACAGGACCCCCACTCGCCCCACCTCTCTGAACCAGTTCACGGCTTCTCTTGCCAACACTATCGTTATTGATCACGCAAACACATTTGATGCGACCCCACGAAGCACCATGACCACTACTCTCACAACCGCATCCTCCCTCCCCCTGGCGGAGTTACGAGACTTCTTCGACCGTCTCGCAGCAGGGGACTACCGCGGCCTTGCCAAGGAGCTCCGCATTACGCCGGCGAACCCTCTCTACACGCCCAAGACTCCAAGCCAAGCTTCCACCGCATCCCGGGACGCCAACCACCCGCCCTCAACCACTCACGACGCCTCCCTCCGTCTCCCCCCGGATGCCTCCTTCGCGTCTCCCAACACATCCTTCGCATCCCCAAACGCCTCATCCCAATCCAACCCCGACGTCTCCTTCCGCTTCAAACCCTCCGCGGAGCGCATCCAGCGCGCCGTCGCGCTCGTCCGGGGCGAAAACCCCGACCCGACCGCGGACCCCAAGGGCCGCGGCGCGGCGGCGGACGAGGCGTTCGACTTCACGTTCCGGATGATGATCCACGAGCTGTACTCGCTCGCAGGCTTCCGCGCGCTCGCGGACGACGTCGTGCGCGCGAGCCGCGCGCGGTTCCGCCCGCTCGCGCTCCAGGGCGGCGCGCGCCGCGAGAGCCTGTCGTTCGTCTTCGCCGCGCGCGCGGGGCGCGGGACGGAAGGCGCGCCGTCGGGTGTGACGGCGACTGCTGTTTCGAGGGTCGCTGGGCGTCCCGGTTTCACGGCCACCGAGGAGGACGAGGCGGGGCTCGAGGATTCTGAGGCCGCTGAGGCCGGGTGTGACCCTGCTCCGGAGGCGGGGGCCCGGTCGGAATCGGAGAGCTTCGGTTTCGGTTCGAGCGCAGGCTTGGGCTCGCCGGAGTCTGCGCTTTCGTCGGTCGGGCTGCCGCGCACGCCTGGAGGGTGGGAGATGGAGGACGAGGCGCGGGCGACGAAGAAGCGGATCACGGGGCGACGGTTGTCGGTCGTCGACCCGTTCGACGACGACGAGCGACGGGGACTGCGGCGGACCTGGGAGTACGACACGAAGGCGGTCGCGTCCGCGGACGGGTGGCTCGACGAGTCGTTCGAGTTCGCGCCGCAGGCAGCGTCGCCGATGCGTACGGGACCGGCTCGCGAGGACGGCAGCGGCATGGATGGTGCGTCGCGGAAGAGGAGGTTTTCGTTCGTTGCTGGAGGAGGGCTCTGAATTGTACCAAGTGCTGTCAACCCCTGGTGGAACATTATACTACTGTGATACCCTGATAACGCTGTCCACTACCACCTACTGAATGCTGATATCCTACAAACTTTTCCACCTCCACCTTGCTTTCTTTGTAGGATTCCCACAGCGAGCATCCGGATTTCGAACCACGGGATAGGAACATTGATGTGCACTTGGCGCCGGAATCGCTTGTTGACCTCTTTCCAACGCTCATCACAGCGTCTCCTTCTCTCTGTTATTCTGTCATCGCCTCTGTTACACCGCCTTATTATCGCGAGCAACGCCGGTAAGCTGCCGTCACTAACAGCCCTATGCTCGCTATCTAGCTGTCAAGATGCCTGGCACGGACCGAGCCACCTATCAAACGCACCCACCGTCCCTCGCCTCATTTCTTTCTTACGCTCCTCCACGGCCTGAAAGCTCTTCGTCTCCAATTTATTCGCCCAATCTCCTCCAAGCACCCCTCGTCGTCCCCCATGTCCTCCGCTACTAGCACTACCACCGCCACACCCTCCGGAACGGAGACCAAGAAACCCGTTATCCGAAACAACGACCATCTCCCGAAACTCGCCATCGAGTTCAAGGCTCCCCAGCCCGTCTTCAAGCGCGGCCGCAGCGTCTTCTTCGCCGGCTCCATCGAGATGGGCGCCGCCATCGACTGGCAGTCCGGGCTCGCGAAGCGCGTCGCCCACCTCCCCTGCACCATCCTCAACCCGCGTCGTCTGGACTGGAACAACGAATGGGAGCAGCGCGACCGCGACCCGCAGTTCCGCGAGCAGGTCGAGTGGGAGCTCGACGGGCTCAACACCGTCGACGTCATCTCGATGTACTTCGACCCGAACACGAAGTCGCCGATCTCGCTGCTCGAGCTCGGGCTGTACGCGACGAGCGGGCGGATGGTGGTGGGATGTCCGGACGGGTTTTTCAGGAAAGGCAACGTGGAGGTGGTGTGCAGGAGGTGGGAGATCCCGCTGTTCGAGACCTTTGACGAGTTGGCGGACGAGGTCGTGCGGAGGCTGCAGGACTAGCGCATACGGTCTCTATTGGTCCCGGGCTCCCCGTGGATCGGGTGGGGCTGTATGTATGTATCGTCGTCGTCATTCTCATTCTGTTGTGATATCAGGCAGCTTTCGATTTCTTCGCGTCCAGACGAGGTCTTTGTCCGGCGGGTCACTGCGCTAGATGGATCTATCGCTGAACCCTATCGTGCTTGCTTCACCCGACCGTTGCCGACCATCGATCGTCAAGGTCGCTCACTCTCGTCCTTCATCTCGAGCCTTGCTTGCGCCAGGTGCGGTCTCATCCCGCTTCATGCTTCCAGTCCTAATGCACCCCAGTAGCTCTTATCCTGCCCCACAACACAGTACTAGTATCCCAAACACCATGGCGACCCCCAACGTCTCCTCGGTGCCCTCACCGCCTCAGCCTCGCGCTCTGGTCCGCCATTACCAGGCCCCCGAGCCCGTCACCGACGTCCCCGGCTGCTCCATCTTCCTCTGCGGCGCGATCGAGCACGGGTCCGAGCGCTGGCAGGAGCGCGTCCACCTCGCACTCGCCGCCCGCGTCACCGCCGACGTCACCCTCTTCGACCCGTACCGGCAGGACTGGGACGAGACGTGGCGGAACTCGGCGGACGACGCGCGGTTCGCGGCGCAGACGGAGTGGGAGCTCGCACAGCTCGGGCGCGCGGACGTCGTCGCGGTGCATCTCCCCCGGGCGCCCGGCCTGGACGCGCCGGCGTCGCTGCTCGAGCTCGGGCTCGCGGTCGGCGCGGGCAAGCGCGTGGTCGTGTGCTGCCCGGACGGGTTTGGGCGGAAGGGGAACGTCGAGGTCGTGTGCCGGCGATGGGAGGTGACGCTGGTGGAGACCGTCGAGGCCCTGGTCGAGGTGCTTGCGGGGGAGGTCGCGAAGGGACGATGAATCTCGCACTCTCGGCCACCGGTACCTACGGCGATCGCGAGGGGGATGTAGGATCCTGGGTTCGTGCGCAGGTGGCGAGCCAATGGGCAGAACTCGAGTCTTGTCAGTGAGTCTGGTTTCCTACTATTGTGGCCTCCGGTCCTGTCGTTGCCATAGTCTCAAATACACGTTGCTCGGAAAATCCCACTTGGGCAGGTGATGCCTCGTCGATCCTGAGAGGCGCTGCTGCCCATGGGTGAGCGCACCTCCGTCAGATTCGTCCCTCGAGCTTGCAGGCTAGAAACACGCGAGCGATGCACGCGACAGTGGCATATACGGACCGCCTCTTCTCCCATGCGACGCAAGCCTGTCTTTCAATCCTGGTAATTGTGGTCGGCGGAGGCGGTCCGGAGGGCTGACCCGTTGTACTAGCAGGCCATTATGTCTGAGCAGGCCGCGGAGCGGCCACATTTGTTTGTGTGCTCTTGGTGGCGGCGGGAACAAGACCTGGTGGCTTGTGGCGATTCCCTGAGAAATACAAAAGGGAGCGACGCGCGGGGAGCGAGGATTCGACTCCGCAAAGCCTCGTCTCCTCAGTCGACACCACACCACTTCAGATCATCTCACTATCCATCTTGACCATCAAAGGTGCGTCGCACTCCTATGCACATCAGAATGGTGCGTCTGACGTCTAGCACCCATCCCAGATGTCGGACACTTTTGCCACCGCTCAACCCACCCCCGTCAACGATCAAGGCGGTTACAAGCATGAGGGCTCCGTCACTGCCCTTGTATGCTCTCCCGACGGCCGTTGGATAGCTTCGGGAGGGGACGATGGCCAAATCGTCGTCTGGGATGTCCCTTTGAATGGGACAATGATAATCCGTTTAACATCTCACCAAGGCACCATCTCCACTTTGGTCTTTTCGACCGACAGTATTTTGCTAGCCTCCGGTGGGCAGCTTCCAGGCTCGAACACGATCATCATCTGGGAGGTCGGAACCTGGGAAAAGCTGGTGCACATAACCCCTCTGGCTACCGCTCACTGTCTGGCGTTTTCCCCCGACCCCGAGCGGTCGCTGCTGGTTGCGGGAAACTCAAACGGAGAACTGGAGACGTGGGACGCTCGTCCGGACCAAGGCTTCGCACCGGTTCATTGTCTCAAAAAGAATGCCGCCCCGATCACTTTCATGGACTTCTCTGCTGACGGGACTAGGATGGTCACTGGCGGCATGGAGCGCAACTGCGTCGTTTGGGAGGTTGCGACTCTCATGCCGCCTCCGCCTCTCCCGCCCAAGGCCCCTACCCCACCGGTCGAGGGCTCCCCTGTGCACATCGCGGGCACTCCTCCGCCCGTCAAAGAGGACTCAGTCGAAGACGCGTCGTCTCCGAGGGAGATCGAGCCCACGAGCCCACCCCCTCAGACCCCCGCGGTCAAGACTCCGTACGAGCCCATTGATCCCGCCCGCATCGCTCCCGTCGCATCCTGGCCGGTCGGCGACAACGGCATTGTCTACGCCGCGTCGCTTGCCCCCGACGGCGCCCGCATCGCACTCGCCTACGAGGACGGCGGGGTCCAGATCTGGGACTGCGTCCCGAAGGCGCCGACCCGGCTGCTCACCGTCTGCGAGGATCGCGCGAGTCCGCTGGACCTCATCTGGACGCTCGCGTTCTCCCCTGACGGCCTCTCCCTTGCGACGGGGGCGGAGAGCGGCGCCGTCGTGGTCCTCGACTCGTCCTCGGGGATGCGCAGGTGCACGCTCGACGGGCACAAGTGCGCGATCAACGTCGTGAACTGGGCGCCCGACGGACAGCACCTCGTCAGCGCAGGGGCGGACAACACGGCACAGGTGTGGAGCATGGGCGATGGGGAGATGGTGCTGAAGTGCAACGAGCACAATGACGTGACGCACACGGTGTGGTCCCCGGATGGAACCACGATCGCCTCTGGCTCATTGAATGGAGAGGTGCGCATTCGGCAGTTTGTAGCACGTACTAGTAAGGCGACGTCGGACGGGCTTGGTTCCTGCGCAAATAGCACCATCGATGTATAGGCTGGCGTGTTCCTCCGTCATGGACGTTTGCGCGGACAGTATGAAAGTTGTGGCTTGTACTAGTAACTTGACGTCCGTTCTTGAACATGCCATCTGAACTTCCTACATATCCCTATCCCTGCAGTTTTCTGATTGGCATGGACGTGCGTACTGCGCCGACGATGACCGTCTTCTCCGTGAAGCAAGCCGCCTCTGAGTCCACCTCGCCCGACCCTGAGGACGCTGCTGTTCCCGAGGCTGACACCACAGCCAGCCTCCACCACCGGCGCTAAAGGGACCCGTCATCCGAAATGACGACTGCCTCCGACATTCGCCGTCGAGTTCAACGCTCCCCAGCGCGTCGTCAAGCGCGACCCCAGCGTCTTCTTTCACATTCTGTTGTTTGTTGGTTTTTGTTGATTTTATTCCCATTTAACGCCCGAGTCGAGGGCCGGGCCGGTCCGACTGTCATTGCCATAGTCTCAAATACACGTTGCTATCTGATATAGCGTAGATGATTTATATATATATCTCCGATAATCCCAACTGGGCAGGTGATGCCTCGTCGATTCTGAGAGGCGCTGCTGCACATGGTTGAGCGTTACTGCCACCTCCGCCAGATTCGTCTCTCCGAGCTCGTAGGCTGGAAACCCGTGAGGGGAACATGAGACAATGGCGGATGCGGGTCGCTTATTTGTCGCTATCACGCCGGCCTGTAAGGCTGTATTTCGATCCTGCCATTGTGGTAAGCGGAGGCGATCCGGAGGGCTGACCCGTTGTGGCAGGCCATTACTTCCAAGCAGACCGCGGAACGACCACAATTCGTTTGTGTGCTCTTGGTGGCGGCGGGAACAAGACCTGGTGGCCTGTGGCGATTCCCCGAGCGGTATAAAAGGACGAGGCTTCGCAGAGTCGAGTCCCTCACTCCTCCCCACATCGCTCCTCCTCTTCCCCAGTCGACGCCACACCACTTCAGATCATCTCATTCATCTCGACTGTGAAAGGTGCGTCGCACTCCCATGCACATCCGGAGAGTGCGTCTGACGTCTGGCACCCATCCTAGATGTCGGACACTTTTGCCACCGCTCAACCCACCCCCGCCGTCTCCTCGGTGAACTTGCCCGCCACTCCTGCGGCTCAAGCCCCCTCGCCCGGCCCTGAGGACGCTGCTGCGAGTCCCGCCGACGCCGCAGCCGCCACCGCACTCTCTGAGACGGAGACCAAGAAGCCCGTTATCCGAAATAACGACCACCTCCCTAAACTCGCCATTGAGTTCAAGGCTCCCGAGCCTGTCGTCAAGCGTGGCCGCAGCGTCTTCTTCGCCGGCTCCATCGAGATGGGCGCCGCCATCGACTGGCAGGCCGACCTCGCGAAGCGCGTCGCCCACCTCCCCTGCACCATCCTCAATCCCCGCCGCTTGGACTGGAACAACGACTGGGAGCAGCGCGACCGCGACCCGCAGTTCCGCGAGCAGGTCGAGTGGGAGCTCGACGGGCTCAACACCGTCGACGTCATCTCGATGTACTTCGCCCTGAACACCAAGTCGCCGATCTCGCTGCTCGAGCTCGGGCTGTACGCGGCGAGCGGGCGGATGGTGGTGGCGTGTCCGGACGGGTTCTACAGGAGAGGCAACGTGGAAGTGGTGTGCAGGCGGTTTGGGATCCTGCTGCTCGACACTTTTGACCAGCTCGCGGACGAGGTCGTGCGTCGGCTGCAGGAGGATCCGATCATGTAGCGTGTCGTCGCGCGAGGACATCGCCGCCACGCCCCTAGCGAAGTGATGCTGTACAGAAGCTGAAGCATATACCTACGACGACCACGACCGTAATAATTTCTGCGATGTATCTGTCCTGTTTCATTGTACGTTGATGACATACATATATAAGTAACAAACGAAGGCGTGCGCGCCGGGTCGCAATGTGGCGAGAAGACAGAACGTGTCCGCAGTCCGGGTGCGCCTCCCACGGGAAAGGCGAAGGGCAGGAGGATGGTCTATGTACGCAGTCAATGTCGTGGCCAGTCGTCGCGGTCCGCGACATGGGGGTCCGCAGAACGGAGAGTAGTACTAGTAAGGTAAGAAAGATCTAAGCAAGCACATCACGCGCCCTCTACCGTCTCGCCGCGGGCCGTGCGGGGTATCGTATCTTAACATTCGGTCGTCATCCGGTCGTCTCGAGGCGGGGGTGGCGTTCGTCAGCCGCCGTCACTATGCTGCGACCATGGGGGCTCGTCGAAGGCCCTGCGAGGGAACCTGGGTGAGCGGTGAGTGGCCCGCAGCCATGGGAGGCCGCTTCGCCCACGGCGCGTCCGCGGACTCGTTCGGCGGCGGCGAGTCGAGCGAGGGCGGAGGTGAGGGGTACGAGTCGACTGGGGACGTAGCATGGCCCGTCTTCGTGGCGCTCGGTGGCGTGATCTCGATTTGCAGGGCATGGTGCGGGTGTGAACGTCCGTACGAGGGCGGGAGCGGGTAGCGACCGGCCGCGTACGACGACGGTGCCGGGGCGGCCGCGGGCGGGTGTGGCGAAGAGGTTGACATCACTGCGCGGTGAGGAAGCCGACCGTAGGCTGAAGTGACGCCGATCTCGCTGGGAGTAATGTGCCGCGGAGGGTACTCGGAGTCGCTGCTGAGCTCGGCCTTGGTGGTGGGAAGGGCCAGGTCGCGAGCAGCCTCGACGCGGCGCATCTTGTGTTCGCCCTTGTCGACGTCGCTCTTTGCGTTGTTGTACATGTGCAGGCCCGCGAAGGTCATCGCAATGCCGAAGCCCTGGAGCGGCTGCACTGCCTGCGCAAACCAAACAATAGCGATGCAGATAACCGCGACGCGCTTGATGAGTGAGGCGATGGAGTACGTTACGGGCGACGTGGAGGCGAGGATAACGAAGGCGATGATGTTCTGCGCGAAGTGAACCGTCCCATTGGCGATGAGATAGTACGCCACCGAATGCGGCGTGGAATGTCCATGCGTGGGATGAGTGACGTGCTCGGCGGAGGATGCGAGGAAGACGGGGAGGTCGTAGTACGCCCAGATGGGGATCATGAGGATGAAGGCCATGCTGGACGAATAGAACAACAGGTTGAGCTTGTCTAACTTGTGCGACGACTGCGAGTTCGGTCCGGAGGGAACGATCTTCTTGAAGTAGATGTTCTGGGTGACGAACACGATGGCTGAACCGAACGCGCAGAGGATACCAATGGCGTTTGAGGCGGAGACATCAGAAGTGCATGCCAGTATGACGCCGAGTGTGAGTGGCAGCAATGAAAGGTAGGTCTTGGGGGAGTAGCTGACGCCAAAGAGGAGGGCGTAGGCTGCTACTGTAAACAATGGGGACAGCGCCTAGACGGACACATGAGACAAGGCTCGCAAGAAGAACATGGATAAGGAGACTGACCTTAATTGTGTGCACGGTGCTTACATGGATGCGGGAGATAGCCATACTGGAGAAGATGTGGCCTCCGACTTGGAAGACACCCATGGGGAGAGTACTCTCGATGATGACCCGGTTCGGGCGGCGGAGCTTGGAAAACCGGACCAAGGGGCTCATGAGGAGCAAACAGTAGGCGGCGACGAAGCCGAACTGGATGAAGGTGAGGGTGACAGGATACCGGAACGTGGTGAGGATCGACTTCCCTGTATTTGAGGACAGGGCCGATGTGGTGTACCAGAGGCCACAGAGGAAGACGAAGCGTAATGTCGCGGTGGAAGGGGGATTGAGGGTGGAGGGAGATGCAGACGAACCGGTGAGCCTGTGTGCTCTCGGCTGGGACCAATCCACGGAAGGGAGACGACGGAAGAAGTTGCGCTTGAGACCCCTCACCCGCTGAGCGAAACCGCCTGGTGAGGAGGGCTTGTTATCCGAGTATGAGGGCAGGTCGCGGTCTGCGCCGATGAGGCCCGCAAGCCATGAGTTCGTGCTGCCAGAGCGACGAGTTTTGTCCGCATCGTGGGCGGCCCAACCTCTGGGATCGTGGGGGTGATGCTGTGTCCAGGAATCCACCATGGTGGGCGAGGGCCGAGAGCAGGGTACGAGCCGATTATATGGGCAGTAGAGTGATTTAGAGGCGCATGGAGATTGAGAGGCGGCCGATAACGGGGGGCAGCGGGCGACGGGTGCTGGACGATGGCGAGAACGGACTGGAGACCGTGGGCGACGGCGTCCGGCGCTCCTCTCTGTTTGCCGCTGCTTGCTCAGCCGCCTCCGATTGGTCTCTCGCACAAGGCGCTCCGATATTCCCCAAACACTCGTCGCCCGCTCGACGTCAACGCGGACCGCCTCCAAACGACTAGACAGCACCCTACTTATGCACCCCCTGCCCCCGAGCCGTCTGCACTTTCGCTGTCCCGCCCCTCCAGCCCCGCCCCGTCCTTGTGCTGGCGTATCAGTCCCTGGCCAGTCCCTTTGCGTCATCGCCCGCGTTCGATCCCCTCCTCCCTCGTGAAGTAGGAACTCCACCCAATCGTCTCAAGCGAGGGAAGTTGTTCGGCGATTGTTCTGCTTGCCAGCCGCTCTCGCTCCCGCACGACCGCGTGGTGCTCGCCCTTGCAGGTGTCGCATCTGTCCGGCCCGAACGGCGGCGCCAGAAAGAAGTGGCCTGAGCTTGGAGATGGTGTGGCTGGGAACGCCGCGCAGCGGTCAAGGTGGCGATAGAGCATGTCTGCGTCCGAGAGGTAGACACCCAGGAACACGCTCTTCAGCCTTTGCAAGGGTTGCAGCGCCCGCCCAAACGCCTTCTATCAGTTTGATGTGAGTGGGACCAGATAGCTGAGGATAGTGCTGAGTGTACTCACCGCGAGATGGTTGGCTGACGGATACAGCTCAGGGACAGGAGAGTGTATGACACAGCTCGAGGATTCTTCATAGCATATCCAGCAGCAGGCGAGATCCAGCCTTTCCGTGCACGACAGTTCCAGTGTTGATAGGGAGGGGAACAACCCAGCGATTAGAGTGAGTAGTATGACGTCGATCCGAGAAAGCCTTCTTATTTTGAGCACAACCAGGGCCGCAGTGATGTTCTCGAGAATCACCCGCGCACGCGCTGACTGCGTCGACAAGCCTTCTGAAGAGAAATCCAAGTCCAGATAACGCAGATTTATGAAGCAGAGCAGGGCACCGACGTGAGGCCCGAAAGATGCCGACAATGCCGAGAGCCCCCTGCGCGTCCGCAAGAGGGTCATCCAGGGGGACAGAAGGGTATTGCCCTCGTATCACTCACCGGACCCACAGGCATGCTCCTCGGATCCTGCAACACGCATCCCATCTTTTTGCTGAACGGATCCTCAACTTTGCGAAGTACCGTCGCAAAGCGACCTGACGGAATTGGTAGGAGACCAATGAGAAGGCCCCCACACTTGAAAAGCCGTGGCAACCAGCGAGTAGTGATTCGGCGATTCCGTCTAGAACTTCAGATGGGATTGACCTGTAGGTTCGGCGGTGCGTATAAATTCGATGTGTAAGGTACAAATATCTACCTCATATCGCCGACTGGGCGGACTAGGATCTTGGAAGAAGAGTGTTGAGAGTGCGGAGAGAACGGAGAGAGGTGACGAGAGCATTACCGAGTCCTGAATATCGGTAGGATGTATGCGGCCACGTGACCGTGTATCCGACCTCATTCGAGCAGAGACACGACAGGATACGGATGTTCTTGCTCCGGATGGAGGACAAGAAGGCGCGACTGCGTCCAGTCCTCCACATCGAAGTGCCCGTACCCGCTCATGCCTCTACCACGGTATTTCGCGTCAGTAGGATTGGCGCAACTCCAGTGGATACGCACCCTAATCCTCCCATCGAACGTTGCCATTCTGCATGCACCGTCGGTCCATTGATATTTACGCAGTCTTTGGAGGTTCAGTTATCTGCTTCTGAAAAAGTGCACTGGGGGACCTACTCGCACGGATTCGCGCACCAATGCGGTGGGCAAGGTAAACATCCCGTGTCCACAAGCTTGCGGATAGGGAATATTCTGATGCATTAGCTAGATCCACGGCTTCAGTGTTGGCGACGGCGAACACAATGACTACAATGATTGTGGTGAGATAACCAAGGTCTCTCCCAAGCATAATTGCTTACCGGGCCCAAAGCTTTCCTTCTCCCACAAAGCCATCCCGGGTTTAACGTCTCTGAGTATATGCGGCTGAATAACGCCCTCTTGTCTGGTAAGATCCCCTGTCACCACTTGCGCGCCAGACGCTACGGCGTCTTTCATCAACTCCACCACTCTCTCAGCAGAGGCCTGAGTGAACAATCCAGACAAGACCGCAGAGGGGTCCCTTTCGGGATCACCGATCTTGACTTGCTTGAAAAGCTGGGTGAGTTCTTGTATCAATGCTGCTTCGACGTCCTTGTGAACAATAACGCGTTCCGTCGACATGCAGACCTGACCGGCGTTCATCAAGGCGGACGACGTGATCGCGCGCGCAGCTCGCGGGATGTCTGCATCTGCGAGCACCTACTGCGAGTGAGCGTGCACGGATCCGTGCATTGCGTGCTACTCACCACTGCAGGTGTCTTGCCTCCCAGCTCCATTACGCACGGTTTCAGATACTTGGCGGCCTCCTGGGCGATGATGCTGCCAACCCGAGCTCCCCCACAGAACTGCCCACCTCTTCAGCACGTACGTACGCGGACCATCCAGCAGAGACGGCTGACGTTGACTTTCCGCACCAGAGGATGCGCGATCATCTCCGCCACTCGAGCGGGAGAATCCTCCTTGGACACCGGCAAGAAGTTCAGCACGCCCTTGGGCAAGCCTGCCTGCCGTGGTCTACGTGAGCATCCAACCACCCTCAACCGCGACTCTGGCACGCCGACCCCACACACCTCCTCGAAGATCTCGACGGTCATCGCTTGCACCCGAGGGCACTCCTCCGCCCCTTGATCACCACCGTGTTCCCACACATGATAGGCACCGCGAACGCCCGGATCGTCAGGTTGAACGGCGCGTTCCACGGCGCGATCGCCAGCCTGTGCACCGTCAGCGCGCCGGCCCCGCCCCACGCTCGCCCGCGCACTCACACGACCCCGAACGCGCGCCGGTGCGCGAACGCTTGCCCGCCGGGCACGGACGACGGGAACGTCTCCCCGCGGAGCGTCGCGCCGAGCGCGGCGACGTCCCGGAGGTAGTGCGCCTGCAGGTCGTGCATCGCGCCCGTGAGCTCCGCGGTTGCGCCCGTTTCGGCGGCGGCGGCGGCGACGACCGCGCCGCGCCGTGCGCCCGCCGCGAGTCGGTCCGCCGCACGCAGGAAGACGTCGCGCCGCGAGGAGAGCGGTGTGGACTCCCAGGCGGGGAAGGCGCGCGCGGCGGCGGCGATCGCGGCGGCGCAGTCGGGCGGGGAGGCGGAGGCGGCGGTGCCGACGGGGGTGGTGCTCGAGGGCGCGTGGACGGGGAAGGTGGCGCCGGTGCTCGAGGGGCGCCAGGTGCCGTCGATGAAGAGGGAGGTGAACGGGAGGCGGTCTGGGGACATTGAGGGCGGAGGGACTTGTGCGCAGCGCCGGGGGCTTCGATATATACGGCACTTCCCCCTGGGTTTCAACTCTGCGTCATCACGGGGCTCGTTGTGCGAACGATGCGCATCCTTTAAGAACTTGTTCGAGGAGGGCTCTCACGCCGCGCCGCTGTCGGCGGCTGAGGTGTCTTCTTGCACGTACATATATCGACGATACAGCACACGTATACACATACACAGGAGTAGCACAACAACACACAAATATTACAGGGCTCCCGCTCTGACCTCAGTACTCAGTACGCACGGTCCTCACCCACCTCAAACCCAATATAATAGCCAGCGTCGGAGTCGTCTCCAGAGCTCGGCCCGCATCGCGCGCCGTGCACCGCGTCGTCCGCCGGACCGCCAGCCCTTCCCCCAGTAGGACCGCCTCCCTCTCGTCCTCGGTGAGCCTGATGACCTCGAGGCTCTCTGGCAGGTTGCGCATGCGCCACCCGACCGCGGGCCTGCCCGAGACGTCGAACAGGACGTACGCGAGCGTGGGGACGAGCGCGGCGAGGATCGGCGCGCTGCCGCTCTGCGCGGGCGGCGGCGACGGAGGGGGCGTCTGCCGGTAAGGCGTGCGCGCGAGCCGGGTGGGGGATGCGGTGCGGGAGCGGATGCCGTCTTGGAGGCGGAGCGAGAAGTGGGTGAGGTGCAGGCACTGCGAGAGCACGATTCGGAGCGGGTCCTGGGACGACATCGGGGAGAAGATGACAGTCAGCCGCGTGCACGAGGGAGAGGGAGACGAAGGGGAGACTCGCCAGCGTGCCGACACAGCCGTTCGTTGCCGCGGCGAACAGCGAGACGCACACGTCGAGCGCGAGGTGGGTGAGCTCGACTCGGAGGCATGTGATCGTCTCGAGGAGCCTTTCGAACGCGTTGGGGGGCACAGGCCACGGCATCCCGTACGCGGAGTAGCCGGTGTGGTGGCCGATGTGGAGCAGGAGGCGGTGGGGGCGCGCGAAGCGCAGGACGTCGAAGAGCCGGTGGCGGTCGGGGTCGCCTAACCCGATGCGCTCAATCTCGAGCGAGGGGACGCGCTCGGTGAACCCGAGGGCGTACAGAGACTCGAGACTTCCGCGGACGCAGGAGAGGTGAGGCCAAATGGTCTCTCTGCCGGAGGAGCGAACTCAAGGGCGGCGGAGGCGCGGTTGGATGCGGCGCGGTTGGTCACTGCTGCATGCGCGATAGATATATCGTTCGCACCGGCGTAGTCGCGCACTTCCAGCGTCCGAAGGGCCGGAAGGGCGTTGATCAAGGTCCACAGAGTGAGTTCGTGGATGTATCGTAGGGAGAGGTGTTGCAGGTGGGGAAATATGGTGATTGGCGCAGCGCTGTTGGGAGGCGAATCTCAACGTGAGCGGCGGTAATGCTTCGGAGTGTGTTTTGGTGAAATTTGAGCTTCTCCAAGATGTCCCAAAACCCCCATCTGCCGCAGACGCCGAAAAGATCGAGGTCAACCTCAACGAGCGGTGCGATCAAGCGGGGAAAGAGCTTGTCCGCGTAGGATCCGAGGGGAGACAGATGGAGATATGTGATGGAAGAAGAGGAACAGATTGCAGACAGCACGGCGTCCGGTAGAGCAAAGTCAATCATGTCGAAGAACTCTTCACAGTGGGTGATCGCCAAGGAGTCGAGCGACGTAAGGTGTTCAAACGCTGCGTGAAAGGAGAGCGCTGTGCGACCAAGGTCTTGAGAAGGTGATGAGGGAGTTGACGCATCACCATAAGTCGCCAGGTCCAATCTCCCCGAGTCGGACTCGTCTACCAGCTCGCCGTGTTCGACTTCGTGATAAAAGACGCTTATCCAAGCTACGATGTCAATTGTCAGGTTGTGAACGAGTGGTCCTCGAGAGCCAGGGTTACGGTTGATGAAATCCGAGAAGGAGTGAAGTTTGTCCAGGGAGTTGATCCTAGCTCCAAACGAACATAGACGTTGAATACCTTTGCTGTGAATGAGAGAGCAAGTCCGCATCAGAGTAGATAGCGTGGTTTGAGTGGAAATGGCGGGAAGCACATTGTCCACCAGGACATCATAAGGGAGACCGTCTGCCTGAGAAGACCATTCACGTGAATATCTGAGGGTTTGGGGGCTACGGGTAAATTTTGGAACGCACCATGGACAGTGGCGTTGGGTGTTGCGGTGGATGGTAAGAGCCTAACAGCAGGTCAGCCTGATATAGATTCGAGTGAGGATGCCAGATGCGAACAATGCCGAGGTCGGCCTGTAAGGCGGTGGACGAGAATAGTAGAATGACTGACAAAAGACAATGGCGTACACGTTAGTCCTACCAACACCCGGCAACTACCCACCTGGTGGCACCCCATATGGGTGAAGGGATGGACAATGGACAATGGATTTCGAGGTAAAGGTGAGGCCACGCGATACAGACGGAATAGAAATCATGCAGAACCCTTCTCAACCTCCGACGTGTCCGGTTCTTTCTTTTCTTCCGAAGGCGCAGTGATAGGTTCCGTAATAATTGTCTGTGTATTGCTCGCAAGGGTGACTGCACCGGACGCAGCCTGTGCTTCGGCTCGGGCTGCTCTTGAGCGTCGGCGCTTGGCGAGAGGGTTGAGAATAAAGGCGGCCAATAGTACAAGCCCGTCGAGGAGCTGAACAAGTTACAATGAGCAAATATGTCAACAAAGGCAATGCGACGAACGTACGACGACGAGGGAGTACGTGATGCCCGCGACGACATCGAAGTCGCCTTTGAACACCAGTGAAAGGACGTTGAAAACGCCACCGAGGAGGTCGACGCCCATGAACAACAAAGAGATGCCGATCACCTCCTTTACTTGTAGATCTCTAGTATTGCGGACTATCGTACCATCAGATCGAACAGCTCTTCAGGACGCATGGCGGACTCACACAAAGGACAGCGAGAGGATGATGGTGCTGATGATGCCAAAGGCCCGTACTGGTGCCAAGTTCCCGTTGCGCGCCGAGGGCTATTCACGCAATGAGTGGTAAGTATTCTGCACCGTGCAGCTACAACTTCAGCCAGACGCACTCTGAGTGCGAAGACCATCCCGGCTTCGAACCCTGCAAAGACAGATATCGCGACCAGCCACATGGCTATCGATGCTGTCTTTGAGCGTTTATGCCCATAATACTGGCACTATGTCATCAGAAGGTTGAGTTTAGAATTCATGCGGAGAGAGGGGTGGAGAAACATCCACCTGCGCCCAAGAGACGAAACATAGCGCGGCGAAGAGCTGTGGCTGGAGAATGAGGGGGATGTTCAGATTTTGGACGATCGAGTAGGGGCCCAGGAACGCTCCAGCGATACCCCACATCAAGCTGCGTCAGAGTGAAGTAGTTAGTAAGCGTCCGTCGGTAGCGCAGGTCACGTAGAAGAAGCATTGGAATACGTCAGCTCGGGATAATGACTCGGATGGCTGTTCGTCGTGACTCGAGCACGAGAAAAAGCGTCGCTTACACAAGGTATTCTGAGAGCCCGTCGACGGATTTGGTGCGGTAGGTGTGCCATATTTGCGGGACGAGCTGGACGGTCCAGCAGATGGTACCTGCAAATTTCCAAGCGGTGAGACTCGACGAGTGCAGCTCGCATCAGGGAGTAAGGCGCACCGATGGTGCCAAGCACGTTTTCTGCGGCAGCGTTGGTGGGCATGACGGTGTCGTGAGAAGCAGAGGATCCCCAGGGCAGGGTCGGAGTCGTTGAGAATGAAAAGGCCGGACCGCTGAGCGGTACTTATGCACGAGCGGCAGGGTGCAATGAAAGATGGTGGCCATCATCGGGATATATATACGTCCCGCCGGGCTTCCGAGGGTGGGGCTGAACACCTTGCCGGCGAGTCAGCACGGGGAGAGTGTCGAAGCCGCAAAATCAGGTGGGCGCTTCATTGGCGCCTTATAATTTTGACATAAGCACACAGGCGTCTATCTGCAACGTTTGTTGTGCATGGCAGAGCACGGTGTTGGGCCTCTCAGATCTCAACCATGACGGCAACTTGGTAGTACCCATGTCACTCGCAAGAGGCATCGTCGTTTGTCGTCACCACCGTTGACGATGGCACTCGGCTGTCCGGTGGGCAACGTCGTCATTCATAGTTACGCACTGCATGTTCCAAGAGAGTATGCCGGGGAAAAGTAATCAAGGTGCAACGCAGGACCGCAAGACGGCGACAAAGCAAGACAGAGCAGGCAAGAGACGTATGGCTACACTGTGGGGTATCAAAGTCTCAAAACAACATGCTAGCACCAAAAACAGGTCCACTCAACGAAACAGCCGTACAGTCGCCGCCGTCTTCGATAGCGAGCGCAGTTTATATCGCGTCTGATCTATAGGCCCAGGTCAACGAGCCAAACCTTCCACCACCAGACCGCCTTCGATGGCTATGATGCTCCATCCGTCGGCGATCAGCGCGTTCTTCACGGCGGGGCCCAGCACGCCCACGCCATTGCGAGAATGGCTGCCGCGGCCGGTGATGATGCGCAGCTGTTTGCCTGCAGAGCGAGTCAGTTTGACGAGAGAACGGAAATGCTCCGAATGATGCACCTGGGGTCCAGTACTCGACTAGATACTGGCGACTGATTGCAACGGCTTCGACGACGATCGTCCCGTGCAGATCAATGACGTCGTAGTTGGGCAGCGTTTTGCTACGCGAGGGACGTTCAGGAGAAGGTCATGATGCATGCTCTAGGACAGACTCACCGAGAGCGCATCACCATCTCGCGCGCCGAGTCCAGCTGCTCCCTCTGCGCCTCTTGCTGAAGCTCCCGCGCCTGTAATCAAGTCACGTCAATAAACTTAGGTCGTGTGACGGCACATAGAAGAGCGCGCACCCTCTCCGCAAAGTAGAACGCGATCTCCCCCGAGTGGTTCCGCGCCGTACGCTTCTGCCACGCCTTGCCCGCCTCCCGTAGCGCAACCCTCCGCCGCTCTAACAGCTCCCACGTCCTCCGCCCTGCCCCGGCGGCCCCAAGTTCGCCCACGTCGCCCTTGCCGCCCTTGCCCGCGGCGTTGCCGCCCGCCCGCGCCTTGCGTCCCTTGGTGGGAACCTGGGGGTTGTATGCACGGATGACGCGGGAGAGTGGGTGGGGACCCTGCGGGGCGGGCTTCTCCGGAATCGTCTGCCAGGCGTCCGGGGTAGCACGTTTGACGGTGGACGGGGAGGGCAACGGGGCCGTCTGGGAGCGCCGAGGTATGTTTGGGGGCGGGGGGACTGGAGGCGGACCGGACGGCAACGTGACAGTTGTCTTCAGTTTCGGAACTTGCTGATGATAAACGCCCCAGGCGAACTCTTTGGACGAGTTGTCGGCGTCCAATTCGACGAGGAGCTCGACAAGCTCGAGCGCGCTGTTCGGGTCATGTGCAGTCGCACGGAGTGCGAACAGGGAGTCCTCCAGGAGCTGGTCGCGCTCTTCGACGTTGAGGGTGCCGTACATGGGAGACGTGGTGAGAATCTCAAACATGCTGAACAGCAGGGGGCTTTCTTCTTCGGTAAGCTCCTCGCCGGATGCGGAGTTGTTCCGAGCAATGTCGACCATGGCGGCGCGGAGCGCGAGTCCGGGCGTGGGGTGATGCGGCGAGTGAAACACCGACTGGAAGTACGCAGCGGAGTGGGTAGGTATTATAGTAGACAGGTGGGCCGCGACAGATGCGAGCTGCGTCCAGGGATCGGGGGGTGCGGTGCGAGAGGACGAGGGCGCCGGGCGCGCATGCTGCTGTTGACGGATGTCCACGAGGGTAATGGTAGTGCCTTTCTTGATCTGCTTCTTCTGCTGCTTGGACATGCCTTTCTTCTTCCGCTCGACCAGCTCCCAAGGGGCCTCGTACCCCATCTCCATAGATTCCGACTCGCTCAATCCGCGCACCTCGAGCTCCCGCATGCACTCCTCCGTCAAGACCTGCTCAACGAGAGATTCCATGTTGATGTCGTCAATCCGGTTCCCATGGGCGGCCAGAGTATTTCTGAGATTTTCGGGGCTGACTTGAGGGAAGACGGCGCGAAGGAAATCCAACGAAGAAGTCTTGCCGGGGGCATCAGACCCACCGGAGCTTGTCGAAGTGTAGCCAGAGACATCGGTAGTCGAGTATTCATACGAGCTGGAAACGTCGTCCGGGAAGGGAGAGATGTGGAGCGGGGCGAAGGCATCGGAGAGGTCCGCATCCACAAGCTCCTTCTCCGCCTCCGCTGCGAGGTTGCTCAGAACCGAGCGAAGTTGCTTCAGTTCTTCGGCTCTATTGGCATCCCCGCCTGAGACATAGTCCGCGACGATGGCCGCGATGAGCGAGGTATCGAGTGGTGGGGAGAATTCTGTCTGAGATCGACAGGTTCGCGCTCGGAGATCAGCGGGAGTGCAGAATTCGAGGAACCGGAACAAACCTGTAGAATGTCTTGGATGGTAGGTTGTTGGGCCATGGCGTGTAGTGGCGAGTGTGTTATGGGCAGAGGACGTAGTGGTGGTGAGGAAGACGAGGGCAGGCGTCCTAGGACAGGGATTCTTCAGCGGACCGCCAACCGCCACCCGGCCGCTGACCTCACCACGGCGTCTCTGCTCTGACCGCGCGCCCTCCATCGCTCCAGCCACTCCCGCCTTCCGTCACTCCAATTGTCCGCCTCCGTCAGCCAGGCCATCACCGAGCCCTTGTCAGCAGCACCAGGGTACAGAATGTCGCGTACTGCCAAGTTCACCCTTATGGGATCCCTCTTTACGACCACTCTCATCGTGTGGGGCGTGCACTACATGCAACAGTCTGAGCGCGATGTGAGTCATGCATTGGCAGGGTCTCAGAACGGTATATGGACCTTACTTTGTCTGCGCAGACAATGTACCAAGGTGTTCTGAGGGATGACGAGAGGCGGAAACAGAAGATGAAACAGCGCGAAGAAGACCTCCAGCAGTCCCTCGAGAAGCGAGAGCTTTACGAACGCGTTCAAAGCGTATCAAACCCTGCTCCAGGCCCCACGAGCTCGAGATGACATACTGGATTGTTAAGGCATGCCGGTCTATGGTGGTGTAGTGTGTGGTCCGACTACAGAGTCTCCAATAGTGGCTGACTTCCACGCTGTTGTTAAACAGGCTTATACGGTCGGTAATGTGACACCTAATGCTATGTCCCTTCCCCCTTCAGTCCATCCACAAGCGATTCAGACCATGCCGACATGATGAATTCATGAATTGGAAGTGGGTTGGTGGGCAGCCGTCGCCACGGTTCCTTGCGCTCAGCCGTCGTGAGTCCTTCCGCCTTCTGCCTTACCTTCCGCGCTTGCTCAACACCGACCTTCAAGCACTGGGTCAGAGTCGGGGACTCGCTGTGCCAGGACAACATATCATTAGAATGCATACTATTGTGTTGCGAACACAGCGAAAATAACAGCTCTTCCTTAACGAACACTCATCTGCACGTATGTCAGTCAGCCTCCCTCATACCGCTAGTCAGTCACAGGAACCCGCCTAGCTCGTGACCCTTGTAAACGGTCAGCAGAATATTCCAAGGAGTATCCTTGGCATGCATCTGGCCAAGGTCCTTATTCGTCCGGTTCGTCTAAAAGCGCACCTATGGTATGTCTCTGAGACACCCGTTTAGTCCATTACAGCATCAGCTATCACCGTAGTTGAAAGAGCGGGCGTATTGAGAGGATGCTTGTGGTCTTTCGAATTCTCTCTGTGTTTCGTGCCGCAGACGAGCGACCGATCGCAGACGCGAATAAATCGGGTATAGTCTCTGACGCAGCGCTCACACGGGCGTGGTAACGGCCGTGGCGCATGTCGACCTCTCGCGGCTCTGCGTTCGAACGCCTCCATCCACAGAACACTCGTGACTGGGTCCATGAGAACGTGGTCCGACAAAAGCATGCCCGACTTATTCACCCCCTTCCTACGCCCGAGCCTTTCTGACCCACGCTCGTTGCACCGCGACCGCCGCCCGCCCCCAAGTCGTGCAGCTCCCCCGACCTGAACACTCACGTAAGTACGATCTCTCTGTACCTGCAGGTATATAAACACGTTCTCCTCTAGCCGCATCCATCAAGCCATGTCTCCTCCCTTCACCCCGCTCTTTATCGATGGTGAATGGCGCCCAGCCAGCACCGGCGCGACCTTCGACGTCCTCAACCCGCTCACGGGCGAGGTCGTCGGCACCTCCGCCGCCGCCTCCGCCGCTGACTGCGCCGCCGCTGTCGACGCCGCTCAGCGCGCGTTCGACGGCGTGTGGGGCGCGACGTCGCCATCCGCGCGGCGCGACCTTGTTCTGCGCGTCGCGGACCTGCTCGCGACGGAGAAGTACCGCGACAAGATCGTCGAGGCGGGCAACGCGGAGACGTGCACGACCGAGGACATGCTCGGGTCCGCCTGGCACGGCCAGATCGCGTACCTTCGCGGCCACGCGGGCTTCTCGAGCATCCCCATGGGCGAGACCTTCCCGTCTGCCATCCCGGGCGGGCGCGTCTTCATGAAGCGGGCTCCGTATGGCGTTGTGTGAGTACTCGCCCCTATCCGCTCCCTGACTACCCGATCGCCAGATCGAAGCCGATGCATGCTGAAGGCTCGCGCTGATCACTCCCGTGTAGGTTCGGCATCGCACCGTGGAACGCGCCGATCAACCTCACCATCCGCGCGATCGTGGTCCCCATCCTATGCGGCAATACCGTCGTCATCAAGTGCTCCGAAGACAGCCCACGCACGCAAGCCATTGTCATAGAGCTCTTTGAAGCCGCCGGGCTCCCGAAGGGCGTCATCAACTACATCTCGACCTCGCGGGAGGACGCCCCCGCCCGGACGGCGGAGATCATCGCGCACTCCATGGTCCGCAAGATCAGCGTATGCCTGCCTCTTCACCAACCTGCCTCCGCCAAGCTCACCCGCACCCTCCTCCGCAGTTCACCGGCAGCGACCGCGTAGGGCGCATCATCGCGATGGAGGCTGCGAAGCACCTCAAGCCCACTGTACTTGAGCTCGGTGGCAAGTCCCCCGTCGTCATCCTCGCCGACGCCGACGTCCCGCGCGCGGCGCGCGCCGTCGCGTCCTCCACCCTCCTCAACTCCGGCCAGATCTGCATGTCGACCGAGCGCGTGATCATCCAGCGGGGCGCCGCGCCCGCGTTCCTCGACGACCTCGCCGCCATCTTCAAGCAGGTCTCCGCCGGGGACGTCTCGACGCCGTACGCGGGCGCGCGCATCGGCGCGCTCTTCAGCGAGGCCTCTGCGGAGAACGTCGTCGCGCTGCTCAAGGACGCGGCCGCCGAGGGCGCGAAGATCCTCGTGGGAGACGCGTCGCGGCAGGGACCGCTCGTCCAGCCGCACATCGTCACGGAGGTCAAACCCGGGATGCGCATCTGGGACCGCGAGAGCTTTGGGCCGGTGGTGATCGTGGCGGTGGTGGACACCGTAGACGAGGCGGTCGCGTTGGCCAATGCCTCGGATTACAGCCTCATGGCGGCGCTGTGGACAAGGGACATCTACAACGCCTTCGGTGTGTCCGAGAAGATTCGTTCAGGTGCGTTCTTCATGTCATGGTGCAAGCCAAAACGCTTATAATGTTGAAACCTAGGATATGTCAACATTAACGGCCCAACGGTGTACTACGAGTGGATGCGTAGCCTGGCGGGACTGGGGTAAGTGGCAAGCCACGAAAAAATAGTACCCAGCGCTGAAGTATTGACCTTTGGAACAGCGGCTCGAGTGGGTATGGATATTTCAATGTCGATGAATGGACCCAGTTGAGGATGTCCGTCCTCCACTCGGAGAAGGAGCCGCCATACCCTGTGGTTTCTCGGCTGAACCAGTGAACGAGTTGACTATGTACAACGTTAGCGAGGCATTTAACTTTATAATTAACGAGGGCATCTTTGAACGAGAACACGAATGCGCTCGACAGACCTCACTGCTATCATCAGCAAAGTAGGCGCGGAAACGATAGCGTATGATCGTGCACGGGGGTAATTGTAGCGTATGATAGTTGGTGCTAGCGAAGACAGTAGAAGGTAGATTAGTATCCAAAGAATGCAGTACCCCGTATTGTGTGGCCGTCTGCTTCTTCCGCTATCAAATGATGATCGATTCTCGCGGACAGGGCTATCAAACCTGAGTGCGCGCACGACCATATACCGGTCATCTGCAGCGCATGAGATGATAGCGCCACATGATGAAATGTCAGATTTAGCGGAGGAGATGACAGCATCATGCAGAACACTACGGTCTTCCCTCACACACTGGGGATCACATAATCACGCAGAGAGTATAATCCAATCGTGCAATAGTAATACATTCGGGTAGATATACGATACAGCAGGTATCCTACACAATGGACACAAGAGCAGAATGAACGACTTACACAGTTAGCGATGTGGGCGCGTACTTGAGGCCTCTCAACCAGCACGTCGACATAGTACTCCTATGATGCATAGGGTCGTCCCTGTCGTGAGTGCCATGAGAGTGATCAGTAACAGCCTGTAGAAAATGCGAATCTAGATAGTGCTCACCCAGTGATAGAGGAGTCAGTGTGAAGGGCACGGAAAGGTCGGTCGAGCGCGGCGAGGAGCGTGGAGGGGCGCCATGGGCGCGAAAGGGTGGATTGGTCGGGCGCGGGGAGATGGTTGCGGTGAGCATGGATGGCCGCGTCTTCATCGTCTTTGCTCCCTCACTCCAGTTTGTGGGGCACTCCTCAACGCGCCCATCGTTCGGAAGCGTGGTGAACGGGGAAGGGGAAAGCGAGTAGGGAGAGGTCAGCGGGAGTGGCTACGGAGAACACGGAGGAAGCGAAACTCACCTGAGTGGACTGGGACGCCTTTACGAACCGGATCGTCTCCTCGACCAAGTGGCCTACGGGGAGGTTATCAATCGTGATTCAGTTGTCTGGCCCCACCGAACGCACGATCAGCCTTGATTCCCGGAAGTATGCCACTCCATTACGGACGCACCTGAGGATCCCCTTATGGGTCAATGATGAAGAGCCCACGGAGGGCGATGCCCTCATCCTCGATGAGGATGCTGTAATCGGGCGAGACGGACATGTCGCGGTGCGCGACAAGCAGGAGCTTGAGGTCCGGACCGAGACCGCCCTGCTTGCGCCGGGAGGTCGCCCAAGCGATGTGCGAGTACTGCGAGTCGGTCGAGGCAGCTGTGGATGAGCGGCCAGTGCGGAACTGATCTCGGTGGAAAAGGAAAAGGAACGCAACCCGGCGAGCCGCTGCTCCTGCAGAACGGGCGGGTGCTCGGGGTGGACGTTTCGCGCGCGTTCAGCAACACCTGCCGGAAGTGGTCGCCCGCAGGTCTAGCAGCAGGAGCTCATGAAGCGCGGGCTCAACCGTGCGGTGCCCTGGCATCCTGCCAGCCTGCGTGGAAGTTCTGAAGACGTACCTGTACACCGCACTCCCACTGAGCCAGTGGCTGCCGCAACACCTCCACCACATCTCCTTGCATCCCCGATGGCAAGCAAAGTCACTCAGGACTGACGTAAGAGCACGCGGAGCAACGTTGACACTGCCGGCGAGGCTGAGGAATCAGCGTGAAGGGGAGGAGAAGAGGCAAAAGAGGAGGTTCACACCGCGCACGGAGGGTGGCTCATCACATGTGGCCACCCGTGGCCATAAGCACCATGACTTCAAGCTTGATTGGGTTCTGGAGGCGCACCAAGCTCACGCCGGTGAGGAAGACACATCGTGACTTGTGTTGGGTCCGTGGAGGTGGAAACGCAGGGAGTGGGTGGTCGTGTTGGCTTTGTGGAGGTGGAAACGTAGGGCGCAGAGTGGCGGCCGTGAGGGCGACGAGACAATGGCCTGCGAGAGGTTGTTGAAAGCCACATCGATGTCGATGTCGATAGAAATGTGGGCACTGTGAACGAGATGATGGGAGCAAAGGGAGGAACTCACCATGTCTTGATGGATCACGCGCGAGCGTGAGTGGCACATCGCGCTGAGGGGATGATGGCAGTCGTGGGGCAAGTCCAGTAGGCGCGCATGCGCGCACACGCGCTCATGCAGTCTGGCGACCGAACGGAGGCCAAAGCGGGACGCCACTGCGAACCACGACAATTAGCAAGAAATAATTGTAAGCAAATTTTTCCAGACCTCAGAATTCGTCACTGCTAACACCGACCTGTATTATGTCTTCCCAACGATGTATATATCTTTCGTATTCTCGACCTGCTCACTGCCCTCGCCCAGTGCCCCGTGCGCCGGGCGTTCGCCGCGCCGCCCGTGACTATGAGCGCGTCGAATAGGAGGAGGAGGCGGCGGGTGATTTACTCGTAGTGGTGGTCCGCGGGATGGCCCTTGCTCTTGCCATCGCCCACGACGGCCCCACGCTTCGCTATTCCGGCCTTGAGCGGTGTGGCGCGGATGCCGTTGACTTGCGCGCGGTCAAAGCCGTCGGCGACAGGAATCGCGATGCGGCAGGACTTGACTGTTGGCTCACGGGGGGCGATGCGGGCTGAGAGAGCTTCGCAGCCCGTGAGCCAGGTGTTGGGCCGCGCGGGAGGTTCGGAAGAGACGCGCCAATCGTTGACCTGTGTAGTGCAAGCGAGATAGCTCGACGCGGTATAGACATTCGCCGTGAGAGGGGGTCGCCAGCTTAGCTTGGAATACCCAGGTGAGCCGGCACCGCGAGCATGGACGACACGCCGGGCGTCGAACGAGCAGGGTTGTGGTACCCAAATGACCCGGCGCTGGGACTACTCACTGACCGCCTCGCTGTTTGGGAACAGGTCGCTTCAGTACACGCGAGGGGGAGATGAAATGCGCACCTAATGGACAGAGAAGCACGCCTTAAGCCCGTTGGGAAACGGAGACACCATCGGACGGAACGCGAAAGGCCGAGATAATGCTCAATTGGTGAGCAAGGACACGAGATGTCCGCGGTCGAATAAATCGTGTGTTGTGTCCCAGAGAAGCAGACATTCTGATGAAGAGGATACGCATGGCACGACGAGGTTCCGCAGGGCAGCGAGAAATTATAAGAGATGCCAAGAACAAATTTGGGGAACAGAGGCCTCGGATGGGAGGAGGGGAGGTGGTGAGACCTTGAGGCTCGCCGTCGCCGGACTCCGTCCGTAAGCGGTACAGGCGCCCGCGCTGACGTCGCGACAGTCCGCATATCCTCGCGCGCACCGCGTTCTCTGCCACGCGCGCTGTTCGCGCGCTTGCGAACCGACCGTATAGCTCATTAGGAACTTCTCATGCACCCCGCGCGCGCCATGAATCACCCTTGGAGGGGCGCATGATCGTCTACTATCATTATCATATCATTGACTATAGCTTTCTGTCTAAGCTACTAGTGCCTGTAGTAGATCCATCATATCCTGTATGCGGCCACGAAATGTGATCAAACGTCATATCGAAGACGAATAAATATCAGCTGCTACCGTTCTCCTACCATCATTTGTCGCACAGACAAAAGACGACCTGTCCCGATATGGCAGTGTCGCGTGCTATCGGGCGCTACCGTGAAAAACACCTTTTGCTGATGATCCTCTCTTCGATTGCCGCGGGGGGTAGAGGGATCGCTTCCTTCATTGTGCGCTGAAATCGACTCCAAAGCAATGACAAACGCAGACTGGCGACTGCGTAGTGAAAACATGTACCAGGTCTTGTTCTCGTCGCGCTTACCGCATAAGACATGGCGGCCTCGTGAGGGCATATCATGGTCCGAAATGGACGTTACGAGACGAAGTCAACTGCAGTTTTCATGAGGAACTCTAGCTCTCTTCGAAGACTATGATACTGAGAGTTCGGCTAGTAAGCCGGCCTATGTGCCAAATAAACTCCGTTCGCTTGCAAAGAAAATGTTGTGGTGGTTGAGAAGAATTCTTGTCGCGTCTTCGATCGACAACCGTCTTGTGATCGCGTCACTGCGCGGGGGCGCCTCTTGGCTCGTCCTTTCGACTTTGCACACGACAACCATCTCGCCCGTTCTTATGTCTGACGACGACTGGAACGCTTCTGACGACGACTATGTCTTCCCAGTGAGTCAACTCTGTCGACGGGCCCCATCACGCAACCCACCTTGCTTGCAGCGGCAGAGAAGGTCCAAACGGCGCCGGACCGACAGGAAAGGGAAAGCCAAGGCGGTCAAAATAGACTCGGAGGAGCCGGAGACCCCGTTCTCGCTCGAACCTCTCCTGGACGTTCTGCGTGCGCAGACGCTGCACTGGGAATGGAGGAGCGGCGACGCCGATGAGCGAAACGACTTCCAAGGCGTCATCGAGCCGATGCTCCCAGACCTTCTCGCTGCCGAGGATGCATTCTTCAGAGAGGAAACGATGCACGCAGAGAAAGATGATACAGTGAGTTTTCGCCCCACCTTCGCCGCTGCGGGCATGCCTTCAACGCGCATTAGCCTCGAGCCGCACGTCTCTTGTCAAGAGAGAACGCATTACGGCTCAGAGTCACTGGCTCCTCCGGTGATACGGTCTCTCCGTCGTCTGCTCCTGCAGCACTGGTGGCTGCAAAGGCCAGATTGCACTCGGTCCGTCCCCTTTCGCGAGCATGAGCGTGCGCGCCGTCCGGGTTCAACATCTTTCACCATTCAGCGGGTGCTCCGCCGTATGGCGCTCAACCGTGTCCCAGCGCACCTCCGCACCGGGCCACTCACCTCTCTGCCCGCCGCACGGCCGGTGCAGGCCGCGAACCAGGAGGTCATCGATGCGCTGTACGCGATCAAGACCACGCCGTACGAGCACTCTTTTCTGTCTCGTTTGTGCGGATTCGACGTCCCCGCCGAGACTGGCGCCATCGCGGTGGACTGGGAGGCACGCACGCCGTGGATGGACCTGATGGGCGACGTGCGTGAGCATTACGCCATTGCGCAGTGAGTGCATGCATGGGATGTAACCGTCGTGGGCTCGGGCTGACCGGCTGGTTGTTAGTCCCGAACGGGACAAGGTGGATGAAACGATCGCACCGATCACTTACTGCACTTTGCAACGCTGGCACCTCCCGCAGGTGCACGCGCTCTTGGAGAAGGCGTTCTGGGACGGCGTAGATGGTAAGCAGGCCCCCGGAAGACCTGCTGAAAGATGGACACGGCTCACGAAAGACGATGTCACAGTCACGGATGCACTGGACTATTCACCGGAGAAGTGCACGGTGGTCGCGACGTACAAGCGACTGGTCGTCGGTGCAGCGTTCCTCAGCTCACCCAAGGAGACGTACATCACCTATCTCATCGTCCGATCGGGTTGGGACAACTCGCAGATTGCGACGTGGGTCTTGTTCTGTCACCCTTGGCGCGAGGCACGCTTGCTGACCGCAATGGACATAGCTGCATGCTCTATCATCTCATTACGTTCAATCCTCACAAAGACATCACTCTACATGTGTCCATCAACAACCCTGCCATGGTCCGTGTCCGTCTCGACCTCTCGTACCCAATCTGGTGTTGACACCGTTGGCAGTTACTCTACAATCGCTTCGGCTTCAAAGCGGAGGAATTCATCCTCGGCTTCTACGAAGACTACCTGGACGCCAGCTCTCCACAATCCAAGAATGCGTTCCGACTGCGGCTCCGCCGATGGTAGTCGGAATGTAGATAGGCGCGGCCCCGTCGCTATTGAATGCGAGCTTTCTTCACCTGGTGGTCTGTTGCCTGGTGGGATCCAGCGGACGGGTGCGAGCGCGACGCCGATGCGGTCTCTGGCCCAAGGGCCGGATACTTCTTCTCCACGTCGTCCGCCCATCGACCACCTTCAGCGCCCTCGAAGAGCCACACGTAGCTGGCTCGAACGTCAGCACGGCGTGCGCCAGTGTCGGTGCGAGCGGGCGTACGTACCTGCTACCCACGCGCCGCGGTTCGGGATCGAAGTCCGCGGACGGTCGTTTCCTCAGGTTGGGGCGCGGCGGCTCGAGCCCGCTTGCGTTGGGCAAAGCTGCGGGCAGGTCCCAATTGAGCCGACGACACAGGTGCTGGACGACGTCATCTGCGTTGCCAAGCAGGACAATCTGCGGACGTTCGGCGTCAGCGTCAGCGGTGTGGGCGAACACGGGTGCCGGCTTACATCTGGGTTGATGTGCTTCACTGGTGTCTTGTTAATAAGAATCTGCGGGACGGAGTGTGGCAGATGCGCTGGTGGAGGACGCGCGCGGGATGCGGCGTGCGGTACACGGAGCGCGGCCGAGGTGAGGTGAGACAGTGGGCGTTGTTCGTGAAGATGCGCCCGGCGCGTGTACTCACATATTGTGTCTGACACGGGCGAGACCTTGAGCGAGGTTCCGATGATGATAACGAGGTCGACCTGCGCCCTGTCCTCCATCAGAGAGCGGCTGAAAACGTCGTCGAGCCCCTCGCCGAAAAATGTAATGCCGGGCTGTGGGATGCCGTACGTAGAAATTGATCGTGTCGGCGTACTGTCATGCTACGCCGAACGTGCGAGTCGCAGTAGGGTGAACACACCTTCATCACGCCAGGCGGGTACGGCGGGGGCTCCGGCTCGTCGGACGCGTCGCTATCCCAGCCGTTTTTGGTCTTGCGCCGCCTACCCTTCTTCCCCGCTTTGGCCGGAGGGACAGGCTGCGGCACGTTACAGACCTTACACAGCGGCACGCGCTGGCTCATGATCTCTTCGGCAATTTCTGAGCCGGGAACCTCGATGCGGCAGTTCACGCACGAGGCGGTGGCGAATGAGCCATGGCATTGCACAACCCGCTTGACGCCTACGAGCGTTTCGAGAGTGTCAATGTTTTGGGTGTAGTTCTATGGGATGAAGCCGACACGCAAAAGTCAGTTCCAGAGCGAAGTGTCGGCGTCGTGCTGTGCGCGGGAACTTACCCGCAGCAGCTATGTGAAATGGCCGGGTGCATGAAAAATTAGTTGCCTGAGACTCCACGCAGGAAGATTGCTGGCCACGGACCTTGCCTTTGTCTTCGACAAGCTTGATAAAACGATGGCATGGAGAAGGTATGAAATTTGACGGGTATATTTTGCTGTGTCCCGAAAGTTGGGCAGAGGAGAAAACAAATGAGCGCTAGTCGACGGTGTACGTACTCCGCAACGCGAGTTGAGACACGTTGAGAGGGACCGGAACTCACCTTGCAAATGAACTACGCAGGGACACGTCATCGTCAGCTTGATAGTCGAAACAAGGGCCCCTAAAAGGCAAATGGACACGCGAACTGACTAGAAAACTGAGGCAGGACGCGTGTTTCTTTCAGTCACGCAAGCTCAACTTCGCAACAACAACGGTACACAACTTACCCGCCGGGTTCTCACGGAAGAACTGAATGTCAAACCTAAAAAAATTTCGGGTCCGTCATCCAGACTGCGGGAGGAGTGGGAGAATGTTGCGCAGACGACGTACATCTGCTGCGGATCATCGAGCTCGTACTCTCCGCTGTCTTGTAGCGACGCATAGAGCCCGTTTCTTGATCGGAAGTCAGGAATGCCGCATGAGACGCCTGTGTGGATGACCCAGAACGAAAATGGCCGGAAGCAGGTTGTGGGAGTCAGTGTGATGCACTTTCTGGAAAGCCGGGAGAAAGGCGCGGAGGATTTAAAAGGCAAGGAAGAACTGACTGATTCCAGCGCCCGTGAGGATGAGTATGCGTTTCGACGCTCGGATAAGGTGGACAGCATCGTCGACGGTGTTGTACGTTTGCAGGCGTTCTCGTGACTCTAGCCTGAGGAGAATCGCGCCACATTAACGTGAGGGTGCTTGTAATACACAGAGGGGATGGCGGAGCAAGTATGGTAACGGTGCACACGTACTCGCGTGAGAGAGCGACACGGAGAAAGTAGAGCATCGTGCGGTGTTGCTTCTGACGGAGCTCCTTGCACTACGGAGGTGAGGTCATGGCCCGGTCATGTCGGAAAGTATCGTCGGCCAGTGACTTACCAGACAGACTCCAAAAGCGTATAGCAGTTTGGGGATAGGAACCCCGCGCCGGATCACATACTCGTTGACGAACGGCGTCATCCCTAACGCAGGCCCTGGTCAGCAGACAGCAGCGGTCCGAGGCGCGGCGGGCTGACCCTGCTCTTTCAAGACGTGCTTCATCTGCTTGATCTCCGGTGCCGTCCATGCGGTCTGTGCTGGAGTAGACGAGATGTTAGTCCGGGATGAGAGCGGGAGTACACCGCGTGGTCCGCTCCGACCAGTCGCCGCGACCACGCGGCGGCGGTGGAGAGAAAAGTCATCGACAAACCTTCGTCGATATACGCCGCGAGTTCGTGTGCGATGTCTCCGCCGGCGTCCGAGTCTTCGTCTGAGCCTCCTTCGGCGTGACCCTGGTCACGGGCCGCTGCGGTCGGAGCGTGACCAGCGCCGGCGGCACCGCCCGCGTCCGCATCCGCGTCGCCGGCCGGGTCCCCGTCCTGGAGATCTTCGGGGTTCAGGGACTCGTCCACGGGAAATCCGTCGAGGAGGTCCTCGATCACGTCTGGGTCCGCGTCAACAGCGTCCGCAGCCTCGAGAAAGGCGCGAACCTGAAGCGCATATAGGCTGGAGGGTGCCCGGGGAGTGGAGGACGGCGGCGGCGTGGGCGTCACGGGCGGTGCAGAAGCCATTCAGCTGCAATGTGCTGCAACGGGGTGTTTGGGTCACGCCGTGCTCAGCACCTCTAAGTCGGAGTGGGATGGGATGGGATGATGGTGGTAGTGGGACAGGTTCGCTCCCCGGAGCGCCGATCTGCTGTCTCGGCTGACTGCCAACCCTAACCCACGTGGCATGCCGCTTGTCAACGTTCCGCGAAATGAGGACGACCCACGCGAGAATTGTGGCTAAGCTAATGGTCGATGGCTGCATTGGTATAGCGACGCGTACAAGGGTTCCATCCACTTCCACGGCAACAGTGACAGCGAAGCGGCAAGAAAACAAGGGATACTGCAGCGGGAGGCTCGGGTGAGGGGTTTAGCAATGACGCGAGTCTATCCATTACGGCAAGTGAGGTTCTGCCTTCAAGAATTGTGTATGGCTACTCGGAGCCTGCGAACAGAGAGCCACGAGGCTGTAGTCAAAACACATTGCCCCAGCAAAAATTGCACTCACCGGTCACCATAGAAAACGTATTTCATTCGATGACGTCGCCAGCCTTCAGGAGTAATTCGTCATCGTCGTCGTCGTCTACCGTTAAGGGTTCGGCATTCGTGCGCATTTTGATAGTCGGCCATCCTTCGTGTGCCCGTTTTGTGTGACCGCTGGGCTGCGTGACAGTTCCCGAACGCGTCCGTCTACTGGCTGGCCGAGATCCAGACGAAGAGGCAGAGGCAGAGCCGACAGACGCGAGCGAAGCGGACGCGGGAATTTTCGCAAAGTCAGAAGCTCGGATTGTATCTCCTCGTTTGCGGCCGGGTCCGGAGCCCTTGCTACGTCCACCATCTGTTTGGGGGTGTGAGTCTGTAGAAGGATTGTCGCCGTGATCGTTCCACTTTTCGTCCTCTGTTGAATGGCACGGTCAACTGCACTGATCCGTGTGCTACAACAGAGAGTATCCTCAAGGTATGATGAGGGGCTCACCATCTAGTCCTAGAATCGAGAACATATCGAGTAGCTCATCATCACCAGGGTCCAGGCTAGCTTGATGCGGCGGCGGTCCAAACTGAGGACAAGGCAGAGGAGAGCTCAAGTTACCAACTTGATTGCAAGCGACGCAGAATCAGGCGCGGACTTGCGAGATCGGAGACGGAAGCTTTTGCCCGGTTCAACTTTCTTGGGACGTTTGAAGGTGCGTCAATGAGAGAGAACGCCGACTCGAGACCAGTTAAAGGAGCTTCGATGCAGATGGTTGCTCAGGGGGCAGAGAGCCATCGAGAGCAGGGGCACGAGGAAGGTACTCCGTTTCGGACATCATTCCGGAGAAGTCGAGTGATGACGAGAAGAGACTGTCGTTTGGTAGACGCACGATCGTCCTGCGCCGTCTTCGCGGAGGGTGGCGCGGGGTGGCGGTCTAGGGGAACCAGCTTGGCTACTGTCAGACATGTCTACATCGCTGTCGTAGCTGAAGCTCTTGATGGGCGGGGGTGGGTCGGCTTCTAACTGCGGCATAAGGCCATGCGCCCATAGGCCAAGCGAGGCGCTTCGCTGTCTTCGAGGCGGTGTAGATACTTGCATCGGCGCATCGGCGAAGAAGGATAGGTGCTCTGGAACGGCATCTTGAGCGCTTCCTTCAAGGGCGAGGGTTGCGAGCGGAGGTGCGCGTAACAAGGTTCCGGAGGAGGTCACGTAACAAGATTCTGGGAGGAACCAGCCACATGTCGGGAATGTCATTTTGCACAGGTTTGACGGAGGGGATAGAACTAGAGCGACTATGGGCCGAGATACTGGATTGGAAATGGGAAGTTGTGTCGATTGCATCGGATGGATCAGAACAGAACAAGGAGTCTTCAGTACGAACACTGGATGGCGACAAGCGAGGTTTCGTTCGGCGACTTTCTCGGGAAGAGCAGTAAATTGTGAGAGGGTGCGGGCCTTCAATTGATGACAAGCTGTTTCTTCCGTAGTCGTGCACGCTTCTCAGGGGACTCGCCCAAGGCTGGACGACCTCCAAAAGGCGAGGCAAGAGGACGACGGTCTTGTGCAGCGGAGTTCTCCTTGAGGTTACGAGAGCTTGTACGAGTGGTACCTTGACGAGGCAGCAAAGAGGGGGACTGTTGTCGGCCAGATGACTGTGATCCATGAGGATAGGGTGTGGAGAGAAGGGGGAAGGCCTGGAGATGGGGCGTACAAGGTCGCGAAGCTGAAGGATTAGGATCATGGCGCATATAGTCACCGTCTGAGAGGCTTGGTCCGTGAGCAGTACCCTGTGCCGCTTCTGGGGTCGGTCTTCTCCGTCGGCTCGAGCACCATCCTCTGAGCCATCAAGCCTCGTTGGCGTATCTCGCGTGACTTTGCGGGCTCGTTTGTTCATGCGACTTGCCATGACGGTGAAGCTGACATCTTCATCGGTGTTGAGAGGAACGAGGGGGGACGACTGTAAAGACGGGAGAGCGGCTTCTTTGTGGGGGGTGCGACGACGCGAATAGGTGCGTCTGTTTGAAGAGGCCATAACATGGGATAGAGGAACTCTACGCGGGGGTCCCAGTCAGACTGAGAGCAAGTTGAACGTGCCTGGTCTCATAATGATTCCCACGTTGCACGTGACACAAATCCGCTGCCACAGGTGACTGGTGTGAGGCTAGTGACCGATGCAGCTGCATAACCTAGTACTCATAGCGCTGTAGCCTACTGGAGAGAAGTCCATACTTCTGCCTCGACGAGTAAGTTGCAAAAGAAATGTTCGGTGGGTACGGGTCCTTTCTAGAAGACACTCCGAATCTCTCAGAGATCTCACGTGGGAGACTTGTACCAAGCGAGAAACTCGCAAGTGCCCCAGGTACGCAGCCCTTTCTCAGGCATGGTATGTGCTAGTTTCCAAGATTGATTGAGTCCATGGAGGGGAGAAAGAGGTGTTTATTCTTGTCAAGCAGAGTGATGAATGTGATGTTGGTGGGGAATGGCGCTGCACAAACAGCGCCAAACAAATTACACGTCGCGCGCGCTGGGCCAGGGGACTGAACAGTGCCGTGTCGTGTCTCGTCTTCCCCACCCTTGCTGCCTCGGATGCCCCTCGCTCTCTAGCTTACCCCTGCTGTCGCCTTAACGCATATAGTCTGCCTGGTGCACGCCCCCTCACGCTTCAACCATGGTCGTCACACGACGCACCCCTGCCCCGCCAGTCGCGGCCTCACGCACCCAATCTGCTCAACCCGTCCCCGCCCAGCCAAGAACACCCCACTTGACGCGTCAAATGACCCTGATAAGTCCAGTCCGCTCGCGAATGGTGCGACGTACGATGCCTCCGCGAAAGGAGTCGATCTACATGAGGACAAACATGTGAGTGGTTCCATCTTCCCCAAGGTTTCAGAGACGTGGAAGAACCGAAAGGACACGCCATATTACTTCGACATGTCAGTCGGCATTGCTTTGCTGGATGATTATAATGGACATCATTTGGTGTTCTTACGGTGGTCTCAGGGTTGTACACTGCTTCTCCGATATGCAGCGGCGAACCACTGGTCTGGCATCTGTCCAACCATTGGTCCAGACCTAGTTCTGTGCAGCGAATTGTGGCTCGTTCGCATGCGTAATGGACTTTATGCGCGGAGGTTGGCGGCACGCAATGGCCATTGTGAGCCGCTGTATTGTCGTTAGCACTCCCATGGCTACAATTTTTGTACCACGGCACGGACAAGGTTGTCGTGCTGTTTCTTTCGTCAAACGAATTTTAGAAGTTATTGATTAATTCCCATTTGTTGGACCAGCCTGCCGTCAAGTCCAAACAGGGGAAGTCCAAGGAGAAGGGGAAGCAAAAGAAAGGAGGAAAGGTATGTGGATTTTCCAGCTGTCTACCATCTCGTTACTCAGCTTCTTGTAGGGCTCCAAGGAGCGGACCGTATTCATGGAGTCCTCTTCCGCATCTTCCTTCTATGGTTCACGATATACACACTCTCAGTTTGTCCTCAGGACGACCATTTGCAGAACCAGTCTGCCGCGGTCTGCAGAATACCGCCGGCTTGTCATTGAGCCTTACATCCTCCCTCCCATCCAACAAGCCCTGGCACATCCCTCCGTGGCTCCTTACGTCCAGAAACTGCAGCCGTACGCCGATTACGCAGTTCGCACCGCTACACCGATGGCAATTCGTGCGCAGAAAGAGTTCAAAGCGCGCGTGATTCCACAGTGGAACAAGCGGTCGTGCCACTCTACCAGAAGTACGCCGTACCGCAACTCATCAAGCTTGACGCACAAGTTGCACCGTATAGGACGCGCGTGGAGCAGGAGTACGAGCGGACGGTCGGCCGTACGCACGGCAAGTACTTGCAACATTGGATGTATGGCAACGCCAAGCACAGCCTTACGTGGTACTTGCCGCGCAGAAGACATACGGGGGTTACCAAGTCGCGCGCCCGTACGCTAGGCCGGTATGGGAGCAGACCAAGGTCATTCTTGGCCACCTCGCAGCATTCCTTGGCGAGCAACGGAGGCAATTCGTCGACCCGCACGTCCACAAAATCTGGGAGCATGTCAAGGAGATGAGTAACGGCAAACCTCCGGTCTCCACGACTTCTTCCCTGCGCAGCGCCGCCTCGTCTCAGGTTCCCAAGGTCTCATCTCGGATCTCTAAGGCGTCGAGCTCGCTGTCCTCGACAGTCTCCTCCGTCGCTTCGTCCGCTTCCATTGCGGCAAGCGAGTCTCCGAAGGCCGCTCTCTCGTCAGCATCGTCCTCCGTAGCTCGGTCACCGAAGACGTCACATCATCAGTGTCCGAAGCAACCGAAGACGCATCATCGACGTTTCGTACGACCCCTCCGAGTCCACGCCTCCGCCTCCTCGACGGCCTCGTCAATTCATTCTGCCGCAAGTGACGCGGTCGCGTCGTCCGCGTCGTCGGTCGTGGAAGGTTCTTCCAGTACCTTATCTGAAGCTCCGGAAAGCGCCGCCTCGTCCATCGCGGAGAGCGCCACCACAGTCGCCTCAAGCGCTGCATCACCGGAGGTCACGACCCTCGCGGATCAAGCTCCCTCGGATAACCTTAACCCTCATGCTTCGGAGACCGAAGCCGCTCCTGTCACGGTCACGGAGACCCTTGCGGTCCCTGAGACCGCCGCAGCTGTGCCCACGCCTGCAGCGGAGACCGTCCCCGAGGATGAAGACCTTTTCAGTGACCTGGATCTGGACTTCTTCGAGGATTTGGCCAGAGAGGATGAGCCCGTGCAGGTGACCGACCCGAACCGGCCCCGGAGCCTACCAAGGAGCTCTGGGAAATCGAGCGTGACAGGGAAATCGCCCAGCGCGATGCCCTCGCAAAGGTCGCAAACAAACGCGCCGATATCACGAGCCGCCATACGAAGTGGGAGGAGCGTCTTGACGAACGTATCTCGGCCAACAAGAAGGCTCTTCGCAAGTCGCTCGTGGCCATCCGCAAGGCCGCCGTTGTCGAGGTCAAGGAGGGCGCCGTCCGCAAGGAGATGGAGAGCCTCGTCGCTGACTGGGAGAAGTACATGCGCGGCGCGGAGAAGTTCCTGGCGAACCTGTCAAAGGAGAAGGGCAAGCCCGAGAACAAGCGGGCCAAGTGGGACCGAGTCCTCACCAAGCTCGACGACAAGTTCGCGGAGCGTCTGCAGCAGACGGAAGCGCTGGTCAACGGCTGGTATGAAGGCGTTCTCGACAAGGAACTCGAGCAGGTCAGTCGTACGCTCGACTGCCCCTTCGTATATATTCTGACTAGCCTTTTAGATGAACCGTCTTACGGAGGAGGTTAAGAAGATCGCTGATGACGCTCAGGCGGACATCGGTCTCGACTACGCCTATCTCGATGATGTTACCGTTGCTGACTGGGAACGCTACCATGCTTTGGTCAAGAGTAAGTCTCCCAGCACGTCTACATACCCGTCTGCGGCGCTGATATCTGTGGACGCTCAGAGAGCGACAACTTCACCGCGCTCGCGCAGTCCGTGCAGGACGGCTCGCACCCTTCCCCGCCTATCAACCCCATCCTCCTGCGCTCGAGAAGCTTCAGGAGGAGGTCGAAGAGGTCGTCACCGGCTGGGACTCTCGTCTCCGCAAGCTCCAGTCGAGCGGCGCTATCGCCCTCGATCCCTCGGCCATTCCCGAGGAGGGCCTCGATGACGACGACTCCCTCCAGTCACAATTGGTCGCGGCAAGGCTGAGGTCGAGGCAGCGCTCAACCGGGTAGCCGAGGCTGAGGGCCGGAAGACGTCGTCGCCGGACGAGCCCGAGAAGGTCAAGGACGCCGATGCTGTCGCGCAGAGCCTGAACAACGCCGTGGCGAAGGAGTCATCGCCCGCGCACGCGGAGCTCTAGGGGCGCTCATCGTGATCCGTGGCGCAGGAAGCTCTGGTTCGTGGGTGCATTCGAGATTGTGGGGTACGAGGGCCGGTGGAGAACTGGAGGTCGCCGTGATGGCCGTTCCGTGATGGTGCTATACCGCACATCATGTGGCGTCGACGCTGCGCGCTCTTTTACTACGTACCCGGTCCCCCTCTGCCGTCCTCGCGCTCTCCGTGGGACAGATGTCGGATGTGTTCATGCGCGTTTGTGCGTTGCGGTTTTTACTTCCGTCGTTCCTTATTTATTTTGATGCCGCGCGATTGGCTCGCGCAGCGCCGTCCCTGCCTTCCAAGACTTTACCACCCTTCGTCCTCCTGTTCCTCGGCTTCTATCCGCACTGTCTAGCTTACCTCCTCGCCTCGCCCTGCACCTGTCTATTGTGGTGTCGATATGTTATTATCAGTATGAGCTGTGACATTTCCATCCGTGGATTATATGCGAAATCCTTTGTTCTTTCGGTTCCGATAGTGTGCGCCTTGTTCCTCAAGAGGCAATGCAGACGATGCAGAAGATTGGCGAGCGAGGCTGCACGTGAAGACAAGCATAGTTATGGTTCACAGAGTACATTTCAGAGCACACGACTAGACACACGAAGAGAGGAGCAAGGGGACGATCAGTAACAAAGCAAATGAGATCACGAAGGGTACAAGGTAACAGCGATTAGTCTTGGTCCATCGCGTCCTCTTCAGCAGGCTTCCAACGCAAGTTTCCCTCGTAGAACTCAATGAGCTGGAACGGGCTCCATTAGTGGACGACTCGCATCGCGTTCGGCACGCCTCGAGCTCACCTTGCGAGGCATTTTGTCTTTGCAGATGGTCGAGGACTCGCGCCCATGACCCATGCTGTGTTTCCTACAACGGTCGTTCCCTCATGTCAGTGGCGCCGAGAGCAACAGACGGCGAGAACAAAGGACGCACAGGGTGAAATACACGACGAGGTTGCCGTCGTTGGTCCTCTCGACGGTGTCGACCTTCTCGACGTGCGGCTCCCAGCTCGGCGCGCTCTTGAACAGCTTCTTCATGTCCGCGTAGCTCCCCTCGTCCGAGTCGTCGTCCACGACCGCCGCCGCGGTCTTCTTCTTGCCCCGCCCGCCCGCAGCGCTCGCCGAGCCCCCCGCGGCGGACGCGGACTTGCGCGGCCGCTTCTTGTGTGCGCGTCGTCGTCGTCTCCATCTCTCGTCGTCCTCCACGGCGGCGGGAGGCGGACTTGGGCGGGCGGCCGCGCTTCTTCGCTGGCGGGGCCTCCTCCTCGGAGTCGCTCGCCGCGACGGACTTGCGCGGCTTGGGCGCGGGCTTGCCCTTCGCCTTTTTCTTGGCCCCCTCGCGCTCCCAGAAGGCCTTGATGAGGTCCGACGCGCCTCTGCGGCGGCCAGACGCGTCGTGGGACGCAGGGAGGGACGCGGACGCAGACACAGACACGATCAGCAAGGCGCGGCGGATCGGCGGGACGGGCACGGGCACTCACTCGGCGTCCCGCTCGTCGACCCAGCTGTTGTGCGTGTCGTCGTACCCCTTCCACTTGACGAGGTAGCCCTTGCGGCCCTGCGGGTGGGAACGGACGCGCGTCGGCGGCGCGTCGAGCGGCGGGCGCGTGGGGGGGACGCACCTCGGGGAACACGCCCATCTTGGACTCGAGGATCCGCTCGATCTCGTACTCCTCCTCGTCGCCCGAGCCGCCCTCGGAGCCGTCGCCGGCCTCGGGCTCGTCGTCGTGGCCGTTCGTCTTGGCCGACGCGCCCTTCTTGGACGCGGTGGGCTCCTCGTAGCCGCTCTCGTCGTCCGAGCCGGCGCGGGCTGCAGCTCTGGGCATTTTGGCGGGGTGGGGTGGGGTTCAGGCGCGGCGGGGGAGGCGCGGCGGCGGCGGGAGTGAGGAAAGGTGGCAGAGAGCGCAGCGGGTCGTGCACAAGTGACCGTGCGAAAATCGCCTCGCGCACTCTGGCTGGTAAACAGACCGTAAGCGCGCGCGTACTGGCGCGTTGGGTGTGTGGTACTTGGGTCGGGCGAGGCGGCCGCTGAGGGGCTTGCAGCCATCGGCGTGTGCGCTCTCTATCCTCGGGGGACCCGAGCACGACGTGACGTACTGGTCGGGCCGCGCAGAGGGGAGTGCGGTGGAGATCGCGGGGATAGAGACGAGCAGGGGACGCGTCCACGGCGCAGGCCAAGGCGAGCGGGGGCGGGCGATCGGGACGAAACCACGTAGATGGATTGCACAACAAGATAGCGGTACGAACGACTGGGATGGTACACTGACGCGTGCGCGGACGGCGGGGCCTCCCTCCCTGCCCGTTATCCGCCGTTTTTGTCTCAGTCTCCTCGCCGGCGGGACGGACTCGCGCTGCGGCCCCTGCCGCCGCGGGTCTTCTTTGGCCCTGCGGGCGGAGGGCGAACAAAAGCAAAGTCGCATTGCAGGGTCTGTTCCAATAGGGTCGAGCCGGACGCGCCATCAATGGCCGCTTGGGCCTCCGTCATGGTTTCATATTCCACGAGCGCATAGCCCTGGGGAGCGGGGACACCATTCAGAGAGCCGCAGGGACAGCGGGGAGGAGGAGTCGCACCTTGACATAGCCTGTGCGGCGGTCGAGGTTGAGATGGAGGTTTTTGATCTCGCCGTAGTCGGCAAACTTGTCCTGGACGTCCTCTTCGGTCGCCTCCTCGTGCACGTTCGTGACTAGCACAATCCAGCCTTCGACAGCTGTGTGCGATCGTACGAGACACGGAGGGGCCGGGAAGATTGTCAGGACGGGATATGGAGGAGAGGCGAGGAGGGCTCGGAGGAAACGTACAGCGGGCAGCTCTGGTCTCGGTGTGTGTGGACTCCACCCGGTCAAAGACCTGCTCCGAGGTGACGGCGCTGTCGTTGCCTGTGGGCGGGACGGAGGTGAGCGAGGCGGAGGCGAGAGGGAGCAGGAATGGGCGGACCGGCAGCACTGGTGAAGCCGCGTCCCTTCCTGCGAACGACGCCTCCTGGTGCGGGTGAGTGGCAGCAGGCAGGAGGAGTGGAGGAGCGCACCGTCGTCGATGTTCATACCATCGTCGGACATGGTGAATGGTGGCGGGTGCAAGGACGCGTCGAGGGCCGGGCGGCGGACGGGGGCCGGAGACGGTCTCCGGGGCGTGACCGGGGGCGTGACGAGGAGGGCGCGCCGGAGTGACGAGGAGCAGGCCGGGCCACAGACGCTGGCGGAGGACGCGGGAGAGGGAGGCGGAGGCGCGGGAGATTGGGTTCGCGTGGATCGGGTCCGTCCAGCGACGGGACGGTGCCCGCCCGTCTCTGGTCGCTCCCCCGCGGTGGTCGCCGCTCGTCGCGCTCCGGACATCTCTCTCCCCGTCCTGCTCGGTGGAGGCGTGCACCGCTTCAGAGACGTGATGCGTTACTTGGCTTTCCTCCTCGCTTCGTCCCGGGCAACTGACTCGGCCCCCCAGTTTTGTAACATCTGGGAATCCGCGGCCCCCGAGTCGCGCTCGCGATTTGCCCGCCGCCGTTTCACACCGGTAGCCCTGACCAATCTCCGTACCCAGATCAGTCGCCTACCCGGGTGATGCGTGTCATCAGGCAAGTATCCAACTGAGCAGTCTGCCTCTCGATGTCCCCGCCGGCCTGTACCTTAACCATTAACTGTCCCTTTACGTATCCTTTGCACCAGCACATCTTTTTCCGCGGTCCCACGAAACAGCCGCTCGGCCTTCCCAATAAAAGAGCCCACACGGATCCCCATACCGTCCTCACAATCCTAGTCGGTCCTTTCTCTGCGGCACTCCTTTCGCTCGCCACACCCCATGGCCTCGCCACTCGTTAATCACCCCTGCATCGTCTGCTGCCGCGCCACCTCGATGTGGTGCAGTCGCTGCCAGAACGCGTGGTACTGCTCCCCAGACCACCTCTCGCAGGTCCGCCCACATCCACCCCGTCCCGCTCCCGCCGAGCGCCCGCTCACCGCGTCTCTCTCTCTCTCATTCCAGGACTGGGCCCGCCACCGTCGCGAGTGCGTGCCGACAAATCAGGTCCAGCAGCCGTACCCGAACATGATCGCCACCCCGCCCCCGGCACAGACGGAGCTCGTGTCTGTGACCGCGCTCCTCTTCCTCCCGACTGAAGGTGCGCGCCCGGCCCGTTCGCTCAGTGGCGCGTCATTCGCTGACGCGCGCGCGCGCGCCTTCGCCCTCGTCCCCCTCCCCACAGAACGCGCGAGCCTCACCGTGGTCCGCTGCCGGCCACAGGGCACGGTGTCGCAAGGGCTGTGCCCGGTGCCGCTCGTGCAGGAGTGGTTCCGGGAGAGCGTGCCGAACACGATCATCCTCACCCAGGGGCTCAACGGCGAGCCCCTGCGCTTCCCGCTGCACATCTGGTACTGCCCGGCGTCGCTGCAGCGCGGCACGCCGGTGAACCGCGCGATATTCCGGATAACGTCCGGCGCGGCCGCGAAGCCGTGGTGCGGGCCCGTGCTCGTGCTCAAGTTCAACGGCTCCCGCCGCCAGGGCTACGCGGACGCGGGCACGAACGACCTCCCCGCGCTCTCCGCGTACTTCCTCGCGTACAACTAACCCCTCTCCGCCTCCGTCCTCCACCCCGCGCCGTCTTGCGTGCCCCAAAAAGAAAGCTCGTGCATATAATTGTACATATACCATTCCGGCTAATTCCCTCTGCTGTCCTGTCGCTCTCGCCCTGCCGTTAGTTATTTTGACCCCGGTCTCGAACTGTGTCCTGTTCTGTTGTATGCTCCGCTCCGCACTCTATATCTATATCCCGATCGAGACTCGTGCCCCCTAGACGCCGCGGTCGCTGAATGCAGGCCCGATCGACGACCGAGAGGAGGGCGGAGGACGGAGGGAGGGAGACGCCGATGGGCATGTGCAGCCTGCGGCGGGTCGCGCGAATCGGAGATCTCGAGATCCCCGCACGGTGCTTCGAAGTTCGCGCGCACGCGGGGCGACAGCAGGCCCGAGCGGGAAGGCGGAAGCCAGCCCTGCAGCGCCGTTCTCGAGCCCCCGGCGTCTTGAGTCGCACTCTAATCCCATGTGCCCCGCGACCGCGCATCTTCCCCCGCCATCTCGCCATGTCCATCCCGCGCCCGCCGCCCCTCCGCGCGTCCGCAGCCGTCGGCGAAACAGCACGGAGCGTGGCTCGCGCCGTCCGTCTGCCCAGCTGCGTCGTGCGCCGTGCGCCGTGCGCCGTGCACCGTGCGTCGTGCGTCGTGCGTGCGAACGCGGCACCCAGGCTCCCCGCTCCCCGAGCTCGGTACGGCGGACGCCGCCCTGCCGCCCGCGTCGCCGCCGCCGCCTTCCATGTGCAGCGCCGCGGCCCTGCCTCGCGCGTCGACTGCGCCTGGGTGGGAGTCGGCCGCGCGCGCGCGTGCCTGTCCATCTGTCTCCGCGCGGCGCGCACACGCCCAGCGCTGAGGGTGCCGTGGGAAAGGAGTGGCGTCTCCGCGCGCGGGCCGCTCCGCTCGTGTGCCGGCGCCAGTCCGCCGCCTCTCTGCGCGAAGTCGACGCAGCTGGGCTCTGCCGCACCGCGGGGGTCAGAGTGGACCCGCGATTGAGCACGGACAGGCACGCGGCGGCGGTGCGTTCGTGCCAGCCAGGCCGTACGCCCGTACATACCCGCTTTGGGCGACGTCACGGTACACAACCACCGCCCCGGGTGGAACGGAGCCACGTGCCTCACTTGTCCCCGCGCGCGGCGCGAGCCCTCCAGAGTCCAGAGTCCAGAGCGGACGCGACGTGCGGCGCATTCGGGACGTGCAGGCCGGGGCCTGGCTGGCTCCCCGGTCCCGGTGCATGCCATTGTAGGATTGCAGTCTTGGACGGGCGATGTCGACGCAGGGACGGAACGGCGGTGGCCAGCCACGCTGCGAGGCCGAGCCCGAGGTTGGTCCGGACGCGAGCTCGGAAGCTCGCCGTTGGTATGCGTGCGGAGGTCTCGCTCCATCCAGTGCGTGAGGATGGCGCGCCGCCCCCACGACGTGGTGCTGCTGCCAGGCACCCTGATAATGCGACCGTAGGCGTATCGGGCGCCAGCACTCCCTGGGGAACTGTGGCCCGAGCGCGAAAAGCCGGTTTGAGCACCGGTTTTATAGAATCACTGAGCCCGAACAGCATTGTAGAACCAACGCCGAACCTCGATCCGCGTTTTGGCCAAGACCAGCTTTGAAAATTTGAAGCCCGTGCTTGATACTCCCTGTGCGCCTGTACTAGTTGCTCGTGCGTGTCTTGGCGCAAGAGCTGTGTGGGAGAGAAGATGAGAGAATATTGTATTATTTTCCGACGCCGCACCGGTATACGACCGCGCACGACCGCGCTCCCGTTGGTCCCGGTTCAGGTGGTCGCCGAACCACCGGCGTCATCAGTTACGACGCGTCTTCGACCGAATGTTCGAAAGTCGCCTTGCGCGTTTGTGCGCGAACATACGGCCACCGCATGGCGGTATGTGGCTCCCCACACGGTCCCTTGATAGACCCAGGATAACCCAGGACGTGCACCTGCACCGTCGACGGGCCTCGTGATTTCCCGCGGCGCGCTTCCTGCTAGTTCGCCGGTGCCTGTCTTCCCCGCACCGTCTTGTCTGCATCGGCGCGAGCGAAGAGGTGCGCAGGCGAGCTGCTCGCGTGGCCCGCGCCCTGCCCGTCCGCCACGGCCTTGCAGGGCTGGCCACGCGCGATGCCGCGCGCGCGAGGGGGCGGTGCCCCCCCCCCCCCCTCCTCGCCGGGTATGTGCTTACGTGCGTGCGTGCGTGCGCGGAGGCGAGCCGGAGGAGGTGCGCACTCCCGGGCGGCGCGCGCCGCATTCCGCCACGCGTCGTGGACGAAACGATACGAAACGAACCGACACGTTCGCGAGCACCGCCTGGGCCTTGGTCGCGAGCTCCCCGTGAGACGAAGCAACGTTTGGGATTTCCCCGCGCGCCCACCACCTCCGCCGCCGCCTGGATCCGCCGCCGCCGCCCGCCCGCTTCCGGCCCGCGGCGCACAGCGCACAGGCACCGAGCGGCGCCGACGGAGTGGAAGCTTGCGCGCTCGCTCGCTCGCCCCAACGGGTGCGGCGGCCGGGGCATGCCGGGTGCGGCGGCGGACGCGGGAGGAGGAGCGGTCGGCGGACGCGCGAGAAGCGGGCGTCGTGGGCGGGCGTCGCGCGCCTTGGGAGGCGGCCATGGGAAGATGGCGCGTGGGAGGCGGTGAGTGCGGGCCCGTGCTTGGCAGCGGGCGGGCGAGGTTCTGTCGCGCCCGAGCCCCGACGCGTCGAGGGTGCGGTATCTGATTATCGTCCACAGTCCACGACGCGTCGCGTCACGCCACCGCGTGCGAGCGCTTCATGCTCGAAGCTAAGCTTGAGGCCTGGGAGAGAGGGAGACGGGCAGCGTGCTCGCACGCCGGAGCGCCGCGCGCGCGGAATCAGCGCTAGACAAGCGCAGAAAACCCTGACCGTGATCGCAGATGCCGACCTCAGCGTCAGCAGAATACATGAGCAGATGGCACCCTATCATCCATGGCACCTGCCTGCCCTGCCTGCCGCGGTTCACGCTGGGGGACCCCGTCGGCTCCGCGTCTCGGACCTGGCTGTCGCGAGGTTAGGAGCCGCATCTCCATCGCCAAAGCCAGCAGCGCAGCAGCGGGCGCGGACGACTAGAGCAGGTCACCGTTGATCACCTGTCAGGTAAGAAGCAATTCGCCAGGACGGACCCTTTGGTGTAACCGTCGTGGTTGTTGCCCGTGAGGGCGGGGATACCCTCAACTGCCATAGCTGCGTCTTCCTGACATCGACCCGTCACGCCTCCCCGCCCTAGGCGGGTCTTTGAGCTCGAGCCTGAGCTTAAACAGACAGTTCAAACAAGATTGAAACTAATTGGAGGGAAGGCCGAGGCGCAGTGACATTCCGTGCAACGGTTCCGGGTTAATCTTCTACGATGGATTTCTGAACAACGGTCGAGAAGGGCCGACGGCAGAGGGCCCATGCCATTAATGACACGCGTGTGCAAGCGTAAGCGCAGGCACCAGGCGGATGCGAGCGCGTGCGTGTGCACACCCGAGATATTGACCGCCGTAAGAGGACGTGAAACGCTACGAGAGGGCGAGGCATGGGGCTGCGGCCACGACGCGTTGCGGTTGCCGCTGGCAATGCAGGCTGAGACGTAGGAGCCGTCTCGCGTTCCGAAGGAAGAAAGGTCCGGGAGTGTAGGAAGTATTAGGAACGCGTATGCAAGCGAGCCACGCGCTCCCTGAGCTATTACTTCTCATGGGTGGTTGTGAACAGTGATGTACGATATTTTTCCTGTTTGTCGACGGATTCTTCAGTGGATGGCGTCGACAGGAGAAGTGGGTCGACGGCGATGCCATTGTCGCGCGTGGGCGTGGGGGCAGAGTCACCAAGCGATCATCTTCAGATCTAGTCTTCAGGGTCGCCGAGCTGTTCAAATCCGACTCTGACGGCCTGGGATAGACCGGAAACGTTAACAGGCGCGCCGAATGTGAGCGAGATGACAAAATGGATTAACGCGTCATCACTCTCACTGCTCGGTGTCCCTGATTACAATTCCCTTCTCCGACAGAGCAGGACGTCGGGAACCGCCGTAGGGCATTTCGTACGCATCGCTTGGATCGAGCGGTGAGCCTGTGAAGGTATTTGGAGTGGATTGGTCATTCGAGTGGCTACGGGTCTTCGTCGTCGACGTCTTCCGTCTCGTCGTCATCGGCTTCTAGAGTTCCGTTGTCTTCTTCATCTTCGGTTACGTTGTTCGCCGCCACTATCTGCTGGTTCGGGGGAGGCACCTGCTGCTGCTGCGGAGGCACTTGCTGCTGCTGCTGTGGCTGCTGCTGGTTGCTGGCCGTGCCACTCGCCATCTGGCGCGCCTGGGCGGCCTTGTCCGCGTCCTCGCGCGCGGAGTCGACGGGGAAGAGGAGCGTGAGCGCGAGGTCCTTCCAGCGGATGGAGCCGTTCACGCCGCCACCGCCGTAGCCCATGTCCTCGAAAAGCGCGCGCGAGGTCGGGTCGTACGGTCGCCTCGGAAGCGCGGCGGGGTGCTTGACGCTCATCGGGTTCCCGTACGGGTAGGAGGGGTGCACCTGCGAGGGGAGTACTGTGACCGCCCGGCGCCGCGCCCGCGCGTGGGTGGCAGATGAGCGTGTGGCCGCTGTCGTCGCATGGGGAGCGGCGAGACTGACCTTCGGACTCCTCAGGGTTCGGGGGTCTGAGGTGTGCCGGCATATCGATGTCTGTGGGGCGGCGGGTAAGCAGATCGCAGGAGGAACCATGTGGCCCGCTGGGCGCACCGTCCGCGCATAGATCGCCGTTGAGATAGTCAGGGGTGCCGATGGTGTCGAGCACCTCGATGTCGTGACGAGTCATGTGGAGGTAGCAGAACGTGAGATCCTGCACAGGCCGGTGAGTGTGAGCCCAGGCCGGATCGAGAGCGTGGCCCGCACGGTCATGGTGTGTTCACAGTGATATCCGCCCGGGGCGCGACGTGGTTCAGAGCAACGTCCAAAAGTGGCACGGGCGTCTCCGTGTCGGGCGGAGAATGCACGGCGCCAATTTGACGGCCCGCTGAGTAGCCAACTCCGCGAAATGGGGTCCGACTCAAATTTTGCGCCCCGCCCGTCTGCGACGCGACTGCTCTTGGACCATGTCTCGGTTGTCCTCTTGCTCCATCTACGGCTAGGGCAGTGCACGCAGAGCACCTTCAGCCTGTGATCAAACAGCGCAGCTGGTGAGACTTCGCTTTTCCTCACCGTCTTCCCTGTCTCGTCCCCACATGCTGTCCCCCCGGCTGACGTCAACGCTGCGTCTGACCACCGCCTAGTTGCTTGCCGCTGCACAACGCCGTGCGCCAGTACAGCCATGGCCGACACGCTGCCGATCCCAACAGCGTTCACCCTATCCGCCGTTCCCGTCTACCCGGCAGCGAATTCTTTGCGCTTTTCCCAGGATGGCCAGGCGATTCTGCTCACCAAATACGCCGTCCACCTCCTCGTGCGTTCCTGCCCGTTCGCGCTCATGTATCTTAATGATCGTCTCCCGCTGATGATCGTTCGCCACAGACGCCAGAGCTCGGCGTCAGCGTTGGAACGCCCTCGGCCATCAAGCAGACCATCGACCAAAGCTCTTTATTCCGCGCCGCCCCACCCCCCGTGAGCTGGCTCAGGACTGTGCTCGAGTTTGATCGGGCTCTATCCCACCAATGGCCCGCAGAATCCACCGGTACGTCCTGCTGCTCGGGTCTCAGTGCCACAGCGCTCACTGGATCACCATGCTGTACCCAGAGTGGGGCGCGGTCTCTCTGGGCTCGCTCGACCCGTCGCTCACCGCGGTGGCGCCCTCTCCCAGCAACCTCACCGCTGGCGCCGGGTGGGTGCGGCCGCTCATGTGCTCGCTCACCGCCGCCAGGCACCCATCCGCTCACTTTGTCGCTCTCGTCCCAGCTGCGTGCTCGCGCTCCTGAACTCCAACCTCGAACTAACCATATGGGGCGCTAGCAAAAATCTTCTCACCGGCGAGTGGACAAAGGTAGGCCGACGCCATCGTAGCGCCACCGACCGCGACATTGACTGGGCGCGGCGACAGCTCCACGACGTAACAAGTGTTCTCCAGGCTCATGCCGCCAAGAGCCCGAGCTCGGCGTTCGAACAGACGCTACGCGCGCAGAGCACATGTGGGTGGTTCGTCCGAAAACGGCGTGTACTGTCAATGTAACGCGACCTACGCGCCCGACAGGCGTCGACTGGTCATCTCAGCCAATCTGGAACGGACAGCCCGCGCGGTTCGAAGACGCGTCGCTGCTCGCGGTCGGGAACCGTGGGGGTTCCGTCACCTTTCTCAGGTGTGTCCATCTGTTCTCATGCTACTCGCCTTATCATCTGACTGGGGCGGCCTGAAGATACGACATGAGGCGCAAACTGATGACTGTCGCCGAGGAGGTGGTCGTGTCTGACATGTGGATCACACATCTGGCTTGGTCGGCTTGGACGCTCCGCGAAGACAACACTTGTGAGTCGGTGCTTGTTCCGGCCTTCGATTGGAACGCCGTTGACATGCAACTGCGCTCTTAGGCGAGGCTATGCTTGCGTGCGCTCTGTCAGACGGCTCGGTGGTCATCATTTCTGTCAGCCAGAGTCTAGCGTCGAGGGCCCTAGGTTCTGGGACTGAATCCTCGCCGGATCATGGATTCGTTCTCACAGTCGGGATAAATTTCGAGAAGCCCTCGGAGGGCAACGGCAGTGCCATCACGGGATTGAGGTGGGCGGACGTGGTTGGGCGCAAGGTGAGCGCATGCCCTCTTAGCTAGGACGGCCTCCGGACCAGAAGCCAGTACTGAATACAAATGTGCAGCCGATTTTGATGCATCACATCGCTGGAATTCTTCACCTGTGGTCTCCGGTTTGTTCGACCTCTGTACACCCGGCGTGGTCAGGTTCTAGGGCGATACCGCTGCGCTCGCAGAAACGCTCCGTCGGCTCCTCGGCACTGTGTTCTGCATCCGGGATCGCATACATTCAACGTTACGACCTTTGCGTGATCGCGCTTTCCGACGGGTCCTTCCATTCAGTTCACCAACTCTCTGTCGAGCCAACTCTGGACCCGCACCCGACGGAGGAAAGCGCCTCTTCCGGAGCGCTCTCCGCGGCGTCACGCTCAGTTTTTGCAAGAGTCGAACAGGAGCCTGTCACCTTCAAAGATGTGGACTTTATCCACGGCATGACAGGGTACGATGGCGCTGCGACGTTCATGTGGGCTTACGAGTGAGTTTGAAACTGTGTGGTTGACTCTCAGCGCTGACAGGGGTTGCGCAGGGCGTCCCGGCCCACAAATTTCAGCTACAAGTACGACGCCAAGCACGTCAGCACGTTCATCCTTTCTCCGTTGTGGAACGACGACTCGGACGATCGGGTGCTCCGTGAGCTGGCGGAGGTCGTCGCACACGCTCGCTGCGGTTCGTGGACGGCGTTCGCTCTGACGCCGGGCGGACATCTGACCGCGGTTTTTTTTGCTAGCGCACGGCGAGGCGCCCATTTCTGCGCTTCGTCCAATCCTGCTGCATCTTCGGGATGCAAACAGAATCGCGCGACTGCACTCGAAGATACTCGGGGTGCTCACGCAGAACGCTGCCGAGCAACCACCGGAGATACAAGTTCCGGGGGGTTCCACATGGAACGACGTCTCCCGCGAAGTGCGAGAAAGTTTGACTGCCCATATGTTCGGATGGGACGCAGTGCACGCGCAGCGCTTGCGATATTCCGTGGCCACGTTCTGCGAGGTACGCGATTCCGCACAAACGCCTCCGACGCTTCCGGGCATCCGCTTCGAGACGCTACAACTTATTCGGTCTTTCGCTTGTAGCGGCGGGCGGAAGCGGCGGACGTGAGTCAGAAGTTTGTGGACGCAGCCTCGTTGTTTTTGCCAACGTGCGAAGCCATGTTCTGCTCACGCTGGTACGGCATCTTTCGGCGATCAGCGCGATGGCCCCTCTATCTGGTGAGTGCAGGGTGGACGTCTTCTGCGGCATTGGTTGGACGTCGGCCCAACGTCACCACGTCATCTGACTCGAGCCTGCTCCTCGCAGCCCACGACGTGTCGTTCGCAGTCCGTGTCTGCCATCACGCCACAAAGTCGCTTGGAGGAAGCCCGGCTGTAGCAAAAGAGGCCGAAGAGCTTCTAACGCGCCTCCCGCCGCCCACCGCTCTGGGCACCAACCCACGGCGTACGGGTGCTACGTTCGACGTCGGGCCTAGCGACGCGTTCGGCAGCGAGGGAACCACCGAAGACAATGACAGCCTTGGCGACGGGGAGCGGTGTCCCGCCTGCAACGCGGCAGTCCCGCTCGAGAAGGAGGACAGCGCAGTTTGCACGAACGGACACGTTTGGGGTGAGTCTCGCCTCATCTCGCACCCGCGCCCGTCCACACGGGCGACCCGTTCTCCGAATGCGACTCGTCGACCCGCGGCCGCCGTCGCGTATGGCCTTCCCGTCCTCGGCTGGTCCACCTGTGGCCGCCCGCGGCCGCTGCGCTCCGTATGGAACCGCTGCTCCCGATGTGTTTCCAAGCGGCGCGGCGATGGCGCCCTGACCGTCATCGTCGCCTTGGTCGGTGTCCCGAGCTCCGCGCACGCTCACGGGGATCCGTTCTGTGGGTGTGGAAGGGCGTGACCGCAGCCCGTTTATTTTCGCGCAATTTCCTGAAATTGTATTCGGAAGGGGCGGTCGCGTAAGGGTGCCATGCGCGGGGCGCGATGCCGCCCGCCCCGCGACCCGCGCCCGCCCCGCGCATCTCCGCGAAGCGCGTCGTGCATCGCAAGGGGCGCGGCACGCGGGGCGCGCCTCCGCCGGCGGGCCCGAGGGCGCACGACAGGGCGTGCGCGCGCAGGACGTCGGACAGCAGCTCACTCACTCGCCGTCGCCGGCCGTTTCGCCCCCCACAGCGCGCTGCTGCGTCACGTCCCTCCTTCTCGCGACGCCGCGAGTCCGGACGTGTGTCGGGTGCGGCCGTAAGGCACTCCTCGTGCCGCGCCGCCGCGCCCGAGCGACCGACGCCGGCAGACTCGAACGTAGAGGCGGCCACGGCCACGGACGGCTTTCAAGCAGACCTCCGGGCGGGAGAGGCGGTGCCGCTGCCCCGTCGGGACCGGGATGCGGCCAGGGACGCGGCCGGGGACGCGCCGGGGACGGTCACGGCGGCGTTGGAGCGGGGGTTCATGGCGGAGCTGCTCGAGGCGACGACCCGCTGCCCGGTCTGTGCCAACGCGTTTGTGGTGCTCGTGTGATCGGCGTTCTGGGCTAGCGCACCGCAGGACAGCGGCTGGAGGAGATCGACCTGGCGCGGGAGATGGAAGAGGGACGGGCGCGATCTGCAGACCGCATGGCGCGTGTTTTGCTGGACTTCGGACTTCTAGTACGAATCATGTCATTCGCCCGCGCGGAGAGGCCAATGGGAGCCTCTGCGCGTGCGTCGGTGCGCGAGCTGACACGCACGTCCGTCTGCAGGCTTGCCGACGAACCCGCTGTCGAGTGCGTGTGCGCGGACCCCTACTAGGCCTGCGAGTCCGACGGTGACCGACACCGCGGCGCGCCCGCCGCCGGCCGCGGTATGTGTAAGCCGCGCGCGTACTCGAGAGCACCCGCACTCCGCCCGCCCACGCCGTTCGACGGCTGATGACGATGACGCCGCCCCTGCGTTCTATCCCTCCTGGACGCTCCGCCGCCGCCGCCTCGAGGCGCGATCAGAGGGAGCATGTGTGTCCGTGTGGGCCGCTGTGGGCACGCCCACGTTGCGCGCCCGCGCGCGGCGCGTGTGGATTGCGCCATCTGCCATCCGTCCGCGTGCACGCGTGAGGCTCATGGTCCGCCGCACGCCGCCGGCGTGGCGGCGGAGGTCGGACGGGGTGGGCGTTGAGCTTCGTGAGGGCGTCCTCTGGCCGCGCACCGGAGTCTCGAGTTCGAAATCTCGAAGCCTCGAAGGGGCGCGTGGCCGTGGACGCGACGATCTGCGCCATGGGCAGACCGGAGCGCCGGGGCAGGAGGGGGTCGAGGATCTTGCGGCCTTCTCTAGTCTCCCCTTAGCCTTTCCGTGGCAGCCTCCGACGGGACCCGTAGCCTCGCACGCGTCCTGCGTCCAGCATTGGACGGGGAATTCGCTCAGGCAGGCGTACAGAGACCCGCTCGCCGTTCGCGCGACGCCCGCGCATCCCTGCGATTTGCATTCGAACGGCGGACACTCTACTACAGAAACAGCGAACGCCGCCTGGGGACCCGCAGCCGCAGCCGTGCTAGTGTCCCCCCCCTCCCCCGTCGTGCGTTCGTGTGGACCTCAGGGTCTGCGATGCGATGGACAGGTGGTGGCGAGAACCGGGGGGCGCGCGGGGGCGCTCACCCAATCAGCGTCTGGAGCTTGCCGAAGTCGGGCGTGCCCAGGCCGGTGACCTGTGGGCGTGCACGGCGTCAGCTCCGGCGGTCGTACGTGCGAGCACGCTCTCGCGGGCGCCTGCGTAAGGAGCGGAAGGGAGAGGGATGGAGGCGGGACCGCAGGGACCGCGTCGCCGCGTGGGTATCCGAAGCGCGGAGCATGCGTCCGCGTCGGTCGCCCATGTGGGGGAGCCCGGAAAGGGGCTGAGGGACACGGGGGTGCGAAACGGGCGGGACGTGGGACGCGGGCGGCGAGAGCGAGAGACGAGGAAGCGAGGGACTTACGGGATCCCAGCCTGCGCGCGCAGTGAAGCCGTTCGTGCCACAGCCCGGGTTCGAACCCGAGGTGATGTCGTTGAAACCCGTGGCGCCGGTCGAGTAGATGAGCGGGTTCAGGAAGCCGAGCGAGGACTTGCCCTGCGAGAGGCGGAAGTCGTTCAGGAGGGAGATCACGGCGGCGAACGTCTGCGTAGAGCGACGGAAGGTATCGAGAAAGACATATCAGAATTTACAACCGGGTGAACAATGGGGAGGGGGCTTACAGGAGAGGAGGCCGAAGTGCCGCCGACCGAGCTCGTACGGCCACCGATGACGACCTGGAAGTTCTCACCCTGGGCCGCGACGTCAGGGTAGGCACGGCCAGTCTTGCTGTTGAGGGGATGGAGTCAGTGATCTATGAACTGAGCGTGGGTCGAGACGACCAGCACAGTGGCACCCGGCCACCTGCGAAGACTGGACAAGCTTACTTGAAGAGACCAGCGTTGGTAGACCCGAGGCTGGTCAGGAAGGTCGACACGGCAGAGGACTGGTAGCTGTGGTGCAAGGAGCAGGTCAGCAAGTGCGGAGGAAGTGATAGACATAGATAACTTACGAAGGCTGCGAGAAGTAGTTGGAGAAACCTCCACCGGAGAAGCTGACGGCGACCTCAGGGTTGACTCGAATCGTACCACCAACGGTGGTGACGAAGGGGCACGACGCAGGGAAGTTGGGGATGAACTTCTTGGTCTTGGTGCCGTCGTTGGAAAGGCAGTCGCCGCCACCAACACCGTCATCGCCGGAGCTGAACATGATAGAGCTGCCACGGGCGCCGAGCTGCGCGAAGAGGTTGCAGACCTCGGTGGCGTAATCTTCGGGGACGGTCTGCTCATCGTCGCCGTAGGAGGTGGTGAACTGTAGGTGGGTGAGCAATGAGCTTTGCGTTCGTCATGGAGAGGCACGGAATACGTACAGTCTGAGGGATGGTGCTGTTGGCGAGGATGAAGTTGAGCCAGTCGAGATAAGGCTCGTTGGTGTTCGTGGGGGTATTGTCGTCAGGAGTGAACGGAGGCGATCCACCAGTACTATAGTAGATGTTCGGGGTAGGGAAGGAGATGCCCTCGGTGTATTGGATATCAAGGTTGGCCTACAAAGATAAATGATCAGATGCTGCGCCTGTAGAGCAAGAGTGCGTAAACTGACCTCAACACCAGGGTCCGTCTGGTCGTCACCTCCTCCATTAAGACGAACAGTCGTGAACGTGGAGTTTACCGCGTCGGTACGGAACCGTGAGAAGAATGTCTGCGTACATGCGAGCAAAAGTCAGCTTCGTGTCCAACCCTTTGAAAAAGAAGATCGGCGGGGGCTGACCTGGAGATCGGCACGGTTTGCGAACTCTTCGAGATAACCGGCGACACCGAGGATGTTCTTGTTCGTCGCCTTAGGGACATACGAGGCGGTGTTGTACAGCGCGCGCAAGCAGGAGGGGGTGATCGTGCTCGAGCAGCTGGAAGGCACAGTGGCCAGGGAGCCCGGGCCGTCCAGGAGGTCGATGTCTGTGTTGATCGTGGGCGCGTGGAGATTGATGTGGCTGGTGGCGCGCATGCTCTTCATCGTGCCGAAGTAGGTCGTGGGCGCGACGAGGTTGACATGGCCAGAGAGTGAGGCGGGCAGCGAGTAGTTCATCGCGCGGACGACGTATTCCTCGCTCTCGCCGTGGCGGAAGATGCTGTACTCGTTTCCGAGCATCTTCTCCGCCTGCGCGACGGAGACGCGGAGCGTGATCCATTCGCCTGCTGGCGAGCGCTGGGCGGAGTCGGCGTCGAGGTCGTGGGCAGCGAGCCAAGCCTCGACGAGGTCGACGGTATCGTGATGGGGAGCGACCAGCTCGTGGACCTGCTCCATGGAGAGGTGCTGACCGTACCTGCCAAACGAAACATCGTTAGCGCGAATTGTCGTCATAGAATGGCGGACGAACATACCTGGAGTGGGCAGGGTCGCTGACCTCGTACAGCGACGAGACGAGCTCGTCGAACCTGTTCTGCCGGAGACCGATGCGCATGTCGAACATGTAGTCGGCCGGAGCAGGCGCGTGGAGTGTCCATCCACGGGGAACCTCGGCCCAAGCATGTTTCACTTCGAAGTCATCCCAGCGCTTGACGGAGAGAGGCTTCGAAGCGGCGAGGTGGGCGAGCCCGAGGAGGAGCACGGACGACAGGAACATGGCGACGAGTCGTTGACTGGGGAAGTCGCGCACGGGGCGGTCTTATATGGGTCTGGTTGGCGGCTGGCCGGGACCGCACGCGTAGCGTGGAAGGCTGGGGCTGCGCCCCCTCGCGGGAGATTTGCCAACGGAACCGTCGCAAATGCCGTCGCAATGGTTCTCCGTCACGTCGCCTCGCGATAGCGTCGACGGGCCGTGAGGAGAGCATACATGTGCGACGCTACCATCATTTCTGAGCGAGTTTGATAGGTAGTCGCAGTCCCCACACGATCGGCAGCGAACGCCACCATGCACGGAGAACCTGCGAAGCGGAGATGTGAATATGGGAAGACCCGAGGCGGTATGTGAAAAGCTTGGCACGGGCTCCGGAGGGAGTTGAATATAGTTAGATAAGTACCATGCCTAGAAGGCGGTCGCGTTCTGTTGAAAACCGATCCGGCTGTTCATAGCCTGGTCGGCTGTTGCATAGCCGATAAGCTTCCAAGCTGCCTTTATTGTTTCTAGTCCCGTGAATCTCATCACTGGTGGTCCACGTGAACGGAAGGCGGGTGGTGAGAAGGAAGTGGGCTGTGGCAGGGGGATGAATGAGGAGACGATAGGACGAGATAGGAGTCGCATGGGAGAGCACGCACGACGCCAGATGGCACCCTGTGAGCGGGGCATCACGTTGGCGGGCGGGCATGTGGAGAGAATCACCGAAGAAGCGAAGCCACATGCAAGTACATGTGACGGGCGCAGAGTCGCCTTCGGGCATGGAAAGCACGATACGCGAGCAGATCGACGGCGACGATGGTGGACGGCGCGAGTTAACCGTGCAGGAGAGCGGCCTGTTGATTGCCAATCCCTGCGAGACATCCCACGTACCGGTAATAGCCGCCCGTGGCCTCCACTTCCTCCCAACCACTGCTTGCGTCAATCTACGCTGCCCACTTCACACAGCCCATGGCAGTATGCTCACAGAAAAAGTACATGAAACAACTCAGGGATCGCCTGGTGTATCTGTAAGAGTTCTGTTCGTCGCACCCCGTTTGTTTTGTCATGGGCAATGTTTACATACTGACCTTTGTTTCAGTTGCAGTGCATCCAGACTTGCTCGGCAGGGCAGATCACCACGGGGCTTGGGTTGGACTAGGAACTAGGCCACAACAGCAATCACTGACCAGGCCCATCTGCAGGCCCGTCCTGGAGGCTGGCTAGCGACGGCCCGCGATGTCCTGCACCGGGCCGTTTGCAATGAATGACCTCCCCGCGATTGCCCTGACTGGAGAAGAGAAGCGACGCGCTTGATATCATATCCACTGCTCACGCGCCCTTTTACCCCGACCACCACCGTCCCTACCGCCCCGGCCACTGTCGCTCGACTCGTGAGTCTATTGCGGACCCCAGCACCTTGATCTCCGGGCAACTCAATTCTATCTTTAGCCCTCTCTCTCTTCCTTGTCCAGTCAGGTATGTCTACAGGAAGCGGTCCGCCCGGATACCTGCCCGAGACTCCACCGCTGACGACGTCATCTGCAGGTTCAAACACGGCAAGAGTCTGATACCTCTGGGTCACTGGGGCGAAGAAACTTCTATCTGTCCATTCAACCCATCACGCGGCCCTCGCACCTTGCTCGACACCATCTGAGAAGCGACGTTCGCGAAGACGCTCTGGCAGTATAAATGCCTGTCGCTGCCGTCGTCGAAGAGGCGGCAAATGGGCCGTTCGCCATGATGTGGACTCTCCTCGTCTCGTTTCTCGCCTCTATTGTCACTCAATCTGTGGTGCATGGTCAGACCTCTGGTCGTAAGTGTTTCGCGTGTCTATCCTCGTATCGAGTATACGTTGACGATGTTTATGGTAGTTGCACCCAAACAGTTCTTGACCTTGCCTTTGGGTCAAGTCAAGCCCGCGGGATGGCTCTTTGATCAGGTGGGAGGCTTGTGGCCCACCGTATCTCCTGCTTGGATTGACTTCGCCCCACATATTAGCTCATGGTTCAAACCAACGGCCTTGCCGGGCACGAGCATGAATTCTACGACTAGTAGGTCTCCGAAAAACCGATTCCAGGGCTATCGCTGATGTGGATGCACCGATAGTGTCTCTCAAAGTGACTGGATCGGGGGCAATTCGTACTACTCCAACTTGGAAGAAGGCAAGTATTTCCGAGTATTTCCCCGTTCGTGCCTGATCTGACGGTGTGTTACAATAGCTGGAAGCTACTGGTTTGTAAGTAGATTGATTTTCACTGATTAGCTCAGCCACTGATTCCCTGCAGAACGCCATGGTTCCCAACGGTGTGTTGGTTGAAGACGAGACCATCATCTCCCAAGTCCAGAACTTCCTCGACTACGTCATCGACCATCAGGACGAGACTGGCTGGCTCGGCCCTGAGGTCAACACCACGAAGCCCCGGTATCTTTGGGGTCGCTACCCATTCCTGTTCGGAGCGATCCAGATGACCGAGGCGTTCCCGGAACAAACGGACCGTATCGTCGCCGCGATGCATAAGTTCGTATCCCTGTCCAACACCATGCTTCACAACAACGAAGGCATCGAGGCATGGATGCAGACTCGCTGGGAAGACTTCGTCATGGCTCTGCAGTGGTATGTGCAGTATGCTGATGTCACGTCATTTTACACCGAACGTTGAAAATCGTTACAGGCTGTACGATTTCCATCCTAATGGCAATGAGGATCTTCTCATCGACACCATGAAGATGCTCAAGTACACCGGAGACCCGTGGGAGGATGTGTTCAAGAGGAGGTGCGATTGACAGCCTATGTTTGCTGTATGTTCTCATTTCTTTGTTCACGTCTGCAGTACTTCCCCACCGGACCCGTGGAGAACCTCGAAAACCCATTCCCGGATTTGACATGGCACGGCGTAAACATGGCTGAAGGCCTCAAGGCGCTTCCTTCGACCTACCGCTTTACGCACAACCAGTCTGGTGAGAAATCTCTCCAACTCTAATAGTCGTCTATCGCCGACCCAGGTGCAGATCTCGACGTTGCGAGCAAGGGCTGGGACCTCTTGTTCCAGTACCACGGCAGGCCATCGGGTATCTATGCTGCTGACGAGTTCCTGGCCGGGCTCGAGGCGGTCCGAGGGTGAGTTCATTAGGCGACTGTCACGAGTTGTTGACTCATTCCGGAGCATCGTAGCACCGAACTGTGCTTGGTCGTGGTGCGTTTCCTTCGTCACGATATCGTTGGTAATGAGATGCTTACGCTGCAACGCGCGCCAGGAAACTATGTTCTCGTATGTTTTTCTTCCGGTGACTCCGGATATCAGACGCTGAATGTCAACCGGGACGCCTAGGGGCTCGTATCTATACCAAGTTATCGGAGATCCGAAGTTTTTGGATAGGGTTCGTATCTGTTTCAGCACCCAGGCGCGCAGCAACCGGATTCTAAGCTACGCTCGTCCAGGTGGAACGGATCACGTACAATGCGCTTCCGGCAACTTTGACAGGAGGTAAGTCGCAGAGTTATATGTTAGACGCCTATTATAACCCTGAACCTGTGACACAGATATGTGGGCGCGGCAGTACCTCCAGCAACAAAACCAGATCGCGGCCCAGAACATGTCTCCGTATGTGCCCACGAACTGCGCGTCATGAGTATTGCTGACCCATCCTAGCAACCCCTTCCCCGAGGATGGGTAAGCCCATGTCTTCTTGGATCGTTCGGGCATAGTTTTATTGACCGAGTGTTTCAGGCCGTACTCAAACGTCTTCGGTCTCGAGCCCAACTACCCGTGAGGACTATCCATTATGCATGCGCAACACGGAGCACGGCTGCTGTCCACTGCGCGCCCGTGCTGTGCGTTTGACTTGGCCCGTATCAGTCTATCTGACTTGTTCCATCAGCTGTTGCACGGTCAATCATCCTCAAGGCTGGCCTAAATTCATCAGCAACTCGTTTGTCACCTCGGCGGATGGAAACTCCCTTGCGCAAGTTTATCTCGGTCCGTACAGCGTGAACACGACTCTGGCGAATGGTGCGTCTCCGATGCAGTGGAATTCTGCGCTTGCGCTCCCGTCTATAAGTGGTCTGACATGCACTCCACTGGCACCTTTCGCGGGCGTTTCACAGGCAACAAGGTCACCGTGACTGTTGACACGCTCTACCCTTTCAGCGACTCGCTCAAGACGACGATCACCGCATCCCGGCCGTTCACGTACAAGGTCCGCATCCCTTCTTGGGTGTCCGCGGGAACAATCGCAATCAACGGCGCGCTCCGAAGCCGTGAAACCGTCCAACGGCCTGCAGTCCGTAAGGTCCCGGCCGGAACTACTCACTTCACGCTGGACCTGCCTGCGGAAATCACCATCGGTGCGTCTCCCTTGACTTATTTCCGAATGCCATTTGTCTTACTGGAGTCTGATTCATTCTTCGTTCTGGTATCGTCCACCTCCTGTTGGGGTACTGCGCCCGTGAATATCACCGAATGTTGTATCCATGGGCGTCGGCGTCGACCCCGACGCTACAGAGTCGCGCCCCCACGGGTCTGTCGCCGTGCACCGCGGGCCTCTGCACTACGCGTTCGACATCGCGCGTTCGAGCAAGGTGCTCAAGCAGAACGCGCAGCAGCCGCTCGCCAAGGACTTCGAGTTCGACTCGACGACGGCGTGGCAGTACGCCATCGACCCCAACTCGCTCGTCTTCCACGCGGGCACCCCCGCGGGCGGCGCGCTGCCCTCGCCCGTCTTCGATTCGGGCCTGCCGCCGTTCACGATCTCGGCCTCGGCGTGCCCCATCGACTGGGCCGTCGCCGGGAACAAGTTCGCCGCGCCGCCGCCGGAGAGCCCGGTGTCGTGCGCGGGTGCGGTGACGAACATCACGCTCTGGCCGTTCGGGGTGAGTCCGCCCGGGTTTGGGTGTTTGTGTCCGCCGCTCGGACCGCGCTGTCGTCCGTCGCCCCTGCAGCGGCTTCTGCGGGAGCGTCGTCGCGACAGCGCGTACCCGCGGTGAGCGACTCCCGGAACCGTAACTGACATCGCTGCTCTCCCAACAGGCAACGAAGCTGCGCATCGGCGAGTTCCCCACCTTCACCGCGGCGTGAGACGTGCGACGACCGCGCAGTCGACGCGCGGGAGGGGCGGAGTGGCCGCGGCAAGGTGGCAGGGTTTGCGTGGGTCCGGTCGACGCGGGGGTACGTGGACGGAGACGAGGTCGGTTCGCGTTTGGTGTGGTTTCAGGATGAGGATGGTGGGAGCGGCGACGGTCGGTGGCGGAACTGTATCTTGTACTATAGTCGGTGGATGTCAACTTGTCAAGCCTGGGAATCGGAGCTGGTTGAGGCGGATTGGGAGCAGGTACCTGTGCACTCTTCTGTTCAGCCGGTGGCTGGGACGAGCCAGACACGCGACGCGACGCGTCAACGCGTCACAGCCGAAGATGGCGCACGTGCTCGCAGCCACAGATCTGCCTGCGCACTGTTCGCGGCCTTCAGAGCGCAGACGACGCTCGCTGGACCCTGCTGGACCTCCCACACGACGCGGTCCTCGCGGGAGCTGCGTGCAACTCGACTGGGAACGCGCATCACGCGCGTGGAAGGTTGCGGGCGAAGGACTTCTCGAACGGTGCCCCAATGACGATCAGACGCCCGTGTACTTGGCGCCCACGTTGTCCGCCCCGCCCCGGCCGGCCGCTGCCACCACAGGCCTTCTGGTCATCCCTGGCGTCGAGCTCCCATTCTTGCCTTCTGCCACCACCTGCCAGGCTGCCACAGCCCCGCGTCTCCAACTACACCACCCTACTCTACAGCCTCTACCCCTCCAAAAGTTCGCCGTCAAGCGCGTCCGGTGCTCACCCGATGCCGCCACAACCAGGAGTCTTCGCCGTCTCAGGACACACCACCCACAAAGTCCGCTCCGGGCAGACCGTCGAGGCTTCCTCCGTCACCGCGATCCACTACGAATCGGTCGCAGGGCCGAGCTCTCGCCCACACGGTATGCATATCCTGTTGCGCTCCGCCTCCGAGCGGCTTCCAACCCTTCCCTCAGGCGGCCCCGGCGACGACCCCAAGAAAGAGAAGCGGCGAAAGGAGGTCGTAGGAAGGGTCACCAACCAGCTCGCGGAGCGCAGAGAGGAGTATGTCGTCCCGCCCTTCCTGACCCCTTGCGCCCCGTCCTCAACGCACCCGCCGCGCAGCATGGCCCGCCATTTCGCGGAGGCGATATCCGACCTCCACAGCGCCTCGCTCCAGCTCTCCACCCGGCCGGACACCTCGCCCGCGTACAACCTGCGCCTGTACCCGATCTCGCTCGAGCGCGGCGCGCTGCTGTCGTCGATCGAGTTCCAGGAGCGGCACGCGATGCAGGTCATCCAGACCGCGTACGAGGAGGAGCGGACGAAGATCGAGGGCGAGTGGGCAAAGGGCCGGGACAGCATACGCGACCGGATGATCGACAGCATCATCGAGCGTCGCAAACGCGCTCGGGAAGAGAAAGACGGCGAGGGCACGGTCATCGGTGAGTCTCGTCGCGCCGCTGGTTCGCTCTCGCTCTCTTCCCCACCTCCCCTGGCTCTTCCACGTCCAATTTGAGCGTGCGGCAACATAGGCGCTGACAACCTTCCGTGGTGCTCCCTTCCAGACGGCGGCGTGGATTCGCAGTCGCGGCCGCACATAACGCGGAAGCTGCGAAACAAGATCGGGACGTCGCCCCGTCGACCCCGGTCCCCGCTGGCCACCCCGGCGCGGGCAACGGCTCGAATGCGGCGAATGCGGGGGCCGTGACCACCGGCCCGCTCCTCAACCCCCACTCGTTGAACGTCGAAGAACTGCCGTCCCCGTTCCCCCTCCCACTCATCGTCATAGGGTCGAATGGGGGCCAGAGCTATGGATACAGCGCGAACGCGGGAGCAACTGGGAACGGCCGGAGAAGGGCGAAAAACAAAGGCGAGAAGGAGGCGAATGGCGTCGGCAAGAATCTGGCCTGCTTGATTCCCCTCAAAGAGGCCGACTACGAGGCCGACCTCGGCGAGATACGGCGGGGCAACAAGAGGAGGAGAGCAGCGGTGGGGAGCCTCGCGGGGAAGGCGTGACCCTTGTTTATATTTGCTTGTATACCGTGAGTCAGCCTGCTTCCTCCTCTGCGTGCATAAGTCTAAACCGATTAGTCCATAGATGTATTTGCTTCTTATGTGTTGTTTTATGCCCCGCCATTATCTATACTGGAACTACGCTTAGTTAATGCACCTCACCCAGTGCCACTGCTCGAATGGCCTTTGCGGAAGCGCAAGTCCGGAGTTCACGGACTCCGGCCGCATTCGAAAGGTTGAAGCGCCCGTCTCCAATCTGGCATGACTTAGTCTCGTCCCTGACCTTCTCTTCGTACCCCGCGCGCGTGCTCAATAAACAAAGCACCCTTTGAACGACGACGTCTTCTTGGCATCGATGCACCATGGAGTAACGAAGCAGCTCGTCGGAGCACAACTCGATATCGAATTATTCGTTTGGCGGACCGGGAGACCGTTCAGTGATTCCAGCCTCTAAGAACACCGAAGGACTCCCTCCGATACCCACCCTTCGCCGTAGATATCCCTCCAGTGAAAGGGCCCAGCTCATCGACTTCGTCTCCGCTTCTCTCATTGCAATGTCTCTCTGCAAAGACTGCATTACTAGTGAGGGACTTCGACGCTCGGATCTCCTCAAAATCTCGCGCTGACCTGCCTTTAGGTGTTCGCCATGAAGGTACGCCGACAGGCACGTCCGTGTCCTTGCAAGCGACGACTTGAGTTCCGGTTAATCGGGATGTTTCTTAGGTACATCGCCAAGGTCGGTGGCTTCGACTGCTATGTTGCTACTCCAAATGGAGAGAGGACAAGGTGCACCTGTTTCTCGTCGACGGTATAGGCATACAGTCCCCGAACAACCAGGTAAGTTAACCTGGCATTCGCGGATTTCGACGCATTTATCTGATCAGTGCCCTGACACCCGCTCATAGCTCCTCGCGGACGACTTCGCACTAAACGGGTTCAAAACGGTCATCGTCGACTACTACGAGGGCGAACCCGTACCGCTTGAGGTCCTCACCGACCCCGAGCTTGCCGGAAAGTTCGACCTCCCGGGCTGGTTGGGCCGCCACCCTCCCACCCGCGCGCAGGAGATCGTTCGCGCGGTTATGGCTGCGTTGCGTGAGGAGGGCGTCGCGAAGTTCGCCTCGACGGGGTACTGCTACGGCGGCGGATCGGCTTCGACCTCGCGTTCACGAACGAGCTTGCGGTCGTCACGACCGCGCACCCGTCGCACTTGAAGTCCCCGGACGACCTCTTGGTGCGTGCTTGCGGGTGTGGGACGTTCAAGCGCGTGGCGTGCTGACGGAATCACGGGCAGAAATACGGGAGCTGTCCAGGGCGCCGCTCCTGCTGAACTCGTGCGAGTTCGACGAGATGTTCCCTCAGGCGGAGGCAGAGAAGGCGGACGATATCCTCGGCGGTGGCAAGTTCGCGCCCGGGTATGAACGCACCCACTGGGAGGGATGCCACCACGGCTATGCCGTGCGTGGGGACATGGTGAGTGGCAAGGCGGATGGCCTTGGCAGCTTAGGTATTGACGCTGTGAGCAGACAGACCCGAAGGTCACGGCGGGAAAGGAGGGTGCGTTCAATGCCACCGTGAAGTTCTTGAAGAAGTACTTCGTATAGTGGGCTGTCGCTCGTCCCCGGGCCGAAGACGAATCAATGTGGAGCTTCCCATTCGCCTTGCACTTCTGTTTGAGAGAGCCATGTCCATTTGCGGAGTATGCGGCATGCGGGGATCCATTTCATTCGGGGATCCTGGACGCGAATCTCTATGTTCAACACAACGTGTCCCGATGGCCGGATACCTTTGCGCTGCGTATGCACCGGTACTCCTGCGACAACCCGGAGACTCTACTGAGGTGGTGCGGGGACGTACGGCGGACCGTCGTGACGTGATCTAGTGAGTTGATTTCGTGGTGGAGCACATATGCCCTCGTCCCGTCAGGTCCCCTCGTTGGCGTGTATACAGGATAGTGACCATGCGACGGCGTCTCCAGGGGATCGCAACCTCGGAGTCAGCTTAAATGAGTTAAGTTTCGCTCCTAATACAAAGGTACGCCAAGTAGATTGTGTTCCGCACCCAAGGACGGACATTCTGATTCAGACGCTGTGGACGTGGGATGGCATTGGTGAGCGCGAAAGAAGACAAGATTCAAGAAGATCGGCCAGCTGTGGGTCGCTCGTTTGGCCGATGATGGCCGATGAGTCAGATCGTCTTCGCGGACTGCAGCTGAGCCAATTGGATCGACTGGCCCCCTCACGGAAGGAACGATGCCGAACAGTGCGATGTTGACTGTCCTGAGACGGCCAATGTGTACTCGAACCCACGTGCTCGTCCGATTTGTTTTTGTCAGCTGCTGACTGTTCCCTACTGTCCTCGTGCATCGTGCGGCGCAGTCGTGGATATGTTACGACGCATCTGGAGTCTGGGCGGCAAGAACGGGCAGGAAAGGCTTTGGGCGTATCGAGCAGCGCATCTGCGATCAGACACTCATTCTCATCGCTGAGACTTATCGATGCCGGCGCTCCACTACTTTCCCTCGCTGGGTGGATATATATAAGGCTCCCAGGCTGCAGGGCTCCCCAACCAGCCATCCCTCGCTACTTCCATCATGTCTTTCTGCAAGGATTGCATTTCCGGTGAGCGTCCAGCTGTTTCACGCACATCCGTTTGTTGGTCTGACTCCATCCCTCCGCACAGGTGTTCGCCATGAGGGCACCCAAGAAGGTGTGTTCCTCTGGCCTATTGCCGGCCATGGCTGACTCATCCATCTTAAAGGCAAGATGGAGACCATTGGTGGTGTCTCTTGCTATGTCGCCACGCCCACGGTCGACTACCCCACAGACAAGGTGATCATGTTCATCACCGATGTCTTTGGCATCCCCCTTCCCAACAATCCGGTACGCCCATTCCTGCACTCCTCCTGTTATCTTTATCTCACCATACCCTTCCCGCTGGACCCTGGTGACGTCAGCTCCTTGCGGATGACTTTGCGCGCAACGGTTTCAAGGTGGTCATGCCCGAACTCTTCAACGGCGACGCTATCCCCCCCGACGCTTTGGAGCCTGGTTCTACATTTGACATCCAAACGTGGTTCGGTAGCCACGCCCCCGACGGCGCAACCGAGATCGTACGCAAGGTCATTGCTGCCCTCAAGGAGCAGGGTGTCACCAAGTTTGGCTCGCTCGGCTACTGCTACGGCGCCCGCGTCTGCTTCAACCTCGCGTTCAACAACGAGGTCCAGGCCGTTGCCGCTGCACACCCGTCGCTCCTCAAGTTCCCCGACGACTTCGAGGTGCGCCTCTGCCAGGGCTGGACAGTGCGATCACGCGGTGCTGACCTTCCTCCAGAAATATATCGCATCGTCCCAGGCGCCACTTCTCATCAACTCGTGCGAGTTTGACACCATGTTCCCGCTTGAGAACGCGCCGAAGGTGGATGGGCTCTTTGCCAGCTTCGGTCCCGGCTACAAGCGTACCTACTACCAGGGCTGCACCCACGGCTTCGCGGTCCGTGGTGACATGGTGCGTCTGCTCTACCATGAGAGATCATAAATCAAGTGCTCAGGTATCGCTCCAATTTAACAGAGCAAACCCGAGATCAAGGCGGGTAAGGAGGGCGCCTTCACCGAGAGCGTCAAGTTTATGCTGGAGAAGCTGTGAATGTTGTGGGGTGTATACCAAGAGCAGTACCTGGAATCGGCCTGTGGGCCGCATCTACTGTCATGTAGCTGTATTTCCGTGAGGATGTATGAATGGACGGACGCACCGCCTCGTGGCCTTGTACACATGGAATGTGGATGCGCGGGCGAGATACTTACATGCTCGAGGCCCAGCTGCTGCCGAATCCCGATCGGCTGAAGCATCGCTAAACGCGGGTAATTCTGACCGTGGGCGATCTGCGAAGCGCCGGTCGATCGCGAGATGTTCGTGTTTTGTCGTAAAATCCTGATTGGATCATGCAGACTCGACGTGACAGCTAGTGATCAACATTTATCTTAGCGTGATAGACACAGACCGCCTTGGATCTCTAACGAAGCGAACGATCATACATTCTCCCATGGCCGACCTTTGGGTGATCATTGTTGGATCATTGACAGATCAAAGAGGCCGGGGCGAAGAGGACGAAGGTGACCACGTGATCTCATACATGGCTGCAGAACCGAGTTGAGCCCACCACCGGGCCGCCTTCAGTGATTCGGTGACGCAGACAAGTGCCATTTCTGTAGCCTCGAGAGCTCGGCCGGCACCTCCAAGTACGAGTTATACACTCGGCTGTCTTCCAATAAATTTTATTGAGGCCGATATATATGTGCCACGGCCCACGTATGTGTGAGTATCTGGTACCCGCGCTAGGAATGGCCCAGCACGGATGCGCTCAGGAGATATCCAGAGCACTCTCAAGACGATGCTCGGCGGTGCTCTGGAGTGCTCGCCGAGCAGGCGGCTGTGTCCCAGCCGTGCGCGGTCATGATCGATTGATCAGCACCCACTCATCGCACCCCAGAGTGATGAGAATAGAGAAGCAGGAAGAGGAGAAACGCAAGCGCTTTATCGACACCGTCCTCACCAGGCGTTGGGGGCCGCTCCTCGCCTCCTGCACGCGCCTCCGCCGGGCCTGCACAACTTTCTTTGTCTCGCGCGCGGCGACGGACGCGATCAGGCTGCTGTCGAGCTCGCTCATGAGCCGCTTCCGGGCCACCTCGTTGACCTTGGTGCGGTCGCGTCGGAATCTCATCAGGCCAGGCGGAAGTAGCGCGTTGTCGAGCCGCCCGCACGAGTCGAAGATGTCGCCGGGCGAGAACGTCGCAAAGATCGGTGGGTGCTATGAGCTCCGACGCGAAGAAGATCGTACCCGGGCGCGCCGAGGACCAGTCCTGGTGGAGGGTTGTGATCCCAGATTCCCAATTGGGTCGCGCGCGATGCGCGGGAGCAAGACAGACTGGTCAAAGAGGACGAAGGAGAACATGCCGTTGAGGATCGGAGAAAGGTCGGACCTTGATCGAGCTATCGGTACGTACATACTTACACGTACGCGTAGCTGGAGGCGACTTGGAGGAGGAAGTGCATAAACTCTAATTGATGTGCTATACAGGACCAAGCCCCACAGGCACCAATGACGCGCTTCCCGTCCCCACCTTCCCTCTCAGCCCAACTCTCCCCTCGATGTCCAGCGGACTATGCCCGGTTTTTACTCGACCTGACTGTGTATGTGTTTCATCTTAATCTTCTCCCACACTGAACATGCTATTCCTCGTGATTGCCTAGATACTTCGGTGAGTGTGCGCCTCTCCCTGCAAGCTGGCACCAACTACGCACGTCACGATAGCGGCCAGTCCTCCAAGCGGACGCGCCGAAGACGTCACGCCTATCCTGCCGCTGTGCACCCTCCGGGATGCACATGTGCGCGCCGCCGTGCGCCCTCTGTGAGGCGCACGCGCGTACACATTCTTCACCAGGCCAGGGTGCTCTCTCTTCAATCCCCGCACGCTCACCAGTCACACCACCACCACCACCACCACTCAGTCGACGGCACGCGCCCCGGCGCTCCCCCTCACGCATCCATCCGTACATCTCCGGCGCGCATCCATTTCCGCCGTCGCCCTGCCCCCACCCCCGGCACGATCGTCGATGAAGCCGGCGCCTCTGAGCATGTCGGCCACCGGGAGCAGCGAGGAGAACACGACGCCCGTGACATGCGCGTCCACCATTTCGACCTCGACCCTCACCACACCGACATCGAGCGGGCCTGCGACGACGCACTCGGCGCTGGCGTGCGGGGGAGGTATGCCGAAGTCATTCCAAGGTGAGCTGCTCTGTGCTCTGGTTTCTGTCAAGCCACACATGAGGTGGGCTGCTGGTGCGAGGGCGAACAGTCCCTTTGGGTGTACCTTGGACGATGCGAATTCAGTGTCGGGGCCGTTGACCCCAGTGTGTTTCTCGACTAGCATGGGATGATCGGACCTCGCACGACGAGCACGGTAAGCGACTCGTCGTTCTCTGTGCCAGTGCATAACTCATCGATTATCCAGTCACGCATCACGCTCAGCAGCCAGCAGCCCTGGGACGAGAACGGCGGACTGCGGGTCAACTCGGCTTTCTCTCACACAACCGTCGACATCGTTGCCGACGTTCCTTCTGGAGTACTAGTACAACCAGTACGTTACTCTCTCTCTCTCGCGTTTCCATTCTGACCAACCTGCTCATAGTGAAGTCTTCTCGCCCATATCCGACGACAGTGGATACGTCCTTGGGAGCTACCCGACTCGGCTTATGCCAAGATCATGGTATTGCTCACCGAGCGGTCCTGAACGCCCCGCAAACCACGCCCCCTCTGTCACGAATGAAGACATGCCGTTGGGTCCGTGGTGCGCCCGCTCTCCTCTCCTCCGTGTCGTGTCCCGTGCTCGTTATTGACCCTCCACAGCTCTCAGTGCTTAGCCTTGACGTTCCGGTTCTTGATCCCCTGCCAGCATCCTTCTCTTGTCCGCTCCCGTTCTACTCTATATAATGTTACTCGCTAGCACAGTGTACATTATGCACATACGAATAATGCAGTTTTTATGCGTCTTACCCTGGTCGTGTGTGTACGGTATTGTTGTGGCACGAGCAATTCCCGAGACTGAGGTCATATATACTGTGTTACAGGATCATCATTGGCGGCGCATTTGTTCACAAGATAAGCACGAGAAGATCATAGACGTCCTTACAGATGATCAGACGTCTCCCGCCTTTTGTTCAATTGTACCGCAAGCAACGCTCGCCCGTGACCATTGCACCTGGGCAAATGTTCTTGTCAGACCGTTCACATCACAGAGGTTGATCAATCAAGACCATTTTGCGGCTGCCCTCCGAACTGAGTAGATCACAGAGACCTCACTCAATGATCACGCTCGAACGTCTCTCCCCATATCGTTGTTCGACTGTGATCACTACCCGCCATCCATTTGAACACCTAATGCTCATATCGTGCGCGGGGAAAGACCGCGGCCGACCATTGCGCACGCGCGAACCGGTCACTCATGTTCGGGGAAGACAAATTATGAATATCCCTGTCACCACCTCATCGGGGTGACAGGAGACGACCGCAAGAGTGGGTGACGATCAACCCCGATCGGGCGCAGGTCATTTCTTCCCAGGTTTAGTGATGAGTGCGCGGCTATTTCGTGCGGACCGGGTGGCGCAGCAGCGCAGTAGATGGACTGAAAGCCTTCTCGACATGCCCTCACTCGCCCGGACGCCCGCCGCCCGCCACTGTATCCATACCTGATTCATCACCCTGTATCTGCTCGCCGTCTCTCCCACCTCCCATGAGTCTAACCCGTCATGTCTGAAGAAATGGCCCCTTCTTGGCGGTCCATTGCCTCCGCCGCGTCCCGCTCCATCAAAGGATACATTGCGCAACAACGCGACGTCAAGAGAGGCTACTCGCCGTCCAGAGGGCCTCCGCAAGCGTCACCTGGAGGCAGCGACCAATCGAGGAGACAAACATGGGGGCAGTGGGCCGGGCAGAAGTTGCGGCGCGGCAGTTATGGCGAGTACGACGTAACCTCGGATCGTCTTGCATTGTTCCCTGGGTGGGCAGCTAGGAGATATCGCGAGATACCCATCGAGGGCGGTGAAGGTGAGTGGCATATATGCCCTGTGATCATTGCCCATGCTTATATGCGCGTCGTTCGCGTCGTACAGAACTGCCGTTCGACGTTGATGTCTTCGTCTCCGGTTTTGCCTCAAAGTTGACAGGCGTCAGCTTCAACACACGCGCGGGGAAAACGTTCTTACGTTTAGCCAAAAGTATGTCCTCGTCGCATAACGCACATTCCTTACCGCTTATGCGGGCGTCCTGTTATCCTAGGCTTCGCCGCGCTCCCGAAACTTCCTGTGCCTGGCCCAGAGACGAACAGATCCACGGACGACCTTCCAGCAGGCATGTCGCTACCCCCACTTCCTGACGAGATCACCGAGGAATCCGAGATGAAGGCCCTCGACGACAGGTTACGACGACTGGAGCTCGAATTACAGGTCGCGGACGAAGACGACGCGTATGCTTCGGTCTCGCCGCGCTCCCACGGCTTTCGAACCCCGTCAGGCTCGTCAGTACGGTCCGGCTTCTCCAACGGCTTCTCGGAACCCTCCATCACCACGAGCTCGGCCTCAGTCGCTCCTGCAGTCGCAGAGTTGCAACGATGGCACGCGAATCTGGAAACCCGCCTACACCCATTCTGGTCTTCCGTACTACCGAACCGAACTCTCAGAGTTTCACTACATGCGTCGGACCCGTCGCTTTACGACACCGACAGCTCGAGTTCAACGGACAGTACCCATTCCCTGGAAAAGCGGCCTCTCCTCACGCGCGAAGTAACCACTGGGATCGACGGGTCGTTTCAGCTCAAGTTCTCAGTCCCATGGGAGAAGTTGTGTATACATCCTGCGGGAGTACACATAGCGTTCGGTGGGGCCGGGATGGAACATGAGTTGTATGTTGTGGCGGAACTGCTAGCGCCGCCTTCTCCTTTGCCTTCGGCCTCACCAAGTCCAAATCGAGACCTCCCACTACAACCTCAACTTCGTTTCCTCCCACCATCTGTCACGGTGACGGCAGCCCTGTCAATACCTCTCACATGCTCCTCCATCCGGGTTATATCCGACATCGACGATACTGTCAAGATGTCTGGCATTCTCAGCGGCGCACGCTCGATCTTCCGCAACGTGTTCGTCCATGACCTCAAGGAGAATGTCATACGGGGCATGGGTGATTGGTACATGGGCATGTGGAAGCGTGGGGTACGCTTCCACTACGTCGTAAGTGGTCTCGCGTCTCACGAGAATAACTTTCCGCTCACACGCTTCGTTTGCTATCAGTCAAACAGTCCTTTCGAGCTCCTTCCTGTGGTAAATGAGTTCCTGCGGATCGCACAGCTGCCTCCAGGATCGATTCGACTTCGCTCCTATGGCGGACGCTCGCTCTTCAACGGCTTCCTCTCAGCACCCGCGATACGCAAGCGGGCAGCAGTCCTTGACGTCCTAAATCATTTTCCCGACGCCACGTTCTTCCTCGTCGGCGACTCGGGCGAGCAAGACCTGGAGCTCTACGTCGAATTGGCGCGCGAGCGAAGGGAGCAGATCCTCGCGATCTTCATCCGCGACGCTGGTGCGCGGGGCGCAGACGCCGACAGCGTCCCGCCACTTGACGACCCGACCGGCGACCGGGCGTATGAGCTTAGGCTGTTCGAGTCGCCCGCTGCGTCGCCTGCCACCTCAGCCTCGCCGCGGACCCCGACCTCTTCGTCGTCCTCCGGGCGCAGCGCGGCCTTCCCACCCTCGCGGCACCCGGTGCGGTCGATGTCGGAAATGGGCGCGGGGTCTCCGCCTCCGCCCGCGTTGCCCCGCAAGCCGGCCCGCGCGTTCTCGGGCTCGGAGATGGACACGCCCACGGCACCCACCAGGGCAGACGACTACTTCGGCTCGAGCGCGGCCACACCTACGCTGCCCGCGCCCGGACCCGCGCTCGTCACTGAGGAGCCTCAGGGGAGCCCGGCGATGTCGACGACGTCGGCACGGTCGGCCCTCGGGCGGGCGTGGCCCCCGCGCGGGTTTCGCGGTGGACGCGGCTCGCCTGCGAGTTCGCGCCCTCAGACGCCGAGCGGGGAGTGGGCACCGCAGCGCGGGGCGTCCTACGGGCAGGTTGGCACGGAGGTCGAGCGGCGGCGGTTGGACCTGCAGATGCGGCTGTGGAAAGCGCGGTACGAGGTCCCGCCTCACATACCGATTCGGCTGTTCCGGGAACCGGAGGAGTGTGTGGAGGCGGAGGAGATCCTGCAGAGGGTGCAGGAAAGGGAGAAGGGTGTGGCGGGCAAGTCGGCTTGACTGCGAGTATGTATTGAGTTCATGACAGACCACTGGTTTGTTTGGATTGAAGTTGCCCGCCGGGGCTGTATGTCTCATGCTTTGTTGAATAGTGTACAAGGATCTGTACTAATTCACTGGAAATAGAAGAGATCTCGCATATAATTATACCAACCCTGAACCGGAAGTGCAAAACGTGTTACTAGTGTGAGATCGCTTGTTCGAACAATTCTTTGTGCAACGACACATGCAGATGAAAAGTTCATACTACATACTGTCGGTCAACATGTCGGCCTATGCTATGAGGCGACGAATGGCGGTTTGTCCGCGGCCCTGGTTATGCATAAGCATATATGCACCATGAAGTCGTGCTTTTCCATCTGCATGCGTATATACTAGCTTTGGTATGACGTTTTGATAGTAAAGCTCTTCATTTGCCACCAGCAATCTTCGCAACGGTGGCGTCCTACGAAAGACAGAAATAGAAGGGATCTCGCACACAGCCGTTGGTCACGCACCGCTTCCGAAGCACTCGCAGTCGATGGTAAACGATGTGGCTACGAGAATGGATTGAATGAGAAAAGTCCGGGTGGGTCCCATAGAAAGGCCGTGGATGCGGCGAGGATATACACTGTACACATAGCGTATGATAACATAAGACGACGACATAATACATTACGCCACGGGTATCGGCTGCGCTGCTGACTTTTCCGAGCCGTCTGTCAACGCGCCCAAATGTGAATTGATTTCGGACAGCATTTGGTTCATTTCCTGACACGCGAGTACACTTGTGAGCATGCAGTGATGTGTGGGCGTATGGCTGGACACGCACCTGGTTGTTTGGCTCGAACGAGAGCCCGAGCTGGATCGCCTCTTTCGCCTCGGCGTATTGGTTCATCTTTATGAGCGCACGGGCTTTCCGGAAGTGACCCTTGCTCCATGGCCGCTTGAGCTGGATGACGGTCTCGGCATCGACCAGCGCACTGAGGTAGTCGCCGGCTTCGTAGAAGGCGGCGGAGCGGTTGGAGAGGACCATGGAGAGCTCTTCACGCATCAACTGCTGTGCCTCCCATGGTGGTCGCTGCACGGCGATGCTCGCGGCCATCGTGTACCGCTGGATGGCGAGCACGTGCTGGCCACTCTTGAACAACGTCTAAACGCAACAAAGCCTCTGAGCGCCTTGCACATGTGGAGGGGAGTACAACAGTACGCACGTTTCCCTCATCCTTCGTGTTGTTGATCGCTGTGGACAGCTGCTGCGAGACGACTTGCGGGGGTGGGGGACAGCGGAGGTTGGGGTTCGCCACGAGGATGCGAGAGAGGCGGTTGAGGCTGCGGTAGTCGACGTTACATCCCGCGCACTTTTCCTGCTTGTGCGCGCCGCAGAGGGCAATCGCGTTTTCTGGGGGCCCAAGGGCGAGGTCGACGGGACGGAAGCTCTCCTCGATCAATGCCTGCATGAGCGGGTCCGGGGGACGCATGACCATCTGCTGCTGCTGCTGCTGCTGCTGTTGCTGCATCTGAGGTGGGGACGGGCCATGGGAGTGTGTAGGCTGGCCAGGACCGTGCGAGTGTTCATGCGACATGGCGAGGACGTGAGGGAGGAGAGGAGAGAAAGAGAGACAGCGGACAAGCTGAGGACAGGCGAGAGAGACGTGGACGGTGCGGGTGCTCTCCAGCTTGCCGAGCGGCGAGCGGACCGCCACGTCGCGCGATGTTGGCGCCCAGGAGCTCGCGGCAAGGTTTCGGCAAGGGACCGGCGGGGACTGCCTGGAGCGGCCTGTGGTGGGGCAACAGCTGACTAAGCATTTCAGGCGCTGTTGGTAAGCTGCCGCGCGGACGAGGGGCAAATTTCTCACTCGCCTTTGTGGTGGACCATCATCTCGACTACCCAACGCTCCCATAGACGAAAAGCTCGATCTTTTCTCCGTATACTTCGACCTTCGACCTTCTCTTCTTCTTGCAACGCCTTAATATGTCCAATGGAATTGTAAATGGTGCCGGATTGGAGACTCAGTTTGGTGAGCATTCCCGCCCTGAGCCAGCGGTACATCCTCTGACCTCTGTCTCCCCCACACACAGCCTCTCTCGGTATCAATGGCGCAAAATCTGCCTATGTCCCTCCTCATATGAGGAACTCGCAGCGGGCTGCCTCCAATCCCCCCGTTCCTACTAACGGGTATGCCTCACCCTTTTTGCTACGTGGCTGCCATCAATATCTCACACTTACCGCAGGACCGGCTGGGACGACTCCCGCTCTTCCACTCCTTCGCGTGGCGGCTACGGCAGCGCTCCTAGAGGCGGTGGAGACCAGTGGGGTGCAAGGAGTGTCTCCACGCACGCTGGCCGCGGCGGTGGAGCATGGGCCGATCGCCCCCAGTCCAATGGCTGGCAGGGCAACGGTGGACCCCGCGGTGGAAGCGACAGTGGCCCCCGTGAGTCCTTCGGTTATGGCTCCTGGCGCGATGGCAAGCATGTCACCGGCGGTCGCAACATGCGCATGGAGAAGGAATTGTTCGGTGAAGAGAACGACCCCTCCAAGCAGCACACTGGCATCAACTTCGAAAAGTACGATGATATCCCCGTCGAGGCCACTGGTGCTGGTGTACCAGACCCTGTGACGCAGTTCACGACCCCTCCGCTCGACCCGGTGCTTCTGGAGAACATCGGCTACGCTCGTTACACCACTCCCACTCCCGTTCAAAAGTATTCGATCCCTATCGTGGCCGCAGGCAGAGACCTGATGGCTTGTGCTCAGGTATGTTTGTCAATTACCCTGCGTCCGCGTATCCTCTGACCATTACAATGACAGACGGGTTCTGGGAAAACCGGCGGTTTCCTCTTCCCCATCCTTTCTGCCTCTTTCACCAATGGCCCTCGCGCTCCACCTGCCGACGTGGGCCCCGGCTACGGTCGCCGCAAGGCATACCCCACTGCTCTCATCCTCGCTCCTACTCGTGAGCTCGTCAGCCAGATTCACGACGAGGCACGCAAGTTCTGCTACCGCTCTTGGGTCCGCCCCGCTGTCGTCTATGGCGGTGCCGACATCAATCAGCAGCTGCGGCTTATCGAGCGTGGCTGCGATCTTCTCAGCGCTACTCCTGGTCGTCTCGTGGACCTGATCGAGCGTGGCCGCATCAGCCTGGCCAACATTCGCTACCTCGTCCTTGACGAGGCTGACCGTATGCTCGACATGGGTTTCGAGCCTCAGATCCGTCGGATCGTGCAGGGCGAGGACATGCCCGGTGTCCAGGAGCGTCAGACACTCATGTTCTCCGCGACCTTCCCCCGTGACATTCAAATGCTGGCCCGCGACTTCATGAAGGACTACGTCTTCCTCTCTGTCGGCCGTGTCGGCTCCACCTCGGAGAACATCACTCAGCGCGTCGAGTACGTCGAAGACCAGGACAAGCGCTCTGTTCTTCTTGACGTCATCCAGGCTAGTGGTGATGGCCTCACGCTTGTCTTCGTCGAGACCAAGCGCATGGCCGACATGCTCTCGGACTTCCTCCTTGCCAGTAACCTCCCGGCCACCTCCATTCACGGCGACCGTACTCAGCGCGAGCGTGAGATGGCTCTCCAAACCTTCCGTACCGGCCGCACCCCCATCCTGGTCGCGACCGCTGTCGCTGCCCGTGGTCTCGATATCCCCAACGTCACCCACGTCGTGAACTACGACCTCCCGTCCGACATCGACGACTACGTTCACCGTATCGGTCGTACTGGCCGTGCCGGTAACGTCGGTGTTGCGACCGCTTTCTTCAACCGTGGCAACCGCAACATCGTCCGGGACCTCATTGAGTTGCTCCGCGAGGCCAACCAGGAGATTCCCGCCTGGCTCGACACTGTTGCTACCGAGAACAGCTTCGGTGGAGGTGGAGGCTTCCGTGGTCGCGGCGGACGCGGTGGAGGCCGTGGTCGTGGCGGCAACCGTGACGCCCGTCAGGGCGGCGGAGGTGGCGGCTTTGGCGGGCACCGTGGCGGAGGTGGAGGCGGCTACGGTGGTCCCCAGTACGGCGGTGGAAACCATGGCGGCGGAGGTGGAGGCAGCTGGTGGTAAATTCCACCCTCGGTCGACAACGCTGGTCGGCCTTGATCCGGTTTCTTCGACATTGCGCTACCCGGTCCCTCGAATTCCGACATATATGCCCTTCCACCTCTATGCCCATCCATGCATCGACACTGCCTCCCGCCCCGTTTCGTCGACACGCTCATCCCATCCATGACTCCGGTTTTTGACTCACTTTCACCCATGCGCTGCTCTCACGACAATCACGCTCTCGGTCTCGTTGCACTCATCTGCTCATCGTCTATCGTACGGCCCTACTAATCGTCTGTCTCAATACTCAGGCGTCGTACGCCCTATCCTTATTGCAGCACTCCTCCCCCTAGATGTTTTCGGGGCCTGTCATCAGCATGAGCAGAACTAATGTCTACCTTCGTTTCGCGATACCCTGACTTATTGCGACGCGCAGTCGGACATTGATTATATCCTAGCATCACGAGACAATCTGTTAGAGCATCGCACATCTTGTACCGTAGTCCGTTAGCATCTTCCATATCGAGGCACTCTGGTCGTGTTGTTGTAAATAAATGCATGGATTACACCACAATCGCTCGATTCGCAGTGTTTGTCGTGAAAGCCGGTTGGCAGACTTGGTCCGGTTAATGCGGTGGCTGAGCGTGGAACGAAGAACTCCTGTGCTGGCAGTGGCGGCCCAACTCGCGGTCGGCTTGATTACCACCTTCTCATACGCAGCACGCGCATTTGAATCACACCTCTTTCCTTCGCACTTCGACAGACGAGCTTGCCCACAACGCCAGGACCACCCCACGTAAGCCCCTTGCAATCGCAAAAATCATCGCCCGCATCTCCCCGCCGCCGCTCACCCAGACGACCTCCCTCACGCCTCGCCAGATCGACCTCCCATCCACCGGATCGCACATCGCATGTATCGCTCCGTCTCGCCGCCGTACGACACGGCGGATCTCGCCACTGCGCCCCGGCGCATGAAACCGCTCCCCAAACGCAGGCGCACGTCCGACCCGGCCTCCACCCTCCACGACCACCTCCACCTCGCCCTCCCCAACGGCGACGCTGCGGCTCCCGGGGCCCCCGCGGCGGCGGCCACGACGAACACCACCACCACCACTTCTACCAACATCAGCACCAGGTCCCCCGCCGCGCCACCCGCGGACGGGGACGGCCACGGGGAGAGCACGTCGCCGGAGCCCGCGTCGGCGGTGGGGGTGCTGACGGCGCAGATGGCGCTCCAGGCGTACTACATGCCCGTGCTCGGCGGCGTGCGCGAGCTGCTCGAGCCGCGCACGGGCGAGGGCGAGGGCGAGCGGGTGTCGCTCGACCTGAGCGCGGCGCTGGCGCGGCTCGGCACGGGCGGGCTCAGCCTCGCGGTCGGCGTCGGCGCTGGGGGTGGGGGTAGGGGTGCGGGCGTGGGCGGCGCGGGCGGGGACGGAGACGGGGACGGAGACGGAGATGAGGAGGCGGACGAGGAGGGCGGGAGCCGGGGCGGGGACGGGGACTACTTTGACCACCTGCAGCAGCCGGGGAACACGAAGAAGCGGAAGGTGCCCGCGAACATGTCCGGCTCGGCGCACGGGCACGACGGGAGCGACGGCGCGGAGGACGGGGACGGAGACGGGCCCGAGCGCGAGGAGGAGTCGCTGACGGGGCCGGGGCGGGCTTTGGGAGCGCGGGCGGCGGGGGCGGGGAGGGGTCGGAGGGGGCGGGGGGCGGGGCTCGGCGGGGGGTGCGTCCAGTTCGGGGGCGGGCGTGGAGGGGGCGTGGGGTACGGGTACGGGTACGGGGGGGACGGGAAGAAGGGGAGGCTCACGCGCGCGACGTACGCGGGGCTGCGGCACAAGGAGATCCTCCGGGCCCGCAAGAGGCAGCTCGCGACGGTGCTCGGGCCCCTCGCGCAGGAAGACACCCTCGCGCTCGACCAGGCGCTGTCCGCCGCGGAGCTCTTCGTGCGAGGCGCGGTGGGGGTGGGCGGGGGCGGCGCACGACCTCTCCCTGTCCGTCCTTCTCGCAGGCGGGCGGCGAGGGCGGGGCGTGCGCTGAAGGCGGCGACCCCTGCAGGAGCGGGGAAGGAGGAGGAGGGCGACGAGAACGCGGATCCTGGGCCGAAGACCACCCCGTCCTTGACGCTGCCTACGGCTGCCGACTTTTTGTTCGAATGCCTCAGTGCCAGTGAGTGGTCCCGTTCTTTCTTTCCGTAGGATCTCAGCGAATCATCCAACACGCCGTCGCTCCTCGAAGCCTCCGAACGCCTGGCAGTCACAAACGAAGAGGTCGCAGTCCTCCACAGCCGCTTCACGGAAGAGCTCGCACGTCAAGCAGCCAAGGCGGCCGAAGCCGCAAAGCAAGCAGCGGCCGCGGCCGCGCTCGCCGGGCCCGTCGCGAAACGGACGGAGCGGAGCAAGGGCGGGGGCGCGGCGCGCAAGGGCGACGACAAGGGCGCGCTCGTCCCCAGCAGCGCGGACGCGCCGCCGCCCGGGGCGGAGGGCGCGGCAAACGGCAAGGGCAAGGGCGGGAAGAAGAAGAAGCGGTCCGCGCTCGCGAACGCGAGCAACCCGCACCACCTCCGGAACTACGTGCCCTCGCGCCTGCCGCACTCGGGCGGGCCCCCCTCGGCGCAGCAGGCGGTGCAGAACGCGCAGAACCTGCTCACCCCGCTCCCGCTCCGCTTCCTCGCGGCGGAGATCCCGGCGCGGCGGCGCAAGAAGGGCGACGGCGGCGCGGGCGCGGGCGCGGGAGCGGCGGAGGCCGGGGGCGCGCCCCCCACCGAGACTGAGACGGGGGCGGGGGCGAACGGGAAGGCTGCCCCAGCCCCAGCGGCGGCGAGCGTGCTCGGGAACCCGGCGGACGAGTGGATCTGCCCGTTCTGCGAGTACGAGCTCTTCTACGGGGAGGAGGCGAGCTACCACCGCGCGGTGCGGAACCGCAAGAAGATCCTCCGGCGACGCAGGCGGGCGCGCGAGCGGGCGGCGCAGGCGGCGAGCGGGGTCGCGCCTGCTGCGGCGAGCGCGGCGCAGGCGAACGGGGCGGTGGAGGAGGACGGGCATGCGTACGACGCGCCGGCGGCGGCGGTCGTGGCGCCTGGGGGCTCGGGCAAGCAGGCGAAGGCGGCGGCGCATGTGTAGTAGTGCAGAGCGTCGGAGGAGAAGGGGAGCAGGGTGGGAGGGTGCTCTGGCATGCCATGTGTGCGGTAGACCATCGAATGCACACTCTGATAGATATCCAGAGTTTTGGCAGGGGCCGCAGTGGAGCAAAGCGTGCAATGCTGGCACTTTGGATGTGTGAGGTGTGTTCGCGCGATGGAAGACCAGAATGCACTTCGAGAATATGCTATCATGTGGGTCGTGGACTTGTGTGGGAAATCGTGCACAGTTCGTCGACTGAAAGCCGAGAACGAAGCGGGCTCATTTATCGTATGCAAGAGGTTTGTTGCACTTGGATGACGTCAACGATCTTGCAGAGTTGTGCAGCAGGGTTTCCCAGGATCTGCCGGTCCTGAGCAAACAACTGCGCAATTCATGACGACGATCCAGACGCGTCTCGTCTCGCTCACGCGGGGCGATTGGACGAGGGCCACGAGAGAGCCCGTCGATACCGAGGCAGAACGCGGCGATGGCGACGCTTCGCGCTCCCGAAGCGAAGATTGGGAGGCCGAGGCCCATGTGCGCGCCCGGGACTTGCGCGCGGCGGCTGTGGAAGGGGAATTCCCCGAGCGCAGCTCCCCGTCCGGCGCGAGATGGCAGTCAGATTGGCACTCGGGCTCGAGGCGGGACCGCGGGCGGACGGCGGCGGCTGCTGCTGCTGCTGGTGTGCGCGCGTTCACATATCGCGCTCGGGCTTTCGCGCGCTCCGAGTCCGACAGGCAGGCGCGGAGGCCTAGGTGCGTCGGGGGCTGGACTCAAGTTGACGTCGATGGCGTGTCGCCGCATGGACGGCGAGGTGGGTGGGCTCAGGCGGCTCTGGCGAGAAGGCGGGCACGAGCCATGCGCAACGGTGGGAGCGTTGTGGGGGCGGCGGTGGGTGCACGCGGGTGGGGCGGGGATTGGTGGGCGGGCTCTGGCGGGATGGTGAGGACTGGTGGAGAGATGTTGAGGACGGGAGCGGGGGCAGAGACGAGTCGAGGTCGGATCGGTGACGGGAATCTGAGGCGTGCCTGGGCGATTGCGATTGGGCCCGGAGGCGAGGGGGCGGATCACGTGGGTTAGGCTGAGTAGAGTTGACAGCTTCTCCGCACCGCAAGTGAACCGCAAGTTTATGTCCGCCCCCGCTGGGTCCCCTCCTCCTCCTCTCTGCCCCGTTCCCCGCCCCGCAGGGCTCGAGCTCGAGTGCGCCGTGTTCCTGCTCCCGATTCGCCTTTTCCGCACCGCGCCCCCACACGCGCCCGGCCGCCTCCGCCGTCTTGTCTCCTCGTCGCTCTGATCGCCACTCGACGAGCGCGTTCACGTCCCGGTCCGCCCGCCTCCCACCACGGCGCGCACCCAGCACACGTACGTCTCTCCACTCTTTTCCGTCCCCGCCGCCGCCCGCCACCCGGCCCGCGACGGCAGCCGTCGTCGGGCGAGCGCAATGAGGCCCGTGGGCTGAGATCGCGGGATCGCGCTTGTCGGCCCATCACCCGAGCGTTCTCGTACCCCGCATGCAGACGGGCGGTGATTTCCCTTGGATTTCCCTCCCAGCCTACGCTCACACCCCCTCCGGTCGTCCCCTTCTTCTTCTTCTCCTTCTCCGCGTCTATGCCCCCGCCCGCCCTCGCCTTCCTTTCCGCCCACCCGCGCCCTCGCGCCCCGTAAGCCCTGTTCGTCGTCCCCGCACGATGCCCTATCCCGCCGTCGCCCACCCCTCTTCTCTCCACGACCACCCCCGGCCCCCCTCCGCGTCCCAACATGCCCTCGCTGACCGTCCTCGCTCCAGCGTAGCCTCCACCACCTCCTACTCTGCCCTCGGCCACGCCCTCGCTCCTGACGCGTCATCGCGCGCCCCCGAACCCGCCTACTATCGCCCCAAGTCCACCCACCCCGCCCGCCCGCCGTCCCAGCCACAGATGGCGTCCGACAGCCGCTACATGCCCTATCCCCAGCACCCCCACCACCACCCGCACTCACACTCCCAGTCCCAGTCCCACCCCCATTCGCACCCGCACTCGCATCCGCCCCCGCACCAGCAGGACGCCCCGCCCGCCCCCGCGCCCCGCCGCCGTCGTACCAGTACTCGTACCCGCCTTCGACGTACGAGAACGGGCAGTACGCCCAGGGCTCGTCGCGTCCCCCTCCACCCCCTCCGCCTGCGACGCGCTCGCCTGCCCCTCCGCCAGCGGCCGTCCAGCATCCGCCGCCAACAACGTCTTACAGTGGGCCGCCTCCAACATACCCCCCGCACTCTGGATACCCCCCACAGGCGTACAGCGCCCTTCCCCCCTCCCAGGCCCAGCACAGCGTCCCTCCGCCGTCGCAGCACCCACCCCCGCACCAGCAGCACCAGCAACAGCCGCCGCCTCCGCAGCAGGCGTGGTCGAACGAGTGGTCGTCGCACTACAGTACGCCGTACGCGCCGGCGGCAGCCCCCGCACCGAGCCAGGCGCCGTACCCGCCGCCGCCGCCGCCAGCCGCCCCCTCCGCGGCGGGGGGCGCACGACCGGATCTGTCGCCGCCGACGCCCAACGGCGATCGCCGGTACCAACCACCCCCGCGCGCGCGGGGCCGGAGCCGCGACGAGCAGACGATCGACCCCCGCCGCCTCAGAGCGCGGGGCACCCGCCCCCGCCGGCCCAGCGCGTGGAAACCGCGCCGCCGCCTCCTGCCCCGACGCCGGTACGTAAAATACGCGAGCACGAGCAGCCCGCGCCCGCGCCGGCTCCCGCGGTGCACCCACCGCCGGTGACGGCGCAAGTGCAGCCCCAAGCCCCCGCGCACCATCCGGCGGCGGCGGAAGCGGCGCCGAATCCGCTGGGCCTCGATTATCTCAAGGTCGGTGGGCTGCGATTGTCGGGCACGCGAAGGGAGGAGGCTGACGGGGGACGCGTTGATTGCGCGCGTGCGACAGATGGTGGAATCGTATCGGCTGATCATCGACTCGCAAAACATGCTCTACGAGCCGCCGCGGGCGGCCCCGCCGGGGCACCACGACCCGTTCGACCGCCTGCTGCAGGCGGCGTCGCTGGGGGCGCAGATGCTGAGCGCGGCGGTGGCCAAGTGCGCGGAACCGCCGCGCGCGCCACCACCGGCCGAGCGCGGGGACTCGCAGGACAACGGGGACGGGGATGGAGGGCGACGGCAGGTGCGTGCGCTCGTTCGGTCTGGCGAGTGGGCGCAGGGAAGCTGACGGCGGCGGGGATGGGCGACGCAGGGCGAGAACGCGCATGGGGGAGGGAGCGGCGGCGCGGGCGGGGGCGAGGGGCAGACGTGCCTGGGGTGCAGCGCGACGTCGACGCCCGAATGGCGGCGCGGGCCGATGGGTGCGTCGACCTTCCTTCTCATCACCCCCGCGCGGCGGGCTGACGGCGGGGGACGCATCGGCAGGGCCGCGGACGCTGTGCAACGCATGCGGGCTGGTGTATGCCAAACTGGTGCGTCCGGCTGCGAGCCGCTCCGATGCGCCCCCTCCCGCTCACCCCGCCGTCTGTCTCTGTCAGATCAAGAAGCGGAACCGAGACGGACCCGGCCGAGGGCGCAATGGCCAGAAGCAGTCCGCCCACGCCCCCCAGTCTGCCCACGCCGTCCACCCCAGCGACGCCGACGGGGCGTCGAGCGGCGACGGCGGCAGCGACGACGACGACTCGTACGGCTCCCAGCACGACCGCCGCAGCGACCCCGGCCAGGGTTACCGCCGCGACTAGCGCTCCTTGCGCTCCGCGAGCGAGCCCGTCCACTCCCTTCGTGCACTGTATGTCTTTTGCGGACCCACCGGTGAGCTCTTCGCTGGTCTCCTCGGTCTCTCCTTTTCTCCCGCACGCTCATGCCATCTCCACGCTCATTCTCCTCCCCGGCCCAGTCGCTCGCTGCCTTCGTTGCTGTAAAGCATTGTACTGCTTCGCTCCCCCCGCATTCCCGTGTGCTCCATCTGACTCCGCTGCCCGCCTCGCTCTGTGAGATAAGCTACGCCGCTCGTATTCGTTCTGTAATATCCCCCCTTTTGCGTCGCCCCGTGTCACGTCCGCGTTCTGTCGCACTTGTTCGCCCCCCACCCTCGCTCCTCGTCTCGCGTTCACCACCGCTCGTCACCTGTGCGACCCCTTACTTACGATCCCGGCCCTCCTTCCACGCATCCACGCGGGCCTCGCAGCACTCCTGGTCGCTCGCTACATGCGCCTTGTTTGCGCGGATACCCCCGCGCGCCCGCTCGATAACCCATCTGCCATCACCCACCCGCCGCGTCTCGTCCTGGTCCGAGCTCGCGATCTGATCTCGTCCGATGACCCGCGCTCTGAAGGCAGGCCTGGGCCGGTCGACGTTCGGTGCCGACGACGTGGAAGTCCGACGGCCAGCGCACTTTCCACCGTTGCAAGGCCCCGGCGTCGCGACTCGGGCCCCTGGCCGACGATCAGCGGTGCTTTAACGGCTCGGTGTCCTCGGAGCCGGCTCTCTCGACTGGCCGGCGCCGTCGCCGGCCAACGCGCTGGAGCCCCGCGCCGACGGTTGCCTGTCGACGCTCCCGCGAGCGGAGGGCCGCCGCGCTGCAAAAATTTCCCCGGCAGCCTCGGCGTTGCGCTCCGTGGCTTTCTCGGGATTCTGAATCCCTCCTCGCTGGCTGCAGAAGTCCACGGACGGCGACGACGGGAGTGCAAAAATTTCGCGCGCGCGCTACGTACGTACGTGTGGTGCCGTGCCTTTGAAAGCCTGGACAGAAGGGCGGCCGCGTGAATCGAATCGCCCGGGCCGGGGCGACGCCGGGTGGGTTCCCGCGCGGGCTGCGCGCAATGACGAGCGTCGTCGTCGGCGGCGGCGGCGGCGGCGGCGGCGGTCGTACCGTCGCGGTGAGCAAGGGCGGAACGGAGCGAGCTGGTGGGAATTCCGTCTTGTCTTGAGACGACGGTCTCAGTCTTGAGCTTGAGAAAGAGAGAGCTTGTTCGCGAGGCGAGCGGCGGTTGCCGTTGGGCCGGACGCGTTCCTGGGGAGCCTGGGACCCGGCCGGCGACGGCGACGGCGACGGAGGAAAGAGTCCCGCGGCGGGCTCGGACGAGAGGATTCGGATGCATAGCACTGGACGGCGGACGCGGCTCGTGAGTCGTGTCTCAAACCGTTGGCGGGGGCGGGGAACAAGCCGCGGACGCGGGGTGCCCGTGCGGACGGAGGGGCGTTGCGACAGTACTTGCCGGTATCCAGTGAGCTGCCTCCTCTGTCGTCGAACGCCACGAGCTTTTTCGCAAGTGGTTAGCGGCGTACCCACGCACGGGAGGGCGCCGCACTCCTTGCCATTTGCCGCACGCCGAACCTGCAGGGCGCACCCGCGCGCTTCCTGCTGGCGTCCGCGGCCGCAGACCGCAGCGCGCGCGGGGATCCGCGAACGCATTTCGACGCGGCGCGCGTTTTTATGCATTACCTACGCATGGCGTCCTACGTTGGCGCGACTGCCGCCGTACACGCAGAATTCGGCCGCGCCATGGCGACCAGCGCAGCGAGCGGACGGACGAACAACGACCTCCAGCTCTGACTGTGCGCCGACCGTCCCGGAGCGCTTCCAGTGATCGCCACCTGGCGCGATCGCCGCGGGAGGCGGCGGCGGCGGCCACGGAGGATCCGGGTGCACCGACGCGGGGTACGTACGGGTACGTACGCGCGCGCGACGGGGTTGGTCGGGAAGACGAGGAAGCGTCGGAGGGGCGGACTGCGCCCGGCGGGTGGGAAGCGGACGGGCGGCGAGAAGGCGCAGGGTGGGGCTTCGAGCGGGTGAACGCTGAGAGCTTCGCGCGCGCCCGTTGGTCCCGTGGAGGTCGGGTGCGGACCCGCCGCGCGCGGCGAACAGGAGGCCTGGCTTGTATATCACATATGGGTCGGCATTGTTCCGTGAACTCGCTGGCCCGTGCGCACGGTCCGTCGACGTCGATTGAAGGACGGGTGCGCCGTCGTGCAGGAGGCGATGGACCGGATAGAAGTGCGCGGGCCCTGTAGCCTGAGAGAAGGAACGGTGCGGCTGCGATCATGGTTATCGTCCGTGGTCCGTGCGGCGCGGCCAGCGTCGACGAAGCGCGTTGTCGCGTCGGCGCGGCGCATTCAGTCTGAGTCGGGCGCAGTGTACGGGACCGTGCCTGGAGAGCGTTGCGCGCGATGTCATCTCCATCTCCAACGCTCATCTCGCGACTCGCGCCCCTTGTTCCTCGCGGTGGCCAGGTCCCTCGGAATTTAGCCTTTCGTTCCGCGCCTCAAGCCCCCTCAAGCCAGCTCAAGCCTCAAGGCCTCAGGCCCCATCGTTCCGGAGCCCGCGCATCATCTCGACATTGCGGTGCCTGACGGCCGAGGTGCCCCTGGCCTGGGGCCCGCAATAATCAGATTCAGATCCACCCAGCTCACGCTCGCAGCCGACTACAAATCGCCCTCCGCTCGTGACCAGAGCGCGCTGCAGCGGCTCGACGGGAACGTTCCGCCCGACGTTGACAAGACGCGCCCTGGTGGGGAGAGGTTCTGACGGCAGCACTGGTTCTGGCGAGCTTGGGGCGACGGGAGGCTGGCCAGTTCTGATGGCGGACAGGCGAGGCGGCGGGCGAGCGCGCGCGGCCTGTCAGGTGGGCCGCGAGAAGGTGCGGGAAAGCGAGTCGCTCGCGTGAGGGTGACGCAAGGTGGGGGAGCGGCCGTACGTACTCGCTCGTAAACGATGCAGGTCACGGCTGTGAGGAATGAATGGCGGGCGTTGCCCGACCGGAAGAGCGACGTTTGGCGAGCACGATGCGCCAACTCCCGGGGCAGAGAGAGGCGGAAGGCGAGGGCGAGTAAGCAAGGGGCCGTCGATTGTGCTGCCAGTGTGCACTCGCCGTCCGCCGTCGCGCCGTCGGCCGGGCTGGGTCCAGAGCCGCACCGTGCAGGGGCGACGAGTTGAACAAGCTCGAGATGAAGCTTCTTCAGCGTGGGTGGGTGAGTGGGGCGGAACGGCCCCAGCTGGCCCCCTAGGCCTGGAGTCGATCTGCCATGTCTCCCAGGCGAGCGCCGCATCTGCCACGCGGACGAGCCCCAGGCCCACGGCGAGTGCCATGCGTTGGCCCCGGGAGTGAGTGGACACACAACGCGGACGGAGCCGGAGGGCGCCGGGAAGGCGCTCTCCGTCGCGTTTCGGCCGTCGCGCCTGCTGCGGTCTGCGCAACTTGCAGGCGAGCCGTGTCGAAGGCCGCCTTCGCGGGTGCGGCGAAGGCTCGCCAAGGCCCGGCGGCACCGAACAATGTCCGCCAGTAGGTTCGCGCTGCGCTCGATCGAGCCCAAAGGTGTGTGACTTTCCAATGTCTATGGCATGCGTGGCCTCTGTCTCTCCTCCGTTCCCCTCTCGGCTGTGGTAAGTACGTGGACTTGAAATCGTGCAATGTCTTGCGTGAGGTGAACGAAGGAAAGGTGCGGTAGGAGCCAGCGAGAGGAGCATAGATACTTGTGCACAGCTCGCAGATTTTGTACGTGTCACATATGTACATCGGCAAATAAGAGGCGCCCTGCACGCGCATGCGCAGACAGGGCCGCGCGCAGACAATCAATTGTCTGAAAATTACTGATGCTGCACTCCTTCGGCATTGCCTTCGGAGATACAGGCCCACGATGTATAAGCCATGCATGTACAAAAGTTTCACGAGGATCGCTGAAGTTGCGGATGAACGCGCGTCGACACCGGTTTGGGGGCTGGCAGCAATGCACGTTGGACGCGCGAATTCGGGTACAGGATGACAGGATTAGCAAGACGAGCACACACTGGCCGATAATAATGTTACAGACAGCTCGATCCAGAAACCACACCGCCCTCCTCAGTGACCATCCACCGTCCTCTTCCGTCACGCACCCGGTTGTCCAGGCTTCCCGCCTCCTGCCCCAGGCTGCATCTGCCCCGGGTGCCCAGGCATGCCCGGCATCTGCATCTGCTGCTGTCCCGGCATCGGCCGCCCCGCCGCGGCCGCCATCTGCCAGTACTGGTTCATCGTCCGCATCTGCGCATAGGCCGGGTACTGTGCCATGAACTGCGCCTGCTGTTGCGGCGTCTGCTGCTGCTGTGCGAGCTGCTGCTGCTGCTGCTGCTGGACGAGGTGCTGCTGCATGTGCGGCTGCTGCTGCTGCTGTTGCTGCTGTTGCATCTGCGGGTGCTGCCCGTGCGCCGCCTGAGCCTGAGCCTGAGCCTGCGCCTGCGCTTGGGCTTGGACCATCCGCATCTGGTAGTACATCATCTGCTGCTGCTGTTGCGGGGTGTGCTGGACGTGCTGGCCCGGGTTCTGCTGGCCCTGCTGCTGCTGTTGTTGGTGGACTGCCTGCTGCATTTGGATCTGCACCCGCGCGGCCTGCAGCTGTGCTTCCTGCGTCATCGCCGTGGGGGGCATCGGCGACCCGCGCGGGACCTGCGCGGGTGCGAGGTGCGGCGTCCCGTTCCTCTGCGCTTGAGCCTGAGCCTGAGCCTGAGCCTGAGCCTGAGCCTGAGCCTGAGCCTGAGCCTGAGCCTGAGCCTGGGCGTGCACGACCTGCGCGGCGGGCATCGGGCTCCGCGTCGCCACCGCGGGCGAGCCCGCCTGCTGCGCGGCGGCAGCAGCTTGCGCGGCCTGCTGTTGCTGCTGCTGCTGCTGTTGCGTGAGCTGCCGGCTCGCGGCGGCGTGCATCGCAAAGTAGGGGATCTGCTGGTACGGGTTGTACGGTGCTTGCTGCTGCTGCTGGGGTTGTTGCGGCTGGGGCTGTTGCGGCTGCTGCTGGCCGGGCTGCTGCTGCGACTGGGGCGCGACGGGCTGCGGCGCGAGCGCGGGCTGCTGCTGCATCGGGGCCGGGGCGGCGGCGAGGGGCTTGCGCCGGGCGAGGCTCTGCGTCGCGAACGCCGCCATCTGGTTCGCGTACTGGGTCATCATCGGGTGCCCGGGCTGGCCCGGCTGGGGCTGGGGCTGCTGTTGCTGTTGCGGCTGCTGTGGGGCTTGGTGGGCGTTCGGCGCCGGCGAGGGTTGGATGCGCGGCGCGGGCGCGGGCGCGAGCTGCGGGAGGTGGTGGGGGGCGCCGGGGACGACGGACGCGGGGCGCGGTTGGTGCGGGTGCGGGTGCTGTTGCTGTTGCGGGTGCGGGTGCGGGTGCGGGTGCGGCGGGTGCTGCGGGTGCTCTGCGGCGGAGGGCGGGCTGCTGGCGTGCGCGACGGGCGCGCGCGGCGAGGGCGCGGAGGGCGCGGGCTGGATGGGCGTCGCGGCGCGCGGCGCGTAGTGCGGGTGCTGCATGTGCGGCGGGAGCGCGAGCGCGGGGTTGTGCGCGCCCCCGCCGGCGGAGGAGGGCGTGGCCGTGCGGGCGATCGCGGGGGGCGGGGCGTCGGCCTTCTTCTTCGGCTGCGGGACGGGCTTCTTGCCCGCCGTGGTCGGAGCGGGGGGCGCGGAGGGGACCGGGACGGCTGTGGGCGGTTGTGGGACGGCGTGGGGCGGTATGGGGGTGGAGGATGACGAGGGCTGTTGGACGGGTGTGAGTGTGGGGGCGGGGGTCGGCGTGGGGACGGAGTTCGTGATGGAAGACGGGGCGATGCTGTTGATCGGGGTGCCCGAAGGGTGGGGGGAAGAGGAAGTCTGCATGGGCACCGTGATTGGCATGTGTGAGAGGTAGGTTGGGGGTGGTATTGACTTCACGTTCTGCTTTGCCTCCAGCATAGGGAATTTCCTATGAATAGACTGTAAGTTGGTTACCAGGATCCCGGAAACCTTTAGCTCACCCCGGTTGGATGTTGCGCTGGGGACTCATAAACTGCATCAGCTTCAGACGACGTGTCTTCTCGATCTCATCGGCTTCCTGATCGACAGCGGAGGCTTTGCGCTTCAGAGACATGGGTGCGGGTGGAGTCGACACCCGCTGCGTCAGGTTCACTATCCGAGCCAGATGCGGGTCCGGCTCCAAACATAAAGGGGGAACGGTGGCCAGCTGCGTCGCAAGGGGTCAAGTGCTCAGTATTGGCGAGACGCGTAGGTCGCCTGAACGGCGTCAATGCCACTCACAAGCAGCCGCGCTTCTACTTCCAGAGCGTTGTTATCCGTCCATGGCGTGACAGTCTTCTGACTGAGAAGACAGATATCAGCCCAGCGAGACTCGTCGTTGGGCGCTAGGACCACCCGGCTTCGCTCGGGCTGCTCCAGTTCAGGCTCGGTACTTTTCGCCGGCCGATAGTCGAGAATTTCGACAATGAGACATCCTAGCACACTGTTCAGCATGACGCCACTCCACAACAAGAGACGCACGCACCCTCGTAAAAGGGGAGGTTCGCGGAGTCGAACAGCTCGAGGAAGTCGACGGGTATATGCTGTGCACGGATGTCGTCCAGCAGAGACTGTACAAAAACGTGTGTTCAGAATGGGTGGCGCGACTGGAAAATCGAAATACCCACCGCGGTCTGGCTATTGTAGAGGAACTTGGAGCCGTTGTTCAATATCCAGTGCTCACGGTAGAGCCGTACGGTGAACGACGGCGGCGCGGCGCGGTTGGCCTTAAGTAGGCCGTGCACGAAGCGGGCGGTGTTGTAGAGCGCCATGGTGGCACGTGGGGCCAGGCGGGAGGGACGGGTGTGTTCGACGGTCGCGGTTGAATGAACCTGGCTGGCAGCGGCGCGGTGGCGGCGACGCGGCGCTGACGTAATCCGGTGCAAGGCAAGGAGGCTTCGGTCCGTGGGAATCTCGCTCATCTTCATCTTCTCAAGCATGTCCGACGCGGCCAGCCTTCAGGAGGTAAACAAAAATGGGAAATGGGTGTGAATGAAACTCAGAGACTGATTCAGCGGCATAGCTTGTGCAGTTTCTGAGGGACAAGAACCCGCAAGTGCGCCAGATCGCGCTATCGCACTTGCTCCCTCAGACGCCCAAAGGATCTCCTCATCGAGACCTCTTCTACGCCGGGCTTTCTGGAGGAGGCCTGAAGAAAAAACAGGAGAACGATCTCATCAGGGATATAAAGATACTGTGTAGAGACCAGCTGGTGCGCTTTGTGATTGCCAGCTCTCAATCCACGCTGAATCATCGCAGGCGACGGCGCACGATGCGTTCAGAGCCCTCGTAAATTTGACAGACAACTCCCTGCTCGTGGGAAGTCTGTCAGAGGTGCAGTTCATGAAGTTTGTTGTATCATATATTATCGTACGTACCCTTTTTCAGAAATACACAGCTGGCCTGACTCCTGTACCAGAACTACCAAGCCGTTCTCGCGGACCTCGCGTCGATGCTGCTCTCAAACCTCACCGCCTCCGCCAGCGCGTGCTCCGTGCTCCTCAACCTCACCATCCCCATTCTCCCTGACCCCAAGTCTCCCCTGGGCGTTTTCCCCGTCGACTCCCGCTCGGGCACCTGTGGCGCGCCCGTACCGTACCCTGCCGGGGAGCCCAAGGAGGTCCTCGCGCTCCCGCTCCTCGTCGACATCTTCGTCAAAGCCGCGCTCGTGTCCTCGGACACGGATCGCGAGCAGCGGCCATTCAAGGGCGAGATGCACTTCCTCGCGAGCGTGTTCGCGAACCTCAGCGCGGTGCGCCGATTGCGATTGCGCCGCTTTCTGACCTGGACTCTGACCGCGACCCCGCCGCGCAGGCGACGACGGGACGGACGTTCTTCTTGACGCCGCGATCGTCCGATCCGTTCGGCGAGGACGCAAGCGCGGGGGTCGAGTACCCGCTGTCGAAACTCTTGGCGTTCACCGAGCACAAGGACTCGATCCGGCGTGGCGGAGTTGCGTATGCTATCAAGTAGGTCATCCGGGTGCGGGCATCGGCTTACCGAGCTTACGGGTTGCCTTCGACTCCTGCCAGGAACTGTGCGTTCCAGGCGTCCGCGCATCGGGCGCTGTTGTCGGAAGAGACCGAGATGGTCGCAATCCCTCCCTCTGCTGCAACCGCTCCGGGGATCAACATTATTCCCTATGTGTTGCTACCCCTTGCTGGGCCAGAGGAGTTTGACCTTGAGGTACGACGGTCATTCTGAGAGTAGGATCGGCTCAGGGAGCTCACATGTGCCATTCCTTAGGATCAAGAGAAGCTTCCGGACGCGCTACAATTCCTACCTCCAAGCAAGAAGCGCGAAGCAGACCCGGCGGTCCGGTTAACGCACGTCGAAACGCTGCTCTTGCTGTGCACGACGCACTGGGGGCGCGCATGGTTGCGCTCGCACGGTGTGTACGAGGTCGTGCGTGCCTTGCACGAAAACGAAGAGGTCGAGCGGGTGAGTGGACTGGCGAGCGTTGTGTGAGACTACGACGCTGACTGGAAAATATTCGCGCAGGTGGCAGAGCACGTTGAGCGACTCGTGAATATCTTGAAGCGAGACGAAGGCAAGGACACAGTCCGTGACGGCGAGGACCTGGACGCGATGTCTCGCAAAGAGGAAGACGACGAGGACAGCAGAATAGAGGAGCTCTGATATCAAAGGGAGGCGATCGTATAGTGTATCGTTACGTTCGTGATGTACAGTGTAGCTCGTAATGATGTATCACTACGTGCGTTGGACAGCCGCTGGGACATATGGCTACAGAGACTATACAGAGGCCGTATGGTGATTAGCGTGCTACTGCTGTAAAAATATGGACGCGTATTAGAGTAAGACGGGCGGGTGACTCCTTCAGAGTGTGGGTGATGGGTGACGAGAAATAGAGTACGCAACCAGGCTCCAATAGTTCAGTTGTCGTGCATCGCGAGATCAATATGCTGGCTGCTAGGAGCGGACGAATCGTCGCTCAACAGCCATCCGTATGAATCCTTGCTGCTGTCCTTGCGTGTGCCAAAACGAGAAGCCTGCCGATTGAGCGTTTGGGGATCCATACAAGGTTTCTTCGGCGTAAGCTCTGTGTCCTCATCAGTGAGCTCTTCCAAGGGAGCGGCGCGAAGGTTGCGCATCCACGGAGAGATCGTATCAAGCTTGGATGTTGACCTGATATTGTGTCAACGAAGTTTCAAGAGCACGAGTCTGCACGACTCACCCTTTCGACTCCATCTTGCCAAACTCATTATTGAGGAAGGACTTCTGCGAGCCAGAGGGCGCCGCATGGGACGTCGATAGCACAGAGGGCTGGGTGGCGGCGGTCTTCAGCTTCGGGGGTGGGGTGTTGTCAAGAGGGTTGACTAGCAGGGCTTCAAATTCGTCGTCACTATCGCCATTGAGGGCCGGCACTCCTGGAACCGACGGCGATGACGAGGGAGGAGGGGCTGGCTTGCTGCCGGCCGACAGTCGCCCGTCTTCGTCCGAGCGCAGACTTGCGACCGATCCCGCGCGGGCCCTTGGACGAGGCCGAGGCTGGGGTTTGGGCTTCGTGATGGTCATGGGCGCCGCGTTGGAAGTCGCAGTCCCGGGAGGAACCGTCGCAGTGGCGCCGTGGGCCGCCGAATGTGGTTTGTCCGCACTTCCCGAAGCCTTCCTCCGCTTCTTGGTTGGGCTCGTCGCCTCCGAGCCGTCGGTACCGCTGCTGAGCTCGATCACGATGCTCCCGGGCCCGGGACCAAGGGTCTTCTTGCCCGCAGCCTCGCCGCGCCGCACCGCCGCCTTGCGCTTCGAGCCGCTCGGCGGGGACGACGCGCGCTCCGTCGTCGACTCCGCGTCGGTCAGCGTTCCCGGCGCCCTCGAGCGGGCCCGCGCGCGCGGGCGAGGCTTCGGCTTCGGGGGCGCCACCTCCGCTTCGGACAGACTCTGGGCGAGCGCGTCTGCTTCTGCCTCGAGACGTTCTTCTTCCTCGAGCTCCTTCCTGCGCGCCCTCGCCCGCGCCATGAACATCCGCTCCGTCGCACCAAGCGGCTGCTCTGCACTGTGCTTTGGGTCCCCATCGGTGTCGTCCGCGGGAAACATGGCGACACCATACTCCGCACTCGCTTCCAAAGTGGCTATGGCCTGCGGTCGGGAAAGGTTGAGGTCGTCGATGATGAGACGAACGGCTGTTTCCGGTACCAGAACCAGTGCAATGAAGTCGGTGGGTGTGAGCGGTAGACTGGCGTCCGGGTGAAAGTCCGAGGGCGGAAAGAGATCACAGAGGGTCTGGTGGATGATCACGTATCCTAGCTCCCCGTAGCTGGAACGAATGATTGGTGCACGCTTCGGAGGGGGATTGACGAGAAACTCACTATCCAGGTTGTGTCTTACTGAAGGAAGAAAACTGGCCCCGTACACCAACTGCATGACGTGAGCCCTGTTTGCGCACATTGCGGACGACCTCTTGCCAGAATTCGTTCTCCTTGCGCGCACGTGTGGCGCATCTCTTGTGAGTAGGGGCAAAGTCTTCATCCACATCGTCCACGATGGTCTTGAGGGTACCCTCAAGCCGTTGGACACGTCCCGCAAGCTTGTCGAAGTCAATTTCAGTTGGCCATCTCTGTTCGCGAGCACGAGGGATCCAATCGCGTTCAAAGCGGTGCCGCTGGCATACACCCACGTAAGCCACGAGGGGGGCCTGCAGCCCAAGTGAATTTGTCGCCCGTTCGTCTTGCCGCGACACCCGCTTCGCAGCCTCTATCAGCCTACGCAGATGAGGGGTTGGTTCAGGGGGTAATCGCTCGTCGCACCACGGGCACAGTGTCTCCGGGTCGATGAACACTGAACGGAACGATGAAGCTATAGTCAGCCTAGGGAGCAGTAGGGAGCGCATATACTTACTATCTTCGTCGGACTCTGGGTCCACTTCCATCAGGAGATCTCGAGTGGTACGTTTGCGACGCCGAGGTGCGAGGGTAGAACCATCTTCGCTGTCAAGGTCGAGAGCTGTAAGCTTGCTTGGGGTTCTGTGTCCCATGCTCTGGAGAACTTCGGCATCCATTGGGAATGGGCGGTATCTAGGAGTAGGTTGGGCGTTATCATCCTCAGAAGTTGTGGCTTCAGCTCGACCTGGCGTGTGTTGGCGACGAGTGCATGGCGACGAGAGTGGGGATAGCAGCGGGAAGTTGGAGGTAGTGGCTGTGGTTGAAGCAGGGAGAATATTGCATGGCGAGCTCGATGGGGAAGTGAGGGGTGAAAGTGCACCTATAGGGTCCGCGCGAGCTTCGCCTTTGCCAAGCTTGTCGCGGCCTCTTGAAGGTCCGGGCAACTCATCGTCAGTATCCGACGGGCCCCAGGCCGGGAGAGTCGAGGGTTTAGTGATAGCCTTGTCTTTCGTCTCGCTTTGCTTCGCGACCGCCCCATTCACGGCACGCCTCTTCTTCGGCATGAGCCGCTTCAAGTCATCCGAATCGCTTGAATCGACAAAGGAAATGGGAGTGGTTGAGCGGAAGGTCTTGGTGGTCTGGGAACGAAGGAGGGCATGACCAGAGGTCTGAGATGTGCGGAGACTCGGGATGTCGGCGACAGTTTGGGCTTTGCTGACGGTGCCTTTCCCTGCTTTGCGGACGGGGCGAGGTACTGGGCGAGATGGACGAGGCGTTTTATCGACAGTGTCCACAGGTTCGTCGAGCTCGACATCAGAGAAGAGACCTGGATGCGGGGGCGTACCGGACCGATTCCTGCTACGCTCACGGAGTGGGACCTTCTTCGCCCGACCATCCTCCACATCGCTCGCTTTACTCGGCTGCGGGCGAGACGAGGACGAAGCAGCTCCTACAGACTTGTCAGAATGCCCTTGCGCATTCTCCGTGGTCAGGGGTGACGAAGTAGAAGTCGTGGCAGCGCCCTTCCGGGTGATCCTGGTCGACTTATGATTAGGTGGCCGGTAACCTGGCTTTGTTTGGTGCTTGTCAATGACGGTGCCTTGAAAGACCCAGAACGCCGTGGTTTCAAGGGTTTGGTGCGCTCTTCTGGATCTACAGAATTGTGCCTTGATGATCCCGAAAGGAAGTCGATCTCGTCCTCACTGTCGTCAAGTTCAATGGGTGTTCTCGAGGGGGGCGCATCGGACGTGGTGGGACAAGTGCGGGAGGCAGATGGCGCTCGTGATTGAGATCTGGTCGTCCGTCGAGTGAATGCGCTTCCAAAGTCCTCGAATGTAGCCGCTTGAGCGTTAGAAGGTTGGGACAAACGGGTAACTGGGGACGCGTCTGTATCAAGGGTGCTTCCTCGGCTCTTCAGCTGTTGTTGGTATCCTTCCATAGTCCGCAACAAGCATAGACGGGGTAGTCAAAGACCGCAAGACTGGTAGATAGAGAGGAGAGAGGGAGTTGCCGATAGAGGGCGGCTGTTATAATGGAACGCGACAAGCGGTAGCACTCAAACGCGTCCGCGGTTGTCACCACTCACGCTCGCGCTCTGTCACACGGTCACAAACGTGGACGAATCCGCATAAGCGCTGTCCTCATCGGCCGGACGCCTGCCGTGCTCCTTGACCATGGCTATATTCACGCGGTCGCTCCGTTCCGCTGCTCCGGATCGTTGTGCTCACCGTCAGAAAACGGCCTTGTTTATATCCAAGTCGAATCTGCCCCTTTCATGCCGCAGCTCAATCATGTCCCTCCTTTTCTCGCACTCCCAGACGAGCTCATGCTACATATCATCCAGCATCTTGACTTAGAACGCATCCTGATACTCAGACAGGTATGAGTCGCTGTATCGTGCGTTTCGCTGTCTGACGTTTTGCTCAATGTGTAGACATGCAGGTTACTCGCATCTTTGACCCACGACCGTCACACGTGGATCCAGCTCCTCCGACGGCAACGAGAACGCTCACTTCCCTTGCCGCCACATCTGAAGTATTCTTCGTCCTGGGAGGACGTTGACTCAGGCCAAATTGAAGCGGCTGTTCGTCTGGTGCATCTCATCGATCGTTTCTGGTTGCTCCCTCGCTCTCAGTACATCATTCCTGGCCACCGACCGACCTGTCAAACAGACGACGGGGACGATGGTGGACGCACAGTATACTCCATAGATGTTCTACTCGACAGATGGCTGTTATGCATCTATCAAGAAAAAACTGTCGAGCTTTGGGACCTCGACTTGATTACCCGCGAATCCCATCAGCCTCTGCTGTGCACTAGTCAACGAGTCACGGCCCCTGGTTCGTTCTCCTCTGCGATCACCCACCTCGACGCGGAAAACAATGTGCTCACCGTCGCGGTATCTTGGTGAGAAGCCTTGCGTTGCGTATCTACATCTTCATTCTGACTCGTTTTTAGTCACGAGTCCTGCCACATCATGCAAGTGCGGTTGCCCACCTCGTGGTTCTTGTGTCCATGCAAGCCTCAAGCAGTGATGTGTCGTTTTCCACCATTGCCGTCATTTCGTTTTCCTCCCCAATATTCTCCCTCCGAGCTATCGACCCAAGCCAGTCGTTGTTGCTGCTGGGTCTGCACACGTCTTTCCAGCTAATTAATTGGAAAACTCGCCAGAGGACCAATGTACAGATGGTATCAGATGAAGAGGAAGAACTTGTGCGTGTCAATTTTTACTACCCCACCTGACTTCTGACGTTTACTTGGCAGTGGAATGGAGTCGTTGGAGTCGTCTTTCTGACTCAACGGCACTTTCTGGTTCTGAAGACGCATTCCCTTGAAGTCTGCACTTTGTTCGACGACTCTCAGAAGGTCGCCACCACCATTCTCTCTGGAACGAGTTCCCCTCTGAATACACCCACCAAGAAGAAGAAGAAGAAGAAGAACAACAACAACAACAACAACAACAACAACAACAACAACAACACTGCCGCACAGAGTTCATTCTTCACTTCAAAACTCCCACCATCACCAGAAGAGGAAGTGTCCTCTGAAAGTGCCTCAGATTCCGAACAAATCGAGACCAAATTACCCGTACAAATGTCAGCCGTTGTCCACACTCACTTCTTCCCCAACACGACCTTTGGCGGCGTATCATTCTCCCGTCCTATCATTCAACCACCTTCTCCAGCAGACACGGGGGGAGACGAAATAACCCAGGCTTCTCTCTCCTTCCTCGCATACGATGTTCTGCGTGGCTTGTTCCACTGTCACGTTGATATTACCATACCAACACCGTCAGGAACACACAAGGCTTCCCCTCCTTTGGAAGTCCAGGTCCACCTTCTCGCTGCGCACAATATGGCCACTCCAGTTACGCCAGGCACAGAAGCACCAAGTTCCCGCGGAGCGGATTCTCTAGAGGGGCGCGAGGCTTCGTGTTGTCGTGCGCACTGGGGCCGACTGGTCAGCGTGGAGTTTGGATCGAGCGCAGGCGCGGCGAAGTGCGGCGAGTGGTGTACGGGTTTGCCGCGCCCGCTGTGCCGGAGGGAGACGAAGAAGTGGTGGGGGTGGCTCTAGCCGACGGTCCCAATCCCGAGGGTATTCAACCAGGAACCGCCATCTCAGTCATCAACTCTGAGCTGGGTCCTGATGATACTCATTCGAGCTGGATCAGCCCGCCTCCTCGCGCGATCGAAGGGAAGGAGATGTACGAGGTCAATTCGTACGACCTGCGGGGTGCGTGTTTCCACATTATCCGTTTTCCGACTGCGGCTCACTGTTCGCACTCGAATCTACCGTGCAGATGACATCACCCACATCGCCCTATCGGAGACAACCGGGATCATTGCACTCGGTACGCGCAAGGGAGATATTCGAGTCCTCGGGCCAGTCGGTATCCTCGGGGTGCGGAGAAATGGTGTATAGCGGTTAGCAGTGGGCGGCTCGCCACCAAGTGGATCGCGCAACTCAACGCCTCGGGACCTACTCGACCTCAAGCTGTGCCTACCCCCGAGTGGTATGCGGATGGCGTTTCGTTGAACAGACGGACCGACTAGACAATTCACTTTCGGCGAGTAGCCATTGATGCTCTCTCTCTGTAGCCAGATCGTACCCATTACTCTTTACAGAACTGTGGAATTTTCGTATATCAGTCCTGGTTCCGACGGCCCAAGACACAACACTATAACATCGCTGACCTCGCAAGACTCTACCATCGTTATCGAGCTCCCTCAATCAACCTTTCTCCGCTCATCTACACATGAACCTATTCTCGGGTTTTAATCTGTAGAAATATGTCCGACGGAATGTGCGACAACTGCCTCAAGGGTACGCAAAGGGTAGAAGATGTTTATATACCCGGTATCCTCACGACGGTGGCAAGTACATCGCATTTAAGAGAACGAGCCAGGTCACCGTTGTCGCACATCACGCGCGTTTGACTCTCCCGGACGATCTTCACGTACGTAGTCTCGAAAGTGCCTCATTGACTTGCATACGCTGCGCTGACGGATGTTCGGCCGGCACTCATCAATAGTAAAGTTTATGAGATCTTCGGTCACGGCAAGCTCAGGTATGGGTATGAGCGCACGTTCGCCACCGTATGCGCGGTCTGGTAAGGAACATTTCACGCCGAATTCCAAAAAGCATTTACTTCTTTACAAAGCACGAGGGGTTTTGAGTTATTATCGCCCTCAGAGTCCAGGGTGGGCGGGGGATTCAAATGTGTAGGATGGCTCTGGAGCACCCCAATCGAATCGATGTGTCGGAGCTACATGATGAATGTTCGAAAATTGCTTCTGTCATACTACTGAGTATTGCCCCATCCAACCAAGGAAACTGGAGGTTATCCGCAGAAGTAGAAGCGGCGAGGCATTGTTCGCCCCGGCCGTCTCCACTGAGCTGTGATGTCCGCGCCACACGGCCCTTCAAAGCTTCAACCATGCCAACGGAAACGTTGATGAGCAGCCTGGCGAGGTATGGCATGGAAACAACGAGCATTTTATACATTCATTGACGATAGCTTCTCTGCCACATCCTCCACACCCGCACCCTGCGTCGTCGCTGAGGGCTTCAAATCATCGTCTTGACCTGGTGCGGAATGATGTGGACTTGCGCCGGTGATAGAAAACCCGCCCTCAATTGTTTTTGATGGATCTTGGGGAACGCCTTCGGGGGCGTCCCAGCCGGGCAGGGGCTTGCGGTCCGCGGTCTCGACACGAGAGAAGAAATCTGGTTTGAGGAAGCCTTGCTCGTCGCCTGCACTCAAAATAACCCCGTTGTCTGAGATATAGAAGGCGATGCCGGCATTGATCGCCTTCTGAACGTCGATGAAGACGAAGATCTGCGATGTATTCCGCATCCCTATCCAAAGGAAGTAGGTAAGTGGGTGGTTCAAGAAGCGGTGTATCCATACCGCTTATGACGCCTGAGCCTGGAACGCCTTGTGCAAGGTGGATATGATTTCGCTTCATCCTGCTCAGGCCCTGTTCCTCTGCGTACCGGTGACGATGAGAGGAGTACCCCGAGATCTACTACTTTTTACGTACTAATGAACTCCCAAGCACGTTTGGAGGTACCGTGCACAGCGACTCCTGTTGGAATCGACGCATGAGATGGGATGGGCTCCAAATCAATGACGACGGCCTTTCACACAAGTCAGCATCTCCCCACGAATGCGTCCAAGCCTGGCTTACCGCTATGGAATGTCCTTGGTTTGCACGTATCCACCGTGTTGACTGCCCCGACAGAGGGTCGATCTCTTCAACGAGGCTATATCTCCCCTTCGCGTCCTTCTGAACGATATGCTCCAAGGATGCAAGGTCGAGTTCGTGCATCTTGGGTAGAGCCAGCTATTTCCTTGACCATCAGATCTCCGAACGCCGTCGCGATATAGGGGACATAAAGGCACTTACAAGGTCGTCAACTCGAGCGTACCCGTCTGAGCGCATCTTCAGGTTCTCTGACTTCGCTCCATGGCGCAGGACCCATGACAGGGTCTTGGAAATGCGGACCTCATGCGAGTCCTTTGGGAGACCTCGGAGCTTCGAACCCCCGCCGCCCTTTCCTCCGCCTGCCGTGCCTTCCCTTCTTGGCTGTTGTTTGCGTTCCTTTTTGTCTTGTTTGCGTTGCTGCTGTTCCTCTGCGGCCACTGCATCCATGGGGTTGGTGCGGGAGAAACGCCTTGCGTTCTTGTACCTATTTATACCTCAAGCGAGAACAGTCTTGAAGAGTGTCCTCTGGAGGATGATGGCGACGAAGCAGTGATAAATGTACACAGTCTGAGAGTTCGAGTCACAGGTGATTCAAAGTGCATAATGGCCGGGAACGATGGAGACGGGCCGGGAAGCGGGCCGGGCTCCTGTGTGTTGACTCGAATCCTCGACGAACGCCTAACGTTAGGTAAGCAGTTCATAGAAGCCACTGCCTTACACGTTGTGGCCAGCCAACGCCCTTGTCTTCCCCGTTGGTCTTCTTGCCCTCGCCTAGTACTACGAGCCTCCCCACGCCGCTCGAACACTCCCCCCGCCCATTAGACTTTTAGATCTCACAGTAAGTTGCTTCGATCGCCTCGACGTGTCTCAGATCCTATGTAATGTCGCGACACAGGCACGTATAATCAACATGCCACCAGCCGGAACTCAAAGCAACAATGCTGCCAGCCGCCGTTCAACCGGCCCCATCCGTCAGCGCGAGAACAGAGTACACAACCAGAATTCCCAGCTCGGAGGAGCCCCTCCACGACGCCGCAAGTCTCGTTCCCCAGACGCGCGGGCGGGCGAGGAGATGCATTCCCCCACCGACGCGCTCGCGCGCAGGAAGAAGCGGACATCGGGTCTCATGGGCAACGGTACGGGCTCCTCGTCCAGCAACCCTGTGAACATGGCGACGACGCGCATCGTTGTGTACGAGGATCCCCAGCAGGACCGAGGGAGGATCAAGTCGAAGCCCAGGTCGCGCCCAGGGACGATGCGGGTGGACGAGGATGACGATGTCCACATCGTGACCAATATCCTCTCGGAGCAGAACCGTCCGGCGACCGTGCAGAGCTCGAAGCAGAAGCGCAAGGAGCAGCGGTCGCGCTCCCGGGACGCACATAGACTGTCGAGGAAAACGGCGACCCCCGAACCGTCCGAGGATGATGCAGAACCCGCGCACGCTGCTCCTTTGGCTCAAGCGGAATATGTAAGAATGAAGCAAGAGCTAGAGTCCTTGCGAAAGGTGAGTGTGGCGCGTTGAAGGTGCGTTCAGAATCTCAGTGTCATGTTACAGCAAGCTGCGGTGAACAAGAAGTCAATGAAGGCCCATCACAAGGTTCGTCGTCCGCTTCTTCGGGCGATGCTCAGACTCTTACCGACGTCGTTGCATAGACCATCGAGGACCTGAAGACGGAGTTGAAGGGGATCACAGACGTGAGCCGATCGCAGTATGTCTTTGCACCTGTGTCCTGACCCGCGTCTTCTAGTCCCATCGCACGCAGCACGCAGAGTACGAAAAGCTCAAGACACAGTCAAAGCGGTCGGATGACGTAGGTGCTTTCCATCATCGTACACGCCTCGTCTCATGACGTAAATTTCAGCTTGTCGCTGCGATTGAATCCAACCTGACTTGCCAAATATGTATGGAGCTTCTTCTCAAGCCGCACGCGTGAGACTTCCCTCAGTGCTTGCTCAAGTCTTCCCCGGGCTGATACCAGTTCTCTAGACTTTCACCTTGCGGGCACATTCTATGCATGGGATGTCTGTTGGAATGGTTCAAATCCGCACCCCCTGGCGACGACGAGATGCTCGACGAGGCCTACCCTCACGCCCTTCTCTACCGGAAGAAGACGTGTCCTTGTTGCCGTACTGTTGTGCGTAGCAAGCCAGTGCCCTTATATCTAGTCAAATCTCTCGCCTCTGCGCTGGACAAATGGAAGGCTCCGATTGGTACGACGCGCCGGTCGCCTCCTCCCGATGACGAAAACCCCTGGGCAGGCATCTTCCGTGAACCTCACGACCTTGAAGACCACTGGAGTACCGACGAGGACGACGAGGACGAAGACGAAGAAGACGAGGAGGACGGCGAGGAGGAGGACGCGTACGACAACTGGTCAGCGTACGGCACCGACACCGACGAAGAACATTACAACGGACAGTACGTGAGCCCTCGTTGGGCGCCGCCAACGGTACCCGTCACTCCTGCAACATTCCCGTTCTTGGACGACGACGCTGAGGAAATCGCGATGTTGCGACGAGGGGCGACGATGCAGATGATTGAGATCTTCCAGATGTCGTACGACCACGACGCAGGCTTGCTCGCATACATTGAAGGAGGCAACTCGGTCTACCTCGGCTGGAACATTCAACTGCATCCGGACGATGTCACGGGAGAGGAGTACATGGACTGGATCGTATCTGACATGTTCGACCGTCCGGAGCGGTGGCGCGTCGAGCATGATGGCGAGTTCGGCGTCTGGGCCGCTTGGAAGCTGGTGCGTGAGGACGAGGACGAGGAGTTTGAGAACACGGACTCCGAGATGTGGCTGGGCGAAGAGGATGAGGATGAAGACATGTACTAAGGTATTCGCTAGAACTGGACGGATCCAAGACGTGATTGTAATATGCCATGTAACTGTTTTTATGTTCCCTGTGTTGTGTTAGTATGGCCGCCGCTTTCAATAGTCTTTGAGTAATGCACTGTTATAATTGGAGCTACTCTCAATGTCATGGAATACCGGTGGATGTTGCTGTGCAGTCTACCACAAAGGTTAACGTTCGTTGTGCAAATCTTCGGCCGGCCACTTGCACACGCCAGCGTCTCGAAAAGGCAGCTCGTCACACGTAGCACGTGTCGTGACGTAGTGACGTCTGCCCACACTGGGACATGCCGCTCGCCCGCCCAAGCGTCTGCAGTGTCCTCTGCCTTCCTGCCGTACCCGAGGGTCCTCGACCTTTGTGCCCTTGCGGTCTCTCCCCTGGTACGAGACACCGCTCTGCACGTCAATATCTCGCGCAGAATCTCCTTCCCCAACCCCCGGCTTCTATCCGGCTTCCCTTCTCGCTATCACGCCTACCAACGACTTTTAACGACTCTCACGACGTCACTCCCTCTTGCTGTTGTACCTCTATAATCTGTCTTCGCCGCCGGGCCTCTATTCCCTGCTTCTACTGGCGCATCGATAGGCTCTTCATCAAGATGACTATCGCGAATGGTACTTGCCATGCGACTCGCGCGATTGAAGAGAGTCCCCCACTCTTTCAAAATGGGAAGATTATGATCCAAGGTGCGTTTTGATAATCTCAAGCATGATTAGACGATTTCAACGGGATTGCATCTCTTAGCTCACCACGTACGTATGACGCACTCGCTGAAGACCCTTCGCATTGAATCTGCACTCAGATTGGTTGGGCGGTCTGTTCATTGTTCACCTTGATTGCTATCGTCATCTCCTTCTGGCTCATCAACAAGCACACACGCTGGTACACCAACGTATGTTTTCGCCCTGTCCTTACGCTTTCGACCCACTGACATACACCCCAATACACCAGAAACTCGAGCAACGACGTTCGTGTTTCATCTTGACTTGGTGCTTCTGGCTCAACGATTATTGCATGCACCACAGACACCATCCGAATTCTGTTCATGGTCCCCATATATGCGGTCGTCAGCACGGCTTCGTTCTTTTGGTGGGTGAGTAAACCAGGTCTCGTCTGCTCACTCCCTGCAAGCCCGTTGTCTCACCGCGCGACCTCTGCCAGGAACATTCAACACCTCTCCTGCTGATCCGTGATTGCTACGAATCGACCGTTCTCACGTCGTTCTTCTACTTGCTTCTGCTTTACATCTCTCACGATGAGAATGCTCAGAAGGAGGTCTTTCGCAAGGTTGAGACTATCATTCACTTGTCTACTTTGTTGGCTCATCGCCGCTCTCAGAACGGGCCCTCCAAGAAGAACGACAGGGAAAGGCTAAGACAAGGCAAAGAGCTCCAACATTGGGTCTATCCCTTGAACTTCTTGAAGGCAAAGCCTGCGGTGAGTAGGTATAACGCCTTCATTAGCGATAACAAGTGGGCTCATGGACTTGTGTAGGATGGACTCTACTTCCTTCAAATCATGAAGTGGGGAATTCTGCAGTATTGTGTCATTCGGCCTGGGTATGCTTTCGTCTTTGTCTTCAAAGGATCCCCCTCCTCACGAAGCCTGCACAGAACCACGCTTGCTGCTGTTGTCCTCGACTATGTGGGCTTGTACTGTGAAGAGTCATGGAGTCTCGGTTGGGGCCATATTTGGGTACGAGGTTTGATCGACTTTATACTGCTTTTACTGACATGATGCGTAGATCGTTGTTGTGGTTTCGATATCGGTTTCGATTGCCATGTACTGCTTGATCCAGCTGTACATGGTAGTGAAGGTCGAGCTGGCGCCGCAGAAGCCTCTTCTCAAGCTCTTCGCCATCAAAGCAGTCGGTGGGTAGCTGTACGAATGTTTCCCCGTCGCCGCTAATGAGAATTCAGTGTTCTTAACGTTCTGGCAAGCAACGTTCCTGTCGTTACTGACCATGTTTGGAATCGTGAAAGACGTGTGTTTCCAATTTAAGTGCTTCCCATACCATGTCCGCTGATCAGAGCTCTCAGACACCTACCATGACAGCTAATGACATAAATATCGGAATTGGGGCCATCGCTGAGACAACGGAAATGGCGTACGCATCTAGTCTTATCCACGGACAGTGTGCATGGGCTAATACTTCTGCAGTCTGTTCGCGGTATTGCACCTTTGGGCGTTTTCGTACAAGCCCTACTACACTGGCGACAACGGCGGAGAGTCGACCCCACGTTGGCGATCCCTTGGGCATGCCATGAACTTCCAGGAGACTTTCGTGGAGCTGTGGTCCGGCACTGTATACATGTGGTACAGGTACCGTGGCAAGGAGGTCGACGTTCAAGCTCATCGCCAAGTCGCCCTGGAAAACGTATTCGGACGGTCGAGATATGACATTTCCCGCGAAGCGAATGAACCCAAGGTGGCGACTGGAGAGAAGGAGCTCAACGTGTCGGTGATGGTTGAGAAGGAGGTGCGGATTGGTGAAGAGCAACAATGGCTGGGTCTGGGAGACGAGTATAAGTATGGGCTGGGCTATCAGTCGAGGAGACAGCGGGAGCGAAGTGAGGGTCTGGAGTCACAGATTGAGAAAGAGTTATCCCGGCGCGGATACACTCTGCGAGGTGCGTCCGTCGTCTCAACGGTGTTCATCTACACTCCTCACACTATACATCCGTAGGAAACCCTACTACCACATATACTCCCATTATAAACGAAGAAGCCGCCGAAGCTCCCATCACCGGACACCATCACGCTCAGTCATCCTGGTGGCGCCGCTTCTACCCTCGGTTTTCGCAATCTGGCCCTGGTCCAGACAGCGAGGCCTCACCCCAAGGCAGTTTCCCGAACTCCCCCCGCCGCTCGCGTCACCTCTCAAGCTTCATGCCCAATGTTAAAGAACACACGTACGAAGACCCCCCTCCACCATCTGCCATTCGGATGTATCGCGAGAGCAAGCTGAATGGCGGCCCACGGAACTCAAAGCAAAACTCTCAACCTGCTTTCGAACCTTTACTTTTGGCATCCTTCGGCGTTCCACCAGGGGGTCCCCCTGATGCCCATGCACAAAGCCGTCCTACTCAATCACCAAGCCATTACTTGAGACATCCGGTACTCGCTCCTCTTGAGTCGATGGCTTCGTTGTCAACCCCTGCACTTCCGTCACCGAGCATGCAGTCGCTCCAGGCGGATAGTTATCTCGAGCGCGCCTTTGCAGGGTCTATCGACATTGGCTCGTCAGCAGAAGCGCTACTCTCCGGACCATCGTCTCAGGCGCACCACGCTCAGATTAAATTTGGCGGCGTTCCTGAGGTGGCTACTAGGGATAAGATGGTTTTGAAGATACCAGTGCTCGTGGACCCTTCCATCATGATCGCCTCTACCCCAGTCAGCCGTTCAACCACTATGCAGACCATTACGCGTCCCGCTGCCATTGCAGGCCCGTCGTCGCCGGTCCCCCCTCAGCCGCTTGCATTCCGGTCTCAGCCGCCACAATCCCCCCCACTCGCCGGTTCCCCGCCCGGGCGTGCGCCCACCAGCTCCCGACCATCGAGCGACACGCAACAATGGCGACGCTCGTCTCACAAACGGGATTCGGCGCAGTTCTATCCTGAACCTCGCGCGCTCTCGCCTCCTCAGGTTGTCTCACCCGTGATGCAGTCTCCGCCCCAGTCCCCTGGCACCCAGCCGCGCCTGAGCCGATCCAGCGCAGCTTACTCGAGGGGCACGCGGCGAGATTCCAGGGGAGGCGTTCAATACCCGACACCGCCTACCATGCAATACACCCCACCCAGCCGCCCGATGAGTCGATATGTCCCTCGAAGGGATCAGATCGTCCTTCCCGCACCTCTGGCGCCCCAGATGCTTCCGGTTGCTGCTGCCGAGAGCCCTGCTCAAGAACACACCCCTGCGAGATCTCGCGGTTCTCCGCCGCGCGCAGAGCGTAGGAGCCCGCCGTACTCGCCACTGTTCACCAACCCTCCGTCCAAATCCTCGCCATCGAGGTAGTACGACGTAGCATCCATACCCCTACACCCTTGTTATGATTGAGGTCGCGCCTCGCTGTTGTTGTTCTTGATGTCGTCCTCTTGTTGTCGCGCCATACTTGTTGCTGCTGTTGCTCTACTTATAGCCTATTTAGACTGTCTTTTGGTTCCGATTCAGCCGGTACTTTCTTTCACGATCCTGATGACCACACACCCTCCTGATGACTATAATGACCTCACCTGCTCGTGTAGTATAATGACTGTATCATCTTGGCAATCACATCTGACCTGCGTCTCCAACCATTCCCCGGCGCTGGATCCCCAGGTCTGAGCGATATGTGATGATGTCTTGTTCCATCATACGATAAAAGTTTCCAACATGTCCGCTACAGCTCGATCGTGTACCCGCCACCTTCAACCTTCTCAGCTTTGATCCTGAGGGCGGTGCCCTGTAGGCTCTGCCTCCAGACAGCGATGTTCACCGTTTTCAGAGGGCAGGTGGCTTCGAGCAAACTCTGAGCGTGCTTCTTCATATCCACCTCTGTGTTATAGACTTCCAACCCACCCGGGATATACGGCGAATGGCGGGGACTAAAGCTCGGAAGCCTGGCCCTTCCGTTGCGTATTTCTTCGGAGTCGTTTGCAGGAAGATCTGCGTCCCATTTCCCAGAGCCGGGCGTGAAAGAGATATTCAAGGTCCGGAGGGCTGAACACTTTGCCAGTGGTGTCTGCAGCGAGCTCTGTGTCCCACAGACCATCAGTAACACCTCGCGAGGAAAGCTGAGTTCGCTTACTATGAACGCTTCCAAGTCCACGCCTTTGCTCTGCTCCAGGAGGATATCGATATGGAGGATACGCAGGTCGGAGAGGTTGGTGTCTGCGAGACGGGGCGCAAACCCTTGGACGCCTAGCAGGAGCACGGAAGTATTGATGCATAGCGATAGATACTCGGGATGGGAATCGTCCAATGCGGTGGGAAGAAATTGCAGGTTGTGAGAGTGTATGACACGGATGAGCAGTTTCCGTATCCGACAGGGGATTCCGGAGAGGTAGAGGTCCAAGGGGTCGCCGATGAATATCTCGAGCTCCGGCCATGTGCCTTTTGTGAGGTGGTCTGTCCGGTTGAGGCGCCGTTGATCTGCGTATACATCCGCTTGGTGAGGTAGGTAGCCCATCATCCTGCCATCCTCGAATTCAAGCTTCAAGCGTCGCAGGTGAGGATACGTGATGACCCATTGAGCAGTCTGGACAAACCACGAACCCTCTAGGGAGAGGGTGTGCAGACTGGGGTAGACGGGGTATTCAGGGAGGAGACCGATCGCTGCAGTCCAGTATCGTAGATCCAGCTCTTGAAGAGTCTCCCGTGCGTTCTTCAGGAGCATCGCAGGATGCATGCGAGTGTTTTGGTTTGGATCGTTCCAGACGCGGTTTGCATCAAGGAACACGTCTACGTTGTCCAGGGAAATTGTCTCCAGAGACCAACGCATAGCCTCAAGCATTCGACAGGCGTGTTGCCGTCCGTTTCTGACTTCTACGTGCTTCACAGACCGAACGGCGGCGAAAGCGGGGGATAGATTGGGGTGGGCGCTGAGTGTCCGTTCCGCATCCTCGAATGTGATATTCACAAGGTTGGACGCACGGGAAAGAGCAGAGGCCAATTCATCTGAAACATCGGGGCTTATGTCTCCAGACGACGCCATGGTAAGAGTCCTGAGGTACCGCCAACGTCTCTTCTGATGTGGGCGCATGAAGCGGATGAACGAGGTGGTGTCGGAGTCGCGACGAAGGGACACTCCGGGGCCGAGAACATACTTGGCGCAGTCGTGATGAAAGTCGCGAGACACAGGCATGAAGGACATGATGTCTTTCCTGGAGCAGTAAGAGGCTATGATCAGGAGCACGTCGTGGGGGAGGAGGGGGCCCATGGTGTGCGCTGTGCACTGGCGTCGGAATCAGGTGAAACGCACTCAAAAGAGACAAACCAATTGGCATACCTGCTATCTCGGTGTGTATTCCGGCCTCGATAGAAGAGGTATGCGACCAAGAGTGGGATTACAAGACGGGGAGACCAACCAGAACAACGGTGAGTGCCACTGCCGTGACCCGTCAGTATGAGCCTTGAGGGCATCCTTTGGCGTCCATCTAGAAGCGATTAGATTGCAAATGTGGTCCGAATCACGCATTTCGGTCGTCGCGAGTTGCTCCTGACACCAAAGTTGGTCTGCTCCCCTCGTTCTTGGTCCCTTCGCGTCCTCCACCCGCTCCCCTCATCTCTCACGGCCTTCTTCTGAATCGCGATCGCTCCCCGGGTACGCCGCGACACATGAACGTTTGAAAGACCCCCAAGCACGGCGCAGACAGGATGGACTCTGCTGAACGACAACCCTTGCTGCAACGCTCGGCAAATGTCGCTGAGACAGAGGTGTACCCTATACTTCATATGATACGAAGCGTAAGCACCACCATGAATTCATGCGTACTCTATACCCATACCCTTTCGTAGGATGTTATGGTTAGTGTTGGGCTTCCCCAGTCTGTATAGTTGATTGTAACTGGTTCTTCGTCCCCTCATCCAGCGTTTCATCGGTGAGTTATACCTTCAAGACATTGCCCTTCCTCAGCCTCATTGCCCGCAGATACTCCCCTGACACATGAAGCTGTAAGTCTCATCTCACTCGGTGACCTGACGCCCATTCATCGTCACCAATGCGTCATTTTAGCTCACCGCCCCCGACCTCACCTACACCCTCATTCGCCCTCTGCTGGATAAGTATGCCGCCATCCAGAGGCAAGGGAACATGTCCGTCATCTTCTGTCTGCTACTTAGTCGCGTCTACTTCTTCCGCGACCGCCACCTGACGACCACCGCACTTTCGCGCACCCGGGCCGACCTATGCGAGATCCTGGCCATTCGGGCGCTACGCGAACATGCGGACAACGTGCTCGAGCTGGCTCTCGTTCTCACAACAACGTGGTCCGTGTACTCTGGAGCGCCATATGAACTAGTCGAACGTGCTCAGGAAGATTTGGATGATTTTGAAGACCGAGTCGGGAACGCCATCGAAATGGCAATCTTGAGCCAAGCAAAGCGCTTCATCAAGAGTTCGCCATGCCAGAAGGTCATTGACGGCATTTGGAGGTGAGTTATTCCCGTCTACTGCTTGTTCCTATAGCTTATTGGCTTTGCAGTGGCAAGATCGTGTACCAGGCAGAGAGCACTCGTTCAATCCTCTCCGATGTGCGTGTTCCATTTACTTTGGCTGTGCCTTCGCTGATATCTCGGCGCACGAATGCAGACGTATAAAAGGAATCCTATACACTTTTACGACCCGCACAAGGCACCATTGCTGGATCATTATCGGTAAGATTGCGCAAACCACCTGCTTTTGCACGTCTCACTCTTTTTGAAGTCTCAAAGTACCTGCAATCCGTTCAGTCTTGGAATATATGAAGTGAGTCTATCGATGATCATTTCTACGCAATCCCTAACGGATACACCCAGCTTCGTTATCTTGTTCATCCTCTTTGTATGCGCCATCGAGTTCAGCGAGCTAGAGACAATTAATACCCCGGAGATAATTTTCATGGTTTATGCGTTGGGCTTCACATTGGAGAAGGTTGCAGCCATGCAGGAACACGGCATTCGAGGTGCGCTTGTACCGTGTATGCGCCCCGTTCACATACGCTTGCTTACTATGTTTATCTAGTATACTTCAAAGGTACTTGGGTGAGTGTCGATCTGATTGTCCCAGTGGAGGGAAGACTAATGTATGCTCAGAATGGTTTCGATCTCGCTTTCGGTGGGTTTGAACCATACCATTCGTATCGTGTTACTCATGATGCATTCCAGTAACACTTTTCTGCACCTATGCTGCAATGCGGATCCTTGGAGTATATGACAACCGTATGTCGCTTTTATCGTGCATTACAAAATTTGTCAACTAACTTTCTGTTTAGGACACTGGGCACGAGAGACAGGAATCAACTGCTTGGCGTTGATCGCAGTTCTCATGTTTCCGAGGTCAGCGCATTCCTCTTTCCGTATAGATGGTGCATCCTCTGAAGCTGTGTTATAGACTAGCTTTCGTAACTTTCAAAAACAATGTCATGGTGTTGTCCTTGCGAGCAATGATAATCCAGTTCGCTGTTCTCATGGGTATTGCTGCGTTCTGTTTTGGAGGATTCCTCTACGCTCTCTGGACGTAAGCCACCTCCGCTTCCACATTTTCTGACCTGACATGTCTGTTGTACAGGCTCGGAAAAGACAGTGCAGGATATACTGCGGGGTGCGTATGACTTCTTGGATATCGGAGAACTCCGTCCGCTGATATGCGAAGCAGGACTGTAGCATGGTGGATGTTGGATCTGTGGTTTGGTCTTGATGCTAGTGGGTTTGACAACGCTGGTGAATTGAGAGGAAATTTCAATCCTAATTGGCGTGAGCTGATTGAACTCGTCACGCAGCCAAGTTCCATCCGGTGTACGGACCATTCCTCATGATCACATACGCATGTTTGAGCAACACTCTCCTCCTTACTGGTATGTGCTTCATCTTCATAACGTAGTGAGAGTTGCTCAGGCTGAGCTGTGCAGTCCTCGTGTCTATCCTATCGCACACCTTTTCTACGATCAATGACGACGCTGCCGCAGAGGTATGTTTATTATTGGACTCGTTTCCGCCATCTGACTGTGCATTAGGCAATGTTCCGTCGAGCCGTCTCGACCATTGAAGGCGTCAAGGCCGATTCCTTGTTTTCGTATCAGCCTCCCGTCAACCTCGCTGCCTTGTGTGTCATGCTCCCGGCGAGTTACGTCCTAAGTCCCCGTTGGTTTCATAAGGTCGGATTATGGAACGACTTTGTTACGTTTCTATATTCATCACCTCACAGGTCAACGTTTTCATGATCCGGCTCACGAGTTTTCCTATTCTGCTTTGCATTGCCATATATGAGCGACAAGCCAAACGTTCCGGAGCCTTCACGTTCTACGAAACAGTCACTGCAGCGGCAGAGAAGATTTTCGATACATTGCCCCGTCACCTCAAACGACTGAGTGAGTATATTCATCCTCCTGCCAAGGGTGCTCTTTCTTATTGGTCCTCTAGCATTTTTCGAGGGCCTAGGCGGACCTGACGCTGATATTGATGCGGTGCGTTGCAAAAGATCCCCATTGACATTCCTTTCGCTCAATCCCGGTGTCGACATCAGATCTTCGCTCTTGAAGAAGAGATGGAAGACAGTGCACTTGAAATGGAAGAATCCGACGCTGCGACTCCCATCTCCCCCAGCCCTTTGAAGCGTCGTGGATCTGTGGCGTCGCGTCGACATCCCTCTTCTACACATCAACCGCGCCGTCCATCATCATCTTCTCACCTTGCCACGCCTTCAACTCCTCCGATGCCCAAGTCGCCACTCAAGTCGGAGCACCCTGTCCCTGGCACTTCAACGCCTAGGGCCGAATCACCAGCTCTACAAGAAGAACAGGAGACCCAACCTCCCGCTCCCGCTCCAGTCCCTCCTCCTCGTCAGCGTATCAACTCAATTCTCACGCGCGGCTTCGAGGTCGCCCAGGCCGCCGCCAGCCCACTCGCGCAGATCTTCCAACCTCTCGTGGTCGATGACGACATCCTGCCCGAGGAAGACGAAGACGACGAAGACGGCGGGTCCGGGTCGGGTGCGGGGCACGGCCTCAGCGCGTCCCCGCCAGCCTTGAGCTACGGACCCGCGATGCGCAGACGGCTCATGTCGCTGCACGTCGCGCCCACGCAGCCGCGCCGCATCCGCACGTACTCGGTCGCGGGCCACCACGCGCACAGCGCCGGCTATGGGTACGGCGCGACGGGCGCCGACGCTCCCGCACCGCGCAAGTTCCCGACGGCGAGCCCGCCGACGCGGCCGAAGATGATGGGCGCGATTTTGAGCGCCGCGGCGTCGTCGTCGGCGCAGTCGCTCTCGCTGAAGAAGGTCCCGACGAACAGCCCGCCGCGGCGGTCCCAGCTTGGGCTCCTCGCGCAGCAGGCGGCGCTCTCCGGGAGCCCGGCGACTGGGGTTAGCTTCCCGATGGAGTCAGAGGCGTCGCAAGACGGTGGCGAGATCGAGGGGCACGGCGAAGACGGTGAGGACGACATCGAGAGCCACAATCCTCACGAGACCGCTGCACAAGTGGAGGAGCACGGGGTGCCGGAGTCGGTGACATTCAACCAGAGGTTGAGAGGCATTGAGGACAGGCAGAAGAGGATCGAGGAAATGCTCGTCGAGATCGCGATGAACCTGAAGAAGTAACGAGTTCTGGTCCTTGGATGGTAAGGGTTGTTCTGTGGTTTCGGGGCACTGAGACGCCGCATGTGCGCTAGACACGACACATTTTGACCATAATGCATGCATCGTGACTTCACTTTTTACTCCACGCACCCGATCCAGCAAAAGAAGTGTTGGCATACGAAACAGCTTATGTTGGCAGGCGATCACAGGAAACGACGTTTATGGAATCGCTAGATCGCAATCCAGGTACGTAAGGCTATCTATGCGCATTTTGGTTTCCCCGCCTGAGTATCATCGCTTCCAGAGGAGGCAACGACACAACAGGCGGGTACTCGTCCCAAGGACCACGAAGAGGCATGCGCCAGGACCGAAGCCCCTCCCTTGGGAAAAAGTGGTGCCTGTTGACAACCAATGAACGTCAGCCATGGTAATTCGTCATAGTGCGGTCGCTCACCTGTGCTAAATTGAACTTGCTTTGCTAGCAGTCGAGTCGAACTGATCCTCAAATTTTGAACTGCAGCCCGAATGGCCACCGGAAGCCGCCAGCGCGCCGCGGCTTGACAGGAGACTGCTTCATCGTCAGCCCAATTGACGCCAGAGACACCGAAAGGACTCACCCAGCTCCCATCGAACGCGGCCTTGCGCGCCGACAGCCGAACACCACCGAGCCGCCGGTCACCGACCCGCGCCCGCCCGCACTCCTGCCCACACTCACCGCACCGCACGCCCGCTACCCGCACGCTCACGACGCCGTCCGCGCTCACGTCCATGTCCACGACCTCATACTCATCGTCAAGGCCGGCCAGCACCCGACCCACCGCGATCCAATGGCCGGTCTTGCTGCTGATGGCGTCGGTCTTGAGGCTGGGCGAGACGACGCCGCGCGCCGTCCCGACCACCGCACCGTCCCCAGGCCCAGCGGGAGAGACAGCCAACCCACCCCCGAGCCTGAGTCCAAGTCCGGCACGGCAGCCGGGCGCGCACGCGACGCCGCCCGCGGGGGCCCGGCTGGCGATGTCGGCCGGGGTGTCGTTCGGGGCGAGCGGCGCGTCCAAGGACGCCAGGGACGCGGCACGCGTGTCCTCGCCCAGCGTGGCAGCAGGCAGGGGGAGTCTACCCCCCGCCGCGCTCGCCGCGGGTCCGGAGAGCGCACCGGTCGGACCGGGCCCGAGTCCGCACACGCCCGCGGGGTCGAGGGTGAAGCTCGCGTCGAAGTCGGTCGGGATGTCGAGCTTGAGGTCGGCGAGCACGTCGATGGCGGCGTTAAGGACCGAGTCGAGGGACATCGAGGTGTCGGCGGCGCTCGGAGCGAGACCAAAGGCAGAGTCGAGGCTGTCGAGAACGTTGAGGCTCGCGGTGTCGGCGAGCGAGACGAAGTCCATGTCGGCGATGTTGTCGAAAGAGGCGCCGAGGCCGAGGAACACGTAGATGTCGGTGCTCTTGTCGCCGCAGAAGGAGTTGTCCATGTCAATGACGGCCCACGAGCAGTCGTTGTCGATGTTGATGGGGCCGAAGGTGATGTCGCATCGAGGTTGTCGAAGCTGGAGGTGATGTCGGGGAGCACGTAGATGTCGGTGCTCTTGTCGCCTACGAAGGGGTCGTCCTTGTCGAGGGCGATCCACGAGAGGTCGTTGTCGTCGAAGGTGATGTCGCAAAGGTTGTCGAATCCGGCGGTATCGATGTTGAGGCTGTCAGAGATGTCGCCGCTGAAAAGTTCCTCAACCTCGTCGGCCCAGCTGCCAGCAGCCGGACCCTCCCGGGCCTCCTCCTCAACCTCAACCTCAACCCCGACCTCGACCACGGCCGCGCACCTCGCCAGCCGGGCCGACTCCCACATGACATACTGCGCGCGGAGAGTCTCGATCGGGACCTTGGCGTAACCTTCTCCGTTCCAGACGAAGAAAGGCGCACCGAAGGGCGTCGACCAGGAGCCACTGACGAGAGTGCTGCCAGAGAAAGACATGATGGTGTGATATAGCAAGTGCTGTTAAGCGGATGGTAATGGTGGTGCAAGGGAAAGAGCGGGAAGGAACACGAGCTGTGCGGGCGAGGGATTTATACACTCTGTGTCAGGCTGGTTCGCATTACTTGGCGGCTGGCACCGGCACACAGTAGGCTGACATCCGGCAGGACTCTGTTAGGTGTCGAAGTTAAAAATAAGCAGTACGCATAGCCAATATTCTTTGCGCAGGAGTGGTTACAATGCCGAGCGGCCCGGCCGAGCCGCGGTGCAGAGAGGCTGGAGTAAGCGACTGTATGCTGGGACGTCTGGCTTCCATTAACCGGATAGTTCTCTGGTCCACGGTGAAGGAAGCAGGCATATTACCTGAGAAACCGGACGATTTCGACATCAGCCGGCGGCTCACTTGAAATGTCTTTCTAGCTACCCATCCCCTGCTGCCTATGTACGCCTGATCGCGTGTACTTCTGCCAGCGCTTCCTGCGAACTTGAAAGTGTCGTGACGCTCTCCAAGTTCAGGTCCTGCTACTTGTGATCCTCCTCCTCCTCCTCCTCCTCCTCCTCCTCCTCCTCCTCCTCGTCCTCTTCCTCTTCCTCTTCCTCGTCCACTTCCTCCTCCCCCTCGTCCACTTCCACCTCCTCCGCTTCCTCCTCCTCCTCATCCCGGGCTGGTCGCTCGAATGGCACGCCGATATCGATGTGCCGGTCTCGTCGAGGCCATTCCTTTATGGCTGCCTTTACCAGGAGTGTCATGACAGCTGTGTGGCTTTCCAGCAACTGTGCCGCCGACTCCAGCTCCGGTGACATGAGAGGTGCTGACGGAGCGGGCGGAACATTGCTGGCATCGGTTGTCAAGAGGTATTCGAAGCCCTTGATCATCAGGATGCCGGGCGCCACGGGAGCCGTGTTCGAAGTGGTGGCTTTCGCCGAGGATGTTGCGGAGGCGCGCAGACTGGCTTCGTGGACGAGCAAGCGAGCGCGGAACAGTCGGAGGAGTTCGGAGAGGATGTCATCCAGAGGGTGCCCAGGAACTTCCTGCCCGGCATCATCGACGTGATACAGCTTGAGCGGGTCGTGCCCAGTCGTGACAGCGCCTTGTCGGATGCACTTGTCGCGTGTGTCGCTGCACGTCTCGCCGCCGTCCTCATTCTTTTCGCCGTCATAGAAGTACTTTGGCACAAACCGGTCGACGACGGCGGGCTTCCAGCTGCTGGCCATGTATACGACGACCATGAAGACCAAGACGTGAAAGAACGACTCGAGCTCGTCGGCCACCTCGATCGGTCTCATCGCGTCCATCTGACACAGCATGGACATGAACGGCCACGTGCCCTGTGCGACGTCAGCAAAGGCAGCGCAAAGCACGACTGAGAGAGTTGGTGCTCACCGTTCGCGTGGGCTGCATAGCAACGTGCACGTCCTCACTTTTCGCCATTTCCCAATCCGCTAGGACCCCACGCCCCCTAATTTGCGACTTCCCTTCCTCGACAGACTCGAACCGCGGCCTAATGAGGATGTTGCCAACACTGACGTCCCGGTGGAGCAGCTTGTGTTTCGACTTGTAGGCTTGCTCGTGGGCTGCAAACCTGTGAGCTTAACTGCCACGCGAAGCGATTAGGACTCAAGTACTAACCAGAGATGGCGTAGAGTATGATCAGTATGAGCTCCAGTCCATTACGGAACATCCTCAACGGGAGGCATATCTCAGCGACCACCATGCGGACGTGCCGTAGATGCCGCACCCCGGAGAGGTCCTCCGGCGATGTAGCAGCTGTAAGAGAAGCAGCGCCACTTGACGCCAAACGTGACGCAATATCGACGGAGACCTGCGAGGACGATGGAGGGGTGAACTGGTGAGGCGGGTCGCTAACCAGCGCGGAGCCAATTCGACTGTCCGTTGCACGAGATCGAGGCGTTGGCGTGTGGGTCGCCAGAGGATTGGACGAGTCGGGAGGCGGGGCGGGGTTCGTGACGCCCGCGATCGAGGACAAGAACGTGACGTGCCCCTCGTACGCCTGCGCGGCGATAAGCGTGGGGACGCCCGCGACTTGGGCCTCGTTGAGATTCCTGAGGGTGACATGTTCGGGGTCCACTCCGACATAGTGGGGCTGCCACGCGTCCTTGACGAACACGAGACTCTGCGTGTGCCACTCGATCGCGGGCCATCCGCGCGTCCCCCGCCCGAACGGTTCGTGCGTGCGGACCAGGGCGTTGCCAACGAGATAGCGCTTGCCCTCGATCTTGAGCACGTATCGCGACGCGTTCTTTGCGAGCGACTTTGCGAACAGCTCGCGGATGTACTTGAAGGTGCGCCGTGGAGCCGACCACACCTTCTCAGCCTTTTCATCCATCTTCGCGTGCGGATCTTCGAACTTGCCCCCCTTGGCAAAGCCTGTACAATCGCCCCATCTGTCGAGAAAGTCGGAACGGATGTCGGAGGTGTTGTAGACCGCAGTGTCATTCTCGTCGATATCAGTCAATAGATCTTTGGAGTCTCCCGTTCCGGCGACCCAGTCCATACGGGCCCACCCGCATGACTTTGGAGAGAGACGCTCTGCACTGGGGTCGAGGCCGGCATCTTTGGACGACAGCGCCGACAGGTCCGCGAGGAGGGAGAGAAACTCTTTGGTATCCCCCTTGGTGGTAAGGTAGGACTTCGCGTGGCTGACAATGAGGCCGGACTTGTCCCAGTGCAGAAGTCGGTACTTGGAGCCGTTGACGAACAGCATGAAAAGGTGGGTTCGATGCTGCGCATAGAGGAGGCAATCCGCGTATGTGTAGAGCTGGCCACGGACATCGCTACGCTTCTGCGAGTCCTCTTTATTCCTTGAGTCTTTAATGAACGGGTCAAGTGCCTTATCGCCATTTTTGAACTCGACGAGGAAGCGCGAATAATGCCAATTGGGAACGCCGGGGAGGAGAAAATCCTTGTCATCGTCGTGGAAAAAGCCGCCGTCGATTTTGGACCCAGTCACCTCTCCCTCGTCGGCCTTAGTCTCGGAGAGGTGAAGAGTGTGACCGAGGCAGAGATGATGCACCTTGTCGAGCTCCTTCTTGACGCAGAGCCTGGATGAAGCACCAGCAGAGAGGACAAACAAACAGCGCGACGTACCCATTCGTGGCTGAGCTTTGCTTCGTTACACTTTTCGCGTTTTTTGAACAGGCGTTGGAGCCGACTTCGGATTTTGGGGACAATTCTGTCTAACCGTGCACGATCTTGCGCGGTATGAACAAGGCGCCTAGGGGTTCCGAGGTTGTAGAAGTCCTCGAGCTCGATCATCTTGGTGCAGTTCGGCCGGCGGTCGAGCATCTCTGCACGCCGTGGCTTGCTAGGCGGGAAGGTGCCAAGGAGGTTGCTGGTCCCTCGAGCCTGCGGCAATGAAAGCTTGCCAGATGCCACTCCTTCGGGGAGGTTGCTCTTGCTGCGACTGGCGTTTTGAATCCGACTTCGGCGTGTGAGAGAGCGAGAGCGCGGTAGTGTGGCCGAAGCGGCCTGTTGCACTAAAGAGCTCATGAGCGCGACGGGCGCGACGGCGGCGCGACACTGGTGTTGGGGGGAAGAGAGTGCACTCACGACTTCACGTCGAGCAATCACTCAAATCACCGATAATCGGGACCCTTTGTCACGAGATGAGTGCGCCAATGGTCGAGCCAGTGAGAGACAGAGCACGCGAGAAACAGAAGCGTGCGTCCGAGTCCCGGAAACCGAATGTCTGTCATTGTCAACCAAGTGCCAGCACCGTGGCGCTGTTCCGGCGCTTGCCCTGCGCCCCGCGCCGCCCCTTCCCGGTACTCAAGTACTCAATGTTCAACGTTCAAACGTTCAACCTCCGCGTCAGGCGCCGGAAATCTCGCCTGTTCCTTGGCCCAGGGCAAACTCATTTGCTTGGTACGGACAGAGAACCATGCTTAGTCTTGTAGCAGCACACAGGATGACTGAGATGGCAAATTATGCACTAGTACGTGTAAGTGATTCATTCAGCCTGGAACTGCCATGGCTCGCGGCTATTGCGAATTTGCAGTGCTATAGCCAACAAGACAACGTGGTCGCCGCAGCTCGAGTCAGTGGAAAATTGAAGCGCTTGGGCAGAGCGTGAACATTGACGACAGCGACCGCGTCACCCCAGCCTCCTCGATCACGTTCCGAAAAACCAGCATGAGAGTGCCGCCCGAAGCCGTGAGGTGGTACGCCGCACTGCGGCTCTCCGCGAAGGTGAGCGCGAACGCGCGGAGGCCGTTGACTTTCGGAAAAGGGGTGAAACCGGCCCAAGTGCAGGTGGCGCCCATGGCAGTGACGAGCTCCGCGCGGCTAGTAGGGTACTTGCCGCGCCCCTCTGCGGTTCAGGGTGGAGTGGACCGGAGGCCGGTTGCCTTGTCGTGGAGGTTGTAAAGGGAGATAGCGACGTTCCAGAAGCAGGCAAACATCGCCGCAGCACCGTCGAACGAGTTCTAGAGGGGATCTAGTTGTCGGATTTTGGGGGAGCATGGATTCGCACTAGCCTACAAAATAGCCGGAGCTTAGCGGACTCGCCTTTGGAACCATGTCCGCGCGATCGAAGCGTACTGTTGAAACGAACTGGTCGGACTGGTCAGATGGCCGAATAGATTATAGAGCCTTGACAAACCATCACGCCGCGAGCTCCGTGGAGAACAAACTTTGCCGTCAGACAACGATGACGTGCGAGGTTATGGAGTCGGAGGAGGATACCGGGGCGACTGCTATAATGATGTGCTCATCACGGAGGTACACGCTGCTGACGTTGGTGGACTTTGAAGATAACCGGACGCTTGGGGTTCCATGGCTTAGGCTCGAACGGGAGCAAACCATCGTACTCGAGTGTTCAGCAGGGGCGTATGCCAGACTGATAAATCCATTGTTTCATCCAAATAATACACGACGTCGTGGGCTTCATTTCCCCTCTCGCGAGAACCGGCGCACAGCAGATCTAGGGGTATACCTGTGTCAAATAACTTAGACCGGCCATGAGAGCGAGCGGACGGTCGTGATCCAAGCCGTGCCGGCGTCGGGGTACTGCCAGGTCATCACACCGCCAGCTGCACAAGTCCATTGTCAGCGAGCGCCCAAGCGGGGGAACAAGGACGTGGTGCGTACTCCAACCCTTGTTCTTGGCCTGCTGGACGCAGGTGGCGAGCGTCGAGGGGGCGATGTACCCGTTGTTCGCGTCGCCGGTCGTCGCGGGCTTGCCGATCACGAGCTTCTCCATCGGGACGCCGTTCGCGGCGATCTGGAGGAGCGCGGTCTGGGGCCATGTCGAGGAAGAGGCGGTGATCAGGCCTGAGCAGGTGGTGTATTCGGAAGCGCCCTCTGCGAGCGGAGAAAGTGAGCACATGTGGTGGATGCGCTGATGTGGGACTCACGGTTGTAAAATTGGATGTTGTACTGCGTGCAAGGGATCAGTCAGCGGTGCAAAGCTGGAGGTCGCAGGGAAAGCGAGCACACGCACCCAATCAATCAGGTTGCCGACCGCCGAGTGCACCTTGAGGTATCCGCCGCCCGGGTAAGACGAAGGTGTGAACCTGAGTACGGGCGTCGCATCAGATCGAGACCAAGGCTGCTCCCAGACAGGATCCGGATCTCACCAGGGAGCGACCGCTGCAGATGGCACGTCATGCGCATCAGTATCACCTTGCGACCGAGAATCCTTGATCTCAGGGGACTCACGAGCATGGGTCACGATGTACTGTCCGACCGGCAGCTGCTTGCGGAGCGCGGTTGTGAAGGTGATGAGCCACGCCTCGGCAGAGCCGCCGTCCATGGCGTTGAAGTCCTGCAAGTGCGAGCACAATCGGAGACCCGTTCGTCACCCAAAGTTCGAGCCGAGGCACGCACCTCGTAGTCGATGTCGACGCCATCGAGGCCGTACTGGATCACCCAGGAGCTAAGCGAGTTCGCGAGCGTGGTGGGGTTGTAGTTCGAGGTCGTCGGCACGTCGGTCGAGCCGAATGCGAAAACCATGAGTTTGATGCCCGCGGCGGCATACTGACTCTTGATCGATGCGCGGTCCGTGGCGGAAAGAGTCGTCCACTCGTAAGCTTTGTCCCAGGCGCCCTCGACGAGCCAGAAGGAAAGCAAGCTGTGGAGAGGAACCTTGAATGGAAACTACATGGGAAATGTACATGAGAATGTCTTACAAGACATTGAAGCCCTAATGACAAGACTCGGAACGTCAGTACTAGAGAGCTGTGGCGGAGGCATCAATATCACCTTGATCGCGGAGACGGCGGGAGGACCAGTGACCCCAGACTGGTACTTGTCCGCATAGGCAACGAAGTGAGGGGCAGCTTGCGTCGCGCGAGCTTCGAGAGCACGCTCCACGGGCGTGAATTCCGATAGGAGATCGCGTGCCCTGGGAGACAGGCCTTCGACCACCCCGTAGGGGATAGCCGTGACACTGCTCATTTGGAGCACGAGGTAGAACGTTACGAGCCCGAAAAAGCGGCGGAGGGGGGTGGCAAACATGGTGCGCCGACTCTGTGCGAGGACGGAGGCGAGGAGGAGGTCCGAGGAGGGGGTCCTTCGGGAGGATTCCCCGTAGTAGAAGAGGGCGGTTATATACCACAGGGCGAGGAAAACCGCTTGAAATTTCGACAAGGCGCGCTAGACACTGAACATGCGCTATCGGGTCCACATTTCCATATCCCAGCGTATGAGTGAGGTATCCGGAGGCTGGGGGTGCCGGAAATGGGTACAGCGTGAACCTTCATGCTCACAGTCTTGCACTGGGCAGAGGCGATACGAGGTACCATATGGACAGGCAAACCATGTCAATTCTTTGATAGGTGGGCGGGTCGAGGTGTCGTGTGGATGGCGGAACGGAGGATCTTTTGCCCAATCGGCAGGGCAAGCAAGTAAGAGCACGGGTTCGTCTTGTGCACCAGAAGGCGGCTGGCCATGTGTGCACATAGCAGGTCTGAGCGCTGATGGCTCGTCCGTCAGCTTCGCCCGAACGCGCGCTGGTCCGCCCAGGTTGGGCAACTGCGGTCTGAAGGGTCGTATCGGGTGGGAAAGTTTGTAGAACATGCCTAGGCGACCCAAGTCCCGAGAAGGGCGCTGCGATAGTGATAGCAGCTGCCCAAAGGAATCAGGGTCAGGATACGGGAAGAAATCCATCAGTCTGACGTACCCTCGAGCAAGAATAGTATCCAAAAGGGGCGAGGGCACTGAGACCGGGCACGCTCACTTTGAAGGCCTATATGAGCACGCCCGAGACACACGTTTTAGACGTTATGAAGAGGATTGATGTCCTGCTCCACCGCCGATAAGCAGCACCGTTCACGGTGTTCTGGCCTCGGAGCTTGTATGTGGCTTCAGCAAGTGCAGAAGCGAGTGTGTAGGAGGCCGAATGGGGTCCGGTGTTTCGGGTGATGAGTACATGCGCTCGTATGGCGATCATGAGGCGGAGAGTCGTCTGAGAGCGGATGATTGAGGGCTTCGCAAGTTCTACGCAATCGTTCCGCATGGACGAGTCGTCCGCGTGGTCGGAGGTGGTTGGGAACAAGCAGGATCAGCGTCTCCGTCGTCCGAGCCCCGACGCCGATAACGCGTCCGGCCACGTGGCTATCAACCTTCCACCCGTGCCGCCCAGTGTGCAGTCGGCTTCAACGGGTCCTTGGCACTGAGCACTGAACACTAACCTTCCCCGGGGTAACGGGCACCGTAAACGCGGCAGAACAAACCCAATGTAGATATATGATTCCCAACACGACTAGTAATACAACATACCCCGGCTCCAGCCAGGGCATAATCTGGGCATAATACAACAGGCCTTGGTCTCGAGCCCATATATCTCCCAGTGAGAACACGCGGGTGGATCCCAATAATAGCACACAGCTCTAAAGCCCTCGGATATCTTTGTGTCTCCAGCGTCGCCCCAATTACTCGGGGAACGCTGAGACCGGACCGTCTTGATCCACGACGCCGCCGCGTCGGGGAACTGCCAAGTCCCGGCGGGTCAGCCTCTGTATCACCTGAGCAGGACTCGCTCACGCACCTCCCAACCATAGCGCCGGCGTCTGAGGTCGCAAGGCGGGCGGCGGAGAGCGCGAGTACCGTGAGCTGTGATCAGCGCCTGGATGCAGAGGAAGGCAAGGAGTCGAAACGCACCCCACCCCTTCGCCTTGGCCTGCGCGAGGCAGCCGGCGAGCGTCGAGGGATCGATGAACCCGCTGCTCGCGTCGCCGGACGAAAGCCCGGGCTTGCCGATGACGAGCTTGTCGAGCGGCACGCCCGCCGCCGCGATCTCGAACACGGACGACTTGGGCCAGCTCCCGCCAGAGGTGTTCAGCAGGCTGGTGCACGTCGTGTACTCGGTCGAACCCTCTGCCGGCAGCAGTCGGCGTCAGCTCCCGAGTCGATTGCAACGAAGGTTTGCCAAGGGCCACTCACGGTTGTAGAACTTCGGGACGTAAGGCCGGCCGTACAGCGGGGCCGCGGTGGGCGCCATTTAGCGAGGATCGCTCGTGCGGGAGCAGGACGGCTGCACGTACCTGAACGTTGTACTGCGGCGTGCTCTGTGAGCTTCGCGGGGCAGGTAGAGCGGAAGGAACGGACGCACCCAGTCAATCAGGCTTCCCACGGTCTTATCCACCGTCAGGTAGGCCCCGGCGGAGAACAGGCTGTTCACGGAGAACCTGATGGAAAGAAGTGCCCCGTTAATGAACGCGGGTGAATGCCCGCCCGCGGCGAGATGCGCACCAGGGAGCGACAGCTGCGAGATGCCGATCTATGAGCACAAACTCTTCGAGCATTCAATCGAAGCACTCACGTGCGTGCGAGAGGATGAACTGGCCCTGGGGGAGCTGGGTGCGCAGCTGGCGCGTGAAAGTGGCGAGCCACGCCTCGGCCTTGCCGTCCCCGGCGTCCATCGCGTTGAAGTCCTGCGCCCGAGAACAGATTGCGGTCAGTCAGTCCGCGCGAAGCCCGACCTGGGGCCGGCCGAGGAGACGCGCACCTCGTAGTCGACGTCGAGGCCGTCGAGGCCGAACTCCTTGACCCACGCGGCCATCGTGTTTGCCGTCGAGGTCGGGTCTGCGCCGATCGACGTCGGCGCGTCCGTCGAGCCGAAGACGGACACGATAAGGCTCACGCCCGCGGCCTCGTACTCGGCCTTGATCGACGAGCGCTGGGCGGCGGTGAGCTGGGCGGACCACTCGACCGCCTTATCCGCAGGGCCGGAGATGAGCAGGAAGGAGAGCGCGCTGGGGAGGGCACGTGTGAGCACCGCCGGGAACGCGGGGGCCCCGACTCCCGTGACTTACAAGACGTTGAAGCCCTATAACGTGTTTTCCAGGCGCATCAGCGATGCGCGGACGGAGATGGACGGAGAGGACACGCACCTGGATTTCGGACACAGGCGGGGGCCCCGTCAGGCCGGACACGAACTTGTCGCTGTAGACGACAAAGCGAGTGTCGGGGATCGCGCGCTTGGTGACGGCGGTGGGCGCGTCGCGCGCCTTGAGCGCGCAGTAGGGCGCGGACCGCGCGCCGTGGAAGAAGAGGACGGAGGAGAGAACGAACAGCCACGAGAGCGCGAACATGCTAGGCGGAGTGGTGGGGTTCGTTGACTGGGGGCCGGAACGGGGCTCGTCGACTGTTTTGAGGCGTGGCGGGCGGTTGCCGTGTTGCTGAAACAACGTGTTCTCGCTTGTCTTTATATCCTCTTTCCGCGGTGCGCTGGCTGTGGAAGTAGGCCTCGATGTGGATGCAGACGCAGACAAGTGGGTCGTCCCGTGTGTGCCACAATCCCGTAGCCTGCTCCCCATTCGCCCGCCGACACTTCTCGCGTCGAACGAGCTGATGCACCACGAGGACGCGAAGTGGGCGCGCTGGACCATGCGGTCGCCCTGCGCGAACGCGAACGGCATCCGAAGGCGGGACGCGCGGGCTCGCCGTTCGCGCGCCCGGCGCCAATTCGATAACCCTGCGCCGGCGAACGACGAGCCACGAAGGGGTGCAAATCTTCTATAAATTCCCATCGTGTCCGCGCGGTTGCGTTGGAAAGAGCGCGGCTGCTGGATAGGGTGCGGCGGGAGAAGCAGACGCGTGGACACCAAGCCGCGCGACCTCGCAGTTGCCGTACGTGCAACTTGAAGTCTGCTAGCCTCAGAGGCGGTCGATATCGTCGCGCGCGACTCCGTGGCGCCGCGTTCAATTTCGATTGGGGTGGTGGTGCTTGCCACGGTCCAGGGCGTCGAGGCTTCTGCCGTGCCCGCCGTGCCCGCAGCGCCCCAGCTACGAACACAGAAAGCGGATACCATCAGCTGCCCCGGCGCAGGCGAGAAGCACTCACCGGGCCCATGTGCAGGTGGAGCGGCGTCGACACTCGCCCCCGCCGCGCGCCGCGGCGCACAAAAGCGGGCGCGGGGCAGACTGGGCAGGCCGTCGACGGGTACAGTCGCGTGTCCCCCGATAACTCTACGGTCGCGCGCGGTTGCCTGGGGGGTGCGGAGGACTATCGTGCGCGAAGCCCCGTCATGCGCCGCGAAGGCGAAGGAGGCGTCGGTGGTGGTGGTCAGTGCGGAAGATGCGACGACGGCCCGGGGCCAGAACCGCCTGGTAGTGGTGATACGCCGGGCGCCACGTATGTTAGGGTTGACCGGTCGCCGGGCTCCGGGCCTCGATACTCAACGCCGCGCAACCCACTTCGCGAAATTTTTGTGCAGCGCACGAAGCGGGGTCGGGAGACGGCGCGCTAGAGATGCGAGTGCATAACGACTTGATTGCAAAGATGCTGAGTGCAGCCGATAGCAAGGAGAGTCGGACTACTGCGACGTACATGGAGGGGCGACGTGTGTGCTGTGAGAGGGAGGGATAGAGCTAGGGGGATGGCACGAGGAAAGTGTAGTACCGGGTGAGGACAAATGCGACATAAGATTAGGAGAGTGCGTATGCGCACTGTCATGATATGCGATAAGAAGGGTCCACTGAGCCGCGTCCTGTGAGAGAGCAAAGACAGTGGTGCGTGAAGGTGTCAAGAAGTCTCTGATGTACATAGTAGGAGGGGAGGATATCATGCCGCGAATGGTGGAAGATGCTACAGACGGAAGATGCAAATGGAGATGGAGAACGCAGGAAGAGCAGCGCACGCATGGCCCGCGCAGTACGGGCGTGCGACGGTGCTCACTGCACCGTGCACCCGCCGCTCTCGCGCTGCCGCCGCTTGTTGGCGCCCCCAGGCATGGGGTCGACGACCGAGTCGCGCTCCGTCTCCGCGCCCGACAGCGCCGACACGGCAGAGAAAGACGTCATGCGCGACAGCCGATCCGACTTGTCCCCCCCGGAGACCCGCGGGCGCTGCTGGCTCGAGGCGATGCTCTCCGTGGCGGTCACCGCGGAGCGCACGCTCGACGAGTTCGGGTTCGTGCTGTTGCTCGAGATCGACGGCGGCCGAGCCAAGCGGTCCGCCGTCGGGTCGCTCGCCTTCCCCTTCCTGTGAAGGACGGAGGACTTGCGCGAGAGCTGCTTCGTGGGGGTCGGCAGCTGTGACGTCGAGCCGTTCTCCTGGTCGGCCGGGAGAGACGACTTGGAACGCTTGAACGCCGTGAGGACACGGAAGGAGGTCGGAGGGTGAAGGCTGTTCCCTGCGCCGCCGGCGCTGGGTTGGATCGAGTCCATGCTGGTCCGACGCGAGTACCCGTCGTCGGACGTCTGGCTGGTAGGGCTTGTGGGCGCTTGGACGGCCGCGGTGAGGATCTCCATCGGAGAGTACGGGTTGTTCGGGTTGCCGGCCTCTGCGTACTGCGCATACAAGAGGAGCTGGGCGCGGAGGTCGCACGTCGGCGGCGCGTTGTTCGAGCAGCGCGAGTGGCAGATGAGGCTGCACTGTTCGCACAGCACCGCGCTCTTCTTGACGTTCTGGAGACACACCCTGCAAATGACCGCTGGTCGCGAAGTGAGCCACGCGCGAACGTCGATCCGGGAGCCCCGAACCACTTCACGTACGTTTTCCGAACGTCGTCTTCACGAACGAGTGCTCTCGCGGCGAGAACGATTCCCCGCTGTTGGACATCCGCGGGCGTCCGGGCGTCGACTGGACCGAGGGCGAAGGCAATTCGAACGACGTGCGACGGTCGGCAGGTGCGGGATCGGACACCTGCTTCTCGATGTCGGCGAGGTAGCGGATCACCTTGGACTTCTGCATGTCGGCGCTGACCCGGCGCAGGAACGGAATGCTGTCCTGCCGCCGGAACACCTGGAGATGCTGCAGACCAAAGTCAGGCACACGGCCACCGAGCCCAACCGACGCCACGGACCTTGTGCGCAGCCGAGTGCGACATGAGCCACTCGTGCTCGAACAGCTGCTCCGCGCTCGGGCGTTTCGTCGGATCCTTGTTGAAACACCACTTCAGGAACTCTTGGAGGCTCTCGGAACACTCCTCGGGCAGGGGCGGGCACTCGTCCTCGACGATGCGGAACATGACTACAGCAGAGGGCTCAGCGTGCCGTTTCGGGCGAGCCGTCCCAAAAACCCGCACTCACCCGACATGCTGTTCGCAATGTCCGCGTACGGCGGGCGCCCGGTGAGGAGCTCGATGACCGTGCACGCCAGGGACCAGATGTCGGCCTTGGTGCTCGCGCCCTTGAGCTCGATGACCTCGGGCGCCATCCAGTTCGGGGTGCCGGCGACGTCCTTCATCTCGCGTTCCATCGCGCGCAGGTTGAGCGAGACGCCAAAGTCCGAGAGCTTCACGTTGCCGGTCTTGGTCGTGAGGATGTTCGCCGCCTTGAGGTCGCAGTGGACGACGTCGTTCTGGTGGAGGTAGTGGAGGCCCTCGAGGATCTTGACGACGTAGTTGGCGACGAGCCGCTCGTTGAGCTTCCCGAACGCCTTCAGGGTCTGCCCGAGCGAGCCGTTCTCCGCGTACCTGCAAGAGAGCAAAGTTAGATCCACAGCACCCTTATCGCCGCCGAACACTCGCGACGGGAGACGCACTCGAGGACGATGCTCAGGGAGTCGTCGTCGCGCGCCATGCCCTCGTACTTGACGATGCTAGGGTGCGACAGGCTTTTGACGAGGTCGACCTCCTTCATGAGCTGCGCGATCTCCTCCTCCTTCAGCCCTTCGAGGCGGATCCGCTTCACGGCGACCATCTGGCCCGTGTTGAGGTTGAGCGCCCTGTACACCGCGCCGAACTGCCCGCGGCCGATGCAGTTCCCGAGTTGCTGCGGATACGATACATGTCAGTGCCTGAAACCACGGGCGCGGGCGCAAAATGGAGCGAGGACAGCGTGGACAGAAGGCACCACGAAAGAGAACGGAGGAGGGAGGAGGGATGGGGGGTGGACGAAGATATAAGGCGCGGCGAGACAAGGGAAACGGGCACTCACGAACTGCGTCGGCGCCTTGCCGTCCTCGCGGACGATCAGCGTCTGCCGCACGGCGCTGCCGTCGTACGAGTCGCGGGACATGAGGTCGCTCGCGCTCGCGTTGCTGCTCGACGCGACGCCGAGGTTGACCATGCTCTCGAAGCGCGACCGGCGCGGCGGCTTCGCGCCGTACTCGTCGAACGAGTTCGGCCGCGGCTTCCGGCGCGCGCTCGCCGCATCGACCTCGCTCTGGAAGCGGCCGCGGGGGAGCCGCGGGCGGTCGGGCGCGCTCGAGGGCGACGCGGGGTCGAGGTCTCTCGCGTCGTCGGGCGACGAGGAGGTGGGGAAGACGAGCGCGCCGGTGGGCGCGGAGTGCTCGCCGGACACGGTGCGCGGGAAGGGGACCGGGCTGTCGCTGCCCTCGGGGGAGACGGAGCCCTCCTGGCGGGGGATGTAGATCCCGTTGCGGTTGCTCGGCGCCTTGGAGGAGCTGCGGCGGAGGATGATTCGCCGAGGGGGCGAGCCGCTCGCGTCAGGGCTCGAGTCGCGTCGCAGGATGGACTCCTTGGGCAGGAGGCCCCCGCCGGCTGCGTCGACGGAGTGCCGTGCGCGGTGCGTTGGCCGGCGCTGGAACTGCGGGAGCGACTCGACGCTTTCGTTCGGCTGCCGTGCGGGCGGCGCGAGCTTGCTGCGCGGGGGTGAGACCGAGAGGGGCGTGTAGGGGGTGTGGACGGACGCGTTGAGCGACTCGTCGTCGTCCCAAAGGGAGGACTTGGGCGTTTGGAAGGAGTCCAGGCCGATGAAGTCGTCGGGCCACTTGCCCTTGCCGAGCTTTATAGGGATGGGCTGCCGGCTTGACGGCGTCCGCGACTTGTCCCCCTCCGACTTATCTGACCGGGACTTACTCGTCGCGCTGTCCTCCGTCTCCTCCACCACCCTCGTCAGATCCACCACTGCGGTCTCACTCGGTCGCCGCTCACGCGAGGGCCTTGATGGTGAGTCGATGCTTCGTCTCAGGCCGTCGTCCTTCAGCGACGGGGCGATGGAGCTGCCGTCCGCACGAGAGAGCGAGTCGGAGAGTGCAAAGGATGTCGCATCGGTGTTGATGGTACGAATGGTGCCGAACCGAGTCTGGCTGCTCGGGCTCCGCGGTGGATGGGGATCGAGGAGGCTCGAGAACGCGGTCGAGTACACAGTGGAGTCGGTGAGGTTGCTCGACGCCTGGGACTGGCGCATCGGCGGAGGGAGATCAAGGGTGTCCACGAGAGGCCCGACGACAGAGTCGCCCATAGAAGCACGTGTGGAGTCGGCGATGGAGACGCGTTCCGCAACGGGGCGGACCCGAAGGGGGGATCGTGGGGGCACGGCCGGTGGCGCCTCGTCCTGGTCGCCTGCCTTGGCAGCTTTGCGGTTTGGCGGGCCGCCGAAGACGTCGTCGTCGTTGGCCGTCCTTCCGTCACTGACGTCTTCGTTCGGACTGTCGGACCGAACGGTGGGGAGATGGTGATGAGGACTCCAGCGTTTGCGAGAGGTGGGGGAGGTGGGGCCGGACGGGGACACGGAGCGTTGAAGCGGGGACATGTTCAGGTTGGGAGTGGACGCGGCTGCGCGGCCGTTCTGCCCATAAGGGCTGTTCCCAGGGCGTGAACCACCACCTCCGAGGAGGATCTTGCTCTTGTCTGCGCCAGGGAACTCCGCCAAACGGGACAATGCGAGGATCGACCGGGCCACACGCGCAAGACACTCACTGTTCGCCTCGATGAGATCGTCGCGGTGGAAGAGCTCGTCCGACGCCAGCCCCACCGACGAGGACCCTGCCAAAAATTTCGTAACATTTGACGTACGCACGAACCCGTCCTCGCGCTTGTCCACTCGATGGATCGTACCCGGAAACAACTTGTTGACACACCTGCCAGGGGCGACCACAAGTCAGTCCAGCATGGGTGTGGTGAAACAATAGGACACGCACTGGCAAAGGACGTAGCCATCTCGCAGCGCTTCCGCAAACAGCCTCCGCTCTTTCTCCTCGCCTCCCGAAGCTAGTGCGCCATTGAGGCCTGCCATGTTGACCTGGGACGTGCTCGCCATCGCGCCTGTTCGGTTCCAGATCCTCTCGAGCCGCGCAAGCGCCCGTAACCGCGCCTCGACCTCCTCCCAGTCCTTGGGGTCCAGACTGTTCTTGTGGGCCGAAGAGGGAGGTTTGAGCATCTCTTTGCAGAGGAACGACGTCGCGGAGCGTATAAGCTCGCGGTGCTCCGGGTTGGCGGGCGTCGCGAGCGACGTCGAGGAGGCATTGTAGAGGCGGGTGTGGTTGAAGCTCGGCGAGAAGCTGCGCTGGTTCGGGGACACCGCGCGGGCGCGGGCAGGGGTGGCAGGTGAGGCCGCGCGGGAATTGGTCGCGGGTGATGCGGAACGGTTCCCTGACGGCGGGCGTCCAATGACGGCCGTCGACCACTGTTCCCCGTCGGGGTGGATGTTAGAGGGAGATGAGAGGACGAAGACGCCGAGGGGATAGGCCGGTGCGAGATTGAGGTCCGCGAAGGGGAGCGCGGCTGGATCGGGCTTGCACGAGGATTGTTCGCAGACGCAGGAGGGGCCCCGTAGCCGAGCGGAAGATGGCTGGCACTCGCCGCGGCGCGTCGCTGGCTCATGCCCAACCCTCGTGGGGACGGTGAGCCCGGGTCGGGCGTTCGTGCCGCATCCCTCGATCGTCGGGTCGGTGTTTCTGGCGGGGGAGAGCGGGGGGTGTTGGGGGTGGAAGGAACGGTGGGGGCCGGGGCGAGGGTGAGTGGGGGAGGTCGTTTGGGAGTTCGCTCGCTGTCTCGGTGGGGTGAGGACGCTCCGACTCGTCGAGGGGCCAGCGGGGTCGGACCACTGATGTCCCTCGGACTCACGACAGGTTGGACGCTCGCCCTTCGTGAACGGTCGCGAGGGGGCGATACGAGCGCGGCGACATTGGATGTCGAGCCGCTGGGCAGCGCGAAGGGCTGGGTGAAGGAGGAGAGGATGGGCTGTGCGGACAGGTGCAGCGTGGGGGAGGACATGGAGGCCTGGCGCAACGAGGGCGTCAAGAAGCTCGTATGGCCAGCGACTCGGACTTTGTCCCGGTCGCGGTCCTTCGCGCCACGCCCGGCGGCGCCGTCTTCACTCGTTCGAGGGAGGGGGGGCAGGGCGGGAGAGGGCGACGAGACATCTCGACCGGTTCGGCGGAAAGGAACTTTAGATAGCATCCTCGATTTGGCCTTGTCCTTCTCCTTGGGGCCATCGTCCTCGGACGCCCTTCCCTTGCCCTTTACCGTACTCTGCGAGAGCAGGCCCGTCTCGTCGACGCTCACGGGAGCTTTCGCCTTGGACTTTGTCGGCATCCGAAGGCTCTGTTCCAGGGACGATCGGAGCCGGCTAAATGTCTTCGGTTGGGCCTCCGTCGATTGAAGGCGCGAGGAAGACGCCGTCGGCACGGACGCCTTTTGGGAAGGCATGCCGTGCGTGTTGGAGAAGGTGACGTTCAGCTTGGCGACCGCGGCCGTCATGCGAGAGAGCGCGTGGTGGGCGTCGGAGGTGAAGGGAGGGTTGGCCGACACTCAGAACGGCGCTGGACGCGTATGGATGATGTGAGCAAATCTCGCGCGCGTCGAAGAGCATTGACGGAACTCACTCCAAATCTGCGGACACAAGGGGGAGACTTGCAGGACTGGATGTGACGGGGTGGAATGAGCATGGGAACAGGCGTAGAAACGCGGAGAAACGCGGGAAAGACGGTGAAGGATATGGCAAGGAGTATCTTACCCCGGATGCCGCTGGGCTGGAAAGTAGCAATTGAGACGCGGAGAAGGTGGCCCGGAGGGTGAGCTCGGGTGGATTGGGGCGAGGTCAGGCCACGGGCGTAAACATGCAAGTCAGCAGGTCCGCGGGTACAGAAGCTCGGGCGGCGTGAAGGCGTGATAGAACGGGGCTGAGTGGTCGAGACGGTGTGGGCCAGGGCGTGGAAGACGGGGCGGAACGGGGTGCGGAAGAGAGCAACGGAGGTACGGGGCGGCGGCCGGAGTCTGCGCGGGCAGGAGGAGAAGGTCGGGGGCTCGGAAGGAGGAAGACGAGCGGCGAAAGGAGCGCGTCGCCGGTCGTCGTTGGTGGCGGGGGCAAGAGCGAGCCGGGAACGTCGCGGACGGAGCCTGGGTCGGAGGCCCGCGCGAGCGCCCAGAAGGACCAATATAAGGACTCTCCATCGGGATTAGGCGCCCCCGCCCGCACGCTCTGATTTTCCCTCACACTCTGTTGGCTCGACGCAGCGCGCGCCGAGTTCCGCAACGCGTCGCAACTCTGTGCCCGCGAAAGGCCCGCCGCTGTATGCGCGAGCGGTGGATGGCTCGCGGGGGCCCCTGGGCAGAGATGAAACGCAGCGAGCGCGCCCTCTCGGAGTTGGGAAGTCGCGGCTCCGGGCGCGAGGATGGCCGATGACATGGACAGCTGCCTGGACGAGCAGGCACGAGTACGGCGGGCGTCGTTGCCGGCCGGGTGTGGGTGGTTGCGCGCGCTGGAGGCTCTGGAGGAGACGATGACGTCCTGCCTCGTTCTCCGATGACGCGCAGTGGCCGTAGCGTGAGCGGCGCGAAGCCACTGACAAGCGTGGACGCAGCGGCACTGCCGTACGTCGGTCTCCTCCGCGGTGGTGGCGGATCGACCAGACGACGGGGCGCGCCCCGCGCACGCCGTCCCGCCATGACCGCCGTCAGCGGGCTGAGCGAGCAGCCAGAGCCCCCAGGTGCGGCGGGCGCGGAGAGAGGTGCGGCCGCTGCGAACGTGCATCTCGGACCGCGCGCGAGCCTGGGGGAGCGTGCGGTTCTCCCGAGGAGTGCATTCTCGGACATCAGAGCGCCCGTATGTTCGGTGCCTCCCAGGGCAGGAGCGAGCCGGCGCACCGGGTAGCGTGCCGACTTAGCCATATGCATCCACCACGTGTATCCGATCGAGCTGCCCCGGCGCCACCGACGCAACAATGTCCGTCAGGCCGAACACGCCAGCTGCCAACCGTCCGCCTGCGCCTCTCGCACGCACCCCCACCCGCAGCCCCACCCGCCGTAATCCTGGCTGCGCCCGCCCGCGCGCCGACCCCCGGGGACGCAGGCCGACTGTCGTGGTCAAGAGAACGGTGATGGAAATCACTCTATCAGCACATGTACCAACCGTCTCCGGACGTCTGCCGGTCTGCGCCGAGCCCGCCGTCTCCTCGGAGAACTTCCAGCGCGGGCTAATAGGCCAGAGCGGTTGCCATACACCGAGATCGTTAGCCATCATCGCCCGCCGCCCTCCGCCGCCTCAGAGTCACAAGCCTGGACTTCCCGGCTCCCACCATCACTTTCCGCTCCATACACACGCGCAGGGCCTGAAATCTTCCAGCTGCCTTCGCGGGTGGCCATGGAAAACATACCGCCGGCTCGCAGAGATCAATCTCAATCTACGATCCGCAGGCTCCTCTCATTCGTCCAATCCACTGATCGTCGTTTGCTTTGTCCCTCGTCTCTGTCGACCACCTTACACAACCTCGCCCTACTGCACTTGTTAGCTGAGCATTCGCTAAGATCATCCAGCACAGTCACCAGACAGAGAAATGATGGATGGCCGAGGCACACACAGTTGGAGATTTGTTGAAACACGAGCACGGCCGGTGGCTATGACGTGGATTAGGGCTTTCGACGATCGAGCGGGGAGCGGCGGATGCGCCACAACACCTCGTACAAACAGCTGGATTGGATACTACGCCGTGATACGCGTTTCATTCGCCAAAACATACGGGACGAGGCAAATACTGCACCAGGCCATCAACGGGCGTAGTACGTCAGTTGCAGCGTCATAGGTCTGGGTTCTCGTACGCCGGGCATGCCGATTCGAATTCCGGGACCTCACATCAGGCTGCCTGTGCCGTTCGAGGACTGCGCCAATATCAAGAGACGTCAGGATATCAGGTTCTGCATTTCCGATGGCCCAGGATGACTAGGACTCTCGCACGCGTGGGTCCGGAATGTGCTGAAATCGACACCCCACCAACTTCCTGGAACCGGGCTTTTCGGCTGCGTCGGATTGAGAAGCCGCCGTGAGTTTGCAGAGGGTTAACGACGCCCGCTAAGTATGTAGACGCAGTAAATCGGTTATCGCCACTGGTTCCGCAACGGTGTGGGAGCAAAAAGAAGAACGGACGTGTGCTTGTCCCAGGTAAGACGGTTCTGAACATCATGCAAGGCCGCGAACGGATCCGGGCGTACACAGGCATGGAAGAACGTGTCAACTCATGTTGACACGATACGGAGGCGCAACGAGGTCTGCGTGTGAGATCCAGACTCGCTTGCCGATTGCCGAACTGCTTCGACGCTGCTCAGCGAGCTCGCGTACGATCGTTACCACAGTGCGGTTGAAGGAACGAACTCCCCGATCTCATAAACATGGCCGAGGGGAGACTACCGTGAATCTAAGTGGTGGTGCTTGTGGCTATCAGCGTAAGCAGAATGTGCCGTTATCCGACTAGAACGCACCTCAACGGCTCCAGGCCAGGGCGGCGAGACATGCCGTCTGAAGCCAAGCAGATGGTCTGACAGAGACCATGGAGCCAACGATGGCGCTCTCAACGGCGATACGGTGCGCGGATGTGGGCAAAAGGACACGAAAGCCACGGTGATATACACGTGCGGTCTGTTCGAAGCCTCGTTGTTCTGCTGAGAGACTCCATCAGCGAGGCCTGCCAAGATAAGCGGGGAATCGACGCACATGTGCGGGCCCACGGGCCGCTGCGAAGCCTGTATGATGCGCCTCATGCGCTGCTGAACTGGTCTCGGGTGGTGTTGTGGACCCGGGGCCGAGCACAAAGTTCATGCGGAGGGGAGAGTCACAATCGCAATGCATAAGATGACCACGAGTGACTTCACGAGGCCGCAGCAGCGTCTTCCTTATATGGGCCTGGAGGTCTGTGCGCGGCGGATGCCGGCCGGAGTTCTAAAGGCGCCACGAGGGGATGCGCAATCTTCTCGCCCAGCTGCCCCTCAACTCGACCACGATGCCGCCAGCAACCCGTTCCCGCCAGCAGGGTACTTCAGCACAAGCAACACCGCGAGCATCGTCCGATCCTGCCAGCGATGAGAAGGAAAACTCTCAAAGCACGAGAGCACGAGCCACTAAGAAGGGGGCAAGGCTTACTGCCTGTGCAAGCAGCCCGATGACGGATCTCCCATGATCCACTGCTCCAAATGCAAGGATTGGTGCGTAAGCTTCATCGCCTCGTCTCCAGTGCTAACGACGGTGTGGCAGGTTTCACTTCAAATGTGTGGCTTTGAGCGAAAGAGACGCGGAGGATGTCCGTAAGTCGATTCCATGATTCATGTCACGCAAGCTAACGCCCCTCACCTTCGCCTTCAGAACTGTTCGTGTGCCCTTCGTGCCACGAAAAGACCGGTGCCCGGACGATCAGTGAGTGTTCACCTCTTCTCTGCGCCTTGACCTCCACCCCTTGCTCGCACGACCTTGCTGCTCCGCCTACTATGTACTCCGCTGCAATATCATTGTAGTACTATGTCCCTCTGTCGCACACCTGGCCCCCGTCCTACCGTCCCTCGAACGTCACTCGACAGTGGCTTTTGCGATACATTGGCGCGATAATGCAACGACTGGTGCTGTTGGATGCCGCACGAATGGGTAGAGCTAGTAGCCGTAGTCCCTCCACGTGCGCACGACCGTCGATAATGAATGCAAGCCATCGTTGCGGGCTGCGGTCGAGTGAACGCTGTGAGGGGCGGGTGTAGTTGCGGTGGTTGTGGGGTGTACTGGGACGTTCTACGGAGCGGAGGCACATCCGGATACGGCGTTTGGGCACGAGCGCGCGGAACGACGGCGAGTCAGGCGTGACGGCGGCTGGGTGGATGGTTGGGAGAACGTGGGACGCGTTGGACGCTGGGGCATGCAGTTCTGTTGTTTCGTTCGTTTTTTTCTCCTTGCATGCTTTCCTTCTCGGTGTTCTTGGTGGTGCAGGTGCTGAACGCTCGTTTGCAGAAGAATGGGAGGGCCCGGACCCTGCGCAAGAGGTGCACGAAGACCGGCGCATGACACGAGCCTCCGTGGCGAAGGGCAAGCAAAACGCCGCCGTGCGGCAGCCAAGATGGAGGAAGAGCCGGCGCACGACGAGGGCGTGGAAACAGCCCCCAGCGCAGCCCATGCCGAGCACGCCCCCGATGCGTCCGCAAAAGGGCACGAGCCCAACGAGGGCCCACCCCGCGCGACGAGCCCGCGGCGGACGCGCACGGCGAGCGCGAGGTCCGCCGCCGCGAAGCAGGAGTCGCCGGCACCGGCACCCAGCAGCAGCGGCACCGCGACGCAGGGGAAGCGCAAGACGTCGATGTCGGCGCAGGCGTTGCCTCCGCCCAAACGGCCCCGCTCGGAGTCGGTCGCGGGGGAGGACCCGGCGCGCAAGTACTGCCTCTCGAAGCTGCAGGAGCTCTTCTGCGAGATCTTCAGCAAGTACCCGTTCTTCGAAGCCGCGCCGGAAGAGGAGGAGGTCCCGAGCTCGCTGCTGCGGCCGCAGAAGACGCGGGAGGAGCTCAGCGAGGAGGAGAAGGCGGCGTTGACGGCAAAGGCGCAGCAGTTCGGCGTGGAGCTCGAGCAGTGCATGTACGAGCTCTACTCGGAGCCCGACAAGAGCGGGAAGCTGACCGTCGCGGGCAAGTACAAGTGAGTGGCTCGTCCAGCACACAGGCCCGAGACCGACTGACGTTCCGTGTCGCAGGGAACGCTTCCGGATGCTCACGTTCAACCTCGGCAAGGCCGACCGCGTCGTGCTCCATGTGCGGATCGCGGCTTCGCGACTCACGCCGAAGGTCCTGGCGACGATGTCCTCGACGGACCTCGCGTCGGAGGAAGAGAAGCAGTCGATCAAGAAGCTCGAGCAGGAGGCGCTCGCGCACTCGATCCTCAAGAAGAGCGTCGTCCCCCGCGCCAAGATCACGCACAAGGGCCTCCAGGACATCGAGGACGTCACCGGCGCCGGCCGGCGCGAGGTCGAGCGCGAGCGCGAAGACGAGGAGGAGGAGCGCATCGAGCGCGAGAAGCGCGAGCGGCTCCGGCTGCAGGCCCAGCGCGCCCAGAGCCAGGGCTCCGCCCCGCCCGAGAGCCCCGTCGTGCCCAACACGCCGACGTCGGCCACCGCGCCGGCGGAGTGGGGCGCGCCCCCGCCCGTGCCCGCGCACGCGCACGCGCGGCCGCTGTTCGTGCCGTCCGCGTCCGACTTTGGCGGGGGCCACGGCGCGGGACCCGCCGCCGGCGAGCACGAGCTCAACCTTGCGGACCTGATCAACATCGACGAGGACGCGTCGGGCGAGGTGGCGATGACGCCCGTCTCGGAGGCGCTCCCGACGTCCGTCGCGGAGGACGCACCGCCGCTCGGGTCGCAGGGCGCGCCGGGGTCGTCGCAGGCGCACGCTCCGCTGGAGGCTGGCAAGCCCCTGGGCGTGCGGACCGCGCAGCTGTCGCCGTTCGTGGCCAAGGGCACGCAGCCGGGCTTCGATCTGAACGCGCTTTGGACCCCGACCGAGGGCGGGGCGAAGGAGCAGCAGGTGAAGGAGGACGAAAGGATGGAGGTGGACGAGAGGGTGGAGACCGTGCTGGAAGGCGGGGGCGAGGAAGCAGCGGACCAAGACTTTGACATGTTCCTCGGCAACGAGAAGGAACAGGAACAACCACCGAAGGAGCTGACGCCGGAGGAAAAACGCGTCGCGTTCGATGCACAAACCGCCGTGTGGGAGGGTGCGGTAAGTCGTGTTGTGTTTTTACATGAGGCAAAGCAGGGCTGATGTGCTTCTACAGATTTCTATGCCCTTGGATTCGGAGATTCATCAAGACGCCACCGTCATAGCCCGTCCAACGGGTGGCCGTATTCTGTCGGGCGATTCATCGCTGTGGTCCATGCTCTTTCCTGCGAAGGAGTTGAGAATTGATGGACGCGTCATGATTGAGAGGTCTGCTCAATATCTCAAGCAGGTCCGCCTGAACCCGTCGAAGGAGCTCGTCGCGGTCGCTTTCTCGTCCGCTCCTGGATCAGACCCTGCGGGCTTCTATGCACTCAGAGATCATCTGCTTTCGAAAGGGTGAGAGGTATTCCTTTGCCCACGTAATTCATTACTGACCCATATTGACAGACGGCATGGCCTTGTCTTCCCTTGGGGACACAACCCAAAGTCGAGCGCACCCGGCCGCGAACTCTATATCATCCCCCTGCTGGCGACAGAACCGATCCCAGAGTATATGGAGCTTCTCGATCGTCTGCGGCTGCCCGGCGAACGGACTGTAGACTACCTCATCGGCATCTGGGTTCTCACCAAGGGCAAACTTGTTGCGCCTCCTCCACAGCCGCAGCCGCAGCCGCAACCTCAACCTTTGCCTTTGCCGGAGCCTCTGCCAGAGGCTCAGCCTTTACACCAGTCTCCGCCTCCTCCTCAGACCCACACACCGCCTGAAACCGCCGTGCCCTCCATACCCAACATCGACTTCGCCCGTCTTCAGCAGCTAGGCCTCCTCTCCCTCCCTTCCACGCTCCCCCCGATCCCTCCCCTCTCCCAGTCCCAGTCGCACTCACACTCCCAGTCTTCCCACTCATCGCACTCCCACAGTCCCCCGCACCTCGAGCAGCCCCCGGCACCCGGTGTGCACCCTCTCGCTCCGCCTCCCACGGGCGCTAACCTCGCCTCAGAGATCGCGTCGCTCACCTCCGAGCAGGTCCAGCACATGCTCGCGTCGCTCGCCAAGGCCGCCCCGTCCGCGCTCCCGCCCTCGATCGGCGCGCTGCCGGGCATGCAGCCGCACGCTCCCGAGCTCCCGCACCAGCACCAGCACCAGTATCCGCATCAGCAACACCCCGGCCAGTGGGGCCAGCAACACCAGCAGCCCCAGCACCAGTACCCCGCGTACGGGCAGCAGCAGCAGCAGCAGCAGCCGTACGGCCCAGACGGCTACAACGTGCACAACGGCGGGGGCACCGGCCCTCCGCCCGACTACGGCTACGACCGCCCGTACGACGGCGGCTTCCCGCGCGGCCGCGGCCGACGGGGCCGTGGCGGCGAGCGCGGACGCGGGCAGTGGCAGAAGGGGTCGAGGGGGCGGGGTGGCCCGCCGCCCGCGGGCCCGCGGAACCGCAATCCGAGCGGGAACGGCGGCGGCTGGGGCGGGGACCCTCAGCAGCGGCCGTGGAACTGAGTCACAGCTTTGGGGCTCGAGGTTCCGCCTTCTCGCGTCTATCTTCCCGTTTGATCTTTACCTGCTTTTACGAGTTCCGCTACTGTATCATAGGTATTGGCGAGCGCAGAGGCTCGATGTATTTGTACTGACAGCATGGAAGTTTGCCCGGCTTACCTACGTATCGTCCATGTCATCGTGACTGGCGAGTAATGGTCATCGTCTGATTCACTTCGAATGCCTTCGAACTCTTAGGTGGACGGATTCGAATTCTTCGAATAGGTATACACAGGATGGAGCCACCGAGGGCTCAAGATTAAGTAGCCCAAACCTTCGACCAAGAGAAAGCAAGTTGGCATGCCACCGCATATCTGCGGAGGCTTGGCTCCTGACAAATGTTCCAATGTACGATCTATGCGGGAACTTCGCTCGGGCGACGCTTTAGCCGTTGGCGGTGCGGCGGCTTCGCAGGCTCCTACCCAGCCGTTGGTTCGAGTTACGTGCCCCCGAGGCTGAGCGTGCCCCGCGCCTCAGGTGGCGCGGCAGGCCCTGCAGCGGCGGGTGGTATTTTATTCCTTCTATTCACTGCGTGAACGGCGTTGGAGGACAGTACCTGTTTAGTTGAGGTTAGAGGACTCGCCCGCCTAGCTTGAACCTTTCCGTACTTATCCAGAACTAGCCTCCAAGGGTTAGCTGGCTGTAGTTAGGTCGTGCCACCACTTGGTTGTGCACTTAGACTCAGTAGAGCCATGTCAGGTTATCACGTATCACAAGAGGTATCACGAGGCAAGCTAGATCTTGTAGCCCACCACGAGCAAGCTCCGGTTATACGCTACCTATTCCTAGCTTGGACACGTCTTGGTTGCTAACTCCACGTGTGCTAGTGAGGCAGCCATGCACATGGTATGCAGCCAAAATTCTCTCAACGCATTAACGTTATTATCACTACAGTACTATATGAAACAAAGTATGCTATGAGAGGATCAAAGGCGCAGTTCGAGGGAGCACGGGGGCGCGCCAGACTCGCGGAAGAAAGTGTTGACGTAGAACGACGCCATGTCCTTCTCAATAGCAAGGATTTCGTCTTCTCGCATGGCGCGACCGAACTGGCTGCGAATATGGTCGGGGCAGTGCGGCCAACGCGAGACGACACGGCGCAGCGCTTCCATAGCAGATGCTCGCCATCGTGGAACCGGATGGGTGAGACGGGGATGTTCACGTGGCAGCTCTGGGACGGTATAGATTGACCCGCCAAAAACGCGCGATAGGAGCTCATCCGTTCTTCTTCATCGTGATTCCCTCCCAGATGGGCCGTATAACTGATCTAGAGCGAGCAATCGCATCGGAAGCCGAGTTCGCACATCCCCAGATGAGGAGGGAGCGGAGGTGTGTCTTGATGTACGTGAGATCGTAGCCGAACCAGCGCACATCTTCCGAGGAGGTCGAATCGTGTCGGAGGAGTTAAAGACATCCCGAAGACCTCGAGGATCTCGCTTGCCGTTGCGCGTTGCGGGTGTTCTCAGTCGGGCTTAGACGCCCAGTTGACCCAAACAGGATGTTCCGCCATCAGGTCGTTGGGATGGAGGATGCGGAGGATGGGGGGCTCGGAGGAAGTAGAGCCACGAGGGACGGATCGAAGCCAGTTGATGAGGTGCTCTCCCCTTCTCTCCTCCGTCGTGGCGCGCAGCAGCATCGCGGGCTCGGGTATCCAGTACCCCCAGGCACGTCGTGGAGCTTGCTGAGAGAGGTCCGTGGTCGACAGGGCATGCGCTCGTGAATGTATCTTGGAATTTATCAGCGCCGAGGATAGATGACGGCTCTGAGTGATACGGTAACCAGATATTGGGGTAGAACTTACTGGGCTTCCCATTCGCTTCCCAGCCTTCATTTTGGTAGTTCGCGTGGGGCCGGTTTTAGAGCCCCAAGCACTGAGGAGGTCGGACGAGGGGCCCAGGTTCACGGTGCCTTTTTTGTAGGCCCGTTGGGTTTCCGGAGGAGAATACCCCGAATGGGCGTTCACCGCAAGGAGGGGCGCACGGGAAACGTCTTCGTACGTGTGACCACCGCGGGCCGTAGCGTGGAGGTGGTTGGGGCCAGCGATACCGTGGTACAGGGCATATTCGACTGGATGGTCTACTACGAGATTGACCGGCGGTGGTGTGAGCTCGACCACAGCGTGGATGTTAATGGTCGGAAGGATGGATGTGTCGGATCGCATGTACTGACGGGAATTCCAGCATCATAGAGTCGCTGGACTACCCCGGGATCGCTGGAGAAAGCCCCCATCAACGTAGTGTGCGTGTTCCGGGTATAGGTGTCTTGAAGGGGTAGATACGCATCGTGATAGTCGAGGAAAGTCCGTGCCATGAGCCAATAACGCCGGGTCGCCCGGACTTGGATGAGCGTGTCAGAAAACGTGCAGGGGAACGTTCGTAGTCGATCGCGAGCATGGCGCATCGCGATCTCGAGCCAGAAGAGTCTCCGCTCCTTCTTGAGAGGATGTACCGATATCTCGTTCGTCGACTGACACACTGAGAGCGTGTATGGAGGACGCATGGAGAAAACCCAGACACTTGAAGAGCGAGCCAAGGATTAGTGCGAAGTCGACGTCTCTGATGGGCGTCCACCAGACAGAGGAGACGATGATTGCGGGGAACCGACCGCCGGATGGCGCACATGTAATCGAAGTCTGGAGTGCTTAGTTGGGGCCATTGAATGGGATCAGCGAGTCCGTACCCGTCCATCGGGATAGGCCTGAACATCGAGGGTGCCGACAGGCGGGTCGGGCACATAGTCCATGTTGGGCGAGGTCAGGACGTATATACTTCTCATCCCTGGTGCGTGAGGCGGAGAGGACGTTGTGCCATTCCAAAGGAACTGTCCCACTGTGAATACACGCAGAGAAGGTGTATAAGAAATAATACACATACCGCAATATTCCTCTGCACATCTAGACCTTGCATCCCACCCGTCCCGCTCCGGTTGAGCTGTCAGTGTAGATGAGACCGAGTGTCCAACTATGAGACGTCGCTGGATGTGGCAATGAACGAGGTCGGAGTGCTGGAAAAGGAGGTATGACGAATATGTAGCTGTGGACGTGGCCGAGTTGGATGAAGATGAGGCTTGAAACTCGAAGACCCAGGGTGCGGTGCGGTCGGGGTCGGGGGTAAGTGCGCGTGGATTAGCGCTGATTTTGGCATTGGTGGGCCGATCTTCACGTGCGTCTGTCGACTTCGGCCCGCGGTTTTCTTGCAGACACACATTTGCATCCTAACACCCCGCACATACATATTGAGCGACGGCCAAAGGTAGTATGTACATATCTAATACGAAAGGTTTTCCCGCCAGGCCCACGCTCTCATACGGAACCTTCTCCGCCTCCGCGGCAAGGTGGCCGCCCAAGCACCGAAGCATAAACCACGCCGAGTTTCGTCTCCACGCACTACTCGAGCAACAGCGGGCTGTTCGACATGTCCTTTCAGAACTCGAAAATCGCTGCCCGCAGCACAAACGTGGTCATCCCCCCTGTAGCACCACCTTCACGACGTCTGTGCAGACACTCCCCTGCTCGCGCAGCATCACCATGGGCTGGTCTCCGAGCTAACCCCCGCTCTCCAGCGCATATGCGGTTGCGGCGCAATTATCGACACATACCCCACCGAGGTCAACGACGCGGAGGCCGCCTACGTCGATGCCCAAAATATCCAGCTGGTGGACTACGACTTCGGCACGGCGATGCAAGCGGCCATCCAGGCGGAACAGGGCGGTGGTGCGTGCCAATGCGGCTTCTGGGGACATCTAACTAGGACCTGGCTCGCTGGTAAGCTGCGTTTCTGACACATGTTCATCACCGGCCAGCTCATATGCATCTTAGGACTAGTTCAATTCTTGCTCCTTCCCTCACATCCCACATCCGCCCCCTCAATGACTGCACGTTCATCTCACTTGAAATGCGCTCATTGAAACCGTTAACGTCCATATATAGAGGGCACTGACCCATGACCTATTACCATGCCACGCCGGTCACTGCGTGCTCGGTTACATGCAAGACCACATGAAAAAAACGGCGCCGCCTTGCGAGTCAAGCCCGAAACACCGGTTTGGCCCATCAATTCAACGTCCAGCATCCTCGTCCGCGAAACCTCCAATGCCCGCGCCTTCAGGCTACCCTGTATCCCACATACCAGGCCCACAGCGCCTGCCGCGCCGCCAGGCGCGGGGCGCGCTCAGCGTCGGGGCACGTAACTCGAACCGACGGCTGGGTAGGAGCCTGGCGGTTCGTAGTCTCGTTGTGTTCCGGCCCTTTCATTCCCGGGTAGGAAGCTATGGAGCGGTGCGGATGATTGTGGCTCTACGTCATCGCGTTACGTCTCGTTGCGGTGGGCAAAATCACAGGCTTGGGAAGCTTGGGCCGTTATGAAACCAGGCTCTACGCGCCCTTTCCCTTCAGCCTCGAACCACTTCATCGCCACCCTCTCGCCTCGAACCGCTTTGTTGCGTCCCTCTAGCCTCGAGCCACTTCGCCGCCCCCTTCTCGCCCAACCACTTCGCCGCCCCTCTCGCCTCCGCTATGGATGTTCATGGTGAGTGCTGCCACATGGTCTGGAGTCTGCTACATCCTAATTGCATTGCTTAGGCCCTCCAATTCTATTCACCGATGAGGAGCTAAATGATGCAGGGTTGAAAGGCGAAAGTAAGATTCACTTACGATGCGCGCTCCTATTCCTTACCAACGATGCCTCTGATAGATCTGTCATCTATCACGAAAGATGCCTGGGCTTGGATGAGGGAGTCGCCCAGCATCTTGCGTACGTCTCATTGTTATCTCTTCACTCTTCTGTTCTCCTAAATCAATTCCCAATTCAGCCCCCAGCTTGTTTATATTGCAATGTGCCGAGCACCTGGGAAAGGAGAGCAGCGTCTCTCCTTCACCCTCCTCCTCTTCGGGACCTTCAACGACGCGACGGCTTCATCACTTGCCTCCGAGCCCACGACCTCCGCCCCCTATGCTGTGTCGACCTACGAAAAATTCACTTTCTACTATGGCATTGCGGGCAACAGCGACCACCCCAACCTACTTTATCGCTCAGATTACAAGGCCAACCCCTTCCGCCTACCCCAAGGCCGTTTTGCCACGCCTCCCGCTAAGAGAGTCACGGACGTCTACGGCACTTCCATCACCAAAGCCTGGAGGAAGATCGCTCGCGGCATCACATCCATTCTCAAAGCCAATGGCGTCTCCTCTGGTACCGTCGATGCGGCTCGTTTCGTCGTCTCCGGAGAAGATGGTGTCGAGAGGATCGGCCCTCCTGTGATCTGGATATCAGTTATTCCTGGCTCCTTCGACAACGCTCGTGCCCACATTGCCACCCAGCCCATGCTGGCTCTTCTCAGGCAGTGTGGAGCTGGGGATGCTGTTGTCCAATGGCGGGAGGCTATTAATGCAAGGCGTCCGGTCCAGGTTTTATGTCCGATGTCGCGACCCATAACCCCACCGCTCATGTGCGCCATCCATTCACCTCCACCCTCAACATCCCGCTCACGACCAAGGAGAGGCAGGAGGATGACTTCGAGGGCAGCCTCACGCTCTATTTCCACGAGGACGTTGACCAGGTCGCCTCCGCTGTCCTGGGTGTCTCGTGCTCTCACGTCCTCAGGATCAACACCCTGGAGGATTATCGGCTTGGCGGCCCCGGTGCACCCAGGAAGTATGTCCGCTGTGCCGGCTTGCGTCAGTTCCAGCGGTCTCTCGACCACGTCAAGACCCTCGTCGGCCACTGTGTGGTCCGGATAGGCAACCACAAGCGCGATATTACGCGGCTGGAGGCGATCAACTCCAGGGATGCGGAAGAGGAGAAGGAGCTGAAGGAGGCCCAACGCAGCATGGGGAAAGACACCGAGTCGATCTCGGAACTTGAAAAGTTCTACAACGAGTTGAAGACTCGGTGGAGCGACGCCAGCGATCGCGACATTGGGTTTCTCCGTATCGCCAAAGCCCTCACCGTTGGCGCCATTGGAGACCGGGGAGACGTGGAGGACGTGGAATCCGTGGAGGCCGCGGGATATACAGAGGACTGGGGAGCCTTCGAACTGCTCGATGGGAAGTACAGGAAGGAGTTTAAGGGTACCGTCGTCGACCTAGGTATGTTTGTGATTATCGTTTTTGTGCTCAATCTATCATTGAACCGAGTGATTTAGGTACCAAAGTTCCTATTGAGGACGTCGCACAAAAGTTCTCCACACAAGAGAATACTCCCACACCCTTCATATACCCCTCCCGCCGTCTGTATGAAATTGACAGTGCTGCATCTCCGGAGCTCCTTGACAACCCCGACACGGTGGACAACGACAGCAAGCCCTGTCTCATCGTCGGCAAGGATGGTACAACGACCGGGCTTACCTTTGGCAGGTATTCGGGCCTTGAATCGGTCGTCTTTGATTCAAACGTCGAGTCGTGGGAGCTAGCCATCTACAACTGGAGCAAGGGCTCGCCCTCATTCTGCAGTGCAGGTGACTCTGGAGCCCTCATCTGGGATGGGAAGCACCGCGCCGTTGGTCAACTCCACTCCCATGGCGTCAAGTCTTGCTCCAACAACGCCGCCCATGTCACTTACGCGACCCCTGCGTGGTGGCTCATACAGCGTATCAAGAAGGAGTTTCCTAACGCTGGTTTCTTCCACAAGACCTGGCATATCTGAAGTCAATGCCGTCGCCGACTTCTGACTCTGTCGTCGTAGTCAGTGCTAGCATTCTGGAAGTGTTCGTGTTGTATGATCCGTCCTCGTCGATAGAGAAATCATACATTTGTTTCTTCATTTGGTGTGGTTTGAAGTCTTTTCGGTCGTAGGGGACTGCGACTACAGATCATAATTACCTGGTGACTTATCGGAAGCTGCGGATGGTCTCCATGGGAATCCTACTTTTATACACGTACAGCAAGGGTGGTCTCAAGAAGTCAAGGAACAGATGTCCAACATGCATTGGGTACTCGCCCCTATCCGCACCCGCAACGCGCGCCCGCGCTGGCGCGGGACCTGGTCCCCTTCATCCCTACATGGCTTACGCGGTGTCGGTGGCCTTCGCGGCGAAGTGGAGCGTCCAGCTCGAGAGCAGACGGTGGGCGTTGACGGATTGTCCGTCCAACCTGTTATAGATGTGAGCCTTAGGGACAATGGGAGGAGAGCAGACACATACCCTGGTGTGCCGTATGTCAACGGCGCCATGTAGATGAACATAATGAACAGAATGACCGTGAACAGCCCGACGACAATAGGGCCGCGGGTGCCGACATCTGCGTAGGTGCGAGCCTTGGGCGTGCGCAGGCGGGGTCCCCAGATGGAGATGGGATAGTTCACGGTCTCGGAGAGCGCGAACGAAAGCACGGAGCCGGCGACGAGGGCTGACATGACGTGCGAGGGGAGGTAGTGGTGCAGGAAGAGCTGACGGCTCATCAGGAAGAAGGGGAAGTAGTGAACGCCCCAGAAGAGGACGAAGAAACCCGTCGAGTTGATGAGACGATGGCGCACAGCTGCACAAACAAATTAGCCACGGCATCGCAAGAAAGGGTGTTACTACTCACGATCCGACAGAGGTTGAATATCGCGACGACGAGCGATCATGTCTGCAAGCATAATCCCGGTGTAGAGGGAAAGGCCGATGACACACGACCACCAACCAACGAGGTTGCCAACGAAGTAAATCTGCTTCTGGCCCTCAGATTTGGTCCAGAAACTGATACCGCTAATGAGGAATGGCCAGTTGATAGGACCACTGGCGTAGGGGTGGGACGCTGTAAGGCCAGCGTTGTGTTGCAACATGAGGATCTGCAATTCAACGAATTTTTTGATGAAGCTCATCGACTTGGGGTTCTTCGCCGGTACGTCGTCGGTGCGACCCTTCATATCCTCGCCGGCTATGGCAGATCAGTCACTTTCCTCAGTTTACGTGTTGATGGACAGTGCTCACTTTCGTCTGCGACAATGCCGTCGACGAACCAGATAGCCGTCTTGTCATTGAGATTCTTGTTGCCGTTGATCTCCTGTTGTTTGTACGCCCAATCGGGGAGCTGCTTGGGGTGCGTCCACATTGCGACCTTGGTGGAGACATGGATGAGGCGGAAGTGGCCAGACTTGCTCTTCCACGTGTCGCCTTCAGCTCCGTCGACCAAGCGAACCTGGAAAAGGGTGTCGTTGTAGCGCGAGTAGTCGTCCTTAGCGTGAGTAGTGAACTCTTCATTCGTTGGCATGAGAGGGGATGCGACATCGTGAGTGAGCAAAACCGTATCGGTGTTGACGTGCAGAAGTTGAATGATATCGTCGTGATGAACGATACGGCCTCGACCAGTTTCGGGCAAAGCCTTGGTGGGAATAATCTGCCAGTTGTTGTTGGAATCGTCGTGACCGTAACCGGTGACTTGCTGGCCTTGACTACTGATACGACCATCGTCGTACTTCAGAGGGTATTTGTCAGGGTGAGAGTGCAGGAAGACTCGAGTGTCTTTGTGCCTCATAGTGATAGTATCGAAGTAGCGAAGCTCTGAAAACGTTCTCTGAGCTCTAATAACCTATATAATCCGATGAATCGCGCCTCACCTTGACTGTTAAGCAGCAGCTCGTTGCCACGGAGGGTCTCCTGGAAGGCAGGGCTCATGAAAGTATCTCCAGTACCGGTGTTTGTCAGGAGGGCCAGATGAATCCAGAAAGTAGACAGGTAGATGATCAGAGGGACGAGAATGAACGCAATGGAGCGAGCCGCGAAGTGCCTCCAGAAGTATTCCTGACATACCAGTCCTCAACACGCCGAACACGGGAGAAAACGAAGGGGCTGTACGCACCATGCTATGCTCCTTCTTGATGTCCAAGATATCCCAGAGGTCAATGATAACCGCAATGCCCACCGCAACAACTGTGAGAATCCCGTTGACCTTGGACGCCCAAGTGAAAGCCATGAAGGTTCCACAGGCAAGCATCCAGCACCACCAGTCGAAGGAGAAGTCACTAGGCGCGCGTCAGGGGGGTCTCAATAGCAGTTCGTTGCAAACATACCGGTAACGCAGCTTCTGCCAGCGGATATAGCAGTACATGGTAAGAGTCATGAAGAAGATGAGAGTGGCATCCAGGAGGATCAGGCGGTCCTGTGCGATATGCGCACTGTCTGTAGAGGTGTTCTCAGTTGCGAACCCTAGCGTGTGAGCTCGCACGAGTGGCTTACCGAAGAGTACAATGCAGGCTGAGAAAGTGGCGATGATGGTCGAGTATCCACACTCCTTCATGATGCTGTAGACAATGGGGACCGTCATACTGCCGAAGATTGCGGGGAGGGCGCGCATGCCAACGTAGGGGACGTGAGCCTCCGTGTAGCTGTCCCCGATATTCTCGAAGCCAAAGGAACCATCGTATCCAACAAACCAACCGGCAAGTCCGAAGAGGAGCTTCGCGAAGGGAGGGTGGACGTCGAAGTAGTAGGAGTGCGTAATGTAGTAGGACGCAAACTTGCCAAAGTGGACTTCGTCGAAGCTGGAGGGGGAACACGTCGATACGCGCGATGCAGTAGACAGTCGAAAGCACGTACACAACCTCGTCCGGGTAGTTGATTTTGTAGAAGCGGAGACCGAAGGCAATTGTCGTGAGGAGCGCGATCATGACCAGGTTTATCTGCTCGTGCTCGAAGATAATCTCGACGGTGCTACGGTTTCTCTGAAGGAGAGGGGGACATGAGCGGGGAGGTGCGAGCAACATACGTGTCACATACCGGGTTCTGGATGTCAAGCTGCTCATCTTCGTCAATGTCTGGGGTGTGGCCGCGGGATGGCTCTGTGGGAGGTCTCCGTTGGCGGATTCTGCTGGGCCCGCCGCCCGACATGGTGGTCGCGTGGGTGGGGAGGGGGGGACAAGATGGTGGGGGGGGAGAAGACGTGAGATGGCACTGCGCGTTGAGTGACGGTGGCTCGGTTCGAGCGCGCGCGCCTCCGCGTTCGACACGTCCACTCGTGCACGAGCGCGCCCAAAGCAAAGCGCGTCTGCTGCTTTCACCCAGGGGCCAACAGGGGCCAACCCAGAGTTCTCCTCTTCGCCCACTCACGCCTCCCTTCGCGCACACACGCCAAACCGCGCCCGCCTCCCGCTCCCGCTCCCATCCTCCGGCTCACGCGCCCCCGACGCATCCGGCCTCCCACCATGTCAGAGCTCACTTTCGACACGCTCATCGACGATGGCAACTACCTCGGCTCGGAGAGAGCGCGCCTCGAGAACCAAGTCATCCTCGACGAGCTAGAGCGCAAGAAGAAGGCCCGCACCCTTGCTGTCCCGACCGATGACAACAAGGTCAAGGCCAGACTGCGCGAGATAGGGGAGCCCATAACGCTCTTCAGTGAGCGCGTGAGTACCCTCTCACTCCCTCCTCCGCGCCTGCTTAATTATGCGCAGCCTCCGGACCGCAGAGATCGTCTCATCTACGTCTTGTCACAAATCAATGCCGCGCGAGGAGAAGATGGAATGCAAGTTGATGAGTCCTCTTCGGAGGAGAGCGAGGATGAGGTTTGTCCGCTCATCAGTTTCTCGAGATCGCACATTGATTGGACGTCCAGGTTGAAGAGTTCTATTCCCCCGGTTCTCTCGAGTTGCTTGAGGCGAGGAGAACCATAGCCGAGTACTCTCTCCCCAGGTCGGATTTCCCATAAGTGGGACCACACATAGGTGCTTACTGCGTTCTTCTTTCCTTGTTCCCATACAGAGCTCAAAAACGGATCGCCCAGCAGCGGTTGGACAGCAAAATGACTCTAGGACGAATAATTGATATTCGAAAGAAAGTTTTCGCCGACGTCAAGGTGGGTTAACAACACTTCGGTACGCAATGACTGCTCTGACTAGCACCTACAGAGCCTAGCGAACCTCGGATCGCAGATAGGAGACGACCGTCCTATTTCGATGGTCAGATTCTCGCCTAACAGCAAGTTTCTTGCCACAGCTAGTTGGACAGGCAATCTCAAGATATGGAACATGCCTGACTGTACACCAGCTAAAATATTCCGAGGTCAGCCCTCCTCTTCTTTTCGATGGAACCTCGATGGAACCTCGCTGACTCTCTTCCAGGTCACACCGATCGTGTGAGTGGGCTTGCTTGGCATCCTCGAGCGACGCTATCCCAAAGCGAAAATGTCGTGAACATGGCTAGTGGCGCTGCAGACCTGACAGTAAACTTGTGGTCCCTCAGCAGGTGGGTCTCTTGCTTAAGGAGGCCCGAACACGTCTAACAATTACATGGACGCACAGCGAAACTCCTCTGGCAACATTGAAGGGCCACGCGGACCGTGTGGCTCGAGTGGTGTTCCATCCATCAGGGAACTACGTTGCCAGTGCCAGCTTCGATACAACATGGAGGTTGTGGGACATTGCAACGTCAAAAGAGCTGTTGTTGCAGGAGGGTCATTCAAAGGAGGTGGTTTCAGTGGAGTTTCAGCAAGATGGTGCGCTCTGTGCTTCAGGGTACGTCGAGTTCTTTCATGTCGCGGGCGTTCCTCTCATTCAAAATGCAGAGGCCTTGACGCAATAGGGCGGGTGTGGGACCTGCGCACCGGTCGCACGGCATGGTCCTGGATGGTCATGTCCAGGCAATTTACTCCGTTGCATTTTCTCCGAATGGGTAAGTGTTAACCTTCTTAGCCGATGTCAGAGACTCATCTTGAGCACTCAGGTATCAAATTGCCACGGGTTCAGGCGACGATACCATCCGAATATGGGACATGCGCTCGTTGAAGGCGCTTTACACCATCCCGGCTCACTTATCCAACGTATCGGATGTGCGATTCTTCTATGGGGATCAAGCTCTTCCATGTTTCTCCGGAGATGTCGCCATGGGCGACACAGAGGATGCCGACGTAAAACCCGTTGACCAGGACAAAGCACAGGAGGAGTGGAGGTATCGCTCAGGATTGTATCTGGCAAGTGGCGGCTACGACGGCCTTGTCAAACTGTGGAGCGCAGATGACTGGCAGCTCCTGCGTACTCTTCCTACGATGGTGGCAAAGTCATGTCCGTTGACCTGTCTAGTGACGGAAAGATGCTTGCATCGGGCACATATAACCGCAATTCCAGATATTCACGCCCGAGGGGGTATAAGTCGTTCCTCCGAAATGTACATGTATCGTTGTACGTGTATTCTGGAGACTAGTCTATACATATATTCGTCTTGAGAGACCGCAGAATGCTCCGTTCTTCAGGCTTTTTCTGGTCTTGTCTGGAGTCTCCTGCTCTACTGGCATCAGTCCCAAATTGTCCCCAAATTCTGCGGGACTATGAGTTTATGACAAGCTCTCCAGAAGAGATATCTGGGTCGCTCACTAGATGCACCAGCGTGACAGCGCGTCGTTGTCGGACACTCCCCATTGCGGCGTGTCGCGTGACGGCAGCGTGCGGATAGGCTCCCAGAAGAGAGGTATATCTTCCATTTTCGACGGCCATAACGAAGGGGACGGCGGTCGAGCGTGTGTTAGCGGTTGAGGACCAGCCGACGCAATCGGCAGTCGACTCGACTCTAGCACCACCCCGGGCGCGAGCTTCAAATCCGCATCGTCTTCGTCACCCGCTGGACTCTTCACCCGCAGGTGCTTGAGGCCTGTGTACGGCAGCAGCAGGTGCTGCGTGAAGCAATCTTCATCGTGCGCCCTCGATCTCCCCCCGCGGCTCCCGCCCCGCCCCCGCCTGAGAGGCCGGCACAGGCAGCGCGGGAAGTCGACGAACGACACCTCGGCCACCTGCGGCACCACGCCGAGGCACTGCTCCCAGTCCGGCTGCTCGTCCTCCGGGTAAGAGTAGTACAGGCCCGCTTCGCCGCGCGACGCGGCGGAGCGCACCACGCGCGGCACGACCCACCACTCGACGCGGCGGAGCGACGGCCACCAGGCGAGGCCCTCGAGCACCATCTTGTACGAGCTCATCGAGAACTCGCCGGCGAAGGGCATGCCCGCGACGGCCGACACGCGCAGGCGCGCGCAGTCGGGCACGCCTGCGAGCAGGTGCGCGAACCAGCCGCTGAGGCCTTCGCGCCGCCGCGCCGCGAGGGAAGCGCGGTAGCGCGCCTGACGCTCCACGGTCGTGAGCGGGGGGAGGGGGATGATGGGGTTTTGCGGCCAGGCGGCGGTCAGAAGGGGGGCGGAGGGGTGGACGCGCTCGACGGCCGCGAGCCAGTCGCCGCACGCGCCGCCGCTGAAGTTGCGGCTGAAGATAAAGGTCACGTCGAGCTCGACGACGGTGCGCTGGAAGAAGGCTGCGGAGGAGGGGTTGGTGGGGCCGAGCGGGTGGCGGGTGTTGTCTTTGTTCTGCGTGAGGGAGGTGGCGTTTCCGAAGTACTGGTTGTATACGCTCGCATAGGCGGTAGCATCCATGGAAGATTGGCTGAGAGCCCTGACGTTGCGAAGTGCACACCTCTGCACCACCTTGCGAAGGGTGCGACTGGCGAGAGAGAGTCGAACAAAGAGCTTCCACCGTGTGGCGGGCGCGACGAGGGCGATGTTGTTCCAGGCATAGACGACGATGATCTCAAGGATCTCCGTAGGGACGTCTGTGGTTCTGACTAGCCACAACATGCGCGTTAGCCACTGGTGAATGTGCGAATCGAAGAAGGGAAGTACCTGTAGTGGATGCCATGTCTGAAAGCGGAGGACGAAGGATGCGGTTGCCCAGTGCCGGCCGGAATATATGGGCGGTCTTATATGTACCTAGGTGGGCACGGGCTGGTTGCGTGCATGGCGGCTATTGTCCAAAGTCATGGGCCCATGGCGTTCGCCACATGGAATCTGGCACTCTGATGGACACAACAAGCGAAGATCGGAATGACAATGGGTTGGGCAGGTTAGTATGCCTGTCCATTCCAGACTCTGAGTTGCTGGGAGCAGAAGGAACAATGAGACACTCAACTAGGGGGCCAAGCGTTGCAAGTCTCGGACACAGCTCTGAGACTCCTGGAATGTGCACCAACAAGGCATTCCATCGAGATCAGAGTCGGCCGGGCGCTTGAAGTCTCTTGAGGGGAGAATAGAACGACGAGACCAAGGTCTACATAAACAAACTCGGAGGCATCACAAATCGCAGATAATGCATAGAAATACAGTGCCGAGGATAATTAAGAGTTGCGACAGCAAAGCGGAGACGACGATAACACATCCTGCACTATACGCACATACCAACCAAACCGTCGGGTCGGCCGGGCTCATATCACTCCGTTCCGTACCTGAAAGCAACACCATGTCAATGCACGCATGCGAGTCGAGATACAATAGACTTGCCTTCTGCATGAAACCTGACACTCTGCTGATATCAATGACTTGAGCCTCGCTCTCCATCGCAACCACCAGGTTTTCGAGAAGCTTGACAATAACGTAAGCGGTGAGCTCATGCGCTGTAACGTGCATGGATCACATCGACGATGACCCACCTCTTCGACTCTGTCGATCGGCACACCTGTACAGAGAGCAACGATCTTCTTACACTGGAACTCCTTCTCTGCGCTAGCGCCCTGGAGGGACTGCATGCGCGCCCCCATGAGTTGCTCGATGCGATCGTACCATATCTTCAGTCGGCGGAGCCGGATGAGAGTAGCAGCCGTATCCCCAAGTGGTATTGTTGGGTCAATGTCGAGGTTGGCGGGTGTGTCGGCCCCACCGACCAGCGCCATCGGGTCTTCGCCACGTGCCTGGAACGCTGGACCTGCTTTCGCCACTGGGTCAGAGCCATCAAGCTCCGTCCGCCCTGTCCAGTCAAATGTGTCCTCGTCGGCCAGTGCCCGCTTGAGATTCCTGACTCGTTGGCCTGCCTGATCAAGCTCCCCGCACCGTGCTTGCCAGTGCTGGATTTGTCGACGCTGCTCAGATAGCTCGCGCGTCGCGGCTCGTAGGTGAACTTGGGTGACGTCCAAAGCGTCTTGTTTCGACTTCACTTCCGTCGCAAAGTCGTCCCCAAGGCCCTTGATCATACTACTAATATCTGTGCGCCAGGCTCAATATAGTATCGCTCCTAAAATGCTGTCGGGCTGACCTGCAATGACATCTTGGCTCTTCTGAATGGGCACAGAAAGCACAGAACGCAATGAAGCAAGAATGTCTTCCGATCTTGCACTGCCGCCCAATTCCTGCGTAGCCTGAGTACGCAAGGAACTGGAGTCATCGTTGAACACTTACCTCCGTCTCGACACCGAAGTCACCAGGACGTAAACCGAGCTTGTTGGCCAGTAGTTTGTTGGCGCCAGCATCAAGCAAAACGCGTACCAGACTTCGATTCCCAACTCTGGCGGCGATGTTCAATGCTGTATCTCCGTGCTCGTCCTGGATGTCTATGATCGACCGGAAATCGGCCCGTTCATGATTTGCGATCCACAGGTTGATTTGGTCCAGGTAATAACGGGCGGACACGGCACGACCTTTCACTCCAGCGGTGGCGACAATGTGGTGGAAGACGCTCCGGCGAGCGGTATCGAGTGTGCGTATGCTGGGGTGGAGGGTGATGACAAGAGTGTGAAAGGTTTGGGTATCAAAACAGTGGGTCGCAAGGCAAGCTCGCATAAGCGCAGTTTCGCCATTGAAGTTGCCCCTATGAACGTCAGCGCCAGCAGTCACAAGCGCTTCTACGGTGGCATGTCGTCCGGTACTGGCGGCGATGTGGAGGGCGGTATGTCCCTGCTCGTCTAGCACGAGGTCGACATCTGTGGCGAGGGCAGGGAGGTCTGGGGGTATTTCGCGTATCAGATCTAATACAGCCTGGGGGTCGTCTCGAGCGCATATTGACTGCACGACTGCAGCGCGTCGTGTGTCGCGCGCAGGCGCATTATGTTCCATAGTGCGAGGGAGGGAGGGTTTAGAAGCGAAGCGGATAGTGTACTGTGGCTCTGGCGGTTTACCGTTCGTAATGAAAGGTTGTGAGCTGGAGGGACGGGAGTCACCATTTACGGTAGTAACCGACATGACCATTCCAGTCGACATAGGTGGCGGCATGCTGGCGTGGGCTTGGAGAGCGGTAGGGGCCGTCCAGTCGGGAGCGTCTGCCAAACCGGGAGGCTCAGTGCGCGCACGCTTGCTAGGGGATGGCGCGCCATCTTGAGGAACGGTGGAGGCTGGTCGCGATCGATCGAGCATTTGGATGTCGGGGGATGCTGCGAGAGCGGGAGGTGCCGTGTGAGATGGTGTGGGATGAGAGTCCGTGTCTAATTGAGAATGGTTCGTTTGAGCGACGGTTGAGCCACAGGTGGGGGTGTGGGTGAGACAGGACCGATGGGAGGGAAGCCGGACGGATATCCAGCTGCAACATGTGGGCCGGGAGGAGCATCGGAAGTAAGAAGAGAAGCAGACATACTGGAAGTAGACGGAGTAAAAAGTCCCTGAGCGCGGCCCTGATTGAGTAAACGGAGAGCAGACCCAGGCATGATTGGGGGTGGGGCTAAACCTTTACGGGTTGAGTGTGTCTCCTGGAGGCGTGGGTATCTAGACGTACCAGGTACGCTGGCAAGAGAGGCGGGTAGTCCACCCATGGGGTTGGCGTTGGGGACGAAGTCGAATAGAGGTGCAAGCAACGGGGCAACGCCATATTGCATAGCTATATCACGACCGCGTTCAAGGGGTATCCTGCGCCAGAGTGATTAGCATTCCGCTTAAGATCCTTCACATCTGTAACGACCTGGAGTCGATGGTGGAACAAATCATATGCATCTGGCGTGCGCGTCTCGACGCGACCACGCCTTCAATACGAGTACGGCAGACGGTCACCTTGACATATGTTCGGTATGAGCCCAGATGCAAAGCACATGAGTCTTTTTCACGCAATGAGAAGAACCTGGGTAGCAATGCTTTCACTGCGTTATGCAGAAGGCACGAACGGGATCTCTGAATAGAACATGAATCTACTCCAAGGTGCACACGTCGAGATCCAAAACCTGATCTGTGGAAAACCTGCAAATCACGCGCGAGGGCCGAAGTTAAATGCGCACTAATAGACGAGAGCAAGCCGAAGCCACCCGAAGGTCATAGGCTCGCCGCCATCGCCGCGAACTCATGACCTCAGTGTCACGCGGTGCGCATGCTCATAGACACATTCCAAACGGCCGATAACGCGAGAAATGGTGAAGGTGATATGATGACGAATGAACAGGCTCACCAGGTCCCCTGATATTTGCCATAGCCTCCCTGGACAATTTCGTGTTTCCCCGGGAGGATCTCCTTTTCCAAAATCTTTGTACGGCGCCCTTTGTCGACGCCAGCCACCTTGAGAATCTGGGTGGCGTTCACATACGAGTCGGCACGTCTGCGCATGACAGCGATGCCGCGGACCATGCATTCGTAGACCTATACGCGTTCGCGGCTGTTAGCTCCGAAGCCCCACGGGTGAAAGGGAACAGACCTGGACAGAGGAGTACACAGCATTATAGATCTTGACGGGAGGCTGCTGGGGCCCGCAGAACGTGGGGCGGACTGCATAGCCGCAACGGTAGGAGGGTGCGGGCGGAGGAAGGGACGGGGAGGTCGCAGGTTCACGACGCGCCGAGACGCGCTCACAGGCGTGTTGTCGGAGCTCCAATCCAAGCCCCGCGTGCCACGATCTGTGACCGTGTCAGTCACTGTCACCGTCACACTGCGCGGACAAGCCATCCAAAGCGTCGCTGACGTCCTTGACGCCGTCGTCCACGGCGACTGCGACCACCCCTCGGCCACCGCAGCCATCTTCAGCCCTTCTGCGCTGCCTATCGTGACCGGAGCATCTTCTGTGGCGTCTTCCTCTCGCACGGCCTTACGACCCCGATATATTCAACATGTTCAACGCACCCCGCCCCGTCCAGGCGTACGGGGGCTCGTCGCAATTGGCGCGAGCTTTGTCACGGAGAATCCTCTCATCAGTTCGGTCTACGATGACGGCCTCGACCCCTGGAGTACGATCCAAGTCCAGCCCCGCCCGCCATACCGTCCTTTCCAACGTCATCATCAGCGGGGTTCAGCTCTGTGATAGGTGCGTATTACGTTTATGCTCACGCGAATCCTCCCCAATCCTTGTGCATTTCCTGGCTTAGGCAATGCGTCTGTACCTTCGATATACACACAAGCATTCGCCTCGGTGGATTCTATGGGTTCTGGGGAGACGTCTGTGAATGCTCTATCTAGGGTTCTCGGCACGTCGTCCTTGCCTGCATCCACTATTGACAAGGTATGCTATTCCCATCAAACTGTCGTCTTCTGGAGTACTGACAACAGGTTTAGATCGTTAGTCTTGTTAGCTCACGTCCCAAGGTGTCGCGTTTGGAGTTCTTTGTAGCCCTTGCACTGGCTGCCCTCGCACAAAGTGGCAAAGGTATGGTGTTGACAACGAGCTCGGCTCATAGCCACTGAATCTCGCTAGATTTGAGCATTGAGCGAGTTGCCGCTCTGGCGCAAGAGAATGCCCTCCCTCCGCCGATGTTGGATCTCGGCGCCCTCCCTCCCTCGAACTCTTCCTTCCAAGACATTATGCAGATGCCCCCAGCACCGCCCGCCCGAGGATACACTGACGACCCGTGGAATTCGCGGTTCACAACCTCCGCTGGCGCGCCCTCCAAGACACCTGGTTTTGGCAGTATCAGCAATGGGGTCACGTCCAGTATTTCTGGCACAGGTATGCCGCGGGAGTGGTGGAAAAGGCAGGAGACTGTGACTGTGAATGTGCTGGGTCAGCAAGGATTCCTTTTGAATCGCTACCTCGTTTATGAGGTTTCCAGTGATGTGCGCCCAAGTCTGCTACTTCTTCCATTCCAATATTCATTCTCGTGTCTACAGCGTGGGACCCCGGTCCCGCGACGATACTCAGAATTTGTGTTTCTGTGGGACGTCCTTGTCAAGCGTTATCCTTTCCGGCTCATTCCTGCTCTCCCACCCAAACGTATAGGACGTGAGTGGTCATTACAATCCTACATCTGTCCGCTGAGTTTGACATATGCAGCCGACGAGGGTTTCTTGGAGCAGCGAAGGTCTGTAGACGTGCTGCGCCCATCAGATATTCACTAAACTCTTTCTAGACGCGGTTTGGCCAGGTCTCTAAACTTTGTGGTGTAAGTTGAAACAGGTATCAGTCGGGTGTGGACAACTCATTCAATCATCAACAGGAACCACCCAATCATCAAGGACGACGCTGTACTCCAGTCGTTTCTTACGGAGCCATCGCTTGAAGAGTGGCGGAAGCACGCATCAATATCTTACGACGAGGAGTCAGTGACCAAGCGTGTTGATCGTGTGGAAGAAATGGCTATTCCAAGCGACCTGGAAGACAAGTTGGCGTACGTACACACCAAAAGTACTGCGGTCTGAAACTCACGGTCTCTTTTTTTGTAGCGTTGTTCGAGGCAAGATCGGCTTCCTCATAGAACACTGGCAACGTATCTGCCTGCACACGGAGCGTATCGTTAAGCGCAGGGAGGCTGCAGCGGTACGGCTTACTCCTGTCATTCGGCCAAGCTTCCTGCCGGCTCACTTGCCCTTGTCCATACCTGTACTGGCCGCCCTGGCGTCCGGGTCGTCTTCATCCTCATCTGCCCCTTCCTCCGCTTCTGGTTCCGTTGAACGTGACGCTGACTCGTCCGTCGCTTCCATCCTCTCCGGCATTACCACCTCGTCGCGGCCCCACACTGTTGGCGGTCAGGCTGACCTGACACGGTTGACCAACACGGTAAAGAGTTTGGTGGAGGTGAACGAGCGATGCTGGCGTGGAGAGGATTGCGAACTTTGCGCTGGGATCAGGCATGGCCTTGGACAGGTCTCACAACACACGCAACGGCAAGCAGATGCATTGGAGCATCGTGTAAGGAGGGGTTTATCAGTCACACATGCTTTTATGTCTGACCCTCGCTTTCTGTCAGTCGCACACCATGCTGTACTCAACCGTCGAGGCGTTGAAGGTTTGTCTATCTCGAACATTCACACTTTCTGACCTGCTAAATTATTCTGTTCAGGCCCAACGTGATCTATACATTGCGATGAGAGACCTCTTCATTCGGCACGATCGCTTCTCAGGTGATCAAGTAGAACGCCTACGCAAACGGGTGGACACCAACTCCCATCGGCTTGAAGGCATCCGGGCAACCAAGAAGGAAGGCTGGGAGCAGGAAGCTGACAAGTTTGCGGGGATGATCGAGAAGGATCAAGCGGCGATTGCGGCTGCGTTGAATCGTCGCGTTTTTGTACGTGCATGGTAAGTCCTCCTCCCACCCCCTTTCCGTGTACGCCAGCTCACGACCTCATGCAATATAGCATGTGGCACGAGCTGCGCGTTGTTTTGCACAACCGCGAGAATGCGCTCCTTACCAAGGCCGTACAATCATTTGCACGCGAGGAGCACGAATTCTCCGAGCTGTCCGTCAACAATTGGTCTTCCCTGCTAGGAGCGGTCGAGGGGATGCCCTTCGAATGAACAACCTCAGATGGAGTAATTGCACGGGGTTCAGAACGGAGTGTCGCCCAAATATTACATCTAGGACTATGCATCTTTCACGACCATTACGCCATAATCCTATACCCTATATTATTGCTTGAACGCCTTGGGCACGGCGTAGTCAGGCCGTCCAACGCAGGCGCATCGCAATGTTTCCGCTGTCTTCATTGCTACCGCCTCTGCCTCGAACAGCCGCCTCGATCGCATGGTCTCGCCAGCTTGGGGTGAACGTCAAGAGAGATTAGATACTGCTGGCTGAGCGCGTAGACGCGCTTGGCCAGGTTGGCCGTGATGTGCACCGCGAGCCTTCGTGCATGCCAGTCGCCTCGACGCATCTTGTCCTCTGGCCTTTTCCGCGCTCCACAACGACCCCTCCCACATACTCCCTATCAACGCTAGGTGTGATTGCTGTCTTCTACACTTGATCCGACATGGACGGCGGCTTCGACGACCTGCTCGCACCCTCACGAAACCCAATGGAGAATCCCTTCCAGGACCCTTTCGCACAAGCACGGTCGAGCTCTCCGGATCCGTGGGCAAGCTTCGGTCAGCCCGCCGTATCATCCTTTAATGAGGAGCAGCCATGGGGCAGCAGCTCCCCCATCGTCTCCACACATCCACAGGACGCATTCTCGCACCCGTCTGGCTTCGAGGCTCACGATGACGAAGAGCCGCAGGGACCGCGCGAGGACGAGCCCCAAGAGGAAGCCGCATCCGTAGACCCGCTCGACACTGCGGCCTTCAACGCAGCAGAAGCGGCGGCCGATGCGGAGGAAGCTGCTGCTGCTGTCAATGGCCCCATTCTCCCTGAGCGCGGTTTCCGGGAGAGCGTGTCGGCGGAGGCGGAGGAGCACCCCGTACCTCACGAGCCAGAATCCGAGCCAGAACCCGCGAAGACACCGACGTTACCGGCGAACGATGTCCCGAAGGCCGTATCCCCTCCTCCCGTCGCCCCCGCAGATGCTCCAAAGAGCTTCCCTGGGCATATGTCTCGCAGTTCTATCACGTCGGTGACTTCCTCGCAGATCAAGTCGGAGCCCGCTGCGTTCAACCCTCTGGATCAGCCGAGAAGCTCGTTCGACCGGTCCATTGCAGGCTTGTCAATTGGCGGGGAGGCTCTAGGTGGATGGCAAAGTTCGACTGGGTGGCAAACGCAGACGACGTACACCATCCCGGAACAGAACACCGGCGTGTCCCACAGTCAGAGTGTGTCGGACGACGATGATGACGACAGGCCGATTGCGGAGACCATGGCGGCGAGGGCTGCTTCTAGGGATAGGGCGACGTCGGTGAGTGTATTTACAAAATGGCTGGCTCTTGGCATTGAATCTCTGCTCGTTCAGCCCCCTTCACAGCCAACGGCGAAGAATGGCCTCCTTCCTGTCTTCCAAATATCAGTCGATGACCCGCAAAGAGTGGGAGATCCCATACGCGCGTACACGATGTACACGGTGCATACCAAAGTGCGCCTTCTTCATGTCACGGAGTCCATCGTTTGGTAAATAACCATGGTTGTTGCTTTAGACAACATCACCTATGTACAAGAAGTCCAGCTTCTCCGTTCTTCGTCGGTATTCCGATTTCTTGTGGTTGTACGAAACGTTGTCCATGAACAATCCCGGGGTGGTTGTCCCCCCTGTTCCCGACAAGAACAAGTTCGGTCGCTTTGCAGAAGACTTCGTACAGCAACGTCGCCTTGGTTTGGAGAAATGTGTTCAGAAAATGGCCAACCATCCAGTACTCCAGAAGGACACCGACCTGAAGATGTTCTTGGAGAGTGACACCTTCGCCTTGGACGTGAGTCGTACTTTCCTAAACTACAAGCGATTCAAAGAAAGCTCATTTTATCTATCTTGCGTAGATCAAACAACGGAAAGCCGAGCTGGCTCAAGAGAAAGGGGGTCTCATGGCCACGCTCGGTCAGACCATCGCGGGGCCTCGCTTCTACGAAACAGATGAGGTATGTGGTTCAGACTGTCATTCTCACAGCCCGTTCACGCTGCGTTGCCAGTGGTTCGACCGGCAGAAAGCGTATCTGGACAGCCTTGAGACTCAGCTTCGCGGCCTTGTGAAGGCCATCGATGCAGTTGCCAAACAGCGTGCAGACATCGCAGCTGCAGCAGGCGAATTTGCGCAGACCATCGCAGATCTAGCCGCATGCGACGTTGGAAGTCAGCTCTCGGTGTCGCTGTCGATGTTTGCCGAAGTTGAACAGAAGGTCCAAGAACTCCAGTCAGCCCAGGCGAACGATGACATGAGGACCATTCTCAGCACTGCGGACGAGTACGCCCGTCTGATCAACTCAGTCAGGGTGAGTCCAGGACTAGTAGACCCTCTGGTGTGAGATACGAAATGCTGATTTGCTCTCATCAGCTGGCGTTCAGCTCCCGCGTGCGCATTTATCATGCTTGGCAAAATGCAGATGCGAACCTTCGTCGCACGAAACAGACACATGAGACCAACCGTGCCCAAGGCCGGTTTGGGCCAGAGCAACTCAGTCGATCGTTGCAAGTCGTCGGGGAGTCTGAACGTCGGGCACTGGAGGCTAAACAGGAGTTTGACCAAGTCTCTAAACTGGTGAAGTCGGAGACCGCTCGCTTCGAACAGGAGCGTATCGAAGACTTCAAGCACGCCCTTGAGGCTTTCTTGGAGGGGTTGATCACGCGGCAGAAGCAGGTCCGTCCACTTGCGCTCCCTTGCCTGTCACACCAGCTGATTTCCCGCTTTCATAGCTCATTGCATCATGGGAGAACTATCAACAATCGTTGCTGCAGAGGGTCACTCCGCACTCGAACAGAGAGAACGATTCATGACAGGCCATTTAGCCACTACGACCTCTTCCTTTTCGCTTTTGTTGTAGAATAGTAGGACAGAATAATGGCTATCATTATGTTCGAACATCCTGAGTGTACAAATATCCTAACTCGCTAGCGGCAGTGTGAGGAGCTCAGCGTCCCATGTATCCATATACAATAGTCTGACTCGACCCTACTCCCAAAATCGTGGTGTCTTCTCATTTTGGTTGCCTCCAACCTCCAAGAAATCCGAAGGGCGATCTCGTTTGAGTGGCCGCCTGCGGTTGTTCAGTGGCAGTCGTTGATACGCCGAGTCTTGCCCCGCCGGCTGCTGGTTCGGGAAAGGGTTCGTCCATTGCCTGAACTCGCCCTGCATACCCATCCCTGCGCCGTTCATGGCCGCCATGCCGCTCGCGCCCCCAACACCGACGCCCATGCCGTTCTGCATCCCCGCGGACATGCCCTGCATAGGAAATTGCTGTTGAGCCGCGCCATCGCGGCCATCGTCTGGGCTTGCTGCAGCTCCATCTGGAGCTGTTGCTGTTTGAGCTGGACCTGCTGGCGCACTTGCGCAGGAAGTGTGGGGTTGCTGAGCATGACCTGTACCTGTTGGATCTGCGCCTGGAGCTGGTTGATGATCTCGTTCATGTCCATGCCGGACATGTCGTTGTAGAACGCTTCGTCGCCCATGCCGTCTCCCATGACCGTGGCGTTGTCTGAGGCGGCGCCGTTCGGCTGCTGTTGCGGCTGCGGGGCCCATTCACTGTCTGTGCGAGGACGAGGAGAAAACCGAGCGCACCTTGTCGCCGTCGCCCTCCGCTGCCGCCTTGCCGTCCTCCGTGGCGCGCTGCCCGTCCGCCTTGTCCGCGCCGTCCGCCTCCTGCCTGCTCCTCTCCATCTCCTTGTCCACGTACTCGTGCACCCGCGCGCGCATCGGCTTGTCGACGATGAGCCTGTCCAGGCTCGGGACCTTGCGCGCGCAGTTCGGGCAGAGGAAGTCGCGCTCGAGCAGGTGCGTCTGCACGCACTCCTCGCAGTACAGCGTCCCGCAGCACGGGGTCTTTACCGCGTCCCGGAAGAGCTTGCCGTCGATCGGGCACGCGAGCGCGGGGTCGGACGGCGGGCGTTCGCGGACGTCGGCCTCGGTGAGGCCTTTGTTCCGCGAGACTTGCTTTTGCCAGGACGCGCTGTGGGGGACGGAGAGGTGAGATGGGCGAGTGGGAGTGGGGAAGGAAGGACGCACGAATCCGGTTGGGCGACGACGTAGCCTCCTTCGGGTGTGACCATGACTCCTTGGCCCAACGGACCAGTCGTGGGGTTGTCTACGGCTTTGAGGAAACTTCGAGGGATACCGGTGGTCCGCTTGATTCGTGGTCTGTTGTCAAACTCGCGGTCATTGTTTGTTGGGCAGTCCTGGATCCAGTGGCCTATGAGTAGATTGTGAGCACTTCGGGTTTGCACATGACTACATGTGAATGCGTACCCTTCTGTCCACAACGATAGCATACATAACTGGGAGGCAGTGGCCGGTCGGACTGATGATGTGTGGGCTGGAAAGGCTTGCCACCGCGAGGGGCGCCGCCGCGGGGAGTGTTGTAAATGCGAGTAGCACTGCGGCGCGCAAACAGGTTGAACAGAAGACAAGATCCATTAGAGAGGATTCTACTAGACAAGAAAGCGCACAGGCGCGACACCAACTGTGACATTTTCTCCTGGGTCTCCTCCCAGTTCGCAGTTTGCGCTTGGAACATGGCCATCATTGCTGCGTCTTCGTCGTCCTTCGTCACAACCGAACCGGGAGCAGGCATCTATGGACACGTCAAGGCACGGCGAGGCAGGCAGACTAGCAGGCAGACTCACGGGGGGCATGGGCTTCTCTACCGGCGGCGGCTCCTCCTTCCCGTCCTTGTCGAACCGTTTCGACATGTTGCCTCGATGCCACGACCCTCCACCGCCTTTGCCACCTTGGTCAGAATGGGAGACCGGACCAGCTGCGCCAAGGTATTTCGGTGCGCAGCCTCTGCCAGGACGAGAGGGAACCCGTTTGACGACGATAGAAGACGACCGGGGGATGACGTGCGCATCGTCCGCGAGTACTAGACAAGATGTGAAGACGGGGTTGTGCCCGAAGGGACGACGGACGGACCTTGGCCAGCGTTGTCGAGGACGATCAAGTCAAAGTCGTTCGCCTTACCGAGGTTGTTAGCTATGATGATCTCCTTCTTGAGGTCGAAGACGGAGATGCCGGTGCCGTCGAAAGTCACTCGCGACTCCTCTTTCTGAGACCGAAAGCGGTAGAAGACGGACGACGCCATGGGAGAAGGAAGCAAAATTGATTGTCAGTGCCCTGCTCTAGTTATACGATGTGAATTTGGGGTCCAAAGACGAGGGGGGAGCGAGCGAGAAGAGGAGGAGGATGTGGCTGAGCTCAGACTTGGCGCATTAGAGAGGTTTGGAAAACCGCAATTGCGCACAATTGCAATCCGTTGGAGCGGACCCACCGCTCCACGGCATCGCGGCCCGCTCGAACACGCCCTTCACCTATGTGCACCGTGACAGGTTCATGGGAGGCTTGGTGAGGTTCGCGCTTGTGCTCTCATCTCGTCGTGACTCGTCTGCTTCCTGTGGCTGTCTTCATATTTCCATGCTGTCCTGGGTGCAAGTCGAACTAGTCGCTGGATGCTCAGTTTGGAGGTAAGGGACCGTGTTGTCGCATCTCTCGCCCCGGCGCTCCCCTGGCCCAGTCACGGCGACGGTCACATTGGAGACGGGACTCCACCGCGCCAACGCTCATTGCAATTGCGCACAATTGTAATTTACCAAACCTCTCTATTCACCAGAGCGCTCCATGCGCCAGATGGTATATGATCACGGCGCTTACTATGCAAGAACGCCTTGGAGTCTCTGTCCTTCCCGCTGCTTGCTAGCTTACAGCGCCTGGAGGCCTCTCTCCCCAATCCATCTAATGTCTCTCAGCCCCTTGTTCCACCGGGGACCACTCCGGAAACTATGGAACGACACCCGGCCATTGAACCGCAGAAGGTCAGAAGCGCGACCAGCTTCATCCCGTTCATAAGGCTCCCAGGTCGCCTCGTAAGTACGGATTCGGCGGTCTCTGGGACGTCGTGGCAATCATCGTGACTGGCTTCCCGCTTTTCATGTACCACCTGTGGATCTGCCCCGTCTTCTACATGGCTCGCTCGGCGTCCATCCCACCTCCCTCGATGAACATCGGCTGCGTTAACATCACCATGATCACCGCCGCTGTCCCGCATGAATGCAGCATCTTCCGGTCGACACATTATGTGCGAAGTCGTGCGCGAAACTGACCTCTGCCAATGAGCGCTTCACCCCAAACCGGAAGCGCCTTAACCGGGCTTGAAACCGGTTTAAAATTCTGAACCCGTTCGCGAATACGGTCTATTACCGACTTTACGCGGACATCGCTTCTCGCGCGAACGGGTCGCTCCGACTCGCTACCCACCGGTAAGCCTCGCAACTGTCAAAATTTGTGAACTTTTTCAAACAGGCCTATCATTCTGATAACGGCTGTCATGGGCGCGATGTTGGACCCCTGGATCGGGCCTATCCACTTCAACATGTGGTTGGAAGTGCACGTCCGGATTCTCGTGGGGTCCGTCTCTGGCGCGTGCAAGCAGTATGAACAGGGCCGGTGAGCATGTCTTCTTTTATATCCGCCCCGCATTCGCTAACATCTGCCTCGCTTGTTACATCGGAACATGGCATTTATGTGTCTCGCGAATTGGCTCTACCCGAACGCTTGTGGTAAAGCTGAGGAATGCATTCCGCAAACGTGGAGCATGTTTCATGAGGAGTGGGGTTTCCTGATGATTTTAGCAGGCGTGTGCTTCGCACGGCGTGCACCATAGAGTTGTGCGTTGTCGACCTCTGATAAGTTGCGGCTTCTAGTCCTACGTCTATCGGCTATCAAGTCTGGGACAACCTCCATGTCACAGAAGTCCCGCTTTAAAGTGGAGACCCGAGGTTCAACTGGGAGACGTTCCCTCAGCTCCCATGGGGCATGATTGAGAACCCCAAGATGATCCAGACGGCAGACGGCAATTGCCACCTTATCAGCGGCTGGTGGGCGTGCTTGTGCAAACCGGTGAGTAGTTTCGCCTGAACTCTCTGCCGCATTCTTTTTCGTCTACTTGTGGTCAGAACTACGTCGTGGATTGGATCATGGGGTCTCGTCCAGGACACTTGTTCTGCGATCCTGTACTTTTGCTGGGTCTTCTTCATTACCGTTCTGATTCACATTTACGCCTGCGACTTTGAGCGTTGTGCAGGCACGTGCGGCGAAGATTGCCGAGCTTTACAAGTTCATCCTTTGCATCTGTTAATCGCACCTCTGGATGTTTGGCACCGATTGGCAAGCGATAATGTATGTTTGAACTCCTTACTACATCACCCCAAATTGCGTGAAGTGTGGACCAAGGTGCGCCCTTGGCCACGGCGTTGTCGAATGCCTTGACTACTGAGTGTTGGCCTGGTCTCGGCTGTCCAGCGTCCGGGCGTATCGGGCCCGGTCCCGAGCCACGCGATCGGATGACATCGAACGGTTCGCTTAATGCCGTGATCACGATCGAATTGGTCACCGCCGCTTTACGTCACCTGCATGTTTTGAGAAAAGTGGCCTCGAGAGAAGAAAACTCTTCAGTCGAGAGCGGGGTGGTGGGTTGGCCGTGCAGAACGTTATAATTAGACGTTAACCCTTACCCAACGGTAGCACCTCTGACAGGCAAGAGCGCTCGCTGGACTGCGTTCGAGAGGCCCTCGGCGGTTGTCGGCGAGCGTCACCACGCCCACGTGAGGCACGCACGCGTATAAGGAAATCGTTCGATTCACGCGTATTTATGGCGGGCAGGCAGGGCGGCGATGCGCTGGTTCCCCCCTCCTGCTCTCCCAGGCCCGCTCTCAGTCCAGGTCATCATGCCGGGCGCCGAACCTGAGCTGCGCCAACGCAGCGTCAACGCCAAGAACGGGCAGCTCATTCGCGTCGTCAAACCCACCGAGGAGGGCCAGAAGCGCGATCAGGTCCTCGACAGCCATACCGAGTGCGTCCCTCACCTCTCTCTGCTCCCCCCCTCTCATCTCCGCCTAGGTATGAGTTTGGTGGCCCATGGGGCGTCTTCGCCATCATGACCGGCTTCCCCATCCTCATGTATTACCTCTGGATTTGCCTCATCTTCTACGATGGAGCCCTCGTTCACCCTTCCTCGCTCGATGACATCCAGCCGTTCTTGTGGCGCATGTGGGAGCACATCCGCGTGGTACGTGCCATATTTCCGACTCTTCCACCTCCGTTCATGTGTTGCGGCAGGACGCAAGCCCAAACGCGTACGCGTGGAAGGTTTTCACCGGTCTCATCGTCTACCAACTCGCCCTCGCCTGGGTCGTCCCCGGATACATGCAAGAAGGTCTCCCTGTTCCGTCTTTGGGCTACAAGACCCTCATGTACAAGTGCAACGCCATCGGCTGCATCTATGTCACCATGATCACCGCCGCCGCCCTCCATTACTACAACATCTTCCGCATGACTGAGATCATCGACAACTTCGGCCACCTTATGACTGTCGCCATGATCTACGGCTTTGGCGTCTCCTTCTTCATGTACTTCATCACTGTCGCCACCGGAAACCAGATTCGGATGTCCGGGAGCTTCATTTACGACGTCTTCATGGGCGCATGCTTAAACCCCCGTCTTGGCCCCGTCGACTTGAAGATGTGGCTTGAGGTTCGCATTCCGTGGGTTATCGTATTCTTCATGTCCGTCTCCGGAGCATGCAAGCAGTACGAGACTTACGGCTACGTGACACCCGTAAGATAGTGTTCTCTCGTCTCTACTCCTTTGGCTTATAATCCTTCGTCAGAACATGGCCTTCATGTGCTTGGCGACCTGGCTCTACCTCAATGCGTGCGGCAAGGGTGAAGAATGCATCCCGCAAACATGGGACATGTTCCACGAGAAATGGGGTTTCCTTGTTATATTCTGGAACTTTGCGGGCGTACCTTTCGTGCGTACACTTGCGCGGTTATCCTCGTCGTCCCGCTAACAAGTCATGATTTACTAGTCCTACATCTACTCGGTTGTATACATGGCGTCACACGACCCTTCGAAGTACCGGTTCTCGACTCCGACCTACGTCGCCTTGTACTCCACGATTCTGATCGCCTACTACATCTGGGACACCTCGATGTCGCAGAAGTCCCGTTTCAAGATGCAAACCCAGGGCATTTTCTCTTACCGGATGACGTTCCCGCAACTTCCTTGGGGCACCATCAAGGATCCCAAATTCATCCAGACCGCCCACGGCAACCGCCTGCTTATCAGCGGCTGGTGGGCGTACTCGCGCAAGCCTGTGAGCCCTCTTATTTTTATCTTTGACTCTCGCAGCCTTCTGAGCAGCCGGTTTGATGCAGAACTACGTTGCGGACTGGACCATGAGTCTGACGTGGGGGCTCGTTCAGGGCTCGTGCTCCGCTATCCCTTACTTTTACTCGGTCTTCTTCATCGTCGTTCTCATCCATCGTTGCACTCGCGACTTTGAGCGGTGCGCGCTCAAGTACGGGAAGGACTGGGAGCGCTACTGCTCCATCGTGAAGTACAAGTTCATACCCTTCGTCTACTAATCGCCTTCACGAATCACCCACGACACTCCCAAAATTTGTGACACTTACTGCGTCAAAATACCACCCCTACATTAGAACACACTACCTGTATACCAAGCTGTCGCTCTGATGTTGCTCTAACGGGTCTCTATAGACCTTGCGCTGAATCCATGAAACGTGCTGTGCTTTCCTTTCGCGCGACTCCTGACTCCCAAGTATGTGCGCCTGATCATAAACAGGGAGCGCGCGTGTCGACAGTCTGCCAACGCGCCTTTCACCCAACCGTCATTGTCCCCAGCTTCACACAGGGCCTTCGTGTCTGCTCCCTTGAGCCGATGTGTCTACCGGAGTAAGCCGGCGTGTACATGCATGCTTGACGCCTTGACCAGATCTTGGTCATGTGGCTGTCGAAGAGGAGAGACACAACTTGAACGACCCCGGGCGTATCGACGCTGCAGAAGCGATGACATGAGGATCAAGTTCATGGAGGGCCGAGGCGGGACACCAGGCAGCGCCTCAGACCCGAAGTGAGACGCGGCGCCTTCTGACTCCCACCATTTGTATGCGATGTCGTGGCGGAGAACGGCTCACCATTGACCCCTGAAATCCTTCATGATGTCTAGGAGCTTGTTGTAGGCCTCTGGCTGTTCCAAGAACTGCGCTTTGGCTGGGTCGAGGTAGCTGGGCGCGTCGACGCCTATGTTCAGCGGCCTGCCGAGTGCTCGGGAGGGCCTGCGGACGCCGGGGGGCGGCGGCTGGCACCTCGCGCGGCTCTGGTGGGGGGCGGCGTGGCTGGGACGATGGGGGGAGAGGACGCTCCGGGACCAGCGGGCAGGACGCGGAACAAGACGAAGACCGGCGAGGGGACACAAGAGGGCGAGGTGCGTCGTTTACTGTGTCTTACCCTGGGACGGTTGTTGACGGCATGCAGGCTCGGCGCCCTTCGCAGCTGTGGGGAGCGTCATCGGCTGAGCGTCTCATAGCGCGTCGACGGCCCTTGACACTGCTAAAGCTGAAGAGTGAGTACTCGTTTGAGCTTTGTCGCGAAACGGTGACTAATGCGGGCTTTCCACCTTGGATGCGAGAGGCAAGGCGCAAGTGGCAGCGACATGGGACCAGAGGGGCGCTCTTTTCGGCACAAGGTGCGTCCCCCGGTTTTCCAAGGGAGGGACAATGTGCGCTTAATCTGCATGTACAGGATGCATAAGCTTTTGTGGTTGCTATACAGTGGATGAACATACTGATGCAGGGGGCTGAGATGCCCTTTTTGTGTATATGGATTGCAAGGGAGACGAGTAGTATGACAGGTGAACGTACACGTTTTTCTGTTGTTTATCGACTTGTCCACGTGCGGTGGCTACATGCGGCGTGCGCGACTGGAAACCTGCCAAGACCGTGTTATATCGGCATTAGTGGCTGGACACATGGTACCTGGGTCCTGATCACCAGACTTCCTACACTGAACAGGTCAACCTTCTGCCAGCTGGTTAGGCGTAAGCTTGTCAAAGGAAAGCTCTACGGCAGCCGTTGTGGGTATGTGGCTTGACTGTCATGCGACTTGATAATAGGAAATACACCGATCGTACATCTACTCTCCAGGAATCCTTCGAGGTGGGCAAGGGTGCTTCCTAGATTCACTTCGGCCGCTCACGCGCTACACTACCGTCTTATCGCTTTCATCATCACCCCGCACTGGAGTGGAACTCTGGTGGTGCGCGGACCGTCCCTGGGACCTCAGCGACCTGCTGTGCGCGTGGGCCACTGGATCCCTTATGAGGAATGGACGTACCTCGGTACCAGTCGCGCCTTTGGTCGCAAGCAGCTCCTTGAGCTCGCCGCGGCGGGCGAGGTAGGCGGCGCCTGAGTCGGCCCAAACCTGATAGTTGGTCACCTTGGCCGCCTGGTCAAAGTCGAGCATGTACGCGAAGCACTCGTCCCACGTCTGCCCCGCGCCGGCGCCCTCGGTCCAGGTGAAGCGTGCGACGCCCCTGCAAGCGACGCGCTGCGCGTCCTCGTCGGCGACCCAGGAGCCAAAGGACATGCGCTCGAAGGAGAGGTGGGTGCGGAGGAGGTCGAAGTACGCGCGCACAGACTTGACCCTGTGCGGCCGGTGAAGTCGCGGCCAAGGAAGGGGGCGAGCTCCTCGAGCCCGTGCTCGATTGCGGAGATCGCGTGCGTCGTGGAGAAGTGGTCGAGGAGGGTGTCGGGGTCTGCGCCGGCGGCGAAGGCGTCGCAGAGGTCGTGCGCGGACTTGAGCAGCTGTGCGCGGGTGGGGCGGGACATGGTTGGGATGATCGGGAGATGATGGTATACGCGGGGCACGTGGGAGGAGGCAAAGAGGCGAGTGATCGGGATTTACGTACATGCTCGATTCGGGCGGCTGCATTGCATGCCTGCTCTCTCAAAAGCCTCTTCCGGTTCTGCCTGCCTGCCGTCTCCGTTTCCCTTCTTCTCCTCCCTTCCTCTTTCGCTGTCTCTCATACTTCCCCCTTCCCTTCCTCTTCTTCCGCGCCTCCCTCCCGTCGCCCGCATGTCGTCCATCTCCACCTACGACGAGCCCAGTTCAAGCTACCGCTCAGCAGTAGCGGTCGAGGCAGCTTGCAGGAAAGGGAGGGCGCGCGCACCTCGGAGCCTCGGTACGCCAGCCTCGCTCCATAGTGCTGTATCGTCGAGACAAATCCCATCCCCGGTGTCTACAGAGGCCTCTGTGCCGCGCTTGAGTCAGCCTCGAAGCGAACTTCGCACTACGAGCAGCAAATTAAAGACATTGAGGTCAGCCTTACGTCCCGCTCTCACTGGGCCCGGCCGTCGCCCTGCCTTTCGTTGCCTCGCCCGCATCCATCTGCCCGTAGACGTGGATACGCTTCCTCGCCTCTCTCCTGCGCGCGGAATCACATGCACCGCGTTGCCCCTCCAGCCCTGTATGCTCCTAACTCTCCCTCACATCGGACGCGGGGTGTGAGCGGCGGACTTGGAGCGGTCCAAAATCAGCAGACGCGGACGCTCGACTGCATACAACTCCAGTCTATATCACGCCGCTAGCGCCGAGCCACAATCATATGCCCCTTTATCGACCTCGCAACTCACTCCCCACATCCACAGGGCAAGCTCGCGCTCGACCTGAGCAACGCCAGAGCGATCGAAAATCTCCTCCATGAGGTGTTTGCGAGCATACAGGTACCCTTCTCCTTTCTGCCACCTCAGCATACAGTCTCTTAGTCTGTCGATGTTTCTAGCAACCGGCAGACCGGACCGAGTTCGCTTTGACGCATACCGCCCCCACCATTGCCGCCTCCCTCGAAGAGAACTTGACCATTCTCACAGACCTTGAGGAGCAGCTTCCTGAGGTTGGCACTCAGATTCGTGACATTCGCAGAGTCTATGACCGCGGTCGAGAGAAGGTCAGTCGATTGCAGCTCGGTGTCGGGATCAGCGCTCACGTCGCTGTATGCACAGGCCCAGCAACTCATGACGTCGCTCGAATGGCTGAACACACCAGTATCGCTACGACTGCGTGCCATCATCTTCACGCCAAATGCGCCAGTGGGCAAGCGTTGGAAGGTCCTCGTGGTGAGTGTTTCACACTCTCCTGTCCCCTGCGCCGTTACCAAACTGCGACTCTGGTAGCGAACGATATTTGCGATGGTGCTCTGCGCTTGTCTATGGATCGCATGGATCACTATCTACGGCGCAGTACGTGCCCACCGACAGCGCCTCATGTGGGGTGAGCGACTTCTCAGCTGAGCGCCAATGTGGTGCATCTCCCTTCAATCCTTGTGCGGTCTCTCCTCCCCTTAGTCTCTCCTATCCCCCGCACGCATTCTCCTGCATCTCATCTCATCTCTCTAACCTCTCTGCTCGCTCTCTACGCCTCTATGACCCCCTTCCTTGCACTCGGCACCTCGGTTGTCTTTCCCGACTTCGATACCACGTCCTCCTGCTTTGCTCTCCCCCACATCATTCCGCCACTACTTCCTCTGCAATAGCCGCTGTAATATTATTGTATATGGTATCGGCACGTTTTCACGCTTCTCTCGAACGTTCATTACGGATCTGCAATGAAATCTTATTAGATAATCACTCGGCTTATAGTCAGATAGCCGATAGATTCTCTCCAGAATATCGTATGAGCAACTCATAGGTGTCGTCATCGTTTTTCCGTATGTGGACACATACTGATATAACGTACTACATAGTGGGTCATAGGCTACATTCGCTGCACACCGCTTACCTAACGCGCATTTTGGTTTCCCCGCTCGAGCTTCGTTGACTCCGAGGGAGACCGCGAGACGACGAGCGGGTACTCGTCCCAAGGACCACGAAGAGGTATGCGCCAGGACCGATGTCCCTCCCTTGGGAAACCGGGGGACGCACCTTGTGCCGAGAAGAGCGCTCCTCTGGTTCATGTCGCTGCTTCTTGCGCCTTGCCTCTCGCATCCAAACTGGAAAGTCCGCGTTAGTCACCGTGCCGCGACAAGCTCAAACGAGTACTCACTCTCCAGCAGCGTCAAAGGCCGTCGACGCGCTATGAGACGCTTAGCCGACGACGTTCCCCACCGCCGCGAACGGCGCCGGTCCGCCAGGGCTTCGCAGGAGCCTGCATACGAGGGCCGTCACCAACCGTCCGAGGACAAGACACAGTAAATGACGCACCTTGCCCTCTCGTGTCCCCTCGCCGGTCTTCGTCTTATTCCGCGTCCCGCCCGCCGGTCCTGGAGCGTTCTCTCCCCCCATCATCCCAGCCACGCCGCCGCCCACCAGAGCCGCACGAGGTGTCGACCACCGCGCCCCAGCCTCCCCAGCGTCACTGACAGCGCGGCCAGTCCGCGGCTCGAGTCCGCCGTCGTTCCCGGTCTTGAGGCCGACGTCGGTGCTGATCCCGAGAACTTGTCCCTCCTTGACGTCCTCGTTGACCGGCAAGAGGCCTCTGGCACGCCGGCTCCTCGTCATCCCGCCAGACCCGCCCTCGGCGGCGCGAGGGGAGAGCCGATTCCTCCCGTGGCGCGCCCGGAGCCCGGACTGCCCAGCGGTCGGGAGCTCCAGCGCGCCATCCTCGGCCACCCCGGTCTTGCTCCTGCCCCTGCGTGCGCCGCCTCCGAGGTCCCCCAGGGCGGCGCGAGGGGCGTGCGATTCGCCACCCCCGCTGTTGGCCCCGGGCGGCGCGACGCAAGCGATCGGAGGGGCGGCGTCGGCGTCGACCCACACCTTGAAGTTCTCGACCTTGCTCACCACCTGAACGAAGTCGGCGTCGGCGGTGTCATCCTCCTCGGCGGCGTTGACCCACACCTCGAATCTCTCCGCCTCGCTGACCTCCGGCATGAAGTCGGTGCCGTCCTCTTCCTCGTCTTCAATGTCGTCCGCCCAGCTCCCCACCGCCAGAGTCTTGAAGAACGCGTCCGCGTCCACGACCCCTTCTGCATCCACAATGTCACTACCCGGTCCGTCTCCAGACAGCGAAGCACGACGTACCCTCTCTCTCCTCATTGGCCAGGCGCACCAGGCGCCCGGCCTCGTACGCCTCGTACTCTTCCCGCAGCCACGCCATCGGGGCCTTCACGTAGTCTTCTCCGTCCCAGTGGAAGAACGGGCTACCGTTTGGGGTTGCCCATGAGCCGCCGACGATGGTGCTGGTAGTGAAGGACATGTCGCCAAGAGCTAGTAGTTCTGGTGCAGACGGTATAAGGGTAAGGTGGTGAGCGGTCGTCGAGCCGCGGCCCGACTTTTATCGGGCCGCGGAGGAACGTGCAGGAGGCTGACACGGACCCACGGAACTTACAGTCGGGGCGGAATTACAATGGACCTACGTCACACACGAGATGTGGTCATTACCGCGATCACCCAGACCGTGCGTACGGAGACGCAGAAGATGGACATGGTGATACACAAAACCCGGAGTGAGGTCCAACACCGGACTGACGTGCCTATTTGACGCGCAAAGTTGTGGTACCCATCACAGAATAGCACGAGTCTTGCATTTGAAATACGACGGGCCAAGCAAATATCTGAGCCACAACGCGAAAGCATTAACCTCAGCGGTGCACTGCTGTCCACCGCCTTCAAGCACCCTGTTCAGATTTATCCTGCAACGAATGGTATGAGCGTTAAGACGGTACGTGGGGAACTCGTTACTCACGGATACGTGGACAAAATATAGACCGCCGGAGCACAGATATACAGGTTGGATTTGTGCACTACGCGGAAAGAATAGTATCGAGTCTGTACCGGTTCCTTGAAGACCTTCGGGAGCGAGCTACGGTCGTCAGTGCTATGGACTGCATGCTAGTGAACATCGAAGTGGTAGACGGCGAGAGAACGCGTGTCGGTAGTTCTTCTCCGCCACGAGTGCATGGCGCACTGCGAACCGAATGCGATCACCTGGCGCACTACGTCGTCGCAGGCAACAACCCGTGCGCCGCCGGGCCCCACTCTTCCCAACGCACGGTCACTGGAGTGTCCGGGTTCGCGGAGGGATGCGTGGATTGAATGTGCAGGGCGTGTCTGAAGATGGTGGCGATCGGGATCATGAACACGAATGCTTGACGGTCCTTGATGCGTGGGTTGATTCCCCGTAATGAGATGTGCGCCGCGAGTACGGTCGCTGCTGGGTCGTGTCGGATGGTGCGCTGCAAGTTAGAGCGCACGACAGGATGGCGAATGCTTGTGAATAATTGGGCAAGGTTCCCTTTGAAGACTGAGGAAACTCGAGGCGAACCATTTCACGCCCAGGCGAGTATCGGGTAGGATCGAATTTGATCACGTCGATCTCAAAAGGGGTGACTCTGACAGCATGGGTGCTGTTCAGGATGTGCAGCGCTATTTGTTCGTTTTCGGGGGCAGAAGAACCGCCCTCGTCCTACGAATCATGTCAGTCTCAATCCTCACCCAAATACTCTCTTGCCATACACATTGGCCAATCTTCCGGTTCAATATTTGCAATTCTAAGGACTGGCTGCCGAATGTCCATGCCACGAGATCTTCGTGGACTTCCAGCAAGTCAAAGGGGTCGACTTCCGGTGCAAGATCGTGCAAGATCTCGTACTAGTAGTGATTGCTAGCATCGGGATGAGGGCTCCTTTCAGCGATATCGCAGCGCTGAACATAAAGCAGTCCTGGCGGAAGTGAGATCAGAACGAGCGACAGTGGGACAGATGCAAACAAAGGGAGCTTACTCTCCGCGCCTCAGCCTGGTTATCACGAGAAGAGATCCACGGCGAAGGAGCCAATCCTTTCCACGGCGACCGGGACGGCTGTCAAGGGGACGATCCACTTGTCTTGCGCCGTGCCAAGGAGCGGAGATGGTAGTCGAGTAAAAGAAAGACTAGGGCGATCGCCGGCCCAGAGCATCTCGATGTACACATCGTCGTCAAACGTATGCGGATGCTGTTCGCCAAGAAAAATCGGGGATACTTCGTCAGAGTGGAATGTCCGCTTGTAGTCGTGGACGCTATCCAACTCTTGAGAGTAGTGGAAGAACGTGAGCATTAAGGTCGAGAGCTACAGGTCGAGCACACCTCGTACCTGTCGGCAGACAATGAGATCGTTGACGGTCGCCTCTGTTAACACGTGCACTTGAAGTTCTTCTGGGAGAAAGAGAAAGGAGTGGGGGCAGTCGGTGGGTTCTGCATAATCGACGAAGGGCTTCGAGACGGTGGTGGTTGAGTCGAGACTCGAGACTCGAAGACTGGCGCGCGCTAGCAACACCACCACGCATACGCGAGTCTCCCTATTTGTGACCGCATAGGATGAAATCTGGCAGAGTTGGCCAGAAAATACGGGAAGTACTGTGTAGAGGTCACGATAAAGCATCGGAAGCATATGTCCGCCGGCTTTCAGAATCTGGATATGCGCGGCTTGATGCCCCCAGGTGGTCAGGTTGGACGCAACGTCATCCAAGGAGCTTGAACGCTGTACGACTTGCATGCATCCCCACGGGAGATACGTATGTCTCGAGAGTGGTCAACGAGCGAGGCTGTGGTGATAATCGTGGAACAAGAAATACATCACGTAGTCCCGTTATGCTGCCACGAGCGGACGCCGAATCCAAAACATGTAGTTGCACCCTTCCGCCCACACGCTCGCTCCTGGCGCGCCTCGGGGGACAAGCGTCCACTCGCCCTTCCACGGCACGTAGACCATCCCGCAAATCTCGGCCTCAGTCCGCAGGGGGCGACCCCCGTACAGGCGCGATATCCACGGCCGCTCCGTCTCTGGCGCGTCGGAGGTGACGGGGGCCTCGAGGAAGAAACCGGCGAGCTCGTCGGGGTTGATGTACTTGGAGTAGGTGTGTGTCCCGGGAGTGACGAGCTGGAGGAGGTGCTCAGCGGCGAGGATGGTGAGCGCGTACGAGAGGGGTGTGCGCGCGATGGTTGAGAGGAAGAGATGGCCACCCGGCTGAGAATGAGGGCGTAGCACGGGGTAAGCACGCGCGTAGGAAGCGCGAGGGCGGAAACGCACCTTCACCAGAGTCGCACAATTCGACAGGAACGTACGGGGGTTGTCGACGTGCTCGATGACTTCCATCGAGCATACGACATCGAAGGACTGGGGACCACGCCGCGCGAGAAGATCTTCCACCGATGTGTGTTCGTACGCTAGGGTGCCCTTGCCTTTCGAAGACGCGCCTGCTGAGAATGAGGGGTCCGCGCCGGCGTGCATGGAGGCCATGGCGATATTTGAGGGGGTTGCATCAATACCGAGGGTCCGGCCTCCCAACCTCGCCAATGCCTAATGATGTTATCAATGAGCACCTGCATTGTGCAGTAGACATGGTTGCGCACCTCACTGAGCAATCCCCCACCACACCCAACATCCAGTACATCCAGCCCAGTGAGCGGGCGCGCCTCGTTGACATCCTCCTCGCCGTCTTCACGCTGAATCTCGAGCTGTTACAAGGCATGCCCGGTCACATCGCCTGCATCATCCATAGGTCAGGGACGGGAACAAGCGTACCACTTTCTGGCGGACGAACTCCATCCGCACGGGGTTCATCCGGTGGAGGAGTCCGAATTCGCCGCGCTCATCCCACCACGTCTGCGAGAGTTTGGAGAAGTGCGCAATCTCGTCCGAATTGACACTTGACTGCCCATTGCTGCCGCTGTGCCCTGGGGTCGCATTAGAAAGCGTTGAATGGCGCCTGCAGGTGGTAGCGAGAGGCCTTGAGGTTCGGAGAAGTGCAGTCCGAGGGACACGAGCAACTCGTGTGAAGGAGGTCGGCATAGCGAGGTCAGCGCGTACGCCAGATGTCCAGCGGGAGTAAAACAGGCGGAGAACAGTCAAAAGAAGGATGTCGAGGAGTGTGTAAACGGGCGGATGAAGGAGCAAAGGGAGGAAGGTCGCGCGGTCTGCCCAACGCGTTCGACGCGTCGACGTCACAGGACTTCATCTGGATTGAGCGCCAAGCCGCCTCCCGAGTCAAGATGTACTTGAATAACGCGCGATGCTCGTCTGCTATGTCTACAGGGCACGGAGGCAGTGCATACAATTCTGATCTACAACATGGCCAAAGGAATCGATTGGGGCAGCGTGAGCTCCATGTCCGTCCAGTGTATACCAGTACTATATGGATCCACCTCTGGGAACTGGATCCCATCGGCATAGACAAGCTTGTCCCTCGATGCCATGGGCTCGGTAAAGTTCGCGCTCACACCTTCGTCCCTCGCTTTAAGCAAGGGCGCGCATCGGAACGGCTTTGTGTGGCCCTTGTATCCCCCGAGATCGACGTGGTGCCATTTCGGCGCAGCGACCAGTCCGTCGTGCCCAGGGTCGGCTGATGGTTCGAGAGGAGGCTGGAACAGCTTTACTGTCGAGAAGTGGGTGAGGCTGGTGGGAATGGAGGCAAGAGCGAGAGTGGCTTGATGAGCACGGCAAAGCACGCCTCCGAGGCAAACGTGACCGGGGAGTAGGAGATGGCCGGGTATACGCGGACCTCAGTTGCACTTGGCCGGTCGAGGGAAGGCGTAAGACGAATTGGGCGAGTTCTCGGGGGAAGCCCCAGTTCGAACGGCCTGGGGGATACGATGAGCGTTGGGGAATGATGAAACAAGGCGAAAGCTGACCGTTGGCCACTGCAGCCAGGCTTGACACATAGGAACGGGTGACCGATGGGAAGGCTCCTCAAACGGATTGGTGAACTCGCCCGGAGCGACGGCGAGCTCGTCATACGGCCCTGTTGGTCGGTTAGCTTAGTGATAAGACATAGGCACGTCGTGCATGTTTACCTACTGGGGTGTCGGTGTAGTGCATGAGCGCGACAGCACCGCGCCCTCCACGGAATGCGCCTTGCTCCATGCTGCCTTGTACAGATGGTGCTCCCGGGAGGGGAAGTAGTTGATGGGAATCCCGGCTTCTGGCCGTGATACTCCAAGCGAGGTCACGAACCACCATGCCTGAACGGAAACCGCGTTAATACGGTCCACTGTTGGTGTGTTCGAATGGGGCGCATGTGCACCTCTGCTTTGACGTTCCAAGGCGCGGGCGTGGGCTGCAGCGAAGCAGTGGACAGATACTCTTCTTCAAAGCTCATGGGGGCGATGGTGGCGGTTGACGAGAACCCGCGAGGAGTGTATGTAGCGGAGGCCGAGGCAGTGCGGTGCGGATCCGGGCACAGGGATCCTCCTAAGTCCCGAAAGCGTTGAACATGGACTGCGCATGCGAGCGGTGCGCCATCGCCGTTCAAATCAGGCGTGGCCAGTCCATCCGGTCGCTGTCGGAGCACGGCCGTTGCAACGATGAAACCTCGCGACGAGTAGGCGCCCACGGCAAAGCCCGTCTTCGCGCTCTGCTTACCCAAGATCCGGTGGCTGCATCGACTGTACAGTTCTGTCCCGATTTGTCCACGCCCGCCTTGTGCAGATTCCGTAGCAAGTTCGTCACCGTACTCGACGCCCCCGACAACAATTCCCTCAAGATGGTGCGTACTCTGTGTTGTGCGGCTGTGGCTCGAAGCGCTGACGGTACGGCCTGTGTTTCAGACGAAGCGCACTCGCAAGGTCGGCGTTACCGGCAAGTACGGTACTGTGAGTACACCCCCCGCCCGTTGGTTTCGACGTCAGATGAGTGGGGGTCTGGATCGCAGAGGGAGATACTGATGGACGGCCTGCGTGTAGCGTTACGGTGCCTCCCTGCGTAAGCAGGTCAAAAAGGTGCGTCCTGAGTAGTTATTGCGTTCCTCCTGGGGCACTTATAACATCTGTGCAGATGGAAATCACCCAGCACGCCCGTTACACCTGCACCTTCTGCGGCAAGGTCAGTGCGGCTTGACTAGCGAATTTCCAAGTCGTCCATATACTCAAGCTCCCTCTTCAGGACGCCGTAAAACGCCAGGCGGTCGGTATCTGGAAGTGCAACTCATGCAAGAAGGTTATCGCTGGTGGTGCGTGGACCCTTGCGACAACAGCTGCAGCGACTGTCCGCAGGTACGTTTCCTCATCTGTCGTACTACATCGTTATATTCATATGGGTCTTCAGCACCGTCCGTCGGTTGCGCGAAATCACGGAGGCGTAATGTTGTCGGGTCGCTTCGCATGCTGTGTCTCTCTCCTTTCACGCATATATGTTCCACGCTATGAGCACCACCAATACAGCCCATGTCGCCGTTGTATTCTACCATGACTTCACGAGACTGCCGACTGCCCTCAAGAACACAGTGATGTCGCGGTGATGAACAAAGCGTTTATTGCGGAGCCTCGACAAAGTACATGGTATACGCCAACGATCATACAAACAAGAGCCACAGATACAGATATTCGAACTAGTCGTCCTCGTTACTGGCATGGTCAGCTGAATCGTCGTCGGACTCAGAACCCTCTTCTTCGCCTTCTTCCTCGTCTTCGTCTTCCTCCTCGTCGCTCTCATCACTCTCACTCTCATTGAAAGTGAGAGAGATGAATTCGTCTCCGAGCTGTCCTTCCTCAACTGCAACCTGACGAGAGCTAGACGCACCATCACTTGCAACAGTCCCGTCAGACCCAGCCGAAGAAGAGGACAGAGCGACGGCAGCGGAAGATGTTGCAGTCGAGGGCCCAACGCCTGAGGACGTCGGCTTGCGGACGCGGTTCGCGCGGATGACATGAGGCAGCTTGCAACCCTTGGTGGTGCACTGGCCCTTCTCCGCAAAGTCGGGGCACTCGCGCACGTGCTGGTGGTCGCAGTCCACGCCCTTCGCGCAGTAGCCGAGCACGGCGAAGTCGCGGCAGATGCCTTCGCGCGGGCCGACGCGTACGTGCGGGAAGGGGCACGCCGCGCGCGTGCAGCGGCCGTTGTTGGCGAAGTGCACGCAGAGCGGCGTGCGCTCCGGGGTTGGGTCGTGCGAGAGTAAACACGAGTCTGCGGTGTGCGTGCACGAGCCCTGGAGGAACGGCCAGCAAATCGCGATCTTGGACGGGTCGTGCTGGTACATGCAGGTGAGGCCGCGGTTGCAGGAGCCTGCAGCGGTGTGGGGGTAGGGGGCCATTTCGTACGTAAGTCTTGGTGGACGATGATAACGGGGGCGCACCTGTGGTAGTGAAACGTGGACAAGGCTTATCGGAGTATTTGCGCTTGGGGGCCATACGGCGGGATCTGAGGTAAGCGGTAAATGTGCGATGGGCAGAAGGAAGAACTGGAGAGACAGACTGGTACGGTCTTCGTGTATTGTCGAGAGTCATGTTGCGGTTCATGGGTCGGCCTCGTATTGATGATTTAGGCTTGTATGGCCGTGCGGAGTTCATAAGTGTGCCTGCTTTATTTCTAACAAATCCGTGATAACGCTTGGGAGGCACGGTGGTACTGGGTGCCGAGCTTGTCGATGGTGGCTTGAAGGTTACTACAGGTTTAGGTACTGATGCGCCGTTCAGATAATGGGAAGTTCGTGCGGTTGTGCATCCAGTGGTCGCCGACCCTCGAAGAAACGCAGCCATTCCAGCTGACGACTCCTCCGACGGTGGCGAAGGGCTGAGTTCGCCAATGGGTATTGACCACACTCACATCCAGCACAACCACGGCTTGCACAAGAAAGGTAGGGCTAGAACTCACAGTCTTTGCGCACTAAAGAACGCCCAGATGATTCAAAGGCGATACCATCGATAACTACATCACGTTTATCTTGCGTTGAGGAAGGTACTGAGCGAGGAGCTGGGCGCGGAACCGGACGCGGGGCAGAATTTGCAGCAGGTTGCGGGTAAGACGTTTGCAACGGCGGTTTGTAGTTCGGATTCACGTATACATTGGCGCGAGGACGGGCAGAGGTGGCTGGAACTGGTGGGCGAACGGAGGCGGCACCAGTCTTGTGTTGGTTGATAGCACCTATCAGAAAAGAGTCAGCCCATTTCATCGAGCTGCAGGATGCCAACAGACCCTTGAGGCGTTCTATCTCCAATTTAAGGGCAGCAGCGGAAGAACCGGGGGTGGTCATGGTGGTACGAGGGGAAGGGTTGAATGGGTAAGCGAACGTGCAGTGGTGCTAGATATAGCAACCGTCTCGGACGACGGACACCAAACGCCCTTGGCCGGGCCGAGCGCAGGCTGAACTATAGCCTTCTCTTTCTACCTTCGCTATCCATGAGCAGGATCCCTCCCTCCCTAGTCTATCTGACCATCTATAATCCTACACTCAAGCCCACACTACTAGACCCAGAGAACGAAGATGCAGAGGAGCAAGCCCACGTGCTGTTCTATACTGCGCGAGAACATGCTGTTTCTAGGGATAGGATCTTGAGGCAGGTCGGCCTAGCGAAAGCTCTTGTGAACTTCTCAGAGTGAGTGTACGTGTTATAATAGACACCACAGAAACGCTATGCTGAAGGGGTGCTCAGGTTGTTCAACGGTAACCCATGCGAGAACGTCCGATCTCAAGGGAGGCGGATGATCATGTATTCGCCAGAGCCTAATTTCTGGATGCATGCTGTGAGTTTCTCCTTTTGTCTTTCCTAGGCGAATGCTTCAGGTTGCTGCATCGGAATTTGGAAAGTACATCGAGTTTTGATCTGCTGTCGTTGGACAAACCAATACACTCGAAGTCCATGCCGCCATGAGCGCTGTTCGAGCTGATGAGAAACCCTGCAGTGCTACGAGGTCGCGAAGACACCCCGCCCTCTGCCAACGAGCGCAAAGATTAAAGACAGTTCCAAGGGAAAAGCCAAAGCCAAAGAGCCAGACTCCTCTCGTCCAAATGTTCTCTACGACTATCACGACGGTTCGCTTCATGACGTCGCCTTGCGATCACATCTACAGCGAGGATACGAAGATTTCAAAGTTGGTTTATGGAAAGCTTGTCGTCTTGCCTCGCCTTACTGATCAGTATTGTGTGCTTGGAAGCTCTTGCACGGATCGTTCACGTCTAATTTATCCAGTGTTGGTCAGGAAGGCTTGGAATTACGACTAGAACGTTTTTTTACAGTGGTTGCATGGAGATGGGACCCGGAGGACGATAGTTTCGCCACTCATCTTGGTATGTGGTTTTTCAAGAGCTAATCACTTTCCCGTGGTCAACTGAACAATCACAGGGGTCCCGCGGCACCCTCTTCACCACAAACTCAATCCTATACTCGACAAGTTCTCAGCTTTGCTGCCAACAGAGCTCACAATATTTGCACTATTCCCACCATACGTGATACCCCCACGGACACAGTCTTGTCCGGCCGCTCTTATGCGGCTTATCCTCTCTCGAATCCCGCCCACTGCTACACCGGTTGCTTCTCATAAACGCCAACCATCATGGCCCCCTCCGAGCGCGGCGCTCCTCACTCCTCCCCCGAAATGAAGTCAACCCAGGCAGCGGAGCAAGGATTTTTACTCACTCTCCCTATGCCTGCCATGCCGGCTATGAACTTCAGCCTCGACGTGAAGAGCTTCAAATGGGGCTTGCCTGGAGTGCTGACGTTCGGGAAGGCAAATCCAGCGCCATCATCGCCGCCTGCCAGTTTAGCTGCCGTCGTCACTCCCCCTCTAGAGACCGCGAACTTACAACCCAACCCTTCCCAGAAGGACGCGCTGGACGTGGATCGTGCGTCGCTTCTCGAGGCGATATCAACAGAGAGCATAGGTTCATACACACGTGCAGCCTCGCCAGCTCCTTCTGCTCTCTCGAAGAGTTCACAACTCGTAGAATCAACTTCTGCGAGCGGGGTCAACACCACAACTTTTCCCGTTGAGACTCAAAGCACCCAGAACGAAGACACGCAGGTTTCGTCTCCTAATCCCCCGCAATCACTGAGCTTAGACACCGCGTCGTCTGCAAGCTCGTCTGCTTTCTTGACCACCAGGGTGCATATAGACAGCCTGGAGGACCCTCTAGTGAGCACCACAATAGCGGTACGCTTCTTAACGGTATGGTCTCCCCCCTCTACATCGAACAGTTCCTCCGTACTCATATCACCTACAGCGAGGAGAATGTACGGTTGCGATCGTTGGAGACAACGGGGAAGACATCAACCAACGAGCAGACGATGTCATTGAATTAATGGGGGAAATGGAGACGATTGTTTCGGAACAATCTCTGTGAGTGTTTCAGGACATCCACCTAACTGTCTGTTAATACGGCACCCACCGCAGTACACGCGACTCACAAATTCCGTCTGCGGCGAAGATTCTTCAGCCGAAAGACAAATGCATCGTCGCCACCGGGGATTTCTCGATGACGGGAACCGCCCCCTTCATGTCTCGATCAGAACACCTCTACAACGGACAGGAGCTCTTGCAGAGGTACGTCTCAGAGCGATCGAGGTTGAGGTCGGCGCTCACGCTTCGCCTTGTAGTGGCCTCGACATTTCCGAAGTGTTTTCTCGCGGTCAAAACCCTCAACACTGGTACATCGGGAGGCGTGGTCTCGGAGTAGCTCCGGATGGAGGTCATATAGACGGCGAGGCGTACATGGAAGTTGCTCGCAAGGAGACGACCCTAACGGATGTGGACAATGCGCTCGCTGGTGTAGTGAGGAGGTTCGCAGACCAGATGTGATGCGCCTGCCCATTCGTTTTTTCCGTCGTTTTCAGCCCTTGTCCGTGTATGACATATGAGTCGGTAACTCAGTAAGTAGTACTCGGGCCTCATTGGGGACCATGAGGCGAGCACAGCTCATGGCCAGTGGCGTGGGCGCCCTGGTGGCAAGGCGCCTAAACGGAATACGCGGCCATGTCGGGGTGGACGGTTTTCAGACTTTCGTCTTTGCCTCTACCTCTTCCACTAATGCTATGCTGACACCGCCGTCGCCATCCGCCTCTCCCTCATTGACTATCCAGGATCCCGCCAGCAGTCGCAAGAGACAACGCTCGTTATCTATGGCATCAGAGGCATCCACCTCCTCCCCAAAGCGCTCCGCCTCTCAAGATCCCCAGGCCGCCGAAGCGAACGACTCGCCGAACCCCACGATACCTACGAACACGATCACGATGACCGACAACGACATAGACGAGTACATGGCCGAGCAGGGTGAAGATCATGGCACCAACCTCCCCCAGCCCACATCATGGACTACCGCCCAAAAGCTGCAGCACGTGGAGGAAGGCGTGAAAGAGGATATGGTCCCGGGGGCAACTTGGTATGTTGTGTCGAGGAGATGGTACCAGCGATGGAGGAAGGCCATGACAGGCGAGGAAGACAAAGAGGGCGTGCTAGACGAACAGGACGTCGGACCGGTGGACAACAGCGCGCTCTGCAGTGCGTCTGGGGAAGTCATAACCTCTCTGGTCGAACACGTCGATTGCGAGTTCGTGCCGGACCGGGTGTGGCGGTTGTTCGAGGAATGGTGCGTACAAGTCCCGTTCCCTGTTGATGTCGTTGTTCCGTGGATTGGCGTCCAAAGCTTCCGCAGGTGGCGGATGGCGGGTGGCGAGCTCCAATGAAATCAGGGTCATCTCCGCTGGTGTGCGACATGCACCAACCTCTGCACGCCCATTGTGTGTGCACAGTTTCACACGTATTCTTAATGAGGCACCGCGGGGGTCATCGGGATGTACCTTTCATCTTCACTTGGCAGACGAGCATGAGCTGGACCGTGACTCTGAGGCGACGCCTATGTCCCAATCTGACGAAACTGATATCATCCCTGTCTCGCAGGTATGGGACACCCAAGTTCCCGCTTCCACGCAAAGTCGTGCAGCGTGGCCTTGCACAAGAGACGGCCCTAGAGCTCTGTCCACCTTCATTCAATATTCACATCATCTCTACCTCGAGCATCCCTGGGCAGGCACTTCCGCCGACAACGGTTACAGTCTCTTCAGCGGACAAGGTCAGCAATGCATGCAGGGCCTTCGCGGAAGCCATGGACGCGAGCAAGGCTGAAGGTGGACAGTACCGAGTGTGGCGAATCCCATCGAGCACAACTCTGAACTCCATATTCATCCCCGTGGATGCCTTCCGAAAAAGTGGCGTGATGCTGCTCAATGGCGAGGAGGGTGTGGTTGAAGACGAGTTTGTGGATTCCGGAGAGGCCTTCGCGGTGGAGTTCATGTCGTCTGGAAACTGGCTTGTCGATGCCTCCAACTTCGGTCCCCCGCCACCTGCCCCAGTTTCTGTCCTGCCCCTGACCCAAACTGCTCAACCCGCTCCGCTCTTCAAGCCGTCATCCGACTTTGTCTCGAAGCTGGAGCAGAGGACTTTACCGACCGTCAGTGTCACTGCAACGTCCCCGTTCAAACCCAATGCCGTGTTTCTGTCGCGAAACCTGGGCCTTCAGCGCGCACAAGGCTCAAGAGCCTGGAACCATGGGTCTCGGGAACATGTGAGTCGTTGATTACACAACGTATGAGGTCTGCTGCTGAGCGACCGCAGGGGAAACACGTGCTTCATGAACTCTGCCATCCAATGCCTCGTCCATACCCCAGAACTCATGGATTACTTCCTTGCCGGCGTATTCGAGGAGGAACTCAACCCGGAAACCCACTCGGCATGCATGGCGCGATCGCAAAGGCCTTCGGTGCTCTTCTGCATCGAATCTGGGATACCGATGCGGTGTCTTCACACTACACGCCTCGCGAATTCAAGCAGACATTGCAGCGTTTTGCTCCGCAGTTCAGTGGTATCAGCAGCACGACTCGCAAGAGCTCGTCGCGTTCCTTCTGGATGGACTCCAGAAGACTTGAACCGCGTGCTCCAGAAACCATACGTCGAGAAGCCTGATTGGGAGGGTGGAGGTGACAAGGAGCTTGTCGAGCTCGCGAATGTCTCATGGGAGGGTATATGAAGCGTAACGACAGCGTAGTTGTCGATTTGTTTCAAGGCCAGTATCAGAGCACCTTGGTATGCCCCGAGTGCGAGAAGGTGTGTAATTGTCGACGTCATTTGTACAACGCAGGCTGAAAGGTCTACTAGGTCTCCATTACTTTTGATCCTTTCATGTACCTCACTTTGCCCCTGCCTGTTAAGAAGAAGTGGCAACACACCGTCTTCTACATCCCTTGGGATCTCAGCAAACCCCACATGAGGGTAAGTGTCATACTTTGAACGCTAAGGGTTTACTGATCTTCTCTGGTAGATTCCTGTGGAGCTCAACCGAGACTCGTCGTTCAAGGAAGTTCGTCAGTTGCTTGGTCGATGGATGGACACCAACCCAGACCATGTAAGAAGAGTCGTGATTCATACGAGACGTGCTCATCATGACACCATTCGTAGCTCCTTACCTTGGAAGTCTTCAACCACCGTTCTACAAGAACCTTGATGATACTGTGCCATGCGACGAGATGTCGGACAACGACATCATCGTTTGCTTTGAACTTCCGTGTCATTCCCAGCAGGGAAGGAATTACTCGCCGCAGCCCGATGATCCCTTCATTGTCGCGGTGTTCGCCCAGGACTCTAAACTTTCCACCAACGGCATCGGGCGCGGCTCGACTCTTTTGGGTATCCGTTCGTTGTCCCCGTAACCCAAGAGCAAGCAAAAGATCCTGAAGCGATGTACGATGTTGTCGCAGAGCGCCTACAACGCTGGACTGCTCACGCTCGCGATCTTTCGACCTGGGTGCAAGGCCGGACAGACGACATGGAACCCGTCCAGATTCCCATCTCTACCCCGATACGCGATGCTGTCGCCGAGATCACAGAAAACGGCGACGTTGTCACTGTCGAACCTGCTCCAGAGGAAGGCGACATCGTCGATGAGAAGGCCGTTGTGGTGCAGCAAGCGGACGAAGACGCGGAGATGTGTGAACAGGACAACGTGCCGCGCAAGACCGGTTTCAAGCGGGAGGTCTTCAGGTTGCGCGTGCAGAAGAGCACGCAGCCGCTTGGGATCGGCACAACACGTTCGGATCGAATGCTACACGCTCCGATGCCTTGGACGAACGCAAGGCCAAATCGAAGGATGGAACGCTGCTTCTCCCTCACGACGTGTTCTACATTGAGTTCGACGAAACAATCAAGTCGTACTACTTCGGCGACGAGCGGAATCGGTACAGCTACGCTCTCTGGGATACGTGGGAGGAGTTCGTCCATCCAGAGCTCGCGGCATCGCGCCAGGCGGCGACGACGGTCAAGAAGAAGGGTCAGTCTCCAGGACTGCCTCGACGAGTTCACGCGGGAGGAGAAGCTGGGCGAAGACGACCTGTGGTACTGTCCGCGCTGCAAGAAGCACCAGCAGGCTACGAAGCGTTCGACCTATGGAAGGTGCCGGACGTGCTTGTCGTACACCTGAAGAGGTTCAGCAACAGCCGGATGCTCCGCGACAAGATCGACGCCTTCGTCGACTTCCCGACCGAGGGCCTCGATCTTACAGCAATGGTCGGGGAACGGTCCACCGGCAACAAGCTGAAGGCGCAGGGCGCGGACGTTGAGGCGCTTGGGTTGACGGATCTGGAGGAGCCGCTTGTGTATGACTTGTTCGCGGTGGACGAGCACATGGGTGGACTGGGCGGCGGGCATTACCGCGCTTACGCGCTAAACCACGTCACCGGCAAGTGGTATCACTTCGACGACTCGTACGTCACACCATCGTCGGCGGACAAGGCAGTGGTGAGCGGCCCTCGTACTTGCGCATGGTGCATGTGGAGACTGAACCTCTGCTTTCTAGAACGCGAACGCATACCTCCTCTTCTACCGTCGGCGGACCTCTCGCCCGCTCGGCGGCAAGAGCACGAGAAGATTTCTGCGGCGCAGGCTCTACAGCAGAACCCACGTCAGGCCACTCCCATCCAGGACATCCAGCTGCCCACACCGCCCGACGAAGACTCGCAGTCGGCAGGCTCGCAGCGGCACAGCGCAAGCGGGAAGCAGCCAGCTAGCTGGCCGACGCCAAACTCGTCGTCGCGCGGGTCGCCGCCTCCTCCGCTGGAAACGACGGGCGAGAATGTGTCATACGGCTTTACACTCTTCGATCCGATGACCCGGTCGTCAGCGGACTACCCTGAGGTGTCGTCGCGGGGCTCGCCGAGCTCGGTGGACGCCGAGCCCGATTTGGAGGACATCGACGACGACGTGGATGGACCGTTCTCGGACGAGCATGTGCTGCGTATGGGAAACGGGGGCGGGCCAGTCGACGACGACGAGGTCCCGGACGTGACGATGCTGACTCCAGCAGAGTCCGAGGTGGAGGACAACGATGACCATATCCCGGGGTATTCGCCGCAGTGGCGAGGTCATTGAGATTGAGACGCATGGAATGGACAGGCGGCGGAGTGGCAGTTAGACTGAGCTAATGAGTAAGTTCTGGTCGAAAGTAGAACAGCAGCATGTAATTTCGGACCGTCGACAATGATTCGTGTATCACTAAGGTGGCGGACACCAGGAACCGACATGGTTTAGGTAGCGGGCGCCCACGGCGACGACGAGCTAAGGCTCCCGGCTCACACCCTTGTTCGGCATTGGGCTGCGGGACGTGTAGTGCAGACTCGTAGGAAGGCTTCCCAGGAAACATAATTTAATTTCATGGACATGGGCACTTCTATAGCTTTTTTTCCGCATTTCTAATAATGTCGGAATCGCATTTTTGATGCAATTGGGAGTCCAACGGTCCGCGGCAGGTAGAAATTGAAACATAAACGCCATATCACGTGGTATGAGCGCTGGCTGCAGCCAATCCACATCCGCAGCACTGCACTGTGATGGCTCAGGCTGTATGGCCCACTGTAGCATGGAAGCCATACACTACCTCGGCCATTGCATGAGTCAAATAAATTTCAATAAACTCTTCATTCCTTCCATCGAGTTGCAGCACTGACTCAAATTCGCATCGACAAGTCGATATTGAAAAGCGCCATAGGCGCCGGTTACATAACCTGTCGGTTCTGGTGTCCGCCACTTAGCATGCAGCGCTGGTCTCGATGCTTGGGCGCGGCGAATGGACGGCATTTGGTAGTCTTGCCACGCACCAGTGGGCGACGTTCCTAGGGTCACAGGTCGCAGCCAAGCGGGAGAGAACACGTGCGGGATTGGAGGGCCTATGGAGGGGGTCGGATGGTGTCGGACTGCGCTGCCGCACTCCGGCGCACTAGGATTTCGCCCGCGTTCATCAATGGGTAGTCCGGCACTGGCTGGGTCACAAGCACCGTGGAACGTGCACGCGACGGGGAGTCGGGGCCCGCCGTTCACTGCCAAAGTCTAAAGAGCACTCTGGGCAGACCTCATAAGCCCCTGGGACACCTACCTCTCCGTCTGTAGTAGCACCTCCATCTCCCTCGTGTCCCCTGCCGCTCTCCCTGTTTGACCACCCACACCGCGGCCATGTCTGTCCAGGGTGAGTGTGGCCGACGTTCGGTGCGCCCGACGATCTGACGCGCGGCTCAGCGAAGCACTTCCTCAACAACCCTGACACCCTTGTCCTGGACTCCCTCCACGGCCTCTGCGCCCTCAACCCCCAGCTTGCGCTCGACACAGAAAACAAAGGTGTGTGGTCTTGCGATCTCCCAGAGCCACACTCATCGTATCGTACGTCGCAGTCGTCTATGTTGCGTCTCCTGACTCCTCGAAGGTCGCGCTCATCTGCGGTGGTGGTTCCGGCCACGAGCCCTCCCATGCCGGCTTTGTCGGCGACGGCATCCTCTCTGGTAAGCATCCCGCTGAGTATCTGTGCCTGTCGAGCGATCTTCGAGCCCGAATCCGCACCTCCAGCGGCTGTATGCGGTAGCATCTTCGCATCGCCCAACCCTGCCCAGGTCAGGCGCGGCATCGATCTCGTCGGGAACGACAAGGGGTGAGCCCCTGCTTTTCCACTGAGCTCCTACGCTCCCAACCTAACCCCTCCGTTCTCCCAAGGACCGTAATCATCGTCAAGTGAGTGCCCTGGCACTTCCTCGTGCGTGCGCGCAGTCATGTCTGACGAGCACTCGAATAGGAACTACACGGGCGACATCCTCAACTTCGGGCTCGCGAAGGAGCAGTACGCCGCCGATCACCCAGACCGGGCCGAACGCGTCAAGTTCGTTATCGTGGGCGACGACGTTGCTGTCGGCAAGACCCAAGGCAAGATCGTCGGCCGCAGGTGCGCACGCGGATCCCCGCCACCTGCTTTCTCGACGTAATCGCTGACGCATGCCGCGCACAGAGGCCTCGCCGGCACCTGTATCGTTTACAAGATTGCCGGTGCGCTCGCGAAGCGCGGCGCGAGCCTCGATGAGGTCTACAACACCGCCCAATGGGTCGCCTCGCGCGTCGGCACCATCGGCGTCGGGTTGGAGCATTGCCATGTGCGTCGTGTGTGATCATTGCGCGCTGCATATAGGCCTCTGACGCTCGGTGGGGTTTAGGTTCCTGGAACCGCGGCAGGCGAGTCGCACTTGGGCCAGTCGGAGATTGAGATTGGTATGGGTATCCACAACGAGCCGGGACACCGTCGTCTCTCCCCGGTCCCTCCGCTCAAAGAGCTCCTCCCTCAGCTCGTGGAATTCCTCACAACGACCACCGACCCTGAACGGTCATTCCTTCCATTCAAGAACGACGGCACCGACCGTGTCGTGCTTCTCGTCAACAACCTGGGTGGCGTGAGCGAACTTGAGCTTGCGAATGTTGCCGGCGAGGCTCGTCGCGCGCTCGAAGCGAAGGGCGCGAAGATTGAGCGCATCGTCTCTGGCACTTTCATGGTGTGTGGCCATACACGGTCGCTCAGGCCCGCTCTCACAACGAATAAATTTTCAGACTAGTCTCAACATGCCCGGCTTCTCCGTCACGACCCTGCTCCTTCCCTCGGCGGGCGAAACGGGCGCCCCGGATGGCTCTCTCCTTCTTTCGCTCTTCGACGAGCCGGCAAACGTGCCCGGCTGGAAGTGGTCTTCCTGTGCCTCGCCCCCCGCAATCGACACGATCGGCACCGGTGCGAAGAAAGCGGCGTCGACGACCAAAGAGGCCGCGGCGGTGATCAGCCTCCGCGCGGATGACCCGCAGCGGTTCAACGCCGCGATCGAGCGCGCGTGCAAGGCCCTTGCGGACGCGGAGCCCGAAATCACGCGGATGGACAACATCGCGGGAGACGGCGATTGCGGGCTGACGCTCAAGGCCGGAGCTGGAGGTGTGCCTTCTTTCAAATATGTTTCTAGCGTTCAGCCTTTCGGGCTCGCTCGGCTACCGTCGCGCGTTCTCCGGGGTGCGCGCATGTGTTTTCGGCCCGAGGCTGACCGTGTGTGTTCCTGCCTCTGTGCAGCCGTGCTCAAGGGCCTCCAGGAGGGACGGATCTCGGGCGAGGACGTCACACGGTCTGTCATCGCAGTCGCAAAGGTTGCGGAGGAGCAGATGGGCGGAACGAGCGGCGCGCTTTACTCGTGAGTCCTTCGCAGCGTCGTCGCAGATCGTCGCAGATCGGAAAGCAACTGACCGGCCCGCTCTCCCGCACCGCCTTCATCCACGGCACGAATGGCAACTTGAATGCGCGGCTTGTGCGACCGACGACACCGCGACACGCACGGCAGGATCTTCTTCTCCGCGCTCGCCCAAGGCCTCCAGGCCAACGCCGCGGGCGCGCAGACGGTCTCGCCCGCGCTGTGGTCCGCGGCGCTCTCGGCGGCGCTCGCGAAGCTGTACACCTACACGCGAGCGCGGCCGCCCAGCCGCACTCTCGTCGACCCTCTCGCCGCGTTCGTCGGCGCGCTCGAGGGGTCGAAGGGCGCGGACTTCGCGGGCGCTGCGAAGGGCGCGGGCGAAGCTGCGCTGGCGACGCGGGACCTCGAGGCCAAGGCCGGGCGGAGCGCGTATGTCGAGGGCGACCGGCTGAAGGCGGAGCGCGTGGCGGACCCGGGCGCGTGGGGCGTGAAGGTGGTCGTGGAGAGCTTGCTTGGCTGAACGGGGCTACATACGAGGCAAGAGAGAATGGACGAGCGGATGGAGCGGGAGTCGCAAGTGAATTTGTAGGCATGAAAATGTGTGTGTACGATATGCGGCGGCTTGGCTTGGGACGAATGTTCGAATGTACGATGCGCGACTGTCGCTCGAGCGAGGCGTTGGCTGGTCTCGTTATGTCTAGAGCGGGGGGTGCGCCGTAAATTGCTTGATGTGCGGCTTTTCGGTCCCGCCGGGCGTTCGGCCTCCGAGAGTTGTGTGGCCAGCCACAGCTGCGGGGAAGGCACCAGAGTGGGCGATCGTTATAATAAATGAGCGGGCTAAATGTCCGCGTGCGCCCAGGCGATCGATCGTCCTGCGAGCACAGTTAACATCTCTGGTGGCTCACGCACGGCAAGCGAGTGCGGTCGACAACGTCTCGCACACGCTCTCTCTCTGGCACGACAGATCTAGTTGGGAGCAGGTCCGGCACGCACGCGTCATGTGCCCCCACGGCCGCAACAGACGACGCGCGGGTCGGGCGACGCGCGAGTGTGCGGTGCTGACCAGCGACCACCTGGTATCCCGGAGGTGGCTGCACCGTGCACCGCACCCACCGCGGTGGCGGTTTGTCGTCGACCAGGCGATCGTCGCCCGGACGAGCGCCGCAGCCGCTCGACGTGTGTTAGTGCGTCGGGTGGCGGAGCGCGGGGGAGCGGGTGGCGGGCGGACGGTGATCGCGCGCGCGGGTTGTTGGCGCGTGAACGCGGTTTATGCGACACCGCACTTTCAGGCGGGGCTGGGTCTGGAAGCTGAGGAAGGGTTGAGGCAGAAAGTTGATGTCAAATCGTTTGTTTTGCGCGGGTAGAGGTTATGCGGCAGGATATCGACAGGCGCGATGCGTTGATGCTGTAGTGAGTCCAGACGTCGTCTCAGTAGGGATAACTGAGTGTAGTTGGAGGGGGCGTTGAGAGCATGGCTTGATGTGCGCGTGCGAAAGGAGTGGACACCCATGACGTCATCTTATCCTCCTGCTCTAGTCCCACCCGCAACAGCCCGCAACGCCCGTGAAATCCGCCGTGCTAGCGTAGATGGCACGGTGTAAACCGCCGGATGGAATACTTGGAGTGGTAGGCACAAGTTTCAATATCAGAAGGAAGAAAGGGTTGGACGGTCACAGGAAAACCATCACGGAGTCCCAGCACCCGAAACAGTGGACGGACGGACGACCATCAGCGCAAAGAACGATCATTGTGAGCTGGCCACAGAACTCAGCCGTAAGTGCGTTGATGCGCGGCGGGGTGTCGGTTTTGGGAGCGCGGTCTCAGCTGGACACGTCCGCGTGGACCGCGCAAAGAAGTGAATCCGACCGGGGGGTTCGTTCGTCGCACGGAGTCGCTTGAGCTCGAAGCGGCGGCGGGCGGTGTGCAGCCTGCGAGGCGCGCCCTGAAGGCCTGACTGGTGCCCCGCAAGGCACGCGATCGCGTAGGGTTCAGGTGCGTCTTACCAGAAGCACGGAGACTCGCGCGCGGGGGCATAGTCAGATGGTTGATGGCTATGCCTGTCGAGGGTGCTGTGTGGATCAAGGGTCGAGAACGCTTGTGCGTACTTGACCCCGAACTTGTGTACATCCAGCCTGGCCACCCTTCGAAGTATCGGGGGGCAGACCGAGGCTGATCGGTGACCGTCGTGTGCACGCTGAAGCTCGCCTTCGCCGTTCGGCCCCGAGGGGAAACACATGCGTGGGTCTTGGCGGCAGGAACGCGTGGGTCGTCCGCCGTTCGCGGAGATGGGGCGCGGGTGGAAGGGAGGAAAAAGAAGTCGGCAGCGGTGCGCGCGACGCGACCACAGAGGGTGGTTCCTGAGCCGGGCGTCGGATGATGAGTGGATGATGGGTGCGCGCAGCCGACGAGCCCTCCCCGCGTCTGACGGGAGAAAAAAGTGTGGAGAGCAGGTGGGTGCCCCACGGGACGTGATGGACCGTGGTGTTGGGACGCGGGTGCTGGTGCGGGGTAGGCCAGGGTAGGCTGCCGAGGACGTTTGGTGCGAGGGTGGTAGGTCGCGGCTAGCTTGGTTTGGCGGGAGGACAGCACGAGACTCGGACATCGATCAGCACCAGGAGGCGGCGATAAGTCCGGCGCATCTGGGGTCGACAGCGGGGAGGCGTTCAGGAGGTCAATTTGCGTCCAGTGCGAGACGTTTTCGATGAAAGGCCTGCGCAGCGAGCCCAGACGGTTCGGGCGCCGTGGGGGATGGATGGATGGGCCGCGGGCGAGGGTGGGCGACCGGGCGCGCAAGCCCCGAGCGACGTTCCTGAACGGCCCCGCTTTCGGATCAGACGCGCGCTCCGGGCTCTCTGCAGCGTTGTGGAGGTTTGGGTTCGAAATGGTGCTCTCCATGTCGCCACTGCTTTCGCCACCCTCGCGTTGCCGTTGCGGTTTCGCTCTGGCAGTGGCACGCAGGGCGCGGTATGGCAGAGGGCGCGACGGTAAACGTTCGAGGCGCGCCGGGGGCTGCGGATCTTCGTCCAGCGAGCGGCGCGACGGTTCACCACGCCCGGTGAGCCTTCCGGGAGCCGTGAGGGCCTAGCCGGTGACCGTTCCGTTGGACGTGCTCAGGCGGGGGACGAGCTGGGACGAGGCCCCTCCGCCGGCCAATCACCGTTCCCGACGGGTCGGCGAGCAAACGCGTCGCGAGCGGGCCCAGGCGGGGAAGTGCCTGAACGAGAGGTCCTGGGCACGGGCAGTGGGCACAGGCGTCGGGGAGGACGCATGGTCGCCTGGGGTGAAGACGCGTTTCACGGCGGAGGCGACGACGGCAAGCCCGACGACGCGCCCACCGCCAGCAGCGATCGGGACCGGCTGTCGGCCCTCGCGCCGGGTCCCGCGCCGTGGCTACAGTCGGCGTCGCGCTCGCGCCGGGGACGAGCACGGACGGGTCTTGACAAGTTCGAGCTTGAGGACTGGTGCGGCAGGAGGAGGGCTACCGAGCGCGATTGGCGAGCGACGGGGCATCAATGGCACGGATCTGCGTGCTCAGAGCACGCGGACGGGCAGCCATCAGCGACGCCGACGCGGGCGAATGCACATTGCGAGGAGCGATCGCCGCGTCCGCGCGGGCGAATGCAGGCGAGGGGCGGGGGCGGGAGAGGGCACCGCGGGGCGTCGGTGTGCGCGGTGGGCGCGGTGGGCAGACGAAGGGGGCCAGCGCGGGCGAGGGCGGGGTGCGGGGCGCGGGTGCGGGGTGCGGGGACGGCGGGCGTGGGGCGCCTCTGGGGTTAATCTGATCTGGCTGATGGCCCACATGGGATGGAGCGACGGGCGCCTGCTCGTCGCCCTCCTCTTGGCTCGAACGACTCCCTGCTCGGGTATAAAATGACCTCGCCCGCCGCCCTTCCCCGCTCGTGGTTCGCTCGTCCACTCCCCACACCCGACCCGCCTCTCTCCCAACGCATCTTCCCCAATCATGCCTGGCGGTCCCGTTGCAACCGGCGCCGGTATCGGTGTCTCCGGCGGCAAGAACAAGCTCGCCGGAATCTTCATGACCGCCTTCGCCGCCTTTGGTGGTATCCTCTTTGGCTACGACACCGGTGTCATCTCCGGCATCAAGGAGATGAAGGACTTCCTCACCGTCTTCGGTGTGCCCACCACCAACGTCGCCACCTACCCGTTCGGCTACTTCCTCCCCTCCTCCCGCGAGTCCCTCATCGTCTCCATCCTCTCCGCCGGTACCTTCTTCGGTCAGTCTCTCTCTACTCTCCTGTCCCTGCCCCTCTCACCCGCATACACACAGGTGCTCTCCTCGGCGCTCCCGTCGCTGACATCTTGGGCCGTCGCCTCGGCATCGTCGCCTCATGCCTCGTCTTCTGCCTCGGTGTTGCCCTCCAGACCGCCGCTCTCACCATCCCCACCTTCGTCGTCGGCCGTGTCTTCGCCGGTCTCGGTGTCGGTCTCGTCTCCACCCTCGTCCCCATGTACCAGTCCGAGTGCGCCCCCAAGTGGATCCGTGGTGCCATCGTCGCCGGCTACCAGTGGGCCATCACCATCGGTCTCCTCCTCGCCGCCGTCATCAACAACGCGACCAAGGACTTTGACAACCACTCCGCCTGGCGCATTCCCATCGCCATTCAGTTCATCTGGGCTTTCGTCCTCGTCGTTGGTATGCTCTACCTCCCCGAGTCTCCTCGCTGGCTCGTCAAGAAGGGCCGTGACGTTCAGGCCGCCGCCTCCCTCGCCCGCATCACCTCCCTCTCCAAGGACGACCCCGAGATCGAGAGTGAGTTGAACGACATCCGTGCTGCCCTCAAGGAGGAGCAGGACCGCGGCGAGGGTTCATACGCCGACTGCTTCAAGCCCTCCCACAACAAGATCCTCCTCCGTACCCTCACCGGTATCTTCATCCAGGCGTGGCAGCAGCTCACCGGTATCAACTTCATCTTCTACTGTAAGTTCCCTTCCCTGATCTACGCCCGTGAGATCCCCACCCTAATCTTCCCACCCAGACGGCACCACCTTCTTCCAGAACTCGGGCATCTCCAACGCCTTCCTCATCTCGATTGCCACCAACATCGTCAACGTGTTCGCTACCCTCCCCGGCATGTGGGGTGTCGAGCGCTTCGGCCGTCGTTCCCTCCTCCTTTGGGGTGCCGCGCTCATGTGTGTCTGCGAGTACCTCGTCGCCATCATCGGTGTCACCATCTCGATCGAGAACCACGCCGGCCAGCAGGCGCTCATCGCCCTTGTCTGCATCTACATTGCTGGCTTCGCGTCCACCTGGGGTCCGATCGCCTGGGTCCTTACCGGCGAGATCTTCCCGCTCAACGTTCGTGCTAAGGGCATGTCCATGTCCACCGCCTCCAACTGGTATGTTTCTCCGTTCTTGTCTGCTCACGTGAGGATGTGTCTGATCGACCGTCTCTCACAGGCTCTGGAACTTCGCCATCGGTTACGCCACCCCCTACATGGTCAACACCGGCCCTGGCAACGCGGGCCTCGGTGTCAAGGTGTTCTTCATTTGGGGCTCGACTTGCGCTGGATGCTGGGTCTTCACCTACTTCTGCGTGCCAGAGACCAAGGGTCTCTCGCTCGAGCAGATCGACCTCCTCTACCAGAACTCGACCCCTCTCACCTCCCGGCGCTACCGCGAGGAGATCCTTGCCCAGGACATCCACGTCGGCGACATCAAGGAGGACCACCAGCACCACGACCACGTCGACGAGAAGACGCAGGAGACCGTGTAAAGCTGCTCTTCCGTCTGAACGCTACCTTTATGTCCCCCGCGTTGTGTACGATTCGTAGGCGCCTCTTCCTAATCCTCCCACCCCCTTACGAGCACGTAGTTGTAATGTGTAACGAGTACCTCACGACCGTCACAGCATCCACCTCATCCCTCTGTTTCCACCACTTCTCTCATCGGATGTTTTGGGCGTTTCCCCTCCACACCCCTTATTCCTATCGTACGTGTGGGTCGCTCATCCTGCATGCCAGTGCTGCACTCGCACGGATTTGCGTGCGGACCTTGCGGTGTCTTTATACCTCTCGGAGCCCGGAGTATCTGGTTCATGTAGTGGCTTGGGCAAAATGACAGTGTTCTCTCTGCTGCTTACGCTTATCTTGTGTGTCTTTGGGTGGCAGCCGTCGTTTTATTTTACGGGAAGGCGCTTGGACAGCCTGATCTAGTAGGCTGCGGCCAACCACATCCACGTCACCTAGGTGCGCTCCCTCAGGCTCCCTCGTGCGGGGAGGTTGGATATACACGATTAACCTTTGTTGGATACAGCCACAGATCGCCTGTGCGGCGCATGACCGGTATTTGTAACGCGAGCCATTGGCATGATTCCGCGCGAGTGGGCCAGAAATAGTACGCAGAGCACCCAGGCGTCCGCGCTATAGGCTCGATGGTGACTGAACGCGTCTACACGGACGCCAGTGGGTCCAGATCGCAGACGGACATCGTGACCACGACCGTGTGGCTCCTCGACATCGACCGCCCGAAGGAGCACCGCGACGCGATCCTTTCGCACGCGTGGGACCTCGAGGGCGAGCTGACGTTCTAGGACCCGCGCGCGATCCAGGACGAGGTCGCGAGGGAGGCAAGCTCGGGGCTCAAGAGCTCAAGCGGCGCCTCTCCAAGCTTATGTTTCAAGTTTCAAGAGCGCGCTCGCCCCGTCCGCACCGCACTCTGCCTCTTCCTGCTCCGCTCCGTCTTCCTCTGCAACCGCCTCCTCGTCCTCGCACTCGCACTCCTAACGGGCGCGAAGACGCGGTGCTACGGCGCGCGTCGGTCGAGGTGCGCGGGGTACTGCCGCATCGACAAGCGGCCGCGGCGGACGTCTGCTTTGCCTTCCTCGTGGCCGTCGCGGGAGACAACCCGCGCGCGCGAGGCGCAGGGTTCCGGTGGAGCCGGTGGGTGCGGGTGCATCGGATGCTGTCAAGCGGCTCTGACCAGGGTGCGTCTGATGTCGACGATGGGGGTTGCTCCCCTATCCCGAATGTGTTTTGCCTCCTCCTGTGTTGTTTTTCATCGGAGTCTTCCATTAGGGGAGTCTATCAGTCAGTAAAAGAGAGGAGTCATCGCAAAAGCTGGCCAAACTGATGGATACTTGTCGCTTGACTCCTCGCACGTATCTACGCTCTGTTTTTCGTTCAAGGGCTTCATCATTGGGAAGAAGTATGCTTGGATGGATCCGGGAGGGGATAAAGGCGTTTCTTAGATGCTGCATATGTTGTAGTTACAAGGATACGATAGTATCAACTCCGGCCGTACTTGCCCTCGCCCTCCCAGCGCCGTTCGACGACGAGAGCGTTGCTTTCACCATACTAACACAAGGGAATGGCATTGTTATCAAAGGGTTCACATAATCGGAGTCGTGACTTCTGTGGCCGAACGATCTGCTGAGCAGCAAATGACACATTTGCCTCCGAGATAATCTAGATTCATTTTGGATGGGAATATCTGGCATGCATCATCACACCCTAAGGGCCGCGTGCCACTCCGTGGGTAAGATCGTCTATGCGCCCGCGGCGTTGGCCTGAAGGCCTTGTGCGAGTGCCAAGAGAGACAATACTGTCGTGTGTGTCGTGGTGCCATTCGTGCGGTGGATAATGGCAGTGCGGAAGAGCGGGCTGCTTCCCGGACGGCGCGGAGCACAACGCGCCGCTCGTTCCACTCATCTGTCTAACTTCCGCAACTGTGACGACGGACCGCGTGACGTCCTCACCCGAGATCTATCCTTCATTGAAGGCTCTTGAGCACAGCTGCATATCCCAGCAGAGGCAGGAACATGCACTGTCAGGAATGCATGCGCGCACCCGTGCGAAAGCAGCCGAGCTAGCTCAAAAGGCTGAACGCCAGAGACGGCTACAAAAGAAAGCACATCCACCCCCGGCAGTGTGGCGGCGCGGACCGCTTCTTCGTCGGCCACTGCGTCGAGCGCGTGGGAGTGTCCCCGAACGCGCACTTCCCCGTCGTCGCCCTCGAATACGCGAGGCTCTTGGCCGGCGGGGACACGGCGGTGCGCGATGTGCGCGTGTCCTACCGTCCTGCAAGGCCCACGGACGGGATGGAGCGGGCGGTGGAAGGCACGCCGCCGCATGTCGGAGATGCTCGTGCGACGTCGTCGTCCCCGGTTGGATCGCCGCGGGGCTGGCGAGGCATGGGCTCACGATGGGAAGGTTTGTCCGGCAAAATGGCGGGGGGAGGGGAAAGGGACACGGCAACGGTACGAACGCGGAGGAGACGATGGGGGAGACGACGCACCCGGCGGACGCCGCGTTCGTCCTCCGCGGCGCAGACGAGACGATCCGCATCCATATGGGGAGGTGCGACTGCCTCGGGGCGCGCCTCGCCGTCGTCGTCGCAGGGTCGGGGTCGGGGTCGGGGTCGGTCGCGGTGGTTCCGCGCCTTGCGTCTGCGGCCACGACGGAGACGCTGTCTTCGACTTCGACGTCGGCATCGTCCGTGGAGCAAGACAAAAAGCGGCGGCAGGAGATCGAGCTGGGAGTGGGAGTGGGCGAGGGCAGCTTGGGGATGCGGTGCCCATCGGGGCGCATAGCGACGTGGGAGGGCGGGGCGAAGGAGTTCGTGCTCGGAGAGCGGCGCGTCCGGCTGACGTTCCGGGCGTGGTGACGCGGGGGAGTGTGTACTCGATGGGTGTCGAGCTGGGAACGGTGGGTGGAGAACAATAGCGCAGGGTGCAGTAGGCAAGGCTGCGGGTATGCTCTGGGGTAGCGCGGTACTGTCTGTGGTTTTAGGTTACGGAAGGCGAGCATGGCTGCATGGGCGTAGCATGGCAATAAGCATACCCGGACTTACGCTCGGAATACGTGTAGTATGTGTCCGATTGAGGCGGGGCGTGAGGCGGGCCACGGTGTCGTAAGGAGAGGGTGACTTCGCCAGACGGGGGGAAGCAGTGAACGACAACAATTGACTCAGAGCGAAGCACTGCGCATGAAATACCGGCTGGGATCCTGCGAACAGGCGATGGTGTGCTTCTGACTTGCGCACAAGACGCTCGGTCCCATCTCCCGTCTGGCTGCCTACATAGGAGCGAGAACGGCGAGCGAGAGTGGGCCGGGCAAGCTGGGGGTTAACCTCGAAAGGCGTGGCGGAGAAGCTAGCGCCGACCGCCAGTTCCCAAGCGCCACGGAAGCGCTTACATCAGCGGCGAGGGAGCGCAGGCCAGCGAGCCAGGAGCTCCTTCTCTAGTGTTCTCACTCACCGCGTCCGCCCCGTCCACTGTCCTTTCCAGCCTGCCCGGTCGCGCCGCCATGGCCAGCTCCTCCTCTTCCTCTTTCGATGCCGCCGCGTCCGCCGCCAGTGGCAGCGACGGCTTCACGTCGAGCTCCGATCTCCTTCTTGGCTCCTTTGACCCCGCAAAACTTCATCCACTGGCTGGTCTCGAAGACAAGCTCGACTACCTCCAGCTTGATGACGACAAAACAACCGACCTCCCAGGCGCGGAGGGTGCCATTCCCTCGCGGGGTTGGAGCGACGATCTGGCTTATGGCACCGGGACGATGTACCTTTCTGGTACGTACGCACGCTTCATCGGTGTGCGCCCCCGCCCCCGGTCCATCATCCTTCTCTTCGAACCCCAGCTCGTTTTGATGATGCTAGTCCACCCGCACGTCACCCTCTTTCGTCACACCTTATCGCCTCTTATTGTTTTGCACCATCACATGCTCACACCCGTCCTCCAGGACTCGCCCTTGGCGGCGTGTGGGGGCTGCGCGAGGGCGCACGGAGACCGCTCGCAGTGTCCAATGCCCGACTCAGGATCAACAGCGTTCTCAACTCCGTCACCCGCAGAGGCACCTTCATTGGCAACTCGGCCGGTTGTCTCGGTGCGGACCCGTCCTCCCTCCACCCTTGACGTGTTCGCACTCTAACGGATCCCCCTCTCTCTCCCACCTCGCACAGCCCTCGTCTACAACGGTTTCAGCTCCACAATAGACGCGATCCGCGGCGAGCACGACATGTACGGGAGCATGGCCTCTGGCGCGCTCACTGGCGCTTTGTATAAGTCAACCGGTGCGCCTTCTCGATCCTGCCTCCCCGATCAATCGTCCTTATTGTCTTGCCACGTTCTAGCCGGCGTGAAGCCCGCTCTCGCCGCAGCAACTTTCATCTCGGCCCTGGCTGGTGTCTGGAGTTATGTTAAGACTAGAGTCTAGTATTTTACCCCCTGTATAATCTATCGCATGCTAATCTCATGTGAGTCATCGCTCCCCCGCTTTCTACACCCCCTTCTGCTACTGCAGTTAAGTTTAGATGAGACGTTCCGCGGCGGGCCAGCAAGGGCCAGCCGTTGACTCGGGCCTCGGCGTCATGGGTTTGACATTACCTACCTCTAAGCCCTCCCGCCGTGGAACCGGCAGAAACTCTGCATCGATCAGCCTTCCGGGTCGCAGTTCCCCTCCTTGTTCCATGCCCTCTTCGCGTATTTATGTCCGCGACCAGATGTGGCTAAGACCGCCCCCTCGGCTCATTGACTCGTTCCACGCTCCTGGGTCCGCTGCCCAGGCTGTTTGTGGACGCCCACGCAGTACCTGTCACCGAAGAGCGCTGTCCGGACTTCAAAAGGCGTCCGCCTTCGGACGGTCTCTCCCCGCGCACCCACTGCCCCTCCTCCTTTGGCAGTCTTCGAGCGCGTATGGTGCGCAGTTTTTTCTGCATGCCTCCACGCTGTATCCCGCTTCACGCTTTTCCTTACCACATGGACAGCTCGCGGAGTCCTTCCACATCGTCTCTCGTTCAGCCCGTGAGGGACAATGTGAGGGCGCCGGCGCAGGTCCCTCACCGTCGCCGAAGGATCGCTCCAAGGTCTCCATCAACTTTCTCTCAAGCGAGCACACGCATCCAGACTCCTCGAACCGCGCTAGAAGCCCTCCGTCTCCTTTGTCCACCAGGGCACGCGGGGTCAACCGGCCCCTTGTGTTCCCACAAAATTTTGATGATGTGCGGCTCGAAATCGAGGCCGCGAGCAGCTCCTCCAGGTGAGCACTTTGTCCTCATGCACGCTCTCCCCGCATGCGTACGTGCTGAAAGATTCGGCGCCAGGACATATCGTCTGGAGATTGTGCAGCATCCAGACCGGACCGCGGAGTCCGGGGCGTCGACACTCACGCGGCTGCCGTTGGCACCGCCTCTGATTGTTCAACTGCACATGCGCACGGCTGACGGACGGGATGTGACTGAGTGAGTGGCTTGGGCAAGAGCGAGGGGAGAACTGAACCCGGACCGTGGCCGCAGCGAAGCCGAGTTCCCGTTCTTGGTGGCGCAGCTCTCCCTACTCAACGGTGAGGGAGGAGCGCCCATGGACTACGCAGCCGGGGACGTCGATGGACGCGAGCGGCTCCTCTACGGCAGCCTGGTCTCGTCCCCGCAGATACTCAACAACCTGCGCGGCCACCGGGGCATGTACTTCCTCTTTCCGGACGTCGCCGTGCGTCGCCTGGGCCGCTTCCAGCTCAAGGTTGTCCTCATCCGCATGCCTCAGTGAGTGCGCCAACTTTGGTCCCCGTCCCCCGTCATTTCCTGAGCATGGCGCAGACTCGACGAACCGACCATGCTCGCTCAGCGGCGGAGCCCGACAATCGTCGCCGCTGCCCAGTCACTGCCGTTTGAGGTTCAGCCCCGCGGCGGGTATGTCGCTCCCGGTGTGTACCCGACGTTTCTGTGGCGCGGGTTCGACATCGCTGACCGACACACAGCTCAGACGCCGTTGACGCAGTACTTCCTCCAGCAGGGGGCCCGAATGTACGCTTTTGGTTCTAACGTCCAGCTTGCCCGAGGCGTCCGCTGAGCCCCTGCCCCCACTCAAGGACCGGGTCACTCCCGCGCGCTCTGTAGCCCCCTCCCCCCTCCACACTTAACCCAAACACGCACGCATCCACACACTCCCTCACGCCCACGACCCACGCACGACGCGGCAGATCCCGCACGAACCACACACCGTCTATGGTTACCGTCGACTGTGTGCCGGCGCGTGGCGCGAGCCTTAACCGCCGCCCTTGTATTCTGACGACTCCCCGCGACGCGCAACCCCTGCCTTCGACCATTTCGTTCTTACACAACCCCCTTGTTCTCGTGGACCCATGCCGTTCGCCTTGTACCCACACGTGTACACGATGCGTTGTACAGATGCCGTATCCGTATAGAATAATGCCGACATTCCCGACCTCGTTTGACGGTCACCAGTCGTCTGAGCCTGCCGAATGGCCAGGCGCTCCAAGGACATTTGAGTAAGTTGCGTCACCCGGTTGAGGCGAGGCGGAGCGCGAGGTGGGACGGATATTGGAGATGGGCGGCCCGTGATGAGGTGAGCAGCCGCCGCCGCATGTTTGAGGGGAGGCGGGTATTGGACTAGTGGTCCGTGGAAGGCGTCGCGGTGGCCGGAAGAACCTCTGTGCGTACCAGAGCGGCGGATCGAGGAGAGGCAGGAGGCTGCTGCGTGCGCAATCCGCAGCTTCGGGGCACTGAGCTAGTGCCGCTCAAGCTGTACGATAGGAAGCCTGGAGAGCGAGCGGTTTTGGCTGGCGGGTGCACCGGTCTGCACTGCGGACGAAGAGGGTGAATGTAGGGGCTCTGGAGGAGGCGGTGGGCATGACGGGAGATTGGTCAGAGGAGGAGGGTAAGCCAGAGCCGAGAGGGGGGCACCCGCGATAGCGCCCGCTATACCCGCAGACGCTCGGCATGTGGGCCGATGGCGCCCACGTGCGGCGTGGCTGAGCGGTTCCATATATAAACACCCCAAGGGTGGCGCCGATTAGCCTCTCACACTTACACCTCACGCACCCCTTCATGTCGAACAAGGATTACTACGGCGGCGGCGGCCAGCAGCAGCAGCAGCAGCAGTACTACCCTCCCCAAGGTGCGTTCTTCTACGCGTAGGTGGCTGCCGCGCCGTAGTTTATGTCCTCCTCCAGGTCCTCCCCCGGGCCAGGGCGGCTACTACGGCGGCCCCCAGCAGCCACAACAAGCATACGGCCAGCCTGGCTATGGCCAACAGCCCTACGGCCAACCTGGCTACCAGCAGCCCTACCAGCCCCAGCCTCCGCCACAGACCGTATATGTGTACGTGAAGTCCTCCTGCACGCGCGAGGGGCCGGTCCGTCTAACCTCCTGTTCACAGTCAGCAGCAAGACAAGGGTGGAGCCGGCGGAACTGGTTGCCTTGCGTGTCTAGCGGGCGCTTGCTTGTGTTGCTGCGCGGAAGGTGCGTTTCCATTCTGCGCCAGGCGGCGAATCCATCGTTGCTGACGACGAGCTACCGCGCAGAGATGCTCTGCGACTGTCTGTTCTAGGCGCTGCGGATCGTACGTTTTCAGTACTCGCCATCCTACCATCCCGTTCTCTTGCGCCCCTTGACGTACCCCACGACGATTTCTTGCTTTGTATGCCTCCTTGTATAGTAGGACTCTACTACCCCTCTTCACATAGGATCACGCGCGTAATCACCGAGCGGACTTGTCGATGGGCTCGAATTTGAGTGCGTGACGCGGGATGGCTAAATGAATTCAAGTGTGCCACCGATGTCACTGCCCGTGCGGTCTTGAGAGATTGGCGGACCGGTGTGTGGTTTGCTCGGCTTGTCTCCCTCGACGTTCGCTGGCAGTACTCTCAGTCGCCCAGGCAGTGCACGCCGCACGGCGGCGAGGCCGGCCGGTCTGGACCGAATGCGGCCGGGCGCCCGGCGGGTGGCAAAAGCGCGGGCTGTGATTTGTTGAGCGCGCTTGCCGGGTGGGCCCGGGGGGAGGTGGGGCGTGACCGCTGTGACGCCGGCGAGCCTTGCTCTCGAATATCCGCGTCGACGACGACCCTTGCACTCCCCTCCTCCTCCAAAATGCTCGCCAGGCTCCCCGCGGGTGCCGCGAAGTCCGTCGCCGGCCTCTCGGCGCACGCTCTGCGCCTTCCAACGTTGCCCGCGGCCTTTCGGTGCGTTTACTGGCCGTTTTGCGTTCCCTGACGCGCTAATGCGTCCACCAGCGTGTCCGCTTTGCTTCGACCTCCTCCGCCTCTGGCTCCGCGTTCGAGGTGTGTACACCTTTCTTTCGTGTCTCTCGTGCGCCTTTCAACGGCGAACCATCCATTTCAGTCCTTTGTCAACTCCCGCGCGACCCTTGCCTCCGCGACCCTCTTGACTGTCGGTTCCGTCGCGTGGTATGCCAACCTCTACGGCACCCTCCCCTTCATTGGCGAGGTCCACGCAAGCAGCGGTCTCGCCGAGGAGGGTCTACACTCCACCCACTACCCCTGGTCCCACTCCGGTTGGTTCGACTCTTTCGACCATGCCAGGTAAACGCTTTCCGTCTCCTTCCGGCCCGCGCGTCTCTGACACGTCCGACGTCCAGCATCCGGAGAGGCTACCAGGTCTACCGCGAGGTCTGCGCCGCCTGCCACTCGCTCGACCGCATCGCCTGGCGCAATCTTGTCGGCGTCTCGCACTCCGTCGACGAGACGAAGGCGTTGGCTGAGGAGGTCGAGTACGAGGACGGTCCCAACGACCAGGGTGAGATGTTCCAGCGCCCAGGGAAGCTCTCCGACTACATGCCCGCTCCTTACCCAACGAGGAGGCCGCGCGTGCTGGCAACGGCGGTGCGCTTCCCCCCGACCTGAGCCTGATCGTCAAGGCCCGTCACGGCGGCGCGGTACGTGGTGTTTGTGCGGTTCTTGCGCAGCGCGCGTGTTCATGCGGGCTCGGGTCCGGATAGGACTACATCTTCTCGCTCCTCACTGGGTACAGGGACCCCCCTGCTGGCTTTGAGATCCGTGAGGGCATGAACTACAACCCCTACTTCCCCGGCAACGCCATCTCCATGGCTCGTGTCCTCTTCGACGGCCTCGTCGAGTACGACGACGGTATGTTTAGTTTCGCCTGCGTTTTGCGCGTCCGTGCTTGCTGAGCTGTTCGTGCTCGCTTTTTTCAGGCACTCCTGCCACCACTTCGCAGATGGCTAAGGACGTCGTGACGTTCCTCAACTGGGCAGCGGAGCCTGAGCACGACGAGCGGAAGAAGGCGGGTATCAAGGCGGTCATCCTCTTCTCGACCCTCACTGCTATTTCGCTGTATGTCAAGCGCTTCAAGTGGTCGGTGATCAAGTCGAGGAAGATTTGTGAGTCTCCACCGTGTGAACGTAGTGTGTGTTGTGTACTAACGAAGTGGCGCAGCATACAACCCTCCCTCGGGTCACTAAGTCCCCCGTAGAGTAGCTTACACCAGCCGCCTAGAGGTCGTTTGGGACATCTGTGTGCATAGTCGAGATCCAATCGGACCGTTCATTCCACATGACTTTCTCAATTTGTGTTGGTCGGATGGCCCGTTCTGGAGTAGGGCGGTTTCTAATACAAAGTAATCTATCGCCGCACAGTCCGGTCGCTTTGCTGCACAGTACTTTTCTTCTACCCAAGAGGAGCGGTAGTGAATGCGAAACCCGGTGTGAAGGGTTCAGTGAAGGCTGCCAGTTGAAGCTGGAATAAAGCGCGTGAATAAAATATGTAATTCTAGATGGGCGGCTATTGCCCACGCCGTTCCACACTCGGTCTTGTTGCTCTTCCTCCCTCATCGCTCACCCTCCCAACGCACGAGTCTATCTTTGCTTGTCACCAAATACCCGCACGCTTTCCATCTCGCTCGCTGCATCTATCTCCTCACAGTCACATCAGGTCTCGACCCGTCAAGTTCTGTTCAAGATGTCAACAGATAGCTGGCCACCACAGCTCAAGTGCGGGACTATAGCACTGCCCTCTCTTCGAATGACTTGCTCACGCACATACCTAGGGAATGGGTTGCTCAATGCTTGGGGCAAATGACCGAATCAAACCGAGCGGAAGCCCAGGCAGAGTTAAAACAGGTGATTGCTGACGCTTTTGCGGCCAAGACTCTATGGACGACAGACTGGAAGGGTGTGCAGCTGCAAAGGTATGTGGCAACCTGTCTCGTTCCAGCAGATCACGGCTCAGCACCCTCCTGGAGTCTGCTGCCCAAGCCCCCGCCCTCGTTTGCTTCGACCAGCAATCTGAAGCGCAAACTGTGAGCCACTTTTTGCGTGTCTGCTCTATCCATATCTCAACTTCGTTTGCGACAGGGGTGACAATTCGAATAATCACATGAGCAACAAGAAGACAAAGAAGGCGAATGCGCTCGCGAAAACGCTCAGCGCGCAGGCCGCGGCCGCCGGCGCAAACGACCTCGTCGCACTGAACCGGAGAGCGCAGCGTTTCCAGCGAGAGCACGAGATCGAGCGGCAGAAAAGTTCGCGTCAATCCGGCAATCCTAGTTCTCATAGCTCCTCTTCGTTCGCTAACAACCCCCCCTTCAAATCCCGGTCGGGGACCCCCGCCAACTACGACACGGACGAGCCCGAGGTCAACCCGGTGAGTGCATGTGGCGCTCTTGTGGTAGCGGAGTCGTCGGGGGCTTATGGCCCCCAGAACGTCCCTGGATGGGACCGGTTCACGATCGTGGGCACTTCAAAAGAGATCTTCAAGGACTATTTGCGACTGACATCGGTGAGCCTGCTTCTGCTCCGCCTTTTGCGTCTCGGGACTCAGCACCGCGCCGCCCAGGAACCGAAACCGGAACAAATTCGCCCGTATAACGTACTGCAAGAGACCTTGGCCCAGCTCAAGAAGAGGTGGCGGGAGAAGGCGACGTACAATTGGATGTGCAGCCAATTCAAGAGCCTGCGACAGGATCTCACCGTGCGTCTGCCCATCTGCGCTCGGTCTGTGCGCCGCGCGTCGGCCCCCTTCTCCCGGCGGGCCGCGGGGCTGTGTGGAGGGAGCGCGCCGTTCACACCTTATTGTTTCTCTGGCAGGTGCAGCGCATCAAGAATGAGTTCACGGTGACGGTGTACGAGATCCATGCGCGCATGGCGCTTGAAGTGGTGAGTCGTGTGCGAGGGTCGTTGCGCGGTGCGCTAAGACGAGGACGTAACAGGGCGACATGGTCGAGTACAACCAGTGCCAGGCCATGCTTCGTAATTTATATGAGCTGGGCATCCCGGGCAAGGTTGAAGAGTTCACGGCGTACCGTATACTCTTGCTGCTGCACGGGCGCAATCGCAGTGGTACGTCCGCCCGTATGTTCCCGCGAAGCCCTCGCTAATGTCGGGCGCGTGTGCAGACTTGAACTTGTACGTAGGTCAACTAACACAGAAACAGAAGTCCGGACCAGCGGTGCGGCACGCTCTCGCCGTCCAGCGCGCAGTGGCCATGGGGAACTACCACGCGCTCTTTGACTTGTATCTGAATGCTCCCAATATGGGAGCCTACATCATGGACCACTTCATTGATAGGGAAAGGGTACGCGCACTGATGGTCATGACAAAAGCGTGAGTGCCAGCCCTTCCCCGTCCTTTCCCCACTCCCTTCATCCGCCGCACTGCCTTCCATCCTCCTCCCTCGCGCCGACGGAGGGCGGAATTCTGTTGCTCGGGTATCGGATGGCCGTCGCCGTCGGAGGTCGGAGGTTGGATGTTGAACCGCTCGCTGACGCACTCCCTCCCCGCCGGGTGCGCTCTCCACCAGATACATCACACTCAAGCTCTCGTTCGTGACGAACGAGCTCGCGTTCGAGTCTCTGCAGAACGCACGCGAGTTCCTGGCGGAGCACCGGGTCGCATTCTTCCAGAATCCGAACGCGCCGGATGGGGAGAAGGTGCTCGACTGCAAGCCCGCGGTCCAGCCGCTCGCGCAGGTGTTGGAGGAAAAGTACCGCAGAGTACAGATCAAGGGTGCTGTCTGACCGTTCGTCACCGTCTTATTGTTCTCTCGACGTCGTGGGCGCGGCTTGCCGTACGACTTATCCCCGATTCCGACTGCGACCCCGGCCTCGCGCCTTCCCCCTCCAACCCGTTCACGCCGCTTCGGAGCCTTCGTTCTTCCCCGCTTGGCTTTTGTTGTGCCTGGGTAGGGGCCCGGAGGCTGGTTTTGGAGCGTAGTTGGGTTCTGCGGTCAGGTATACCTTAGAGTTTGTGTATATACACTATCACTTGCAATTCCTGTATTGTGCCTCCGATTCACTTAGGGTTGTCGTCGCGCCGCACGATTCTTCTGATCCGCGGAAACGCACACATGCCTTGCAGAGTTTATGATGGAATGTGATTATTGTATACATGACAGCTTCAGTCGCGCATTCGTGCGGGGATGAATCGCCGCAACACTACATCTCTGACGGAGTAATGGGCCAGACAGGCTGGCGACGACAGTAGCTCCGTGGATATCCGGGATTGGGCGGGGATGGTGACGTAGGTCAGGATGAGAGTCTGGAAGGCAATGAGCACGCGACCAAAGACTGCATCCTCAAGGGGACCGAGCGTACCTTCATGACTTGGGAATTGACGCGGTTCACGGTACTCAGCCATGACCAAGAAAAGGTGTGGAGTTCGGGAGGGTGAAGGGACTGGACGCTTGATCTGTCGGGTCTTCGTAGACTGGGATGACTACGATTGCGAATCTGATCGCCGTGTGAGTGTGAGTCCAGTCGACAGCGAGAGCAGCACTACTCAGCGTGGTGGAAGACTGGGCCGCGTTTGTAGAGCAGCAGGTCGACGCAAAACTTGATGCCGCCTTTGATTACCCAGCCTAGCGAGCGGTAGTAGTGGTATGCCGCATAGTTCACAAGGAAGGGGTTGTCAAACCGATTGTCGTAGGTGGGTGGCCCGTGAGGTACACAGTGCGCATCTTGGAATGTGGCCCATATATGTTTTAGACTCATTGGTTCCCACTGACAGACCAAGTGAGATCAGACAACATCTGTGAATTGATGTATGAAACAACATGCTGTACCGTATGTGAGTTGAGAATAGTCAAACAGTCCAAGTTCCAGGCGAGGAAGAACGCTTCCTGGAGAGTAAGCTGTAGGTGCTCTCGGTCTTCTAGAAGTTCAAGGCCCTGTTCTGTCTCGTCATCTTCTTCCGGCGGTTCCTCGGGCAATGAAGGCTCAGCGGAAACTTGCTGTTGAGGCTTCCAAGTAGCACCTGATGGAATGAAAGTCGGTGCGGCCTCGCGGCCTTCCGCGAAAGCTGCTTCAGCCTCTGCAGCTGCTCGAGCCAATGCAGCAGCGCGGTCGAGCTTGAACTGTTTGCGTTCTTGTCTCCGCTTTTCACGGACCTCTTCCGAGGTCATGTCTGCGATTGCATCGTCAAGGCTGAAGCGACAAGTTGACACAAAACGCACATTTTCCGGCCGCTTTCCGTGCATTGACCTGTCTCGCGAGCCAGGACGGCTCGCTACGGGAGAGATCGCCCTTCCCGAAGAAGCCCCTCCGCCAGAGAATGGTCGAGTCCTTCTCATTTGTGATCCAAACGGAGCGGGTTGCAGGGTCGAAAACGCCTTCGCAGTGAGGGTTCTCGAGCCTGTTTCCAACGCCCCGAAGAGACCGAGGATGTGTACAAAAGTGCGCGGTTGGGGTGGGGAGAGCACGAGCGGCAGGGGGTGCGCATAGATCCTGTTATTTTCTGCTTTCCTGGCACCGCCTTTCTGCCCTCCTTTGCGTTTGTTTGACGAGGATGCCATGGGACGAGACGCGCGAGAAGGAGAGAAAGAGAGATGAAGGAGAGTCACAACAAGAGTGGCTACAGTTGCAGCTTGACAGGAGCGCGTCCGTGACTTTTTGGGCGACGCGTCTCGGAGGCGGACCCATCGCGTGTCGCCTCCTCCCAGATCTCCACCATCCTGCCACTTGCGCTCCGTCCGGGGCACACGCTTTCCAACCGCTTGAAGAGTGCCACGACATTGAAGATACACCATGTCCGAGAAGAGGAGGGCGGAGATCGAGGCCAAGCGGGCGAAGCTTGCGGAACTCCGGAAGGCAAGGACGGACAGGCAGACCGCTGAGGCGGAGCGGAGAGCATCAGACGTGCGTCGCGTCCTTCTCGTTACTGGGCACACAACCTGACAGAATACCTTGACAATAGCGGGGCGGCGCAAGTACCGTTGCCCGCAGAGACGTAGATGACCTCGTTAATGTCCTCATCGGCTCCTCCAGCCGTGGCGACAGTGCGATGGACACGCCTATATCTTCAACGCCTGGAACTCCTGCGCTGGACAGGACAATACCCCTCCCTGGATCTTCTTATGCGCTGTCCGGTCCTTCTTCTGTGTTGTCAGGACGGTTGAGCAGGAATAGCGATGCGGCCTCGGACAGATACAGTCTAGGGACAACTCTCGTCCATTCGCAGAACGGTGCTACAGAGAATGTCATTGAGCGGTACGTTTCTTCAAATACCTCCTAAAGCACATGTCCCATATTGAAGACGAATAGTGAGATGATAGCACGCAGTGTTCCGGATCTCATAGACATTGAGCAGGAGCTGTTCGAGCTTCCGCAGAGGGTGCGTACGGGACCATCGTTGTATGCGTTGGCTTTCGGTGTGGCTTACGAGCGTGCATCATAGGAACGTGTTGTATACAACAAGGAGATTCAGACCATGGACACTCAGGCGGAACCGGAAGCACCCAACGAAGACGAGATCCGCGAACGGGTACATCGCGAGCGCGACGCGGCCGACGCGGAACGATTAGCAAACGAGCAGGAACTTGAGGCCGAGAGCAAGAAGCTGGACGAGGAGATTGCTCAGGAGATTCAAGGTACGCTCCAGAACTAGTCATGGTGTTGACGGTGCCCCTCATTGTCCCACGCGCAGAAATGTCTGAGGAAGAGAAACAAAGCATATTCTCAGCACCAGAATTCTTGGATTTCGTCGAGCAGTCCACCAAGATCATTCAGCGAGCTCTGAACGACAATTACGACTACATCCGAGACTACACTATTGGTGCAGAGAGTGGAACGTACGAGCCAGATTCTTTCCCCTGCTAGACCCAGGCTTATATTTCTTCAAAGCGAGGCATCCGAAGGGAAGGTTAAATGCGTTTGCGCGTTTTATGATGAGCGATATGGGAAGTATCGGTCTATCACAGACATTGACTGGTCGCCGAAGGTATGGATGCCACGTGAGTGAAGAGAAGCATACTCATGCCACCATCGTAGTACCCGGAGCTTAGCTGTGCGGCTTATAACAAGAATCCAGCAGCATTGAACGAACCCGACGGCATTGTGGCGGTATGGAACCTTCACCTGCTGGAACGACCCGAGTTTGTTTTCCATTCTCAGGTGAGCACCACGCGGTTTTGCAGACTCTTGAAGCTCATTGAATGTAGTCCGACGTGTTGTCTGTGGCGTTCTCTCCCTTCCACTCGAATCTAATCTTCGGGGGCACATATTCAGGCCAAATCCTGCTCTGGGACACGCGATCAAAGCACCTACCGGTGCTCAAGACGCCATTGTCGGCCGCCGGTCACACACATCCGGTGTACGCCATACAGATGGTCGGCACGCAGAACGCGCACAACCTCATTACGAGCAGCACAGACGGCACCGTGTGCAGCTGGCTTGTTGACATGCTTGCTCAACCCCAGGTGAACCTCGAGAGATCCTGATTACGCTTGCCGTATTAATCCCGTCTCCTTTTAGGAAACGCTCGAGTTGGTTCACGGTGGGCACAACAAGACAAGCGAGGTCGCTATCACTGCGCTTAACTTCCCGGACAACGAGACGACGACGTTCTGGGTCGGCACAGAGGAAGGCAACGTGTACCAGGCCAACCGGTACGACCGAGCGGGAGCCAAGGCAGGATTGAACCAGTACGACGTCTACAAGGGCCACTCGGGACCGGTCATGGGGGTGCACTTCCATCCACTCGTGGGCCCTGTGGACTTCTCAGATCTATTCCTGTCGTGCTCCGTGGATTGGACGGTGAAGCTCTGGCGGGCGAAGTCAATGGCAAAGCCGTCGACGGTGGCCAACCACGTCGCGCCACTATACTCGTTCGACGAGGCGGACGACTACGTGTACGATGTGAAGTGGCATCCCACACATCCTGCAGTATTTGGGACCGTGGACGGCGCGGGCAAGTTCGACCTATGGAATCTGAACCACGACACAGAGGTGAGTCGCACAGAGGGCGCACACGAGCGTGGCTGACGGGCTATTTACGTGCTCAGGTGCCGGTGGTGTCCACGAACGTCGGGTCGGGCAAGGCGTTGAACAAGATCTGCTGGGAGAGGAAGGACGGACGGCGCGCGGCGCTGGGAGGGAGCGACGGGAAGCTCTATATTTACGACATTGGAGACATGGCCTTGCCCCGGGAGTCGGAGTGGACGGACATGCAGCGGACGGTGGCCGGGATCATGGGCGGTGCCCCGCACGCAAATGGGCTCGGGGACGACTCGGCGAGGATTGTCGCTGGCCGGTGAGGATTGGGGGCCCGTCGGAAGTAACATCGATGTATACCCGCGTGTGGGGACCTGTAATGGGATACGGCATGCTTGTTTCACGAACCACGCTGGACGGATGGGAGTACCAGGGAGGAGGCCTACGCCCGCGGCAGGCCGCACGGAACGGGGGCGCGGGGTGTCCGCCACTAGTTGGTGCCCTCTTCTCTGACCCCACTCGCTCTCCGGCCCTCGGTCCTTTCTCTGCGCCAGTTCGGAGGCCGGTCAGGTGATGCACGCCCGCTCGTCCTGCGCCCGCCGTTGGCTCTCTCTCCCCCGACCCCGCACTTGCCTCCGCACCGTCACCCGCCCAGTCACTCTCCCCCCATCCACACGCGCCATGTCGTCCTTCACCCAGGTCGGTCTGTAGCCCATCTTCCTGTACGCTCTCGCTCAACCTGTGCATATGCGCTCCATCCGTCCAGGAACCGCACAAGTGAGTACACTGCACCTGCTATGTAGGCTCTCGTCGCCAAGCTGATTGGGATGCATTCTCTCCAGACTGCTCGTGTACGTCCATCGATTGCTTGATATTTTTCTGTCTCTTCATACCCTCCAAGCATCCCCGGACCCATTGAAGTCACCGATGAGGTCCGTGCCTGCGATCGTGCTGCTCTTCGCAACGCAACTCATACCGCACTCTACTCCAGGTCCTCTACGCCAATGCGCATCCTTCCATGTCCCACATTTCGCCAGACTTCATCCCGGTCTTTGGCGACTGCATTCGCATGATGCGTCAGGTCCTCTTCACCCAGGATGCACAACCATTCATCATCGCTGGGTCTGGTACTCTTGGATGGGACCAGGTACGTCGCTCTTTTCATCCCTGTGCTTCTTCCGGATCTCCGGCCCCTCATCCGCTCCCCTGCCTCCTTGCGCATCCGGTTCGTACTGTAGGTCTCCGCAAACCTCATCGAGCCTGGAGAGAACGTCCTCGTCCTCAACAGCGGCTACTTCGGCGACAGCTTTGCCGACTGGTCAGTCTCCTCCGGCTCCCCGCCATTCAGAGAGCTCACGCCGAAATCGAAGCTTGCGGACATACGGTGCGAATGTTGACTCCGTTCAAGCTCCGTTCGGTGCGGCCGTGACTCCGTCGGAAGTGGAGGCCGCGCTGAAGGCCAAGAAGTACAAGGCAGTCACGTTCACCCATGTCGACACCTCTACCGGTTCGTTGGCGTGCATCTAAGCCAATACAAACTACTAACAACGATACGCAGGCGTCCTCACCGATGCGCAAGGGATCGCCGCGGCGGTCAAGCGCGTTTCTCCTGATACCCTTGTAAGGCCGATCACGTCAGCCATGACCCTCACTCATACTAGCACAGGTAGTTGCCGACGCCGTGTGCTCAGTAGCCAGCGAGGAGATTCGCTTCGATGACTGGGGCTTGGACGTCGTCCTGACCGCGAGTCAGAAGGGCCTGAGCACGCCGCCAGGCCTCAGCATCCTCGTGGCTAGCCAGAAAGCGATCAAGGTCCGTCTCGTACATTCCACTTTACTACCAGCTTCTAACGCCGCTGGTAGGTCTTCGAGACCAGGGCAAGCCCAGTGACGTCTTACTACGCGAGCTGGAAGAAGTGAGTGCTACTTCTCATCACTTCAAATACACCCGCAGAGTCGTTGTTGTCTAGGTGGCTTCCTATCATGACCGCCTACGAAACCGGCAACGCCGCGTACTTCGCGACCCCGCCTGTGAACCTGATCTACGCTTTCAACGCGTCGCTCACCCAGCTTACGAAGCAAGCACCTTCGCTCGAGGAGCGCTTCCGCCTGCACAAGGAGGCCAGCCAGCGCATGAAGCAGGCCGCTTTGGATATGGGCATGAAGCAGCTGCCTCTGGACATGTCCGTCGCCGCCAACGGCATGACCGCGCTCTGGTTCCCCGAGGGCATCACCGCGGCGGACATCCTGGGGCCGCTCGCGAAGCAGGACATCGTCGTTGCCGGCGGCCTGCACAAAGACCACAAGCGTGAGTGCTCCGTCTTGCCGTATCCCCACGTGTGCGTGCGGGTGATCGACGATCTGAAGCTGACTGCCGTCTGGTTCAGTCAAGTACTTCCGTATCGGGTATGTCTTCGCGCCCCTGTGTGCAGCTGCTGGATGATCGGCGGGCGTCACTGACACGCATGTGGTATCCAGACACATGGGCATCAGCGCGGTCGACAAGAACCGGGCCGACGTCGAGAAGGTCATCTCCGCCCTGCAGGCGAGTCTCGCCGAGGCCAAGGCGAGCAAGAACGCGTAAGGAAGAAGTCGTTTGTCTGTTGTAATAGAACACTCCCCCGTTGAGCTCATTGTAAAACTATCGTCGCACATCTGGGAAACGGGACGGAACGAAATCGACGCTTCGCGGAACGCAGTGCCGTCGCCGCCCCTACAGACGGGCCAAAACACGGGCTTCGGCCGCTCTATGCCCACCGCGCGGCTCTGATGGCTGTCCGCCCACAAGCGAGCGGAAAGGAGAGAACAACGATCGTGAACCCCATCTCCACCGATTTCATCTCAGCGGCGCAGGCTGATCGTAAATCTTGCAGGCAGTGAGCGCGGCCCGCAGGGCGGGGCTCCGTCGGTGCCCCGCTCCGCCCCTGGCGACATGCGGGCCCGCCGTTATCTCCACCAAGTCCACCAATCGAGTCCCGCCCGTATCTCGAGTCGTTCAAGTTGCCGCCGCCGAACATCCCAGAGCCAGGAGACGGGTCGCGACTTGCCTTGCTCGGGGACGGATGGGGTCAGTGGCGAACTTCATGGTACCTGAAAAGATGCTGGATGTATAGAGGGTGACTAGTGTATCTTGTTTGTACATGGCTATCGCTATAGATGGTACTTCTATCTGCTCGAATGCTGCGAGCTATTACACCAGAGAGGACGTCTAGATGCGGCTGCGAACGGCTGGCGAGAGGGGAGGGGGGGGGACCCTACGCGGTGACCGCGATCTCGCGATACTTGCCCTCGCCGCCCATTCGGTCGTACCACTCCGCACCGGAGGTCGTGGGCGCGATGTATCCGGCGCGGATGACGAAGTCGCCAAAGTGTTCGCCGTCGTGTCGCTCGAGCGCGTAGCGCTTGATCATCGGGCCCAGGATGGCGAGGATCTCGGGCTCGGTGACGGTCTCTGTACAGAGGAACGAGAGGGACAGCGTGTGTCAGTACTAGATCGTGGGGAGCGAGGAGGTAGAGACGGGAGGCGCACCGCGGTAGATCTTGTTCAGACGCTGGCCGTGGTAGCCACCGCCGAGAAGCATGAGGTACGTCCCTGGGGCCTTGCCGACGAAGGCGACCTCGGCGAGGTAGGGACGCGCGCAGCCGTTCGGGCAGCCGGTCATGCGCATGACGATCGAGTCGTTGCGGAGCCCGTTTTCCTCGCAGATCTTTTCGACCTTCTCGACGAGGATGGGCAGGTACTGAGGAGACGGTAACGTCCGTCAGCAATGGCAAGGTAAACGCAGCAGAAGGTGGGAACGTACCCGCTCAGATTCAGCCATGGCGAGACCACATGTAGGGAACGACACACAGGCAGACGAGGACAGACGGAGACCTGAAAACGCAAGGTTGTCGAGCTTGTACTCGGCGAGCAGGCGCTTGATTGTGGGCAGCTCCGCGGGTGGGACGTCGGAGATGACAAGGTGCTGGTTCGCGGTCATGCGGAACGTGCCCTTGTGCACCTTCGCGATCTCGCGCAGGCCGGTCTTGAACGCCTTGCCCGGCTCGTCCTGCACGCGCCCGTTCTCGATGAAGCACGTAAAGTGGTGCTTGCCGTCCTGACCGGTCGCCCAGCCGAATTCATCCACGTTCTTGTCGAACGTGAACGGCCGGGCGGGCTCGAGCTTGTAGCCGAGGCGGCGCTCGACCTCGGCTTTGAAAGTTTCGAGGCTCATGCGGTCGATCGTGTATTTCAGACGCGCGTTCTGGGTGAGGAGAGGTAAGCTAGTAGACGAGGTAGGGAGGTATAGAAGAGGATCTCACCTTGCGGTCGGCGCGGTTGCCGTTGTCCCGCTGGACAAGCATGATCTTCTCCGCGATGTCGACGCCCTGCTCTACGGTGCAGAAACCGAGCACGGAGCCTGCCCGCGGGTACGTCTTCTTGTTCCCATGGGTGACACCCATGCCTCCGCCCGCAGTGACATTGAAGCCGGCGAGGTCGCCATGCTTGTCGACGATGGCGATGAAACCGACGTCGTTCGCGAAGACGTCAACATCGTTGTTTGGCGGGATGGCCACGGCGATTTTGAACTGTAACGTCCAGTGAGTCATTTGCATTTGAGAGGCAGTACGAGATGCTCAACGAACCTTGCGCGGCAGGTAGAACTCCCCGTATAGAGGTTCAACATCCTTCAACGCGTCACCGGCGACGAGCTTCTTGTCCAGCCAGATCTCGTGGTAAGCGGAGGTGCGAGGAAGCAAATGCTCGCTAGCCTTCTTCGCGAAATCGTACGCCTGATGGTGAAGTTTCGACAGCGACGGGACAGTGGAGACAATAACATTCCTGTACGCAGTGGTTAGGGCATTATGCGCAGAAAAATGAACATATGGGACATACCGGTTCACGTCACCACACGCCGCTAGGGTATCGAGGAGTGCACGGTTAATGTCCTGGATAGCCGACTTCAAGTGACGCTTGATCACGCCGTGGAATTGGAACGTCTGCCGGGTCGTGATCTTGTACGTCCCGTTCCCGTGCTCGTCCGCGATCTGGTCCATGATGAGCCACTGCTCGGGCAGACAGACCCCGGCGGGCATGCGGACGCGGATCATGAACGAGTACGCGGGCTCGGCGCCCATCGCCTGCCGCTCATCGCGGATGTCCCGGTCGTCCTGCTGGTAGATGCCGTGGAACTTGGTGAGCTGCGTGTCGCTCGCGGCGAGCGCGCCCGTGCTCGTGTCCTCGAGGCCCTCCGCGATCGTCCCGCGCAGGTACTGCGACGCGACCTTGATGTGTTCGTTTGTGATCGGCTCCGGTTCGGCCTCGTGACCTCAACGGCGTCGACGCCCAGCGCCTTCCACACGAGCGGCTCCCAGGCCTTGTAGCCCGTCTCGGGTCCGTCGGCGTCCTGGTCGTCCCCAGGCCGAGCGGCGCGAAACGCGTCGCGCCGAGCTGCTCGAGGCGCGCGTCGAGGTCCTTGCCCGCCTTGTTGTAGTGGTGCGCGTCCTCGGGCCGCGGCCAGTAGTGGCTGTCGCCCATACCGAATACGGCGAACTGGACGCGCTCGAGCGGGCGCTCGGCGCGTGTGGACGCGGCGTTGACGAGCTTCATGAACGCGCGCGCGTTCTGCGGGAACTCGCCCTGGCCGGCGACGGACGTGACGAGCGCTACAAACTCCTCTTTCGCGATGTCCTCCAACGAGATCGAGTCGAGGGAGGCGACGGTCGTAGAGAGCCCGCGGAGCTTGCCGCGGGTTGCGAGGCGCTTTGCGACCTTCTCGGCCTTGCCGCCGTCGGAGGCGTAGAGGACCGTAAGCGGAGGCGCATCGATGGTGGAGAGCAGGTCGGTGTAGGCCTGGGCGGCACGCTGTTTGCGCGCTTGCTTGAGGCTCTCGCCGAGGCTGCCGACGAGCTCCGCAGCGAGCTCAGGCTTAGAGCGCACAAGTTGCGATAGGTGGTTCTGACGGTCGAGGAACGCTTGCAGCTCGTTCTTGACCGAGTCGGAGTCGAGCGAGAAGGGCTCTTTGTTTTCGCGTTCCTTGCTCGGGTTCCAGCGGTAGAGGGGCCAGTAGCCAGAATCGACGGCAAGCTTCGTCTCTTTGAGGATCTCGAGCGCGGGAGTGCTCTCCGTGGTGTATGGGAGGTAGGCGAGGACGACACTGGGGCCGTCGAATCGGTCCGCCTCCATGAGCGCCTGAAGAACCTGGGAGTAGGACGAGTAGACGGCCGTGCTCGCGACGTAGACATCACCGTGGTTCATCGCGTAAAGACCGACGTCTTTTTCCTTCGATGTTGGTCAAGGTGTTGCGAGCGGTATAAGGAGTCGTGTCGAGGATGAGCACATTCACGTTCAACTTGGAGGCAATCGCGTGGTGCAGGCCTGAGGCACCCAAATCGTATGCCCACGCGTCGGAACCAATGATCCAACGTGAGAGGGCCGGGAGGAGGTGGCGGAGACTGAAACCTTCTGCGCCGCAGGGTTTTGGATCTGTTCGCGTTGTAGAGCAGCCACGATTTCCTCTGTCAGCTTTTGGCTCGTCATACCGTCATCCTTGGCTCCAAGCCACCGGGTGAGAACAGAGCGGAGGTCGAATGAGATGTCGGGGTCGCGGAGGAGCTCACGCACGGCCCGACGAGCTCCTCGCGGTCGTCGAACTCGCCGCGTGCGCGTCCGAGAGCAAACTCAGGAGTGGTTGCAATCTGGCCTGCGGAGCAACAAGCTCGGGCGAGTTGAGGATGTTGAGCCTGTCGGCGAAAACGTTGCGAAGCATTTTGGTGTAAGCCGTCTCGTGCTTGGGAACGTGAGGTGCAGAGGTGGTTGCTGTTGCCGAGGGCGATGGGCCGAGTGCGAGGCGCGTCTGGGCGGTCCCCGAGGAAGCGGCATCCAGCAGGGCGTGTACGTCGCCACGCTGAACGAGGCCGCATCTCCTAGCAGACCTGATTGTACCACTGGAGCCGGGTCGCGCTCGCTTTGTTGGAGGGCACTGACGACTTCAAGGTAGAGCGGAGTCCACTTCATGGACCAGTGGTGAAGCTGCTCGAGAACAATAATACGAGTGACAGTAGCCGGTACTGCGTCAAGGACGGTGGTTGGCAGGAGCGGCTTGAGAAGAGCAACGTTCACGAAAGTGACCCCGTCGAGGTCGAGGTCGAGGTTTGCGCGACCAAGGGCGACGACGCAGTATGGGGTTCTGATGTGCCATGAGAATAAGTTGGGCGTAATGGACGGCGGAGGAGAGCGACAGTGGCGGCAGCGGCAGCTTGGTACTGCTGCAAAAGAGTTGCAGCATCGGGCTTGGGCGTTTTGCCTGGAGATGGGGGCGGGAGAAACGAGGAAGGCAGGGATTTGGTCGTCCGCGAGAACATCCACAGACTCGTCGTCTGTTCCCAGGTGGAATATGTGGAGGACGGCGACAGATTCTGTCGAGGCGAGCTTAGAAGCGAGAAGGGCGTGATCGTGAGCTTGCTGGGCTGTACGGGAATGGAGGACGAAGGGGAGGGAAGATTGGAGAACGATGGCGTCGGAGAGATCGGAGTCGACGGCGATATGGAAGACAGTGGGGGTGGAGGAGAGCTCAGGGAGGTGGAGGACGAGCTGGTGAAGTGCCTGGGGGTAGGCGGACGCGACGTATGTTACGAGGCGGGACGCGCGGTGGCGGAGGAGGACGGACCAACATCTGCAGCAACGGGCAGAGCGTGATATTGCGCTTGGGATCGGGGCCGTCGTCCAACGCACGGAGGGCAGTTTGGAAGGGGGAGATGCCCGAGGGAGGGAGGGAGAGAACGAGGGCATCGGACAAGTGGTAGGCGATGCGGGCGACGGAGGCAACTGCGGGGCTCATGGTGTGGGAGGCAGGGCGAGCGGGGCAGGCTCTGAATGCAAAAGTGGGATGTTATGGAGGATTAAAGGAACGGTGGCGTGCTTCGTGAGGACGGACTTACGAATGAGCCCGAGGGTATCACCTGCGCGCGCGAAGCTTGAAGCTTAAGCTACGGAGGCCAGTGCAGGCTGGAGAGAAGAGGGTTTAAAGAGCGCGAGGCGAGGCATTGCTCAGCAGGGCTCGCGACGATGGCGAACCTCGGCCGGACGGATGGCAGAAAACATTCGCTGCAAGCTCGCCACCGCACACAAGAACGGCGCGATCCGTGTGGCCCTGTTTGGCCTCCCCCTTTCCGGAACCCTGGCCTCGGGTTGGGGGCAGGGATACCCGGCTCCCGGCCCGTCTCAGGAGGAGGCTGAACCTTATTCGTGCAACTGCCCAGTTCTTCGCCGCCATACCGCCCGTCCGCGACATCGTCCAAGGCAGCATCAAGACTACCGCCGCCACCGCCGACGCCTCCTCCCCACCCCTCCAGCAAGCCATGGCCCCCACCAAGAAGTCCAAGGCGACCAAGTCCTCCGAGTCCATCGCCTCCCGTCTTGCTCTCGTTGTCAAGTCGGGCAAGTACTCCCTCGGCTACAAGTCCGCCCTCAAGCAGATGCGCAACGGCAAGGGTGCGTCCCTTTCCATACCTTTCTCTCCGGGGACTGGAGCGTAAGGCTGAGAAGGTCCCTTGGGCTGACTGCGGTTTGTTCTTCCCTCCTTGCCTCGGCGCACCCGTGTGTACAGCCAAGCTTGTCCTAATTGCCGGCAACTGTCCCCCCCTTCGCAAGTCTGAGCTTGAGTACTACGCCATGCTCTCAAAAACTTCGGTCCACCACTTCGCGGGAACCAATGTTGCTCTCGGTACCGCTGCCGGCAAACTCTTCCGTGTTGGGTATGTCTCACTTGTTTTTCATTCCTACTCGCTCTCTGACGTCGTTCTTTCAGTGTCATGACCGTCTCCGACCCTGGTGACAGCGATCTCCTGACCGTCGCTGAGGGCGCGGCGGCATAAAATTATCGTACTTCACACCGTCCATGCCATGTATCGTCTTACAGCGTGATTGTATGATTTATGAGGCAGCCATGACTTACCCATGCCACCACCACATTCGCGTGCAAATAACTTTCACCATCAACTTTCCCCATCGATGGAGTGCGTAACCACCTCAGTGTATTGAACGTTGCTGGGGTACTGTTTGGTCGCCCTACGAACTCGTGCAGAGGGTACTTGCTTGCGACATTGGATAAGTTCCACAGCATCTGCCTGGGTTCGTAACAGGTGGCTTCGTTGCACAGATTTGTACTCGCCAGCCGGGCTTCCATGGTGGTATTAAGTAGTTAAGTCGGAACGGAGTTGATGGCTCACATGCATATATGATCCAGAAAGCGCAAGTAATAGAAAGCAGGCTATTATACAAATGAGAACAGTGCTAAAACAGTGAAGGCGACATTCCCAATATTGTGCGCGGTCCGCCACTCGCGTAGTCAGCTTTGGAAACATAATTCTTCCCCGCAGAATCGGTGAACGCCAGCTATATAGAACAATCGCTGAGCAAGGGACGGTACCCCCCGTTTTATGAACTCACCTTCGCAACGATGCTCGTTCCAAGGAAAGCTGCGAGACCATCTCCCTTATCCCGATATTCTGCGAAGTAATCTGGGACCTTGAGAGTTTTGATGTGTCTTGGTTGGACTTCGTTGTTTGGAACGTCACCACTGAGAAGATAGGGTGACAGGCGTCCAGAGAGGGCGGCACTGAGGCCTGTAGTGAACGACCCTGAGACGACACGGAGACTGGCATAAGGAAGACACCGCTACCTTTTATGCGGTTCGTAATCTCCCCGGTGACGAAGAGCCCCTGCCAGATGTATGTTCGCTGGTCGACGTCTGCCCTTCCGACCGCGTCGCCCACGACGCTCTGCAGCGGCTGCACCAGATCTTCGTCCTTTGGCTCGACCCCCGGGACGCCCCTGAGCAACGACGGGTCGAAGAGTGGCTCGCAAAAGCGGTGGCGCTCCTTGCCCAGCGTGATCTCCACGCCGCGGAACTCGGTCGTGACGAGGTCGAGGGCCTCGAGCTCCTTCGCGCGCGCCTGCTCCGCGGGCTGCGCCTTCGCGTTCGCCCGCCGCTTCAGCCCGCTCTCGATCACCGCGCGCTCCTTGCCGGCGACGACGATCGCGGCGATGTCCGTCACGCCCTCGTCCTCGAGCTCGCGCGCGGCCTCGCCCTCGGCGAGCGCCTTGATGAGCCCGCTCTGCCAGACGTGGCGCGCGAGCGCGAGGAGGTCCGCCTGGAGCGCGTCCGGCGCGGGCGCGCCCGCAGGGGCGAGCGCGGCCATGACGGAGGTGTTGGGCGGAAGAGGTGGGCGAGGTAGGCGAGGCAGTCGGCGAGCCCGATCGGGACGGCGGTGCGGGTGGGGTGGGCGATGAAGCCGTCGATGACGGGCGCGACGGCGGTGTGGTGCTCGTCGACGTCGACGACGAACCGGAGAGCTGGGTTCCGGAGGCGACGGCGTAGAACTGGGCGATGGGGCGCTCGAGGATGGCGAAGCCGGCGGCGTTGAAGCGTTCGAAGAAAATCTGACATATACGCTCGTACGAATCGCGGGAAAGGCCGGCGGCGATGGAGAGCATCACGGGGGATTCCATCTGGAGGCGGCGGAGCTTGAGCTCAGTGAAGAGAATGTGTTTCCTGCGGGATGCTCTCGTACGTGTGCGAGGGTTGGAAAAGGACACAGGGACGTACCACAACGCCTCGGCCTGTGTATAATCTTTGATATCGTCTCCGTCAAAGGGCCATGATACTAGGATATCCTGCCCGGTGGCGAGGGCGTCATCGAGTTGAGAGCCAACAGGTAGTCGGTGACTTTGACTGTGCTTGGGATAGCTGAAGATGAGGGGCCTTGGAGAGTGTCAGACTGAGACGTGAAGCAGGAGGGGTAACAGACGCACCGCTCTCGCTCTGTAGAGTGACAAGACTCCTCCGCAGTCCCACGCGCGCGGATACTTGCTATGAAAGCCTGTCTAGTGAGACCTGGTGCAGAAGGCGCGGAGGGACGTACGACGGCGGGGAGACGGAGAAGATCGTGTAGACCTTGGCCTGCGCGGATGCAGGTACGGCCAGTCTCGATTATGACGACCTGGGAGTCGCGAAAGCTGCTGTTGCTCATTCGGTTGAACGGAAGGGAGACGGACGAGGGCGGAGAGGTGCACAAACGCGTTTGGGACAAGGCTCAGTTCGCGATCACGCTCCTGCGCGCACTCTCACGCATCCGCTCGACGCGCCTCGTTCGTAGACGCCGGAACGTTCGCCTCTTCGAACTCGGGACGGGGCAAAGCTCGCGAGTCGCGAAAGGCAGCGCGTAACGTCGCGCGCAGGGGCTCAGAAGATGCGAAAAACCTGGTATCAACGTGCCAAGCGGCGACAGCAGTGTGCTGTAGTAGGTCGGTGCAGCCTCCGTACAATAAATAGGTCTAGCTCCCCCCCTCTTCCGACTCTCCGTCCTGGCTCGCGAGTTCCTGTTCCATCCGCGCCGCGAACGCGTCGAAGCCGATGCTCACCGGCGGCACCTCTTCGCGCACGCACGTCGCGACGAACGGCTGCGGTCGCGACAGCTGCAGGAAAGTCGCTGCCGGTTTGCGCCAGACGATGAAGTCGCACCCGACCGCGCTCGAGCCTGGGAGATGGTCGAAGCGGAAGGTCCGCGAGTGGGATCCGCTCCTCGTCCTCGCTCTCGCTCTCGTGCTCGTGCTTCCCATCCGCAGGCTTGCCAGGCACCTGTTTGCTCCACTTCCGTGTCGCCCTTGCAAGCTCGCCGTCGAGGCGCGCCGTCCTGCAGGCATCACTGCTGGGCCAAGCAGATGTGCAGGCACCGGCTGCATAGGAAGCGCACCGAGCGTCCGCTGGGGCTCTTGCTGCCGTAATGGAACCCGGAGCAGCCGCACTGCATCCATCAACGGCCTGCCCAACAGCTCCTGGTGGGCTGCATCCGCTGATCTTCCATCCCTCTGCCTCCTCTTGCGAATCGTACTGAGCAGCCTGGCAATGTTTAACATTAGCACACTTGTTGTCACCCTGGCTTATATGCTGTGCCTCGTGCTCACCTTGAACAGGACAGAGAAGAATCACCTTTGCCATATGGCTCTGATCAATGTGGCTCTTGAGCTCTGCCATCGTCTTGTGGTGCCTTCCAGCACAGCGTGGGTACTGGCACTGAAAGCCCTGTAGACATGGATATGGACATTGTCCACCTATGGCTACCATGTCAAGAGACCACTTACTAGAGTGGCACCTCTTGACGAGTGCTGTGCATCTCCACAGTGCTTGTATGCATGCTATGAAAGTCGATCAGCCTCTCCTGCAGATCTGCGACCACACCCCCAAAGTCCACAACACCCTCAGCTCAACCATTAAAAAATGCAGATGAGGAGGTAGCAGCTACACAAAGGAAGGACTAGCTGCTACAGCCTCCTCATCTGCATTTTCGCAAAAATTTGCGAGTGAGGTGTAATGTGCATTGTGGACCAAGAAGCGTTGATGGCTATGATAAGAGGGAGATGGGAAGACTGACCTCTTGCATTGCTCTCCAGCTGCAAATGTCCACATCCACACAACCCTTCCACTCGCAACGAAGTGGATCAGGGAGAATAATCTCTTTGGCCACCTCAATAACAAGATCAACAACAAATAAGGTGTGTGGATGGAAACTGGGTGATAAAGGAGAGTTTGCCATCAAATATATGCTATGGAAATGTGGGTGAACGGACTGAGAGGCGAAAATGTGAGGGATGAAGTTATGGGGCTGGCAAAAGTGGAGTGGACAAGGGAGAGCTACACCTCAGGCTGGTTAGTAAGCCCATCCAAAAATGGGGTGAAGCCTGAGAAACTGCATATATGCTTTGGTTGTGAGGACAATTTATTGGTTCTGCCACACAAAAAATATCAGCCTGAACCAGAAAATGCCCATCACTCTAATTTTTCTGCCCCCTCATGGCTGACCCAGGGAAATTGAGATGAAGCCACTCAGAGTGGGATTGCGAAGGGCTACTAACCCTAACCCAACCCAAGAAGTCATGTTCAAATCCCACAGACCACGGATTCCCAGGGAATTGATTGAGTGCAAAGTGTGAGATGACATATCACTCTTTGAACACTAGATCTGATGATGTTTATCTCAAAGGAGGCCTGCAGGAACCCTTTTAGATGTTAACCACTGGGTGATTAGGTTTCTTGCACATTCAGGTCAGGTTCAGTGCTCAGACTTCAATCCAGGAGTTGAGGTGTCTCACCCCCCAGGCTGGCAGCCTACTCGCTTACAACACCTGAGGTATTCTGGCCCTCTGGGTGCAGATGATGTTGGAGACATAAGAGAGCCTGGGCAGCTTCCACAAGTCAAACAGCCTGGTTCAGTGATGATTGGTACCTAGAGTGGGAGGCCAGGCCCCAGGGGGTGGTTTGGTGACAGTGGACACAACATGGGTCCTGACATCTATCCAGCACCTGGTCACATTTAAAGGGGAAGCAAACAAATTTATAGTCATTATACTGCACAGTACAGGTACATACTATATACTGCAAAAAATGATGTAAACACTGTGTATGCAGGCATACAGCTCTCCATTGGATCATTTATACTTGCTATGGGCAATGTGACTCGGACAGTGGGAGATGCAGGCAAAGTGGTGATGCAAGTGAGATGGGCGACATGGGTGAGATGAGTGACACAAGGGCAAGACTGGCAAGGTGGCAAGGCAGGCGATGAGGGTAAGGCCAGTGACCGGGTAATAATGCGGGCAAGGTGAGCAACACAGGTGTGGTGGGCCCAGGTGAGGTGAGCAACATGGGTGAGATGGCAATGTAGGTGATGTGGGGCCAGACACAGGCAACACGGGGGGACGCGGCGTGTGTGACGCGGCAAAATGGACCAGGCGAGCAAGACGAACTACGGATGAGACGGGCTAGGTGGGCAAGACAGAGTCCAGACCAGGCGGGCCAGGCAGGCCAGGCGGGCTGAGCGAGCGAGCAAGGCCGAAGGGGTCACCAGTCATGACCGTCGTCGGCCACGCCCGTCGTGACACCTCCGGTACCACATCCCACATCAACTCACCACCGGTTGGCCGCCCCATGCGCGTGTACATGCGTATCTGACGCATGCGCGACATCGCCGGCACATACCAGCGCGCTCGTCCTCGTGTTGACAATGTGCAGCATGAGTGATGGCGCCGTAGTTGATAAATGTGGCATTTGCTTCTGTGCACAGATCATATGTACATAGTTCCAACCAATGTAGTATCGGACTTTCCGGGAATGTATTCCAGCACCTGTATGCGAGACTAGCAGCATTGATTCCGATTTTCGCGGAGGCGGCCTCGCATGTGTACGACTCTGGGGAGAATAGTCGCGGATGGGTCGAGGGGGTCGTGGCCATTGTTTCTCGACAGGCAACGTTCGCACTATACTCTCGTCCCCTGGAGGATGTGGGATACGATCGCGCCTGGGGTGTACGGCCCGACTCATCGTCGTGCTCCGGGCCGGCACGGTCTCTGGCATCTCATCGCTCCATACCCATTGTCTCTGGGGCGACCGACTCGCGATGAGCAGACAGATTCTATTGTATATATGCAAGCATCATCCCCACGGAGTATCTATCATATCACAAGTCGAACATCTCTTTCAGTAACTTTGCTGTGTGCGCCGGGTTCTGCACAGTGTGCCCAATAGTACGAGGATCCTCGTAGATCTCGTGGTCGTTACCGCCCTGTGAAAAGATGATCAGCAGAGTTCTTGACCAACACTAAGGAAAATCATACCTTGTGTGTGTTGTCGCCGAAGAAGAAGATCTCCTCGAATTGCTCGTCAGCTACGTGTTTGAGGCAGAACGTCTTGTCCCACCCGTGGGGGAATACGTCGAAGGAGATTTGACCGCCGACGGAGAAGGTCAGTCCATAGTCTGAGAACTTCTCTTGGAGGACCTTGACGAAGGCGGCGCGAATGCCGTGTTGCTGTGTGCACGGTAAGTCACGCAGACCCGCAACTAGTCCGGACGGTAGTTTACGTACCCTATCGTACTCCTGGAAGTCGAGACGCTCTTGGATACTATGATAGAGATGATGAGAAGTCATGCGGGCTGCAAGCGTTCCCACTCACGTCGCATTACGGCCAATGGGACTGACATTGATCATGCCGTTGCGGAACTCGATGAAAGTCCCTCTGTGCATGAGGGATGCGTTGGCGCATGCGCCAGAGTTACAAGAGGGCGCTCACCGCTTAATGGGAATGTCGATGTCCGCGATGTAGTGGAGGATGAAGTTCGCGAGGACCTTGTACCTCTCCTCTCCGATGTACTTGATGAACGACTCGGTCGGAAGCTCCTGCCCGAGCTTGTACGCGGTGAGGCCGTTCTCCCCAAATACGTAGTCAAACTCGTCAATGGCTGGGATTGCCTGTGGGAAAGGACATGCAAGAGGAGAGGTGCAAGCTACGCACCTTTAGCGCGGGGCAGGCTGAGCTGCCCCGACACTTTCGCGAAGTCGGAGCCCCCGACCACGCCGACAACCATCTTGCTGCGCAGCGCACGCAGGAGGTCCATCATCTCCGTTGTGACGCTCTGGGTATGGGTGGGCAACGGAGTGTGGCGCGCGGCGCGGAAATCGACATACCTGACGGGCGAGGGTGAGCGTGTTATCGACATCGAAGAGGACGAGCTTCTTCTGTGGCCGGGCAGCGAAGGCAGCAGAGACCATGGTTGATGGGTCAGAGAATATTGACGCGGAGGACCGGGTTATAAGGGAACAGACGGGAACGTGGAGGATACGTGGAGGATGGAAGGAGGCGGAGTGCGCAGTTGAGTGGGCGCAGCGGACACACGCGCATCGAGATTGAGATCGTCGCGTAGATCTAAAGCAGTCACGTGTAGCGCGTCGCGGCACCAATACATTCACAACTGGCCTCAGTTCGCATTCTCACAGTCTAGAGACACCATGTATATCGTCTAAGAGGTTACAGAGAGACAACTCATGGACGTCCACCTCCGAGTGCTTTCATGCGGGCCTCGGCCGCTCGCGCTCGTCTCTCGCGCTCAATCTTGGCCCGCATCTCTGGCGTCAGTCCCGCCACCCCTTCCGCCGCCCCTGCGGCCCCTCCGAGCTTTCTAGGACCACTCTGAGGCTCCTCCTTGACGGGTTTGACGGCCGCAACTGGCGGCGGTGTTGGAGAGGCGGAAGCCCTTTCCTTTTCCCTCTCCTTCACCTTGTCCTTCAATCCCTTCCTCCGCGCCTTCTTCTTCTCGTCCTGCACCTCCTTCATCTCCGTGCTCAAGACGCTCGGTATCCGCGCGCCGTTCTCGGACCCGAGCCAGTCCCACCAATCAGGGTGCTCTGCCGCGCAGCGCCGGTAGAGGTTGCGCATCTCCTTCGTCTTCGCGAGGTCGTACGCGGTACGCCGCTTGCCACGAGGGAGGCGGGCGGTCTCCGGATCCTCGTCGGCCACGGGCTCCTCGTCGAGAGCAGTCGAGGCGGTCTGGTCAGAAGGCACGTCAACAGTAGGTCCGCGTGAACGTCTTCAGGAGCCACCGGACGACGTCTTCCTGGCCGGCGAGGGTCGCAGCTTGCAGGACAGTACCGCCACGCTCGTCGGCCCAGCCAGGGACGGAAGTGTCGACGCCTCCAAGGTCGGCGCCTTCGCGTTCCCAGAAGCTCCTAAGGGCGTCCAGACGGCCGCGCTTGACCATGTCGAGGAGACGCGTCCATCTGTCTCTAATGCGCTCCTCTTCCGCCGACAACTGAGGAATGACGGGCTTTTCCTTCAGTTTTGTGGCGTCGGGTTGAGTGGGTGGGGCAGGTTGCGGCTTGGGTTTGGGGAGTGAGGCAAGTAGAGCCTCGTCCTGCGCGCGGAGAGCATCTTCGGTGAGATGGGACACTTTGACTCGGACGAGCTCGTTCAAGCAACGGGTAAGCTCTGCTTGAGTCTGCGGCGTATTGAAGCGTTAGATGATAAAGATGAAATGGTTTAAAAGAGTCGACTGACTGGTCGTCGAGTCGGGAAGGGGAAGGAGCGCAGCCGTACGTCACCTGTGGCATGCTCAGCAGATATTGCAACATATGGACAGGCTAAATCACCCTTCTTGATCACAGCATCGTCATAGTCCAGAAATATACGTCTGTTAGAGACGCTCGCGCGGAGCCAGATTCTTTCGCACTCATGGAGATCCTCAGCCCAATCTTCTAGTAGCTTTCGGATATCCTGAGCCATAGTGCTGTTAGTAAGAATAATCATCACTGAGTCGATCTCACTTACATCACGCAGCGCCTGCTCGCCATATCTACGAAGCATCGCACCAGCACTTATGGCTTTGCTCTTCGAGTTGTCGTTCAGGCCCTGAGATCCACCCTGTTTTCTACGGGCTGTGAATGGCTAATTAGTGTGCCATATCGTCGGCACGGAAACGCACTACGTACTAGTGTAGCGATGGAATGTCTTGTGCTTGAGGATTTCGACGTCCGGCTTAGGTCGTTTAGGTTTCCCCTTCTTGGTGAGCTCGGCTGGGTCATCGCCGTCTGGGCGTTTGACGCGAACAATGGCACCAGCGAAGTGGCCACCAGCAGTCATGAACAATGCCCAAGTTCGCCCGTGTTCACCCCCGTCCTGCAGACTCTCGAGTTCCTCGAGGTAATCTTGTGGTGAGACGATAGTAGAGAATATTGTCCTGTAGACACCAATTTGGGTCGCGGGAGGGGAGTGGAACCAGACCAGCGGCATTTGTGGGATGGATGGACCCCCGACACTCGGAGATGATGGTCGGTCCTTTCGACGAGTCTTGTATACGAGGGCGGATACGGCATCAGATTCGTCAGTGTCGCTCTCCGAAGAGGACGCAGAACCTGAGAGGGAGTCCTCAAGGCCTGCAATTGAACCAAAATAAGCACCATCTTCTGATAAGGACCTATCTGGGCTCACCGTCGACGAGTTGGGTGAACTGGAACTCGGAGACGGGTTCGCCCCCAGTGAGTCGAACCTTGACATTGTATCGATGCCAGTCTGAGCGGAAGTGGGCTCGTTGGTCATCGACATCTGCAAACTTTGCGCCGAGGCAAACATTGCAAGCACGCGATCCAGTGGAAGGTTGCGCAGAGGTGATGGGGGGAGGGGTAGAAGGACGAGACTCCAGGGCCGGTTCCGGAGCATGGCCGAGGGCGTTGCGGAGAACGAGAGTATCGAGCAGTTCAGGAGGAAGAGAGAAGAGGTGATATTGAGACATAGCTATGGATACAGCAGGGGCTTGTGGATACAGAGGCTGCAGAAGAGGCGGAGGGTGTTTTTGAGCACCTAGGGAATGACTCCGGTCGGCACAGACTGCACAGCGTGCCGCGGCGACGGCTCGGGAGAAGACTCACAGTGACTGGCGGCGTCCGGTAAGATGACTAATGCAGTGGCCGGATGAGTGTCGGATGAGGAGGTAGTTGCAGAGAGGTGGCCAGGCTGAGGTGAGCACACCGACGGTGGTGGGTCGAGCAGATTGGCGGGCAAGAGAGAGATGCAGGAGATCTACGCGAGATCCAAGCTCTCGCCACAACGCAAATAGGACCAAGCGCGTCATCGTCGCGTCCTCAGGCGTCTGCGACGCGTCTCATTCCCCAGACGCGTCCGTCCTCACCGTCGGTCACCCTCCCCCTCTTCCCCCTCCACTCGGCCCATCGTCTTCGCGTTTTCGTGAAATGGTTGCTGGGTCCCCGTCCTCGAAGGAGAACGTGCCTGTCCATAGCGGGTATGAATACTTCTTCCTGGACGCGTCTCAACCTTCTCGCTCATCGACCACTTCTCTCCTACAGTGACACGAGCTTCAAGCTCAGTATGGAGTCTGAACCTGCGCCCAAGAGGCGAAGGCTGGATCCTCCCTCATTCTCGAGCTCTCAACCCACGCAATCCTCGTTTGCCGACGTTTTGCAGAGGCTGAAGGAGGACACGAATGAGAGTAAAGGTATATACCATCATTACTCCAGTGAACTCCTTCCAACGATTCGGATAGACGCAGAGGGTGGTGCAGATCAATGGGCGCGTCCTCGTCTCGTCCCCATCAATTCAAAACGGGACAGCATTGGTATGCCTACCTTCGCATCCTTGCGAACCAGAGACATGACATCTCTCTAGTGTTCCAGCAAATAGACATCGAGGACTCCGTCAACTATCAGAATGGTGCAACCACTATTAGGATGTTTGGCGTAACCGAAGTACGTGCTCCTTTTGTCTCGTGCGCTCCTCGAATCTGACACTCTCTAGAATGGCAACAGCGTGCTGGCCCATGTCATCGACTTCTTGCCATATTTCTACATCGCGACACCTCGAGGCTTCATTACTGAAGACCTCGCTCCCTTCATGCGTCATGTCAACGTAGGTTTATTCAGTGAAGCTAGGTTCCCTTCTTCTCATGCGTTTCCGCACTAGGCTCAGGCGGACAGTCCCGCCGTCAAACACATGGATATTGTCAGCAAACGCAGTCTGTGGGGTTATAGAGGAGATGACTGGGTCAGCTTCATCAAGATCACACTTTCAGATCAGAGAAGTCTTCCACGCGTCCGAGATATGTCTCCTCCATTACATCGAATGAACCCCTGGCTGACATTTTGGGTTCGACTTTAACGCATGCTCGAGAGGGGACAGTGTGCCTACAAGGAATTCTTCATGCACGAAGTAGCCACCTTTGAGAGCAACATTGCGTACACGCTGCGATTTATGATTGATACTCGGGTATGCTTTCCGTGGTGCGCTTTACTTGAGCTTGACTAAGCGCTCTCTCGCAGGTGGTGGGCATGAACTGGATAGAGGTACCGGCTGGTCAGTACGAGCTCCTGAACGGAAAAGACAAGAAGTCTCAGTGTCAGATTGAGCTGAGTGTCAAGTGCGTACCTCAATGTTACAGTATCCACTACTGAACTAATGTCATGACACAGATGGGACAAATTCATCTCGCATTCACCCGATGACCAGTGGTCCAAGACCGCACCACTCCGCATCTTGAGCTTTGATATCGAGTGTGCGGGACGTAAAGGCATTTTCCCCGAAGCAAACGTCGACCCAGTCATTCAGATTGCGAATATGGTAACCCGGCAGGGTTCGTAGAAGAAGATTGCATTCAAATTCCTCTGCTGATGATGTCACAGGTGAAACCAAGCCGTTTATACGCAATGTGTTCACGCTCAATACGTGTGCAAACATTGTTGGCTCGCAAGTCATCTCATTCTCTGACGAGCAAGAGATGCTGGAGAAGTGGCGCGACTTCGTGGAAGAGGTTGACCCAGATGTCATCATCGGGTACAACATAGCGAACTTCGATCTGCCTTATCTGTTGGACCGGGCACAGGCTCTCAAGTCCAAGAGTTTCCCGTATCTCGGCCGAATACTCAGTAAGATGCCCTTGGTCTCGAGCCGTTTCTTGTATCTAACCTTCTGTGCAGACAAGCAGACGCAGATTAAAGATACTCACTTCTCCTCCAAAGCATTCGGTCAACGCGATTCGAAAGAAACACAGATGGACGGCCGGCTGCAAATTGATATCTTACAATACGTCCAACGCGAGTACAAGCTTCGAAGTTACACGCTTAACTCTGTCTGTGCACACTTCCTTGGCGAGCAAAAGGAGGACGTGCATCACTCCGTCATCACCGAACTTCAGAATGGCACGCCGGAATCGCGACGGCGTCTCGCTGTGTACTGTTTGAAGGTGGTCCTTCATTCAATTATGTCCACTAGCTGTACTGAACTGGCTTCACAGGATGCGTATCTCCCTCAGCGGTTGATGGACAAACTCATGTGCTTCATCAACTACACAGAGATGGCACGTATCACGGGCGTACCATTCAACTATCTGTTGTCTCGCGGGCAGTCGATCAAAGTACTGTCTCAGCTCTATCGAAAGGCAAACGATGACGGTTACATCATCCCCGCGCTGAAGGGAGAGGGTATGGGTTTCTGTTGATGCATCTGTGAGCGCGATCTCACAATTCTGTAGGGTCTGAGGAGGGGTACGAGGGTGCCACCGTCATCGAGCCCAAGAAAGGTTACTATGACGTTCCTATCGCGACTCTCGATTTCAGCTCGCTGTACCCCTCTATCATGATGGCGCACAATCTTTGCTACACGACACTTCTAGACAAGGCTACGGTGGATCGTCTCAAGCTAGTTAAGGATGTGGACTACATCCATACACCCAATAACGGTATTTGCTGCAGTACTCATTATTGATAGCATACTCACCACAGTTTAGATCTGTTCGTGAAAGCCTCCAAAAGGAAAGGGCTATTGCCAACGATCCTCGAGGAGCTGATCGGTGCTCGGAAGCGCGTCAAGGCGATGCTGAAGCAGGAACCCGATCCCTCCAAACGCGCCGTCCTGGATGGCAGACAGCTTGCTCTCAAGGTCGGTTCTATTTTGCGATGGTAAGGAGGCGTTTTATTCACGTTGCTCTTAGATCAGCGCCAACTCCGTTTACGGTTTTTCTGGAGCAACTGTTGGCAAGCTACCCTGTCTGGCAATCTCTTCAAGTACCACGTCCTATGGACGACAGATGATCGAGAAGACCAAGCAAGAGGTGGAGGCCGAGTATTGCACAGCAAACGGCTACGACCATGACGCCACTGTCATCTACGGCGACACCGACTCTGTGATGATTCGGTTCGGCCCTGGCGACCTCCCTACATGTATGCGGCTAGGTGAGCCCATTGTGTTTATTCGTGGATGCGCAATGTCTCAACCACCTGTAGGGAGCGAAGCAGCGGACTTGGTGTCGAGCAAGTTCATCAAGCCCATCAAACTGGAGTTCGAGAAGGTTTATTTCCCTTACTTGCTTATCAACAAGAAGCGGTATGCAGGACTATACTGGACCAAGACCGAGAAGTACGATAAGATGGATGCGAAGGGCATTGAGGTATGTTGAGTGTTGTGCACGAGTATACCTGTCTGATCACCAACGTAGACCGTCCGTCGAGACAACTGTCGGCTTGTGTCGACTGTTATCGAGACCTGCCTTCATAAGATGCTCATCGACCGTGATGTCAAGGGGGCCGAGGAGTGAGTTGTCATGTGCTCGATGACACTTTGGGTATTCTAACTCTTGTTTAGCTATGTGAAGCAGACAATCTCTGATCTGCTCCAGAACAAAGTAGACATGTCTCAACTGGTGATCACGAAAGCTCTTTCCAAGACGAAAGAAGGTGAGCGTGAAAAACGCTTCTCCAAAGGCCAAGCGTTGACGATAACTTAGACTATGCTGGCAAGCAGGCGCACGTTGAACTGGCGGAACGTATGCGCCAACGAGATGCAGGTTCTGCACCTGCACTTGGAGATCGCGTTGCATACGTGATTATAAAGGGTATCAAAGGTATGTAGACCGTGTTGGACTATTCGAGCGCTTTCTGATGTCTGCGCTTGGAAGGTGCCGCGGCGTACGAGAAGTCCGAAGATCCCATCTACGTGCTCGAGAACAATATACCCATCGATACCAAGTACTATCTTGATAACCAACTTTCCAACCCTCTTATGCGTATATTCGAGCCCATCCTAGGGGACAAGGCCGCAACCCTCCGTGCGCGCGTTTTCATTGGGCCCGCACCTCTGGTTTCTCATCCCATATTTTCCTACAGTCTCCGGCGACCACACTCGGACAATCCAGATCGCGACTCCGACGGTCGGTGGGCTGATGAAGTTCGCCGTGAAGACGGCCACCTGCCTAGGATGCAAAACGCCTCTGAAGGCTAGCAATAGCGTGAAGAGTAAGTAGCCTGCTTGCAACTGTGAAGGACACGGGCTGATGAAATCACTGGCAGACGGCGCGGTGTGCAACAACTGCAGGCCAAGGCTTGGGGACTTGTATCAGAAGCAGGTGTCGACAACCTCGGACTTCCAGGTGCGCTTCTCACGTCTATGGACGCAATGCCAACGTTGTCAAGGGTCTCTGCACCAGGTACTTGGTTTGCTCATGTCCGATAATGGGAAGCTCACCGGCGTTTTTAGGATGTCCTCTGCACGAGTCGCGATTGCCCTATTTTCTACATGCGAAAGAAGGCCCAGAAGGACGTCGAGGACGCGAATGTCGTCTTGGACCGTTTCGATGGAGAGCTGTGGTGAAACTTCGGTTGTGCTCGTCTCCCTTGTCGTATTGTTATCATCTCGCATTTTGCATACTGTCCGTACACGTAACACTGCATCTACCACATGTTCCTTGGATCGTGAATCTCTGGACTTCGGGGGTCGTATCGGCGTGCAATAGTAAATGAACTCGTCTTGGGGAATGCCATAGCAATGACCTTGCGAATTGCTCGAAGGAACATCATGGCAGGGCCGACGTCCGACCCTGCGTTGGTTAGTGTGTGGCGATGCGATGATGTTTTGACATGAGCACGCTGTCCTAGGCTGTCCTCTGCACTGCACTCTGACCTTCGGTTGCCACCCGGTGCCAATATACTAGACTCATAGAGCTGTCACCGGTCACCAGTCACCGGTGACCTATGGTCTGGCGGATTGTGTCTGGAAAATTCAACGCCAAGCGGCAAAGCACGCCAACGTACAGACGCGTCTGCGATACGTGTCCGACCCTGCGGGATCCCTATCCGGCGTGTTTCCCCTTCCGTCGTCTGCTCGCCGCCGACTTGCTCTCCGCCGCCTCGGCGACGCCGACGGTGCCCCCGGCCGCCTCCCCCGCGACGCCGTCCCCGTTCTCGATCATGCTCTTCGCCTCGAGGAAGAACATCACGTCCCGCACCTGGTCCTCGAGCTCCGCCACCTTCGCCCGGAACGCGTCCGTCTCGCGCGCCGCCGCGGCCGCCTGCTCCCGCGCCGCCGCGAGGTTCTTCATCAGCCCCTCGGACACCGCGCGCTCCTCGCGGAGCTCCTTGGCGAGCGTGCGCGCGAGCTCGGCCGCCTTCTCCGCGCGGCGGTCTGCCCTCGCGCGCTCGCGCTCGACCTCGGCAGCGCGGGCGCGCTCGGCCGCGGCGTCGTCGATTGCGCGGGCGCGCGCGGCGTCCGCGTCCGCGCGGAGCTGGTCGAGCAGCGCGCGGACGGCGTCGGCCTGCGCGCGCAGCTCGGCCGCCTGCGCCTCGTAGAAGGTCCGCTGGGAGTCGAGCTGGGAGGTGAGCAGGTACGAGTACTCGATCCCGATCGCCTCGATCTTCTCCGCGGTGAGCGCGTCGGCCGCGGTCGGGCCGCCGCGCGCGTCGCGGCCGACGGAGGCGGCGGCGGAGGGGAGCTCGACGAGCTTGCCGTCGGCCTTGTTCTGGATGAGGCGGTGGACGTAGCCGTCGCCGGCGTAGTCCCACACGCGCTGGGTCTCGAGCTCGAGCGCGTAGAGGTGGGTCGTGCCCGCGTAGTGCGCGTGCGCGTGCGCGCGGCCGTAGCGGCCGCAGCCGATGTTGCCGCAGATGAGGCAGATCCAGAGGTTGGTCGTGCTGCCGCAGTCGGCGCAGTGGGAGCGCTCGGCGGTCGAGGAGGGGGAGGAGAACGGGAGCGGGCGCGCGGGGCGGCCGGCGGCGGCGCGGTGGGGTGCGAGGAGAGCAGGTTCTGTGAGTACCGGCAGACGGGGCATCTGCGCAGGCCGCGGGGCGCGTTCAGCGGTGCGCTGATAGCGGGGAGAAGGGTGGGCCAGGAGAAGGAGACTCACCTGCTGTCGCCCCATTTGCTCAGGCAGGCGCAGTGGAAGCTATGGGAGCAGGGGACGGTCACCAGGCCGGTGACGGCGGCGTCCATTCGTTCCAAGCACACAGGACAGGTCGGAAGCTCGTAAGCCCCGTCCACCCGTGTGGACGCTAAATCGCATATATTTTGAGAGACGTGGTCGTCGACGTCGACGGCTATGGACAGTACGCGAACGACATGGCAGGCTTCCGGCTGGACACGGAAATGAGCGCGAGAGCTGCCACAGAAGCGCAAGCAGACGTACCTCCATGGAGTTGAATGGCTTGCCATTGTAGGCCTCGATGAACTCCGCCACATGCGACGTGTCCCTGAATTTCATAACCACGATGGATCTGTTGGGCGCGGTGTCGCTGCATGGGAGTCAGCGAACGGACCCGCTGCGGCTGCGAGGTGCAAAAACCGACCGGATCATTCTCAGATGCAACAGACCATCCGCAGCGGGAGCGACGAAGGCCAGGAAGTCGGAGGGGGCGAGCCACGAGGGGACGGCGAGCACGGCGAGGGTGACGTCGTCGGACTCGGCGTGATTGCGGGAGTCAGACTGCCCAGGCGGCTGGGCCGAGGTATTTGCAACAGCGGATGCGTAGCTCATTCCATTCGTCTCCGATGGGCCCGGATAGTCGCGGAAAATGTGGACGATGCCCTCGGGGAGGTCGGTGGAGCCCGACTTGCTGTGGCGGACAAAGGTCGCGGACGCGAGTTCTCCTGCGGATGCGCGAATGGGCAATTCGAACGGCTGCGATCGGAGCAAGAAGAAGAAGGCCGCACCTTTGCGCTGCGTCGAACCCTCGCGCTCCTTCCCGAGACTGGGTTTGGGGAGGCTTGCGCCAGGGGCGTCCATGTCGGAGAAGTCGACCCAGTCTACGCGGATGGGGCCGAGGCGGTAGTCTTTGCGCGGGCGCGCGTCGAGAGAGCGATCTGTGTTCGGGCCTGCGCCGGGTCTCGGGTAGGCTGAGAGGGTGTTCCTGCGGGAGGCGTAGCGCGGCGGATGGGACGGGAGGGGTTGGAAAAGCGAGCTTGGGATGAAAGGAGAGGGGCGCGCGCTCTCGTGGGTGGAGATGCTGGAGGTGTGCTTGTGCGAGGTCGAGGGCGTCGGAGAGGAGGGGTTGGAGGGCGAGGATGGCGAGGGGAGGGAGATGCGGATGTGGTAGCCTCTCATGGCACTGAGGGGAGCAGGAGAACAGCCGAGGCGAGTGCTCGCTCAGCGTCCAACGACGGGCGTCCTGCAGTGAGCCCCAGTGAGCCGAGTCGCCGACCCTGGGCCCGCCACCCGCTCCTTGCTCGCTGCCTCCATGGGCCTTTCGTCTGTCTCGGCCCGCCCGCTCATTTCGCTCACCGAGCCGCTCACTCGCCGCACTTGCAATACAATCCGGCGCGCTCTTGAAACCGCCTACGTCCCTGCCGAGAACGTCTACTCGCCCTCGGAAGGCCATGCGGCCGTGCTAATCCCATTTTGCAATGTGGACAACAGGCCGGGCATCTTGCTAGAGGTCAGAGGGAAGCTTAGGACGCATTCTGGCGAAGTCAGGTACGTTCGTCATCCCGCACGAAACCCGCGCCCGCGTTCAGGTTTCTGCCTCCTTCGTGCGCCACAGCTTCCCGGGCGGTCGGGTCGACCAAGTACGTCCCCGCTCGCACAATGCGTGCGTGCGCCTGTCGCGCGCGCACACGCCCGTCAGACCCTGACTCGCGACCGTCGGCGCCCAGTTGGACGAGTCTCCGCAGGCTGCTGCGTTACGTGAAACGGCAGAGGAGGTGGGCATCCGCCCCTCTCAGGTCGAGCTCCTCGGACGTCTTGGGCCTGCAGAGCGGTCGCTTGGTGGACTACGCGTCTGGCCGTACGTAGTGCGTACTTACCTCTCACCGTCTGGCGCATTGCCGTCGAGTCAACCACGCCCCTCTGCCGCCGCACCGCAGGGCGTCGTGCTGCCAGCGACGGATCAACGGACAGAACCAGAGGGCGAGGACGCGCCGCTCCCGTCGGTCGGGCTGGGGACCCTAACGCTCTCCCAGCGGGAAGTCGCACACGCGTTCCACCTGCCGCTTCGAGCCCTGGTCTCCGCCTCGCGGCTGCAGACGTACCTCTTCCGCGGCCAGCGGCCGTACCACGCCGTCGACGTCGGAGACATCGTGGGCGGACCTGGCGCGGTGCACTCGGAGGGGCCGGGGAGCGTGGCGGAGGTCACTTGGGCGAGCGACCATGCGGGGCGAGATGAGATCGGCGGGGGGAGGGACGGGCGACTGGAGGTCTGGGGCCTGACGGGCTGGTATCTGTGCGAGCTCATGCGCATTCTCCGTGTATACGACACATGAATGCCGAATACAGCTCGACGAAGCTTCTAGCTTAAGTGCCAAGGGCGCGAGCCTTTTGCGCCCAGCTGGCGGCTGTCGAGGGAGAGATGCCGGCGGCGGAAGAGTGGCCTGGGGTGGAACATCCGGATATTCAGGGGTAGGCACATTGCTCCCCGCACCGCAGCGTGTGCGTCGTCGACCGCCAACCCGACCAACTGACCGCTGGGCTGGCGGCGACCGCGCAGCACCTTCCATCCCGATAGCCCGCGACGCCGACGGGGTCCGGGGCAGAGGATGCATCGAAGCCGCGCTGTGGTTGTCGGCCCCGCTGGGGGAGAAACACGGGCAGGCTACGCCTCCACCTTCTCCGCCGCGTCTGCGCCAGGACGCCCACCCGCAGGACGCTCGCGTAGGTTTGCCCGCGCGGTGCCCGAACCGTCCGTGGCCGACGCAGACACCACCCCCGTGTCCTCCTCGGCTTCCGCGCCCGTCGCGCCCACGCTGTCGCCGTCGCCGTCCTTCTTGTCCACGAGCGAAACGCGGCGCTCGCCGCGCAGCCGCGTTCCGTGCCGCGCGCGGGCGGACGCCTTGGACTTGGCCCGCCGGTCCTCCCAGATGAGATAGAGGATCGCCTCGGAGCTTGCGACGATGAGGGCGGTGGATAACGCTAGAAGCACCCGCTGGCGGTCGCGCGTGCAGCGGCACGCGTCGCGGAAAAAAAAAAAGGGGTGTGAGCGTTGCGCGAGCGGAGGAACAGGGCGCGCCCGGAAAGGCAGGTTGCAGAGCGGAGCGCACGCAGGTGCGGGGCGGGGGGCACGCACCCATTCGTCCGCCAGTGGAGGCGTTCTGCGGCCCAGAAGACGCCGAGGCCAGCACCCACGACGCTCAGCAGGGCGTTGGCGAGCGTGGTACCGCCCGGCGGTCGCTGCGCTCCTTCGCGGCGTCGGCGGCGGCGGGTGCGGCAGGGAGGGGGAAGCGGCGCTCGGGCGAGGTGCGGGTGCCGGCGAGGAGAGCGACCATCGAGTAGTCGCGTGCGTCCAGCGGCGGGTCGTGGTGCGCGAGCGCGTCTTGGGCCGGCTGCGTGCGTGCCCACCTTGCGACCGCGGAGAGGAGCGAGTATGGGATCGTTCTAGGAGGACACTGCGCTGCTTCCGTCTCCTTCTCGCTCCCAGGAGACGGACTGGACAGAGGGTGGTCGAGGGCAGACCCGAGTTGAGCTGCAAGCTCGTCGGGAAGGAGAGCGTGCAAGGGGCGGAGAGATTCGACGAGGTGGTCCTCAAGAGAGACATTGAGGGCAGCGTTGGGATCTGTGGCCATGGCACGAGGAGGGCCGCGGATGAGGACAGCGGACACGGCGGCGACGACGGACGGTTGAGCGCGTCGGAGCGCGGGGCGGGCGCGGCAGGAGCACGTGCGGCCCGGCGGCCCGGAAAGGATCGATCCTCTGCTCGTCGCGGACGTCGGCGAGCTCAGTGTCGGGCGTCGCAGGCTGGCCACCTCTTCCTCCGAAACCACATACTCCCAGCCTCACATGGCGGAAGCTCCGTCAATGGGCGAGCCCGTTGACCCAGCCCCTGGGTCAGACGGCGCAATACACGCCATCGCAGCCGCCGCACTCGACGCGACGCAGACCGCTCTCCTCGTCCGTCTCCTCGACCAGTCAGCGACCGTGCTCGCGCGGTCTTCCATTGCTCGGTGCGCCCTTGTCCTTTCTTTGGCTTCGCGCATTGCGAACCGCCGTTTCCAGAGAGAATATCGGGAATGCCACCAGTCCCTCTATTTGGCCCATCCTCCTTCGTCTCTGGTCCCAGGCTGCCCAATACGCTACCAATCCACCTCTCGCCCGCCCTCTCACTCTCACTCTCGCCAAATTCACCCGCAACCTTGTTGCTGCTACACCAATGAACCAAGCAAGGGCCTTGTCAGTCTTCTTTTTCGAACGTCTACAGCCCCGCAGCCTCTCACACGATCCCTCCTCGTCTCCTCCGCAGCGAATGCGAGCCACATGTTCGGACGCTGCTCTACCATTCCACTTCCTTCTACGCGACCCAGGACGCTTCCGGTCTGCCCAAAAAATTTTCTGCAAAGCTTGTCTGACAGCGGCTGCCTTCCTCCTAGTCCTTCCGCTTACACGCCTGCTTACCCAGACCCTCTCCAACATGGTCACGGCCAACGACGCGCTAGCCGCCGCCCTGTGGACCACCTACCTCAGCCTTCCAGAAGAGCGCAATGTATTGACGTATGCCTTCCTTGGGCACTGTGGCCGCACTGCGTCCTCATCCGCCCCGGCGTTTGCCCTCCAGCCGCCTCTTCTCGTCTCCGGACCCTACTACACTCTCTTCCGCTTTCGTCCTCGTCTCAACTGCGTAAACGGTAGTGTCAGCAGGATGTGTGTCCCACACGCACCGCGCTTCACGCCGGCCCATTGACCGCTCCTGCTTCAGGCAACTCTTGGCTGACGGCGCCCAGGGCCCGCGGCTCTCTATCGCGATGCTCGACCAAGTCGCTTCGCTGTCCGAAGCGGAAGAAGCGAGCGAACGCGGCCAGGCATTCGACATTGGGTGCGTGCTCATATCCGCAGCCTGCCGTCACTGCCATTCGCTCATGCTCCTCCCGCGAATTCGCAATCTGATAGCTCTGAGGTCTTCAGTCGCGCCATAGAGGCCGGAGCCGGGCCCACGCTGTATAGAAGCATCGCTGTGTGAGTACCCGGCCGCTGGCACACGTCCCCCTGTTAGCTAATCGCCGTTTGGAATGCGCCTGGACTGAATGCTTTTCCGTGTCCGGCAGCGAAGGCGAAGCCGTCGCACCCCACCAGACGACCTTCCTACGCCTTCTAGACTCCTATCTGCACGGCTCCCAGGTGGCACACGAGGTGGCGTTGGCAAGGGGACCCGACAGAGACGGGAAATGTCTTCTTGACGTCCTCGTCGGCGAGTTCCTGAGCCTGGGAGCGTACGCACAGCGCGCCATCCACCGAGCCCTGGGCTCACAAGACACCGGTGGGCCGGAGAGCCATGAGGCCACACCTCGCACACCCGCAGACGACGGCGCGCCTGCGGAGACGAGAATGGGCCCAAACGTTCCTGGGGGCGAACCACACGCAGCCGCTGGTGCGAGCGCGCCTCTGCACGAGCTCGACCTGCTCCTGCCCAAGGTTTGCGAGGCCCTGGTGCTCGTCACGGAGTGCATCACGACGGCGTGCCTGCGGGCTGAAGAATCCGGCGCGACCGCCCTCGCGCTGTCGTCCTCAGCCGACTCCGGCGGAACGCGCACTCCCAGAAACATAGTCGCGGCTGCGGCTAGTCCCGTGGGCCAGGGATTCGTCGAGTGTCTCGTCGGTGAGTTTTTCCCGCCTTGGAGCTGTCTGCTTTCGCGTCATAGGCTTCGTCCGCGGGCACGGGTGTACGTGTACGTGTACGTGTACGTGTGCGTTTGCGTCTGCGCGTGCGCATGACCGCCGATGTCGTAGCCCCTCGAACACCAGCCGCGATGCTTTGCTGACGGCCGCACAGAGACCCTCGGGCTCGTGGACGCGTTCGTGCCTCGAATCACTTACGGCAAGGTCGTGCGGCGGCCCCCCGCGCCAACACCCCGCGCGACGTGGACGCCAGGCCAAATGATCGTGGGCGTGGGGACGCGGGCTCGGATCCCGAGCAGGCGGCGGTCGCGCAGGCGTTCGCGCACGTCAAGCGCGACCTCGTCCGCCTGCTGGGCGTGCTCGCGGCCGAGGATCGCGCGGTGCAAGACCGCGCGCGTGCCTGCGGCGGCGTCCCGGCGGTAATGAACCTCTGCGTCGTCGACGACTTAACCCATGTGAGTGGCGCACCGCTTGCGACGTTGCCTTGGCGGGGTGGCTAACGCGCCTGTGCGCTCGCCTGCGCGTAGACATGCGGGAGCACGCCTCTTCGCGCTCCGGAACCTGCTCAAGGGGAACGAGGCGAACCAGGCCGTCGTGCAGGCAATCCGTCCCGTGGGGCGTTGGGACGAGGACAAAGTTCTCCGCGACATTGCGCGGGGTACGGTGTAGTAAGGTTCCGGCAAGGACAGGCCTATGTCCACGCTCGCCCGACCACAGAGAGCCGTATGTTGCCATGTTGAGATGTCTGTTATTACGGCCGGCGGCCACCCTCATTTCTCTTGCTCTCTGGGGTGGTGCACGCTCGTTCTCGAAGGCTGTGGGGGCCCATGTACGCATTAGGCCGTTGGTAATACAGATAGAGTACGCGAAGCAGGCACGCTAGTCCTCATCCTCCTCCACTTCCACCGCACGCCGCTTGCGGCCGGGAGCACGCGCCGTGCGGCGGGCGCCGATGTCCTCGTCTTCGCTCTCCACATCCATCCCGTCCCCGTCCCCATCCGAGTCCGAGTCCGCGCCCCCACGCGCACCAGACCCCGGGCCACTCTTGCTGCGCCGCGCCGCCTCGTTCTGGTTGATCTTGGCCTCCAGCCGGTCCAGGTCGTCCACCTCCGCCTCCGCCCGGCCACCCCCTCCGCCGCGTCGCCGCTTGCGCCGGCCCGCGTCCTCCTCCTCCTCGTCCGAGTCCGCGACGAGGAAGTCGTCCGTCTGGTACTCGCCCGGGCCCTTCTTCCCGCCGTCGTCCGCGCCGCCGCCGGACTTGCGCCGCTTCCCGCCCCCGTACTCGTCCTCGGAGCCGCCGCGGCCGAACCCGCCCTCGTCGTCGTCGTCGTCATCGTCATCGTCGTCAGACCACATGTCGTCGCCCGTGCGCTTGCTGCGGCCGTGGCCGCCCCCACCGCCGCCCGCGCCCCCGCCGCTGCGGCGGCGGCGCCCCGCGCCGAGGTCGTCGAGGTCGCCGGTGCGCGGCTTGCGCGGCTGCTTGCGGCCGGCGGCGGCCGCGCGCGCGAGGTCCGCCTTGGCGCTGTCCATGGTGAGGTCGGTCGCCATGCGGAGGCGCGCGACGCGCGAGTGCTTCTGGCCGACGGCGCGGACGAGCAGCCGGTGGACGTCGCTCTGCATGCCCGTCGGGCGGAGGGACATGTAGCCGGTGACGAGGGCCTCGCACTGCAGGATCTCGGCGCGCTTGTGCTGGGCGACGAGGTAGGTGAGCCCGGAGGAGCCGGGGCCCGAGGCGGAGAGGCCCGAGGGCTGGGAGGCGGATTGGGAGGAGGAGGGGAGGGCGGAGTGCGAGTGCGACTGGGAGAGCGATCCGGGGCGGGCGCCGGCACCGGCGCCGACGGACTGGGTGATGTCGAAGAGCTCCTTGCCGAGCTGGAGGGAGAGGGAGCCGTCGGACCAGCGGACGATGCGGCTGTTGGATTGCCTCCGCTGAAGGTTTCATTTACGGGGCGCGCGGGGTCATATAGCCGTTGGCGGACGGGGTCATTGAATAAATTAAACACGTCGTCAGAAGACAGGCCGAGGACAGAGAAGGGCGACGAGCCCGGAATGAAACTCACGTCCTGGCCGAGGTTGTCTTTGGCCCACCGCCAGCGGACGGTGTTTTCGACCTTGAGCTTGATGCTCATGCTTTTCTGCTGGAAGGACTCGGCTTGATGCGCGTCTTCGTCCTCCTGCTCCGGCCCGATGTATGTGTCGGGGTGGAAGGGCTTGGAGTCCACCTTGATGAAGTTGGGCATCCTGATGACCCAGTGCTGCGCGCCAAGAGGCGTAAGCTCGACGGACGGGCGCAGGGAGGAGAGAGAGACGCACGTTGCCGTCCGAGCTGTGGGGCACGGGTATATTGGGAATCGCAAGCTCAGCTTGGAGTTTTGGCTGTGCAGGGGGCTCGGCGTCGTCGTCATCGGCATACTCGAGTTGCTCGCGGCGGCGGCGCTCCTGGGAGGTGATCTGTTCATCTTGGTCCGCGAGCTCGGAGGCGGCAGTGGAGGGGGCCCTGGCAAGATGACGAGGGAACTTTGGATGGGCATGGCGAAGGAGAAGGCAAAAGACGATACACACTCGTGTTCGACCATCGTCACATCTTCGTCACCGCCAAAGAGGTCGTTGTCCTCCTCGGAGGCAGCGGCAGCCACCTCGTCCTCCACTTCTTCTTGTTTGGGCGACTCGAGGGCGCCAGCGAGAGAGGACATGGTGAGACAAGACGATTGCACGCGTCTGAAACGGTGGCCAAGACAGCAAGGACAACAGAGGGAGAATTGGGGGGCAGAGGCGGCCGAGGGAGGAGTGGAGGAGACTGAGAGGAACGCTGGGTGGCCACCAACGCGTGTGCAAACGCCGAGGCGCTGATGGAGGTCGGTTTGCGTCTTGGTCCTCCTCCGCTCTTGCCCCTGCCTCTTCGCTGTCCCTTCGTCTTACGCGCCCCTCGGCCGCGCCTGTCGCTCTGGTTCCCACTTGCAAGCCTATCTGCGTTCGCGGTACTTGCGACGGTCCATCTGCCAACCGGCTTCTCAACTGGGCCTTCGTGTTTGCCCCGGTGTGAACCCGCGATCTGTACATGCATGTGTCTACTCCGGGTTCTCAGGGCTCTGTTCGCGTACTCGTCAAGTTCATGCACGTCCTTTGTCTGCGCCCATCTGCGCTGAGAGCGTTGTCGGAAATGCATCGTATCCCCGAATCTGCGTTCTGCGGCCCGCGAATCGTTTGTGGGCGTGTTCGTCCGGGCTTCTGCGGGTTCAGCGCGGTGTGGTCCACTGGGCCCTGTCTGGGCCCAGCTGCGTTGAGGACATGTTTCCGGCGACGCAGAAACGAGCTGGCGCTCTTCTGGAACGGCTCATGGCTGTGACTATATGTCTCCTGCTATCGATCTGAACACACCACACTGCCCTCTCGCGCTACCTCCGCCCCGCCGCGGACTTGAGGCTTGAGGACGGACGCGTGGGGGACGCGTTGCACACACGCCCACGTCGCCCTCGGCCGGACGCAGACCGGGCGGTCTCCGGCGTGCGGACGGGGTCCGGGACGCGGCTCCCCTCGCCGCGCGCTGCCGCAGCATTCGAGTCACGTTCGTCCGCGCACCGACGGCTTGCAGTTGGTGCGGGTTCGCGACGGAGGAGTGCTCAGCAGGCAGACGAGGACGGGTGGCTTTGCGTTCCTAGGACCCGTCCCTCCCGCCCCCCGCCGTGCCCGGGGTCCGCGCATGTCCTTTGCTCTGCGCCGTCTGGCGCGTGTGTGGGCGTATAAAGCGCGGCCGGGCGCGCCGTCCTTCCACTGCACACTCGCCCTCTGCAGCCGTTCGAAGTGTGCACCAACACCGCCCTCCCGCCTGCACCTGCCTTATTCGTCAGACGCCCTCGCCCTCGGTTCCTTAAAAGCTCGCCACTCTCGCCTCCTCCTCCTCCCCCCCATCCCAGCATCCCACTCATCATGACTCCGCCCCAGTCCGTCCCCATCCGCGCCCTCCCCGGCTCCCCCTCCGAGCTCCATCTCCCCGCGCACCTCGCGCCCCGCCACCCCGACTTCCTGGGTGCCCCGGCCGAGGACCTCCAGTACCACACACACGACCCGCTTGACCTCGGCCTTCCGTTTGATGTACGTCATCGCGATCATGATTCGTCCCTCTCGCCTGTGCTCATCTGTTGTATATAGTATGCGCTCACCATCCAGGACGACTCCCCCGAGCCTTCGTCCGCCGTCCCCACTCCGGACGTGCACTCGTTGCCTTGGGACTCTCCCCACAGCTCGCTGCTCTTCTCCGAATCGTTCGACGCGAGCGGGTACCCTCTCCACGACTCGTACGTATACTTCAACCAGCAGCCACACGGCCCGTTTGGCCACCCCTCTGGCGCCTCGCGTATCTTGCCCCAGATCCGGATCGAGACCGAGTTCCCGCCGACGACAGGTGCGCTCGCCGCCTTCGAGCCCCAGCAGCTCTCTCCCTGGGCCCCCTCCCCAGGCCACTCCGGCCGGTCCTCCTCCTCGCGCGGCCACCCCCTGCACTCGTCCCCCTCCAGCGCCGGCTCCGCCGCCCCGCCCTACACCCCCGACGCCTACCCCCCCATGTCCCCCTACAGCTCGCCCTACATCCAGGGCACCTCCGCGTCCCCGACCTCCCCCTCGCACATCGCCCGCCATCCGGGCCAGTACGACGGGCAGGCGGCGCAGACGTGCCAGCCGCAGCTCGTCTTCGCCCCCGAGGACGCGCTCTCGCCCCCGATCGGGCCGACGTCGATGACCGCCGCGTACACGCTCACCGCGGCGAGCCAGGTGCGCGCGGAGGAGCAGCGCTCGGTGATCGCGCTCGCGAGCGCGCTCGGGCACCCGCGCGGGGGCCTGTTCGTGCCGCAGAAGACGTACAAGCCGCACACGCTCAGCGACCGGCGGCGGTACGTGGAGGAGGTCAACCTGGAGGCGCCGATCATGTTCCTCACCCATGGCCCGCACGGCTGCGGGATCGCGCTCGAGGACGCGATCAAGCAGCGGTACAGCAGGCTCGAGGGCCGGGACGACCCCATGTTCGAGGGCCGGGGCCCGTCGGTCTCGATCCGGTTGAACGTGAGTGTCTCTCTTCGCACGGATATTGAATGATGTGGTCGGGCAGACGCTGACTCGCCTCCCCCTCTGCCCTCCTCCCCGTGCGCGCCGGACATTACGACAGTGGCCTGGGTACGCGCCCTGGAGCCGCCAGATCCCGACGCGGGATTTCCGGAGCCCGCCGCACCCGATCACGCGGGCGAAGCTGGCGAAGAACGTGGCGAAGACGGTGAAGCGGTTCATCGAGGAGATGAGCACCCAGAAGATGGAGGACGCGGCGGAGGCGGACTGGAAGGTCGGGGGCAAGCACGGGATCGCACTCGAACACCTGATGCTCGTCGGCCTCCAGCACGTCTCCATGGGCTCCTGGCAGGCGCACGTCCGGCTTATCAGGTCCTACTGAGCCTGCACCCGCACCGGCGAGCCTCGAGGCGGGGCAGTCATTATGTCAACCGCCGACTCGGATCTTGCGCTCGCCCCCTTGCTTTCGTCTTGCTTCTCGCGCTCTCTTGCTTTCCCCGCCCCGCGCCATCGCCCTCACGATCTCGCACCAGCCGCTGGCGGCACCTTCTCTGATCACTACCGCCCGATGGCTGCCCGGCCCGGAGGTGGGGGTAGGCGCACATTCGCTCCTGCGGGCTTTGGCTCTCGCAGGCGCGATGGACGGCTCGTTTATTCTCCGAGATTTGTGGGATATCGGACCCTCTCGGATAGATCCAGTCACTTACTCGTATGCTAGACTAGTAAGGATACCCTTGGAGGAGGCCTTGGCCGCCTGTTTGGTGTACCCATCCCTATGCCCTCCTCCTCCTCCTCCTCACTCTCCTCACTCTCCTCTTCCCCCTCCACTTCCTGAGACACTCTCTCGCGATAATTCACCCCTTCCTCTGCTTACACACCCTTCGACACTGCGACTCGCCTGTGGAGACGATACCCCTTGACCGTGGGCCGGAATCAACCAAACTGTACTGTACTCATAGGCTTGTATCTGTCCTCGCTGCCCATCTGTTCCCCATCTGTTCCCCATCTCATGCAGTGTTTGGATTTCGCGGCGCGCGGACGGAAGCGTAGATCGATAGCGGTATAAATACACAAGAGTGCGATGCTTACACCGCCCGGTGGCTCGAGTGAGAAGGTCTGGAGAGGGCGGCGGTGCGCGATGAGTCACTGGGCTTGAGGACGGGAGGGGGCCTGGGAGGACGGTGGCCTCGAGGCGCAATCGAAGCCGGGGCGCGGCGGCAGGTGATGCGGGCGGGGCGAGGGCCGCGGAGGATGAGGAAGGAGGCTCGCAGTGCCACTCCACGTGCGCGGCTCCGGTGGGGGCTCGCGGGACGGCTGTGCTCAGGTCCCAGGTCCGTGGCCGGCGGGAGCCCACGGCCCGGGGGGTATCGATGGCGGGGGCGATTGTCCGGCCGTCCGCGCGCGTTCTCCACGGTGTCGGCGCACGCGCGGGGCGGGCGTGGTGGACGAAAGCACGTTGCGCGCGCGCGGGACGAGGGAGGGCCCTGGATAGGTCCACCCTCGGCTATTCTGGCGCTCCACCCCTGCAGCCGCCGCTGCAGGTCGCGCATCCGTCCGTCCCTCTATCCTGTCCGGCTGCCTCTTTTGTACCCCGCTTAGCACACGCCCCCAGGTCCACCGCGTCGCCGCGAGGAAGCCTTCTGTCGCCGCCCGCGGGCGAGGACGGGGCGAGGCGGCGCCGTTCCACCCCGCACGTCGGAAGAAGACGTCCGTCGGCGCAGCGGCGCGCGGCGCACTTTGAAGACGCCGGCGGATCCGGCGATATGCGTGTTTTCGAAGTGGCGCAGGGTGCGATTTCAGTGGGCCACGTCCACTGCGTAGAGGACACATGCGCGGATGCGCCGCGATGAGGCTGTCGAGCGCGAGCCGCCCACAGACTCCGCCTGAACCTCAAGCGTTTCCAAATCCATAGCGGTGCCTACAATCTCTCGTCAAGTCCAGGACATGCTTCTCTCCCCCCGCGCCGGCGACGACGGCCGGCACGCCTTCGAATGCGTCACCATTGACCCAGGGCGGGCGTTCGAGAGACAAGTGATCTGGGAGTGGAAGCCGACGGTGCGCGCTCATATTCGACCTGCCTCGTCACTGAAGGCATTCTCGTAGGCAAAAAACCGAACTCAAATCCATCGATACTAACGGAGGAAAACCAGGCCCTGCCAAACTCGCCCCCAGAACAGCCGAGCTCCCCATTGTCCTTGCGTTGCGCGGTGCGGATGCAGGATGCGATGGGTTTGACGGGCCCCGCGGCGGGCAATACGGGAAGATCTCTGGCTCAATGGTGTCCTGCGGGCGTGCAGGTACACGCAGCGATCAAGCTCTTTCTTTTATAATCCGGCGATTGGTGGTGAAGGAGTTGGCGGGTACGTGATCGCTGAGAATAACTCCGGAAAGGCCTGCACACTCGTCGTCTGGCGATGCACCTACGATGGCTGTGAAGCCCGGGATTCTACGCGCACTAATTAAGAACGATCGGATAAACACAGCCAACCAGGTCTTCTCCTGCCAGAGCCTTAGGCTCTCTCTCACCGGTGTCATGTCAAGGCTGTTCGAATGGCGAGTCGCCTGACGCCCCGAGCGGTGCGACCACCTACCTGTGCAGAGCACTTGTGCGCAAGAACCCTCTGTGGGAACCACAGGCGAGAGGACGATCGGTTGCGCGAAGGCTGGCGTTTGTAGTACGTACCCTCATCTGTCACCTGGTGTTGCACCGCCCCCACTGCCCTCAATGAATTCGACGTTTAGCCTTCATTCCGCTCCCGATCCGCACTTGCACGCGCGGTGCACGCGGGGCGATGCAACCGACCTGTGCCCCATTACGGCGAGCTGGGATTCTTGCAGCCACCTCCGTGTGCCTTCTGGAGCTCGCGAGGAAGAGAGGACGCGCCTCGTCCCTGCCACGGCGCTCGACCGCGACGCGCGCAGGTTGCCAGTGAACTGTCGGGAACTTTAGTTGAATTTAACTGGAGCTGCCTGTAGATCGTAGCTGATTGGATATATTGACGATTATATGGGCGGTTTGGCCCACCGCCGGGCGATGACAAGCCCCTCGCGCGCCCCGAGGGAGTACATAGACAGCGCGCAGTGGTGGCGCGGCCGTTGACGGTGGGTTTGAGGAATAAGCAAGGTGAAGGCTCGTGGAGGCGGCGTGGCGGACGAGAGTGCAAGAAAGACAGCTGTTGTGATCGCGCCGCCACGTGCACTGTGGGCGGTTGAGGGCCTTCTGCAGTTCCAGATGGCGCTCCGTCCTGCATCCACGGCGTTGTTCCACTCTGAGTGGATCCTTCGTGCTCAAACAATGTCGCGCCCTTCAAGCCTGGTCACGCTGCTTGCCTCATTGCCCGCTTTGCGGGCGCACGCCCTTATTGTGTCTGGTGGCGGCTCCCATCCGTGCCATCGGAGAGAACAATAGCACGTCCCGCCTCGAGCGTACTTATACGCCGGTGGCTCACGTCTTCCGTCCTCGCCACCGTACACTCTGCGGCTTTTCCCTCTACCCCGCGCCCTGCGACCCTGCTTTTGGCAGCGCCACCGTCCTCGCCACCCGTCCAAATAACCACCCATGATGCTGGAACACGGCTCTCTCGCCGTCGCGGTCGTGCAGCGCCAGGTGATGATCGTCGAAGGTCCGTCCCCTCCGCCCGCCCCTCCGCCCGCCCGACGGCGTCCTGAACCCGCCCGCGTGCTCCCGGGTCTCCCTCAGCCGCACACGCCCACGGCGCGCGCGACGCGTGGGTGGACGTGTACACGTACACGCCGCTCGGGGCGCGCGTGTTCCTCGCGTCGCCGGTGCCGCAGGCGCGGATCGCGGCGCGCGACGTGCTCGCGGTGCTCCCCGCCGAGGACGCCGGCGCGGCGCGGCGCGGCGGCGGGGGCGGAGGCGGCGACAGCGGGGGTGCGGGGGCGGGCATGCTCGAGCTCCCGCCGCACGCGTTCTCGGAGTACCTCGAGTTGAGCACGCGCGCAGCGTCGCGGCACGAGCAGCTGTTCCGTGCGGCGGCCGCGGCGGCGGAGAAGCCGCAGCGCGCCAGGCGGTGGTTGGTGATTTGAGGTGGAGGGAAGGAGAGGCGGGGAGGGGGGTTGTTCGATCCCTGGTCACGAGCGAACCGTAACGCCCGACAATGCTTGTATCAATAGCTTGATTGTTTGCCTGTCTGTTAGCGTTTCGACCGTCACTGTATCCATAGATTTTGTCCGTGTTCCGTGGATCACTACATTAGTAAACGACCGCACGTATATCATTAACTTTCTTCGAGAGCTCATCACGAACCTTTTTGCGTCTCGCGAAATGAATGTCGTACAATGTTCTGTTGGATGAAGGGAAGATGCTCTGTCGCGTATAGCAACGTCGAATTCAAGGCAGGAATCGAGAGTCGTGAGTACAATGTCAGATGTCACAGAGATATAGGTATAAGGAATACATAGGACCACACTACCCGGCCTCCTATGACGCCGGAGTAGCGTTCGGGTCTCGATACACCTGGCAGCATGAACGTTAATACGGATCAAAGCTAGCGGGTCATGGCGGAGCGCCGCTCACCTTCAAGTCCCATAGGTTGCCGACCTTGCGGTCCTCGGGATCGACTTCCATCGCGTCTTCTTGCGCCTCTTCCTTGCCGTCCACCTCGATCTTCAGCCCCCGCTCGTTCGCAAGGTGAAGGAGACAGATGAAACAGAAACTCGTGCTAATCTCGTCCATCCTGTCCTTCGTATACGACTGCTGCAGCCCCGAAATGACCGACGTGAACGACCGTCCGTCGTCGGGGTCTGTTGGTGGCCGCTCCTCGGTTTCCTGTGCAGTCTCCTTCAACCTTCCGCAGGGTGATGGGTAGAATAGCGCCGCTCACCATGTCCTCTTCCCCTTCTACCGCTGGCGCGCTGATGTCGAGCCCTTTCCAGATGTTCTCCTTGAGCTTGCGGACGTCGACGCGCTTCGCACGCTTGGCGTAGTTGACCGCCTCGGGCTTGACGCGCTTCGACGCCTGCATCGGCCCGAGAGACTCGTCGATCTCGGCCGCGGTGGCGCCATCAAAGTCATCGAAACCAGGACCGTCGTCATCATCGTCGTTGAAGAACTGGGTGTTGAATGGCGGGGGATCGAGCGCTGCGGATGGACATCAGGACCACAAAAGTGCTCACGCAGACGAATGGCTCACCGTCGTCGCTTGGACCCGCGGCTTTGTCTGCCGCGGCTCTCGCCCAGAACGCTTCGTCGATCTCGTCCTCGACTTTGCCGTCGGTGCGTATGCGCTGACCACGCATCTTGAGCTGGAATGACGCGGTCGCGTTAGCCTGATTGGACGGAGCACATGGCTGCAAGCGACGCTTACGGAGAATTTAGGCTTGAGGAAGAGCGTGACGAGCTGCTTGCTCGAGAAGTGCATGTCGTCCGGTAATGTTTGATCGAACCGCTTGTCTTCCTTTCCTTTGCCCTTCTTCCCGCGCGGCTTCCGGCCCTTCGCGGTCGACGGCCCAGGAAGGTTGATACCGGGCCCGCGAGTGGCAGGGGCGAAGAGCCGCTTCTGGCGGGCTTTGATGTCCTCCTCGGCGGGCGTGAGGAAGTCGATCCGGAACGCCTCCTTCTTCTCGCGCTTGGGACGGGAGGCAGCTGCTTCCGACGCGTCGGCTAGAACGTACGCCGTTAGCAAGACCACAACAAACCAAGCACTGAGGTCGCAGGAACGTACGACGACGGACGATTTTGCGGAGTTTCCAGTGCTCGGGGCCCGCCCAGTTCTTTGTGTTGAAGTAGTTCAGGACGCCCATCTCGCCCTCGGCGTCGTCGATCGTGAAGAGGTCGCGGTCACCGGGCATGCGGCGGGGGTCGAACGGCACGAACGCGCCGCCGGGACCCACCCGCTGGCCCTCGGCGGGAGCGCCGTCGGAGCCGTGGACGGAGCCGCCGTCGCCCTCCGCGCCGTAGTCGGGTGCAAACTCAAAGTCGTTTGGGACGGCCTGGTCGCCGACGAAGAAATCCTCGGCGGGAGCGGTGCTACTTGAAGGACCGTCGACTTCCATGACGTCCCCGAAGCCGGCATACTGGTTGAACCCTCCTTGGTCGTCGTCGTCATCATCGTCGTGAATTGGCTGGGAGCTTTGAGTGAAGAGGGTGTCGTCATGGGAGAAGCTGTCCTTGCCGAAGGCGAAATCTTCGAGGGATTCCGATATTTCCCAGTCGTCGAGCTCGTCCAAGTTCGGCATGAATTGCGCTGGAGCGCGGATCATAAGAGGTAGCATAGCATACGAGCCGAGGCGAGAGTTGACATACCTCGTAGTTGCGTCAAACCCATGTCCTCACGAGGCTCCTCCAGAGGTGCTGCTTCCTCTTCATCCTCATCCTTCGCCACGGAATCGCTCGCGTCAAAGACGACTCGCAGGCTACCGTCGGGGGCAACGGTGAGGCCGAGGTGGTTCATGAGGAGACCTTGCGCTCCGCCCTCGTCGAAGTCGGCGCATGTCTTTCGGAAGAGCGGGTCGACGCTGAACTCGAGATCGAGCTTCTTGGTGCGCAGCTGAGCGGGGTTCTTCGCAAGCGTCGACTCGCTGCGGTATGCTTTCCGTTTCTTCTGGCTCTGGCTCGGGTCACCTCCCGAGGGGTTATCAGAGTCGTCGCCGTCGTCAACACGGTTGGCCAGATTGCTGAGAAGCTTGCCGGTCTCAGTGCCGACAGAGTCGACGCGGGAGGTCCAAATCTTGACACAACCGTCGAGGGTGCAAGAGGCACGTTGAAAGTTGATGGAGTTGTCGTTGTTATTGCGCAGAAGGGACATGTCGTGGAAGTAGTCGATAAGAGCGAAATTCCAAGAGTTGGCGGCGTTGATTTTCTGTCATTGCGTTGAGTCAGCACTGCCGTTCTACGAGATAGGATAAAAATATAACGAAGGAGGTCTGGGTCGAGTTTATATGTAAGCCGACGCGTCGGCATTCAGAGCCATGGTTCGTAGAAAGCTTGTTTTCTCAGTAGCACGACTTGCACCGCAAAGACCATAGGAACGAGGGGGCTGAAGGTGAGCAGAGAGACTCACGTTGTCAGTCGCCATCTTCATCCATTGGTCGTAGTTTTGGGCCATCACGTCCTTAGGAAGATTAATAGCTGGAGTTTGTGGAATACTGAGCATTTGGCTCTTCGTTCTTGGGAGGCCAGCACCCCTGGAGCCTTCTGCAGCTCCGGGCGCGTCGGAGGAAGGGCCACCAGCGGGTATGGAAGACGGGCCCGCCTCTGGATCGTCGCTGGGATCAAGGGGAGCAGGAAGCTTAGCACTCTTCCTGCGCCTGCGCTTCTCCGCGGCATCGTCATTGATGTTGACGGTGGTAAGAGGGATGCGACCATGCGCGCCCTTGGATGCATTCGCGTTGTTGTCGAGAGAGAAGCTGCCGTCTTGGTCGCGCTCACTGAGGCGTTTCTTTGAGTGGGTGTGGGCAGAGGGGCGAGGGGTTTGTTCGCGCTCGGTGTCTCCGCCGGAGTCGGACTCTGCGTACGACACGCGGGCCGTGGACTGGCGAGGACGAGTGGGGGCCATGGCTGGGATAAGCGGGAGGCAGGAGGCAGGAGGCGTGGTGGAGATGGGCGGACGCGTTTGATCCCGAACCGCGTTGTGACACGCCCCACGTGATCGATCACGTAAGCGCGCCTTCGACCGAGGCAGGCCTCAGCTGCGTTGGTCTGCCTGGCTCTGCCTCCGACCCTCCTCTGGCCGGCAGCCCACCGCAGAGGCATCGCATCCATGGCTGACAATCACACCGATCTCGATCCCGCTTTTCACGCTCTCCCCGCCCCGCTCAGGAAACGGATTGACAATGCCTTTGACTCGGCAGTGGGCTCCTCTTCTGTTCGCCGTGCTTCCAAACGCCGTAAACTGGACCAGGACGGCAGCACTCAACCCGGTGGATTCCTGACCGACGAGCCCACTGGTGCTTCGGGCGGGTTCATCGTGGATGAACCCCAGCCGCCCCCGGAGGATTCATTGCCGACCTGTCTGTAGGAGACTTTGTGCGGGACGACCCTCCAGATGAGGAACCCGAGCGCATCCCTCTCTCAGCAATCCCCTCCGCGCTTCACACACTGGACCTGCAGCCCGACGACGAGGACGTACTCGCTGTCTTCCACAACGCAGCCTCCGGATGGAACAAAAGTGGCGGTGTCGAAGATGGGGATCAGGATGAAGCCACGGTGAGCCGCAAGGACTGGCGAGCGGTGTGCGCTGCGCTCCTCGATCCTGGGGACGATAAAGATGAAGACGTCGAGATGGGAGCCGGCGAGGAAGAAGAGACCGTCGCTGAAGAGGAATCGGATTCCGAGGAAGAATATCTCGAGTCTCACCAAAGCGCTTCGTCCGCGGAAGACGATGGGTCGTCGGACGAATATACGGAGCAAGCCACTGGCCTCGGGGATGCGCGGCGTTCGAAGTCCAAGCTAGGCCCCACACAAGCAGATTCAAGGCGAGCCTCTCGGAGGAAGGCACGCTCGAGTTCTTCCTCATCCTCGCGAGAGCGAGGGCAGACACGACTCAGTTCGGGGCAGAAGGAGGCGTGCCTGACGGCTTTTGCGCTGTTCTTTCCCCACGTGGAGACGTCTGAGGTGGGAAGACAGCGACTGCGGATCAAGGACATTACCCAGGCGGCCACGCTCCTGAAGGAAAAGATGAGCGCGGAGGAGGTGAGTATGTCATTGGTCCACATGTTCGTCTAGGTGTTGAGAGGCTGGACAGACGATAGAGATGTTGGCCGCGTTCTCGTCCTCCGGGGACCATACGATGGGGCCAGACGACTTTGAGCGCATGATGGTCGCTGCGAAGCTCGTCTGAAAGCACCAGGACGAGTGCCTGGCAGGCGCAAATGATGGGAAGCGAAGGTGGGCGTGAGAGATGTACGTTAACCCAGATCGGAGCCGGGCAGGTGGCGAGATACTGACATGGCCCGTTTCTAATCCAGGACTGTTTTCCCACTTTAAAAGCCTCCATTGTGATGGGTTGTGGGCATAGAATGGACGACCCTGCCCTTCGTGCTCGCCGCTAGGATGCGACGGGTTTTGACCGGCACGGATCTCTTCTACAGAACAGCGTTGTCCGAAGCCCCGTTTGGGTGCGACACGGATGTTGGGCGAGGCCGTGGGCGTCGTGGGTCGCCGCGGGATGGAGAGGTCATGGGGCCGGCTGGAGAGCGGGCGAGCAACGTCTGCGCACGCGACGCTGTCAGGATGCATGTCAACTCGAGCCCGAGTGCGCGCCCATCTCTGCTCGCAGCCTCGCCTGAGCTCTCGCCCGGCCACTTCGCCCGCCTGCGTTCACCCTCATCACGAACTCTGCCCGCCGCCGCTTGCAGCTGCCGCTTCTAGCCTCGTCCATGTGCTCCTTGACGTCCGCTCGCGCGCCCTCCCGCCCATGTATAAAAGCCTAGTCGCGTTCCCACCCGTCTGTCGCGCCCTTTGGTCCCCGCCCTCATCCCGTGTCTTCCTACCCAGCCCTTCCTCTCCACCGTTCCCAGAGCGCACGAGCAGAATGCCTGGTCCTACCGCAACAGGCGCGGGCATCGGCGCCGTCGGTCGCAAAAACCCCTTCCTCGGCATCGTCATGGTCGCCTTCGCCGCCTTCGGTGGTATCCTCTTTGGTTATGACACCGGCACCATCTCTGGCATCCTCGCCATGGACGACTTCAAGCGCACCTTCGGCCAATCCGGTACCATCAGCACATCTCGTACATCTCTCATCGTGTCCATTCTTTCGGCCGGCACCTTCTTTGGTCAGTCCCTTCCCACTCTTCCTCTTTCGTGAATCTCATGTTCTCCTCGTTAAGGCGCGCTTGGCGGGGCACCCGCCGCCGATGTTCTTGGTCGCCGTCTTGCCATCATCATGTCCTGTGTCGTCTTCGTCCTTGGTGTCGCCCTCCAGACAGGTGCTGGAAACTTGGCCACTTTTATCGTCGGCCGCTTTTTCGCTGGCTTCGGCGTTGGTCTCGTTTCCATGCTCATCCCCATGTATCAGTCCGAGTGCGCCCCCAAGTGGATCCGCGGCGCCGTCGTTGGAGGCTACCAGTTCGCGATCACCATCGGTATTCTACTTGCCAACGTCCTCAATAACGCTACCCAGAACCGTCAGAACCACTCCGCATGGCAGATCCCTATCTCCATCCAGTTCATATGGGCGTTTATTCTCTTCACCGGCATGTTCTTCTTGCCCGAGGTACGCCCCCTTTCTTCCCACCCGCACACACCTTCCTCAGAGCGTTCCTTCAGACTCCGCGCTGGCTCATCAAGCGTGGCCGAATTGACGACGCGAAACGTTCACTCTCTCGTCTCACATCGATGCCTGTCGACGATCCGGAGCTTCTCCTTGAGATTGAGGACATCGCCGCCTCCTTGAAGCAAGAGGAGGAGATGGGCGAGAACTCGTATCTCGACTGCTTCAAGTTTACGCACAACAAGATCTTCCTCCGTACCTGCACCGGCATCTTGATTCAGGCATGGCAGCAGCTTACCGGAATCAACTTCATCTTCTACTGTGAGTCCGCTACTTGATTCCTATGACACAGGGGTACTCATTCTTGGATGTAGACGGCACGACGTTCTTCAAGAACGCTGGAATCAGCGATGCTTTCCTCATCTCCATTGCCACTTCTATCGTCAACGTCTTCATGACCATCCCCGGTATGTGGGGCATCGACAAGTTTGGACGCCGCCCCCTTCTCCTCTACGGCGCTATCGTCATGTGCATTTGCGAGTACCTCGTCGCAATCGTCGGTGTTACCATCTCCATCAACAACAAGTCCGGCCAGCAGGCGCTCATTGCGCTCGTCTGTATCTACATCGCCGCCTTCGCATCCACCTGGGGCCCGATCGCGTGGGTGATCACCGGCGAGATTTTCCCGCTCAACGTTCGCGCAAAGGCGATGTCTCTCTCTGTGGCCTCGAACTGGTGAGTTCATCCCGTATTGCCTTCACTCCCGCGGCTTGACAAGTCGCCTCACACAGGCTCTGGAACTGGGCGATTTCGTTCGCGACCCCCTACCTCGTCAACGTCGGGCCAGGTAACGCCGGCCTCGAGGTCAAGGTCTTCTTCATCTGGGGATCGACGTGTCTTGGATGCGTCCTCTTCACTTACTTCTGCGTCCCGGAGACCAAGGGCTTGTCCCTCGAGCAGGTCGACCTCCTCTACCAGAACTCGACTCCACTCACCAGCGTCGCATACCGCCGCGAGCTCATCGCCAACGACACTCACGTTGGGCGGGCCTCTGGCGCGGCTGGTGGCGTGCACGATGCTCCTGATGAGAAGATGGATGTGTAAGCGTCATGTTGGAAGATAAGAATATAGTTTCTTTGTTGGTTCCATCTCATGGGAAGTTTACTCCACAACTGGACAAATTCACAATCACGATCTGCTGGGAATGTGTACCCTTGTCACATCTGTAATACCTCACGTGGCTGGAAATTTTGTGTTCAGTTGTCCAACCGCTGCAGACGATTCCGATCATTCCAATAATATTGGTGGTGCTTATAAATAATGACTGTACATATCATGACAAGTGATACTACAGTCTCATATGCATGGAAATCTAATGTACCAATCAATATGGGGGAGGCAAGTGAGGGGGAGGTGGGTGATGTGGGGACAACACAGAGGTGAGGTGGGTGGTGCAGCGAGATGGGTGACAGCTTGGCCATGAAGGTAAAAAAGCGTGTGAGTGGGTGCATGTTGAACATTGGATATTGAACATAGGTACATACAGACAGTTCTACGTACACATGGACATTGTGAGATAGTTCCCATAGTTCCACATGTCTATTCACTGCCTTGTAGTCCCTTCTCTCTTCCATTCCGTTCTTCTACGCTTCTCTCTTTGTTCCCTTGTTCTACTTTCAGTCTCTCTTTTGTCTTGAGCGCACAGCCCGTACCACTGTGCACCCAGAAGAAAGTGATTTTCACCACCATGCGAGGGGAAAAGTCTTGAGCACCAACGAACGTGGTGACAAAGTAGTGCATAGTGATTCAGATAGGAAATATTCCTATCTGTGGAATCACCCATTTCAGCCGGCATTTCCGCCCAGAGTTGATTAGATAATGTTTGTCCAACTACTGCATGTGGAATTTCACTCATATTCACCACTTTTGCAAGCATCAGCAACACACCAATAGATAGACACAAGAAACAAAGCAGATCTTATTTGGGTTTTACTATTACAGAGATTACTAGTCGTCTACTCCGTGCTCATAACGATACTGATGGGTGACTGACGCTGCAGACCCCTTCGCACCCATGGGCAACCCCGCAAGCTTCCTGTGTGGGTTGCTCAAGCGATGTGGGTGACGGGCACGAAGGTCACCCCATGCGACGGTGGTGAGCGCACACAAACATCTCGTAGGGAGGCTCCAGCATGGACAAAGGTGTCGGCACCAGTGGGGGGCTGTAACGGATGGACAGAACACGCAGCGCGGTGCACGTGTAGAGCCTGTTGTTGAACGCGGTAAATACACCGTGGACTACGCGTGAGAATGCTCGGCATACTCGGCCACAGGCCGCCGAGCGGCTCGGCTTACCTAAGAGTGTCTAGCCGTATGGCGCGCTCTACGGAACACCACTGCATGGCATGCACGTCTCCGATCATGCATCCCCGTTCCAGAGAGCTATCTCTAGCTACTCTATGATACCGTAGTGTAGCCCCGTTTCTTTGCTCTCGTTTCAGCCTCTCTCGTGTACTGTACAGTAGCACCAGCCACTCGTTCGTACCCTGTATATATACCCGAGTATCCTGGCCTGCTAATACACAGTTCCGATTACTACTACACTATGTGCGAGACCTCAAACAGGCTCTACTAAGCTACAGGTGAGATGTCGTGCCCACTAGCATGAGGCTACCGTCTCAACAGGGTATGAGCCCTGCTGTCGCTCGACAGCGCCTTCGTGGCTGCAGTCGGCGTGCTGAGCTTACCTGTAGGTCGCCGTAATGGCAGACCGGAGTGCAGATCCATGTGTGGTTGATCCGCTGCAGGACTCACTCAGAGTGTTATCTCGCACCGTAACAGCTGCGTTTCATCCGCTTTGGGACGTATGCTGATTTCTGTCACTATACAGAACTTATCGCACTATCTTCCAATACAAATCGTCCTACACACACAATGTCTTCGACCTTGACGCAGCACGTTCCCGTCCTCGACGGCACGAACTACCGGTCGTGGGAACCTCAGATGCGGTGCTACCTGCTCTCCTAAGGGCAAGGTCCCGTGATCACGAAGACCAGACCTCCTGCGAACCCCAAGGACAACGACGACACCAAAGGCGAGACCTTCGACGCCCTCGATCAGAAGGCGCAAGGCAACATCCTCTTGCGTTGCTCGCCCGCAGTCAAAACTGCAGTGAAGACCAAGACGACCACCAAAGAGATCTGGGACGCTCTCAAAGATCTCTACGACAAAACCTCGGTTGCGAACGCCTTCGGTCATTTCAAGACCGCTCTCACTACCTCGTTCCCATCGAACTCGTCACCTATCCCCGCTCTCGATTGCCTCGATCAAGCCTGGACCAAGCTCTCTGACCTTCAAATCGCGATCCCCGACTTCATCAAGGCTATGCTTCTACTATCGAAGCTGCCTAGTTCGAACTACGACTACGTCATCAACTCCAAGATGTCAGTCGCGACTATCGCTGAGCTCAAGTACCCCAAGCTCCGCGCAGAGATTATCCGCTGCTTTGAAAACCAGCGGACGAAGTCGAAACACACTCACTCGGATCCACAAGCGGCGAAGATCTCAGCCGTCAAGCGCAAGGGTGACGATCCCACCTTCCAGTCGCAGCAAATGCGCCCAAACCAAGGCAGCAACCAGCAGCAGGCGAAGAAGAACAAGAAGCGAGGCAATCGCGCTGGCAAGAGCGTACAGGAGAAGTACAACAAGCAAGATCACAGCGCGCACATCGCGTCGCCTGCGATCACCGAGCTAAGCGCTCCCCTCCGCGCTCCTCTCCCCGGTCCTGTCATCATGAATCTCCCCCGTTCTGTCCCTCCTCTCAACTATTCTCGTGTCATGGACATTCACCCTCACAGAATCACCATCCACACCAACGCCATACGCACTCCTAACACAATGGACGGCCGCAATGTCTATCCAGACATAGTCCAGGCACTCAACACCGTCGCCCAGCAGAATGTCTCCACGTCCATCCAGTTGATCAAGAACTTTGTATCTACATCGTCCGGACGCAAGGACATCCCGCTCAGCGCGCGTATCACTGAGCCCGACAACGTGGCAGCATCTTCTTCTAAGAAGCAGTGCCTATCCCTCCAGGAGCACCTTGGGCCCATCACATGGGCTTCCGATCATGGCAGTGACAGTGGCTTGGAGACCGACAGCGACAAGAGCGCTATGGAGGAGGAGGACGTCGTCTCTCTTGGGTCTGCCCCCAACTTAAGGCTGTATGCAGGTCTACCTGCAGGTGATCTGGATCTGTACCTGCAGGTAAGCATGTCTGACAGACACTGATCTGGATCTGTAGTGATCCGGAACTGTCAGGGACCTGGATCTGTACGATCTGGACCCGTGACCTGCAGGTACACCTGCGAAACGACCCACAGGTCATTTAAACCTGCGGATCCAGGTACTACCTGATCTGTAATATTCAGGTACACCTACTACATGACCTGCAGGTTGTCAATACCTGCAGATCCAGGTATTGGTTTACTTGAAAAACTAACTATTACACAATGCGGAGTTGTAGAAACGTCCTCGTGAGTCCCTAGTTTGGAGCCTGCACGTGCACAGTCCAGACAAGTCACAACGTTGATGCACGTGGCGTGTGTTACGTCTGAGGGCTTATTCCGGCTGGAATACGACCTAGGCGCCTTGTGGTTACGGTGGCGATGCTCAGAGCGCTTGTGTGCTATCGAGCGAGTGTGCGAGCGACAGAGAGTAGATTGCGCGTAGTCAGGTAGACGTAGTAGTACAAAGGAGATTCAAGTCTGGGGAGGGAGCGCTCTAGGGCGTCGTCCTTATATACAGGGGCGAGAGTGGGGAGTCACATTATCTACGAGTCATCACCAGTCTGCATGACACAGTCCTAGTCGTAGCGACACATCATGACTAGGTACCACAGGAGGAGTCAGGACGAGTACACGATGAGTGGCGATGAGTATGTATGAGTCAGAGAGTACAGCATACGTATTTAATGGGTCTACATATCGGGGGAGCGGGGGTTATGGATGGAAATTAAATGGGGGGGCGACGTACTAGCGTTCATTATCGTAACATCAGCTCCCTCTCCTGGGGAGGGTCGTCCCGACCTTCTACGCCGGGGTCGACGCGGTCGCGTCCGCGACAGGGGCATGACCGATGCCAACGGCTGTGAGGTCCGAAGCGATCTGGATCGATACCCATCGACGTACTCCTGGAGGGGGAGGTGAGCACCCTCGTAGTTCTGGAGGATGGTGATGATCGGCTGGTCGAATTTCTCGCGGTAGACGTTCCACGGTTGGGTGTCGACGCACCTGTGGTTTCCCTCCCTGTTATACAGGGGCCCAGCAACGTGGGCCAGCGATTGTGCTAAACCTGGCCAGCCTGTCAATGTCATAAGACCTGGGCAGGTCAATAACAGCAGTATAACAGGGATTCACCTGCACTGTAAATACTTTGATGTTGTATGACAGCCAACAATATGGCACTGTTATAAGCAGCGTGGGGGTGTCACAGATGTTACCACAAGATGTAACAGAGACATCAAATGACAGCGGATTCTTTCGGCTGTTGTATTCCTCGTACAACAGCAGATTCTTTCGGCTGTCTTATCCCTCGTATGACAGCAGATTCTTTCGGCTGTCTTATCCCTCGTATGACAGCAGATTCTTTCGGCTGTCTTATCCCTCGTATGACAGCAGATTCTTTCGGCTGTCTTATCCCTCGTATGACAGCAGATTCTTCGGCTGTTGTATCCTTTGTACAACAGCGGGTCCTTTTGGCTGTCTAATCTGCCGTACAACAGCAGGTCCTTTCCGCTGTCGTATCTGTCATACAACAGCCAATTTTGTAGGCCTACAGTGGTGGATGCATCCGGCAATCACTGGCCCGTTTCAGGTGTGCTCCCACGCCCGCCATATAAGCGCCATGCCACCCATCATTGTCGTCCCCTTTGGTTTTCTATCACGCTTTTTAGATGTACGAAGTAGTGTATGATTAGAGACAAAATATATTTGTTGTGTGTTATACTACATGGTGAGTGACACGGAAAATGAGGCAGAGAAAGGCGTGCGGAGGGAGATGGCAGAGCGTGGAAGGCGTCGTGGGCGGAGGCGGGCGATGTGGGCAGAGGCGGGCGTGGAGGTGGGCAATGCGGAGCAGGCGGAGGGCGGTGCGGACGCGGATGAGGGCAAGGCAGATGCGGTGACACGGAGGAGGGTGGTGTGGATGAGGGTGGCGCAGGCGAGGCGGAGAAGGCGACGTCGGCCGGGACGACACGGAGGAAGGGGGAGCGCGACGCGGGCAGAAGAGAGGTGGAGAAGGCGGGGAGCGACGAGGGCGAACGAGGCGGCACGGCAGTAGGAGAGGCACGCGCGGAGGACGGCGATGCGGAGGCGGGCGACGCGGTGGGCGACGCGTATGCGTGGGACGTGGAGGGCTCGCGGGAGGAGGTGGATGAGGTGGTAGTGGTGGTGGTGGGCGAAACTGAGGGCCGTGATGCCGCTGCGGCGGAGGGCGACGCGTGTGGAGGTAGGTGATGCGGACGCGGGCGACGAGGAGAGCTCGCGGGAAGAGGGGCGGCCACGACACGGACGCAGGTAGGTGAGGCGGACGCGGAGGAGGGCGACGCGGGGGACACGGGCGACGTGGACGTGAACTACGTGAATGCGGGCGATGCAAAGCCGCGCGACGCGGAAGCGAGTGAGGCGGGAGGAATAGGGCGACGCAGCTGGGCGACCCGCGCGAAGGTGGGCAACGCGGAGGCGAGCGACGCGGAGGAGGATGGCGCGGTCGGGCGGCGCAGGAGAGGAGGGTGGCACGAAGGATGTGGGCGGCGCGAAGGAGGCGGTAGGGGCGGGCGGAGTAGGGCGAGGTGGGCAGCGTGGGCGGAGGGCAGCGTGGGCGGAGGGCAGCGTGGGCGGAGGGCAGCACGGAGGAGGATCGCGTGGAGGAGGAGGGCGACGCGAAGATGGGCGACGCGGAGGAGAACGACCCAAAGGCGCAGGGATCTCGGAGAGCCGGGGGGAGGAGGACGTCCTCGGCCTGTAGTAGTAGTTGTTGACAGAGCGGCAGGGGGCATGGGTGGGCGTTGAGAGTGCAGGAGGGCGGAGCGGAGGACTTACCAAAACAACGGGCGCGGTACATCGCCGTGGCCTCTCGTGCAGTGTGTTGTGAGAAGGTGGGTAGAGGTCGAGGGAGGAGGTCGAGGTCGAGGTCTGTCACCTGGTGACACCGGAGTCCAATAGCAGACGACAGTCGACCGTATGGTCGCTATCGTCTGCCTGGGCAGGGCGGCGAGGCTGGGGGCGGCGAGGCTGGTGGAGGAGAGCAAGGGGGAGGGACGCGTGGCGTGCGTCACAGCCACGCGCTGATGCGCGCCACGAGTCCTTGCCGCTCACCGAGGCGCGTCTACACAGGCGCGCATCGCACCTGCCAATAGGCTATCGCGATTCGCAACGGATGCACCTGGTCCTGGGAAATCATTGCTGCTCATGCACGTGCCCATGCACCCAAGCGCGCCCTATGCTCCCGTACTCGGAGGCGCATGCGGCGTGCCTGCCGTAGTTGTGCACACATCCGGATTCCGGCGCACCTGATATAACTTGGTAGGAGTGGGCCATTACTGGCAGAAACCGATTAATGAGATATGGAATATAATGAGAAGATATGAGAGACCTTAATAAGCTATATTGAACACCACTACTATCACTACAGACAGACATGAACAAAATATATAGCAGTTGTGCAAACATTGTGAAAGCTAGTATTAACATGCTTACTATGCATATCAAAGCCAATACAGCTACAACACCCTGTGTTATAGCTGCCCTTCTCAATTTGTGCTGTATTTGATTTTACAGAGGCAGAATACACACTATCATTCTACATAGCTAGACTACCTGAAGGGGGAACTAGAGAAGACAAAGGTGTTGCAGTCATATAGGCCTTATACATAGCTTTCTGATGCATATACAATCACCCCAAACAGATAAGAACTGAGATCACAGGAGCTATCCAAAGTTAGTAGGCACCAGTGATCATATCTACACTGTCCCTCATCTAATGTGTTTAAAGCCAAGCTGTAAGCACATTAGTAACATACTCTATAGTAGCTGCTTTCATGAATATAATCAGGATTTTAGGCAATTGATTGGATTTTACAAAGCCTGAATACCATTGTTACAACCAGCCTGCATAGCACAGCCACATGCAGAAAAAGCGGCACTAGCAGGGATTGAACCCAAGGCTCCTGGGTCCCCACCCAGGTGCTGTACCAGCTGAGCTGAGCTGAGTTTGAAAAAAGCGTTCAAAATAGGCACCTAGCTGCACTTTCAGCCACTGTGGCAGCTGTGGCAGGGGCAGGAGGGGGCAAACAGTGGCAAACAGTGTCCATATATGGAGAGAGGCATGGGAGAGGCTGCTGACAAAGATTGGGAGCACAGCCCCACCAAAAGAGGGTGGATTGAGCCAGGGCTTGTGGATGACAATTTTAGGTGGCTGGTGTGGCTTGCAGTAGCTGGCAGTGGTGGCTGTGGCTGAGAGCGAAAATAGGCGCCCAGTAGCGCTGAGATGGGCTGGGTGGCCGTCCCAGACTCTAAACATGCTGTTATGGGCTCAAAGCATACAAAATGATAAAACAAAGTACATAGATCATGTGGGCAGTGCTACTAGTACCTATCTACCAAAAATGAAGCAGATCCAACCATGGGAAAGGGATGGATGGCATGCAAGGCTTGTGGATGTAGCAGGCCGTGGGCGCCTCTGAAATAGACGCCCATGAGCGCTGTGCTAACCCACATCATCAGTATGTGTACAGAGGGGCCAAAAATGCGAAGTGGGGGATAAATGGGGGGTCTACAGAAAGAGCACACACCTGGGAGCAATCTAGCAGTGTTCTGAGAGTGATAGAGAATGGAAGGGAGGCATAGTGATGTCAAAGTACCATGGTGATGAGCAACTAGACAAACAACACTTACCTAACACCCACAGACACCCAAAGCTTACCAGAGAGTTGAAGAGAGTGCTGAATCCATCTCACACAGAACTCGGTCTGTGCTCCAACGACCAGGCCACCCGAAATGGCAATGTCGCAGGCATCCCAGGCTCAAGACCACCGCTCTAAATCGGTGCACCGAGTAGGCATGGTACAGGAGCACAGGGACTGGGGTGGGGGCATCCTCCCACTCATAAGCACTGGACTTTGGCCAAAAGCCAGGCAACAGAGGTGAAGGGTGGATGAGAGTCCCCCAAGAGAGGAGGAGGAGTGCAGCAGCGATGAGAGTGCACTGCTGGTGCTTATGTAACACTTTTCTCACACACCATATTAGGCAACTGCATCTGGGAACATTGCTTGACTCTCTATTGCTCATCTCTTGTCCGTTTCTTATGATTTAAACTATGCCAAGTACGTATTCAAAGTGGCGTTTGAATGGTGTATGTTACATAAGCATATTCCAGGCACAGTGCTATAACCCAGTCAACACTGCCAAGCAGTAGTTGCTACAGTATAGCAGCTGCAATGCACAATACACAACACAACATATACTGTCTTGTAGCCCTTCAAAGAGGTGTTCTAATGCACCTACATATATAGTGATTGGTTCAGAAACCAGCTTATAACTAGTCATACACTGTCCATATAGTGTTCTACTAGTGTTACTCAACCTATTGCACAGCATCTGCTTCCCGTATCACATGATATGCACCGTTAGGTTAAGCTCGTCAATACGTATCCAAAAACCCCACAATCATCCCAAACGGACAACATCTGAGCTTATACCAGCAGTTACAACATATGAGCCATATGTTGTAGACCCCATTACACCCCACCCACTATGTATAAATAAGTGCCTCTTTCATAATCGTACCAACCACTATGAGGACTAGGTTCACAAATATAATCAGCATTTTAGGGAATTGATCTGATTTACTAGTAGGCAGATGTGGGTGTAGTAGGCAGGGGCAGGGCGCTACAGCCACTGGGCGTCAAATAACTTGCGGAAGCCTCACTTTTCTGAAATCAGCCCTTCAAAATTCGAATCAATTACGATAAATCTTGAGTATATTCATAGTAGTAGTCCCATAGACTCTGACTGAAGCCCCAAAGAGCGCCCATCTCAGTCTAGTTGAATATGTATAGACACTAACAGACCCTACAAAGTGTATCAGGGAGTGAAGCGCTGGTCCCAGGTGGCAGTGCAAACCCAGCGCTACTGAAACCCTACAGGGGGACCCTAACCCAGAGCTAGGGTGATGGGAGTAAGTAGAGAACCTATGCGTGGGAAGTGGCTGTGCTATTGAAAAGTAACAAAAATCCCAGAGACTAGCATTTTCCGTGTGTCGCGCGTCGCAGTCTGAGCCCACCCCATAAAGAACGATTCATTCGTACCTCATTAATCGTAACTACAAGAATCATTCCTTCTCTCACATCGACTTCCTCGAGTTCACTCAGAAGTGGTATATTCCTTCACGTTCAGCCACCATGTAAGACTTTGCAGAGTTGCCACACCAGCAATTCCACCATATCAAGTCTTTGTTGTCGCTTTCCTTTGCCGATCTCATGTGGGACGACTGCGAAGATGAGCTCAGATGCGAGACTTTCGATGCAGCTGCCAGGTTAAAGATTAGGTCGTTGACCTTCGACCATTTCTATTATCCTGCGAATGGTTTCGAAGACATCTTGGTACGTTTTTCACTATTTTGCACTCATTTTAGACTAATTCTTATTTTCATACGTAGTCGACCATGCCCCAGAGGTTCTCTCCCATCCCTCTCATTCATCTCAGCATCAGATTCGTTCCAGATCTGTTTAAAGACCTTGCCATGGATCCCCTCACAGCGTGCAAGAGGCTAGGGCAGAAGCTGGCAGAGTTCATTCCTACCCTCATGGTTCTGGAACTGGAGGTTCTTGACGCAGATGACGATGAAGAAAGAGTCGTTCAGTGGTGGAGAATCGAGCGTCGAGAGGAGGTCCCACGGTTGGAAGAGATATGGAGTGAGGTTGGGGAGGCAGCTGTTCAGTTGATTCAGAGGAAGGCCTTCAAGCTGCAGGCTCTGGAAGGTTTGTTTTTTATTGCTCGTACTTGCGCAGACTCTGATAGTATCAACAGAACTCTTTATTACTCGGGATGTCTACTAAGCATTGTAAAAGTAAGACTTATAGCTATTAGATGGTGTCTAGTACAAGGTGTGGGCTAAGGGATAAGCCCTGCAGCATCTGGTATGTTGTCGAGAGAGACGGCGGAACGTGGGTAGGCCACACTGAGGGAGGAGGATTGGGGCAGCGCGCAGGAGAGACGGGCACAAGTAGTGATCACCACGGGTCACCCCCGGGTAATCTTGAGTCGACCTGTACCCGGACCCGTGAAACCCGGACCCGTGAGCTCACGGGTCAGGGTACGCTCGGGTACAGCGCTTACGACCACGGGTCAGTCACGTGTGACGGCCGGAGTCGGCGCTCGCGCGCAGCTTGCCAGTCGGTGACTTCTCCTTCCCCACCTCTGTTTGTTTGCTCCTGTCACCCCGCCTCACTCAAATGATCCTGCTGAACTTAAGGAGATGCAGTGGAGGTGATGTGGCGATCATCGGCTCGGTGGGAGTGTGATAAACGGGTGAGCTTTCATTACATCTTTCAATGCGCGATGTGGAGGGGCGGCTTTTCAAAACAACACGCAATGGACGTCCTCGACCACCTCTGGGCCCACCGCGAGTCCACCTCTGGCTGGCCTATTGAGAGCCACGAGGACGTTCTCGCCCCCTGGCTCTACTGGTTATCCTTCACCCCCGGTACGTCTCCCCTCCCCTTTGCGCTCTTCCCCGCGATCTTTATACCTCACACAGAAAAACTCGCTACCTGCTCGCCCGCCCTCCGCACTATGCTTGCAAATCACGTCGGGTCGTACACCATGTATGGCTTCCGTTACCCCCCTTCCTCACCCCCACAACAACTTCTGTGATTCCCTCTCCACCATGGCGACTGGGACTTGCGTGTGTGGCCCTCCCTGACCATGCGCAGGGGCAGCGGGCAGGCGTGGAGCGACCGGATGATGAGCCTGAGGGCGTGGCAGGTGAACAACTGGGAGCGGTGGACGGCGTGCCCCTCGGTGGCCTCAAGTTCACGCTCGGCTCTCTGTCCGGGCTCTAGGTTGTGAGTTTCTCGCCTTCCATGGCCTCTTTCGGCACTCACGCTTGGACGGCGTAGGACGGGGCCACGGACGGGCACACGCTTGCCGTGCACGCGAGGCTAGAGAACTCGCCATTCTCGGCCACGGCCCATCCCCTCTTCTTGACCTCTGTGAGCACCACCGTGTACCCCCGCCCAGCCCCTCCCGTTCCGGGAGCCGAGTGATGCGATGGACGAGCTGAACGCGTACCGCGCCCACTCCTTCCTGGACGCATACGCCATCAAGCACACAGGGCGCGCGCGTGGCGGGAGGTGCAAGGTGGACATGTGGAGGTGGGGCACGCCGGAGCGGGTGTATGAGACCTGCAGGGAGGGGAGAGGAACTCACATGCGCCGAAGACGTGCGAGATGTGCGTGGTGAACAGGGAGGAGGAGAATGCCGAGGTGCAGGCGTGGAAGGCGGAGATCTTGGCGAGGAGGGCGGTGGAGGGCGATGAAGACGAAAACACGGACCTCGACGTTGAACTAGACGGCAACGACGACAACCGCCACTCCGACCACCACCATGACCACGAGATGGACGACACGCAAGGCGGAGCGGCACATATCGACCGTGTGCACCGACAGGTCCAGGACGGGCTCGACACGGACATTGAAGAGCTCATCGACGCGGTCTCGAGCAAGGACGACGAAGAACACAAGCCGGAGGATGCGCCCTCGCGCGCGCGAGCCCGACAGACTCGGACATGGACATCGGGCGGACGTGCTCTGAGGTCGAAGACGTCTTCATCACCGGCGAGGTTGCTTCTTTGGTCCGCTCTCCTTTGCTGACCCGTTTTCTCCCCAGTGCGCGCTCTGGTGACCTCTCCCTCCCTCCTCCTTTGTTGTCTAGTCTCCTCTTCTCTCTCCGCTTCTCTCCTCCCTTGTTATCCCCTGCACGCACGCACGCACGCACGCACGCACAGACCCTTCCGCAATACGCACAAGCCTGGTGAGCCTACACGCTCTACGGCCGTGTCTACCCCTGGGATGGCCTTGTCGTCCTCGTCTGCGTCCAGATCCCGCCAGCGGGCGGCGGCGGCGCGAGTGGCAGCATCGTCTGTGCCCCCCCCCCCCCCGGGTGTGAGCGGTGTGCGCACTGGCGAGCTCCGTCTCCTTCAACTTCTTCTGAACTCATTCGGGGTGGCAGTCACATATGCCAGAACGAGCTGAACCGGCGCGTCCTGGCTGCTACGCTCTCGGCCTGTGCCTGCGCTTCCAGCGCGCGCGCGTCTGCCACCGCCGTGGCCCGTGACGTCCACAAGCGGGAGCGTGAGCACCTCCAGGCGCGCGCGCACCGCATGCCGTCGTGAGGTCGGCCGCGGCGAGGAGTGAGGGGACTTTCGGGTACGCTTCGCGCTCACGCGTGTCGTCATTGTCACTGCCGTACGAGACGAGGAAGCATGTACATGAACTTTGTCGCCTTCGCCTTCGCCCTGTTTTGAGGTGCGTGCGGGGTGGCAATTACATCCTGCGCAGGCTTTGTGTGCGCAGTGCGCGCGGCTCTTGTTCCCCCATCCACATATGATACCTCCTGACTTGATCCACCACTATTCATTACATGTATAATGCACCCCGAGCCTACGGGTCACCACGGGTTGCCGAGGGTTCACCCTGCGGGTCGTGTATCAAGCTTGGTATTCCTGAATCTAAGCAATTTAAGCTTGTACATATGAGAGACAATAGGCGTATGGTGTGTAAGAGACCAAGTATGTATAGTAGCGCTACACTGAAGAGACAAGTACAGCTGATATAACACCATTGTCAGAGACCTGTGGCTTAACTTTGCCGTAAAAAGAGAACCAGTCAGAGGACTTTCCGTAACGACATACACTGCAAGTCTTTCCAAGCACTGAAGAGAAGATCTGGTATACAGCGTTTGCGTTCTGCCAAGGGTCCAATAGCACTATAGCATCCTTCTCATGCAAGATAACACGAACCTCTGAAGACGTCTCCATCCTGCACCTAGTCTGGATAAGTGGAAGCTCATAAGAAGCTTGCCCACCAGGTGTACCCGATTTTCCACTCTCTCCATGTAGTCCTTCATCGTCTCCTTCTCCCTGGCCTTCTCTGTCTCCTTGCGCCAATCCTCCATCTCCGACAACTCCAGCCTTCTGAGTCGCTCTTTCGTAACCGTGTGATGGCGGCAAGCCTAACGTAGTCCTCCCCCTCCAGCTTCAGGAGCTTCTTCGGCTGAAACTTCTGAGGAAGTCTGCCTCCGTCTTCTCGATTGGACCCCAGTAGAGCTGACCGGGTGGCTGTAGGTAGAAGAGCTCACAGTTCCAACCGGGGGAGTGACTCGGGAAGGGGTTCGGAATGGGAATGGAAATCTGGGAAGGCAGAGATGGATGCAGAAGGTGTAGGTGGAGTGGAAGCAATAGAGGACTTGAGAGAGGCTGGTCTCAAAGCGATGGGGATCGGCATTGGGATGAGGGCAGAATTCAGGGTATTGCATGACAGGTGTTCAAACGGACTTTGCCTAGTTTCTCCACATTGCGAGGAACTTTGACCATCTCTTGGTGGTAGGATTCCCCTTGTTTTCAAACTTGTGCCATTTGTCCCTTCTGGGATTCCGAACAGCTGATCCACCGATCAACGATCGAAGCTGGGGACAGGCGGCTTCTATGGAGCTATAAAAGTGGTGGTACCGCTCCCAAAGGGCGATCAGGATGTTCCGATCCAGATATAGCATGCCTCGGTCATCGGTTTTGATGCCGCCAATCCAACGGAGAACGGATGGTGTGAGCTTGCTCAGGCCGTAGGAGGTCAAGGAGTCCCAACAAACGTCCGATACAGAGAGTTCGCACTGGCGATGACTGCTAAGGATCTGGCCAGAAGAGGTGGTGTGTGGAAAGAGTCCAGTCTCCATGATGTGTGCAGTGGATGAATAGAATGTGGTTGGAACAATGCTGCAGTGATAGCTTCTCGATAGTCTCTCGATATTCAGATTCAAAGATCACGTGTTCTCATTCAAGTCGATATTCAGATTCAAGAATCACGTGTTCACATTCACATTCATGCACCGAGAAGAGAAGCTCAATTCACTAGAAGAAGCACATGCCAACTCTACATCTTCTACCCAGCCATAGGCACATCTGTCTGAGATACAACTGCACTGTCCTGCAAGTCACTATCGTCCAAGCGCATACGCTTCAACACAGAGTCTGTGTCATCTTCCTCGCTGTCGCCGTAGCCGACCTTGCGCTTCAAAGTACGTCTGGGAGACTTGGCACGCTTTGTCAAAGCTGCAATTGAAGCTAGATTGAAGTCCTATAATCAAATCAGCAAGCACGCTCCAAGTGAGAATCAGCATATAGCACTCACCTTCTTGACAGTACGGTCTAGAACACAGATCGAACATAGCTTAGGAACAAAGATGTGCGAACCACTGTGAAAGCGATCTGTAGCTCAACTAGGTTTGAGATGTTGATCTGGTGAGGCTTGATCTTTGTGTATGTTGCCCTAAACAACGTCAGCTATGGTTGGCTTCATAGCAACCTGGCACGTACTTGGACTCCTTCATTGTACGCTCCCAGTACTGAACTGCATTGTCGGTAGTGTGAACATGATCACGCAGAGCTGGTCGGAGAACATTGAAGGGGTCCACGACATCTGCCAAGTCCACAATCTCATCGTCTCCAACCTCCTTTCCCCTACTCAGGAGACGGTTACCGAACTGGATAGCCAGGTGGCCTGAGCGATCAAAAGGGGTCCACTCTCGAAGTCGTCCATGAAGAGTCTCGATAAGGCGCTGATAGACTTGGTAGACGCAGACCGCACCCTGTACCGCGTCTTGGAACAGGCCCTCACCAAGGCCAGAGATAACGACTGACTGGCTAAGACCAATGATCCGATGATTGGACCGAGGAACACTGGAAGCAGACAGGTGAACTCAGGTACGCATCACAATACACAAAACTCACTCCATCTTCCGAATAGGAGGGAGATTGGCCTCTACGAGATATCCTTGGATCGACAGGATAAGCTCCTCGATAGGCTCTTCAGGAGACGCTCGTTGATGGATGAGCGTCATCCGCACTCCGTTCGCCACGTCCACCACCTCTCCAATCGCATTGAGAATGCTGGGCTACCATGCACGGTATGAGATTTGTTCCAGTGCTGCACAATCCAAAACTCACCTCTTTGATGCTCTGAAGCTGCTTGTATGGAGCCTCTGCCTCACTAGGCTCACATCTCCTGCTTAAGCATTCTCGCTGCACCACACAGAAGCGCATTAGATCAAGTCAGAACCAAACACTCTCTACTCACCATATTTGGCCTCATCTAAAGCCAGCTGAGCAGCGTAAAGCATAGGGGATAGCAAAGAGGAGGTGAAGTAGATGTTTGCGATAGTTGGTTGAAGGTGAGGAGCCCTTCATCCCCTTTTCGTCTAATCTCCGTGTTTTCTCAACACGTGAACAGGAATTTCCAACTGTTTGTTTGTGCATGGTCTAGATTCTTTGGAACGTGCTCTGGCGGTGCGTCATTATTGATCGGGATAAGCTCATCCGAAGAGCGGTACAACATCGGACTTTGCTTATTTTCAATGCCCCATCCGTGTCTTCCCTCCCTTCTTCTGCATGTTGGGTGTCATTCAAAGCTACTTCTTTCTGCTACATGTCACTGAACTGTATAGGGTCACTGTTGTATGGGACTATGCAACAGTGAGCCAAGTGCTGGCAGACTCGCTTGAGTATAGCCGACGGTCTAAATAGCCGCATAGGCGGATTCAGGAACTGCTGAGAAATTCAGAGTGGGCTGGTGGGACGATGTGCACGGACCAAGGGACAAATAAACAGCATCACAGTGCTGTATATAAACCTAGGCAGACGCGCTGTCGTCCACACACTCTCTCTCTCTTTCTTGCTCCCATTCTCGCTTCCTCTAATCACTCCCAATCACACTCCTTTCCGATACCCGCTCCTTTATACACTCACTATGGCCAAGACTCGTGCCTCTGCCACGTATGTGATTCCTTTCATTCGTATGCCAGGCTAATACGTTTATTATAGGTCTAAGAAAACAGTAACCCCAACCAAGCGTGGTCGAGCTGCCTCCTCCCCCGTACCATCTACGCGCGATGAGTCCCCTTCCCCTTCCCCTGATCATGGGGGTGAAGAAGGAGACCTTGACGATGTATGTGCTACCATATGTGTTTATATTCTTTATACTCATTCACAGTTGCAGCACCATCAAAAAGCCTCGAGAAGGTCGTCCTCGGAAGCCCCAGGCTCTGGTGATGAGGCTGAGCGGCAGCCTGCTCCGTCTGGTAGACAGACTGCCAAAAGCACTGGTCGCGGTGGAAGGCGTGGCACTGGATCTCGCAAGGCCTCGCTACACAAAGCGCAACCCTTCTCTCTCCCCTACTCCCACTCGTTCTCAGGCTCACCAGGATTCTACACCTTTGGCTGGGGATGAGAAAGAGGTTCAACGGTGCGCACATTCACTTCTCAGACCACTATTGTTACTAACTTTGTTTCAGGATCACCAAAAGCTTCATTTCAAACGAGGCTGATGACGTTCATCGCCACTCTGAGACTTCAGAGGATGAAGGTTCCGATCAGGACAAGTACTGCGAGATCGACACCTCGTGAGTCTTATTTACTTGGCTTACACTGCTTGCTTACTTCAAGTTCAGGTTGAAGGTGAAGGAGCTGCAGGCTGCTAGGGCTCGTCGAGAATCCCAGCAGGCTGAGAAGATGGCTGGCATCTCCTCTGACGATGGCGATTACCATGTGCGTGTTCCTGACAATCAGAAGACGCCTAGGAAGTAAGTAATTTGTTTAAGTTGTGCTACTAGTGCTCACGCTCAGCTGTAGGAAGCCTTCTATGGGAAAGCTGAACGTCTCTCCAAAGTCTCCGTCTCCGTAAGTCTATTCCTTTATACGCTCAACCACTGGCTTACCTTTGTTATAGGCAAAAGCCTAGACACCCCTCAGCTTCCAAGCCTGTGGTCGAGATGTGAGCAATGTGCCTTTATATTCATGCATTCTTACTCATATGTACTAGCACTATGACACCCCGTGGGCGTCAGCAGCGTCGCACCAAGTCAGAGTCGCACATCACTCAGTAAGTTCAGTATATTGTGACATCATATGTATACTTACATATTCTCCCAGCTTGACGCCAACCAAGCGTGGCAAGGCAGCCCAACTCAGGCCCCAGGCTGAGGACTCAGACGATGACATCATGTCTGAATTTGAGTTGGAGGCGGCTGGGGGGGCTGAAGACGCTATGGATATTGATGACGAGGACTCTAACCCAGATGCTCTCTACGTGCTCAGTCCTGACCACACCACCAAGTACGTATTCAGTTTGTTAGTGAACACAATTGCTCATGCTTTCCAGTGGCACACCGAGCAAGAAGCTTGCAAGCAAGATGTCCTCGATCAAGATGAAAGACAGGACTCCTTCGACTAGGTACAATTCTCAAATTTGTGTTTGATATCGTGCTTATTATGCCCTCTAGCTCGACTCCAACCAAGAAGAGAAACGTCAAGGTGCAAGCTGACAGCTTGGTTGACACTGCCTCCCGTGCTAGTGGTAGTCTTGTATCTGCTTTCAAGGCGGCAGGCAAGCGCTCCAAGTCTTCTGAAGATGAAGGCAGTGATGACGCTCTCAAGTATGTATCTTCTCCCTGTTCTTTGGTACACACTTCTGACATATTTCCATATTCCAGAACGTCTCCCACAAAAAGGCCCGCTTCTCGTAAGCTTCTCATTTATAGTGCTCAGATCTCTGCTAACATCTGTGTAGAATCAAGTACAAGTCTGCGTCAACCCAGACCACAGACCTGTCGGAAGTGAAAGTTGAACGCCTGTGAGTTACTCTATCTAGCTTACTCCTAGTGGTGCTCTCGCTGACATTGCACTGCTTATCAGGGTGTTGCCTAAGCCTCTCAACATGCAGAAGCTCAAGGACAAGGCCTCAAAGTGAGTCATTTTTAGTTGCAGTAACTTCTACTCACACTTCTTACAGATCGGTACCGCACGAGCTTTGGGGTGTTCAGCAGTCATCGACAGGAGCACCACGATCACAACATCCGCCATGGGCTGCCTGACTTTGAGAATGAGTGAGTCATGTTTTTTAATTCTAATTAGGACTCCTTTGCTGACTTTTCTGTTGTAGCGGCAAGACGTACATGGTGAACTACATTCACCCACTGCATGTGAGCCCCACTAGTAGGCTTCTGACTCGAAGCACTACCCCACGGTGCATCCAACGTATGTATAATTCAATCAAATCCTGCAGATTTATACTCATCAGGTGTTCACTAGGATCTTTTACAAGACGTTGGCCAACACTGGCGACGGCATGAAGGTCTTCAATATTGGATGCGCTGACCCTAAGTTCTTCAAGAAGGTCTCCAAGTTCAAGGCTAACTCGTACTATCTGTGTTTCGACAACCTGGCTCTTGGCAACAACATAGCTATTGGCTATGCTGTTGGCATGGTGATCAGAGCGCACACGGAGAACAACGGGGAGTTCCAGTTTGGTGCCACGTCGTTATACGGCAAAGGCATTCACCTTGAGCTGCTCGGCAAGGCTGATAATGCTCGACTGGGTCCTTTTGTCCTTCGTGCATGGACTACCAGGAAGCAACGATCGCCACTGGTGAAACTGCGCTCTTGAAGAATGATGAGCTTGTTAGCCAGGGTTGCTTCTGGGCACACTCTGCGTTGCACAACCCTGAACGTGCAAGTACCATGACACCTCGGCCTAAAAGTGAGTTGCTTGCTCTATTTGCTCTGCGATACTGAGTCGGTGCTTTTGTCACAGGGTCAATCTCTGGTCCTGTCCGTGAGTGCATATTTTTGTCTGCACTGATGCAGTGACTAATTTAGAGTGCAGCGAAGAGCATCCACCTCAGCTCAGATGAGGACGACGAGGAAGTGGGTTCCTCTAGTCGCTCTGTGCGGCAGTCTGATCCCATCAAGGATCTGAGTGACACGGTGAAGTCGTATCACTCGCCGATGCCACCTGTAAGTTCTCCATTACACACATTGAAGCGCTTCAAGTGCTTACTCTGTGCTTTCAGACCCAGTTGGGACGCCACTGCGCACTTCCAGAAGGAAGACAGAGTCGAGAGCTATCTCCTCAACAGCCTCAGTTGCTCCCTCGCTGCCTTCCTGGTGAGGGTGGTGAACCACTCCAGCCTCACGATCTGGCTGTCGTCTACTTCACCTGCAACTCTTACTCTAGTAAGAGTGGCAGTGACAATAAGCCTTCAATTGGCTTCAACCTTGCGGTGCAGTGAAGATCGCCTCTCATGTGTCGTTTGAGGAGAGCACCTAGTGCGCTGGTTGTCTTTTGCAGATCGTCATCTCCCTGTGCATGCTGATACCAGACTTGTGTTTTGGCAGATTGTCGTCTCCCTGTGCATGTATGTCGTGCTACACTTATACCCACTACCACATGCATCTCTCGCTCTCTCCTACCTTGTTTCTCTGGTATCTTGTGGACATCCCTATGT